GTAATAGGATTTTTTATACCTTTTTAATTTCTAGATTATATTTATTATATTTCTATATTTCATTAAAAGATAAAGAACTTATATCTATAATATATCTTCTAATATCACTTATCTTAGTATTTTTTTTAAATATTATACAATAAGTATTATTATATATTATTATATAAAATATTAACAAAATAAAATAATCATAGATTCTATATTTCTCAATGAAATCAGATTTCTTTTTCCTATAATAATATTATATCCATTTCTTATCTAAATAATTGATTAAATACTATAATTCATTTTCCCAAAATAGATAATAGGATTCAATTAATCATTGATTCTTCTCGAGTTCTTTATCTTCTAATTCGAAATCTTCTAAAGATTCTTTTTTATAATCGATACTATTCTTAATATTAATTCTAAAGTTTTGATTATTAATATTCAATTTCTTTAATTGTTCAAAATTGAATTGAAATAATTCTCTTTCCAATAATCCTATTTCCTTCGAATTTCTTTTCAAGATCTTTATTTTTCGAAAACCTTATCTTTTGTTCTCAAATTTCATTTATTTTCTGTTTCTTATAATAAATAATTTTTTCTTTTAAAAACAATCTCAAAATATATATCTGTTTTTCTTATAAATATAATATAAATTATTCTTTTTATATCTTTTCTTCTTATTAATATTTAGATTGTTTGATTTTATATAATATCATTCGATATTATTCAATTCCATTAAATTATTAATATTATAATATCTATTCTAACAATAAAGTTTTTGGAACTTTCTACTTTCTTGAATAATTCCTTTCTTTTCTATTTGTTATTTATAGAATCAATTATCAATAAGAATAAAAGTTTCGATTAATTCGAAAAGATTAAATGATTTCGAAATTCTTATCAATTCGTTTTTGATAATATCTTTCAATCCTTTATAGAATTGTAACTTTAGATAATTATCATTTTATATAATATATTCGATATATTATTGAAATTTGATAATATAGATTATAATTGATCTGATTTGTCTGAATTGTTGTAATACTTTTTCAATTATATAATTGGAATCTATTTCCTCAAATGTTTTATCAAATCTTTATTTAAACGATTTATAACTAAAAAATAAATAATGAATCTTAGATTTTATATTTTTGTTTAATTGATTATTGGTAATTTTGATTATTAGATTATTGAAAAATAATTCAATTTAATTGAATATAGTTTTATAAAAAAAGGAGATCAATTATAAAATCTTTTATATAAAAATCAAGAAAAGTTGTTTATTAAAAACATAATAAAAATTAGTTTATATAACAAAAACTCGATGTTTGTTATAATCTTTATAGAATAAATTAAAGATAGATATTTGAATCGTTTGTTTATATTTTATAATGATAATGATCTAAATAAAGGCTTTGATTGGATTGAATAAAGACAATTCGGTGAATTACTGATTGGAAGTTATTGTACTGTATATAATTTAATTGTAACGATACTCAAAGTATAATGATTTGATTGAAACAATAATTGTCTTAGGTTTTTGTATAATTGATAGTTATAGATTAAAGCTAATAATTATTGATTATTTATTCGAAAATAAATATATTATTAGATCAATTGAAATATAGATAAACTAATTAATAACTAAATTGAATATAAAGTTTTTAAATTATGAAATTATTTTGATTATATATTAATGAATATAAAGGAGCTTTATAGAACTTTAAAGCTTCAAAAAGCTCTTGAAGCTTTAGAAGCTTTCGAAGCTTTCAAAGCTTTTTATTATATAATTAGGATTAGATTATATATCCAAGTTTGCTAAAGATGAGGAGATTATATAAAGTGATTATTATACAAATTTGTATACGAATCGCTTTGCTTTTCGATAAGGCCTAAGCTCATATGGATACGTTGATTGCTGCCCCTCAACATATCCTTATCTTAATTGTAAATCGTGACACTAACCTATCTACCTCTTTATTAATACAACCCTCAATTCTTAATTTTTAAATCTCAATCCTCGATAATTGTAAGATTACTTCAATTAACAATTGACAAAGCGGTCAAGTAATATTAAATATCAAGCAGCCTTTTTTTTTTTCCTCTTAAGATTATACCAACCCTAATCAAATCGATCAATCAATCAAATCAATCGATCGATCAATGACGCTGAAATCTTGAACAAGAAGTAAGAAGTTAGAAGTTCTTCTAACTACAGGAATAGGGGGCGGATACCTCTGTATGTACTTGATACGATACTTGGTACTGTACTCGGTTGAGAGAGTAACCTTATTGAGAATTGTTTATTTATTTATACAGTAAGCTGAGGTTAAGTAATCCATTCACATACTGTATATATGGAGTATGTATGTATGTATATCATTGAATGGTTGAATAAATAGATGAAAATGGATAAAATGCCAAGAGTACATACATAGTTACTAGTATGTACAGAGTCGTCTTAGGTAGGCAGGTACTAGGTGTTGTACTAGGTGTTGTACTAGGTGTAGGTACTAGGTGTAGGTACTAGGTGTAGGTACTAGGCTAGGTGGAGTAAGTAAGTAGGTTATTTTCAGGGGTAGGATACTAGGAGGTTAAGGGGATGTGGGATTTTGTACAGGTGTGAACTTGTGAAGTGAAGTGAAGTGAAGTGAAGTGTTCGTTAACCTTAGTTTTGAGTTGATGGGATGGGATGGATGGGTCTAGCTAGGTAGGTGGATGGATGGATGGATGGATGGATAGATGGATGGATGGATAGACGGATGGAATTAGTCGCGAGGATGGGAAGGGTAAACGAAGGTTAGGAAAAGGAAGGTTAGAGGAAAGAAAAAGGAAATGAAGGGAATGAAGTTTTAGGTCTAGAATAGGTCTGGGTGGGTGGATGATTAGTGGGGTGGGTGGGTTTTATGGGGTTTCTTTTTTCGCTTGGGGGTTGTGGTTTGGTTGCGGATTATGGAATGGAAGAGGAAGATGGGTGGATTGAGATGAGATTGGGATTGAGATTGGGATTGAGATTGAGATTTGATTGAGGGATTTGCAGTGCGTGTTCGCTTTTGGGAGATGGTCCTTTTTTTTCTTTTTTTCTTTTTTTTCCTTTGGGCTTGGGCTTTGGATTTAGGGAGTTGGGACTTGGGACTTTGTATTGACAGGACAGGGTCGGGGGAGGGACCCTGTTGGTTCGCTTTTGGTGCTTTTGGTACTTTGGTGCTTTGGTGCTTTGGTGCCTTTGACGTTGGTGGTCTTGGGAGGGTGGAGGTTCTTCTTTATACGGAGTATGTATGTCCTTGATTGAGCATTTATGATGAAGTAATCTTAAGATTGTAAAATGCATGAGAGGATATGGATCATCAGGTTGGAAGATTAGATTTGGATTTTGAGTTTGGAATGGAGATGGAGATGGAGATGGAGATCCGTTATGAAATCAAGTGGTTGTAATATGCAACCTACTGGGGATGGATAGGGAGCCTTGATAATGTAACTGACTGTACAATAGGCAATATATCTATCATCCTATCTTGGATTGATGAAATGGTGCAAGATAAAATCTAGGTTTGAGTATGTATGTGTTGAAAGAGAGCATTGGAGGAAATGTAAGATTTCAGGCAGTTTGAGGTTCTGTATTTAAAAATAACTTACTCCTTTTCAGGCTCTGAAGATGAGGGACTTGGAGTTGGAGCCTTTATCTGCTTACTATGGAGTAGAATACGGTATTCGGCTTAGGTTTATGATGGTTTCCACCAATGGAGAGGAGAGGAGAGAAGAGATTCTTTTGTTAGGGGTTCTTGAAATGGATGATTGTGAAGGGGGTGAAGTGTGTATGAATGAATGAATGAATGAATGAAGGAAGGAAGGGGTAACTTACCATAGACTATGATGTTCGTACGTAGGTAGATATACTGAATCGATGGATCAGACTGATGGATGAGTATTCGATTATATAGGAAAGATAAATCATTGATGTTTGCTTCCCCTTAGTTCTCCTATCCTACCTACCTACCTACCTACCTAGTAAGACTTACATATCACCGAAAATAAAAACCTCCTCCGATACGCAATCACCAGATGGAGTACCAAAATATGAAAGTCACAGATACGATAACCATACTTGGGTACACACAAATACCTAGCTAATACATATCCAGCCTCACTAAACTTGAAATATACGTACCGACATAACTTTGCCCCTTTTGATCTTGCGAATGGCCGGTCAAAAAGGTCGTGACCTTCAGACCTTTTGACCTGCAGCTGTGTTTTAACGTTCTTGGTCAAATTATATGCTGGCCTTGTGTATTTCGTCCAATGTATGGTCGGATCTCATTGCATTGATGTTAGATCTAAGCTGACTGAACCAACTTTTATATTAAGTCATGTATGACAGTATGAGCGTGCAGAAATAAAAGGGAGGGAGCGTTTTTGGAGGAGAATCGTCAATGATCATTCACAGCAGGAACTTAACCTATGGCATATGCATATAAAATGGAGTATGAAGATCTAGAATAGTTCTAGTTCTGCGGTGCATAACTTTAAGCAAACTTGGAATGGTGGTAAGGACTAAAATACTGGTAATCCAAGCATCCATCCCTTGCGGATTGATGTTAAACCCTGTGCCACAAATCGGTATTGACATGCCTATGTTGTCGTAAATCTTACCTCCTAAAGCTTCTTTTGCTTAGTACTTGGTAATTTGTTTGTATGTAGAGAGAGCCTTGTCCGTCTATCTGCTGCATCTTGACTTCTCGTTGACCAGGGAAGGAAAGTAAATACTGTCTGTACCTTGTTGATGGATAGCTTCTCAACTCCTGATACGTATGGCGGTATTGGCTTTGATCGGTGATTAGAATAAACGCTCGCTCATACTGCCGTACAATTCAATCATCATGCATTCATTCTATTATACAGTATACAATAATATAGGGTATATAATTGTAACATTCAATGCAAATATCGGAAAGAAAGGTGGTTGGTTCTATTGACCCAAGGAATACTCCGTACCATCGCTTTTTTTTTCTTCGAAGAATCAACAATCTGCAGTTTAAAAACGGGGCTTTACTTTTGGTTTTCTTCAATCCCATCCCATCAACTAACTAATTTCAAAAGGCTGGATCCAACGACGTTGGCATATGGAAAGAAAAGTAATTGATTTTTTACTACTTCTGGTTCTTCTCATGGCGATATAATTGATTTTATGAGCTGCGGATCATCCATCACTCAGTCAATCAATCAAGCCGGCCAGCCAGCCAGCCAGCCGGCCATACTGTCTAACAGTAAAAGACCTTCCAACCTTTTTGCTTCGCCCTTTTCACTTCTTGACTTCCGACTTCCCGCCTTTTATACAATCATCAATTACTCTTGGCATTTATTTCATCAAGGGTAGATTCCGGTACCTCTTCTACCCTTTCAAGTTTCTACCTTTCTTACCTTGCCTACTTACAACTCCGACTTTTCCTGTACTTACTTCCTTTGATCTCTACCCATTCCAAACCCGAAAAGCCAAGGCTAATAAAAGGCTACAGCTACAGCTACGGCCACAGCTTACGGCTATTCATGTGAGTGCATCCCCGAAAAGAAAAGTCCCTAAACCACCTTAAGCCTAAGCCCCAAACTTTACCAACACTACTTACCTACTTACCTACTTTACTTACTTACCCATCCACCGCTTCGCCGCCTACTCCCCCAAAACCTCTTTCACGATCCCGAACCCTTCTTTCCTAATTCCATCCATTCACATCCCTCCCAACCCATCCTAAAAATAATCAAAATACTTATTTGGGGACAATATCATTGGGGATTGCATTGAATGTCCCCTTGGTGGCAGCAATACTTTCAACTGGCTAATACATAATCCCGCCACAGTCGTCGCGTTTATTTCTTCTCCTCCATCTTCTCGACTCATTGTTGATCGGGAAAAGGCAACTATCGATTTAGCCTCGTCAATTTAACTTTCCTTCCGACATCAATTTCAATCGGCTTTTCGTATCCTTCAACTACTTGAGCTCAATCGGGAGCTTCTAATACAGTCACGATGGCTTCTTCATCATCGTCCAATGTCGTCGGCGTTCATTATCGCGTAGGGAAGAAAATCGGAGAGGGTTCTTTCGGTGTGATCTTTGAGGGAACCAATTTACTCAATAATCAACAAGTTGCTATCAAATTCGTACGTTTATCTAAATCAATTTCACCATGGGATTCATTCTGTTATCCATCGAGGAGCATTGATCAACATAAAAGGGGGAAGTTCGACTGACAATATCATCATGAAATAGGAGCCTCGAAAGAGTGACGCTCCACAATTGCGAGATGAATATCGCACTTACAAGATTCTCGTCGGCTGCCGTTAGTATATCGATTGTGATGTTTTGAGGTCTGGACTAATTGAACATAGCTGGTATTCCTAATGTCTATTACTTCGGTCAAGAAGGCCTTCACAACATCCTGGTTATCGACCTCCTTGGTCCATCGTTGGAAGATTTATTCGATCACTGCAATAGAAGATTCTCGACTAAGACTGTGGTGATGGTAGCAAAGCAAATGGTTCGTTCCTTTCTAGAATAAAATGGCTGAGTAACTTGGCATATGCTGATTCTAAAAATAGCTCTCGAGGGTACAAACGATTCACGAGAAGAACTTGATCTATCGAGATATCAAGCCTGACAACTTCTTAATTGGTCGACCGAATACAAAAGCCGCAAATGTCATTCATGTTGTCGATTTTGGAATGGCAAAACAATACCGGGATCCTAAGACAAAACAACACATTCCATACCGCGAGCGAAAGTCATTGTCTGGTACTGCACGATACATGAGTATCAACACGCATTTAGGGAGGGAACAATCAAGAAGAGATGATCTTGAAGCTTTAGGTCATGTTTTCATGTATTTCTTACGAGGTGGTTTACCATGGCAAGGGTTGAAGGCTGCTACCAACAAGCAAAAGTACGAGAAGATTGGTGAGAAGAAACAGACCACCGCCATCAAGGATCTTTGTGATGGTTTCCCGGAGGAATTCAACCAATACTTGAGCTACGTAAGGAATTTAGGTTTCGAGGATACACCAGATTACGATTACTTGCGGGACCTCTTCACTCAGGCATTGAAGAACTCCGGTGAGGTTGAAGACGGAGAGTACGATTGGATGAAGTTGAACAACGGCAAGGGATGGGAAGCCATGAAGCAGCATCCATCTCAACACATGCTACATCAACCAAACGCAGTGCCAGGAGCATCGCAAAGAGAATTACATGGAACTACTCGAGGGGGAAATACCACGCAGGGTCACCTCACTGCTGCCCGTTTAAACGCCGCACAACCCCCGCCACCGTCTCCAGTGAAACCAGGGATGGGCAAGTCGCGCGACAGGCCAAACGCCCCAGGCGCCTTGGCCCCGAAACGCAACAGTGGAGGAGCGGCGGGAGCACTTCAGGATGTAGCTACACCAGCAGGCTCGACTCAAGCACAATTCCAGAACAGCTCAAACAATCTACCTCAAAGGATGAGCGCAGCACAGCAATCGTCGCCATTGAACCAAAATGGGAGAGCGTCAGAACAACCACAACCCACAGTAATGCAAAAGATCATGAAAGTATTGTGCTGCGGTTAGTTTGAATCATTGTCATTTCACAGGCTAAATTTTCTAATATCTGATTAGGCTGAACACTTGTTCATAATTGTTTTTTATTTCAGAGTTTTTTTTACGCCTCGACTCATTCACTTTCCATACCGTCTTCATATCGAACGTCGGTTATAATGAACACGTCAATCTACAAATCGTTTCAGATAAGATCATGTACCGGAGTTGTATCAGTTTGATAGCCAAGTCGTTTCTTTCAGTTCGTAAAAAGCCTAGTCTTTACTCTTGTGGCTACATACATAAAACTTTTCTACGATGTTGAAGCTTGGTTTGAAACACGAAACTACATCATAAACAGAATACCTTCGGTTGGAATTTGGCATTTGGGCCTTCTTCAGCGAAGCACCTTCAAGACTAATAATTGTTTTTCTTAAATTTTCCCTCTCACACTCTATCTCTCGCTCATCCAAAATATTGTCCTTGGCATCACATTTTTCCACCTTTTCTCATCGAATTAAATTATGGCTCTCCTACGTACAAAGAAACGTTGGTTTTAATACAATATCCCAAGGAAAAGAAGTTTGGTTTGGGAAGCAGGGGACACTTTTTACGATGTATAGCTTTTTTACCCCGTTGTTTTTCATCATACTTCCTTGGAGCGAGTGGCGTGTTGTGTCTTTTTTTTTTTCAGTGGCACTTCAGCAATGGCGAATTGGAGTGTGATGTGGTCGTTTCTGTTTGTGGGTTGTGATACATTAGATGCATATGGGGGATGGGTTGATTGAGAGGAAGGAGAGGTTGTTTTTTTTTGGTATGTTCTGATGGAATGGATGGGCTGCGATATTCTTCTTCTCTTTTCACGAATGATTCAAAAAGTAAATGTGGAAAGAAAAGAGGTCCGTCTTTTTTTCGAAAGTGCAAAGCAAAAAGGGTTCTTCTCAATATCAGCATCAGGCATATCAATCAATTAAATCAATTAAATCAATCAGGCAGGCAGGAAGGCAGACAGAGTAATGGAAGTTGACAATGACAAATAGATGTGTAAATGCTATTAATGGTGAATGAAATGTTGTGCTATGTGATGATTTATATATGTGTGTGTGTGCAGAGTGAATAAACGAACGGGATGGTTAGATTTGATTTATTATTGCATTGCATCGCATCTCATCCATCGCATCGCATCGCATCGCATCGCATTATATTATATCTTAGAACCCTCTCTCTCTCTCTAACATCATCATCCATCATCACACATACCTGAACAATTCCTTTCCTCGAATACTACTAATACTACCTAATAGTCTTTCTCGCTAGTTTGCTAGCTAGTTTGTTAATTACTTTACTTATTATCTATTCTATGGGTGTATGTATGTATGTATGTATGTACTCGGGTAGGTATGTAGTGTTGGTTTGGAGGGATTGACGAGGGTCTAGATGGATGAGTAGAGGGATGGCTAGATGGATGGATGGATGTTCAGGATAGTGAATCTTTGGGGGTTTTTGATTGTCACATATACAAGTAAAGTAGTATATGTAATTAATTTGTAAGATATTTCAGTGCTGTTCGTTAAGTAATTGGTGGTGAAATATCGAGATATAGGAGAGACAGAAGAGGAAGAGGAAGAAAATGTCATGTAATTCTTTTATTGCCTGCTTTTATGTTGTATCTTTCATTTCATCTCATCTTATACTCTTTTCTCTTGCTCATCCTTTTTGCTCTTTTCGCTTTAACACGAGTAAACGCACGGCACCGAGTAAATTAATCAAACACTCCCCATTTCATTTTCCAATTCGTAGCGTACATAGAAGTGTGGGTAGGATCAAGTCAATTTCTGCTTGATGAAAAATGAGCGGAGATGTGAGAGTTGCCATGCACATGTAATTCCTAAAACGACAAGTTGGATGAGCGTCCAGCGGACGACACGGGCGTTGGTTGATTCGGATTGATCGCGGAATTCGGCTTCACGTTCCTATGGATGGCGAGAGGGTGTTAGTTGGAAATCTGTGGGTTATATAGCTGTGATGATGGAGGGATTTTCGAGACATCTGGGAACGAAGGGGGCATTATGAAAGTAGGAAATAAAGACAAAAACCACTTACCCGTTGGAAAACCTGTTCCCTTCTAATATCCTGCAATCTACTACTCAAATCCTTGACCTTTTGCACAATATCATTAATCTTTCCCTTATCATCACTTTCAATCTGACTCGTCTCTCCAATTGCCATATCCAAAGTAAGTCTAATGCCACCATGTGGATGAAGTGCATTAAGCCAATTACTAGAGCCAGAAGTCGACGAGGGAGAAAAGCAGATTTTGTGATCGCCAGCGTCAGCAGCTGTGAAGGTAAAGCGCCCGTTGGCGGAACCAGCTTGAAATACTACTCGATGGTCATTGTCAAAGATTTCCTATTGTGCCTTGTTAGTCAATGTTACGGGATAGAAGCTTCAAAATTGAAATTGTGGATTTGCAGAAAGGGAGGGCATGGTAAACATACATCCACGGAAATAAATATAGTTAATCCACCATGTTTACTCCATTCTCTTCTCTTTTCGTCATATTCTTCGGCAGTGTAATGGCCTACAACCAGTGTATCTTTGGGTAGTTCCTCGAAGAAACATTTGGGTGCTGTGCCATCGATGTAGAAGTAGAGGGATTGGATTGGGGTGAGGAGGACAGAGAGGGCGGCCCCAAGGAGGGGGAGGGATGTGCGCATTTTCGATTATGGGTATTGGTATGCGTATGTGGTTGGATTAGACTGGTGAGCTTGCAATGATCGTTGAACTTAAAGCTTGACAAAGGCTTGGATTTCAATGAATTGATAGAACACGTTCGCGACTTCTGGGGCAGGGATGTCAATGCACGTGCTGATAAGTTAGCGGTTGATAGTGATTCGATCTTTGGGTTTTTGGATATTTCGCGATCTGAATATTTTGTAGTTACATTGAACATTCTTTCTCTACTCGAGTACAATCAATCAATTCATCTTCTTTTCTTTTTATTCATCAACAGACGCTCTATTTTCATATTAACTTTGGATTTTATTTTACGATACCAAGAAATGAAAACAGAATCACTACTCTCAACTACGTAATAATTCAAAATGACATCCCACGATGTTCGCGACATGCTGGATCTCCCCTCCAGCTCCTCGGCACCTCGACCTAAAAAAGCAAAGACGACCATACAAAAACCAAAATTGGGAGGATTAGCCAGAGAAGTGCAAAATTTAGGAGGTGATAATCCAATTGCGATTGTCCCGGAAGAAGCGGTTTTTAAGAAGAAGAGATTTGGAAGTCGAAAACCAGCTGCGAAGTGGGAGGCCAGACCTTTTAAGAATAGCGCGAGAGGCGGGGATGGGTTAATATTGAAGCACTGGAAGAAAGTTGATGGGAAGGACAAGAACAGGGAGAGAAAGACAGATGGGGAGGGGGATACGGAAATGGGGGAGAATGGAGAAGAGGGGAAAGAAGAGGAGATTATCGAGGATTCGACATTTGCAAAGTACAACGTAAAGGTTCAGGTACCGACTTATACCGATGGGGAATACAAGGAAATTTTAGAAAGGGAAGGATGGTCGAGACACGAAACAGATTATTTGGTGGGTTTGGTTCAGGAATATGATTTAAGGTGGGCAGTTATATGGGATCGATATGAATATGTGCCTCCTGACATTCCGGAAGCCGCCCCAGAACGTGCGATGATAAAAAGACCAGAAGTTAGGACGATGGAAGATTTAAAATCAAGATATTATACAATAGGTGCAGCAATGATGGCGCTGAGGAAACCTTTAGATCAAATGAATACTGCGGAGTTCGATTTACATCAAAAGATGTTAAATTACCAACCTCGACAAGAGAAACATAGGAAAGATTTTCTCGAAGGAGTCTTTACTCGTACGAGAGAAGAAGCTCGAGAGGAAGAGAGTCTCATGGTGGAACTCAAGCGAATCTTGGCTCGATCTGAGAAATTTATGGAGGAACGGAGAGAACTTTATGCCAGATTAGATGCACCTTCAAGTAGTTCCAATATCAGCCCTTACACCACTAGTCAAGGTTTACATCAACTTTTTCAACAACTTGTCGCAGCCGACAAAAGCAAGAAAAGAAAACCTATTCAGGAAGGACAAACACCAGGTGGATCAACTCCTGTCGGTGCCAACACACCGAGTGCGTATGATGGTCGACGTGATTCTAATGTTCGAGAATCAATATCCGGGCCTTCAGGCAACGCTGGTAACTCATCAGCCGTGGGTCATAAAAAGGGAAGTATATCAATCTCCTCCCAAAATCCCTCGGAACGCCGAAGACTCACAGAAGAAGAAGAGAAGGTTTATGGTGTTTCACATCATGATCGTTTACAAGGAGGACCATATTTCCGTGGAGAAAAATTGGTTAGACCACTCACCACTAAGAGTACTATTCAACAAACACGCATGAAAAATACGCTGGCCGAATTGGGTATTGGTGAAAAAGCTACCATGGCTACAGTGGATGTAGCTCATGGGTATGATGAGTTATTCAGGAGTATTGGAATTTTCTTGGATAGTAGAAAGGTGGTTGATAAGTTGACGGGGGAGATTGCGGTTTTAAAGGAACAATTGGAGGAGAAGAAGAGGAGAAAGGCAGGGGCTGATGCAGGTGGCTCACAATTGGCATGGATGGTGGTAGATGAGAGGCAAAGGAAGGTGGAAATGAGAATGGGAATGGGGAAAGGATAATGAAGGAGGAAACGAAGAAGGAAATGATGAGGTAGTGGACTACGGAGATGGAGATGGGAAGATGGAATGGACGGAGAAGGAGAAGGTGGATGTGGATGGATGGATAAGGAATGGAAAAGGAAAGGGTGATGGAAGAAAAAATGAGGTGCCGGTGGTTCAAGAAGGTGGAGGGACAGGTATAGAGAGAGGCAAAGTTAAAGCAAAGCTACCTCCTTTTGTATAGATAAGTGTGATGATACTTATTAAGACATGAATATTATATTTAACTCGACTATACTAGTCAAGTACAGTGCTATACCCTGATATCATCCGAGTATGGGGTGAACGATGGTCATGTAGCTGTGTCTAATGGGTTCTCACTCTCCTCTTCTATCTTCAAAAGTATCTTGCATTTTTTTGACTGAGAATCCATAGTATATTTACTGTAATGAATAAAGCTATTGAAAAACGAAGAGGTATCTATCTATACCATTTCAGAGAGAGATTACTAGCTATAGGCAGATGTGAACTTTTTAAATGATTTGACTTTGAGTCGTGGATTCTTGATGTTAGATTAGATTCTTTTTCGTATCGAGCGAGGTGTTAAGTTTTGATTTGATGTGGATTTTGGAGAAGATCTGAAGAAGATTTGAAGATTACACAGTGTATAGTCTACTCACCATCGCGAAATATCTATCGATGTAATTGTTTGGATGGAATTCGAATTCGGTTCGTTACGTTTGGATTCCCATACATAGTGTAGTACACAACACATATTTCACATCATACACATTAACCTTAATATGTCGAGAACTCTCTACTATGACTAATATAATCTTATAACAAAATCCCAAATTTAGAAAAGTGTAAGGTGATATAGGATCTTACAAAAACGTAACGAAGATACAATCAATTAGCTAACTTCTCAATGTAGATACTAAATAGATGTATTCTAAGTCAAGAGTCGAAATGAGAAGTGAGACAAGTGGAAGCGCGAGGACTTGAAAGATAAGAGTTCTGTAGAATATAGATGTAAGGGCTAGAGGAACTATAGGAAGTCTTTTCTCAAATATATATCTTCCTTGGCTTTCTTGATATTATCTCGCTTCAGTTATAAGAAAGACCATGGGGTGAAATCTTCAATATTGAAGATCTTGGGCTAAATAGAATAATACCAGACGATAAGTTCTCAAAAGTCATGTTCGTCCTATGCCATATATAGTATATTTAAATCTACTACAATACGATTGCTGAAAATATCATCTCATGAACCTTCTACCCACACTAATCATTCAAAATCCCACCACCTCCTCTTCCCCTCCCCTCCCCTTCCCCATCTCCATCTCCATCTCCATCTCCCACCTCACCCCAAACCTCCCTCCTCAACCAGTCCCCCGCCCTTCCATAAAACAACCTCGGATCTGGGCTCGCCCTCGGAAATTTATCCCACCCATGTCTAACCCCCCTCACACATTCCAAATCCACCCTCCACCCCCAACCCTCCAACCTCCTCACAAAATCCTCCGCTTCTCTACACAACATATCATATTCACAAGTAACAATTCTAATTTTCCTCGGCAGCGCCTTTTCCAATACTTCTCTATCCTGAATACCCGCTGACAGTAATTTATGTCTCCGATCAATATTCAAATACTCCGGTTTATACGAGGCGTCAAAAATCGTCGTGAGCCAGGATGGTAGGGAAAGATGTGGATATTTCATACGCATTCTTTTTTCTGCGCGCGTTATCGTACTATCGAGTCCTGGATACCATGCTATTATCCCCTTGATATTCAATAGAGAATTCCGCACTACTCCTTTCTCTTTCAATTCTTGCAATAATAGCGCAACACCGAAACATAAGCTTCCTCCTGCGCTAAATCCACTCAAGACGATATTTTCCACATCGATACCGAGATCCTGCGCGTGCGAAAATACATATAAAAGTACATCGCAGGCATCATAGGGACCGGTTGGAAAGGGATATTCGGGGGCTAAGCGATACGATGCGGATATGACGATGCAGTTTTGAAGGGTGGAGATGGTGTGGCACCAGAGGGAATCATCGGTTGGATTACCGATTACGAAGCCCCCGCCGTGGAAATTGATGATGCAGGGGAGCGGGGAAGAATGTTTAGAGAGGAAATTTCGTGGTTGGTAGATGTGTAGTGTCAGGGTGGTGGGAGTGGAGGGGAGAAGTGTGCTGTGGATTTGTAGGGTGCGGGTGGCGGGGTAGGGGGGATTGCGGTAGATGTAGCGGAGGATGAGAGGCGCGAGGGTATTGGCGAGGAAGCGGATGGTTTTGACGAGGAGGATTAGGAGGATACGTGGGAATGCCATGTTTCTCTTTCTCTCTCTTTTTTACATAGAGTGAAAATGTGAGATGGAACTTCGTGCTGTTTTCGAGTCAGTTTATGGTTTATGGGAATTGCTTTGTTGTATTGTGGTGGGGAATCCTTACTTTGACGTCAATTTCTAGATGAGCATCTCTTTCTTCTCAAGATCTAGAATAAGACTGATTAAATATCGGTGAAGAGAATATAGAAATCTACAGTCTAGATAAAACAATTCTTATTTAAAACCCTAGATAAACAAAACTCTATAGAAATATTATAGCTCGTAGTTAATAAATAGTGAGGTTCAGGAGATCTTATAAAATCTTACTATGTACCTAGCTAGTCCTCGTCAGCTATTTAGCCGCTAGAGCTAAACATATGATTGATTGGTCAATTTGAACGTCATTCAACCCAAATCACATCCCGAATTAATGAAAGATCTTCGAATTCACGTTTACTGTATTATAAACCCGAATTCATACATCCCTATCCAAACAACATATCAAATTCTCCCAAAGAATCCATAGGTCTAGGTGATTTTCTCCCTTTTCCGCACACATCCCTATTCTCCTTCAATCGACAGCTTAGATCCATAATCTTAAGATCAGAAGTTAGGTGAGGTGAGGTGAGGTGTCATATAATTGTTGGACTGATTACTCTGAGCGCAAATTTCCTGATATGATTCAATATCAAGAATGATATTGAGATGATTAAGAGCACTCCATTAGTACCTGTATCTCAAATTGAACATTATAGTATATTACTATCATATTAGAAATTACCTGGCTGGTTATAGAATTGCTAAGTATAAGTATATTGTCAAAAGACGAGTTTCAATCATGTATCAACCGTTAGTATTTCTTTACTATACTGAATATTCCGATATTGGAGTTATAGTTCAATATTTATAGCAGAGAAAATGTTATGAAATTGATTGGACCATGTGAGAACGGATCGAAAATGAGAGACATATCATTAATCATCTATCAAAATAGTCCTTCAACCTTGCGACGAAACCCCCTCTCCTCTAACTACAAATCTCATAACGTAACTCTTCCTCTCAACCACATCCCTCACTTCTTACGACCAGAATTTCAATCTTTTTGATGCCGAAAGCACCGATCGGGAAATAAGTGGTCGCGCCAGAGTGCAGCATATCCACGCATACGACATCGATCTCCACCTATTTCCAGAGTGGTACAGTGCACCATCCCATCCTTCTCAACTCCTTCTTTCCATACTTCAACCTTCGCCTCAGTCCTTATTGCAGTTTCCGTCAATATCTGCTGACTACGTTCCGCATGAATGATATTGTCTTTATCCCTCGCGTCCTTATCCTTCTGTACTGTTGGCAAGTGTAAACGTGTCATGATTTCCTCTCCTCGTTCAATTCTTTCCTGGTGATATTTATCGAACACGACTTTTTCTTCGCCGGTGAGAGCTCCAGTGTTGGGATCTTTCTCGGGGTCTGGTATCATCATTCCTTCGTAAAAGGTTTCGGGATCGAGTCCGGCTTCCAGCAAGGCGTAGTAGCGATCGCGCCCCATCCACATGTGAGAAAGTGGCTCGTAGAATTTGAGGAGGTAGCTGGGGGGTTCTTCATCTGAATCGCTTGGGGTTTCGCCACGTCCGCCTCCAGGTCTCGGCGGGGGTGCAGGCGGAGACCCGGAGGGAGACCTGGGTGGAGACCTGGGTGGAGATTTGGAGGGGGACTTGGATGGAGACCCGGTTGGAGACCCTATTGGAAATTCGGGAGAAGTCTCGCGCATAGAGTCGGATGGAGACTCGGATGGACGTCCGGGTGGAGCAGCTGATCCGGTGGGTGGTCCAGGGGGTAGCAGGCTGGCTGCCGCGACTGGAATAGGAACACTAGCTGTCGTGCCCGGCATGGATGAAGTATTAGTAGTACCCGGAGGAGGTGTTGGTGAAACTGATAAGCCGGAAGGGGGATCCGGAGTCCCAAAGTCATCAGAATACCCCTGTAGATTTTTGATAAGCTTCGATTGTGGTGGTGGTATATCAACTGTCGTAGCTGGGGGAGGAACTGGTAATTTAGGAGCGCCAAGTAGTGATCTGAAGGCTGCTGCCGGTTCGTTACTCCTATCCGGGCCGTCGTTTGGAATATATAGTTGGAGGTTGGGATACTGCATCTCGGCTATCTCTGGTTGTCCAAGATCGAATAGCAATATACTTATGCGATCCATTTCCCCTTGATGACTATCGATCCAAGATCTAATAGTTTTCATTACTGTAACCCCTGCCATTCCCCTTGGCATTTGAAAGATTCCGACCGAAATAGCTGGAAACGCAATGGATCTGAGATTATTTTTCGCTGCCAGGCTTAGACTATTGCGATAAGCGTTGGCAAGAAGTCCTGTGTCTCTTTGGTTTGGTTGACGCCAATCCGGACCAACAGCATGGATAATATATCGGCATGACTTTATATTCCAAGAATGAGTCGTTCCATAAGCGCCACCCTCCTTCCCTGGATGTGGGAATTGCGTCTTCATTTCCGCTGCCAGTTGAGGTCCAGCTTTTCTGTGAATCTGCCCATCAATACCACCTCCCCTCACCAAACTAGCATTCGCAGCATTAACAATGACATCTACCGGATAATTTAACAGATTCCCGTCGACAACCTCAACCGTGGTGCCTTTATACTCTGTGGTCGCAATGACCTTAAATTCATTTGAAGCACCACTCATCTTGGAAGAGGTTTGATATGGTTTCTAGTCGTAAATCGTACCCATGAAAAAGCTTCGACAACTGTAACTCTGGCATAATTTCCACTTGGATCACATTGAATTGGTTTCTTTCAGGGACAAGATCGTAAAGAAAAAACACGAACAAGCTGTGAAAGGAGACCGTTTGCGGTCCGAGCTAGGGATAAAGAAAGATACCCGAGTTGTTATTGACAGGAGAAAGAACAATGCATCGGTAAGCATTAAGCACCATAAGTAGAAAGAGACTCAAGCTTTGTTCAATAATTTGTTCAACATTATTGACCGAGTTGGTGATATTTTACCAGAAAAGGTGCTGACATCTTGGATGATAGATGTTGATAGTGATGATAGCTCTGTTCATCGCGGCAAGCGAGTGGAATCCTAACCTTATAAGCAGAATATATAATAGAAGTACGCTTTACATTGAGATATATATCCATGATATTGAATAGTAAAATCTCGATACATCCTTTATATATCGAGTGTTTTGTATTTGAGATGATCTGGTGAAAAGGTGGGAAACGGAAAGGTGGAAGAGGTTGTTGATAAGTTAATACCTACGCACAGACCGAAAACTGAATGTAAGATTACGCGTTTATTATTCCCAATCGATGATGTATTTCAATTTTCTACAAATTTGACGCTAAATTCGCTGAGGTAAGAGGAGCTTTTGCGACTTGTCTGATTTTCAGATATGCAACAAATCCTTAATTGAGTCACGTTTCTTTTCACCGCTTCCTGTAGGGCAGAATCGTTCATTTGTTTTTGCTATTTAATAATTGTATACACGATTAGATTCTGCAGTCATAAAAAGTCATCGGAAAAACATCAAGTATTAGTATGCAAGAATATATTTTCTATAAAAAAAGGCCCATGAATAAGTTACTGCGCAGTATCATACTAAAATTCTAGGTATCAAAAAAACTCAAAGCACCGCCCCAATATTAAAATTCCAATCATGCTCCTTAAATAATAGCTCCTCGAAATACCACTCTCTACCGATCATCTCAATCTCCTTCTTCAAAAAAGACCTATCGATCTTCATTTCTTCAATCTCTCCTTTCTCCTCTACTGCAATGTCGTGATACAACCATTTTAAGAAAGCCACTACGCCGTTCCTATCTCTTGGAACCTGATTCTCGCAAAGGAATTGCCAGGCCTGCTCTAATCTTCTATCCCGGACTACTTCATACGCGAATGATCTAGCTGCTGCTAATCCTAGTATTTCAACGGTCTTGAATTTTAATGGTAAATGAATCGGCTTAACGGTCTTCAATGACGTCTTGTCAAACTGCTCTAGAATGGGTGCCAGGGGAGTAGATTTTGCATCTTCTGGTTCTGCATCGTTGACCCGTTTAGAAAACAATGGAAGCGACCAACCAGCTTGAATCTCCTCTTCTTCCTTCGAGAGTTCTCTACTAGACCCTTCCGACGTGGCTGGAGAGGAGGTAATACTCTTAACAGCGCTAGAGACTTCCGGCGTAAGTTCGTCGACCTTATAACGTGCCATTGATGATGCCCCAGACCCGCCGCTCTGGATAAGGTCCATAATTTCCGATCTTGCTTGTCGGATCAGCTCAGGTGTTAATTGTGTCGATTTGGTGCTCTCAGTAAGTTTTTGGCTAACTGGGGCAGCTCCTTCGGCTACCTTGAACACCGGGAATATAGAGCCTTCCACGTTCTTAGGGCTTTCTAGGCTGCGATGTCCGTCTTTTGCAAGTACTAGTGCAGGCCTGGTGCCTCGATTTGGTTTTGAATTCTCTGATAAAAGCATATTAACTGTCCCTGGTGCTAATGTAACGGAAACGATAATCTGACCAGGCTTCGAATTCCGTGAAGTTCCAACTGTTGCATTCTTACTCTTCCATGGGGTAGGGTTTGTCTCAGAAAGTGGAAGTCTCAAATTGGGGCTTTGTGATGATATCATATTGTCCGACTGGTTTGGAGGAACCCTGCTTGCCTCAGCTGGGTTCAAGGGTGGAAATTCAGAAACCACGAAATCCCCACGATGTTGAGTTGTGTTGCCCGTTGTTCTAGAAGGTGTACCTCTTTTTGCAGGAGGTGTTGGCGTTGAAAAAATCGGTGTCACAAAGCCGCTTCGTTGCGGCATTCTAGCCGCTGGTCCAGCCACAGCAGTCCCTATTGATATTGGACCCTTTAGCTTCAACCAATATTTAGCGTCATGACAAAGAGGCGCAGTAGGCTTCCAGACAATGCCCTCACCCAGCCCGATAATTCCGAAAGATTTGGCGAAAGGACATTCCTTTTCTACTGCATCAGCTAATGCTTGCATCTTCTCAAATGCTGGCTGCGGATTCCTGATAGTAATCGTCTCGTGAAAAAAACCTCCTCGAGAGACATTGAAAATGCCGACAGACTCGTTGTGAATATCGGCGTACTGTTCATCCAGCTGCCATTCATTATTGATCGAGACAGAGATGATCACGAAGCATTTTCGAGGTAGTGCACTAATAGCCACATGTTTTTGAACATTGGGCCCAATAAACTCTCCAGCGATAATGAGCGGATGTGCATCGTCCAATTTTGCCTTCGGGTTCAACGTCGAAAATCTAACATAGATTTGCTTTTTCAAATGCAGAATTTGTGGTTTTAGCATTTGGGCGAAAGGCACGAAGCCGATGGTATCCATATCCGCCGTAAAGTTTTCGTTGTTGCGAGTTTGAAACTGAATGGTATCATTTGCATGGATCAGGAAGTCAGTATGCGTTCCGTGGAGTTTCACTGTACCAGTGACCGAAATGCTGGTAGCCCGTCGACCTTTCGTCTTTTTCTGATACTTGCTAAACTCCAGCATCAGATTTTTTGGTTTTCCGGATATTTTCGGATATAGTGTGTCCTTATTAGTTTCCATGATGTCAGATTTGTTAGGGTTAAAGATAAATGTTGAGATATTGAAATTTCGTTCCTGAAAGTGAGATATTATCAAAACTGAAGAGTTTGGAAATTGTTATTAAGGAGAGGATGTGTTTTGGCGAATGGTAGTCTTGATGACTGTATATAAAGATGAAGTCTTGCGAGAGTGCATCAAGTTCGCAAAAGAAAGGGGTTGACCATACGGAAGGAGCAAGCGCTAGGTATAGGTGAAAATAGTGTGAGTTGATAACGCCAATCTCGAAAGTAAAATTGCCGTTTGTACCGCAAGCTAGGTGAACGAGCAAGAAATTTATCATGTAGTTGCCTTTCGGAAGGTGGAAACCAGCGAATCATTTCTTACAATTCGCCCGTCATGCAAGTACCGCAACGAGGGTGAATAAAAAAGTACCTCTACCATCTGATGAACTCCCCAACATCGTGAATGAGCAAAGCACCTCATGAAATTCGCCCGCTATGCAAGCTCTGCCACCCCCGGATGTCTATATTCAGTATCAGGTGCCTCCACAATCTCACTCTGCTGTATCGAGTCCGTCTGTACCAAACTCCAAGTCGGCTGCTGATTACCCATGATCACACTCATGGGCGCATTATTCGAAACAATGACAATCCTAAACCTTCTCCTTTCCTTCTCCTTCAATTTTCTCTCCTTCCTGCTCTTCTTTTTCTTCTTTTGCCCCTCCTCCTCCTCCTCTCCATTTATTTCCCCTTTCACAACCGGTAATTCCAACCACGCCTGAAATCCTTTATCACGAAACGTCTGCTCATTCCATTTATGAAGTGTAGACCTCAGACTTCCCTCATGCATTAATCCATCCTTGACTTTATCAAGGACCTTCTTTCTGTGCACCGAGCGTCCCGTGTAATATCCCGCGATAGGACCCCCGAATACTAGAAGTCCGGTGCTAAGTACACCGGTAGAAATACCTGCAGTCCAGGCGGCCCAGTCTTCCGTTAAGCTTAGACTCGCGGCTTTGACAATCTCGTTGGTGAAGATATGCCATTCATCGTGTGTGACGCGGTAATCGCGGAGACGTTGATGATAGGGGAAGCCGGAGGCTAGGGAATCGGTTTTGGTCGGGATGACGAGTCTATCCAGGGGAAAGGAAGGGGTAGAGGGGGTAGAGGGGGTAGAGGGAGTGGATGTGATGGTTGGATTGATGAAGATAGTGTCGGAGATATCCTTTTCTTCGGGATAGGGGTCTTTTAGATACGGTGGTGGTTCGGTTGGGTCATAATCTGGGGATTGGCTTCGTATTTGTTAGTTTAAGTGATTCTTGTATGGTCACTAGTCGGCTTACAATGCTATCGATGGCTTTTCTTTGATTGCTGATGAAGGGAGGCTTTTCCTCTTGATCACATTGCCTGGTATTACTATGGGAGTTTTGATATCGTAATCCATTTTTACTAGAAATGTGTGACAACCAGAAGGAGATGTGAGAAGAAAACTTAGAATCGTTCAAAATAATTATTGACCACTCGACGAATTAATAGCAGAAGACATACAAAATATCTTGTCAAAGACCATCAGTCAATATAAAATATACAGAACAGGAAATAATCATTGAAACTAAGTTTGATTACCGTGTACAAAAAAGTATATATTTGTACTCCCGCCTCAGCTGTCATACCGGCAGAATCTCATACCGGCAGAATCCACAGTCGCGTACTCGGACAGCACAGACATCCATCAACTAGAAAAGATCATCCCGTATCCCAGCAGCATCTTCGCCGTTGTAATTGCAGGCACTAGTGATTTTAAAAATGGGACGAACGGACGAACGGATCAGTTTCAAAGCACAGATATCTGTGGTCAAATCCCATGATTGTGGAGATTGATAGTCAGAAGGATTCTGGTCTTTTGGGGAAACTCCGAATCGGAAGCTCATTAATTCGTCACCCATTTCTTGGAATGAGGTGTGAAGTTTTTTGGGGGACTTATGTGGAGGAGTCAAAGGAGGCTTAGCACTTTAGCACATTACAGCACATTATTCCTCTAGGCTTCCAGTTGACAAGATCTCCTCTAAATGAGTTGTTGCAGAGTAATAGATAATCCTTGAAAAGTTAATTATTGTCGTTGAATCGAGTGAGGAACTATTGGCGGCACAACTTTATGATCTGCTTTAAAAGTACAAAAGTACTATTTAGTAATTGCACTAGCATCGATATAGTATTCCGCCATGTCCGATGGTTGTACTTGCAAGACCTGTTGTTTCTAATGCTTCATTTCATCGGTGTAGAACTCTAATGATTCATATCACTTCCTCTGGTCTCGCTATACGGCTGAATCATCAATGCTCTAGCTGAAAATGACCAGGTATATTGGCCTTCTAGTCTCATCCATATTGAAAACACAACTACCAGAGCGACTACCAAGGAAAAAGCAGGCCAATTCGAGATAAACATGTTCTAGGCATGAGTTGCCCTGCGGGCACATACCATCATGGTAGGAACACTTATTTGGACGATGAAATGAAAGTGAAAGTAGCTCAGTAATTACCATTGGGCCTACGCATCACGGCTTTCCGCCGGAGGTGAACGCTCAATCTTTTTTCCCCTCCCTGGAATGCCCCGGCCCTGATATAAGCCGTGTTTTTGACATACATATCTTGCGTGCCGATACATATTCCATTCATGAAGTGATTGTAGACCTGCTCTTTGCAGTGCGGTCACCCCTTTTGAACTGCTCATTCGCGAGGAATCCAAAAGCAGAGAATAAATTACCCCAGCTAAAGAAGTGAGGAAGAGACATGGAGCGACTGAAATCACGATGACAGAAAGGTATATAACGGGAAACTTCTCCCTAACAACCTCCTATCTCAAACGAAGCATGTGCGCAACGAATAATTGTCAAGAGTTAATGAGCGACATAACAAACACCCAATTAATTGTGTTTGGAAGAAAGCCTTCGACGGTAATGCCTTGAGAGATGAAGATGATATGAACATTGCTCTGTCTGCCAAACATCAAGTTGATTGATGAGTGTGTGCACACAGACACATATAATGCGAAATATTTCAATTTTTGACGCATACTCACAGACTGTTATTGAAGGGGCTAAATCGTATCGGTGTGAGCAATATCCTGTAAAAGAAACCTTTACTAAAACCGACGTTTACAATAACCAAAGAATCTTTTAAACCCAAAACAGTAGTTCCAGCAAAAATCACAAATTACCCTTAACAAATCCCAGTTGCAAGTACTATGACCCAGCAGGACTGTTTTGCCACAGTTGCATAGCACGAACCTCTATTATTTTAGTCCAGAGGTTCATTCCTTACGGCGAATACTCATCTATCCACAACCGCGCCCTTTCAAAATAGAAGCTATTTCCTCACACTGATCACAGTCTGAGGCAGATTAGTACTAATCATGGCAAAAGGCCACTAGCCTAAGAACTTATAAGACCTTATTCCAACCCACATAACGCTGAGCAAAAGAGGCCTTCGAACCTAAAATCATTCGAAATACTTCTCGAGCTTCACATCTGATTTGTTTGCAAGTTGAAATAAATCCAGACAAGTCAATCAGAATGGGTACTCCAGTTGAATACGGGAAGTAACGAGGGAGAACTGCGTTTTGATACTCGATTTGATATATCAAGCAGTGTGCTGCAGCTCCAGGTGAGAAGGTTTGAATGTTTATGTTGAATGTGATAGAAAAGTTAGAATTCAGGTGATGTTGATAAGATCTATGATAGAAGAAGTCGGCAACGTACTACGCATGGTAGTAGTAATTAATGATCTAACCTATTCAAGTACTCATAGGCCTCGGCAGACAATGATTCACTAGCTAGCTCACCATCATCATCAGCCTTGTCAAAGTAAACAAAAAACTCTCCAGAACGACCTTCTTCGGAACCCAACAATCATTCTCCCAAACTCCCGGGAACATTTTGTTTCGAGTTCCTGAAGCCTTAACGATGCTAAATCTGCAATAAAATTCCTACTTTTCCCCAATTCGCAGAAATCAGTTTTGGTCACAAACGTGCAACAAAACTTTTGGTGTTGGCAGGATATCGTCTGGTTCAATTGAACATCCAAGTTCAGTACAAACAAACAACGAAATGTTACCCCCAGTCGAGGAAGCTGTTCTTCAAAATAATCCCAAGTTCGCAGATCTGTATAAGAAACTTTCAACTAATATTCTTAATCCTAATGGATCTACCAAAAATCATCCTGCCCAAAAAGAGCGGGACATTGTTTCCGCTGTAGCTACACCCCTTCCACATTGATATCTTGTATAATCACTAATATAACTTCGTAGACATTGAAGACGGCTAGAATAGAGGCAGCAAAATCGCAGATCCTAGTATCCTCTCTTTCCTCCCTCGACCTCTCACCACCACCTCCCATCCCCGCTAAACCTCGGACCCGAACCTCGCAAGCCGCGCCCCCAAGAAAAGCCGCAGAGCTACCAGACGAACTTGTCGAATTGATCATTCTACTCACAGCAAATCTTTCCCTCCCTCTCCAAAGCCGACACCATATTGCTCGAATCCACACCGACCTACCATTCCCTGGCCACCCTCCACCAACCTCCTCATCTCCCTCTCGCGCATTCTCACCCCTACAACCAACCCCTCCTTCCTGCACCGTCAAATCCCCGCCCTCCTCCCCAGCGTCCTATCCCTCCAATCCTCACTCACAACGCAATCCCACAACCTCGCCCTCTCCCGCATCAGCATTGTCAACACCACCACGCAACTCCTCAAATTCTACCACCAAGCCACAGTCCTGATCATCCAGCTTCTCGAGCGCTCAAAACACGGTCCTTTAACTCGACACACCACCACAAAAATTTCCCTTCTAACCCTTCAATCCCGGACTATCTCCTACGAGCTACAACTTAAATATCTGCAGGGAGAGAAAATTATCTATGATGAGCGGACAGTCGAGGCGCTTCAAAATTATATGCGGGAATTACGTGGGGGTAGAGAGAGGTTGAAGGAGAGAGTTAAGTTAAAGGAGAGGGATTTATGGGGATATGGGGTAGGGCGGGAAGATGATCGGAAGGAGAGGCAAATGCGAGAGATTGCGAGGGTATTTGGGGAGTTGAGTTTGGAAATGGAGGAAGTGAAGAGGGATGTGGAGAGGTTGAGGGGGAGTTAGATGAATGGATATTTATGGAAAGAGAGGGATAGCTTTACGATTTTACGATTATGATGTTTACAAAAGGACGGGATGAAATTATGACTTGGACAGATTAGACGAGACCCAGTGTTGTGTTAGAGTTAGAAAATGGGTAGGTTGATTTAGATATGATGAAAGAATCTAGGACACAAGCGTAGGCCTTGGGAACATTATCATTAGACAGACAAGTTGGAAAACAAATAAAAGAGCGGCACAGCGGCGCATTTCTAGAGAGAAGACTTTTTCTTTCTCTTGATGGTATATATTGCGCCTTTTTCGCGGGACTCGCCTCTAAAAAATAATTTCAAGAAAGATCTTGTCTATCATGCCATGCTATGTTAAATTTTGCAGTTGTAACTACATAACCCATCTATGGCTTAACAGCATGAATGGCAGCAGCCAATCTCTTAACATTTGCTGTAGTGATACCAGCGACCGATATTCTACCATCCTTGGTAGCATATACAGAGTGCTGAAATCATGATTAGCAAAGACGATTTCTATCCTAATGATGTGGAACAAAACTTACCTCCTTAGCCAACTTATCCATTTGCTCAGGAGTCAAACCAGTGTATGCGAACATGCCAATTTGGCTGGTGATGTGAGACCAATCGTGCTTTGAGCCCAAGCTCTCGAGCTCCTTCTTCAACAAAGCTCTCATGGTGATGATACGGTCAGCCATGCCCTTGACCTCACCAAGCCATTGCTTGTTCAAAGCCTTGTCGTTGAGGATTGTAGAAGCGATACGGGCACCGTGAACGGGAGGGTTGGAGTAGAGAGGACGAACGAGAATCTTGATTTGAGAATCGACACGCTTCTTCTCGTCGGCATCGGCGCAGACAACGGAGAATGCACCGACACGCTCACCGTACAATCCCATGTTCTTGGCGAAAGATTGGGCGAGACATGGGTTGTGGCCTTCCTTGATGAAGTGACGGATAGGGAAGGCATCCTTGTCGGTATCACCAGAAGCAAATCCTTGGTAGGCCATATCGAAGAAAGCATAGTGTCCATTAGCCTTGACAACTTTGCTGATCTCCTTCCATTGCTCAACAGTTGGGTCGACACCGGTGGGGTTGTGCGCACATGCGTGGAGCAAGAAAGCGCTTCCTTTTGGAGCAGCCTTAATGTCTGCAATCATACCCTCGAAATCGAGACCAATTGTATCCTTGTTATAGTATCTATATTTCTCAACCTCGAGACCTGAGTCCTTGAAGACGGCAGCATGGTTTGCCCATGATGGGTTTGGGATGTAGATTTTCTTTGCGCCAGGGTAAAATCGTTGGAGGAAGGCACCTCCAATTCGGAGAGCTCCAGTTCCGGAGATGGATTGTGTGATGACTAGACGGTCGAGAGCACTTGATCCTTCACCGTAGGCAAGGACAGCAGCTGCCTTGGTAAAATCTGGAACACCGGTAATACCAGCATATTCTTTGTTGAGCTTTGCCTTAACGACCTTGTCTTCTGCGGTTCGGACGGAGGGAAGGACGTAGGGTTGGCCTGCATCATCTCTATATGCGCCGACACCTAGAAAAAAGTCAGTGTCAATTGATTGAGAGAAATCCGGTATGACAAACCCAGGTTGATCTTCTCCTTGAAACTATCTGCCTTGAAGGCCTCGGTAATACCTAATTTTTTGTCAGAATTCAAAGTCAGACCAAATAATCCAATTCTTAACTCATACCTAAGATGGCCTGCACACAAACAATCGCACAATTAGAAAACTAGCCTTCTATTGAATGGGAGAATTCAATGACTTACATCCTGTAACAGATTAGCTTGGAGTCTCTAAAGTTGTGCCATTGAAGAAATACATACTGGAGGACCTTGTGGTACATCAGCCCAGGTGGAAGCTTGTCTGATGGCAATGCTACTTCTTGAAGCAACACCGCGAGTAATTGCTTGCCTGCTGGCTAATCTGAAGGGAGAAAGCATATTGAAGGTTGTCAGAGGAAAGAGAATGTTGTTTGGGTGAGAGACGGAACAACAACAATTCAAATAAATGAGTCTGACAATTGCTAGGAGAAACAGGCGAGGCCAAGCAAATACTTTTGTCTTTTGAGGACAGCTGCCCCAGAAACTACTCTACATCTACTCTACTACCCACCATTAGTTTCCGATTGGCGTGTGCGTTGTTGTCTGGGGATTGACGGGATTTACAGGCGCCCGCCGGTTTAAATTCGGAACAGTTTTTGACAGATGATTCGCACGAATGGGAGTGATTTTTTTGAAGATATACTTTGACATTGATAAGGTAAATGTAACTCAAGCCCATCTTTAAGCGCCTTTCCAAGCAAAATAACGCACCGTTGCATACAGCTGAGTTCAACATTTTCAATCTCGTGCAACATCCGGGAGTCCGTAGGGTTTTTCTTGACCCACCAAAACATGATGTGCTGCAGTAATATCGGAAAGAATCGTTATCCAGAAATTGGTCTCAGCGCTAAAGAGCTAATAAAATGCTGATTCTGCTTACCTAACACTGTTTAACCACTCCTCCGACCTCTTGCCTCGGCCTTCTTGGAGCTTGAGAAGCAATATCGGCATTGGCAACGACACTTGCTAGACACAATCTCTGGGCGTTGTTTATCATGGCCGGTACCGGGAAAGCAGTTGTACTTGGGATCAGTGGATGTTCGTCAAGTGGTAAGACAACTCTTAGTCGACTTTTGCGTGATATATTTCCAAACACTTTCATCCTGCATGAAGATGACTTCTATCGACCTGAAGAAGAGTAAGTTTGAACTTTGCTGTTTGATCCTTAATATATCTTCTATTTTTGAATCATCTTGTTACTCCCAATAAACCCTTGGTGCATCGGAACTGATGGTAGCTAGACTCCCTAAAAAGCATGATCTGGTAGATTGGGATTGTGCTGAAGCTTTGGATGTACCAGAAATGGTCAAATCCCTTGAACATATACGCAAAGAAGGCACATTTCCCGTTAGTGATATATCCTCATTCTGTTCATAGTAAGAAGTTTGACAAAATTTCATAGCCTAATCTCGATTCTAAAGAAGATCAAAACTCTATTGGAAAATGTCCAGTCCCAGATACAGAGATTGAAACATTGAAATCTCAAGTAAAACTATGGACTCAGCCTGGACAGCCAGGCCATGGAATTCTATCCAACACAGATTCCCCTATTCGGCTTTGCATTTTTGACGGGTTTCTCCTCTACTCCAAGTTTTTGGCCCAAGTTCAATCTCAAATTGACATAAAACTTTTCCTTCGTGTTAGCTACGAAAAAGCAAAAGGTCGGAGGGAAGCCCGCAGTGGCTATGTAACCCTTGAGGGGTTCTGGGAAGATCCACCAGGGTACGTTGACAAAATTGTCTGGCCAAATTATGTTGAGGATCACAAGTGGATGTTCGAAAATGGTGATGTTGAGGGGCAATTGAAGGAAGATGTCGTTAATGAATTGGATCTGAAATGTCAAGATGGAGGTTTGGATATCGATATGACGACGACACTCAAGTGGGCTGTGGCTACGGTCATGGAGTCCTTGCCTTCTTTTGCACGGGGCCCCTGATCAATCTAGGTGGAGTGGCTATTCGAAGTTATTTTGACCATGCGATGTAGCCTCTGAACATTTGGGTGTCTTTTATTCACTTAACTCGGGACATTCAATTTGGTCCATCCAAATTGTTCATTTGTTGGTCTTCTTCAACAAATGCACTACAGAAGATAATAGCACCATCCATACTATTTTCGTCATTTAGCATCAATGCATTGCTCTATACACAATATGCCTCTGAAAACAACAGATGAATATCAAGTATAAAGACCTCGTTTCAGACCTCGTTTTGGCTCTTCTTTCCTTCTCTTCGCTCCTCATCCAATTCTCGGCGTTGAAATCCCCACAATATATTCACCGAAATATTTTAATTCACAGAGAAGTAATATCCACAACCCAAAGAGGTCGACAATCTTACCGCTCAACACCATGGTATCAACATTGAAAACACTCCTGGAGAATAACAGGACAAATTCGAAGTCACGGAGAATACCTCTGAGAATATTCGTGCAGGCCGAAAACGCAGGTACGAAGAGAGTGCCGCCTACTAGAATGTCTGTCTGAGAAGTGCCAACGGGAAAATTATACGGTTCAAGTGAGCCGCATTAGACTTTAGTATAGAGACTGTGATACATTCTATTTCTTAGTATCCCTTTCTTAAACTATTTCTCACAAGTGAGAGATAAGTAGAAATGCTGAGACATTTCATTCATTCCATAATAAAAAAACATTCTTCTGGACCCAAATATAATCCTAACCATGCTCCTTAGTGGTTTTTGACATGTTAAATTCAATGTGTATTGACTGATGATATTCAGGACGCTAATATTGTATATGGATTTTTCTGATATTGTACTTTCATGTTCCTCGTTTGATTTGGATCCTATAGCTACCCTCATCTAGCTCAGTTGATATGCTTTTCCCTTACTGTTCAGCAATCTCCATTCAATACAATACTCATATTATCCTGCCGTTTTAAAGTTGACTCGTCTTTTCAGAATATTCCAACACTTCATGCATAAAACTCAAATGACCTGTAATGAACTCCTTTCACTTCCTTCTAATATTAAGCTAATAGTAGCCAGGCAATCCGGGGATGGGAAATCTGTTATTTTACTCCAATAAGTCCATATTCCTGAATTCTCCTTTCACTTAAAAAAGGAAATTCTACTTTATGCACCTTTCGAGGTGAATATGAATATGACTCTGCTTTGCAAGTTTGATTACGAGTCCAAGAGGCGATTGTTCGATCTAACTATATGGCGAATGAGGCAGTCCGTGAATTGAGAGCAATAATGTCCGATTTTTGGTGCGGACCAATTGGGTATACTGACGATGGAAGAGCGGCCCGCAAAATCTACTGAGTTTAGTTGTGTGAGAGAGCCTGGTTTGATGTTCGGTGAGGTGTTTCTCCCACGCAAGCGAGAGTAAATATGCGCAAAGGATTCCCGAAATTTAATTCATATTCACGTTGTTATTCACTCCCGCTACGGACTTGATTCGCTGGGAAAATAGATCTCTAATCACCGACCAAAGTATACATTCATCTTCTCCACCAGCAATGAAGCTTGTGCTCATAAATGTATACATATTTTCTTCGGAAGACAATAACTTAAATACAGCACCAGGTAAGATTTTCCCATACAGCAAACCTCTAACTACCATCTCAAGAATTTAGCAAAGTAAGTCCACCATCATCTTCCGCGTCATAATTTCACCTAAAGTCTAAGAAGGATTACTGGTGAATGCTAGATATGAGGAAAAGCCATGGCGACGATGCCTGCACCAGGTGCGAAGCGAATGTGAGGCAAAATGGTGACCAAAAATTATAAGTGTCAGTCCTTTCTAAATCTCCGCTGACGTTTCTACTGTTATGCCACTACTCTCACGACTCCAACCCCTTTCTGTCTCACTATTTGCATCATAAGAACTACTTGCGCAGCTCCTGCAGGGCGAGGAAACCTCGTGAACTTTAGGAACTGGGAGATAGGGGAAGGGTTTGAATCAGATTCAGAAAGAGATGGGAAGGGGAAAAAGTATGAGCAAAGGCAAGGATATGGAAGAAGGTTTCGAAATAGATGACTGGATTACGATGACGGAGAAGGAATCAGAACGATGGAATGCTTGATGTATTATTTTGTATTCGATTTGTATTGATCGATGTTCAATGCGAAATATATGGGTTTCACCATATGTAAATAAATTTATTCTGCAGCATACTTGATAAGAAGTCCTCTAATAGTTACTCCGAAGGGTCCGAAACGATTCACACTTGGATGTTCAATAACACTCGCTATGAATCAAACACCAATGCGATCTGTTTATTCATCTCTAACAGCCAGTATTCTTGACCGATCTCTGAACGTTTAAGATCTTACTTATTAGATAGATATAGCCGGACGACAGTTTGTTATTCTACCCGTTCCATCTCAAGTACTTGGAATAGTAAAGGATGGTTGTATGGATGATCCTTGGAGAACAGTGTTGATGAAAAAGCATTTGAAGAAGGGGATAAGCGGGACTGAATCGGATGTATATAATCGAAAAACTACCCGCTAGGTTAAATATTACAAACACTGAGCTTCGGGTACCTGTTTTGTTTCGTCACATTTTAGGCAAGTTTGTAAGCAAGAATTTTAGCTACCCCGCCATCGTCATTGATGAGCCCCACTACTTCATGATATAAACATTGATTGCACTCTTCGAATGATCTTCTTCCAAAGACATTTCTACCCCCTTTCTAGCCTTTACTCGATTTGTTCCTAGTAAATCTAAGAAAAATGCCGGAAACCATGCGTGCAGTCGGTACGTACTTTTTCAATGCTATTGGACGCATAGAAGCTTAAGCTCTTGCTCCTAGCATATCAACGTTTAAAATCCATGTATTTAAAACCATCACTAACATAACTCCTAGATATTAAAAATGAAAAAGGTCATGCTGATGCCCTCTACATAAATGAGTCCACTCCAAAACCTACCGCTTCATCTGGTGAAGCTATCGTTAAAGTGAAAGCTTTCGGGCTTAACCGCATGGATCTCCTCCAGCGCGAAGGCTACTACCCTGTTCCGCCCCAAGCTCCCAAAACCCTCGGTGTAGAATTCTCCGGTACAATCGAGAGTCTAGGTGCAGATGTCAAAGAAGGATTTAATGTTGGAGATGAGGTTTTTGGTTTGGCCTATGGCGGTGCTTACGCAGAGTTTATTGCTGTGAGCACGCATATGCTTTTGAAGAAACCTGATCATTTGAGCTGGGAAGAGGCGGCTGGAATTCCTGAGGTATATTGCTACTTGATCCATGATTTATGAGTATAGAAATAATCTACGAGAAAACTAACACAATCCAAATAGACATGGATAACCGCTACCCAAGCCATGTACCTAGTCGGTGAATTTTCGAAAGGAAAATCTATTCTCTGGCACGCAGGCGCCTCATCCGTCTCTATAGCGGGTATCCAACTCGCAAAGAACTCTGGCGCGTCAGCTATCTACGTGACAGCAGGCTCGCAAGAAAAGATTGATTTCTGTGTTAATACATTAGGAGCCACTGCAGGCTTTAATTACAAAACACAAGATTGGGCCAAAGAAATTCTCGCTGCTACTGATGGCAAGGGTGTAGATGTCATAATCGATTTCGTAGGCGCAAACTATTTTCAAGGAAATCTCAATGTAGCTGCGAAAGATGCGAGAATCGTGCAATTGGGAGTTATGAGCGGAACGAAATTACCAAGTGGAGTTGATATCAGTGCGTTTGTGTTTAAGAGGGTAAGGTTTGAGGGAAGTACTTTGAGGAGTAGAGATGTGGATTATCAGGGTAAATTGAGAGATAGATTGGAGGAGTATGTTCCAAAGTTTCAGGATGGAACATTTAAGGTTTTCGTGGATAAGGTTTTCCCTTGGGAGCAGGTGGTTGAGGCACATAAGGAGATGGAGAAAAACACTAGTAAGGGCAAGATCATTTGTACGATTTCATAGAGATGATGGGATATATTGTATGCTAGGGTTATGTTTCCGCAACTGATAAAACGGCACACGGTTTGCAGAAATGCTTCTGAGCATTTTTTATGGCTAATTGAAATATCTCCTGTCCAAGTAACGGCCTCAGTTGCATATGAACCGTTGTATGGCTTCAATGTGCTCTCCGCCGAAATCCAAATAATCAATAAACACCGCGCTCTTTACCAAGATATTCCCCTTAGCCCCCCATGATACAAGCAGGAACGTCTTTATTGTTACAAATACCAAGCCCAGAACGGAACATATACTTAGGGCCGGAGTTTCTTTCTTCCAATGACAGCGGCGTGCGTCGACATATCTTATTTGGATTTATTTGAGGACTCGATTCAGGAAACAAACTTGACTGCCATGTTATGAATGCTAAGTGAAGTCTCCGTATCGCATAACTCACAATCATACTTTTCCAAACCTCTTTCATGACATTCGCAGCATAAAACTTCTCTATAACGCCAAAATAAGCAAGACGAAAAATCAACAGTTTTATTTAGGGATGGGGTATTTTGCCAAGGAGTTCCTCATGGTTTAATATCAGTCAAGAGGACGAAGTGAAGTGTCTGTAAAACACTTCGATAAGGTTACTAATAATAATATCAATTCCCATTTACAAATCAAAGTCTACCAATTCCTTCCGTATACTTCAAATATCCCGAATCACATCCCAATGGTTGGTTTACTGAGCGAGGGACACGAACTCAATGTCAGAAAGGATGTTTAGTTCATAGAGAGTGGATGGAGCTAGAGCTTTGTTTTTGTCCAGGAGGAAAGTGTGTTTGAGTTAGTGCAAAGTATATGGCTTTGCTCGGGAGCTAGGAGTTAGAGAGTGGAAAGATCTATTGATGTATACAGTATTATAGGTACCTAGTTGATTATGATTCCTTTAGGAAACTTTTCAATAAAGGGTGTTTATTATTACAATAGAGTGCCAAACTCATAATGGGATGCTGCTTAGTTTCTTGCTCAGAGGCTCCACCACCGGTGCACCTACTCTGAAGAGAGAGGCAAATGTCGTCACTTGTCTTGTTTTATGCAGGCTCAGAAAATTAAACTGAGGACTTAATATATAATCGCGAATTGACGTACCGATCCAAATCATAAATTCGTTATTTCTCCAAGCATACGCTCAACCGTCAAAGACGATGCTCTTGGTGATGTATCGACTAGCCACTGAATGACCCCTAGGTGATCTCAACTTGTTAGTGGTATGCGATATCATCATATTGGCTATACTGTCGTTGGTTCCATATTGGTCTCTCCCAATTCACTATCCGTGCTTCGCCGTTCCAAACGCTATTTCATAATGTGTGTCAGAGTTTTGCATATTTTTCTGTTTTGTAAAGGTGGACAATGATCTTCGCTTCAGATCTGTTGCAACATCTTCCTGCTATCCCACAACTGCATTTTATCCAACATACAGTGCCAAACATGCAGGTAGCATTTAGATTATTTGGCTACTTTGATATAGCGAATGAAAACTCTCATCCCATCCTCCTCCCATCCTATCCTGAGCCCAGGATGAAGGACCGTAATCCTGTCAAATTTGTAAATATCCTGTCCTCTCCTCTCCTTTAAAAAAGTCCTATTTATCCTCATCCTGATGAGAAGATAGGATGGAATATATCGGGGAAAATGGAATAATTGACTGATTCTCAAATTGAGCAATATTGTTAGGATTAAAAGCAACGATGAAATCGAAATCATAATGGGAATAGCTTCAAATTTTAGTTATAGTCGAGATTTACAAAGATTTTTCAACCATCCTCATCCCTCCCATCCCATCCTGAACCCTATAAATCCTACTACATCCTGATCTAAAAAATTTTATCCTATCCTGCCTGTCCTTCAAGTTGAAGTTATCCTGACTATCCTTAGTTCAAGGATAGGATAGGATGGGAGTTTCATTCGCTGCTTTGATAACTTATTGCGGAAAATGAAGTGCTGCTTCTAGGAATCCCAGATTCTGGGCTAAAGGAAGTGACGAAATACTTGCAAACAGGCTTTCGTATTGAACTTAATCATCTCAGGCCCGAAGAATATACACCGTCTCTGATGACATTTACCAGCCGTGGGAGTACCCGGGCGGGTTTACACTTAAGAGATTTCGCAGTGTCCGCACAAATCCGGTGCCTTCAACCGTCTCTGGTCTTGCCGTTCAAAGCTTGCATGTATATGGTATGCTTTGGCTGGAGTATCTGGCGGAAATCAGTAATGACCGGAAAAAAGAGTGTAGCAACCAAATGTATGAGCAACCAGCGGCGTAACTTGAGGTGTTGGAGTTGAGTTTTGGGGCCGGGGTACATTTCTTTTTTTCTCCCCAGAAATAGAGAGTAGACACTGAGCAGAATTGAAAGGGCTAGGGAAAGAGTTTCCTAGGTTGGAGAGGAAAGGGGAGAGGTGTGGCTGTTAGTTGGGGATGTGGCTTTGGGGTTCTAATTTTGGAGATGAGATAAATGAACATATGGTAGAGGAGGCTATTGGGAATATTGAGAGAGCAGGGAAGGAACTTAAGTGACGAAGTGCAGCCAATAAGGTAAAATGCCTTGTCCCTTTGTAAGATAGAAAGCGATGATGTCTCAGTGTTCTAATGCATTATTGTAATAGGAAGAACTAGCTATAGACGAGAAACTAAAATGTGGTATCGGGGTATTCCTTAACGCAGACTTCTGGCATTTGATGAGCAGCCGACAGACACTGTCATACATACCATACAGTTTTTGTTTCTTGTGAATATAGACCCATAAATTCAGATTCAATTAAACAGAAGAGGAGATGTCTTCATTGTGCCAACAATTGGGCTCAATAAGCAAGTAGCAATACGAAGAGATAATTCTGCCCTGCCAGCCCAGCATCATGATGTCATCCATATGTTCTATTAATCTACCAAAGAAGTGCCAAAGAGTAGGTGAGCAGCAGGCTTTTCCAGTAAGTGCATCCGAGTATTCACACCCCTTTCCCCGGGGTTGTGGTTTGGGTCGGCTAAATTTCGGATCGGATTTCTCTAAGATTTATCGCCGCTAAGTTTCTCTTAGACCTGACCTCTCTCGCCATTTGAATGGAGCTCATACACATCATTCAACATACAGGGCTCTAGCAATATTTTTGAATTCATCAGCTAGTGTTAATCATCGAAATTCTAATATCAACGATTTTCTGTAAAAATCCGCTAGAATCTCACGTCTAGCAACGGTTTACTTATTTTCTCACCGGCGTCCACCATGCCCCTCATTCATCATCAGCCCAGAGCCCAGAGCCGAATTCACCAGCAACTAGGAAGCTTCGCAACTGTAATTCCAGCCCTTTTAACGAAGCTATTCCGCAGATGGTTTTCTGCTATCGAGCCACACTTCCGCCGGTGCCCATACACGCCCCTGGTGGTAGTCCTTCCCATCATCAGTCCCGTAGACCTTCAAGCACGGATGCAGGATTATACTAATAGCTCTTCCTTCGAGCTGGTCCGCGTGGCTCTCATAGTCTACCGAAGAATGGGCAATCATATCTTTGCTATTGGGATGAAACAGTGGGCGACTTCCCGTGTCATCGTGTAAAGTATAACACACCAGTTTTGTTCTTCTTGTCCACAAATTGTACGACACCATTGCTGCCTCTCGGTAGATAGGGAAAATCTTGTCTCGGAGTTGATCGTCGTCGATGAGATATTTTGCTGCACTGTGTAGAAAGATCCAAGCTTGTTTATATGCCGCATTTCCAATCATGTATTCAGTCTCGGCATGCAATTCCTTTCCCCCTTCCGAAGTCCCGGTTTCTACCGGAGGCAAAAAGAGTCTCAAAGTATGGGATCGCCAGACATGGGTATCCTCTTCATCTGCTATTAAAGGAATCAGTCTAGTTTTAGTCAGCAGTCACTGTTCTCTTCACTTACAGGCGAGGCCCCGCTTACAGGTTTCTTCTAACCCTTGACGGAACAATGTTTTCTCAAATCTCCCTCCTAAATCCACGGTCCCAAGAAAGAAAAAAGGATCCCGAACGATGGTTGTGTAAATATCATGGGCAAGAAGTGCGCTTAGAAGTAGAGCTGTAAGCTTTCTTGAAGACAATCCTTGAGGAAGTTCACCATGCTCAAAGACAACCACATTTTCCAACGCATTTCGCAGAGCTGCAAGCTGACGATTATCAAGTGATTTCAGAACAGCGTCCATATCATTTGCTGATACTTTCTTCGCCCAGCTTCTCATGTCTCTCTTCAGCCTATCAAGGTCTTCCATAACTTTGCTATCCTCGACCGGCGCCCAACGCGAGCTTGGCATGTGGCTGAACGTCATTTCTTGTTGCTTTAAGATGAAGGTGTTGTGTTTTTCTTCAATAGCCTGCTTTTCGAACTCGAGTTCTTGCTTTTCTGATTCGAGTTGTTTGTTTTGAGCTTGTAACTTGCCTAATAAATCTTTCGAATTGTCGTTGTGATGTTGCAAATCTCTTACTTGGCGTTCAAGCTTGTCCTGTCTTGCCGCGTGATGTTTGTCGATGCCATTGACTATTCCATCCAAACTTTCCCGTGACATACAAATTGCGTTCTGTTTAGCACTCTGGATACGTTCTCCCCTGTGCTTGTCTGACTGCATTTGCTGGGGGGACTGTTCTTCAGTGCTTGGCCTTCTATTTTCTTTGTGTGTGCGGCTATCATTTGACATCGCCGATGATCGACTGGCCATGAAGCTTGGTAAATGGGCCAAAAGCGCGCCTGATAAGGAAAACGATTCTTCTGTAGTATTTAGATAAATTCAGCCATACCCTCAAAAAATATGCGATTACACACCTTGGTCGGCGGGTCGGTCGTTTTCCTTTGTTTTTTGCGCAGTTTTTCGGGTGCGTACTAGAAGCACTTCATTCTCGGATTCGTTGGTGCTGCTACCTATTGTAAGGTGTTGACTATTTATTGAACCTCCTCGCTCCATTGAACGCGAGTGGACGCCAACTTCTTCTCCTCTTGTTACAGATGACGATGTCCTGGGCTGGGCAGGTCCTTGATGCATTGTCTTTTGATACCCACTCCTTGAGGGAAGTTTGCCTTGTTTATTTGAGAAGTCGGAGGTCATGCTCAGTTTTACTTTGATAGCTGTGAATGAAATTTGCAGAAAGTATAAGGAAATAAAATGTCAGGGAGAAGGTGAAGTTTATTAGTACCTACCTAGTATGCATTCAATTGGATTGAACTGAATATTACATGCTCCAATCAGCTGGTCTGGCATTTGCTAGCTCTTAGCACGTGCTTTTTATTACAGTAAGTGAAAGGAAGCGGGTCGTTACGCGAAATTAGAGTTATCCCATCAGTTTTCCTTTTAAAACTTCCAAACATACAACAACCTCTTGTCCATTCCAAAATTTGCCAAATTATTTCCCAAATCTGGTCTATCACTACATCACCATGGGTACTTCACGGAATCGTAAGCGCTCCAAACATGCTACGAGTTCTATACCTACAAAGGGGAATGGCCATAAAATCATCATAGGAATTGATTATGGTACAACATTCTCAGGTATGCCATTCAAATCTTACATTGTTCGCCTTTAACATTGCTACAGGTGTCAGTTATGTGACCACTGATAAATCTGGCATAGAGGACATCACTATCATGTCTCCATGGCCTGGAGATCCTCACGTCTCTTGGAAGACTCCCACGAGAATTGCTTACAGCCAGGAGAATCCAAAACTCAAAAACAACAAGTGGGGATTTGAGGTTAATTCAAAGCTGAAGTCGTATTCCTGGACTAAACTTCTGCTCGACAAGAGCGCCTCTGCAAAAGATCATGACGATCCGTCGCTTGCATCTATGACAGGTGGTGGCATGTTACAGTTGCCTCCATTTCGTGATGCGGCAGGGGTCTGTGAAGATTTTCTGACAGAGGTATACACACATGTATCAAGAAAGTTGCGGGAGCAAATGACTGATCTGACTTTTGAAAACACTCCAATGGAATGCTGGGTCACATTACCTGCTGTGTGGTCAGAGGAGGCTAAAGATGCTACTCTAAAGGCTGCCAAGAGTGCTGGGTTTGGGAAGAGGCCCGGAGACGAAATTTACACCATTGCTGAGCCAGAAGCTGCGGCGATTGCGACATTGAAAGAATACGCCAAATCAGATGGATTGAATCCCATCTCGGTATGTCTAAATCAACTGCATTGATAGCACATACTAACAACCTAGTGTGATGAAAATATACTCATATGTGACTGTGGCGGAGGAACTATCGACATCACTACGTACAGAATCCGGCAGGTGCAACCATATCTTATCTTTGACGAGCTATGTGTTGGTATTGGTAAGTCGTATTCAAATTCCGCGCAATCGGTCGATCGGAACTGGATCTTGACTTCTTAATAGGCGGAAAATGCGGGGCAACATACATTGATCGAAATCTTCATTCTCTGCTCTCCAGACGCTTTGGACCTGCATTCGATGATGTGCCGTTCGGCCAAAAGGGTCCAGGTAGCAGATTTATGACGGCTTTCGAGACATTGAAAAGGGATTTTGGACGTAACGATGAGAAAGAAGTAGGAGAGTTGGGCCCTCTCAATCTTGCTGTTTCTAATTCTGATCACTATGATGAGGAGGATCGACTTGTTTTGCTCACACAGTAAGGCTTATGTGTCCGTAAGATGTCGAGTGTACTAACAACCTGTCAGTGAAGATATGGAGGACCTTTTTGATCCCGTCGTTGCGGAAATAACAAGCTTAGTGAAAGAACAAGTGAAAGCAGCAAAAGCCGCGAAAAACGCTATAATTAACGTGTGTTTCAATTCCGAGATGAACAGATTTAAAAGGAGTTTTTGCTAATTATTTGTGACGCACCAGCGTATCATCCTTGTCGGCGGCTTCGCTGAGTCGCCACACCTCAATAAAGAGTTGAAAAAGTGGTGCAGGCAAAACGGGAACATAACCTTGATACGCCCCTTGCATCCGTAAGCCACGATACACACATCCACTTGCTCTGCTTCTATGCTAACCTCTAAAGCCAATCTGCTGTTGTGCGTGGAGCTGCCTTACGTGGGCTAAAAGGGATTTCACCACAAATAAAGCAACTGCGTCGTCATTACGGTATCTGCTTAGCAATGCCTTTCCGAGAGGGGATAGATCCAGAGGAAAGCGCTTTCATTGATACGTGGAACAATTTGAAGAGATGCAGGGGACGAATGTGGTGGTTAATTTTTAAGGTAAGTCGCTCAACAAGCCACAGTTTCGTTACCATATCTCATCTCACTGACTAATAAAAATGCGCTAGGGGGATGATATTAAGAAAGGTACCTCGAGACTTCTTGACTGCAATCAGGTGTGCACACTTCAGACAGATACAGTATTGGCAAGTACATTGTATCAATGTGTATTGGCACAACCTCCCGAATATGTTTCTGATCCTGGTGTGATATTAACCATCCCAAATCGAAAAGAAACTCAAACTAACGGTTTACAGGAGTCGAAAGAGTTGGGGATATTCGATCAAATCTAGGTAATAACTTCGACTTTGGTGAAAATATCGAACGGCAATACAATGCTCAACTCGGTCGCATGGTGCAGAGGGTTAGTTTTCAGCAAAGAATCGTGTTCGGTAATAAGGGTGATAATCTCACATTCAGTTGTCTTATTGGCGGAAAGGAGATATGCAAGTCAGAAATGAGTTTCGATCGTTGAAGTGGCGGACAGTAGCCTGATGACTCAAAACTCTTGTCGTTTTGCTTCTGCAGGCATTTGTTCTTATTTAATTTCCCGTTCTCTTTTTTTCTCTGAAAAACCCAACAAAGCTTGTGCCCAGAGTCTGGGTTTATATTTCAGTCCCTTTAAAAGCGGCTGATTTCTTGAAACACGGGGGCTGAATACTAGTACTGCTTTTACTCCTGCAAAATGGAAATAATCATTTCAATCAAACCTGATACCTCTGAATAGTGAAGAAGACCTAATTCAGACATTGACGTTCCAGCAGTTAAGATGGAAACTGGAGCCAGCAGAAACTAATATGCAAGTTGCTCACAATACATGTTCCAGCATTGCTCAAATCATCATTGTATATTATTTGATATTTATCCTTATTACTCACAAAACTCCCTTACTTCAATCTCCCATTGTAGTTCACCTCAGCCAAACACCCAGACACTCCAAACCGCTTTATAAATCAATATATCAACCACCAATCTGTCTTTCTTTCAGTAAAGAGCATCAATAACTACCTAGGTACCTAGGTATCTAGACATCTCTAAAAAAGATTACACGAATCTAATCTAATTTAATCTTACAAAACCAGCCAATTTCGGATAAATTCTTCATTGTACTCATTTAGTTAATAACCTTACTATTAAAATAATTACAATTACGATTACGATTATAATATAGAGAGAGTACTTCAATTTTAGATAGACTCTAGATGAAGATGAATAGGAGGAAAATCGCAGGAATAAATCATTTATGGCTGTGAGGGATGGGGGGTTGGAATTTCCAGGGTTTTATAATATAAGAATGGAGTGAAGTGAAGGCGTAATCTAAGGGGGGCAGTGCAGTTGATGTCCACTCGCTAATTTTTACATAACGATTAGGGTTATTGATTTTTTTCATCACGAGTGGTTAACCAAACACGTAAAGTTACAAGGTCTCACATAGTTACCTTGCAATCAATTTCCAAGTTTGAGCATAGTAGCCTAGACATTCCAGACCTTTCACCAGATGCTGACATATTACCGAGAATTTCAATCTAAGATCTTATACTAAAGAAAAGTCATGAAAAGTTTTTCTATTAATTACCTATATACCTATATACCAATAAACGACTATTTTTTTTCTATATATATAAATTTTATACTACGCCCCCAAAATTACCCTCCACCTATTATAATCCTCCCAGAACGCTCATCGGAAAATAAATAACTGTTTTTGAGTATTAATCAGTACATCATAAATAAGTACGGGTTTTATCCCAACTTCCCGCTTCCTTCTTTCGAATATCCATCATTATTCATCACCCAAGATTTTTCTAAAACTATAAAGACAAACTCCGAACCCGACCATACTTCCAATACAGAGCCAGGTCTCCTGTAGCTGGAAGTCAGTGAAAAAATACCAAGTTCAATCCCCACTAAAAGCTAAGTCAGTGTGAAACTATTCCACGTTAAAACTGTACCTTCTAGCAATCTTTTCATATAGATTGTTGACACAAAAATGTATGTGCCTTCCCTGCTCAAAACTCCTCGTTCATTCGTGTGTCATGACTGTTTGTTAAATCGCTCAATGTGTGCAGCGTGAAAGGCTCTCTGGTTCTTTCTGCTCAGCTCCCCGGTAATCCTAGCAGTAACAAATAAGTAAAGCAAAAGTCTCTTTAGAATGTGGATAACCAGCTCTCAGAAACCATTACCTTTGCTTTTCTACCATTCGGACTCGATACATCACTAGATGAAACCATTATAATTACCAACTTGTATCCCGGGGTTAACTTGCCCAATATTTGCCATATTATAAGTATTCCCATAAGAGTTGCCGTTATCTCCTTGGCCTGAAATTCTACTCAAAGATTCAGCAAACATATCTTGCGCTAGTCTTGCTGCATGAGGGCCAGAAAGGGGCCAAGTTTGCGGGACAAAATTATGAGAAGATTTCCCTGCCAATCTTCTGGCCTCTTGGGCGAGGTTCTGCGGTGTGTCTTCGTGACACTCCAATTTGCGCTGCAAAATTAGGGCGTCGTCATTTAACCATGAGTACAATTGGTCATTATGACCGACAAGACTTATCCACGCGGTTAACACATCCCATTCTCCGGCCTGCTTGAGCAGTCCTTTTATGACATTTGTCAACGACCATTGTGAAATGTCAAGTCTTTGCTTTTCGTAGTGTTCGGCAATGTGGTCGAGTCTCGCTATCTAGTGTTAGCAATGAAGATCCTTAATAGTCTTTTATTTATCGTCATGCATGGTTTCGAGAGACCTATGCCGGGCCGAAAAACTAAAACAGACAGAGTACGGAGGAATTTGTGTTTGGAGACTTACCATCCCAAGTAAAAAAGCAGTCACCGCAGAATCCGCAGCCCCAAGCCTTTTTTTCTGTTTGATCTTGATGCCAAGCTTCCCAGCCTGTAAAACGTTCCGATAAATTATGGTGTTTCTTCAAGTGATCCCTCAACTTGTCTTTCCTAGGGTGGCACCTTTGAGCCAGAGGTTTATCCCAGCAGTTTTGGAATCGATGTTTTTTAGAGAGATGGATGGTCATCTCGTTATGACTGCGGTTAGCATAATCGCATAGCATGCAGGACCAAACATTGAGTACCTGGGTATACGTAATTGGCTCTTTTAACATGCAGTACCACAACTTTTGTTGGTCACACTTTGTCTGTTCATGCCTTTTCCAGTCGCCTTTGGCACCTTTGCGTTCAAATGCCTGCCTACATATTGTGCAACTGTATCTTATAACCCTTTGAGGTATATCTGCTGATTGTTCAACGTACGGATTTGTACCTGATTCGTGCCTCAATCTAGTGAATAATCGTGGGATAGATTCCGATTTGTGGTGTCGAATGGTGAACTGGTTTTTGTGGAGATCACTAGGCAAATCGTATTGTGAATTAGACATCGAGGTAATATTTGCTTGATTTATGCCTTGGTAAGTCTGAAAATTCTGACATGATTCCAGTGAGCCTGCTGCCTGATCCTCGTCCACAGAAAAAAATGTTGGAGTGAAGCCCCAAGTACATCTGTCTGACACAAAATTATCCACGTGCGATGGTATCGATGGCACTACATCATTATCACAGATCGAAGTGATTTCCGCTTGAGAAAGCCTCCTCTGCGGAGAGCCGTCGCCCCGATTGTCTTGGCTTTGAAAACCATATAAATGCGACTGCAGTTCCTGGAAATGATGGCATGACTGCTCAGGTAGAGACCAATTTCCCAGACCGGGAAACACGAAGTTTTGCATGTCGTTTTCAAATTGGTCAAGGCTCGAATCTGGCAAATTATCATTTACAAGACCAAAATCATTGCTTTCAGAATTATACAGGCCAACTTCAGGAATCGGCGCTACTTCTCCGAGTGGAATTTCAATATTAAGACCTGATGTAGAATTTTAGAAAATATTTCCCTGCCAAAGGTAAAAATGTGCTACTCACGAGTACTTTCATGATTGGTCCACCAATGATTGATTTGCTCTTCTTCTAGACCTGTTTCGGCCATGAGAAATTTCATCCCGTTATCCTGAGGTCTGCCTAGATGATTTTCAACCCATCGATTCAAGGTAGATTTTTGATTTTCTGTCAATGGTAACATGTTGATAATAGTTAGCCGAGCAACAGGTAGGCTTGTGTGTTCTGCAATGGGGTGATGGGAAAACACACTCGGAAAGCTGGGCGTGAACAAAGTGAAGAATGATAGGGATATTGAAATTCGGAAGTCTAGCAATCTTTTCCTGTCACTCGTGATCCTTTGCCACCGGCTATTTATGGTGATAATTGTGTACCTTTTGTGCTGCTGTAGTCCATGGGGTTCGTAGGGCAAAATCATGGGGCTAACGTGGAGTTTCCCAAAAATGCGCCCGTTTCAAGGAATTCCCCCTGTCCAATTCTTCGCTTGTGTGGATAACGATGCACATCAATGATGGTAACGATAAGCTGAAATCCGGCGGTCAAAGTGTTTTGTGGGGTTTGGGCTCCGCTGGCTTGTGGCTGTGACTGCTCGTGGCTGATCGTGGCCGGTTCTAACAGGCCGAAACACGATAACGTTCTAGATGGATGCGGCGAAAGCGATATTCCAACACTTCATTCAATCGCTTTGAGAACGTTGACTAAAAATAAAGTTTGAATCTATGTTGTTGAAGATACACGTCGTCTGATGGAAGGATTTTCTTTGGTGACTTGGGGTAAATGACAGCGAATTGCGGCTCAAATCTCATCGATCAAGCCAAGACGACAGAAATCATGACAACAAAGAGCATGTCTGTGTATGAGTCGACAGGATATGATGTTCAAAAATCAAAATCTTTTCGCTTCGATCAAAAAACAAGCCCGTGTATCCGGTAGTGCCATCGACGTAGGGCTTTGATTATGGAGAACTTTCGCCCTGTTGCTTGTGCAGACGGGAAAAGCCGAGAGATCCAGCGTTGATACGTCAATTGCAAGTGAGAGATGAAAATACAGAAAATAAAATTATAAGCTAGCACCGCGGCCAACTGGGCGCACTGGCCAGCTAAACGTCCAAGCCTAATTAGGCAAAGAATTCCATGATAAGGCTACTTTCAGTTCAATCTAGACTACCTAGGTAGGTACCCAGGTATTCTGTTGAGCCCTGAATGGGTTAGCGCGGTGACCTAATGAAGTAAGGTCGTTTATTTGACCGTTGTGTTCGTTCACTTGGCTTGTGGATTCTTCTAAAATCAGAAATATTAGACGACGTGAATGATTTTGCCAAGTCAGATCATCAACAATGATCCGCCTGGAAGTTCACGTCATAGCACCTTTTGATCTAGTGCCCCCCTTATCTCGCTATTTCTACTACTTCGGGTTGTCATGTTGAACGTGGTTAAGCACAACTCAGTTGGCATGTTGTGATACGATTGGAGGATTTGTGCTGTTCGAGATGTCGTGAGTTTTAGATTTGCGGCCCTCCAGCCCTAGCGCTGATCCCTCTTTGCCTTTTTGCGGCATGAGATCTTGGCACTGCACCTGTCATATTTGCACTCGACGTATTCTCTGAAAATCTTTCATCCAGTTCCGGGGTAGCCAGATCCGTTCACAGACAAGATTCAATCCTGAAAGAATGAGGCCCTCAAAGTCGCTCTGGTATTTTACATCTTTGTCCAAACATAGTCTTTCTCGACGTGTACACAGATGAGGAATAAATGACAAAGAGGTCATGAATCTCGGAAGGTATTCCGCCACATACAACTCATTCCTTGAGCTACCGATAATTCAAGCACCGCGGCACATTTCGGGGTACGTACCGGGCCACCAATGCATATGCATAATCGGTGTATGTAAGTTATCGTACCCTGGAAACATTCTCTCCTTCCCCGAACACCCGTCTGAATTCGGGCAAAAGTCACATGGGCCCAAGTCTTGGATTCATGTGTGTGTTCTTGATTGATCAGCCCGGATTATGGATATATCTTAATTTAGATGATCGCATGTAGCTCTAATTCAAACATCGGTACATCCGAAGTAGGAGACGACTGCATGAACTGGACCCATTTTTTATGTATGTCGGAGAGAAAGAAAAGCCACAGACACTTTCACAGGTTTGTCAGATGTTGGCGAATGAGGGTTACATGCGAGGTGAAACTTCCCGGCTATGAGCTTGGAGGATAAGTTGATAATTTCAACCGTCAAACATGTGGAGCCCTACTTGAGAGAATAGGTAAAGGAAGTTTCAGGGGCGAGGTCGTACAGATAGCCGACTAATAACTATACTCCTATTAAATAACGATGTGATGGTCTCGCGGATCCAAGCCCTGGCATTGGAGGGATTCGACATATTACGAAGTACGTATAGTCTACGCCTTTTTCGTAATAGAAGTCCGTTTCTCCTTTATCCCATTGGTGTAGGACAACACGGTGTAAATTATGTGAAATTTAGCGACAGTGTCAAGTATTTAGTCATCGTCATTCACGAAGAAATATTCAACCGAAAGGTGTAAATTAGTTGATGGCTCTCTGAAAACAATCATACTTATTTTATCATATCCTACTGGGACCTACTGGGACCTACATGAAGGAGCCGCTAAACTCATGTCAAACATCATAAAAGTTCCTTCGCCTGGAAGATGTACCATTCCCTACTCAAGCCTTACCCAATTTCTTTTCCAAGTTCAAAAATTCTACGACTTGATCGTGAATCGTCGTTTCCAGGTCTCTAAAATCCATTCCAAGCTCCTTCTTAGCCTTCTCATTGCTGACATTAAAACCATTTTCAAGCGGCGCAGTCGATGGATCAGGAGTTTTATCCTTTAATTGTGGGAAATGATTCCTGATAACTTCGCAAATTTGAGCATATGTGTAAGTGCCACCGGCAAGGAGAAAACGTTGGCCAGCAGCTTCGGCAGATTCATAGGCACGAGCATGAATCTCCCCCACATCACGGACATCGACGAAGCCAAAGAAATTGGTGTTTGGGACTGTCTTTTCGGACCCATTTATGAGGCGATAAATATCTGCTGAAGACGTATTTAGGTGGTCGAGGGATGTGATGTTTTGCGCATTGGGCCCATATACCATAGGAGGACAGATGACTGAAAGATTAAAGTTAGGCTCGTTTTCTTTAATAAAGTCCCATGCCGCCTTTTCGGCAAACGCTTTTGATGCACAGTAGGAGACTACCACAGAAGTTTCAGGATTTGCTGCAACGTCATAGGTTGTGGGGTTCCAATCCTTCTCGGTGTATGTATAACCAGTGCGAAGTCCCTTATCCAAATCTAGAATTGCGGCGAAGGACGATGTAATTATTATACGCTCTACTTGAGGAGCATTCTTTTGAACGGCTTTCAAGATATTGGTTGTACCCTTGATAGCTGGAATGAGAAGATCGTGCTCGTGATCCTTAACGTCGAAGACAAATGGAGAAGCCGAATGAACCACCTGATGTACGTGAGTGAGTAGCCCGTAGTTTCTGGTATGATTACTTACGCCATCAACGCCTTTTACTGCCTCGTCGAAGGCCCCTTCTTCGACGATATCTCTAACAACTGCGTAAGAAAGCTGATTGTCATATTTGCTGAAACTTTTACGTAGAGCTTCCCCTTTATCTGGGCTCCGAACAGTAGTTCGAACATTGTAGCCTCGAGACAAAAAGGCATCCAGAATTTGGGCTGCCACGAAACCGTTACCACCAGTAACTAAAATTGTCTTGCCCTTTCCAGAGGTTGGATTGTACCACTTGGTTGTACTCATGTTTGCAAAACGAAGAGATCTGATGTTATTGAGTAGATTCTCAGTAACTAAAAATCATTTCAGCTTGAAGGGTCAAATGTTGATGGTATAATAAGTGAAGTGATAATTGGAATGAGGGGTTCTCCGCAAACGGAAATATCGAAAATGTGTATATTCTTTCACCACCAGCTTTGGTGGCTTTGTTTTGTGTACTAAAATCCATAATCATTCCTATTTCCGATGATGCGCAGAGAACGAGAAAAGAAATAGTCGGCAATGAACGTGATGCCATATGGTTGCTTTTTGGACAACCCTTTGAACTCACTTCGTCAGTGAAGTTAAGGCTAAGTCTAGTACCCTACTTTTGGACCACTCCTAATATGGACCATCTTTTTACATCAAAAATTGTGATTTTCAGTTATTAATAACTTTACAATTAATGAATAAAATTTGATGAAACTTGAATCATAGATTCATTATATAATTATAACTCGATTTTGAAAATTTTAGATTTTTTGAAATTGATTTCATTGAGTTCTATAATCTTAAGTTTTATGATTTTTGATTTATATAGGATTTTGTCACGATTCACAGTTTTCATTATAGTAGTATTATTGATGTCGGTGATTTATATACCGATTACAGAAGGGGTGTGATTTAACTATTGCTTTCAGGAGGTCTAATCATTTACGAATAGGATCCCAGGATTCCTAGGATAAGTATCCTAGGCAACTATATTAGATTAGGACAAGTGTTCTAGCTAATTGATTGTAATGGAACAATTACCCTAAAGGATATCGTATCCTAGAATTATAGTTCCTAAAGGAAAGCTTCTAAGACAAGTGTTCTAGGAAAGGAAAGGCCTCAGGAAAAGAGAAGCCTCAGGATCAATTACATAATGTGCTAGCTTTGCTAGCCAATTAGCAAAGCTAATATACAAAAAAAGAGATTAGTATATAATCAGAATAGTTTCATAGTTTAGGAGCTTCGTACTCAACTTAGTTATCAATTAGTTTACCTACATTCCAATTGATCTAATAACGAATTCACTTTCAAATAGATAATCAATGATTAATAACCTTAATTTACAACTACCAATTATACGAAACCTCAGGCAGCCGCTGCCTCGACCAGATCGTTACAGATTTATATATAAATTTACAAAATCTTTAAAATCTTGAATAACTTTTCAACAAAAATTACTAAAAATAAAATATAAATTATAAATTTTTTGGAAATATTTATATCATAAATGATCCAATAAATCAATTTATTTTAAAGAAATATTTTACCAAAATCTTTTTAATCAAAATATTATAATTTTTAATCCTTATAGAATCTAAAAATATTAATAAAGATTCATTTATATCATTTAGAATTGAAAATATTAATTCATTATATAAAATTTAATCTAAAAAGCCTAAAAAAAAATATATTTATTTTTAGTAATTTTTGTTGAAAAGTTATTCAGGATTTTTAATATTTTCAACTTTGTATAAAAATCTAATACAAATTGAAAATCATAATTTCAACTTTTAATTTCTCAATCAATAAAATTACAAAAAATCTAAAAATTTCAGAATCTATTAATAATTATATAGTAAATCTATAATCAAAATTTCAATTGATTTTATTTATTTGTTGTTGATTTATTAATAATTGAAAATGACGATTTTTGATGTAAAAAGGTGGTCCATGTTAGGGGTGGTCCAAAAGTAGGGTACTAGAATTATTGGCCCATCAGCGTTAATGGCTACAGCAAAGCATTCGGGATCGGCAACGACCAGCAAATTACTCGGTCCAAATTATTAATTAATTGATTAATGGGAAAACTTTGAATACATCCACAGTCCGATAATAATTTGAGCAATAATAAAGCGCAATGATAAAACGCGGTTTTGTTATCTTACAACCCAACAAAAGGCAGCCTTGATTAATCATCAGAACACTAGTCTTGTCACTGCATGCCTTCTCTACCACAACTATATTCTTGGTGGCTTTAACAAAACACGCTCAAGTCCGGCTGCTGAGAATGCGTTCAGTATGTTTCGAAATACTGATCAACTCGCAGAATTAATGAGAGACATCTTGACTGATGCGTCTACACTTCCGCCGGTATTGTGCAAAAAGTCTGCAAGACATTGCGATACCGACCATATATTTCGTCATGTAGGAAACCACGATGGCCGTTTGTTGCCAGGAGAGAATTTGTCGCCGAACCATATAACCTGGAGTACTTTGGGCACTCCAAGCAAGGATTGGGAGGTCTATTGTGTGGCCGAATGGGGGAGGTTAGGATTTCAAATGGTGGCCTAAACATTCATATTTTTGCAATGTCGAAATTGAGTAGATGTCCACAAAATAAGCCGCAGTATGGTATGTGGTCACACATCAGTTACTAGGGCTCTGTGTGGTGGGAGGAGCAGAGACAAATAACATTTTCCATTGCCATGGTAGTGGACAACGCCTGGCACACGGGAATCCATCAAGAACGGCGCAGTGGGACAGGCTCACCGGTTGCCCCCAGCTTGGATCGTGATCTATTGTTGTGCAGGACTTTATTGCAGACTCCAGTAAGTGGAAAATAAACTCCTATCCCAGAAGAAAATACATCCAGGTAGCAAGGCTCTGGGGCAGGTTACTAGCCAATATGCTTATATAACTGGGAGTGGAGAAGATCATTCATCTATATTGATGTGAGCCGTATGACAGTTCTTACAGGCATAGTAAAATGCATCTCGAACACAATCTCTAGTCAGGATCTCTTTCACATCAGCGTTTCCCGATTTATTTAGAGCGAAAGTCTGCCGATATTTCCATGTACTTATTTAGTTAAACAGTCCTGCCTGCACATTATCAGCTTTTTAGAACTCTTTTTCCTTAGTTACATCAGAAACACCAAGAAACTCAGCCATCAACGTATGTACTTATCTATCGCCAGATGGAGGTCTGAGGTTGTGAAAGGGGTGTCAAATATACAAGCGTTAATCGGCACTCCACTCAAGCCCTATAGAAGCTATGACAATACATCAGATCTTCAAACAATGCTGATGCTGCGCACGCTAGTAAATCACATTTAAACTTTCGCATTTGCGTATTCGGGTTTTTTTTAGCCCCACTCCTACTGTTCCAGCCAAAATAATAAATCAAATCCCAGGTAATTTTTGCTATACGCTATGCGATGCGATTTGATTGGTTCAATCTTTCTATGAGCTTTGTGCTATTTTGATTTTTGGTATGGGTTGCCAGGTATCGCCATCGTGCTTCAACGTCCAACGATCTTTTCACATACTAAACATTATATGCGATAACTATCACGATGATTGTTGTGTCTTTCTATATAACTGAGGGGTTTCTTCTCGAGAAAATGAATCTTCCGAACGCATCAAGTCATCCTCCCCATCTTTCGTCTAATATATTTAAAGTCCATTTCAATCGACATCTTTCCGCCTTTCCCCATATTCACATCCTGATAACACAAGAGCCGCAATCATGGTAGCCACAGCGACCCTTGCTTCATGTGCATATTACTGCTATGTACCGGTAATGATGACTGGTGTGATGTTTGGAGGAACCTTTCTCCAAACCACAGCCATACACATATATCAAATATCACGATCTAAAACCAAGTTTTTCATCCCCATTATAGTGGGAGGTTTGCGTTAGTCCGCATTCCATATCAGACACTAAATTGCATGTACTAATATTTACCAATAGTCGAAGCAATTGGTTATGGATGCCGCACCATCTCACATTACGAAGCACCAAATTTCTCGGTTATCCCTTTCGCTATCCAATACACCTGTATCCTCGTCGCACCAACCATCATGGCAGCAGCAGTCTACATGTACTACGAACATATCGTCAAAGCCGTGAGCGGCGAATCACTTTCGCCAATTCGCCTAAGCAGATTCCAAAAGATCTTCCTCTTTTTCGATTGTTTCTCTGCTTTGATTCTCGTCGTCGGCTCTATTCTTCGTCTCATGACCAACATACCTGTTAGTTGGATTAGACTTGGCAATCGACTTGTCCTGATGGGATTAGGCGAACAACTTGTCTTCCTGGTAATCTTCGTCTTCACGGTCGGGAAATTCCAATACAACATGTCGCGCAATCCTTTCCAACGTCTTTCCACAAGCACGATTCCGAAATCCTCTCGTGGGGATGTCCCGTATAAGAAACATCTTATTGCTTTATATGTTGCTTCTGCTCTGATCGCCATTCGATCGGTTGTTCGTTTGATGGAGAATTTGACCGGCACGACTGGATTTATTCGAAGCCATGAGATGATCTTGACTATTTTCGATGGAATGTTTATGCTTAATATGATGTTTCTCTTTCAGTCTATTCATCCCAGTGAGATTGTCGTGTGGGAAGAATTTTATGCTAGTAATGGGGCTAATACTCCGCGTCCGTATTTTGCGGGGGCGAAGTTTTGGCAGGGGAAGAGATTGACTCGGGTGGATACGATAGAGCTCTAGAGAAAGACACATGGGCGAGGGTAAATTGAGAAGGTGGGCTGGGCGGATTTATGGTGTTTTTGGTATAGTTTGATTAGATATCCTGGAGTTTGGTCATGGTCATGGCGATTATGGGGATTCGGAGAGTTCGGTTAGCGAGGGAAATTGCATCGTCATTCATTTCATTTGTTGGAATAAACAGATATAGGTATAGAGTAGAACGAACGAAGCGTATCAAACTATATATTTTTTTTCGTTTTCCATCCTCTTCAAACCCACTTCTCCTAATTCTCATCCCACGAAAAAACTACACCACAAAACCTTCGAAGCCCCTACCTCAATCTCCCCTCTAAACCCCCCTCAACAACGCAATCACCTCATCCTTCCCCTCACATTCAACCCTATGACCCCTAGTCTGCACCTCCCTCACAACCAAATCTTCTGCAAAAAGCTGCATCCACTCCAACACACTCTCTATCCTCACAACACTTTTACGACTCTACTCGATAAAGAGTTGCACGGCATGGAATCTTCATTCAATCCATCATCGATTTCCTCTTTAATACCTGGTTTATCTATAGCGACAACGGTGGTGGTTTATGGGGCCGCGGGGGCTAGAGTTGAAGAAAATGAGAGAGCAGGTGGAAATATAGGAATGGGTTTGCTAAGTGGGTGGAGGAGAAATGTAAGTTAGTTTACTTTTAGCGAGGCGGATAGGGCATATTTAGGGGCTAAATCTCTTGGCTGTGATTTTTTCAGGATTATACAGTGGGGAAGAGGCTTTTTGCTTGGGATTTTCTGTTTTTGTGATTTTGGAAGTTTGGGAGTTGAAGTTGATGGGCTTGGAATAAAAGGGGGTGGTGTGCGGAAATGTTCATTCATCAATTTCCAGAAATCCTCTTCGAAGAAGAATCGCGTATATCCGAACCTTTCGAGCCCAGATCTTTCTCCGTTATCTGCCTGAGTAGGTTCAAGTTAAACGGTTTTCCAGGCGGTGCGTATGGAATTACTAGGAATGTAGCCGAGAGAATCTAGACGGGTAATAATTGACGGGTTGAGATAGAAAAAGACTTTCGACTACCATTATGAACTTCGGAATTTTGTAAGTAAATGAAATGTGTTTGAACTGGGAGAAGAAAATGAAAATGAGAAGAAAGCAATAGTTGTGTCTAGTATTAGCAAAGGCTGTGTCGCAGACTACTGCTGTTGGGAGTTTCCGTGAGACAAAGAAAAGACGTCAAGAAAGCTTGCAAATAATGGGAAATATCGACAATGAAATCGAGAATAATGCACGAGGTACTCTTGCCCTTACGACGTGCCGGTTTGCTAGTTAATCGCTGGATGAGTCTTCATAAGCCCATAATTTTGCAGAGCACGTGAATCGTAATCTTACAGCTGAAGACTTACTTCTCTTGCATTAGTCAGAGTCAATTTTCCCGCACCATTCAGGTCTCGAATCTTGATCAGATATCACAGCAGTTATTAGGGACTACCTGATCACTAGATGATCTGTCCTCTATCCATGGGGAGTTTGCGAACTGGATCAGAAACCTACTGAGTATGTCTTTGAGTCTCGATACTGATGATATAGCAGGAGAGTGTGAATTTCAATACTTGTACTAAGAAGAAGATATGTTTCAGAACATTCTAACCACTGCATAGTGAAGGTCAGTATTTCCTTATCATGATGGCTATAAGATGAAGACTCAATTATCACCTGATGACTATCCATATGTGAGAGAAATTAGAAGCCAAGGAATGGTATATCCCCTTACACAGTCGGCAACAACACGAAGTCTACTTGCAAATTTGTTTAGGGCCCTACTCCAACAAAATTTCCCACAAGACGAGAACAATAAAACTTGATACGTTGATTCAAGTTATCACGCCGGCTCTGCTGACGTAGCAATCCGAGTCGAAAACCCGACACGGACAAAGTGGTCTACACTTGTCCGTTTTTCTGGTCTAGAAGATCTCATCTTCCACTTCTGTCAATTATCCAGCTTAGATGCTATGTCATAAGAGGCTTTTTCCAGAGCAAAATATCGGTGGAATCTAACGAGGGGAATATCGCATCAACCTCTGGGTTCCAGCGTCCAAACGGACCGTCATAAGATAATATCGAGTATCAAGACTCATCTAGGTTGTGCTGACTAAGCACCCTGCATCAGGTCTTCTCTTAAGCTAGGACAAACGCCATTGTCCTACACTATGAGTACACCCCAGATTTATTTGAGGCTTGCAACAGCATTACTTTACTGAGTGTATGCTTCACTTGACTACTTCTCTCAGTACTACAAGTGTAGCACAATTCCACCTCTTCCCTCCGTGCATACTATTATTAGGTGAATGCTTTGATTTACTGTAGATTGTGAGCACAAATGATGTGTCTATCTCAAATCCTGGCCAATTTACAACGGTACTAGTGGTATCGTTCTTTTCATCAACGGTGGGACTGTGCAGTTGCTTCTCAAATCGTCTTACCGTTTTAGGCAAGTGAGGCATAAGTGGATCGAGTGCTCGTAGTGGAACATCCCTCATGATTCTCGCGGGCGGCATGCCGGATTCAACAACAGGGTGGTCACTCTACCCGCACCAACCAGAAGAGTTGTAGTATGATTTATGACGTAGAATTGCACAGCAAGGGTGGCCATCACGTTATTTTTATCGTCTTTCTCTTTGTGGTCAGAATTGGCACAGGGAAGGACATCGGACAACTATAGTTTTGAGTCCCGAGAATCCCTCGAAGGCTCCACCAAATCGCTAAGTAACTGGAGTCAACATTTCCATCGTCCGTTTCGGTGCGTGGCGGATCCATAGCACAGAGGCTTTTTACTGCTTGCTATATATACCAGCGCCTTATCCCACCTAATCATTTACAAGCACACATCACTAAAATAATTTCCCAGTGAAGCTATCAGCCGGCTCAAGCATCCTCAATCCAAGAAGATTCCCCAAACATCAGCTCAAAATGTCTGCGTACACGCCAGAAATCAGCGGAAAGTTATACATTACTACCAATACCGATGATAAAACCACGACATTACTTGACTCCGCGTCTTTTGTCACGAAGCCAGCAGGCCCCGATATTGCAGTAAGCTATGCTTACTCTGCTGGCCCTACACCCTCATTCACCAACGACGCCGACTTTAAAGCACGTCAAGAAATCGTCCAGCAAAATCAAATACCCTCCTTTCCATCCGCCGGTTACAGCAAAGCTGGACTTTGCACTATCGCACCTAATCCCAATGGAGACGAGGGATTAATGCATCGTTCGAATACACTTGATTATGTTTATATCACGAGTGGGGAGACAGAGTACGCAACGACCAGCGGAGAGAAAAAGATCTTGAAGAAGGGAGACGTGATTATTCAACGAGCGGGGTGGCATGCTTGGAAGAACACGAGTAAGACGGAGGAGTTGACCCTTTTTGCTGTTTCAATTGGTGCTGAGGGTGCAACTGAGGACTTTATGGAGATACCATAGGCATAGGATGGAATTGAGACAATGTATAGGATTACTCCTATTCATGGAAAACGAAAATCAGTTTATTGTGTTTCTGTGCATGCTATTATTGTGACACGTGGTGTGGCCTGGTCACAAGTTACCTTTCACGCCTTTTTCTGCCTACAAATCTATTTTGCCTGAACTTTTTTTTTGCATGCTTGTAAAAGTCTTCAAATCCCCATCCTCCTCGACCCGTCCCAATTGGGACAAAGTTTACTGCGAACTACAACTATTGGGAATAAGAAGCATATTCTGGACATTTAACATACTGCCGAAAAGGCGGTGTAACCTGACATTGGTAAACTCTTGAACTTCCCTCCCTAAGCTCTGCTGCCCCTCACTGTCACCCCGCTACATACAACGTCCATTACCAAATCCAAGAACACCATATCAGGATGGAGAGTTTTGAAGAAATGCAAAGTCGCCATTGCAAGGAACAAAAGGATTTCCAGGGACGCATAACACAAAAGAAGAAAGGCGCGACGAAGAAGACTCGGAAAGGTGTGAACAACGAATGCGAGGAATTGGAACGACAATTGAAAGAAAGACAAGCTCAAGAAATAGCGTCACTGAATGGGAGTTCTGTTCCAGATATTAATGATGTTCCGGAGCTTGATGAGGAAGCTTCAGAAACATCGGCAAATGCGGTTGATGCAAGTGGAGTTGACAATATTACCGACTCATTAGAGAAATCTTCGATTGCGGAAACGGCAGAATCTGAAGCAGGACAGCCTAAAAAACGCAATCGACAAAAAGAAAGACTTGCAAGAAGGGCAGCGGAGCAAGAGGCTGCTGTAGAAGAAGCTAGGAAAGAGGCTGCAAATATGCCTGATGAAAAAGAAGTAGAAAGGAAACGAATGCAGGAGGAGTTTACTTCGCGAAACTTACATGAGAAACAAATTAGACCCGATGGACATTGTCTCTTCTCTGCCATAGCCGATCAATTATCACAAGCCGGAATACCTCTTGGGCCCGAGGCGGAAGGATTGAAGGATGATCAACGATACAAAGTGGTTCGCAAAGCTGCCGCAACATATATTGAGGGACACCCAGATGATTTCGTTCCATTTCTAGATGAACCTCTCGAGAATTATGTCCACAAAATCAGAGACACTGCGGAATGGGGTGGTCATTTGGAACTTCTCGCTCTGGCAAAAACATATAATGTTGAAATTTGTGTGTTACAGAATGGAGCAACCCAAAAGATTGAGCCTGGGACCGAGAAGAAAACAGAGACAATTCATCTGGCATACTACCGACACGGATTTGGCCTGGGCGAACACTATAATTCACTTCGAAGAGCACCATAAAATACAAAAAAGCTGAAGTAGCTCAAGTTCAAGCTCAAGTTCGAGCTCTACTCTAATCAGAATCTATCTAGTGCGTCCAAACGCTGACCCAATCAGTAATTTTACCATCTGAATCGTATCCACCCCTATTGGTCCTCTTGGGATGAAAGTGTGCAGTACGCTGAAGGCCATTTTGGTGTGGTGCGCCGAGTTTTTCAACTTCTAGCTCGCAGGTTTCGGTGTATGGCAACACTTCCCCGGGGCGTGATAAATGACCTTCATAAATTCTTGGAGGCATGGCCCATGGCGGACCTCCAATCGATGGAGATTTAGTACTAGGGAATTCGAGACAGATAAGTCTTCCTTCTGGGGACAGAAGTTCATGATATCGTTTGGACCATGCAGGCCTTAAAACAGGAGGCAATGCACAACCAAACTTTTTCAAGGTTTAGTAATCTTGATCCAAGGGATTTAAGGAATTGCATACCGTGTAATCATAGATCAAATCAAACCTTTTCTCTCCCTCTACAATTGTCAAGAAATCATCTTTGAAGAAGTCTCCGGCTATCCAGGTGACTTTCCCTTTCTCGATCCCATCTTTAGGTTCATACAAACCCTTGCCATCTTTCTCCTTCTCAGTATCTTTAGCACCTTGCAGACCTGTCTGGGAAATATCAAGCCCATAAGCATCATAGCCCATAGCACTCAATAGCAGGACATCATAACCCTTACCACATCCAGCGACTAAAGCTTTCTTCCTTGAACCATCAGCTTTTTTTGAGACAAGATCTTCCCGCTCATTTAGTATATCAATGAGTGCCGGGTTAGGTGATTCGTTATCCCACGGAGTGACCTTGTCTTTCCAAAGCTGATCCCATTTCTCACCATGCTGAGCCGTGTCATGGCCCTCGAATTGAGCCTTAATGCGAGCACGTGTTTCTGGATTGTTCAGTATCATTTTTTAATATTTCATGGATGGACTTGACTAACCAGATAAACTGAGGTCCGAAGTCATGTTGATACCTTTTTTCACCTTGGACTTCTTCCTTGTCAGGCGTTCTAAGGTATTACAGTCTTATCTGCTGAAATTCAGATTTTTACTGATAAGTTTCTGCTCTGTACTTTAGATATAAAGTGTACCAAATCATCCAAACAGCAGAGATACTTCTGAACCTGAAGTGGCAATTGTGGCGCTAAGCGAACAGAGCTTACCCCTGTCTTTAGAATGTAATCAAGCCGAGGCTCAGGAAATTCCGGGTAATTGATATGGTTCCTTGAACCTCCTCATCACAAACACAGCTGTTACTTCTTCTCCTATCTTCCACGAAATATATCTGCAAACTCTTAATCTAATCAGATTTCATTGTTCAATTCAATCTCAAACATTTCAAACTCCACTATCCAATTCGACCTCGTATACAAGGTAAGACTTCAGAAATATAGTAATCATGGATGCAGCAAATCTCTTTAATGTCAAGGTAAGCAGTCAACTTTTGTCTTTAAGCAGTTCATGAACTAATGGAATCAATAGGACAAGGTAGTTCTTGTTACAGGTGGAGCCAAGGGAGTTGGGCGCATGATATCAGAAGGCTTCGTCACAAATGGAGCCAAAGTCTACATCTCATCCCGCGATGCCAAAGCCTGCGAAGAAGCCTGCAAAGAGTTGAACGCACTCGGTACCTCATTATTTCCCAATTCGTCTCATTGGTCAAGCTAATCACTCTTTCCTACAGGCAAAGGTTCTGCACACGCTATTCCAGCAGACTTTTACAAACTCGAAGATTGCAAACGCTTGGTGGATGAAATACAAAAGAAAGAAAAGAAATTACATATCTTGGTTAACAACTCTGGAAGCAATTGGGGAGCTCCTTATGCGGAATTCCCGGATGCGGCATGGACAAGAGTCTTAACTCTCAACCTCACAAGAGTTTTTACTCTCACCCAAGCGCTTACCCCTCTTATGGAAGCCGCATCTTCCCCCCAAGACCCAGCACGCATCATCAACATTGGCTCCGTAGATGGAATCCGCGTTCCTTCTCTCGAAACCTTCTCATACTCTGCCAGTAAAGCTGGTTTACATCAATTGAGCAGAGTTCTTGCAAATCATCTAGGAAGGAAAAACATTACGAGTAATGTGTTGGCTTGTGGACCGTTTGAGAGTAAGATGATGGCGGCTACACTGGAAAATTTCAAAGACCAGATTGTGAGTGGGATTCCGCTGGGTAGAATTGGGAGTAAGGAGGATGTGGCAGGGGCTTGTCTGTTTTTGGCGAGTAGAGCGGGCAGTTATGTTAATGGAGCGACAATTGCTTTGGATGGAGGAAGTTTGGTGCAGAGTAAGTTGTAAATAGGTGCGGAAGAACCGTGTATACCAATCTATTGTGTGATTTAAAGGGAGACAATAGTATGGTCTCGTCTAGTTCAAAAAACATGCAACACGGTATGAGTTACATTCTCATCGCATATCTGCATTCGAAACAATCAAGCATCATCATTTATTTTCTAGATTTGATTTCTGAAACAATGCAGATATGCAACAAAAATAATTAATATCTATATTCGACTAATAAAGTAGGATTACGAATTCATAGACGAGGTATTTAACCTTAACATCTATATTCTAACTAGTTAGCCAGTTGCCTTACTAATAACCAATAATCTATCTTTCGATCCTCCTATGAAAGTATCCCGTATAGGGGCTACTTTGGCAATTACAGTCAGTGTTCTCATACCAGAGATGTTAAAGGTTTCTGTGTTTGGTATTTCATTACCTAGTCCTATGAGGTAGTGGAATAGTATGTATGGTATGGGTATTATTTTATCGCGGGATTTGGAGGCGCGGTTTCTTTTCTTGGGGAGGGGTCGGGAAGAGCTTGAGGTTTTCAGATGATGAGGTAATAAGCACAAAAACTAAACTAACAATGAAATGGAATTTTTCATTTTTGACAGCGCTTCGCAGTTTTGAGAGTAAATTTATAAATAGATAAGTACTGTCAAATGATAGTAAAGACAAAGTGTTGCTATTGCGATTGAAATCTTGGGACTTGAATCTGCACGGTTTATAGAGAGAGAGCTTGAGGGTAGTATGTGGAGATGTGTAGGTAGGGTGATAGAGATATTTGGTAATTAGGATTTCTTTTACATGTGTGCTTTTTGGGATTTTAATCCGGATAGTCATGTTGGCAATTTCGGATTCGCTTTTCTATAGGGAAGGATTCGTGGTGAGGGTGCTGTAGCTTTTATAGATTCGGCGAGTGGAATCTCGGGGAGGGGCTTGGTGGTTTGTGGTGTGGTGTGGTGAAGTGAAGTGGAGTGAAATGTAGTGAAGTGTATTCTGAGCTCACTACAGGGTGTAAGAGTTTAAGTCTAGTACTGCTAAAAGCTTGTAGTGGATATCGATTGAGCAGAGGGAGGAGAAGGAGATATCTTGAACTGATAGTCGACTTGAGACAAACACTATATAAAGCAGCCGCACCCCAAGGATGTTGATTAGGAATCTGGCGGTGACCGCCTCTTCTTTAAGTAATATTCAATTTGAGTGCTTATATTTTTCTAACCCGGATGTTGAAGTGGTAGAAGCTCTATTATCTGCCAGATCTTATCTAGTGAGATTTCCATATATTCTAGGTTTTACTTGTCGAACTCGTTTTGTTCTTTTTTTATGTTGTCGTTCTCAAAATTTATTATTGTTCATTCAAATAGAGAGAAAAATGGTGGTGGTGAATAGGTTTCTTAACAATGGATACCTAGGGCTGTAGACTGTATTTGAAAGTTTGAAAGTTCTCACAGAAAGTTTTCCGAGGACAATTTATGGCGTATACGAGTACACTGCGAGTTATAGCATTTCGAGGTTGTCTGGATGAAATGCCCGTCTGACTAGAGAGTTTATGGCTGTTGTTATGGAGAGGAAGTGTCGTCGATATAGGGCTTTTTATATACGACCGATATTTTGCGGGTCTTTATGCGTTATGAAGATTAGGATGTGGCGTTAGCCGAAAGACGTCACACTGCGATGACGCTATGGTATGTTTTCTAGATCAAAACGGGTGAGTGGAATATGACTTAAATGATGGGCTTGAGACAGTATATAAACCAACCCCCGTCCTAACTTTTGTCTCCCAAGAGATATACGGGAAGGGAAATACCTGAACCGCAGGACCAATAATTTCTCGAGCCAGGAGCTGTTGTTTATATGTTGACAATCTCAAGGTTAGTGCTCGATATACACAGTTATATCAAGCCTTGAATATGAGTATTAATTTGATGCCCTTTGGGGGTTCTTTTTGTTGTTCTTCATTTGACTTGTGGTTAGGTTCTGAATACGGGTTTTGAGGTAGATGGATAAATGACAGGAACTGGACAGAAATTACAATAAGGATATCTAGTTGTACCGATCACGCATACGATCTATTCGAGTTAATGTGTATTTATATCGAATCGTGATGTCAAGGATGATTGATAGTTCAAGCAAACTCTTCTGAAGGGCAGCTATTCGCTTCAGGGTTGTTTAAGAAGTTATATTGAGATGCTATAGGTTATATGGTGCATTCTGTAGTAAACCAGTGACTCGAGAATGCAATGTCTTTCAGTTATGGGTTCTTTGCTGATTTTGGGTGACTCTAGAGGCGCATTATCTCACTATCATTATGAATATTTGGGATCTTGAATCCGGCCCTAGTCAAAGAGTAAGTATTTGGCATCTCTTTTATATCACACCAAGTCAGACTGTGGAATTGTACGTGTGGAAATTCAGATTCAAAATTCTTCTTCCATTTTCATTTTCATTTTAGCCCTAATTGGATAGTTTGCAACTTAGAATTGGGAGTGCGAAAACCACCACTACAGAGTTATTCAGCACTGGTAAAGTCTATAATACTCCGCTTCATTCGAGTCATGAGAAATGATTAAGCGCAGCTGATTAAGTTCGTCACCAAAATTCTACTATATTTTGATACCCGATAATCTCTAGGTGCTCATCAATCAGCAAGGCAAAAATATGGAATCTGTCCAAGGACTAAGTCACGCGAAGAAATGGGTTTGATGTCGTATAGCCAGGAGCTTGTATTCTTGTTCATGGACGCGTGCTGTTTTCCTGACTCCTCATTAAAGTTTCTACTGCCATTGTATTTGTCGGTTGTTGCACTTACTGAATGTTGTCGCTTATGAATGACGGGTATATACTGTATAGTCATCATTCTCGTGAGACTTCGTTGGTGTCAAATCAGGAACAGATTCCGCGAATGTACAATTCCATCATTTAGTTTTCCATTAAGAGACAAATTGAAAGTGATGTGTGCATGCACAGTGGATTAAAAGTAGATTGCAGAAGACCAGCCATAATCATGGATTTTGGACTGTAATTTTTAACTACTCGAGTATACCTGTGCGTCAATGCATCCAGATGCTTTTACAGGTAATGGGAGATTCCTTTTATGAACTTACATTCAAATGATGTTACTAAAAATTCGATTTATTTCATATTCATACGATGTACCGAGTTCATAACGCAGCAAACTGTGCTGAGGATGTAGTTCGGGACCAGTGCAAATAGTTGCGAGGAACTAGCACAGATTAATCTCGCAAATTCTTCTTTTGGCTTCAATGGTTCTATGGCATCGGACTGTTAGGAGTACGGATTGCACTGTTTGAATAAATGTTTTGATATTTTCTGAGGCATGATCTTGAGGTTGGATAACTTTCATATTGTTCTTACTGATTGTTTAGCATTAGATTTTTTATTATTCGTCGCTGAAGTTCTCAGTTTTCACCGTCTAATTTATCATAAACTATATTTTAAACTTAACAAATATTGATATATTATTCAAATATTTTATAAATATTTACTGCTGTCATTTGTGCCTATTACATTGCCGTTTCCAATATTATATTTATATCTTTTTTCAGATTTCATGACCTAAGAAATACTAGAGTACTCATTCACATGTATATATATAATATTTCACTACATTATTGAAAAGCACCTATAATGGGCGTTATGGTACTCACCATATAAAGCGTTGGTTTGGGGCACTTTGGAAGATATCAAAATATTGAGCTAGTGATTCTAGAATATCGTATTTCTAAAAATTATGATGTGGATTCACTAATTGAAGGCCGATATACGGTATACTACACACTCAAATAGACCCATTCTCGCAATCCTCCCTTCTATAAAATGTTCGAAGAACTACAGTTCTAATCCGTATCACACTGCGAAACAATTCTCCTAAATTTCAGGGAACCCCTTTCGAACCTCCCTGAATGCAAAGTTAAAGACTTTCTGATCTGCCTCAGTTTTCTTTTTTCTTTTTTCACAGAAAGCCTTGGTGTGATATTTTTCTCCTTTTTAACATTCTTGCTGTCAAAGTCGATCATTTTATTTTCAATGATAGGAGCATTGTCGCTTGTTCTAGATTATCTTATTCCATCAACATCTTTAACTAGAACACCAATTGTAATTATCATTCATTAATCATAAATACCATCACACCCCCCGAGATACAGGCACCTCATGGCCCTATTACAATCATTGTGTGTTTCGTCCCAGCATATTCTGAGTATGCCTCTAGGAGATTTTATAGTGAACGATGTGTAAAATGAATACAGAATATTAAATGAGATCTAAAAGAAGTGAGATTGTTTGGTTGGTGCGATTATACCGAATATTTGACTCGAGTATTCTTGATTTAGATATTTAACAATTCATCTATTTACCCTATTCTGAAGAAATAATTCAGAATAAGTCGCGAAGCAATAAATCTAATTATATAAAAGATTCATGACTATCTGTTTAAAAGCTCTTCCATAGGACTTTACAGCTTTTACAAAAAAACATCGATTTAAGTAAAAGGTGTCAAGCGCAGCCATGTGTATTATAGTGAGACGTGTGTACACACTGTTAGATTTCATCGAGGGAGAGTATTGCGAGATTGTAGGTCTTATTTCAACGTAGAATTTTTGTCGTCGCTTAGATTACTAGCTTTTAATTATCGCCATATTGACGAGCCGATAATCAGATTATGATATTAGTTGAACAAGCACATCTAATATCTAATATCACAACTAGCATTAGCCTGTCGCCGCTGTCATGGTCCTTAAATCTAAGCAGAGAACTTGCCTGCGCTCACAGAATCTCGACTATTCAAACATGTCATTGCGGCCTAGCATTTCACATCATACTAATATGGTCAGTATGAACATTATGTTATCCTAGATGATTTTTGACATCCCTTTAATAACTAGTTAAAAATAAGAATATTCTTTTTCATTGCAAGGATGAGGAACTCATAGTTTTATACTTGGAGATGATATTAGATTTAATGAAATACTTGTTTCTTTTCAAGTGAATATTTCATTGAATTATTAAATCTTTGTTTTTATATTTATAATACTTGTCAACTGATATCAGCCGTTTTATAAATCACATTTAAATTTATCAAAAAACACAAGTTATATTTATTATTCTAATATATCTTACAAATAATTATTTGAGAAAGTTATATTCGTAAATCAAAAGATAAAAATAATTGACTCGGGATTTCTTATCCTGATTACTGATCTCTGATAAAGTAGTTTATATATTTATTTTTCTCTCCGGAGGATTAAAGGGTCTAATTATATACCTACTCAAATTTATAAAAGGTAAATGATATAATATATAAATGAAAAAAAAAAAAAAAAAAGAAGAGAAAGAGAATTTAAAGTATATAAGAAAAAAAAAAAAAGTGATATGAATCAAGGACGGCATTCAAATCATTTTGAGAAGTTCAGATGCTTGGATGAAGAAATTATCGTTCTGCGTAACTAAGAATAATGTCGAGGTTTTATAGAAATCGAAGGCTCGAAGTAAAATCCCATTGATATGTCTCGAATCCCCCAGCAGATAGTTTATGGTAGCGACGATGGAAGAAGGATACCTGATGACAGCAAGATTCTAAAACGGAATGACGGTGATTGTATGATAACATTGTAGAGTCAATTGACTTAATAATTTCGAAATTTCGGCTTTCTAAGTTGAGAGAGCCGAATGTTGGCCTGAATTTACGAGTATCAAAAGCACCTCGAATTACTAGATTCGCTTGTAATTTGAAGGAACTGCGGATATGGTTTCTGAATACTCAAATAGTAAGATCTTATGATCGCGGGCATGAAAATGGGGATTTTGCCAATTTACAAAACTTTCTGGACGCTAACTACTTGTGGCAGTGATGATATGCCATACTCATAAGAAATTGATAAAGTACTGTAATGGCTTAATAGTTTCAAAAGAATCTGGATTTGACAGAAAGACAGAAATGCATGCATGCATTAGACAGCGACCAAACTTTGGATTTTGAGCAGAACGAATATGCTAGCGGCCATTCCGTCACCAATACTAGAGGGCTCCTCCTTTCGCAGCACTCCCCCGGCTTTTCTCAAATCACATTAGGAGAAGTACCTAGTACTCATGAATTTCAAATCGGCCATGGCGCAGACTCAGTCACTCACTAAGGTAGCCCAACCCTCCTAGAGGCTGGTACTAGCACAATAGAATGATCAAAAACTCCTCTTCGCCTCAAGCTTTTAACATCAAAGAGATCGATCGACCGGAGCCAAGTTGGATGTGATAGCCAAATTATTCTTCTATGATGTAATCGTAATTTAAGTATTCTCCGAGGCAATTAAGAACCGGGATTTGAACTTAAACACGAGTTCTATATCGACAAGTAAGTAATGAAAAATGACGCGGGGTAGGTAGGTTAAAGGCGATAAAAGTGTTGTGATGAGGAGGTGACGGGGATATCTTCATGAATGATAGACAGCTTGTGATTTTGCGCTATATGTTTGAAGAGATTTTGTTACTCGTAGATATATATAAAGATACATGATCATCGTGAGGTTGAATCGGCGCTCCTAAGTCATATTTAGATATAACTCCCAGCCACATGATTCGTATCTTGGCCTATTTTTTAACTCTTAACATAAAAAGAAGAATCAAACCAAGATCTTTGTACTTCGTATAGAAATAGTAAATTATAAGTCAAGTTTCCCAGCCATTTCTGTCGTTAATTTTATCTTAATTTCTTAATTTCTTATCAACATGACCCGTTGTCACGGAAACCGATTTCTACTTAATTAGTTAATTCTGACTAATATTCAAGGTTACGGACACTTATGTAGTATGTATTATCAAACACTAGGTACCCAGATGATAACTAAACGCTTATATATATCTACTAAACGGTAAAACGTTCCCGCGATCATATCCTTGATTGATAAGCCATCTTTTGACCAATTGGATGGAAGATACTTGGTTTATGCTTATTTTTGGCCGATGAAATTTATATGCGCCCAACTGTCCTGAAATAATGTCGATGGCTGTGATATTGAAAAATTGGGGGTTGGGAACACAACCGTGTACCCTCGCACTTCAAATTGGGTTGACAGTTGGATCTGGAAGCAGAAATGGATACTGAGAGATAAATTTCGGAGTCATTTTTCATCTTATTCGTACGATGATATGGAACTGTAGTTAAATTATGAGGAGAGGGTCGTGTTCTTAGTCTTACAAGTGCGTACAGAGATGATGTGAAATGATTGGTTGGATATCGATATTGGTTTGTGCCCCTCCTTTTTATGATGGCTCTTGGTCATGGTGGAAGTTTGGGCTTTGTCCTCTGTACTTCTTCGGTTTCTTGCATTTTGGCTTCGATGTGAGGTCAGCGTTGGTGGTGAATGGAAGTGGCAAGAGCCTTGTTTTATGGGTGTATGTCCGATATGCGTTTATCCGCCACAACGGTGCGTGATATGCAATGGTGAGATGTGATGGATGTTGTGAGACTGTTTGGGGTGGTCGGCTTGGGTGGGATTGATTGTTTGAGTGAATTGAGGGTTGTAGTGTGGTCTCATAGATTTGCAGAGTAGATAGAGGAGTAAATTGAGTTACGTTACAGGATGAATGATGAATATCAAATATCAAGAAATCTTCTCCGTTTCAGCAACACCGAAATTCAATGGAACCTTCGTCGATAGTAGATATGTCCCTACCTAGCTGGCAGCTTCGGGCACCATATCTGATTCTCAGTGCATGCGGACGAATGACTTTCTTATTTCTTATTTATTAGACTTTCCGTACCTACTGCGTAAGATCAGGACCCAATCCACACCAAAACGTGCCAGTCTAGTCTAATCCACATGTTCCCTCGTAAAAATGTCCAAGCTCTGTCAGAAGATATACAGAGAGAGTGGTGGTAGGTGGATAGATATTCGAGGGCGGTAACCTAGGTAGGTCGTATTAAATAATTAAATACCTAGGTAATAATAATGTTAATATGGATTCGTAACTTTTGTCACCCTTTGAAAGAAAAAGAGGCTTTTTTGTAACCTCTCACTCTCTCACTTCAGTTCTTACCTCTGATCTGATCCCTCACCTCTCTCCTGCTTCTGATCTTTGATCTCTGCCCTGTGATCTTTCTCAACCCTCGACTTCAATCCTCGGCCCCCAATTGATACATACAATCCAATCCAATCCATACTACATACCTACCTGGCCTTGTCTTTCCATCATCCTAAATACCCTCCTTTAGCTTTATCATAAGCCATCCATCACCCACCAAAAACACGGTAAAACAAACGAATAGAATCCTTCAATTATTCAGGTACTTGTCAGCTTCATATTTTAATTGGTTGATAACAATCTTTCTTACCCAAAATTTATCACTCCAGCTAATTTTTTATTGGACAGAGTAAACAATCAAAGTTGCATAAAACAAATATCGCCAACGCACAACTTCTCTCCAGCCTATTTCGAAAAGATCAACCCAAAAGAACTCCATAATAATAATAACAGAGCTTCAATCAGCTCTTAATTTATCCTCGAAAATATCCCGCAGAAGGATCATTGGTTTCTTGGATTATTATTTTTTAGGCTTTTAGCTTTTAATTCACTCCTTTTTCCTTTTTTCCTTGACTGAATTCGGGTTACAATTGCAGAGGGAAAAGCCTCAGCTGCATCTTTGGGGCTGAGGACCAAGCATTTGAACCACCATTCGAGAATAATTCAATTCATCTTTTTCCCCAATTTTCTTACCGGCATTTCTTGTACATTACACAAACCCTTCCAAAAAGCCGCCCATCCTACCGCTGATGCATCCCTCCGTTCGTTTATTCGAATTGTGAGGAGTTATCATTATGGGTGTCGAATCAAAAAAATCAAGAGCTCCCCCTCTGCCTGCGCCAACCGAAACAAGTACCGCGGACAGTGACGCCGAAAACGAGAACGAAACTACTGAGTTGGGATCAAGAGTGACGGATAAGAGTGCATACACGATACCTGATGACGGTGCTCCCGTCACCATAGCTACTCGGAAGAAGAGGAAACAGGATAGTTTAAGTAGTTTATCAAACAATAAGTCTCAAACTTCATTGTTGATCGAGTATTTTGAAGGTGGAAAGGAAGACAGAAGTCGAAGACCATCGGTTCGTGTCAAAGTTACACCATCATCGAAACACCGAAGCAAGTCAGCTCATGAGCACATCCAGATTACGGAGTCCAGAAAAGGTGCTAGAAGGCCATCGTATACCCAACGCATTTCATTATCCGATGCCAATAAGGAGAATAGACGATCGGCGCCAGAAGACGAAGCCAGCATGAGCTCTTTCCGTTCTACAACTGAAGAATCCAACGTCACCTCTAGGAGCGGTGGTAGACCTATCGAGGTTGAGATCATGAGGCATGGAAGTCCGCTGATACCCACCGAGTTAGGATCAAAAAGTGCTTTGTACAATGGTTCCGATATATCATCCATGCCTGCCGATAGTTTCCTCGATGGACATACAAGATCTCCAGAGCGAAGACGTAGCCGAAGTTTGACAAGAGATGAAGCTTTGATTGCTGGAACAGCTACCGGCTTGGCCGCCAGTGCTGCATCGGAAAAGTCGAGAACTCCATCGCGCCGACGAAGTCGAAGTCTTAGCAGAGAACGAATAGTGGCACAAAAGGCCATGTCAAAGGTGCGCGGTGATCGGTCAGAAAATCGACGCAAACAACGAAGGAGTCGTAGTCGAAGCGTCAGTGGTGACAAGCTTACAGAAGGAATCAAGTCGCCACGAAGAAGATCAAGCCGAAGCCAAGCCGAAGAATCTTTAATGTCTGGAGCCGACTCGGGTCTTCTAGATTCACAAGTCAGTCGCAATTCTGACAGAGTTTCGGTCCGATCTGGAGCTTCGAAGAATTCCTCCATTAACAATCCTAAGCTGCTGGAAACCGTTGAGGATGCCATCCGTCGTTTGATCTTACCCGAATTATCAGCACTGAAGAGAGAATCAAGTAAGCGTGCGGAACGTCGAAGTTCTGTAGGAAGTGGCATCTCTAGCATATCAGGAGGACCCAAGGTCACCCTTAATGATGGGGAGGTTCTCTCTGGAAGGAACCGCACCGATCGTGTGAGAGATTCAGACTCACCACGGAGTTTCGATCGAGGCGAATCGGAAGAAACTATTTCACAAAATGACAAGGCGAAAAAGAAGAAGAGTCGGGGCCTCGAAACAGCTGCTTTGGGTGCAGGGGTAGGCGCCTTGACTGCGGCTGCTCTACAGAAGCACCAATCACAGGAGTCTGTGATGGATGAAAAGAAAGAGCGAAGACGCAGGAGGAAGAATCACAGCCGTGGAAATAGCTTAGGTGGCGAGCTCTCACCCACCGAAGAAAGGAGTGGCCTCGATTTAGCACCCCCTATGCCACTCATGAGCGCGATCAATGCCTCCGATATTACCAGAACTTCGATCTTGTCGGCTGAATCAGAGAGACCTCATTCCGCTAGCTCGCAGCGTGTTACGCCTGTTCAAGAGGTGGTGGCCCGGAAAGAAGTTACTTCTCCAGCTACTCGAACGCCAACTCGGACGCCGATTAATCTACAACACGGCTTAGGTACTCAGCATTCGAACTTCTCACGCGGAAACCTCAGTCTCCATAGTCAAAATAGTGAGCAGCAGTTACCCGGTCAAGAATACGAATTGGATGAGAATGGAAGAAAAGTGCCTATGCGAGAATTTTACGATCCTGATCTTGACGATTCAGCGCTGTCAGAAGAGCATAACGGGGGTCACTCTAATACAGCCAGAGCTGGTCTGGCAGGCGCTGTTGCTGGTGCTGGCCTGGCAGCGCTTCATCATGATCAACATGATATCCCCGATGACGAAGATTCTGAATTACTTGAAGCTGAGCCACAACATCCTTACTATCAGAACACCCAAGAGGTGCCTCCTCCACTCAGATACATCCCTTATGGTCACGAGAGACGTGGTTTGAGCCCTATTCAAAGCGTTTCAGGATATACCGAGAACGAAGACGGGCCACCTAATCAACGAGACTCTAAGTTAACCGAGAGTACGAGATCATACTCTTCATTAGCAAAAACCGCTCAACACAACCGGTCCATGAAATCGCTTGAATCCGTTAATAATACTCACAATCGTCATGACTTTTCAGAAGTTCGAACGGGTGGCCTATCCGATTCTGAGCTTACTCAAGATGGGGATGGTCAATATTGGGATGAACAACACCGAGAGAACGATCGAAATCGAGATTTTGACTCCCAACTGAGTTTTGAAAATAAACGATTGACGAACTATACCGATGACAGCCTTGATACTCGAGATCTCTCAACCGGTCAAAATATTAAAGGTGTCGGTGGAAAACCTGACTTTGTCAATACGCCCATAGGAGTCGAATCACATGTTGCTTCGTTGGTTAATGCATCTGAACTCACCGGCACTAACTCATACCCTGGTAGCAATAGCCAAGTCAATCGCAAAGCTTCTTACGAATCATTTGAAGATGAATCTGAGAGAAACTCCACAAGCCGCGGCAATAGTCCCGTGAAGTCAAAAAATCCTCAGAAATATGCCGAGGAGTATGATCTCGATGAGAATGGAAGAAAGGTTGAGATGCCGAAAACACAAACCAAGGAAAAACTTGGAGCAGGTGCTCTGGGAGCCGCTGCTGCCGCACTATTGGCAAAAGCACGTGAAAAGATGAACAATAATAACAATAACGATGCAGACAATATCAAGTATGAGGAACGTAAGGAAGATACGGGAGCACCCTTGCAGAAGTCTTTCAAGGATCGTACAAGTGATGGACAACGACTTTCTTCTCCTCGCCACAGCATCGATAATCTCAGTGAAGTCAGTCAAATGACTGATCAACCTAAAATGACCGCCAGTGGACTTCCAGATATGCATGATCCAATGCCCGAGATTGGTTATGGAGACGATGCATCAGAAGTAACAACAAACCCATCTATCATTCAAGGACCAATCGGTGGTACACAACATGGAAGCCGCGATCACTGGCCAAATCATGCCACGCCACCACAAGCCAAGCGCACACAAAGTTCCGAATCTGGCACTGCTCTTCATGAAGCAGAAGCTGCATTGATTGGTGCCGCTACTGGTGCGGGTGCCGCTGCTGCTTTGGCTGGCCACAGCAGAGAAGTTAGCGGAGAGCATGATGATGAGTGGAGAAGAACTTCCGGAGAGCGAAAGCGTGATACTCTCATCACAAACCCATACGAAGATACCAGTCCAGTTGCTAATCTTGGTAATGGAACCGGCCTTGATCGAGAGCTTTTGAATCAAGCTGGGTTACAAAGTGCCAATCGCGCATACAATGATAAGCTTTATGCTGGCAGTCCAAATGGTCTACCCAAGGATGAGGGATATATATCATCGGCTCCGAATGCTCGTTCTGCTGGTGCTCAGACTCCCGAACAGCGTCTGAACAAAGGAAAAGGTATCGACTTTATGGACCAAGAATTAGGAAACGCGACAGATGCATTAAATGGTGACCGATTTTATCCCGGTCATTCTCGGCATCTTAGTGGCATGTCACAAGGGATGGACTCTCCATTATATGACAGTGCAACCGGCAATGGTATTGATCGTATTCAATCGAGGGATATCGTTGCTTTGATGGATCATCTCACTGTTCGTGACGCTCAACGTAGTGCCCGTGACACTGAAATTCTCGTGACGCTTGTTCGAGCCGCTGCCGAAATGAGAAATTCTTTCGAAGACATGAAGAGATTACTTGCTGATACTGAAGATGTCATTATCACCGAAGTACAAGGCAACACGGAGAAGTCTGTCCAAAAGGTCATCAATGGACCGCGCCCTCTACCACAAAGTGCACCTCGATCTATCAGATCAGCAGAGATGTATGAAGATCTTCCTACGAAGCGAAGAAATGTTTTTCGAAGAGCATTGAAAGGTTTGAGCAAGAGGAGTACAAATGATCTTGGAAAGATTGAAGACATGCTTGTTCAATTACTCGGTGATGTTGAGGGTCTTAAAGTTGCTCAAGGTCTTCAGAATGGTATTTTGGATTATGATGATTTCCCTGAAGGACGTTCTGAACAAGATCGTGGTTACGTCCCTGAAGGTAATGCTGGTACTTCCACTGGAAGTCACGCAAGTCAATCTGGTCCTCTTTCCATTCCACTTTCTCAATCTCGTAACACAAACCGAGGCTTTGATGGCCGCAAGTTTTCGGATCATCGAATTAGTACAGTACCTGAAGGTGATGAAGATGAACTTAGTCCACATGAGGAGGAAGTTCTTAATAATCAGTTTGAGAATGATGGAGATGTTCTTACTCCAACTCGTGAGACTTTCCGTGACCGTGGAGAGTCTCTACCATTGGATACACCTCCTCAACAACATAAGGCTTCCGGCTCCCTAAGCAATGAGAATACTCCTCGAAATGAGACAGAAAAAAATAAGAAGCACAAGTCAAGTAGCTCTTCTGGTTGGATTCCTAAAGTATCTCGTTGGTCCGAGACTACCGCCTCAACTGTGTTTAAAGGCTTCCGCAACAGTGGTCGTAAGAGTGGTGGCAAGGAGCCTGAACAATACAATTCACCTCCATCAGGGTCGGATTCCGGACTTGGTACATATCAAACCGAACAAGAGCATACTGACCATGATCGCGAGCGTGACTATGATCATGATAAATTCATTGAACCTGCCAGGGTTGATTCACCTGCTACCCCTAGATCGGTAAGATCACTCGCTAGGTCTGATGATAAATTACATTCCGGTTTCTCTTCAGAACAACTTCATCAACAATTTATGGAAGGTGATGTTCCTTTAAGTCTCTTACCAGGAGTTATGCCGGGTGTTGAAGATCCAAAATACAAGGCTCATCGAAATTCTTTGAACCTTCAACATCCACAACCTCGTCAAGGTCCTACACATCGCTACCAAACCCATCTCGAATCACAAGCTCAAAATTTTGATCAACCTCAACCCATGTCTCCTTCATCCCTTAACTGGGGTTCATCAACTAGCATTAATCGTCTACCGCCTAATGCCAACCATCGTTATAGTCAAGCAACAACTAACACTGATGGAAGACTTTCACCTATTTCTGATGGTGGATATTCGGATCGTTCTGCCTCAGGCCAAGCTCCTGCTAGACCTCCTAAGGAGCCAATTGTTCCTGAGAAGCCACTCAATATTCGTAATAAATCCACAAAGCCAAGTCCATTGAGTAATGAACATTTACAAGAGGAGAATGAAGATAGTAATACGCAATCTGCTTCGAGAAGATTAAGTGGTGCGTTGAATGTTCCGACAAGAAAACCTACTGGGCCAAGAAGTATGAGTGTGGCTAGTAAGAGTGGAGAGTTGAACAGAGATGAAACAGTTATTAGGAGGAATGTTAAGAGGAGTAAGTTTCTTGATTTAATTTGATCTTGTGGGACAAATGCTAATGGATATATAGACACATTCAATGATTTTACCAGCAATCATAGTGGCGAGTCGGAAACTTTTTAAGCGAATTAAAAGATTGAGCGTGCGGAGCGTAGTGATTTCTTAGAATACCCCTGTTGCAATAACATGATAACAGACCACAATAACACAATATGAAATAATAATACTTTTGCGGATATTTGGGCTTGGATGAATGGATAGGATGGAGGATTAGTTGCGGAATGAATGGATTTCTTCAGGAATGGGGTGATGAGAGATGAAAGTTGGAGAAATGGAGGTTATGATGATGATAGCAGTGGTACAGAAGGGGATTTCTATGATGATTTGAGTTGAGCTTTGCCACTCACTTTCTTTCAATGGATATGATACCGGTTTTCATATTTGGAAAGTGGGGCATTTGATGACATTATGATGAAAGATGAAAATGAATGGATGGATACCTCTTGGTCTTTTTATTTTTATCTTGCGAAATGTTGTTTGTGTATGTGTGTCTGTGTTTTGTGTGTGTGTGCGGTGTGGTCGCTCCTTGTGTTTAATTTTGGGTGTGGGTTGGGGGTGGAGGAGAGGGAGGAGAGGAGGCAGGAGAAAGAGGAGGATTTAATGTGGAGGGATTGAGTGGGTGGGAGGAAGGATGGAAGGAAGGGTGGAAGGAATGGGAAGAAAATGGTGGATGAAGGATGGATGGTAATGGGATGGATTGTATATAGATTATGGGATAGGATAGATAGGTGTGAGCTGTGCTGGGCTGCGCTCATGACTTATTTATAGATGCGATGTGAAATGATATGAAAATTATGGATGGCTATGGGTGTCCTTTCATTCGGTTTTAACGTCTTTGATGTAATGTTTTATGTGTTGTTTCTTGTTGTGCTTTGAGGTTATATGATTTATACTGTGCCCTGCTTATTAATTATGCCATGCTATGCTATACTGAACTATACTATCCTAGGTAGTTAAATTTATATCTGTATTTGTATCTGCTCAAAAGCTTAAGAACACCAGGACTCCTAGGTAGGTAGGTAGGTAGGTATATGATGAGAATGAGATGGAATGGTTTGAAGTTTGTGGTTTGAGGTAGTATATGGGTTTTGGAGAAGGTGTTTGATAGATGTGGCTTGAATGGGAGGGGGGATGGCCGGAAAGTAGGGTAGTTAGTTGACTTGATCTAAAACAGAAAAATATACGTCGATATACAATGTCTTTTTGGAAGGCTGAATGATTTGTTGAGTTGAATGGGTTTTTGGGGTTGAGGTCTTTTTGTAAGGGTTTCTATTCTCTACTTCTCTTGGTGTTATATACAGTTCTTCTACAAGGGCCAACGAGAATCCATAATCTCCTTGATAGAAATACGCTCTTCTGGTTTCCATTTCAATATCCTCTCCAAAAGATCTTTCATCTGTGAAGCTTCCTCCTTTTCTACTTTAACACCACTCGGTTCCAACATCACAGCACAATTTCTCCCCGGATCATCCTCCTCTTCATCCTCAGCACCAATATCGGCTATCTTTTCATCTAGTTCAAATTTTCTAGCTCTGACAATGCCATTATCTCAAATCTTTTTTGGTTCTTCATCGTCATCAAAAAACAAGATGGGATTTCCCCACGCTGTCCACCATGGCTCGGGCAGTTTACCCAATGCTGATACCATTTGTCGAAGTATATCATCTTTCGTCCCAGTCCAGTCTCCAAAGAGTTGCTCACCACTTTTAATCTCGAAGAGTATGCATCCGAGAGCCCAGATATCGGAGTAGATACTCATCTTCGAATCAAGGATGACTTCAGGCGCAGCATAGGATATTGTGAGGCGAATATCATCTGGGTTTGTTCGTGGACTATCTTTATGAAACGCACAGCACAGCCGAAGTCAAGGAGTAAAATTTCTTCGGATAGAAAATCTGGGTTGAGAAGAGAACAGGGTTCGACGAGATATTTAGGAGCTGATTTTCCTGGTGTCGATCCAGAAATCGTTACAATTTTATCTTTTTTCGGATGACCCAATCGCTTGTAAATTTCTTCTTCAGACAAAGTATCTATAGAATCATTGAGTTTGAATAAAATATTGGAAGCAGTAAGATCTATCAAATCATCAGCAACACAATTAATTTTTTCCTATCTTACTTAAAATCCAGGACAAGACAAAACCTACCCCTATGACAGAATCCTCGAGAGCGGATAAAATGCAAACCTTGTGCTACTTGTCTCGCAATCTTAAGAGCAAGCTCTGCTCATAATCTTCTACTACCGGCCACTGCACCAGGAGCATAATTCAACGACGCAAGACTCGGTCCTGCAACCTGTAAAACGAGACAGAGATGTCGACCATTCGGCCCTTCAATCATAAAATGATCCAATAGCTGGATTATATGATTTTTCCCGGATGTTTTATATTTATCGAATCCATCAATTCCCGCAGAACCCCTAACTCATCCCCATCTCCATCTAAATCCCCATGAACATCAACACCCAAACCAGCAACCCCAATCTTCAACCCAACATAACGCTCCGCAACTCTATCCCGTGCTAACCACACGGTGGAAAATCCTCCGTACCCCAATTTATGGATTATTTTATAGCGGTCGATGATAGTGTCGCCGATGTCGAGGGGGTGGTAGCCACCTGGGGTGTAGGTTTCTAGGGTTTTGATGTTGTCTAGGGTTGAGGGTTGGTATTTGGGAGGGGTAGGGGCATTGTGGTTTGTGGTTTGTGGTTAGGGTGGAGGGGAAGGGAAGGGCCGGGAGGGGGTGAATGTTAATTTTGTGGGGTGTGGATTTGTGGGGTGGATGGTGAAGTAGGGAGTTGGGAGTAGGGAGTTGCGGGAAATTTTATTGGTGGGTTTGATGATGTTTAGAAATGAGCCGATGGCGATATCGATTTTATATGTTGGAGTGGAGCGGTATGCCAATAGACGCTCGATTGGTTGAAAGCAAACCGAATTATAGCATTCTTTAGGACAATCTAGAGTGGATCCAAAATTATTAGGTTCTGCTTTATATTATTTCGATTATATTATAAACGGCGATTTTTTAATAAAGAATTATAAATATTCATTACACATCATGAAAATTTTATACTTTAATATAATTAGATTAATTTAGTTTTTTTTATATTTAATTTTTTTAAGAATTTTAAAAAGGTTTAAAAGAACTTAATAAAATCAAAGATATTAGAAGAAATATTTTTAAAATAAAATTATATTTATAATAAAAGTAATAGTCTTAATAAAGTAATAATATATATAAAATTAAAGATAAATAAATAATTCTCTTTTGATTTTACAAAAACAACCAATAGACGAGATTTTAAATTGTTTTTTTATTGATTTAAATAATTGATTCAGCTTTAGATAATATATAACCAATAGAAATATCTACTTCTGAATACTATTTTCTCTTGAGATTGTAATACTTATCTATTCTCCAAAACTAGATATCAAACATTCAATCTATCCGATCTAAAATTAGGCTGCGCAAAAATAACCTATGGGTTGCGGATATCCGCAAATAATCCGTCCCACGGGTTACTCAATAAATATACAATCCGCTTCGCGGGTTATCTATTGGGATTTTAAAATAACTTGTATTATATAGGTTATTTGTAGATTATCTGTAGATAATCCATTAATTCATAATTAGATATAATTTATAAAGATTAGTATAAAAACTAGTATAAAAAATATAAAAACAGCTTCAAAATTTAAATGAATATTTATCTTATAAATAATTTGTAGACAATTTACAAATAATCTGTAAATTATTCACAGATAATCTATTTATTTATAAATTGATAGATTATCTGCAAATTGATAGATATCTAAAAATAATCTATAATTAATTCGTAGGTTACCCATTCATATTCTTTAATTACCCACTTCGCAAATGGATTATCTGTAGGTTATCCTCTGAGGGTAATAATCCGCCCTGCGGAGTGTAACGATCTGGTAGAGACAGCGGCTGCCTCAGGTTTCGTCTGGTTGGTAGTTGTGGGTTAAGGCTAATAATCACTGGTTATCCACTCGAAGGTGAATACGTTACTAGATCAATTGGAATGTAGGTAAACTAATTGATAACTAAGTTGAGCACGAAGCTCCTAAACTATGAAACTATTCTGACTATATACTAATCACTTTCCCATGCTAGCTATGCTAGCTGGCTAGCACGGCTAGCATTCCTGTGATGCTAGCTCTGCTAGCTGGCTAGCAGAGCTAGCACATCACGTGACTGATCCTGAGGCCTCTCATATCCCAAGGCCTTTCCTTTCCTGGAACACTTGTCCCAGGAGCTTTCCCTCTAGGAACCATAGCCTTAGGATACGATATCCTCTAGGGTGATAGTCCCATTACAACCAATTAGGTAGGACACTTGTCCTATTCTACTATGGTTGCCTAGGATACTTATCCTAGGAATCCTGGGGTCCTAGGCTTAGGTAATCAGGACCCTCGAAAGCAACGGTTAAATCACACCCCCCCTGTAGTCGGCCTATAAATCACCGACGTTAATAATACTACTATAAAGAAAACCGTGAATCGTGACACGGAGCCCTGTTGCGCAGCCTATCTAAAATATATATCCACATCCACATTCACATCTATACCATCCATCATTCCAAGTCTTCTACAACTTCGCTTTCTCCCTCTCCCTCCCCCTCCCTTCCTCAGCCCCTCCACCTCCATCCTCAACCCCATCCCTCTCCCTTTACAACAAAATACTCCCTAATCTTCTCTTTCGCCACATGAATCACGCTCTCATCTTCAATCGTCGCGGGAACATTAACTTTCTTCCCTGTATCCCTATTATATTCATTTTCTAGCAATTCCCTCAATACCCTTCTTAATGTTTTACCTAAATTGGCAAAATATTAGCTGTATTTCGAATTCAAATCCCTCAACTCATCCCCTCTCTCCAAAAACCCGCAGCCAAAAGAAATCACAAAAAACTCACCACTCCTCGTCCTAGGAATCATATTCTTTCCCTGAATAATCCCTCCTAAAGTAGCAATTGCACCAATTTGTTTCCGTAACAATTCCTGAATTTCCTTTTCGAGTTCTGCTTCTGGGATTACTGATGTTGGATGAGCGGACGTTGAAAGTGTGATGAATGCAAAGGGCTTATGGCCTTTAAGGGGGTCTGGGATGCCGACTACGCAGCATTCTGTTATGAGGGGATGGGCGGAGATTGCTTGTTCGATTGCACCTTTTGAGGTTAGTTTGAGGTTTGTGCCCAAGGGGTGTAGAAGAAAGTTCATGGGAAGTGAAGAGTTGGGAATGGAAGAAAGAGAAATGGAGGAAACAGGAAAAGGAGAAAAGAACAACAAACCAGTACTAAACCGATGAGCCGCCACATTAATAATATCATCACTCCGACTCAAAATACTAACCCAACCCTCCTTATCCACCACCCCCGCATCCCCAGTATCAATCCACCTCCCACCAAACCGCTTCATATACCCCTTATAAAACCTCTCTTCATCATTCCACAGCGTCCTAAAACCCGTTGGTGCCAACGGAATCCCAAGAACTATGTTACCCATTGTACCGCGTGGAACTTCATCGCCACGATCATCAACGATGCGAACATCGAAACCCGGGAGAGGTTTTCCCGCACTACCGGGTTTGACGGGGAGGATTTCCGTGGATTCATGGCTGGCGATAAGGGATAATCCTCTTTGTGGTGAAAGTGCAATACCGGTCATTGGACTCCCTGATTCGGATGACCACCAGTTATCTATAACATTTGCACCCTTTGCTGCATATTTCTCCAGGAGTTCTTGATACATCGTAATAATACTCGGTTCGCTTCTTTCACCTGCAAGAAATAGCGCACGGAGAGTCTTAAGACCACCTCTTTCCCCAATTTCCTTGAACAATTTATTTTCTGGATCATCGCGACGAATGGCTCGAAGAGCAGTTGGTGCTGTAAAAAGTGTATTGACTTTATATTCATCAACAATTCTCCAAAACGTCCCCGCATCAGGTGTTCCTAAAGGTTTTCCCTCAAAAAGAACAGTTGTAGCGCCAGCTAGCAAAGGTGCATATAAAATATATGAATGGCCAACTACCCAACCAATATCCGATGCGCAAAATATGACGTCTCCAGGTCCATGGATACCGAATACGTAACTAATAGATAAGTTTAAACCGACTGCGTGACCACCCGCTTCTCGTAATACACCTTTAGGTAATCCAGTTGTCCCTGATGTATAGATAATGTAAAGACCATCTGTACTTTTCACTGGTACACAATCTGCTTTTATACCACGGGAACCAGCACTTTTGACTAATCGTTGCCAATTTCTCTCTCCGTTTTCTTTGTTGGGATTTTCCCAGCGCAATTGTTCGCGTTGCCATATAATAGTCTTATTAGGTTTATGAGATGAGAGGGCGATAGCTTCTCGAATGAATGGTTGATAGGATAGAGGAGGTTTAGTTCCATCTATTCCGCAAGAAGCTGTAAGGATAGCTACCGGTTTAGAAGCATCAATACGCTGGGCTAAACTGGCTGCTGCGAATCCACCGAATACGACGGCATGAATTGCTCCTAGACGAGATATCGCAAGGGTACCTATAAGAGCTGCGGGAATCATGGGCACTATAATAAGTCTCACATTAGCTCTTTCTCTCTTCATAGGTACACAAACAAAATGAACAAATCCACAGACTCACTATAAACCAAAACTACATCACCCCTCCCTACCCCCTCCTCCCTCAATACCCCCGCAAACACCTCTACCTCCCTCAACAATTCCCCATAACTAATCTTCTCTTTACATCCCGTCACAGGACTATCCCAAACAATAGCCGTTTGCTCTCCATTCCCTGCGAGCACATGTCGATCCACACAATTATAAGAAGTACTTATTTCACCATCTGCAAACCATTCCCAATGTTTATGCGAGATACCTGATTTTAGAATTTTAGTTTTTGTGGTGAGGATTTGAGTCGGCGATATGTGCCAGTGGAGATGGGAGGCTTGGGTTTTCCAGAAGGTTTGTGGATCCGTGAGGGAGTGGTGTTGGACTTTGTCTTGGGGATGGGGGGGCATTTTTGTTTGTGAATTGGCATGAATAGTGGATTGATTTGATACTTTTGGAGATTGGAATTGCAGCGGAAAGTGTACTGTATTTGTGGTTTGAATATGTAGTTGTCGTGTTTTTGATATTCAGCTACACAAGCTTATGTCTCATGTAAGGTTAAGTCTTACCTAGGTAATCCACCATATAATAATGCTCTCAATCGTTAGTCATACAAATATATCCCAAGCAGCTCAATTACCTCAAACAATCAATCACAATCAAATCAGATTCAATCATCAGCGTATACCAAATGATTCGCTTGTAGAGTCAAATGTCAAATCCCATCTAAATCCCAAACCTCATCATAAAGATAAAACAAAGATAAAAAAGATCCTACTTATTACTTACAAACCACAACATTAATTAACCAACCTTAGAACAATAACCCTAAGATCTTACATCTCATACAAATCTCAACCCTTACCTCTCACATCTCACATCTCACACTACTTACCAACTTTCCCACCTCCACCTCAGCACCACGATGAATGAACCGATGCATAACATCTACAAACAACATAACCTAAGTCTCACAACCAGTACCACTTACCTACCTACCTACCTACATACCTACAAACAATCTAGCCAATAGCCTCATAATGTAAGGGAGATAAATAAATAACTACCACGCGAAACTAGTGATCAGAACCCCGCATTCCTAGCTCTCAGAGAAAAGCGAGTAGTTTTAAAGGGTAAGGGTGTAGATTGAAGAATAGAACTGATAGGGTATTTATACCCGGATCAGCACTAGATCTAAACTAAACTAGCGTACATGTGACCTGATAAAATTACTCTCGTTACACTCAGCTCTGAGCTCTAGCTCCCACTAACTTTCCCCAGGAAAGCTCGGTCCATCTTAGTTTAGTTTAAGTTTCAGCAAAAGGAAGACCAGAGCAGAGTGAATAAATCAGCTATGATATTATTATTATTTTATCTTTTATTTATTAAAGACTTAAAAAAAAAAAAAATCAAGATGAAATTCATTGATACAATTAAGGTTAGGGATTTATAATAAAGTTGAATTATATTTTTATTTTTTACTTTGTTATTGAGTAATCTAACTTAAGAAGTTAAATTATTAAATTATATACAATTATATTATTTTTATTTATACACAAGGGAGAAATAATAAAGACTATCCAGAAGGAATGAAAAAAATTCACGAATGAAATCAGTGTATACATTTCACATAGTACCTAGGATAAGATCAATATATATAGAAGTATAAAGTAGAGAATATGTATTTTTATTTACTTTACTCTATTTAGACTCTTACGATACCATTTTGTATCCATCCATCCATCCACCTGATACGCCCATCTATCTATTTTCCCGTCCCATCTCTTAGCATCATTCTCCTTTCCTCCTATCTAACAATTCCCTCTGTCTTTCTCCCCTCATCTCCCTCTCCTCATTGCCCTCCTCACTAACCAAGCATCCACCCTTCTTCACCAAGCTTTTAAAACAAAAACAAAAAGAACAGCCGTGGTAAAAAAAAGCTGCAAAAACGAACGTCAAGAAAAAGGGGTATCCGATCATCCCTCCACTTCAACACCGAGCGAAGAGGATATCCAAAAAAGGCCTATAGCCTATCAAAGAAATCTCAAAAAGAGAAAGAAGAAAAAAAGAGAACCAAGGAAAAAGTGGCTAAGTACAAGAAAGCTAAAGATCGACCGAAAGAAAAGAGAAAATGACAAAAATAAAAAAATAAACATGCTTGCTAGCTTGCACGATATTGTAGAATATACAAGAACATTAACTGTAAGAAATTTCCATCGATATCCATCGAGATGGTTTCTGTTTTGTCGGCGCGAGCCTCATATTTCCACTTCTTGAGATAAGAAATGTCCCCCATATCCTCTCCATTCCTTCCCTAATATCCGAGCTAGCATTTCCCCATGCAAAGCTTTGTGAAGTTCCTCCCTGCCCACCAACCATCCAATAACCACCAGACCAATCCCAACCCATCCCATACCAGACTCAAGAAAATGTAATGAATGTATATGTAATATCATACAACCTAATAGTTGTGCTTTGTATGCGTGTGAGTGAGATCAAAAATTTGTGAAAGGATCCTCCCTAGAATCTCTTCCAATTTTATCCGATCTCTCCTCCAAGTCACGATGACCATATTCTTCTTCCCCGGCAGTTCTACTTCCACTATACCAATCCTCTATTGCTCTTCCGCCGAACCCACCAAATCCACTGCGACTAACACCAAAAGATTCCTTATTTCTACTCCTCCTCCTTCCATCTCTGCTGCGCCGACGCTGCAGACTCGTCATATCCATCTCATCTTGTTCATCGGGAAAATCGTCAAACCTCGTAACACCTAATGGAGAAATAAAAGCTTCCATTCGCACCGTTCCTACTGCATCGAAGAAGTTATTAACAACTCCTGGACGTGCACTAGCATCGGATGTATGAATAGATGAATGACTACTAGGTCCATTGTAACCTGCTATCGAAGACTGCTGAGAATGGTGAGAGCTTTGATTCTCGGAAGAATCTACTGTTCTATCACTCATTCCTGCAGTGCTATGCGTAGGTACATGACTACCACTGAAACCTCGGAACGATAAAGGAGGTGGAATATGCGAGCCGGTATTACTGCGCTTCCTGCCATGGCCACCCATTCCTCTTTCGGAAAATCGGGGAACAAATGGTGCTTCTGCGGGTTCCGAGCGTACGGAGTGTGAATTTGTATAAAACGATTCATTATCGTGAACGCTAGTAGTTGTATCCGTTTGCTGAGAAGTTGAAAAGGTCCTGGCAGAGCTGCTACGATTGAAAGAATTTTTCCCCTTGGCGACCTTGATCGAATCTCGTATTTTGTGAGTTTTTTGCGTACGACCAGGCTTTTGGAAGTCAGGTAGTGGAGAAGCTTTGGTAGAAAGGGTTGCAGCAGGGTTAGGTGTGATAACATCAGGCACGGCCTGCGATGAATGTGCAAGGAAGGAGAGGGCGGTAAGCCAGAGATAATGTCGTTCTCGTGAAACAGCAGTGAACTTGAGAGCACGAGCCGGAGTGAGGATCAAAATTGAACGATTGAAAATCCCACCAGATCCCTTCGGTGGTGGATTGTCGTCTTTAACATCCAAGACGGATTGAATTGTTACTGTTGAAGTTAGTATGGTTAGAGGAAGCAAGTTTGGATAACTTACATTTCCTTCCAGTTTTGCCCATCAGTGCAGATCCAGACGTGGGTTGTTTACTACTCCACATGACAGCCCGTTCATACGGTGCCAGCCAGACCCAACGTTTGTGACGAGCGCCATTAGTAGCATTGTCTCCATCTTGATCAGAAACTCCGAAGGACTTGCGTCTTCTAACGTACTTAAACATCCACTCTCCAACCATCGTCTGTGCAATAGCATCTACGACACTTGTGGCTTGGTTAGTACTTTGACCATCAGTAACAGCTGATGATCCAGCAGTATTTGTTGTAGACAATTGATTTCTATGCGTCCTGTAACGACTACTGCCATTATCCTTTGAGAATCGTGGGGTGGTAATATCGTTGCTGGGAAGTGGTGGTAAGCTAGGGCTTTCAGGTTCTAGAGTTGGTGACATGGGCGGTGATCTGCTTTCAGAACGTCGCGCAATACGCCTACTTCTATTCACAGCAGCTGCGGATCGAACCTTTCTAACACTGCCTGCTCGGCCAACACTACCTGCACGATGTGGTCTTGATCCTCTTCCATTGCTCGGGGTCCTAGTAACGTCGCCCGGGGCGCTCGAAGCAATTCCAGTTCTTCGAGAGCTAGCTCTGGTAGGTATTGGAAATGGAGGTGCAACCTCTTCAGACAATCCGGAACTGCCAGGTCGAGCTCGATGAGCCTTAACACCACTTTGAACAAGAGCCGCACGATGCATTTGAGCTGGCTTGGCCATTGACACAATAGGTAGGGATTGACCAAGAGTCCGAGCGGCTTTGGCAGATGTCCCTGAAGGCAATTCTAATGCTTCTTCTTCAAAATGATCATCTGCTTCATTTTCTGCGCTGGAGCGATTCTTAATGGCCAAGATATTAGGAATTTCCGTTTTTTGAGGAAGTGATCTTGAAACTTGTGAAACTTTCTTAGCATCCTTCTTAGTCGGTTTAGGCGCAGAAAGTGCTGTTCTGAAGTCATTATCGCTAATGTCACCATCGCCAAATTCATCAGCCTCGTCAGAACTTGCACCATCAAAGCCTGCAAAAAGACTGCTGATGCGATGAGGTCTTCTAATATGACCTCTATCTTTCGCCAGAGGTCCATCATCATTATTACCTGGGTAGACATCTTTAATCTCCATTGCAGGCGGTGAGGATGGAAGAGTTGTTATGCTTCGCTGGCTGCTTTGGCGACGCGGGTTCTTGGGAGGAAGAGTATCCGGTATTGGTGAGAACTGAAGACCTTCAAGTCTTATCTCGGGTGATGGAGGGCCGGACGATATTATAGATGGGTGAAGGTGAGGTGGAAGAGACATCAACCGTTGAGCTACCCTGATCTCTTCTGTTTGTACAGCCATAGATCTTGTTGATATAGGCTTTGAAATTGCAACTTGACAGCCTACATCTTTGGAAAGTTGTGGCAACAATGACTCGCGAGGAGTTGCTGGGGCTGAGGAAGGTGGATGCAGTTGAATCGATGGAATAGGTATGGGAGGTGGGAGACGCTTTGGTGATGTTGGTGATGTTGGCGATGTGTTGGTGGTTTCGATTTGAGTATCGGTTTGTGTGGAAGTGGAAGTCATCTCAATTTTCTCTTCAATGGGCACGAATTTAGGTGGTGGCGGTGGAACTCTGGTTGGAGAGACTGGTGTCCTAGGGGGGCTAAGAGGCTCGTCCACAGTTTGTGATGCTGCAGATACCATGGGAGAATCTTTGAGAGGTTCTATGACCAAAGGAGGATTCGTATACACACGTTTTCTTCGCTGATTCGCTCCAACCTCCCATTCTTTAGTTGCTGTTGCTGTTTCAAGTGGAGACTGCTTCTCGAGGATTTGCGGAGTTTGCATCTCGGCTAGCGCTGTTGGTTCGATAACAGAGACTGTCTCTATTACTAGAGAAAATTTCGGCGATGGTGGAGGAGTGTATTGAACGCCAGTGTCGACGTATTGGAACTTGGGTTGAGATAAAATTTCGTCGTGCTCTGAGATACCTCTTTCTGACATCTCCAAAAGTGTTTGGCTGAGTAACGATGTACCTCGGGTTATGATACTTCCAGGTCGCTTCATACTGTCACCACTCTGATTCCTGCAGTGAGTACGGAACAAGATACTTTCGCGACTTTGGGTTCGTTGATGTTTCTCAGGAGATGACATAACACTATCGCGGCCACCTTCATAATCAGTTTCATCATCGAGATCCAATTCATCAGCAAGACTGAGGCCGTTCCCTTTGATGACTCCATATCCATTGGGTCCATTGAGCATCGAGAAGCGTATACTGTTGGTTAGACTCATCGTCCGCACACTACCACAATCACTCTCGGTTCCATTGTCTCTGTCTTCCGTATCGGCCCCGTGTGACTGGTTCCTTAGAAGACTGGCTTCATAGGCGGTAACTTCATCCAAGACTGTCTTCAACCTGTTTTCTGAAACGTGAATCTTTACTTCTAGTTTTCTCCTCTCCTCGTCCCAAGTGTCCTTGTCGTTGGCCCAGAGATTTTGTACGCGGTCGGCATCCTCATCACGGCTTTTGAGCTTTTTCTGAATTACTTCCAATCGACGACGCATCTCCGTAGTAGTTTCGACTGCTTCATCTCGCTCCTTTGCCAATTCCGATAAAGCAGATGAGGTTCCACCTTCCAGTAAGGCCAATTGACGCTTCAACGATCGATTCTCCTTTGCATTAGCGGCAAGACGATCTTGCAAAGATTCATGTTCTCCACGGGTATCATGAAGTGCTTCTTCCAAACTTTCGATGATCTTGATTCTCTCTTCCTGGTCCCTACGTAAAGTCAAAATCTCGGCAACCAAATTAGCATGCAAAGTTGGTGTAAAACGTCTGGGGTCGAGAATAGAAATCCTGTTCATATTGTCAGTCTTCGACACATCATGAATTCCATCGTGTTCCTTACGTTTCATCATTGGTTACATCAAGAGAGCCGCTCATGCGCTTCTCTCCCAAAGGTAGCGGTGGTGGTGAAGAAGATGGTCCTGGAGATACCGACTTTTGTCGTGATGATGAGCGTCTTGAAGAGTGTCTCGAGCGATTTGAGCGAATAGATGGTGCCGGGGTCCTGTAAGGCGTATCTGTCGGAGGAGGGAGATGATATTGAGCTGCTGCTACATGCTCATCCTCTGTTTCCCATCCATTGTCCCTCATCATGACTGTTGATGAATTTGCCTATTCTTGACAGAAGAGAAGAATCAAATTCAATCGAACTCCGACACCCATAGATCACCTTAGATTGAGTGAATTACCGCATTAAGGATTTTTTCTTATTTATTTTTCCTTGATGTGTTTCTGAATATTCACTTGACTTGGTCGAAGCTCGGGTAACCCTTGGGTCTATTCACAGGATATTGAAGGCTTTGTGCAGAGTATGGGGAAAGATCTGGACCCTTGTGATTTCAAATTGAAAGGGGGTTTGCTTTGATAAAAATCAATTAGATGTGATGTTTGACTAGGTCCAGGATACCTTGTCTTCAGGCTATTTGAAGCTTTAAATGGGACGACTCCTGAGGACTGCTCTGTAGTACCCAAAATCAAGCTTGCTCGAGTGAATATATATAAAATAGGAAATGAAATGGAAGAAGTAAAGAAAGGTATAATTGTTTCCAAATATTGATGCTAAATTAAGATGGACTCATTAGTATATATATTTCGAGAACAAAAGTCGACCCGAAGTATAATCATTGGCTCATATTTACCAAATTGACAGGTACTCAGAACATACCTTTTAAGACATCGATCAACATGCCATAAGAATAGGTTCTTGTAATAGTTTGATAAGGCGGTTATTCTATATCAAATGTTTTCCCTCCAGTATTTTCCTTGCTTCACTGCTTATGACAGAAATTTATGACGGCGACTCGTAGTTCATGTCGAATATACTTCAGCCTCAAGTGTTTGAGGTACGCCAAGTTCTCGCGTTTGAGACAAAAATTGAGAAGGGTAGTGAGGGGCGACGTCGAAATCCTGAGCGACTCGGGCTTCTTTTTGCTGAGGAAAGACATCAATTAGCATTGCTTCATGGCAATCGCATGTTTTCCAAGCTACACTACATTTCCTCTAACATCCTGTTTGAGAGCTCGGATTCGTGGTATCGTTGTGGCATAGTACAAAGGTACCAGAAGTACTCACCGTATATCTGGTTGCGCGACGTCAAAAGCAAATACGTGATGATGGCGGAAAGTCTCCTTGCTGATGTCTGTTCCGTAGTGTTCTTTTCCTCCAGGTCCAATTGGAGTTGTCCCACTCTGAAACCAGACAGATACACGAGGTTCGGAGGTAAAGGACCTATCGATACTGTACTGCCGTGGTATGGATCGGTCGATTCGAATATCAATCAAAGTATAAGATATAATACCTCTCTCTCCAGAAGCAAGAATGAAAGTAAAGGAAGTGAAGATCCACGGGATTCAAGAACACACGGACTTCTACTCTACCCTTTAGCTGTGAATGTGCCCTGTGGATATTCATATCATGGGTAGCACCATCCACCAAGGCACATACAAGTATCGGAGCTCCATAACTATGGAAGTAAACCTAGACCCAAATCTTAAGGGTATCTTTTCGTGTTTCCCCTCGACTTGACCGGCTCTTCGGTCTTGAATGGTCTTGAATGGTCTTGAATGATCTTGACTGGTCACCGGCTGGGATTAGGTTGAAAAGACTTTGTGGGATTCAAATGTTTTGCAAGGATTTCGGTATGAAACTGTCAGTCAAGAAGGTAAATGGATCAGGCGAGAATTCGCGATGGATAAACATGGTTTAGTATGTATGCATGGGATAGTGGCGGCGATACAAATTGAGGAAATGAGGTGGTGGATATCTTTTTGGTGAGGCGTTCAGTCAGGGGTTGAGGCATCATTTTCGGGAATTTATTCTTAATAGATATATACGTAAAGTTTCTTCCTTTTTTCCCCTACCATAGGATATACCTGTAGACATTCTACCTCTGGCTTAGTTACTAGTCTAAGTCTAATGTAGGTTGATATGCTTTAGTGAAATACACTTTTTCGACTTCCCCATCATCAGTTCACCCTCTCACGTTCTCACGTTCATTCAGAAAGTCTAAAAGAGTAAAGGCCTCTAAAGCCTAAGCCCTAAATACTTGGCTAGAAGGGGTATCGTATAAGATTGACAATTAATTTGTTACTGGATGACTCATGTTGATGCTTTGATCACCATCTTGCCTGCTCACAATAAACGACTCCATTAAATATTTCCACTCTTTAAAAGAAGTATTATTTTTGTTTCCATATCAGGGGTCAGGGGCCAGGACATATCATATCACCTCAGGATAGGAATAGTGCCATGTAGAAACCATAAGGAGATTGCTCTATGGACGAATTGTACGGAGTAGCTACACGATCACTATTACCCAGAGAGCGCCCACGAGTCCATTCGGACTAACCGTAACCTTGGACTATTTGAACAATCCGCGGGAGAGATTCGGTATCGAGAAAGACTAAGTCTTACAAAGTCCCGAGAAACAAGAGGAACGAAGCAAGCGAAAGTGGGTAGGTGTGCCCAAAACTAAGTCTTCAAGCTTCAAAACTTCCAACATGATCGATTGGAAGAGGATCAATGGAGATAATTTCATACATACCTGGCAAGATCATATCTATCACGATACCCATCCTGCCCATCCTGCCCATCCTACCCATCCTACCCATCCAACCAACATAAGCCAATGAACAACTACTTTACTCCTCTCCCCCTCAATGAACCTCTCAGGGTCGCAACTGTACAGGCTTTCGGAGGCAATCCGACGACATGGGCTTAATTATTAATGCAACGGTCGAGTGAGTTACTTCTACTCCGTACAAAGCTAAATTGAAATCCAAAACCCAATCGAGTGGTTCCATTTGCAATCTTAATAGAAACAACTCCATCAAATACCACACCCCAATATACGGAGTAAATCATTCATCTATTCAATACACTATCGGTGTCGGTACTCACACAATGTCTCTCTCTCGAACTCATCTACTTAGTCCGATCAGTACAGATCAGTGCAGAGATCGTACATCGAGTGCATTTTATTTTGTAACTCGCAATGTAACGTCGACACGTCCATATAATGTTTACGGGAGCATGTAAGATCTTCCTGGGAACCTAATAACCTTACCGGCATATGAAAGTTCTTCAAGTCGATATCACACACCAAAGACATATTAGGAGAGGCCACCGGTTGATATGTCGATCACAATCATAAATTATGAAGCTTGGCATAGTAAAGCAGAGGCTCCTGATCTTTTTATCATAAGATTATATCCTTTTCAGTCTAAGGCGAATAGGTCTTGGTTTTTAAATAGCTTTCGTTTCCAATAAATGGCCCGTTCCGGAAAGTTTAGAATTGTTCTTCCCTACTCTGTAAATAGTTCCCAGTAGTTCCCAGTAGTGCCAAGTATCAAATGGTTCAAATGGTTAAATGGTTTAATGTTGCGGGATAAATCCGACACGACGGGTGAGACTTTCACTCATTCATTCGTTTGTTCATTGGTTCATTGGGTCATTGGTTCATTGGTTCATTGGTTCATTCGTTCATTCGTTCATTCGTTCACTCATTCTTGTGAATCTTTGCATTATATCCAAGATCGAGACTATAATCTGAGGACTCGAGAATTAATCCTTCCCAATTTTCTCAACGGTGAAGATTTACCAAGTACAGACAGATACAGGCTTCAGGGGTAGAAGTAGATACGGAGTACGGAATACCGACCAAGTCAACCAACAAAACTCGTGGGGCATCGGAATATCCGAAGCCATCCGGATATTCCTCGTCTGAGTCTTTCATCGTCATCTTATTACGTGACGGCGACATGTAGAACACATCTATAAGGTTGACCAAGTTTTTCAGAACCATACTTTTGAATATACTTTCGAATATAAATAGGATCGGTGGAGTCTACCAACGTCGATGGATGATTTCGTTTCGAGAAGCCTGAGAAGCTCGCGACGTTTCTATCGGTCAACCTTCCACTGCTAAGATCCATCTTACTTTATTACCCTCCTTACGTATGTCTTTCCTTCTGAACTCCACCTGGATAGTATGGTAAGTAGTGACAACGGTACCAAAGTTTACAAACAGAGGTTCAGGTGCTCCATCGCGTAGTAGAGAAATTGAAATAAATTATATTTCTTTGGAGATCATTTGAGGAATATTCGGAAGACTTTGTATCTTGTAAGGTTATGGATGTAGGTACCTGGAGTATCTGCGTGTTCAAACTTTCATAGATACTTTTGCATCACTGGTACATTGTCATCGCATGTAAATAAACATAAACAGCACAGAGCACGCACGACCGTCTGGCACAAACATGAAAATGTTTCTTTTTCCCCGCCCGTGCAGCCGTAATGCATAAATGATGGTGTGATATGTTGGGCATGGCATCGCATCCTGGAAGTACCTATGCTTAAAATCATGCGTTTCCCCGGGGTGCATTAATAAGAGTGGAGTAGAGTGCAGTGGTGCAGAGCAGAGCAGTGTAGAGCAGAGCAGTGCAGAGCAGAGCAGACCAGTGCAGACCAGTGCAGACCAGTGCAGACCAGTGCAGACCAGTGCAGACCAGAGTACGAGGTATAATAATTATTAGATATATCAATCGAGAGGGTGGCAGCTGTAAGAGGTGTAAGATTACTTCAGCTAGTATGATAATAGCCAACATTACCGTGAGCCATTGTGATCAAAGGAACTGTACCTGCACAAATAACAACCCTAGGTCTAGGAATATACTTAATCTTATATGAAACTTATCTTGTGCTTTCTTGGATACGTCTTCATAAGGGTTCATGCACAAATGTGAATTCTGTTGGTTCATTGGTTCATCCAAAATAACCAACTTTATCACTAGGATAGAACTTGATACAATCCTAGGTCAACATGAATGAATGATAGGTACGAATATACGAAGTAATGGACACACTCTGAGTATCTCACCCAGACAAATCCATGTACCGAGCTACTGCTTTCTCAACTCTTACTTAACATCAATTATCATATCAAGATCCAATTTTGTGCACCGACAATGCAATCTTATGCGTGAGGTATATCGACCTTTAATTCGCTCTTCGTACGAACCATCAGTCTAGGGAAAAGGTCAAAGCACATCGACATCTGTACCTCCCTTCAAAGAAATGCTCTAATCTACACTTATTCTACTTCTCTCCCGTCTGGCATCACGAATTTGGATTTGAATCTTGGCTTCCTTCAGGTACAAAGATCTTCAATCGTGTCTTCTTGCCTTGCTCCAATAAATCATCGACACGAGGAAAGGAAAGGATCCGAGGAAAATCATCAAGTTTCATTAGGTATCTAGAATTTCCTGATTAGCCTCGGGATAAAATGCTTGGGAGAAGAATGAATGGATGGATGGATATTGTCTTTCTCCCATCAAATCACCTCGTTCCATCCACAAGGTTTCTCTGCATACAGATCCCGTACGCTTTTGATTACCACCAAAACTGCCAGGTGTTTTGTATGACGTTACAAAGTATCCACATCTATGTATGTATGCATGTGCTAGGTATTTACCGTATGTATATTTCATCGTCTTGTGTCAAATTCCTGTGATATCAATTCTTTCCGTGGGGGTATTCAAGGATAGCTCGCTGGCTCGCTCGCTCCAGAGACCGACCAAACAAACATACACAATACAACATCTACCATAACCAAACAATCTTAATAGCGGGCTCTATTCTAATACAACCTCGGGATTTCAGAAAACCATTCTCTTCCGCCCCTCCTCCTATCCCAAGTCTTACCATAACAAGCAACGAGATCCCTCCCTCAAGCCTTTCTTCTACTCCGTACCCAACACACACACACCTAAATACAGACACCAATAGATACCCTCTCCGAAATTGAGCATAACCGTTTAAGTAACCGTGTCCGTGCTGCACGATAATCCCAACTCCCGTTCGTTCCTTCGTTCGTTCGTTCGCCCTGTCATACAGATGGATGGATGGATATTCTCCACCAACGCCACCAGGGGAAAGCGGCTGTGATATATAACCTAACTCACATGCACCAATTTCTTTTTCTAACAATCACACACACTATGTAGGTACTACTAGGTAGTAATTGCATAGTATGTATTATACTAGTATGTATGTACCTGAATTTATGTTCGCTACCACACAATTTCAGAGAATATTCTATGAAGAGGGAAGTTCCTCCGAGGGGAAATATGCTGGGTAGGTAGGCAGTCTCCAATACCTATCTATCTAAATGTAGATCAAGGGTCCGTTCCGTTAAACAATAGCATTCATTGGGACGAAGACCGAAGATTCAGGTACAGTACATACATACGTACCTACCTACCGTATTGTACCGTAATGTACTATATCTTGGCACGTCTCGTTGGCGCATTAATTTCAGAAGAACATAACCATAACATCAAGCTCACCCACTCACCCACCATCCATCCATCCATCCATCATTTCATTATTCGGAGATTTCAAATTTCAAATTTCTCACGGCCTGGAGGTGAAGTCCGACTTCCGTGCTTGGAGTTTTTTGAGGTCCGTACCTATCTACATGGTGACCTATCTATCTATCCACTTAGATACTTGGATACCTGGCCAATACAACAACAATACCAAATTATATATCTGTATCTCTACGGATAGAATATACCATAAACCATGTATCTTCCTTTGAGCTTGCCTTATCTTGCCTTGCCTTGCCTTGCCTTGTCTATGCCTCGGAAGAAGCATGAATAACATACATACATACATACATGCATGTGAAGCTCTATAAGTATTTATATAAGTAAATATATGATCGATTAGGCTTTAACCTTAGTCTTCCTGGTAGCATTGTAAAAGATTTGTATCTCTAAGTATATATAAGATTAGGATTTTATTATATAGAAAGTTACTCAGTCGGTAATCTAAGATTAATAAGATATCAATATATATGAAGTTGTTGAATTGGATGATGATTTGAGTATGTATATATATTTATTATTTGTGTTTTGAGATGTAGATATACCTGTTCTTGTTCTTGTTCTTGTTCTTGTTATATATATTTGAAAGTTAATATTATTATATTCTTTTTGTTTTTATTTTATAAATAATATTGAGTTTTTTTTTTTGTTTTTTTTTTTTTCTCAAAAGAGTAGATGAATTAAATAATAAATATTATTTGAATCTGATAGTTTATTTTTAGATTTTAAATAAAATAAAGTAAGATGAAATAATTATTTTGATATTAATCTATTTTAAATATGATTAATAATAATAATAAATTATTTTTCAATATTTTATATTAAATTCCTTTAATAATTAATTTGAAAATATTTTTTAATATTGATATTTTTATTTTTATTTAAAAGTTTTTATAATAATTTAGTTTATATAATATATATTAAATTATATTTTATTAAAGAATTTAAATTTTTATTTAAAAATTAGATATTTTTAAATAAATTAAAATTTAGAGAATTTAAATATAATGTAAAGATGAAAAGAATAAAATTAATTAAAAAAGTAAATAAAAAAATATATATAAAAATATAAAAATATAAAGATTGAAAGATATAAATTTAATGAAAAAATAAAAATAATATTAATAAATATGAGTTGATTATTTAAAAATAAAGATCTAATAATAATCGTAAAGGTATATACTTTTCTTTTTCACACTATTTCAATCCTATCTCGTCTCTCTACTCATCTACATTTTTTTCAAACTAACTTTCTCATCTCCGGCCTCTATACACAATCTTTTATACCCATTATAGCAGCACCCTCTAACTTCTACTACCTAACCTCAATATTCAAACTTGACACCATCCCCAAAGAATCCTCAAATGCATCCTCCGCTATTCATCTACTTCCCTACTAATACATATCCCATCTATTCAACATGTCCTTAGCCTTCACCATCGACTCTACAATCTAGAGCATCAACACTTATTTTCGTATAACTACCATATGAAAATCCAACATCAGAATTTTCAGATAAAATTGCAAATGCAGGAGGTATTACCGTGTTTATCAGCGTGACAGTTTTTGAAACTTGGCAACCTTAGTATTTTGATGTTAGAGATGGTGAATGAAGATCGGATGGAATTTTTGGTTTTAGGTGGGCGGTGGAAGAGGTTTGGGATTTCGAAATGGGGAGCTAGAGAAGGGGGAAGGGGTGTTAGGAGGGATTTGGAGAGGTATAGATATTACCATCGGAAAGGAAGGAATTTTGCTGAGGAAAGTATAGAAGGGAGGAAAGATTTGGAGGAAAGTATGTGTGGATTTTATAATCTCATTGTGTGTCATGCAATAGAATATATATCAACAATACTAGCTCAGCTTGCCTCTCCCACGCGACCTCATCATCCCAAACCTTATAATGGTTTTCTTCCCTCTAAGTCCCTCAAAGCCCACTACATCCACTCCTTTGGGTTTCCTTGCCTGCTCTATCCCATATTCTCGATGCAAATCTTCTAGATATCCAGCATTACCCCTCTCCCACCCCTTTACAACAATCTCCCATCCCCCTTTTACAAAACTATCTATACTCACCCCTCTGAGTAACTAGCGGTAGGGGATTCACCAATTCCAACCTTCTATTCATGCTAACAACCCAATATAAATAGTATATACCTGTATGAGAAACATCAGACTAGCACCACGGAGCGTGGAACTTAGTAAGTGGGATTGGATTGATTTTGTATGGAGAGCTAGGCTTTGCAGTAGGGAACAGCACTGCGGTTTATTAGAGGAGTTTGCCGAATTTTAAGAAATTTGACGCTTTTTGTGGGAAGTGTGGTGTAGCGGTGTAGGAGTTTGAAGAAGTTTCTGATGGATATGGAGAAGAATGGATAGATAGGATAGGGTGGGGGATGGGGGCTGATTGAGGAGATACTGAGGAGATACTGAGAAAATACAATGTTTGTAGAAGGATATAACCATAAACTGAGACGATTAACCAGATCTCCAACACGAGCTATAGATCCTCTGTACTATATAAACAACAGCAGATACTAATTAATTATAAACCAATAGCTTCATCCCGAAAAAGTGTTTAATTAAAGAAAAAAAATAGAAACCCTAGACACATCGTCATACTACCTCCCCTCGGCGCCCAGAAGGACTTTATCCTGAAACAACCAATGATAATCTCTCATACAGCTCAATTCACTACACACTATGGCGGCAAGATTCCCGCTTCCTTCGATTTAGAGCTTTAAAAGCTTATCTAGCTCAAATGGGATGATCGATCATATATTGAATCTACCGTTCAGCAGGAACACTCTCGCTTAACTAGATCAAACTAGAAACTAGAATAGAATCTAAGTATTTGTTACAACCACGGATCTTATACTAACCGATCGTGTATATACGAGATACGATTTGAGCGATTTAGTATAGGATTAAGATGGTGTAGGGAACAAACGTGTATAAATCTTACTAAACTTGGATCTATAATAGTTACAGGGTTATATATATTGAAGCATTAGAGGTTCGAAGGCTTCTACGCTCTAATAGAGCATTGAAGGTTCGAAGGCTCCTACACTCCAAAGGAATAATAGAGGTTCGAAAGCTTCATAACTTCTAAATACGAAGATTTATATAGCTAGGAAGGATTCCTTATTGTAAAGCTTCATATTCAAGATCAATCATTTAGTATATTCTACTATTAGTTACGAATTGCAATTATTGATACTACTTTAAGCCTCTGTTTGATACCTAGTTATAAAATATTCGAGGATCCAGGTCACTTCTATGTGATCTAGATCGCAACCCTCGTAACACTATTGTATTTAGTTTTCTATAACGAACTAGATTCGTTAGTTTTACTATTGTATTAATTACTCAAAAAGAGATAAGATCAAGTGATCATCGAATCGTTATCATATTATATATAGCTTAATAGACATTATCAAAAGAAAGAAGTCTATTAATTTATTATATCGTTTATTAAATATTTAAAATAATTAAATTTTAATTATTTATTGATATAAGTTTAAGTATTAAATTGAAAAAGATAAATTGATATATTATATTATATTATATTATATATAGATTTTAGATTTTAGATTTTAGATTTTATTATTTTTATATAAGTTAAATATATTAATCTCAATCTATTCCTCTATTAACACTCTTTTCTCAGACATCATCAGAGGGATAGATTACTTAAGCGAGTTTTGCCATCTCAAAGATATAAACAAAATCGCAATGGAACATCATCTATCATCTATCCTATCCCACCTCCCCCACCCTCCCCTTCCCCCTCCCCCCCATTCCCCCTCATTCCACCCTCCCCTCCACCAACCCCCCAACCATCTATCTCCTCCTCTCCACCAACCAAACCCCTTCTACACTGTCCTTCATCCTCTCAAACACCAACCGCATCGCCTTCCTAATCTGCTCCTCCGACACACTAAACATATCCCGCACAAGACCCCTCTCATAAATAACATCCCAAGGGAGTTTCCCCACCGGAGTACGGAGTCCATCAGCAATCGTGAGCGATTTCACACTTTCGATTCTTTTTCCCTGGCGAAATCCACGTTTCCCATCGTCTGCGCCTTGGAACTCTGGTTCTGCGCCAAAAACAAGGATTCCGGTGTCCTGGCACGAAAGAGCTACGCCCGATAACATACCCCCGCCACCACAAGGGGTAATAATTGCATTTAAACCGCCATTTCCATCCTCTCCCGAGGTGACCCCAGAGACACCCCTCTCAAATTGTAATTTCTGTACCTGTTCCTGCAATTCTAAACCCATGGTTCCTTGACCGGCAATAATATCCGGATGATCGTACGGCGGGACGAGTTTCGCGCCTGTTTCTTTGATCACTTCCTCGACCATTGCTTCTCGCTCTACGGATGTTGATCCACTAAAACGTACTTGTGCGCCGTAACCTTTTGTAGCTGCTATTTTTGAGGGGGTTGAAATTGTGGGCATGACGATGTGGGCTGGGATTTTGAGTTCGCGGGCTGCGAGCGCGAGAGCTTGTGCATGGTTTCCTTTTGTGAAGAGCGTGTTAGTGTCTGATGTTTAGATTGTGTAGATGTGCGGGTGCGGGGGAAGTGGATGATGGCCCCTCCCCTCTCAAAAAGCTCAACAATTCAAAAAGGAAAGGTATCGGAAACAAACCACTACTATGTGTAACCACCCCCTTCTCTCTCCATCCTCCTTCTCCATGCCCAGCATCCACTCCTCCTTCAGCCTCCTCCAACCTCTTCAATGCATGAAAAGCTCCTCGAACTTTAAACGCGCCTACTCTCTGCAAATTCTCACATTTAAACCATAATCTTATTTTTGGTTTCGCAGGCTCCTTCCCCTCCCACTCTGTCCCCTTCAACGCCTCTAAGGTCTGCGGCGTACTAGCTATCTCATCAATCGTCCTATTTGTAAGAACCGGGGTGAAATGTATATGCGGCTTAATGAGTTTATGGGCTTCCAAAACCGACTGGCGGGAAAGAGGAAGACGCGTATTTGGATCTGCCATTTGAGGCTTTGTTCGAGTTGAAGTGGCGGAATGAATTGGAATGTTGGAACAAAATGTGAGTCAAGGAATGGATTGCTAATAATATAACTTGATGTGGTGGGGGCGGGGCAGTGATTCATATAAAATAATGAAATCCCCGGTTCGGGGTAATCGATGCCGATGCCGGCGCAAAACTGGAGTATAATCAAAACAAAACACATGTATAGTCAATCAGATAAAGTAATTGGAAATATAATTTTCTGAATTTGATGGCAAAACACTTTTAGCAATTCGAGATACCGTTGATAACAAAAAACGGAAATTCATGAGTATGATACAATTCGCCCAAATTCAGAAATGATAACTCCAGCCGTAAATTTTTCATTAACTCGCAACTCAGTTGTTTTCAGGACGGAGAGAGCTGATTGCGGAAGTTAGTAGATGTGCTTATGCAGTAAATGATGAATAGGACAAACTTACCGGACAGCCTTTCCTGCTCTCCAGATCTCCAAATCACGGATCTCCTTCATCTCAGCCTCATACTTCTCACGGTAATCCTTTTGGGAGTTAAACTCAAGAGATCTTTGAGTCTCCTTTCCAGTCTTGACGGAATCATACAAGTCGTTGAATACTGGCTTCAAAGCATCCTTGAACTTTCCGGACCAATCAATAGCACCACGACGGGCAGTGGTAGAGCATGCCTCGTACATCCAGTCCATACCATTAGCACCAATCAATGGGTACAAAGATTGGGTAGCCTCCTCAACTGTCTCGTTGAAAGCTTCACTTGGGCTGTGACCTTGCTCACGTAGAACCTCGTATTGTGCGAGGAACATACCGTGGATACCACCCATCAAGCAACCACGCTCACCGTACAAATCGGAGTAAACCTCCTTCTCGAAGGTAGTCTCGTAGAGATATCCAGATCCAACACCAACACCGAGAGCGATAGCCTTCTCTTGTGCCTTTCCGGTAACATCTTGGAAAACGGCGATGGAAGAGTTGATACCACGGCCCTCACGGAAGAGAGTTCGGACGGTACGTCCAGATCCCTTTGGTGCAACGAGGATAACATCAACATCAGTTGGGACCTCGACCTTGGTTTGGTCCTTGAAGACTGGGGAGAAACCGTGGGAGAAGTAAAGAGTCTGCAGAAGTCAGTTTTGAGCTTGAAAATATTACGTATATTCCCATACCTTTCCCTTGGTGATCTGGGGCTTAAGAGCTGGCCAAGTCTCACTTTGAGCAGCATCAGAGAGCAAGTTCATGATGATGGTACCCTTTGAGATAGCCTCATCAACCTCGAAAAGGGTCTTTCCTGGAACCCAGCCATCTTGTTGAGCATCCTTCCATGATTGACCGTTTTTTCGTACACCGACCACAACGTTAAGACCGTTATCGCGCATGTTCAAAGATTGAGCATGACCTTGCGAACCGTAACCAATGATGGCCATTGTGTCATTCTTGAAGTATTCCTAGAAGATAGATGTTAGCATAATTGAATTTAGATAGTGATAAGATATAAATCATACCTGGAGTCTCTCAATTGGCCAGTCGGCTCTCTCTATCATAATTGTCAGTTTCCACGTCACCCAAATTGAAATCTTAATCCGTACCGTAAACCTTCTCCTTTGTGCCAGCAAAGTCAATGGTCTTTACACCTCTGACTTGTTGAGATGCACCAACAACAGCACGAGCAGCAGAAGGTCTAGCTGAGGCATTGATGGCAGATACGAAAGTTCTGCGTGCTGGTGCAGTCAATTGACGTGCAGCTGGTCTAGCGACTCTGGAAAATGTACGGGCAGCCATTTTGAAAGAAGAAGTGAGTGGAGTTTCAAGAAAAGAAAAGAAGAACAAAGGGGTATTTTGAGGTTTAAATCAAAAAGTTGTAGATGTGACTCTTCGTCTTTTTGTTGTGGGCAGCAATAGTCTGGGAAATTTTCTGCCCGGTTCCGGAGGTGCATCTGACAAGGGTATTCTCCAGTATCGCAGTTTTTAGTGGATTAAGCTGGGCGGAATATCTTGGCAAGCCAACAGAGCGGGTTGTATTTCAACAACGGCGTCGATTATCGTAAATATAATATTTATATACATATATACATATCCGAACTAAATATTTACTATTATCCAAATCTGTAAAATCCTGAATATCTAACGTACTCTTAATATCTCCCAACCAAATATTTAAACAAAGATCAGTACATATATATTTTAGAACCACACTATGAAATGCCATCCAAATAAGGCTTACAATAGTAAACAATTCTAAATCTATCCGAAAGGCTATGGATGGTGGAAATTCGGCCACATCACAGCCTCACCCCTCCGGTAAAGTACCGGCCGCGGACGAGGCCGTGAAATAGCGTGCAAATAATGTGAATTAGTGACAACGAGAAACTTGCCTCAACTTCCCTATTGCTAGCTAGTACACCGATATATAAAGTTAGAAAGTTGTGGAGATACAAAGATAAAGGTACTAAACATAAAGCTTCCAATTACAAATATCACTTCTTCGGAATGACTCCAGAAATCGGAGAATGCACCCATACTGCTTGTATGGGAATTGATATCAGATGTCGCCGGAAATGACGTTTTGCTACCCTCGAGGAGACACTGCCTGGAAGGCTTTCTTGCCTTTGCTCAAAACTGAAAAGATCTCTTATTGTTTGTATTTATATTGTGTTTAACCCGGTTGAATGCTTCCATCTCTCCGTGGCCCAAAAACACCGCGTCCTTTCTACAGCATACGACACAACGCTAAATATCAGCAGCAAAAGGTCTGCATCAAAAGCCCTCGATCTCCAAATAAAAAAACGCCCATTATGCTCCCGTCCTCATGCTGTGACCTTACATATCGTGCTGCGATGCTGAAAGTGTGGTTTCTGTCCGGACCATGTAACCTTTTCCTCACATCGTAGTATTGTAGCATATGTCCGATCTATATGCCCTCTCCCATCAAACCTTCAACACTCGATCGAAAGTGTCGTTCTTGACCGATCCTCCTCCCATAGCTGATCTCACATTCCGCTTGAATCCTTCTCGGTTTGATCTCAAATCTTCTGCTGCTTCCTTATTTAGGGGATCCGACGCGTTTGGTTCGAGGAAAAGGAACTATTTATCTATGATTAACATGTAGTCCTTCACGGAGTTCCCGTATCATATATATCCAGAATAAACAACGCTCATTTTAAGCAACATACCTGTAACCCAATAACAATCGCTTGCAAATTCAACACCGGCTTCCAGTCCTCTCTCAAAATATTCAAACAAATTTTCCCTTCAACATCGATATTCGGATGGTAAATCTTTTGTTCACAGTTGACCTTCGGTGGTTCATGCGGGAATGTCTCCGGAACCGCGAATTTAAATTTAAAGATTCCGCCCTTGTACATGCCCTCATCAGGTTCGATGTATAAAAAGAAGTTGAGGATATCGTCTTCGTCGGGAAAATCGGTGCGCATAGTAGAGGGTAGCGACATTTCTGCGATATCTGGCAAAACGCAAAGAGCGATGTTAGCTCACATACATACATGCCCCATCCCATCTCATCAAATCCTCCCCTTTTTCAAGACTCGAACATCGCTGATCATACCTTTTTGTAACCGGAGCTGTGCAGCCGTGACTTTCTTCTTTTTGATACCCGCAGCAGCATCGGCATTTGCCTCTTGCTGCTGTTTTTGTTTCTGCGCGTTACATTAGCATATTGAAACAGCTGCACATGTTTTCCGAATTCTCAGTTCGTCATACCATTGACCATATTTTTAACATCTTAACAACTAATAAATCGTATGCTGGAGCGTCGAGAGTGCACGATGCTGGAGTTCGGGGATGAGAAATATATTGTAAATAATGGGGTACGATATCGAAGTTGAGTCAGAGATACGCAAGCGAAATGCCTGCCTTGTGTCGTAGTTAGAAGGACGCGAGGGAGTGAATAGCTTCACTTTTTCGTATTAATATAATAGTACGGGATATTATGACCTGTCAAATCTATACTGCTCCGTACGGCTATTACAGTGGGAATTCCTGGTGCCCTTACCGAAATATATGAAGCGGCTGGCGGGGTCCGGCTTCTTATCAAAAGCATCACGCGAGGCATATCGGTCTGCGCCACATTTGAAAAACACATTCAACCTCCTCGAAAATTTGTCATTTGGCCTGGTTTACACATTGGGCTTTTATGAAACATAGCGTATAACTCAAAAATAGGAGCGAAAGTTATTCATCCAAGGGTATTCAATAGTATTAAATGGAAACGCCTACTCAAACATGCAATATAGAGACCATCCTAAGCAGAAAAAAAATTCTAGAAGCCCCCATATGTGCAAGTATAACGCAAAAATGGTTGCTTGCTGCAGATTCACTCGCCGTGTCTTTTCCAATAACAGGTGCTCACGCCTCCATACAAAGCGCCCATCCTCCAAATTCCGTTCTTCCTTACCCTGTCCCTATTTCATGAAAAAGAACCGTGTATCACTCAGAACCATTTGGTGGTATGAGTAGATATTTTGATTCCTGGGAGTATGTACGGTTTAAGTCTCGTCTAACGTCTCATAAAGCAGCACATGATTCCAGATTTGAACAAGAAGTAAGAACATCCAAGGAATCGAATAAGTGCCAAGAAAGCCGTTGAGTAAAGTAGAATCTCGAAAAACTTGGCAGTTCTTACTGAAGCAGTATCCTGAAGATGATGTTAGCATGAAATCTGGAATACAAAAAGATATATAACTCACTCCGAAACCAAAGCCGTCGACACTGTCACTCGTGATAGCAACAGCCAATAAAGCGTTCGAAAAGACCCAGGAGATCAAAAGCTTGGTTCTGAAAGATTTGTAAGAATCCTCCAAGGTCTTGCTCTCATCTTCGACTACAGGAACAAATGGACTAAGAGCACGCTTGACTGTCGCCTCAAACTGGCTGTCAATATCCTCTTGTGGTCTGTCGATTTCTTCAATAACTGCTGCTTTACCGTCAACCTTCGTAGTTTTCGCGGATGGCAGAGCTTCTGCCTTGTCAGATCCTTTGGTACCCCAAGACACATCATGCCAGTTACTGAAAGCGTACACCATGAGAACGTTGATGTAGGACGACATGAGGCAGAGGTATGGCCCGAAGGAATGGAACATGTGCCATGGATCCATATACATGAAGGATGCAACGAAGTACAATCCAAATGTTGCAGCCAAAGCGAGAATAATGATACCAGCTCCAGAACTCGAGCTATTGCTAAAGAAACTCTCGAAGAAATCTTTCGTGCTACTAGTGTCAATACTATCTCCTGACGAGAAAGCACGAACGACCAGGTACATGGATAAGACAAGGACATAAATGTTAATAACACCGAAAACTACAAAAGATACGAGATAAGTGACCTTAGATCCCTTAGGTCTGTTGCCAAGCGCCAGAATAAATTGAACGAGCAGGAATCCTAGGTAGAGGTACTTCAAGATTGTGTTGATGATTGGAGTAGCAGTATCACCGAAAGGCCAGCCATGGTGAAGTGCAGTTGTGTCCGAAGCGGGAGTAGGAGTACCGACAAGATTCATAATAACAGTAGTTGTGAGCCAGAAAGAAGACAACATGAACCAACTGAGGAAGTTGGAGAAGACGTTATATAAGAATTGAATATGCAAGAAGAACATGCGGACAAGGTTATGACCACTCTTATACCTATGAAAACGTTAGTTAGTGACCCTAAGAGTACACTGTGACAAGATGACTTACATTCTGCCGAAATGCATGATGGAATACATTCCTGCCGCAAATGAACCGTTAAGCCATCTTCTACGTTGACCAATAAATTCAGCAGCTCCTTCGGGTACATCAGTCTCTCCTTTAGCTGCTTTGATATAGGTCAAATGCCATTTGCTACCAGCCTTGGCTACAAGTTCGAAACAGAGAATTCTGTCTTCGGCCAAGAACATATTCTTTTTGAAAATGTTCATTCCCTCGATACCCTTCTTTCCAAGAATCTTAGACAAAGTGTGATCTCCGTGGAAGTACTGCTCAAGGGGTCGTCCCATGATAGCTCGGAATCGATATGCCGAGAAAGCTCCCGGTAACACACTGACATATCCAAAAGAACTTTCGAGCGGCTTATCAAGAATATTACTGATCTTGTACTCGAAGTTCTGAGCAGCAACAAGGGGATTGAGAAGCTTCTTGCCTCCTGGACCCAACATGGCGTGAATTTCACCACAAGCACCTCCAAGATCTTTGTCATTGTAGAAACCCTCCCACAGAGATAACAAGGACTTCGGACCTGGCTTGGTACCGGCATCGAGAAGAATACAGACTTCAGGATTGAGAAGGCGACCAAATGCATTGAACAACCATCTATGGGAATTGATCTTTTTCGTGTTCTTTGCTTTCAAGCAAAACATCATTTGCACTGGGGGAAGACAGTTGGCATCACCCTCGGTTGGACGCACAAGTTGTTGACTGGCAGTAACTGAAAGTTGAGTTGTGTATTCAAAAACGTGAGCAACAGTCTCCTTTCCATCGACATCCTTCTTCATGACACCATCTTGGTAGATACCAATTGTAGCAAGAACATCAAGCGTGTCTTTGTCGCAAGGATCGATACCATCAAACACGAGGCAGACGACAATCTTTTGCCATGCTGGTCCACCGACATTCCAGAAATCAGATTTTTTGAGATTGACGATATCGCGGATGTTTTGCATGACACCGTGAAGGGTACGGGCTGTCAACTGCTTGTCTTCGTTATAGTAAGTGACAGCGATGAGCAACTCAGTATGACGATTGTACATTGCAGGTCTCAGATTGTAACCGTTCTTCAGCGTGAACTCGTCAGGATCGCAAGTTGCAGCGGTATAACGCATATGTGTGAATTCTTCGCTGCCACCCTCCAAGTCATTTCTGTATTTTTGCTGGATAGCATTTTTGATGGCACTGGGTACTGGATGGTCGACGCTCAAGACGCTTCCCTGTACAAGTTTGACCTTTCTTGTAGCGTAACGTTTGAGTCCACCAGTTTGAGGAGCTTGTCGTTGTCTCCATGCCTCGGTGGAAGAAGTCTCGGTTCGGGACAATGGTGAATTGGTTCGTGGGTATGGGTTATCTTCTAATTGCTCATTGTATGTGTGCGAGGAACTATAATCGCTGCTGTATGGTTGTGGATCGTTCGCATACGTTTCCGTAAGACTGTAGGCGGAAACAGGTCTAACAGGAGGAGTATTCGCTCGAAGACCTCCCTGACCGTGCGAATCGTAAGGACTATTGAATGGGCCGCCATGTCCACCAGAGTCGAGTAAGGGTAAAGCTCCCTCCTCTTCATCTTGAGGATGATGATACTGTAACAGAGACGGTTAGAAAAAGCTATTTCGCAATCTGCGAAGTCGGGAATTTAAAAAAAACTTACGCTACCCCCGGGGGGGAGATCTTGGAGCTTGTGCTCATCATAGCCTCCGTTGCCAGAGTAAGCCATGTTTGTGGAAATAATCAAGAACTCTTTGTCAAGTGATCAAACTATTAAACTTTGGAATTTATAGTGATAAAATCTACGTGATTTTGTTGATAGAGAGTTGATGGATGAGAAATGAATCAAAGGAGAATTGTTGGTTGTTCAAGATTCTGATTCTGACCTATATTCTTTGTAGGGCGGTGGGATTCAGGGACGGTCAGACAGATTCGAAATCGCCCTCGCCTTGGCAAACCGAAATCAAAGAGTGGATGAGGTTCAACTCGAAATTGCTTGTGATTCACAAACAAATCAAGAATAAAAGAATAAAAAGAGCTTGGGTCTTGAAGGTATTGAAGGGGAAGGAAAGAGAATGATGGAGGAATCTTTCAAGATATGAAGATGTGATGAAAGGTAATAGAAAAGTAACCCTGTTTCACTTTTCGAAAGAAGGGCAATAAAAAAAAGGAGGGATGGATGGATTCCTTATTTAGTTTGTTGTCTTGTCCCCGCTATTTTCAACCCTTCAATATTTGGATTTTGGTATTCAGAATCTGGATGATCAATATTTTACCGATAAATTGGAAAAGAATAAAGAAGTTTAGAGAAGATTTGGATTCACGATAAAAATAATAAAATATGTGAATTATTCATGGGTATTGGGTATTCGAGTTGTTGTATATTGTATCAATTTGTATGAATGAATATTTTGCTGTGCCTCACTTCAAAGATTACCTACTATTAGTCCTACTGCGTTATTGGTTCGAATTGTAAATCCATATGCATGAATATATTGCTGCGGTCTCTTTTGTTGAAGGTCAAGATGCGAGTTTTGAGTCTTGTCAAAACTCTGTTGATCTCTGCAAAGGTTCTCTTTGTCGCCCACAATTCCTACTGTATAAACACTTCATCGCGGTCCATATGATGTGTGTTGTTAGATACATCCCGTCCTTCAAAGGTCGCGTCTGCTAAAGACTAGATATCCTACACAATACATGCCTAACTCCTTGTATATATCTCATAGTCGGGTAATCATTTGACAACTCGAAAGATCATTGGTTATTATTGCCTTTATGTTTCAGCTGTTATAGCTCACCTGCCCGTGAAACGATGAATCAACCATATCACAGGTGTCGTGCAACATCGTATAATGTAAACAACATCTTTTCTGAGAGGGAAGGCTAGCGATCGTTCACATACAAAAGGTCTTTACTGCTAAAGTTCACGACGCGTTGTTTTTCCAACAATCACCGCTATTCATCTGCCATCCAAACAAACAAGTCGTTGGCAGCGTCTGACAAAGTTCAGCGCCACGGCTGCGTCCACAATCCGAAGGTTTGTCTATCTATTAATAGTGACTGCACTACCCTCCCTATAAGGGGCTAATGAAATGGGGTAAAAATATCGTGTGGACCGAATACTTGTAGGCTAACCAAGTACGGAGGAGGACCCTTTACTTAGTCACGCTCTTCAAGTTTACCATCATGAGTTTATACTCCGTATTCTAAAATAGTATGAAATTATAGAGTTATTAGATTTAAGAAATTATTATTGTTTTTAAAGATTCACTATATCATCTGGTTCTCAGTCGATTGTTCACGTGATATTCCATCAAATTTTGATATATTTCATAAAGTTATGACGATTCATTGAAGGACCTACTATTCCTTAGAGATTGGAGGTCTGAGGTGAGTGGCGGGGCAGGGCGGGGCCAAGATGTTCGCTGTACTTGCACTTACTCAGTGCGTGGTATCTAAAAGTTGACAACAGCTTCATCCCATGTGTATCGACTGACATCCATGATGGCTCATCCTTAGATATAAAGTCCAAACATCTCCAAAGAGCGGACGCGGGAGTAGAGCTCAAGAGCCATTATTCAACGGGAACTAAATTCAAGGGGAAGTATGGCCTTTTTAAATCGGCTGAATATTCCGCTGTTGATCAATATACTACAGATTACTGTGAATATTCTTATTAATTACCCTTTTGCCTTCTAAGATCTTACATGTTGAGCAATTCCTCAAAATGACAGACCGATTACTGTTATTCTTCGCTCTTCAACTTTTCACCATGAGTCTGTGGGTACTTTTGCCGAAGCACGCTCCTGATTTTTGAAACATCTACCAGTTGCTTCAAATTCCACGTAAATTCATGGAATTTGCCGAAGTTTCAACATATGATGACCCCATGAAGCATCTACCTAATATGTTCATTCGAGACTTATATTGCGTCTGGTGTTCCGCTCACTCACATACCTCAAAATCTGTTATGTTTGATGTCCCAGAGCTATAGATCTACAATACCAGGACGCAGGCTTTGAGCGTGGTTAAATTCCATATAATCTGCCAAGTGTTAGGGATTTTATTGAGCAAACGCCATTTCAGTATAATTTACTTATCCTTACAACACACATCGGAACAATACACAAGCACCTATTCAGTATTATCAGAACGAAGGCTCGGTACATTTCGATCGTCATTGATCATGATTGATGCGATACGATGCGACGAAACGGTAAAGCAATCGACTCTACGGACTAGGCATAGGTGAGTGGGTGTTAGATGGCGCAGCAGTCATGGATTATGGATGAGAAATGAGAATGTTAGCAGTGCTCATTGCTCATTGCTCAATTCAATAAGCGAAGGAGAGGTGATATGTGAGATGTGATCGTTTCTTCAACCCAATGCAATGAGTGTTCCAAATAGATAACATAGACGACCAAATGATGAATTTGAATCAATATCAGCTCTTTTAACGTCTCCATTTGTAAGGGTTTTGCATAAAATACTGGAGATTAATTGTTCCCACTTTACTGTGAGAACTCCCGCGTACCTTACCTTGCCTAGGCACGACTACGAGGTATGGAGGTATGTAGGTACGTAGGTACGTAGTACGTACTACAACAATACGGAGTAATAAGCACAGGGCATTCAAATTGATCCATACAACCCCCACTGAGCCCGTTGAACAACCAATCATTGTCCAATGGCTCTCGACCAAAAGTAAATTAGGTCCAGTTTATTTCGCTATTCTCGCCCCCAACAGCCCAATGCATAGAATTGGTTTGTTTGCTTCCATCAATTCACCATGAGAACTAACTAATCAACTTGCTAAGGTAATGAAAGATTGATCTCCATCAATTCAACCCTTCTCATCTCATCTAATAAACCACCACTCATTCATCGCAAATGATCATCACCACTACCAGTGCGACCGTCCAATTCTTCCTGTCGTCGGTCTAGATTCTAAATCGTCCATGTAAATGTAGTCGTTATCGACCATATTTTCGACCGCAATAACAAGAGTTCGCTCAACCAACACTCGTTTACCTTACTTTCCACCTTCATATCGCGACGTATCTTATCTCATCTTTCTCCTTCAGTGCCGACGACAACGTAGTGAATCCGATCATTTCATCTTACCTTTTACGATTTTTATTATATCTCTTTCATAACCTATACCCACTTCGATTTTTTGGGATTTTCCTACACAATCAATCGCCTTTCTAGAGCCGGTACTCCTCTATTGTCCTTACCCAACAACTACCGACAGGTCAAGCTTCAATCACCAACAACACTCATCTACATCTAACTCATTTTACATCAACTAAACCCTGACCGGATCAGTCTCAGTCATTTTGACTCAACATAATAAATCACAATAGTACCCAAGGAGATGGCGTATTACGAGTGTAGGTGAAGTTTTTCGGGAAGTAACGATCTCTTGCTAATCAATTCACAGCATCCTTTAACTCTCTGTTTCGACGATGTGTTGAGTGTAATGGGGACACTCCGGCATGTCCGAGTTGTGCTGAAAATGAGATTTGTTCGCTCGTCCCACCAACATGTACCGAATGCCAACAGACAGTTTGTGTGGCTTCTTCAGCTGCACCTTCGACGACGGTTAGTTCATCCTCATCAACGAAATCCGGCCCAAATGTAGGCGCGATCGCGGGAGGAGTCATTGGAGGAGTTTTAGCTGTCGCGGCCGTGACTTATCTTGTGTGGAGGTTCTGCATTAAGACGAAAAGGCAACAATTCGAGCAGGGCGGCTGGATAGACAGCCAAGAGCAAGCGAATGCAGAAAAGGATTTCGCAATGCGCAGGGACGCGAGAGCTTCTACACATACTGTTGGATCAATTGCATCTACAGTTCTCACACGAGCCTCGAATATCATTCAAATCGCATACATTCCAGGTGTTACGAATAGATCGACCCCATCAACACCGGGTCTTCTTGTCCCACCAGTTCCCCCGATCCCCATTGCTCTATCAAACTCATCTGGAACACCAAGGTATGAACATGAACACTTTTTCATGCCAGGAGATCTACGCGACTCAACATACAGCGGAATTAGCGGAATTGGTGGACGAAACTCGTACGCAAGAAATAGTGTTGCATCCACTATATATGGGAAACAAGCTATCGTATCACCCGTTCCTGCGCAAACGGTCATTCGAGGAAAGGCAGCAGTGGTTAGCGTTAATAAAGCGGGTGGAAATAATGGCACTGTCACACCTCCAGTGCCAAGTGTCGACTTTCAAAAATATTCCGAGAACCCACCTAGCCCAGCATTTTCGGTGGGCAGCACATTTTTGAACGCAGCCAGTGCCGCAACTATGACCAAACCTCAAGTCATTCGAGTAGATTCTAGCTCACCGAAAAGCAAATCGGTTGAGCCTACAAAAGTTGCAGGAGCCTCATCACCACTAGGTTCACGGGATTCCACTGCAGTCACTTTGATCGAAGACGGTACCCCCGTCACACCCCAGGGACCTTTTAGTGATCCTCCTGAAATAAGTCGAAAATCCAATGCTACTTTATCAGCTATGATTCAAAACGCAACAAAAAAGGCACAGGGCGATGTCTTCTCAGACAAACATGAAGTCAAGGAATAAAGGGGTTCTATCGTATAGGATATATTACCCTATGGAAACGGATTTTCAGCATTGGAGGTTTTCGTCTAGTTACGATTTGGTTTACTTGTTTCTTTCAAACATCTTATACTTGGAGGAGGGGGCTATTCCCATTTCGATGGTCACAAATGGTGTGGTCGGGGGTGTTAAGGGGTATCTTATGATTGGCAATGATTTTATTTTTTCGGGGATATGTTTTTATACCACCGTATCTTGCTATTTACCTAATTTAAGGTTTCTATAGAAAATGCCAAATCCAATGATTTTAGCTACCAATTGATGGGGGAATTTTGAAGAATGGATCTCTGCTTGGGCTAGAATGAGATTTTCATGTGGAAGTGCGTTAATGTGTATGCGTGTGATATCTATATACTACCTAGTTCTTCAACGATGAAGAGAGTTTAGACTTTGGGGTCGAGTGATATGGTGGTGTCACACAGCATAAAGAGGAAGAAAATGGGCCGCGGAATTCCTCGATGAAGCCCTAGGCAGATGATTAGAGTGAAAGGGAAATGGGCTTGTATTTTCACAATAGAAAGGCATCCATCAGTATTATATAAGTCGGTATGTCGTATATCATCACAATCATCGGAAAGGATAAAATAGGTAAATAAATGAAAATAAATTTGTCTACCATCGATCTACCCATCGATCTGATCTACCTTGTGATTATATAACCCTGCATGGCACAAAAGTATTCATCTCATGTATCAATTGGATCGCAAATCAAATGGCTTCCACAAGCTTACAGATTCGCAAGAGTTACTGCTTGTTGGCGGGTACTGTACTTCCTTTGTTGACTTGACCTAGACTGATGGTCGGAAAGATGTGATTATTGGACATTCATCACCATTGAGCCGCCACCTTCTTTCACCATATCTCCCTCCATCCACCAGACAATTGATCTTTCCTCCTATAAAATGCAGCAGCTATCTTTACTCAGCCACGCCTTATAAATTCATGCACAATATAAACACATTATTTGCCGAGGAGTCGAGGAGTCGAGCTATTCTATCAAGATCTGCGTATACTAAGTGGGAAAGGCCGACATGTGTCTCCAGCGGTACCATAGAATCATATCATTCAATTATTCGATCACTCAATACATGACTTCTCAGCACAAAATAATATCCCAACCAAAGAACCAAAGTATAAACAAGACAACAGATTTTTACAATACCTAAGATTATATTGCCAACATTTTGTATGGCCAAAAGAAAAATACTACCAAAAAGCAATATAATCCATCCCAGGAAGCTTCCCCTCGACCCCTCCGTATGCAAAGAAGGGAACATAATTAAGGCAGTGATCATCTAGAGCTATTTCCTCCTTCTTGTTCAATCATTCATTCATTCACCCATTCACTCGTTCTCTCACCCCGATACTTTTTGCCGTGGCCATTATTCCATTTATCAAAACGGGAGCCTTGACAAAAAACAAACAACAAATCTTAAACCGGGGAAAAGTCCCCTAAAGTCCCTTTGAGTGAATCATTGGAATAATTGTTTCCATTCATCCAAATAAAAGAACGAGCCTCCTTCCTTTTCCGCATACAAATCTTATTATTCAAACCGTTTCAACATAACAAGGGAACATCAAAAAGAAATTTCAAATATACCGTGGGCAGGTCAGATCTCTCTTACTACCTACCTACCTAGGTATCTATTAGCCAGCCTATCGAAATTCGAATTCATACTCAAGTTCGGATTCATAAGAAAGTATTGGACGCACTTCTTTTGACTCGAGTATCAAAAATTAATCAATTTCATTTGACCTTATTCCACGGCCATCATACCTAGTACCGGTACTTTATTATCAATTCTACGTTTACCTACTTTTCTCCCCCCTCTCTGTGCCTTTCCGTCCAACCCATCACATCAATCAATCCAGCCATCCATCCATCCATCCATCCATCCATCAACTGCAGGTGTACACGGTACAGTGAGTGTAGCAACGCGGAAAGAAAGTCCGAGCTTCTTTTATGCCCAAAGGGAATCTCCACTCGCAGCACTGAGCCAACCTGGAAACTACCTTTCCCACCGACAGATAGACAGACAGTACAGCACAGCACAGCACAGCAAGGAATTAAGGAATTAAAGGATCTTTGACAAATTGATTTCATTTAAACTACCAATTACCAACAACCCCAACCACCAACCACCAACACCCGCCTCCTCCTCCTCCCTCCTCCCTCCTCCTCGGCCTACTTCAACCGATCTAGTCTGCACTCTTTCTCCTTCCTAATTAAATCCTCCGATCTTGATATATCCTCAATACTCACACACAACGAGGAACGCCTTCAAAACGATGTCTTCGAAACAGATGGTCTTGTACAAATTGGTGGTGCTTGGTGATGGAGGTGTAGGTAAAACTGCTTTGACAATTCAATTAACATTACAGCATTTCGTCGAGACTGTAAGCTCTCCCACTGACCATCTCTAATTGTTATCATCACATGCTTACTCCAGCATAGTACGATCCTACTATCGAAGATTCATACCGGAAACAAGTCGCGATAGACGGTCAATCATGTATGTTGGAGGTTCTCGATACTGCCGGTCAAGAAGAATATACTGCGTTACGAGATCAATGGATACGTGATGGTGAAGGATTCGTTTTGGTTTACAGCATATCGTCGAGATCATCCTTTGGGCGCATTCAAAGATTTCACAATCAAATTCAACGAGTTAAGGAATCATCTTCATCCTCTCCAGTATATCCCGGCTCACCCATATCACCTGTCTCGCCTTCCGAACCTGTACCGATTATGCTCGTGGGAAATAAATGCGACAGAGTTACCGAACGAGAGGTATCTACACAAGAAGGTCATGCATTGGCGCGGGAATTGGGTTGCGAATTTGTTGAAGCATCGGCAAAGAATTGCGTAAATGTCGAAAAGGCATTTTATGATGTAGTACGACAATTGCGCAGACAACGTCAGCAAAGAACATCAGCTTCAGGTACTGGCAAGACCCCCCGTGCTAATGCCTCGGAGAATGGAATGGTTCGAGATGAATCCAGGAAATATCGTCCCAAGAAGAAGGGTCCTTGTGTTATCTTATGAAAAATTCATCTCCTGACGCATCGAGACATTTGAGCTCAAAGCTTTTTTCGCATGGATTATCAACGACGTTTACGACATTCCTTTGGCTAGATGCCTTTTTACCACAATTTATGAACCTCACCCTTCCTCCCACGTTCTTATCAAGATTTCTCTACCATGTTTCCTCAATAGCGTTTGCTCAATCAAATTCCTAGCTGGACCGGCGAATGGAGTACCAAAAAGAGTGGCATACGGCGTATTTATGAACTGTTTTCTTGGAAAATCACCTTCCCAATCTCAACTTCGACACCTTATATCATACATCATTTCACATCATCACGGAAAGAATGGCCTCTCGAATTTGTCAGGTACGCTTTTAAACGATAACTTTGCTTTTGGTGTCTATGGCGCAAGAAACGAGATGTGGCCATGTTTTCAAATGAGACGTACATTTTTCCCCCTAAATTCGACGTGCTTCTTTTGGATTTTGATCTTGATATGACCTTTTTTTTCAATCTCACTACTTCTTTTTCCCAAATTGTCTCCATTCATGAAAAAAATTGTTCTCCTTTTCCGATTTCAGTCACATACAGCGTCGGAGTGTCCTTTTTCATGTTTGAAAGGTTGGTCTTCTGACACTCATATCATATTTGAATTTCTGGTAGTTTTGGTTGTAACGGGAGCAAGCAATGATTTTAGTATGTCGGGAAAATCTTGCTTGCTTGCTAGAACTTTGGTTGCCTCGATTCCATATTTTTGGCTGGTTGACTGGTTGTGTCTTCATCTTTTCGTAAGGAGTGAATTATTATTATATCCGGTACTACCTAATTGTCATACTTCACGCGATTTTTGGGAGTGGACAGAAATATGGAGGGGTGGATGGACGGTGGATGGTAGGAAAAGAAATGGAGGATTGGTTGAGAATGGATTGATGGATGGACAGAAGTGAAGGAGAAAGAAAGTATATACCGTAGCGGATGTGTGGAGAACTACTCAAGTAGGGCTGGAATGGATAGATATATTTTACTATCTATATTTAAGGTTGGGGGAAAGTGGAATAACTAGTTAGTTACTTGGTTACTTACGAACCGAATTGTGTTGTTGGGAATGAGGAATAGATGAGATGGATGGATGGATGGAAGGATGGAGGGATGGAGGGATGGAGGGATGGAGGGATGGAAAATCAATATGAATTGAAAATGTAAAAAATAAAAAAATAATTCTATATTAGATGTCTATGAGAACACTTTGATTGTGATTTTGATTCTGATTGTAGATAGGTAGGTGTCTTTTTTTAGTATTATTTTATTCTTTATATATCTATTTATTTACTTGTTTGATATATATTAATGATTATTTATATATTCATAAGCAATTAATTTTTTAAACAATTAATTTTTATTGATTATTTTGTTTTATAAATATAAAATTATACATAATATTTTAAATTTATTTAATTTAATTATAAATTCAAGTTCAAAATTTTAAATTAAAAAGATTAAATTATAATTATAATTTTATATAATATAAAATATAAAATATTTTAATGCTTTAATGATTTAATAAGAATTTTTTTTAATATCAATTTATTTTATTTATTTTTATTTTTTGATTGAATTATATATATATTGTATTATTAGTATTATATAATTATAAATAATTTATAATTTATAATTGATATTTTATTTTATTTTATTTTATTTTATTTTATTTTATTTTATTTTATTTTATTTTATTTTATTTTATTTTATTTTATTTTATTTTATTTTATTTTATTTTATTTTATTTTATTTTATTTTATTTTATTTTATTTCATATAGAATTTTTTCAAAAACGAAAATATAAATAAATTTTTTTTAAAATAAATTAATTAATTTGATAAATTTTGATTTCAAAATTTAATAAAAGAATTTAGAAATTTAATCTTTAAATATATATTAAATCGATATAAATACATAATGAGAAGTACACAGAAGAAATTCAGTATCTAGCCGGATATTTCCTGGGAATTTTCCAATTGTATGTGTTTGATATGATGACTCAAATACTCTTCAAGTTTAAGTAATACACTTCAATTCCGTCAATATAATCTTACACAACAAGATCTAACCTTACCCACTAAGCTGCGCAAAAATAACCCGCAGTCCGCGGATATCCGTGAACAATCCGCCCCGCCAATGGATCATTCGTGGATTATCCATCAACGCAATAATCCGCCCCGCGGAGCCTTGTTGCGCAGCCTACTAGTACTCACAAGAGACGCAAGATTTTAAAGCTTCGTATAACTATCTCAAGGTTTTCAAACACAGTATCATAATAGCCATTTCCTCTACAGCACAGCTTAAGATCACCAGATGCTAGTCTCAAAACCTCCTAGTACCGAAACATACATGAATGATCATCCCCTTATTTTCCATCACTTATCCCATTTCTCATACTCTCAGATTCACTAGCCCAAATTACTGATCTATTCAAATCTCAGCTCTCAGTTATCACTACCTATACTTCGCTTGTATTTATCTAACGCCCGTTTCTCTTTTTAAAATCATTAACTGATTTGGATCGAATTTTAAGTATTGCCCTATTAGATCGTCATATAAAACATCAATCTAACCATTTGAGTCTTTTGAAGAACTAATCCAACCAATCAGAAGCACAAATACCCTCAAATACCTCAAATTACTCCTAGTTAGTCAAATTCTTGACTTGAAAACCCAGTAAGATTAGTAAGCCCGCTCGTTTTGGATCGATATACGGTTTACTTTTACCGACTGTATTAATGTTAGCAGATTTCGCTTGTAATCTTACATCAGTTTACACGAGTCGCTTAGCAAAACGATGTCTGTGCACAATAATTCTTCATCCGCTTCAGCCTCTTCTTCTTCCTCGATCTTGATTGCTTCTCCCTTCAATGCTGCTTCTTTCTCCTCCGCCTGACCGCCGCCATCATAGTCACCATCACCATAATATGTGAATGGTATCGTTGCCGCCGCGGAGGTATTTCTAGCTATCAGTATAAGCTCTCCGCTAGGACTCTACGCCGGCATCCCATGCAACTGGAATTGCAGAGGGGCATGCTCTGATTCTGCATTACCATGGGAATTCAAAGAAGGCAAGGAGAAATACGTGCTTGGAAGAGCATCTGCAAGATAGTGGAACAGGGTTTGTGAAGCGTGGGCTAGGTTTGAAATGAATCAAAAGCAGGAACTCTTCGAACGAGACTACAGGATGGTAAGTGCTATATATGCTAGCTGAGTGAGTGAAGGTTAGGCATTACTTCTTTCATCAGAACCAATACTCCGCTCGCACTAGTATATGTCACATTCTATTCTTCTGAATTGGTGGCGAGATAGAGAGACGAGAATAAGGAGTAAGCGGAGACGATCCTGACCTGCGTGAAATATAGTGGAGCATTATGATGGGCTGGAATGAGGTATGTTATTTAGTTTTAATTTTGGAACGTTTAGCTAGCTAGCTAATAAACAGGAATATGTCAATGTAATCCTTTTGACACCGCAATATGTTACGCATTTTGCAGGGAAGTCTCTCTGAGTAACTAAACCATAATCGCTACCCGGAAGAAACATGTACCGGCAAGTTTACCTCTCACTCGGAGAGGAATTTTTACTTCAGTGCTATCCTACGGACGGGTAGCGGAATGAAGATGTAAGGTGAAAGAAAAAGCCAGAATTCAGCACTAAGAGGGTACAAAAAGCAATAGGTAAGATGTCTAGATATAAAATGTGAATGAAAGCCACTGATGTGCCCCTTAAATGGGATGCAGACACCTCAGTTCGAGATCTCGATACTTTGAACCATCCACTTTTGGAGTTTCAGGAAAGGAAATGATAGAACAGAGTAGGATTGATATTCACATTATATTCTCCATGCAACCCAAGCTATGGAGGTCCATAAATAACACAAGTAAAGATATACGCTTCAAGGAGGTTCCGAGACTTTTGCTAGATGAACATTGGCTTCTATATGTTGAGGTTGTGAAGGTGCAGTCTGCAAGAGAAATAATGAGATGGTCATAAGATGGAGATATTCACCATCTTCTATACCCCTCTTGAATTTGGAAATTAAAGAAAAAATTGAAAAGTGAATTCACTCTATCATGTATGCTGGATGTGAAAGATAAACAATATGGGCCTAAAAGCTGAGGTCCAAGATCTGACTTTTTCTAATTACTCAAGGTCTTCAAAAAGAAATATGTGCCTCCAAAGACAATAGTATCCAAAATAACCTAGTAAGTTCTCATAATGGCAGCCTTTGATTCTTTTTTGTAACACATAGGCAACTGACGACAAGATGCAGTCTTTATTCCTCATGGCTTTCACATTCGCATTGCCTTACACATCGTTTCACGATGGCTCTACTGATCTCAACTTCGATAATGAGCAAGCCAGTATTCCTAATGATCAAGAAAGAGAGTACGACGCGGATGTAGAAGAAGAATCAAAATGCGAAGTCGATAGCTTGATCTACTCCCCTACCCAAACAGCTTCCTCCACAATTATCGTTTGGCGAACCTTCAATACCACACAATCGGGCACCGCAGGAGTCGAGGTAGCTCAGGTTGATATTGCTGCTCAAGCAGAAATTCTTAAGGGTGTAAATTGGCATGCCGTTCGAACTTCGCAGATCGGACCCTTACAGACTGATGCCCCTCAATGCAGTGGTTGGACGCCCATCAACGTGCGTCCAACCAACACTTCCCAGATTAGCAGAGAAAACGCCTCCACTTCCGATGCTGAAGACACTCAAGCTAGCGTTGCTCAAAGTACTTGCTGGTCCGTCACCAGTGGTTCGCAGACCGATACCTCACAGGCTACCAGTATTGAAGCCGATAATAAGTCATCCAGCTACCCACAGATGCAAAATACATTGAATCTACGCCGTAGGAGAATAGTCAAGTCCGTCATGAGTACCATGGTTGATATTCCCCAGCTCAAGGTCCACTTCAAAAGATGTAAGAAAGAATATTGCTCTGTCCCCACCAAGGAGAAAATTAAGTGGTTCAGACACCGCACCGCATGTTTAAATATGGGCAGGAGCGTTGAATATGATCCCGACATGGCGGTCTTGACGTCAGAGTGGCACAAATTCTTGGAGAGACGCAGATGGTTGAAGAGTGAAATGTTGAGGACCAAGAATCTTTATAAATCTTCAAGACGTAGACGTCAAGAAAGTACCCAGTGTAGTCTGAGAGCAAGTTATGATATTGCGTTCATCAAGTCACTTGCGGAGAGCTGAAGAACGTTGATTAGTGGGGCGGGCATTGTTACTAAGAAGTTGAGATTTGAGGTACGAACGTTGGGGAATGAAGTGGCCATTGTTTTAAGAAGTGGGAGACCTGAGTTACTTACATCATCCAGCAGATATCTTTTTTGGTGTATCAACGGTCTCTTGCCAGCGGTGGGTGGTGGATATAGGAAATTATTCGCAATTATCAGCATATTTATGAGGAACATGGGCAATAAATGAAATACATTATACCAAAATCTGCTTCCTTTCACACTGTGATGGGAGGACTTGAAATTGATGAATGAAAATGATGACCGGGTGGGCAAAGACCCTTGTGATCCTTACAACTGAAATTTCATGAATGTATAAAAGAAGAGTGATTTGCTTTGAGTGAAGTTCATAGAATGGAGCGCAAGTTTAACTGGAAGGTAAGAAATGAAAAGGAAAGAAGTAGAATGCACTTTCCCTTTCATTACGTTCAATCGGCCGAAAATGGCAGTTGCGTTGTCGCGTAAAGGAGTTATTCTGTTTATTTTACACCTCATCTTCTCAACTGCAAAACAGCGACAATCAATTCCATCCATCCCCCCATTCACCAACAATACCCGCCGCGATGGCAGTCTTACCTGCTGTTCCGTATGTCAGAGTGCGTGTTGTGATCTCTGGTTCAAAAACTGTTGAATACGATGATCCCGATGATATTCAAGATGGCATCACAGAAGGTTCTCCAAAAAACAGGACTTCTGTCTACATTGAATCTAAGACAAATCAAAGATTTGGGTTTGAATATTGGGTAAACAGCAAGAAGAGAGACAAGGCAATTGATCCAGGTACATGCTTGGGTTTTTATGCAACAATTGACGGACGAGGCTGTTCTTCAGTAGTCATTTGCAATGAAGATGGATTCAAGGCAGGCCAATGGGCTCATCAATTAAACGGAGACCGGATCCGGACTAAAAGCAGTTTGAAATTAATGCCATTCATCTTTGCCGAAGTCAAACCAGGTATACCACTTGTCTCATCCAAAACGAATCATCCATGACGCTGATAACATGCAGGAGATGATTCCACATACGCACCCCCAAAAGTCGCCTTGCAGCTTGGAGAACTCGTGGTTCAGGTTTGGCGCGTCCGCAAATGTAATCCGGTGCCAGCTCCGGTTGAAAAGGCTTCCTCCACTAAGAAAATAAATGTCCATGAGAGTCAGTTAAAGGGCAAAGCAGTATCCCATGCTACGCAGTATGTGGAAACATATGATCTGCGATGTTCAACCATCAAGCTGATTTTTACGACAGATTCGGAGCACCACAGACTTCATCGGATCAGGAGACGTTCTACAAGCTTGAATACATTGACCCAGTCAGCACGCCACTAGCCGAATTCCATTTTAAATACAGATCAAGGGACATTTTGGAGCAAATCATGGTGAGAATATTTTTGCTAAATCTTTCTCGAACAATCATTTGCTATAACCTGGAATTTTTGGGGCGCTGGCCGGAAGCTGTTGCGGGGAAGTTAGGTTTATTGTTCCAACACTAGTCTCATTATTCCAAGCGGATTTATTATTTCAGAGAATCTGAACGTCCGAGATAGCTTGATTGTTCCAAATAGCGTCGACATTCCAGATGGATCCAATGTTCCTTGTAGAATCAATGCTGACCATAACGCTAAGATTTCTTCTCCAGCACATCCTCGAGTACTTTCTCAAAATCTCGATTTAGCACCTCTTGTGACGAATTCCTTACCCAGAATACCGGTACCACGCCCTATCGATAAAAGACCATTTGCCAAAGGAAAGGATGTTATCAAAATCTTCGAAGCATTGACGGGCCAAAAGAATAAGTCTCCTGCTGAAATGGCTACACCCTCAACAGCAAATACGAACTCGGTTATCACCGGCAAAATGTTTAATCAAGTAGCTGGTGCTTTTTTACCACACGCATTTGGACAAATAGCCCCCAAGGTTATAACGAGCACGGTCACCTCCATCTCAGAGCCGGTTCCAGCAGTAGCAACCAATGTCCAAGAAGAAATCCGATATCCAATAACTCCCGCCTTCGGGTCAATCTCATCCTTAGCACCTGGCTTTGTCTCGAAATCTGCACCTGCAATGCCGCTAGAAACGCCAGCAAAAGTAATATGTAGACCTGATATTGAGGTATCCGCATCAGACGAATTAAGAGCAGCTTCAGCGACACCATTAGCGCCTGCGACACCTGCTACACGTGTAGCACAAACGGCCCTGGAGCCTGCCGTTACGCCATTTACGCGGGTACTAATGGAAATCCAAAAAAACTTAAGCGACTTGAGGGACATAGCTAAGGGTTTCAACGTTGTTAACGTTGTCGAGGTCTGTATTGACATTCAAGTTTCCTATCTTCCTGCCTTTCGATGAAAGGCGCCGATGAGAGTGTCTGACAAGTGCCTGTCAGCAAAGTATCCGATAGTCCTGACTGCAGTCCAAAGATTAGAGGCTTTTGGATCCTTGAATCCAAATTGGAACATTCAAACCAATGAAGACATTGAATTATATTCAAATATTGAAAGCTTATATCATCTATTCTGCTAGTTCAGACTATTGGAAACTCTGTACAGTCTTTGCACATGTCTAATTGCTCGAGTATGATAAATAGGATTTAGACCCTACACATATTGCTGGCTCCACTCTCCGTTGCCTTTTAGCGTGCTTATTAACTATTCCAGCCAAAGACGAGCGTCTAGTTGCAAGTGCCAACCATGGGGTAAAGGAGTATAGAACATGCCTTCGGGTATTGCCATGACACTAACAATTTTATACAGATTCAGAACGAGATCTCGCGTTTTGGGAACGAAATTCGGACAGAGGTCGAAGGACAAGCCAAGCCTGAGCAGGCTAAACCCGAGGAGAATCTGAAGCGCGAGCTTGCGGTCGATCAGGATGAAGATATTGAAATCGTGCTTGAACGTCCCGTTAAGAGACGCCACATCTTTACTGCGGAAGATGAAATCATTGATTTAACAGTCTAATGACATGACCGTTTAAGAATGCTTCTGCAGGGTATGTAATGGGAAGAAATTGATCGAGTATTGGGCGGCAGGAATGAAATTGGCGCTTTTGTGATTTTGGGTGGTATATACAACTTCACGACCACATTGATATTTGGACTGTATTGATTTCATATGTGGAACATGCCGCAGTGTTTTTATTAAAGCCCATAAATGGAAGCTGTACTATACGACGGAAGAGAGGCGCGAAATTGGCGCAAGAATATAACAATGGATGTCAGAAAGACAATATTCATCATCAGGCAAAAATTCCACTGAACTGTGAGTTCAACTGTCAAGCAATACTTTACTTGCGACGCTCAAAAGCCAGGCAGCGTCGTGCCATCCATCTGCTTCGTTTGGATTGAGTGGTGGCATTTGTTCTGCCACTGGTGTATCGTCCATTCCAGCAAGAGTTTGTCGTGATGGTCGTGATGATAATGATGATTCTTCCCCTTTTTCGTCTGACGTATCAAAATCGGCTTCTTCTCCATCTTCTTCGACAGCAAATAAACTCCAACCTAGCAAGTTTTCGACCCATCCTCCAAGCCCCAATCTACTTGCTCTAGCCAATTTCTTAACTATTGCTTCGTCTTTCCTTGCCTCATCACCCTCGTCAAAACTTTCTTCTTCTACATCTACAAAGTCTGGTTCCGCAGGATATTCTTCATGCGCAAATTCTGAATCGAAGTATCCTCCGTCTTTATCTGCTGTCATTGGTGTAATCAACGCAGCCCTGCTCCCTCTTCTACTATTCGCACGACTTCCCATCCTACTGTTTGCGCGACTGCCATATCTACTCACTGATCTACTGTATGCTCCTGCTGCAGGCCCAAAACTTAGACTTCGTCTCGTTGTAAGTGGTGAGAATTCGTCGTCTGCATCGAAACTTCCTCGTCTGCTTCCTCTCCTGCTACTGTAATCTCTTTCTCGAGCCAGTTCACGCTCAAATGCATCGTCATCCGCATCGATCTGTAAACTTGTTGAGCTGGCGCGCGAGACGAGCCAGGCTTGTCCCTTTGATTCACGAGTGGAGGATGCTATCATGGCGCCGGCTCGCAAAAGCCAATCGGAATCATTGCGATCGTTTTCGCTGAATGTGCTGATTTGTAAATTATCTAGGGCAATAGTATTTCTTAAATGAGAATGGCGTGAAGGTGTAGTTGTGCCGGAGCGGGGACCAGGTGTACGGGGTGTGCGAGGGGCAGCGGTGAGGTGGATGCTGGATTTTGATTTAGGGATTGAGAGATTCATTGGGGTGGGTTTGCGGATGGAAACACGAGAGGATGAGCGTGAGAGGATAGAGGGCGTGGTAGGAAGAGAGCGGTTGTCAATGTATGATGTATGGTCGGGAAAATAATCATCGTTTGAGGGAGGGAGCTTAGAGGTTAGAGGTGCCATGGTTAAATTTGTGAGATTGGAAAAGGAGCGGCTCTGACGTCGATGGTGAGGAGAATGTTGATTGTAGGCGATGTCCATTATGAGCTGTTTGAATTGATGTAGAATCTAACGGGAAGTGTGGAAAGATAAAGTCTACAAAGTCTTTCACCGTAGAAAAGGAATCGAATGTCTATCCCGTAAGTAAAGGAAGTGGGCAGAGAAGTGGAATGTGATAAATAAGAAGAGAAGTCTCACCACTAACCTCCAGTCAAACCTGGGGTTACAGGGAAAGTTCAACACTAAGTATTTAGCGTCTTTCGCTTATGAAGGAATGCACTAGGAAAATACTTCTGGCTTGTGAAAATGACTGGGATGTGATTTTCGAACGAATCAATGCCTTAACAAAAAGGATGACTTAGGATTTATTTGCATAAATTTTTATCTTTCACATTATTTGATATATTGATATCGGGAAGATGAGGAATTTAAGAGGTATTCAATATGAGCAATGGAAGCCTCCTGCGCAATACCAGAATAGACCGATAACGGCGGCGTCGTGGGACTTGGCAAATGATGCTGTCGTTTGTACGGTTGGTCCTACAGAAAATGACGCTGTGATCCAGCTTATTAGAGTCAAAACGAACTCAAAATCACAGTACATAATTTCCTAATCGAGCGTCTTTGAATTTTTACTGATTTAAAGTACAGTGTGGACTTCCTTATCACATCATGGGAAGCCCCATCACCAAACCCGGACTTGGCCTGTGACAAAGTTTTGAGCCTTCATTATTTTGGAGACAGCTTGACGACATGTCTTGTTCTTGCTGGTGGCGACATCATTGTCGTCAGAGAAGATCCTCAACCGGGAGAAGGCCAGATTGAAATTATGGGCTCAGTTGATGCTGGTATCACTGCGGCAAGATGGTCACCTGATGAGGAGCTGTTGGCGATCACAACTAAGGAAGATACCGTTATTTGGATGAGTCGTAGTTTCGATGGTGTTGCAGATACTACTATGACCAAAGAGGACCTCAAAGCTTCGAATCATGTATCCGTTGGTTGGGGTAAGAAAGAAACTCAATTCCAAGGCAGAGGAGCCAAAGCCTTAAGAGATCCGACTATGCCTGAGAAGATCGATGAAGGTGTTCTTAGTTCAAATGATGATTCGAGTGTCACCATCAGCTGGAGAGGTGATGGCGCTTACCTCGCTATTTCCACAATCGAGTCGGCTTCTCGTCGCATAATTCGGGTATACTCAAGAGAAGGTGAACTTGACAGTGTCAGCGAGCCTGTGGATGGTCTTGAAGGCGCTTTAAGCTGGAGACCTTCAGGAAATCTGATTGCTGGAATTCAACGACTTGAAGAGAGAATTGATGTTGTTTTCTTTGAACGTAACGGATTAAGACATGGAGAATTCAGCCTACGACTTACTCAAGAACAACGTGAACTCCCTAATCAGAACATCAAATTGGCTTGGAATTCTGATTCCACGGTGCTGGCTGTCATCATGGCGACCTCTACTCAATTATGGACAATGGGTAACTACCATTGGTATTTAAAGCAAGAGATTAGGAATCATCACGCTCCATTGCTTTTTACTAATCCTGTGGCTTGGCATCCAGAGAAGCCGCTGAGATTCTTATCTGTCGCTGAGGACACTATTGACCTTGCGGAGTATATCTTCACGGCAGCTCGCGGTACTTTGGCACCACCACATGATTTTGGGGTGCTCGCTGTTATCGATGGGCAAAATCTCATGGTAACCCCTTTCCGAGTAGCTAATGTTCCCCCTCCCATGGGTCATCACGAAACTGCAATATCATCAAACGTCATTGATGTTTCCATCAATGCGGACGCTTCATTGCTCGCTGTTCTGCATCAAGAAGGCATTTCTGTCTTTGAATTAGATGCCACTAAACTCGTTGCACCTACCCCGACATTGTCGGGTCAATACACATTCGAGTCGTCTATCAAAACTACCATATATCAACAAATTACTTTCAGTGGCAAAAGTGAGGCACTCGCTTTGGGGCGAACCGAAGCTGGTCCTGTCATTCAGAGATATCACCTCACTGATATGCCAGGTGAGATGAAAGAGAGAGCTCTTGAGAACAGTCCAACATCTTCTGTATCAATATTGTCAAGCTTTGTTGAAGATGGCGTAATGCATCCATACGTTCAAACTAGCTCTGGAGACCTTCATAGTTTAGCTTTTGGCGATGCGTCCTTATCTTCCTGCAATTTCTCCAAGCAGTTACCTTGGGTAGATATCATACCCTTTGGTGATGGCCCAAATGCCTATGGAGATGGTCGCATAGCTTTTGGATTGTCTAGTAATGGTCATTTGTTTGCAAATACGCGCTTACTGGTGCGAAATTGCACATCTTTTCTTGTCACACCAGCACATCTTATATTTACTACCACCACACATCTCCTCAAATTTGTGCACATCACAGAAGTTCACGGTATGTTTTACGATGTTCGTCGCATGAAGTTCAATGCTAATATTCTCCAGATCTTGAAATTCCACCTGATGATCCAGAAATTGATGAAAGATGTAGAAGCATTGAAAGGGGGGCTCGACTAGTCACCGCAATGCCAACATCTCTTAGTCTTATTCTACAAATGCCTCGAGGAAACTTAGAGACTATATTCCCTCGTGCAATGGTTCTTGCAGGTATCCGGAAACTTATCGAGGAAAAGAACTACAGAAAAGCTTTCACTCACTGCAGAACGCAACGAGTGGATATGAATATTTTATACGATCACGCTCCAGAGCAGTTCTTGTCAAATGTTGCACTTTTCATTGATCAAGTCAAGAAGATCACTTACATTGATTTGTTCCTTTCGTCATTGAGAGAAGAAGATGTTACTCAGACGATGTACAAAGAAACGAGAGTTGTGCCTCAAAATGGTAGCATAGTGCCTGCCACTAATGGTGCTACACCCCAGGATACCACTGTCGATATCACAGCCAACAAACCTTCCAAGGTTAATAAGATATGCGACGCTGTTCTCGAAGTTCTCAAGACTCGCACTGCAACCAATTTACAAAACATCATCACATCCAATGTTTGCAAGAATCCACCTGCGTTGGATGACGGTTTATTGGTTGTTGCACAATTGATGAAGGAAGATGAAGCTTTGGCCGATAAAGCAGTTGAGCATATCTGTTTCTTAGCAGATGTCAACAGATTATACGAGAATGCCCTAGGTCTCTATAACCTTGATCTTGCTCTTTTAGTGGCCCAGCAGTCGCAAAAAGATCCCAGAGAATATCTTCCTTTCATGCAAAATCTACAACAAATGACCGAATTACGTCGTAAATATAGCATTGACGATTATCTATCCCGCCATACCAAAGCACTACATCATCTCCACGAACTCAACGCATTCGAGGAACTACAAAAGTATACTCAAAAGCACGCACTCTACAAAACCGCTCTAGCTATTTACCGATACAACCCTGAACCCCTCGCTGTCATAACAGCCCTCTATGCTCAATATCTCGAATCTAAATCGTCATACAAAGAAGCAGCTCTCGCTTACGAATCTCTTCACAACTACGCAAAAGCCACATCTTGCTACCTCGCCTCCGGACCTTCTCAATGGCGCGAGACTCTCTTCTGTGCTCTTACCGGCGGCGCAGATGGGAACCCAATGAGCGGCTCTGCACTTACTGAGCTGGCAAGCACATTATATGACGCTCTCATCGAAAGCAAAGACTACTACGCCGCCGCAACTATCCAGCTCGACTACCTCTCCTCCCTCGAAACTGCCTGTAGAACCTTCTGCAAAGGCTATTTCTTCGCCGACGCCCTCCATCTCATTGCCCTCAAAGCTCGATCCGACCTCCTCGAATCAGTCATTGATCCCGGTCTCGGCGACGCCCTCGCTTCAAGCACAGAACTTCTAGCAGACTGCAAAGCACAACTACTAGCCCAAGTACCACGAATCAGAGAACTCCGACAAAAAGCCCTAGCAGATCCCCTCGCTTTCTACGAAGGAGAAAGAGGAGGTGACGGTGAAATCCCCGACGATATCTCCGTCGCAGCTTCATCCCGTGTTTCTACAAATCGCTCGCTCTTTACACGATACACGGGTAATGGTAGTGTAGGAACCGTAGGAACGGGCGTAAGCAGAGCAACGAGTAAAAATAGGAGGAGAGAAGAGAGGAAGCGAGCAAGGGGTAAGAAGGGGAGTGTTTACGAAGAAGAATATTTGGTGGCTAGTGTAGGGAGATTGATAACAAGAGTAGAGGATTCGAGAGGCGAGGTTGAGAGATTGGTGGTGGGATTGGTGAGGAGAGGTATGTGGGAGAGGGCGAGGGCTGTCGAGGCGAGTATGGCGGAGGTTGTCGGCTTGTGTAAGGGTTGTGTTGGGGAGGTTTTTGGTACGGTGGGTGATTTGAGTGGGAATGCAGGTGGGAATGTGAATGGAAATGCAAATGCAAATGCAAATGGACACGAACAAGGTGCGGCAGAAGGACAGGAATATAGACCAGTAGGTGGTGATGCAGTCTACGCCGAGAGTTTACAAGCCGCCGGACGAAAGAAGGAAGCCCCTCATCTTTCTGCTTTTGAAAAGTTATCGTTGTTGGGTACTTAGGTTCTTGATAGGTAGTTTAGTAAAAGAAAGTTTGTGATTTCCGGAAACCTTATGGCTAAATATGAATGGATAGATGTGGGCGGATCGAGGTGATAAAAACCATGTGTGTTGAATTTGATATATACTATAACACCACGTACGAACCACGAATGCCTTGAACGGTCTGTGTGCCATGTATTCCATACATTTACACTTTTTTTTTTCATTCCAAATACATAATATACATGCATAATCATCAAGCGGCCACTGGTACTGGCTCTGTAGACGTAGACGCAGGTGGAGAAGTAATGCCAGCTTCCCCAGCCTCTGTAGTTGTGGCCCCTTCAATCGTGCTAATACCCACCTGTCTCATGATCGTTCCTCTCCTCCGGGAGATCACCTCTCCAATTTTCAATAACATGCCTCGAGTAAGCTTACCCTTGCCCTTTGCTTTTCGTAGTGCTCTTTCCCTCTTATTAAGTTCCTTCAATGGCGTCCTCATTGAAGCAATCGTCGTATTCTTCGTTTCGTTTTGTCTGTCTTCTTCTAATTTTCTCTCTACGTATTCGGGATCATGTCTCTTCCTGAATACCGAATATTTATTTCTCAACTCATCGATCACACTCGCGGGCATCGGTGGTGTGAGGAGTGTGGGCACAAATGTTCTTTCTTCCACCTCCATTCGCAGGGTATCGCAATCATGGTCCTTCTTCTCTCGAGGTTCAGTTTTGGGCCATGGAATTATTATATTGGGGCGGTCACCGGCACCAGGGATTATACGCTGCCATTTGACGGTTTGGCCGTGGCGGTCTCGGAACATTTTGTGGTGGACGAGCTTTTTGGCGATTACGTCGCGGGTCAGGCCAGTTATGGGGTCGGTATAGGGAAATACTAGTTTGACATTTTTCAAAGAGATGCCCTGGGGGAAGGAGCGCGTGGGACGGCGGTCTGGGTCTTCGTCTGATTTCATCCATTCGGGTATTGCCAAATCGACCTGATGATTATCTTAGTGCGTGCCAATACAGGATTCGTGGTGGGGGTAATTGGAGAGCGGATGGCACGAGAGATCTCAAAACATACCATGTTCAACCCCTCACAATAAACTTCCGCCCTCTGTTTATCAACTTTCTCTACCTTTCCAATCTTTCCCTTATCTCGCCCTTGAATCACAACCACTCTATCCCCCGCGGTAATATTTAGATATTTTTTCCCACCCCATATGTCCAGTATCTCCAAGATTTCTTTCCTCCTCGCAGCTGGTTCTTCCACGGAGTGGGATTCAATACTGCCATACTTATCGGCCTTTGAACCCACATCTCTCTTCGGAGCCAACTCCTTCAATTCCCAATCCTCCCTTCGCGCTACCTTATTTTCCTTTGCCCGTTTTAGGGTTTCCCCGTTCCACATTTTCATCCTGTCCTGTCGAATAGCGAACTCGTCCAGTTCATTTTTGCGCTGCCGCCTCGCAAGCCGGCGGACGGCTTGCTTTTCGGCAAGTATCGTACGCCGAATTACTTTTTGCATGGTGGCGGGGGAGGGGGAATTCGTTTGGTGCTGGTGAGGGTGGCCGGTTCAACTTTTTTTGGATGGAGCTTTCGTTGATATTGAGCTAGTGAATTTTGGGTTAGTGCATAATTCATGGTCGGGGCATAATCACGTGGTCACAATGGAACCTGAATTAGTTCTTAATTGGTTCAGGGGCAAATGGCGCATTAGTTGAAGTTGATGTGCCAAGTTAGGTTAGCCAATCAAAGTATTATCTTTCAGATATGAGGCAGATTCATTCATTGAATCCATCTAAATGTTGTATTGTACATATTCATGACAATGGATTTTGAATATGGATCGTACTCATGAAATGCTGGAATATCAAGAGGATGATAAGAATCAATATGTCACAACAAGGAGAAGAGTGTTGTGTGAGAATCCTCGCAAGTCCTGCTGCTGTGTGTTCGCAGTCCTTTACATCCTATCCTGTCCTATCTTTCTCTGGTTATCTTTCTTTGGTTGGTAGAAAATCGAAATGAGGCGCGAGTGAGGGAGTGAGGCGCAGATTGTCTAGGAACTCAGCCCCATCTGGTATGCGTAAACCTAACGGATGTCTCCTTGAAGTTCGGGGACGTGCTTTTCTCCATGAAGGGAAGACAATTGCAAGTTACCGGTAGATAACTAAACCTTCATCATAATCGAAAGGGCATCGTGATGTGAAACAGTATGGAAGCTGTGCAAGGCCAGTAAATACGTCTGATGGAAGCGATGGAAGCGATGGAAGCAGTCCCGTACCTAATCAGAGTCATATAATGAATCATATGGTAAATCATATGGGCCCAAGCAATTCATTCATTCATTCATTGGATCTAGACTTTCTCTACTTAGGTCTTAGGTGCAGGAATCAGAACTCAGGAGGGGGTTGGAAGAAAGGAATAGGGAATCGCCAAGGAAGCATGAAAGCATGTAAAAAGCTATGTAGCTACTGACCACTATTTTACTTGTTACTCCATAGGTACAGAACAGAATCCAGACAGATGTAAATCTCCTCTAAGATTGTTCTGTCCGTACAGTGAGTGATGTTGATTTTTGAATTAAACTCTTACAATAAAGGGTTATCCCTAGCTCCTGAATATATTGAAGTACCTACATATTCATTGGTGTTGGACCTGCTCAAATGAATATCAAATGCGGGTACTAAGTAAAAACCGGTATTAAAGTACGGCACGGAAGTAGGTAGAGAGAAAAAGTCCTTTTCGTACGGAGTACCTTGTGTATACCGACTGGATCTGAGGAAATCTGAGAAAGGCAAAGGAAAAAAGAGTAAATATAAGGTTGTAAGCAATTGTCTTTTGTCATCAATCTTTTGTTTCATATCCGTGATGGCATGATGTGAGGTTAAGAGAGTGAATGGCGATAGGTGCAGAATACGTGGAGAATGCAGTACATCACCTCACCTAGCAGATGCTAATAATGTATGAACCTTGGTAGCCCCTTAGTTGCTGGCTAGGGTGGTGGTTGAGGAGTAAATACCTATGGAGTTGGAGTTATCCCCTATATCTGACTGTTTGACATAAAAATAGATAGCCAGATAAGTAATGAACATGAAAGAAAAAACACAGAATAATGAATTACATTAAATACCTACCTAGATAGGCAGGAATACTGTAAATAAATAGATAGATACTGTTAATATATCTCATGGATGAAATGAATCATGACATTTCTTTGATTATAATATTCCTGGTACGGTAGGTACCCATCCCAATCCCCTCCCATCCCATCCCATCCATCCCATCCCAATCCAAACTCAATTGCTTGATTCACCGCATCAGCCTAGTTGAACCATAACCCAAGGTTTTTTCTTATTTATGCTGGAATCATTCCCATAGTAACCAAATGAATAGTCGAGTGCCTTATAAGTAATCACAATCACAACACTTAGAATTAAGGCAGTAACATTCGAACCGACGCTATTAGGTTTCTCCAAAGGTTGCCTTTCTTGAACTCATTTCCACCTTCAACAACCTTTCCAATTAACGAACTTTCATCTGCAACGACCCATACGATCTGTTTACACACATTACAATTTAATCAACAACTTCACATAGTCGCTCTCTTTAACACATCTTATCACAACCTTTGCCAAAATGGCGGAAATCAGAAGAAAGCTTGTTATTGTCGGAGATGGTGCTTGTGGTAAGACTTGCTTGTTGATGTAAGTACCCATCTCCTTTCAACGCTTTTCGACTTGATAAAAATCGATAAAAGTTATACCTACTAACAAATGCGTCAGTGTCTTCTCCAAGGGAACCTTCCCAGAGGTAAGCTCTACACCGACTCCCTTACAATTATATGCGAATCAAATACAACGCGGCCATCGCGTCAATCACTGTTGATATCGCCAACGAAGCTATTGATGCGTTATCACGAATTCATCAGAATCAATAACTGATGCATTTTCTGCTATAGGTCTACGTCCCAACCGTTTTCGAGAACTATGTCGCCGATGTCGAGGTTGATGGAAAGCACGTTGAGTTGGCTCTATGGGATACGGCTGGACAAGAAGATTACGATCGTCTCAGACCTCTATCATACCCAGATTCGCATGTCATCTTGATCTGTTTCGCCGTTGACTCTCCCGATTCCCTTGATAACGTTCAGGAGAAGGTACGATTGATGGATTAATCCATATGCTATTGCTCTGATAAGACAACTGCTGACACGTGCCTAACCAGTGGATCTCTGAAGTCCTCCATTTCTGCCAGGGCCTCCCAATCATCCTCGTTGGATGCAAGAAGGATTTGCGCCACGACCCAAAAACCATCGAGGAATTACACAAGACCAACCAAACCCCGGTCTCAGAAGATCAGGTAAGGATACATCAGATACATCGCGTTTTGGAGACAGCTGCTGGATAGAGAACGAAGTGGATAATATAGGAACCATGCTAACTTCCCTATCAATAGGCTCAACGTGTTGCTGATAAGATCGGTGCTTACAAGTCTCTTGAGTGTTCAGCAAAGACCAATGAGGGTGTGCGTGAGGTTTTCGAACATGCTACTCGTGCTGCACTCTTGACCAAGAAGGAGAAGAAGAAGAAGTGCATGATTCTGTAAAGCTACTGTTATCGACTCTTCTATTTCTCTAATGCGATCGGATTTTATTTTACTGCGAAAGTAGCTCGCTCGGTTGGGTGACGGATTTCATGCTAGCGAGAAGGAATATGTGCTTACAGATTGTGCATGGCTCTTCTTTATCGGCATATTAATCTATCATCTTCTTGATTGATAATTCGTGGACCATATCTTCAAGTTCCTCGCAACAATATCCAGCACTTCTTTCTTACTACATCTGGGCTCCGACACAAATATCCTCGGGGCACACGAACGGATGAAATATGTCTCTTTTCTTCCGCAAATTGTGCCACGCTAGTTTCTTCTCTGTGTCTCTTTTTTTTCTCGCAAGATCTTTGTTGTTTCCTCATCTTCTTTTTATGCGTGCGGTCAAGAATGGATCTGATTCATAAGGGTGCTTACTGCGTGCGTTACGTCTACTCTTCTTCCCCATCGTTGCTTCTTGCTTGCAGGGGGAGGTTGTGCAGGGTATGGAGGGCAAGGAGGATAGGGAGTGAATGGACTTTCGCATTTTTGTAAGGTGTAATAGCAATAGGCGTAGTCTATCAAGAGATGTTTTTTGAGGTCTGATTGCACCAATATACTTGAGGCGTTCCTTCCTTTTATTTTATAATGGTTGACTATTGATGGATGGGTAAATAGGCGGTAATGATTCCTGCGTTCTTTATACATGCTTGCATTTTGATCTACATATGCTCTGCTTTGTGAAAGAGGTATGACTTAATGCTCATCTATCCTGTGATATTGACCCTACCATCCTTTGCAAGTCTGTAACGATGCTATCGATATCGATCTACAGGACGCCGACCTCACGGTGCGTTTAACTGAAAGCTGTAGCCCATGCCATGTTCGAAGTTTCCTGGCTTACTCGCTTCCCGTTAGCGATGCTATATCCCAGGCCGGACTTGGGTACAGCGTACTGTAGTATTTTGTTCGCGTCCGGCATTCATTTATAGAGTATCATACTTGATTCCCTAAAGCAGCTCTGTTGTTGGACTGTAGGTTAGCGGTGGCTTGGGTAGCTGTGAATTTGAGGTGCTTTGAGCATGACGGTATAATGGCTCCGGATTGCAGTAAGTGGTGGGGTAGGGGTAAGGTGAGTGGTGTCGGCTAGACTGGGGTAGCGATGAGGGGAATGTTGTATGGAAGAATGTGGTGGAGAGTTTATGGGTAAATGAGCGTGTAAAGCTGGTGTTTACATTCGGCCATGAGATGATACTCGGCAGGCACAATGGATCAAATGAACGCTCTTGGTGAGCAGCTATGTGTTTCAAGATTCCTTCGATGTACCCAAAAAAAATGGCAGCTTCAGTAACTTGAAAGTAAGTAGTAATAAAACAACATTACCTTCATCGTTATGATACGTTTGCTAACGGTCTGTGCTCGGATAGAGTTGAGGACCTAGGGTGATAAGTGAGACATTGGTACTCCTGTGAAAAATACGCTCGCTGCTAGACATGGTGATGCTAACTTTGCAAGTTTGCTGGGAAAGTCTGTGTTGAGTATTTTGTAGATGCGGATATTTGACTCTTGAATGTTACTGAATTCATACTTTTGTGATAGTGGCGTGAGATAGTTTTTAGGAAACTTTTAAGGTTACATGGCTAGAATCTAATGTGATTTTCGCGCCGATTGGGAAGTATGTCGCCAAAGAGTCAGGTGATAACCTCCCGGCTTCACTTGATCAAACTTCACTTCTCATTCACTCCGCATACAACCATTCATCATATCAATTCACTTTCTTTTAAGGTTGAATTTTATTTTTACTTGGCGCCATAACATTGCAAGGCTGAAATAGACACGAAATAGGCCTCCCAAGAGATCTTACTCTTTCACAAAGAAAACAAACACAGCAACGACTACTAGATCATATCACCACAGCGATGTGTATGTTCAGGCTCACGACATACGATAATTGTTGGGCACAATACAGGCATGTATTGATCTGCCCCGTCGGATCACACACTAGTAACGAATTTAGTCCTCTTGGAGATCATGTCGAATCGGCATTGAAATGTCCCAACTTGAAAACCGAGCATATCCACATCGGACACTCAAGATGCAGTTGCAAAAGTCATCCAAGTCAAGAATTCGAAATTGTCTGCGAAAGAATGTGGGGTGGCGACTTTTTTGGAGAGGTTAATTGTACTTTACTGCCAGGTTCAGCTGCACGATTTGAACTTCGCAACCGACAGTGGACCAATTGCACCAACGTTGATATGCTACTCAGAGGCGGAGATCGCTTTGTACCCGAAAATCACGTTCCCGGTGCTCAAGAATGGAATGATCGTGAGTGGGATGGAGCCAGCAAGGTGGTAGATTGGAGAGATAAAGATTGGGTCACGTTGGCCGAACAGGGAAAAGACACCCGTGGTCAAAACATGGTGATGGAGGAAGGAGCTATGTCTACTGAGAGGAGTCAGGCTTACAAGGATGCCCAACTGGCGAAGAACGAAATATTTTCGGTCGATCATAAACTGACTAGACAGGTCAACACAGCAAATCACTATGCTGGCAATATTAGTGATGCTGTAGCCAAGTGGAGACAACTAAAGGATCAGAGAGAAACCGCAGCAAATGGTCAATATATGCCTCCTTTGCAACCAAGCGTTGGTCAGCCACGATACCAGAGACAAGCTTCAATTCCAATCATTGATCAACCACGACATATAAGACACTTTAAAGCACAACCAGGCCATGAAGCTCAACATAATGTTGAATCGCCATCAGCTTCAGCTTTTGGCACATCACCAGTTGTCTTATTTGGCTTGGAAAAGATGTCTGTTTGGGAAGCAGCACATTTACGGACAGAAGAAAGAAAAAAAGAGACGAGTGCGAATGTCCTAACACCAGTACCTGTTCCACTTGGACCGAGGACTTTGTCTATTCGGGAGCTGGCACGAACTCTAAAAGAGAAACAGGAGAAGGAAAGGAAGGGGCTCGGAGCACAATCAGACAACTACTTGCAAAGTCCAAAGAATCTTATTTCTGCTGAAACTAGAAGCGCAAAGGGTGATGGGCACAGTATGGATCACGCGAATCAAGCTGCGAACGTGGAAACACGATTACCTGCTGCACGGGAAGTTTCTTTGACTTCTGCCCATACAGTTCAAAGCTCACAAGACAAACGCAAGAGGGAACGAGAGGAGAAGAGAAACAAATTTCTGCAGAATACATACAACCAGCGAGTTGCCATTCGAGAAAACAATTTGAACAATCAAACGCAAGAATCTGCCCAGTCTGCTCAAGATAGTACCCAAGACTTCAGTATGCATATACATGCAGAGGAAAATAATGCATCATCAACCAGTGCACCGCTTTCTGCACGACGGAATGGAATGCCCGAATTTGTGGTTCATCAGGACTACAACACTACTCTACCAGAGTCTGATGATAGCAACTTGAACTTCAACAATTATCCTTCAATTAAACAACTCGCTGAAGGGACTGAAATGTCAGTTTCGCAAAAATTCTCACATCCTGGACGCGAGGACTTCTTGACACCTCGTCAGCTAAGCCACATATCAAGACACCAGGCAAGGCTTTCAGACCCTAAATCTGATCCTCGTTGGAATCTAAGTAAGACTAAGTTGCGGGCTGAAAGAAGAGCAATCAGAAAGGTCCAAGAGATTTCGGAACAATCGAAGATCCCATTCGAGCAGGGAGAAATAACACATAGTATTTTACAGGCTCAGATCTCGCCTGATATCCTTCCGCAAGAGTCAAGCTATTTACAAGAACGACCCGAAAGAACTGCTATGAGAAAGCTTCAAGAGATCGAAGAACAGTCAAAGATACAAGGCAACAGAAATAAGCGAGATATTCTAAACGACCCAGATCAGCTTGATGCCTTTCTACAAGATTTCACATTTTCACAGCAAGAGATCGTTCGGGATATATGGATGAAGGAGAAAGACAAGGTTGATGAAAAGTATCTCAAACTTTACGGCAAAAGCGTGACTACTAGTGGAGAAGTTGCAAGTAGCTCTCAATCAGGTAGCAGAAGATTTAAGCATGCATATAAACATGAAGACGGCGGCAAGGATAGTTGCGATAGCGAGTCCGATGCAGAGGCATTACTTCCAGGCCACGATGGGTCTTCATGTACATGGGAACAGTCACGTCCTTCTAAATTATCCAGGTTCCTCAAATCGAAGCGCGAGAACGAGTTGATGGTAGCTGTACTTAGTGATCAAGACAAATTGGAGACATATTTGCAGAAATTCACAACTGGCCAACAAGATCTAGCTAGAGAAAGCTGGTTTGCGGTACTACACTTAGCAGATCGCCGCTTGAAAAAGGTTCTGAGCCAGATTAGCTTGGTTGCTGCCGATAATGGTGAAGTGAATGATATCGAGGGTGACGTTGATACGTTACGGACAGAGGGGTACGGATATTTATACTGCTTTAGATGAACATGAAAGCTCACATATTTTAGTAAGAACACCCAAAGCAAGGTACGAGTAAAGCTGGCTCGAAAGTGAGGGAATTAATCTACACCTATTGCACTCCATTTGTGTTCGCTAACAAAAAAAAGGTTCGATCAGAAGGTCAGGGCACTGGAGCGCAAATCCAAGCGTCGGGAAGACCAGAAAATTCGTGAAGGGCAGAAAGGACAGAAGCAGCAGACGTTCATTCATGGCGAGATACTCAAAGAGCAAGTGCAAGCTGGTGAAGACAGTAACCTCTCAAATCATACTGATCATGTGGAAATCGCAAATAGCCAACAGGAAACAATTATCAATTCACTCGAGTACCAAGCAACAGGAGACGCTGCAGCGTCTTTTGACAAAACTGACAATGAGTCACATCAAAAAACAAAGAGAAAAGATCATTACTCCCGTCTTTATCCTGATATGGATGATAAGAAGAGAAAGTCTGGCGAAGATAAGCTCGAAGTCGAGAGTCAGGAGGCACTTAATAAGCGAACGAGGGATCTCTACTACGCTGGTCTAATTCCAAGCATGGGTGCCGAGCTTCAAATCGAGAACCATGAAGATCAGAATAAACATAAACTACTGAGATCCGGGAATATCCACGGTCCGCCGATTGTAAATGATGAGGTGTCTGGGGGGCGGAGAAGCTTCCGGAGGGAGAAAGTATATCTAACAAGGTATATATCTTACTGGTTTTTGAATAACAACGTTCCGCGCTGACATTTGATGCTAGGATAAAAGCGTTGAGAGAAGCAAGCGGAAGCAGCGATGTTACTGATCCGAAGTCTGTCAAGATCCCATCCTCCTTCCATGGGTCTTATGGAACAAAGTTTCCCAAGACGTCAGAGGAAACTAAAACGGAATTCCGCAACAGAAAATTTGCTGCATACGTCAAGAGTGACGAATATCCAAAGAAGCAATCAACTACAGCAGGTATTATGGATAGCACAGTGGCCTCTATACCATTGGAAGCGAGCGATGATGACGATTTGACGGATGTTGATTCTGGTATGTTCAACCCCTAATGAAAGAAGAAGCATGAGAGCTTATGATATACTCAACAGAAGTAGACATGTCAATGACAACTAGTAAAGGTGACATGCATAATCAGAAGCAGAATGAAGCAAATTCGGGACGTCAGCGTGGACGTCATGTAAGAAAGAAGTAGGAAACCTGTTATTTTGTCGTCACGTTTTTTGTATTCGCTAACTAATTATAAAGGCCATCCCAACAGGAAAGGCTTGCGAAGCGAGAGGCTAGAGGACTTGAATATCAACGGGAATCAATAAGTAATACGGGTGATGGTGAAGAGCACCAAACTGGAGGAGAACTTGTTGCCGAAACAACTGAAGCCAGAGGCCTGACGAAGAGCAATTCTAATGATGGTGCTGAGTTTACAGATTACAAATCGGATGGGAAAATGAATATGAAGGTAGAAGGTGGCAGTAGATCACAAAGCATAAGTATATTCCCCTCCTCTCTATCTCAGCTACTTCTATCGGCAATAATTGAGCGGGGCAGACACCACCACGAGAACTATCTAATCTAACTTTACAGATGTAGACAACTTCGAGTCCCAACCACAAGTTCAATCCTTCATTGCAGATATGGCAGCGCTAGCTCAACACCAGGATACAGTCATGGAAGGAGATGATCCAGGGGCAGTTTTCGATCTGATAACTGGAAATACTTGGGAGGCAGCTATTGATTTGACGTATGATTAAGGAAAGTAGGTTGAAATTCATAGTGATTCGGACACAGGAATTTAGCATAAAAGTTTCTTTACCTGGATATCACATCATTGCATAGATCAGGTAGTCAGCATGGTATTAATGCAAATGCTTCCTTTCTACATTCGGAGATTGCATATTTTCTTGATTCGTAATATGAGTATGGGTGGTACGTAAATGTGCTCGCTGTAAATATGCGTGTCGTTGCCAATCTACTCTCTGTGAATCAAAGAAGGAAGCTTGCGAATAATCTGCTGTTGAATCTGTCTATATTCACTGGATAGAACTGCAATCTACATACCCCTTGAAAATTGTATGTTTCCAAGCAACCTCTAGAACATAGAAGCTTTAACTAAATCATAAAGCAAAACAAATCAGTTTTACTATAATCCTTCATTGAACTCGAACTATTATGACCATGAACTTCCTATCCAAATCTGGACACCACAGACGCCCTATTCACTATCGACAGAGTAATATCCCTACTATCATCCGATAAAAGAGAATTTCATGTAGCTCATTTAACATCTGAAGTAATTATAATTATGCCCGTGTAAAAGATCTGCTTCCGGAAAGTTCTTCTGTAATCTCTCGCGCAACAAGATCTAAATTTTACGCTCATTTTTCTTTTCTTCAACCACCACGTTTCTTCCAGATTTGGCTGGAACTATCCTGAAGTACTCAACATTAATCGATCTTGGTGTAAGTAGGCAGTGTCTTCGCATCAGAGACATCCTTCTTATTTATTTCTACGGTTATGCAGATAACTTTGACACCAAATTCTGGCAATAAACTCTGCTGTTACCTTCGAACTCCTGTCCTCCTCTTCACCTCAAATCCCAACTTTGATAATTCATCATCACGATACGATCTATTATCTAAACGCCATCCTCTTTGAGGCACTCAAGAAAATCATCCACACATACATACCTACCTATACAAACAGAGCACCGCAAAGATGTGCAGAAAAACTCTCATCCATTACACAGGTTGCGGTTGTCGCATCATGGTCGAAACTATTTGTTTTGATTATATTCAACATACCGTTAAGCAGAAAGATAGATTTCCCTGTGTTAAGATGATTTCGGAGACTTATAAGTTTAAGTTTGTATATTTTTATTTTTATTTTTTAAATTGCGATCTTGCCAACTTTTCTGTGTGCTGTTTTTATTGTCACGTTAGGATCTTACATGCATTTGCACTTTCAAGTTTTATATCTTCATCTCTATTCATCCTAAGCTTATAATATTGATCTATTTTCATTCCATCTTTTCCTTGCATCAAGTATTTTCAAAACTAATGATACTTCCCTCCACAGAACGGTCAATAAAAACTGCTTCCTCAAACCAGGTCAACTACTCGATGACGGCTGCATCTTCCGTCATGGTTCCTACCGCACACGTATTATCTATGAGTTTGAGCGCGATCCCAACGGTCCTAGAAAACCCAGGCAAAAATGGCAGAGCGATAATCGTGACAAGGCTCGTGAGAGAACTGATAGCATGGATTTTAACATTAGTGCTAGTGAAGACAGGTATGTTTACCTTTATATATAAAGATTCCACAGTTACCAGAAAATCTTACTATATAACTTTTGACTGTGACTAATAAGCCATGTGATAGGATGAAAATTGAAGCTGATGGAGTTGATGTTGATGTTAATAACAGTCACAAGGAACGAGAACCAAAGATTAGAGAGTGGCAGGAGAAGACTAAGAATGAGAAACAACCGAGATTTAAGATGGAGAAACAGTTCAAGAAAAGACAACCTGCAGGGAAAAGAAAGATTGTTACTCATTTTGTTGACGAGCTATCTGATCCGCGTAGCGACGATGAGATAAGTGATGATGATTGGAAGCTGGAACTGAAGTATTCCCCCCCATTCTCTGTAGATATTAAATCCACAAACTAACATCAACTCAAGAATAAAGATCGAGCCCGGTGACGTAGTTCCCTGGTCCGCAACCTCCTCTCGCTCTTTCTCAGACCCTACAGTTGTAAATCCCAATAGCACAACCCAAGCAACAGGTACTAAACCTTCAGGCAATGGAGGTCTATTCCAAGGCTACAACGCGAGTGCCCTAGCAGCCACCGATACCTACCATCCCACGACCCCTAACTCACGCTTTAACTTCAATCCACCCGCCACAGGCATGCACACTAGCTACATGAACATGAACATGGCCAGCAAACCAGCGAAACGCAATCCTTCCAACTCCACATACACAGACCAGGCCATAAATCTCGGATCTCCCAAACTCAAGCCCAAAACTCGAGCTCAGGCTCTAGCTCACTCTGATCATGAGATGCAGACTTCGATTGCAAAATTTGCAGGTCTATCTCCATACCCTACTATGCACAGTCCTATTGATGTACATAGGAGTTTTTCGGCTGGTCGTATGAGTACATCTTTTGAGGTTTCGAATGTGGATTTAGATGCAGAGACAGATAATCCACCACCATATTCCGCACAAGCTCTATCCATTCTTCCGGAATGTAATTCAGCTATGGATACAAGTACCACTGCAAATGCAAATGCAAATACAGATACGAAAAGCCTGAACAGACCATGGCCATCTGCAAGCCCATGTATAAGCGATATAAGTTCCGCAAGTGGATATATAGGATATAATTCCACATGTGGAGAAAACCAGGGGGTTTTTGGTAATTATGCTAGTGGGGAGAGTGATGAGAGGGAAAGGAAAAAGATACGGGCTGAGAGTAGAGATGAGACTGAGGATGGAAAGCAGATGGTGCATGATATGGATAATGCTGAGAATGACGTGAAGATGAGTGAGGAGTGAGTTTGGTTTAAGTTAAGTTAGGTGATCCAGGTTAGGTTAGGTGAGATGGGCTTGTGATATTTTGATTGATTTCTTAATGTTATGGGTTTATGCACTTGGATATGTGGTACGACTGTGATTTAGTTATTTTCTGTGGAGTTTGGAGGATGGGTGGATGAAGGTACAGATGTAGATTAGTAATTAGTCAGTACTCCATTCAATAATTGTAATGAAGGAAATAAAGTTTAATAACTTGAATAAACAAATAATGAATAATAATAAATAATCTTAAATAAGATCTTAAATAAAACACCGTGTATATAAAATATAAAATAGAAAATATAAAACATATATAAATTTCAAAAATTTAAAAATCTAATAACTTTTTTTCTTTAAAATCTTTAAATTATAATTTGAATATAATTTAACTTAATATATAATTAATAATTAGTTTTTAAAACTTTTATTATATATAAATTATAATTCTTATTAGTATTATTCTCTAGTCATTCTATTTTAATATATTGTTTTTAATTATATGATTGATTATTGAATATTGTTACATCTACACTTATTGGCTCTGCAATTCTTGTTGATGTTCGAGTTATATTGCTTATGATACTTCATTCCTCTCCTCCCAGATCAATCAATTTCCCCAAAGGCATAGGAATATTCAACCTAAAACCTGCGCGGGTCATCCCGCAACGGCCCACAGTTTATGTAGCACAACATGAAACGCCATCTGATTGCTCAGTTTGCCTCCAGAATCTTTGAAGTCTCAAAAGGGGAGAAATGAAAAGAAAGGTCTGCTCCATGAGGACGGCGTCATGATTCTAGTAATGTATAAATGAAGCAAATTATTGCATGTAGTGTGAAAGTAAAATATCGTAAAGTGTGGCATAAGCTTGAAGAAAAAATAATTGAGTTATCATGATAAGAGTTGATGGAGAGAGGTTTATCAAGGCTCAAAGTGCCGCGTGATATCAAGCAGACATGGAGAAACCATTGAACTTAATGATCGAAAAAAGGGACATTACCCAAAAACCCCCTTTTTCTATTTCCGAGGGAAAGTCCGAGGGAAAGTCCGAGGAGCAGATCTTGACGCCAATGCTTCCTTCAAAATTTTGTGTGCAAGCCCCACTTGCTCAGAATAATCTTTGATCCCTTTCAAATTATCCAGCATGAGACGGATCTTGGCGGTAGGGGCGCAGCGAGGACATGAAGGCACCAACTTTGACAAAGCAAATTTGCAGCTTGGGCAAAATTGCACGTTAGGTCGCGGGGAACCTGTAGAGAGTGGTGCCAGTGATGGGGAGGCAGCCAGTCGAGATGGCATGGGTCTAGCAAGAATTGGTACGGGTGTCATGGAAGAATTTAGGGATGATGTGGATCCACGGGGACGACCTCGTTTGCGCTTCACTGGTTTTTCTATGGCTGGAACAGATCGAATGACGGGACTTGATCTATTTGGTATATTGGAATCTGGATCAATTTGAATGGGATCTTTTGCATGTTGCCCGGATGGTCTACCAAGTGGCGTAGACATTTTAAAAGTTTCTTTAGGGAGAGGTGGCGGGTATCGTGGATCGCTGGGCGGTGGAGCCATCTTGTGAAGATGTTCTTTTAGAACTTTGGAGGGTGTTTCCTGAGGGGGAGGTTGCGCATATTCTGCTGCCATTTCTGGATAACCTGCCTCCTGGTGGCTGCGCGCTAATCCAGCATGTTCCTCGACATATCTTAGTTGGATGGCATAGTACCCGGCTTGTTGCTGACGTTCCGTGTTATCTCGCAACTGCCGGTCGAGCTCTTGTATGCGTAGTGCGTGGTCCTCGATGGGGATATACTTCTCACCTGATTTTCTCTCCGCTATTTTGCGCTTCTTGTAAGCCAAATCATGCCTGGCTCGCTCTGCGTCACGCGGTCTCTGTACCCGAAATTGTTCATCAAAAGCATCTTCAAATTGCTTTGATTTTTGGACCCGCTCTCCTATTTGCCGCTCGTACTCTACAATCTGTTCGTAGTAGTGTTCATCGTTCTTGTTGACTGGGAGGACTAAGGGGTGGTTTGCTAGCCATTCAAGATACTCTTCGACTTCTTTGATCATGAAACCTCCTGCTTCCACGAGTTGGTCCGTGAAGGAGCTGTCGATTGCTTGACCTCCGGCGCCTTTGCGTTTCTTGTAAGGTCCTCGCTTCTTCTTCCCGCAGATGGTTTCTTGCTCTTGTTGCTGGATTGCAGAATTTTCTAATTCTTCCTCCCAGCCAACCTCCTCTCCACTAAACAGGGGATTGCCGCTATTCGGACCCTTAACTGCATTGCTAAGTATTAAGCGGTTGGTTGTACCTGAGCGTGGTTCCTGGGGCCTAGTCATTCCCTCGGTCAGAAAATGTTCTTGAATATTTCGCTCTTCTTGGCCATTTCCCCACGGATTGCCCCCGGGTGGTCGAATCAACTCTTCCCGTATCTTCCGTTCACTATCACAGGCCTGTACTAAACTTCGTATCTCGTTACAAAGCATCCAATATCGTGACTTTGGATCCTCTCGTCTTTCTACCTCTCGTTCGCAGAATTGTTTAAGTCGCTTATGAGCATCGATCAGTTTGTAGCCCCAATCAAGCCACTCTTCAGACTGTCGTCGGTAATTATTTAGCTGCACTGAATAGTCTGCATCACGGTTACCCAATGGTCGGACCAATCGATCTCTCGCTTGAAGCCATTGTGCAGTGTCTCGGTGCAGTTTACGTCTATCTTGTACCAATTGCGGCGTGACTGCCTGCCAAAATTCCTGAACTTTTTGCTCTTCTTGATTATACCACCATTGTGGTTCATCAAGAACACTTCGTATACGTTCTTGCAAATACCTATATTGCCTCTCAACATCTGCCTGCATTTGATTCGATTGTTCTAGTCCTTGAACATGCCGAGCACAGCTTTCGAGGAGTTCGTGGCCTAGATCAAGCCAGTCTTGTATGTGCCTAGCACTTGTAAATACGCGGTCGTTGTTAATGCTCACTTGGTGCCATTTTTCATAGTCTCTGTTGATTCTCTGAATTTCGACGGGTCCTTCGCGATCTCCGCTATAGTTGTCAACTGCTTATTGTTAGCGGGTTGAAAAACGAACTTGTTACTAATTGCAAATGAAAACGAGCAGAAGCAGAAGATTATAAAGAATGGTTTGACGAATCCTGTTCCTTGACAGAATCCGAAGACAGCATTGCAGGAACACAAACAGCGGCTGATGTAACATTCTGCTCTGGGCTAGAATGCGGCGACCTTTTGACAGATCTATTTGAAGCATAGGCTTTGCCGTTGAGTTTATTTAGGAGCTCCCCTTTGCCAAGCTTGCTCCTTAACGGTCTTTGAGTTCTGCGAATGCCTCGATTTTTTAACGAGCATTTATGGTGGGTAGTTCAATGACGTCATACCGTCATTACTACGCTTTTGTCTTCACCACGATGCTATTGTACGAGTAGATACTTCTTGCCAGGTCTTGTTGGTCTTATCACAGAGCTGTCTGGCCTTTTTTACCACAGAGCTATCTGGTTGATACTTGGAGCCTTGCTGCTGCTTACCAATTTTTCTAGGGAGTGGCAAAGTCGGAGTGGGCCATCCGAGATGTGATTTATTGCCGCACTGGAATGCCCATTTTGCGTTTTGATTTATTGGAAGATAGATGTGTAAAGACGCTTTTTTGATTTCGTACCTTTCACTCTTGGCTGACCTGTTTCCAACTCTCGGGGATCGACGTCTTCATATGCGTCCGACTCTTCAGCTTCAGATTCCTTTGCACCATGACCAGGAAATTCATCATCGCTGTGAGATCCTCTAGTTCGTCGACCATCTTTTCGAGGCGAGCCATCAGGACCGTCCAGTTCCATTAGCTCAGGTTGCGACTTTTCATAGTCAACCGTCTAAATAATTAGTAAAGGACCATGACGTGGTAGGATGAATTGTAATAAAACTAACCTGTCGGGCGCGCTTTCCACGACCAAATGTTTGCATATTCTTAGCAGCCTCCAGAGCAGCATCGTTCGCACGTTGTTTCAAGATAGCATCCCATAATAGCGCTTTTGGCGCAGCCGGTTCAGCCTCAGTCTCGCCAAAATCCTCTGACAGGTCTCCCTTGTCTTTGATCCATACACGAGCATGTGAGAATTGGGATTCTGCGGTGTTGTCATCATTAGTAGTATTTTCAACTTGAGAACGATCGAGAAGTTCATCAACTGATGCCGGATCGTAGTAAACATCTTTACTATCATCATCAAGAAGAACAGCTTCTGCCCCATGTCTAAGAATTGCCTCGAGATTGTCTCCGGCATCATCCTTTACATCTATACTTTCAATAAGAGCTTGATCAAGAGCCATCTTTTTACGTCCAACTTGAACAATCTGCTCTTCCGCACTACCCTTAGTCACCAGCTGAAACACAAGTACCTTTTTCTTTTGACCAATACGATGAGCACGAGAAAGAGCTTGAATATCTTGATGTGGGTTGAAATCAGGATCCATGATTATGACGGTATCTGCAGTTGCCAAATTGATGCCGACACCACCAGCTCTGGTAGAGAGAAGAAATGCAAACAGTTTTGAGTTGGGTGCATTGAATGCATCGATCCTCTTTTGTTTTTCAAGTGTGCTAACGGTACCATCTAAACGCTGAAAAGGAAGCTCCAGACCATTTAAGAAATCCTCGACAAGGTCGAGTTGCTTCAAAAATTGACTGAAGATAAGAACTCTATGCCCTCGGGCTTGCAACTTTGGAAGCATGATTTCCAGTAATTGAAACTTGGATGAGGCATCGATCAGATTCCGATGGAGAGCTTCATGACTCAGTGAAGTCTCTTCGATGGCCGAGCTATACAAGAAAGGATGACAAAGACATTTACGAAGTTGCATCAAAATGTTGTTCAAATTCCCTCGTTCCGTAGGGCGGAGAGCTTTGTTCGTTTTACCAATGATTGATTTGATCAACTCGGGGTTCTTTGCCAAAATTGACTTGTAAAGCTGTTTCTGTACGACACTCATGGACACCGGTATGATAGTTTGTGACATAGGAGGCAAGAACTTTAACACTTGAAGCTTGGTGCGCCTGAGGAAGAAAGGACGGATGAGCTCATGAAGCTCTGGCAAGTTTTCTTTTGTTAGCTCAGCATATTTTTCGTCCAATTCTGCGGCATCGATAGATTCGTCTAAGAATTGAAGAAGGTTGAAGAGCTCTCGCTTGTTGTTTTGCAATGGGGTACCCGAAAGAAGAACTTGGAATGGTATTTTCAAAGATGTTAAGGCGCCATAGAGAAGATTGCCATCATTCTTCAGTCGTTGACCCTCATCAACAATCATACCGGCCCATTTAACTTTCCTGAAGAAGGCCCTACTGGAGTCATCGACTGGTGCTTCATAAGATGTTACCACAATATCAGCCCGGAGGTCAGAGCAGCCATTTGGATACATTTCATACTTCATGGCCATATCTCGAGCAGATTTAGCACCATAGTATGCAACGACACGAAGATCAGGTGCCCACTTTTTAATCTCGCGGCGCCAATTTGGACAAGTCGAGTTTGGTGTAACAATGAGAAAAGGGGAGCACTGCGAGCTGTTAGTATAGTTACTCGAGGATTTGTTCTGCGCTTACCTTTGGTTTGTCCTTCACAAGTGTTGCAATCAAGGCGATGACCTGAATCGTCTTGCCAAGACCCATCTCATCAGCCAGGATAACGTTCTTTTGTCGATGAAAGTTAAACAGTAGCCAATTCAGACCTTCCATTTGGTGCTTCATCATCTCACCACCAATCAATGAAGCAGGCTGTTTCTTTAAAACAACCTTCTTCTCGAAGTTTAGAGAACGAAATGCATTGATCCGCTCTTTTACAGCACTTGCAGGTGATTGCTTGAAGTACCTGCCCATGACGTATTCATTGTAAGCTGAGACAAAGTCACTCCAGCGATCAGCTTCATTTGGGGATGGAGGTTCCTCCCAAACGGATTCATCATAGGTTAATCCTCTAAACTTGACCAAAACCTGAACAACATCGTTGATATGAGCCTTGTCATATTCTTCCGACTTTGGTTGGAAAGATTCATCATACTCTACATCGAAAATAATCTCCATTCGTAGGTATTCCTCAGAGATTGCCTCTTCTTTGGTCCATTTCGGAGACATATTGGCACCCTCGTCTCGACGAATGAAAGCCTTTCGCATAGTAGCTGCTGCAACGCCCCAAACCCATGCGCCAGGCATCCAAGAGCATTGAAAATACGAGCTATTATCCCATTTGACGAGATATTCCTTTTCATCCTCACGAAAAGTGTCAAAGTCGTCATCTTCCTTGTAAGACTTGCGGTCTGATGGTCTCCATGCAACTAAAGTCTGCAGTTTTGTTGTACTCTCTGAGCATTGCTTGCACTGCCAATTCTTAGTATATTCTTGGATTCTTTGAGAGCGTAGATCATCGGCATTGTGTGCGGCGGTTGATTTCCTAGAACGTTGTGGTAGATGTTCAAAATGGAATCCACGCTGGCATCCTCGGCATCTAAATAGGACATTGTCCGGATTGTTGATAAGGTTACCGCGGACATTAGTAATTGGGTCATCACCGTTGTTTTCTTCTCTCAGCTTCTCTTCCTGCTTCGCGGTTTTCTTTACGGAGAATGCAGCACAGGATGGTCCAGGTTCATTACAGCTGCTACAAGCACCAAGCCGTGGGGCAAGGGGATCCTTCTTGACTGCTAGACCGATACAGCGTCGACACTGCATAACGAAATTTTCGTGGCCAACCTTAGTAACTATCTGCTCGCGACCTGCTCGATATCCTAGGCAAAGTTTATGTATGGAGGAAGAGCATCCTTGACAATAAATAAGATCACTTCTTCCTTTATTGGAATTCTTGCCTGTTCCACCGCAAACATCGCAGTCTTGGTCATGGATTAAACCGAAGGGAGAATTCGCGGATACCGGTTGGTATATCTCTCGTATGCTGATGACTTTAGGCGTGCTCTTTCCGGCTACTTCATCGGCATAAATTTCTTCATCAACGTCTCTTTCCCTCATGTTTTTGCCGGTTTTGTTTCCACGTCCAGATATGCGAGACGGACGCTCTCGTGACCACTCAGAGCTATCGTCAGACTGGTTGCCTTGAGCTTGGGTTCTTCCACGTTTGTTAGGCTTTGAAGCAGCAGCACGAGCGTTGCTTGCCCGTTGTCTCTTTGGCTTAGCATAAGCTATATCGCTGCCTTCTGAATCGACTTGCAAGTTACCAGCAAGCTCATCTTCGTCTTCTTCCATATAGCTAGTGAGCGTATTTGCTTTCCTTGGAGCAGCGGATCTTGTTGTTGCACGTCCTGATCTACGAGGCCCATCACCATTTGAACGAACAGTTCCCGATTGGGGTTCATTGCCATCCTCGTCGTCGTCATCGTCGTCGTCATCGAAGATGGGTCGTGAAGGCTGCCGACTACCAAACCGAGTGCTTCGGCGTGCTTTTTCAATATCAACAGTTGACATATTGTTTACAAGACGTCGCCTCTTCTTTCCGTTTTTGGCAGAACAGTCACCGTCAGAGCTTAGCTGAATATTGCTAATATCAACAAAGCTGTTGTCAGCTAGAGGCCTGCGAGGACGTTTACCAGCCCTGGAAGACACGCTCCGGCTAGAATTTGATGGGTCCTCAACCACGATTGAGTCCGATGAATCTCTGTTGTTGAAAATATCCAAGGCGCTGTTACCGTTTGGAAGATGCAATAGCCTATTGAATGTGACCTATGGTTTGCTTAAGTTAGAAATTCACTTTTGAAAGTAGTAATTCATGATGCGAAAACGTATAGAGATGATAAGAATTTAGTAAAGCGACAGAACAAAGCATTCGCCAATATACTATAGGTACGCCCAGTTTACTGCCGTCCACAAGGGAAGGAACTGGTGGCTCATGGCTACTAGAATGGGGAGGATTGAGATTTAGCTCAATTGAGTATGGGTGGAAACTTGTCTAAGTGAACCAAGATTGCTATCTGAAAAATAGCTTGATCTTGATAATAAATTGAAGGTCAAAGAAGATTGACTAGGTATGGTAGCAGACTCTTAACAACAAGGACTACCTTGAAGTTTTTATTGAGAAATTGCCCGTAATAGTAAGAGTGAATTCTCCAAACCCGCCGAGCTCCGTACCAAAATCAGAAATTAAACGCAACAATATAGAAGGCTGCTGTGAGAGAAGTAGAAAGGGAGCTAGTAGCAAGAACAGTAGCAAGTAGCAGGGCGCACGAATTTAAGCCTTCGTTTAGAGGAAGATGAAGCGCTCCATGGATAGGCAGTCAATTTTGAGGGCAAGAACTGCACATGCTGAGTACTTTGAAAGCTGCTTCAAGTACAACAGGGTGCATTACAGAAAAGTTTCACTTACATTCTCTTCTCGCTCGTCTCTGTATTCAACTTTGTACAAAGTTTCGCCATCAGAGCCAGTTAATTCTTCTAATACCGCATTTACTGTGTCATCCTCCTGATAAGGCACATATTCTTCAGGGTTCTTCGGGCCCGGGACCATGACGACGATTGTGTTATCTGCATCTGTATCTTCCTCTTCAAATTCGTCTTCATCAACTTGATCATTTCCGTCCTCATCTGCGTCCTGATCTGCGTCCTGATCTGCGTCCTCATCTGCGTCCTCATTTGAAATTACCTCCTCATCTCCGTCTTCACCTGTACTGCCGTTTGCTTCTCCATCTTGATGCGCCGAGACAGATTCGGGCTTTCCGCTGAGTTTTCTCACTGGCGTATGGAGTTTTTGAGCATTTCCTGACTCGTCTGGATCGCTTTCTGACTCATTGCTATTAGCAACATGGCCGAGCTGAACCATATTGCTGGTAGGCCGGTGGGACGGGAGGACTCGTTTGTTTGTTTAAAATGGATCGTCGCACTCTTAGTTTTGACTTTACAAGTACCTGGATTAAGATATTAGCATATAAAGATCAGATAACTGGGCTCCATACTTAGTAGTACAACAAGTGAACAGAATACTGTGTGATTTAAAGGTTACTTGCGCCTGTATTTCGAAAAATCCTTGTAAATTTTGGTACTTCTAACCAAGTGTTGACGCGGTACGATCCATTGACAAAGTTCGGTGATGATGCAGAAAGTAAAAGAAACACGGCTAATTTACAAAAAAAAGAAATTTGCGTGGAAAAAGAAAGGAAAAATCAAAGATGCCTACGATCTAAAACAATTACTGAGATTGGTGAATCATAAATTCGCGATGCAATCAAATTGCTGAATACCATCAACGCGTCCATGAACACCATGGATTAATTGCCCGAGGTCGGTTTCGGCGATACTATATTCCGACTACCAAAATCTCAATTTTTATCTTCTTATAAATATTGATGTGTGAAAATTCTCACAATGGCACTATCAATGCAATGAGTACAATCTTTTTGACTGGAGCAAAAGCTTCGAAAAGAGTAAGTTTCATTCTTCGACCTCTATATTTATCTTCTTGCACTGTAAGATATGCTTCTATCAATTCTGGAATAAACCGTGGGCTACGGAAGTCTAAAGGAGTTGGGTTCAGAGGAAAGGATAAAGGTCGCCCTAGTCGGGAGGATGGTGGTGCTGGTCGAGGATTTCAGGTCCCTAGATCAGATCCACATTGGAAAAATAGTGGGTCTGTGGATGATCTAGGGAGCAAGAACAAGTCTATGCATACACGATTCAAGGGGAATGACCGCGATGATGAATCGAAACCAAAATATAAGACGTCCTCGCGCTTTGGAGACCGTCAGGATAGAGGAAACGACTGGGAGGGAAAGTCTGAAAATTTCAAGCCGCTAAGAGCTAAGGGTTCCTATGGGGAAGAATCTTTTGACACGTACAGGGAGCCTCGAAGCAGCAAGCCTGGTTACGAAAAGAAATCCTATGGTTCTTATGGATCTGGAGAGGAGATAGCTGGTTACCAAAAGAGATCCACCGGTAGATCTCACGAGTTTCCAGAGAAACGCCGTGCCGATGAGAAGGATTCTTTTAACAAGTCATTCGGGTCATCCCGTGACATCCTGAAGCATAAGCAAAAATCTTACCCAAACTTCGGAGAGGTAAGAATGATATCCGAAAAAGGATATGAAGGTCCTAGAAATTGGGCAAAAGGTTTCACGTACCCTTCGAAATATCCTACACGCGAGGAACGACTAGCGGTCAAATCAATGAGATCTGGATCATCGTCAGAATATTCTCGCTCATCTCCTCAGTCGGAACCTGGCTCGGAATCTCATCCTTCAGAATTCTCGCCGCCCAAGACCAGTTCCTCCTTCGCTAAAAATATTCCAATTTCAATACCATACACCACACCAGCCTCGGAATTCCTGTACGGCACCTCAGTTGTCGAAGCTGCCCTGAACACACGGCGAAGAAAGAGCAGAAAGCTCTACAAGCTCTATATTCACAAAGGCGAAGACCGTCACAGTGGAGACCGAGATGGTTTTCTAGCAAGACTAGCCCAGAGGAAAGGGGTTGAGGTTGCAATAGTAAGAGGACATGACTGGCTACGAACTCTCGACAAGATGAGCCAAGGCCGTCCACACAACGGATATATTCTCGAAGCATCACCCCTTCCCCGTCTACCCGTCATAAGTCTCGGCTCGGTAATCGACCAAGGCGACAGCTTCGCCATCCAACTCGCTCCCGACCGCCAATCCCGCGAGGAGCTCGAGGTCCACGGCAACGACACTACAATCAATGTCCCCAAAGATTCCTCCGGTCGCAAACCCCTTGTTCTCCTCCTAGATAGCATAGAAGACCCGCAAAATCTAGGCGCCATCCTGCGCACAGCACTGTTCATGGGCGTAACAGCCGTCGCAATATCCGTCCGCAACAGCGCCTCCTTCACACCCGTCGTCTTCAAAGCCTCCGCCGGCGCCGCTGAAACCATCGAGATCTTCTCCGTCAACAAACCCGGAGGCTTCATCAAGGACTCCCAAGCCTCTGGCTGGAAAATCTACGCAGCAGTTGCACCACCTGCCACTCGAAAACCAGATTCGAGATACATGTGGCCCGCAACTTCTCAAGAATTTGTCTGGTCCCACAAACTCCAAGATCCATTACGTGAGGATCCTTGTATATTAATGGTTGGAGGCGAAGGCGAAGGTTTGCGCAAAAACTTGAGAGATCATGCTGATGTGCATATTTCAATCAAGGGTGCAGCTATGCGAGGTAAACTCGATAGTTTAAATGTTAGTGTAGCAACTGGCATGTTGTGTGGTGCTTTTATGAGACAGACAGCAAGAAAGACTGTTGAGGAAGCAGTCAAGGAAGTTGAGGTGGAAATAGAAAATCTCAATGAGAATCAGGTTTTCTGACATGTATGATATAAAGTTGCAACTAGTATAGAAAACTAAGGGTCCATTCGGATCGATTATCTGAAATATTAGAAATATTGAGCTCGATAAAAATATTAGGTCTAATATATATTTGGGCATATTTAAGTGAGGCTAATATATTTGAGGAATATTGGAAAAAGTGACAGGCGGGGTCCGAGATATCGAATATTTTCAAATATTTGCTCAATAGTACCAAAAAGCTGCTGTTGACTATTATATGGGAAAAGTTCGAACATTTGCTTAAATATATATTAGACTCAATATTTTTTATTGAGCTCAATGTTACGTTCGGTTCAATCGAATATTTGGCCTAAATATATATTGGGTAGAATATCATGTTCGGTTCGACTACATTAGGTCTAATATTGGCGCAAATGTGGTCAAATATGAAAAAAAAACAAATCGATCCGAACGCCCTAAAGCTTAAGCCACGTCGAGTAATCTGAATGTCTAAATACCCCTAAACAACAATTGGCGCTAAGTACGTCATCAAATGATCACACTATCACAGAGGACATAATAGATAACGCAAAACAAAACACATCAGCTCAGAAATGGGTATCTTGAATTTAGTTATTCTTTTCTCATAGCATAGCTGTACATTCATAAACACATGCAAAGAGCATGGAAAGCATTCCAAGCTCCTGAGCTGCCAACCAAATAGCCTGCGCCGTCAAATGCAGGGTAGGTCATATGCAGATTAAACCGTGCTAAAGTTGAATATGTGGGAGAAGAGGATGCTGCGTGGAGTCTTGTACTCACAAGGTGGGTAATTTGGCTCGAGTATTATTTTGATACAGACAATGGGTGGGTGGCTGGAGGGTGGAGACGTAGATTGCCAAAAAATCGTTAGAGTCAGGAGTTGGTTATGTAAATTTCGTATGAATGATATCGGGATTCTCGTGCCAGTCGTCAATGCTCACCCACATCTGCAACATTAGTTAGCAATCTTCCCCAAGGATATTTACGATCTAAGGCATACCTTTCTAAATGTACTCAGGCCAGCCAAGATACTACCACCAATCCAGGTTGAGTATTTCCTCTCTGGCGGAGCAAAGATCTTGATTCTCATATCCTTCACTGCCAATCTTTGCACTTCATGTAGTAATCTGTCTCCAAAACCCTTCGTTAAAGTACTTCCACCAGACAAAACAATATTGCCGAATAGGGACTTTCTGAGGTCCAAATCTGTGCGATTAATTGCGTCCACCACAATTTGATGGATACCTGGGTACTCCAACCCAATAATTTCAGGATCGAATAAAATTTCGGGTGCCCTGAATCGTTCTGCTCCAATCTGTGACATCGTTAGCGTTGGTACTGTGAATCAATCCTATGTTTCTCACCTTGATCTTATTGCCATCCGGTAATGCGTATTCCACAAGTTTCCCATCCCCTAACTTGGCACCCGACCAGTCCTTTTCTTCTTTTTTTGGGTCTCCTGCCACATAGCTTACTTTCTCCTTGATCATCCTCACTACCTCTTTCTCTGCGCTGGTATGGAAAACGTATCCAGCTTTCCGTAATAAAGTTTGCATATACTCTGTAACATCTCGACCAGCCACATCTATCCTTCGTATTGAACTCGGCATGGCGAAGCCTTCGTATACTGGAACTGCATGTGAAACTCCATCGCCGGCATCAAGTACTATTCCAGTCGTTCGTCCTGATGCGTATAGCGAAAGAACAGCTTGGATTGATGTGTAAAGAGCAGGGACGTTGAAGGTTTCGAATAAAATTTGTGCAGCTGTATCTCGATTACTTCGAGGATTAAGAGGTGGTTCTGTTAATAAAACAGGATGCTGCATAAATAATATCAGTCATCTGCGATATTACTAGACTTGCCAGATAAGAAGAAATAGCAAACACCTCCACCTTAGATTTGGACCTAAGAACTCACTTCTTCACTCAAGGTCTTAAGGCCTTCTCCATAAACGTATTCCCATATCCTCTCCATATCATCCCAATCCGTGACTATGCCATGTTCCAGTGGGTATTTAATCTTTAACAGTCCTCTTAATTCTTGCGCTCGTTGTCCAATGAACACATCTCCTTCCAACGCACCTGCCAGTACTCGCAAATGTTTCGGTCTTCCAACAAATGAAGGAAAATAACATTTTGGTAGATCTTCACCGGCAAACCCAGCTCGAATTGTACCGGAACCATTATCTAGCACTATAGGAGCATTGTGCAGTGAGTCCGCCATATTGATTGGAAGGGATGGCGGGACTGGATGGAGAAAGAATCCTGCAGACAAATGCCAATGTGGTTCCGCGGTGCTAGATATTTGATTAAGGTATAAACTTTCGAACTTTGAAATGGCGGAAAGTAAGCGGAGGTTGTGGTTATGGTGGTGGAATCTTTAAATTTGCTACTGCTGTATGGAGCATGTCGCGTTGGACGCGAGCGCCAAGAAATATTGACAGGGGTAAGCTGTCACTTCAGACTAAGGTTCACTTCGTTAACTTCATTTTCCCCACAAATATCATTGACAACGATTCTTTTTTTTTTCTAGTTTATAAAGATTAACCTCTAGTATATAATAAAAAAATTAAATTCATAATAATTAATTCTTGATTTATTAATATTAAAATTTCAATATATAATAGATAGAATTTATTTTCATATTGATTTTATTAATTTTATTCATTTTATTCATTTTATTCATTTTATTCATTTTATTCATTTTATTCATTTTATTCATTTTATTCATTTTATTCATTTTATTCATTTTATTCATTTTATTCATTTTATTCATTTTATTCATTTTATTCATTTTATTCATTTTATTCATTTTATTCATTTTATTCATTTTATTCATTTTATTCATTTTATTCATTTTATTCATTTTATTCATTTTATTCATTTTATTCATTTTATTCATTTTATTCATTTTATTCATTTTATTCATTTTATTCATTTTATTCATTTTATTCATTTTATTCATTTTATTCATTTTATTTTTAGGGCTTGTCTTAGTATGGAATTTCTTTAAATTCAATTTTTAAATTGAGATTTCTTAAGTTCGAGTCTCAGCTCACATAATTTAATTGGAGCAGTCGTTATAGGGTCAGCGGGATCTATCGTGTGCTCAGTCGATTCAGTCACTGTGACAATTTGTCATCTTTCTTTGCAGAGCGTTATCATCAGCGTTGAATCTTTTATTAAGTCCTCTCAACATCGACATTTCCAGTTCCATATTGATAATCAAGACGTATTTATGGGTTGAGTTGCTTCGTTGCTTGCCTTTGAGTTTACAAAGTAGTGATTGAAGTAAAAGCTCGACGTTAGGAGACTAGATATAGGACACTGTGCCGACAAGAATTAGACGCTACAAGTGAAGGCAGGTGTAACGTAAACAATTCCACGCCTAGGTTCAGGATTTGTTATAATCTGGACTATTACTTTCATTATTCATACACATTAAGTGCTCATGATACTGATATTCATCGAGACCTTCTAAGGCCGAATGGAAACGGCATTGAAAAGCCACGCACTTATTTTCGGCATGGATGGACCCTCTGCTGAATGTGATATGTTTCCAAAACATAGTTTTTGTTAGATGTATTTACAATTCACAGGCTCGGAGTCATTAGATGCGGTTGTAGTGTTGTTAAACACCCGTTTTAATGACAACAGATGTACGTAAGTGCTCACCCCGTCACTCTACACCACTACAAAACACAATGTCAATTTTCTGCCGTGCTTCTGTAATGCCCTTGACGTCAACTAAAGGCCTGCTGCTGCCATCGGCACCGCATGTTCTCCCATTCAGCAATTGGTCTATGTAAAACAAGCTGAATCGTAGTATGCGGTGGTCGTGCGAGCCAGTTCTAACTTCAATGATACAACACCAAATGGGTAGCAGCGGCAAGAGTATCCTCTATCATTAAATCCCACCGCATCTATGCCGGAAGATTGGGAATAGTTTTCAATTGTTTGCTCAGTAAGTACCGCAATCTTCAACAAGGTTCTGCATTGGCTGACTCGCCCTATGCTGTTTCACACTCTCATCTGATCCTCTCGACATCGACAATTATGACTGGACTGAGATGTTGGACTTCGACAAATATCCAATGGAATTCAATGTAACTCTCCTTTTCGTAGACACAACTCATATGCTCTTACCTGATAGCTCGCTAACTCTCGGCATAAAGTAGATAGAAGTTCAAGTTGGGTCACGAGAATATGCGTGCACCTCACTTCCGCGTCAAGTTTATTCAAGGACCAATACATGGGGGCAACCAACAATCAGCCAATAAGCATTTCTAGAAAAGCCATAAATGTCCCTTCCTTTCGCACACCCGCAACTTATCCAAGACCAATACCAAAGCCAAAAGACCTCCATCTCTCCGAATATCACGAAACAAATTCAGACTTTTGTAACAAGTGTCTCCTTGTCTAACTCCGATGCTATTTTAACACTATTTTAACATATAGATGTATCTGTTTCTGTGTCTGTAGCACAGTTAATGGTTTCATCATATATCATGAGATAACCCTAGATAAACTCAGAACCTACGGGGAAACGGGCCATTTCGTAATAAGCTGCTATAATTTGGAGAAACTTCAATATAATCATAAACGTACATATATGCGAACGCAAAACTCTGAGTGTGAGGACTTTCGGAGAACTTCCCTTGCATTATTTGTTTCTCTTTTTTTGCGGTATCTAAAAAATTACGAGGTTTATGTGTTACTAGTGTACCCATGCATATCATTGATGACCTTAGACAATACATTCACTGACCTCAACTCACCCAAACCCCGCAACCCCCTCATTAAGCGAACTACAATCTTCCAGAAAGTGCTCCTTTTCTTTTTCCGCCTAGATCCTCAAAACTAAAATACATTCGAAACCTAATTTTAGCAAGCAAAGATAATTTACAAAGCCATTCCCGATTCCATTTTCAATTTCTGTGTTGATCAACTTCTTTTTTTTTCCTGGACTTTCAACTTCCAACTTCCAGCTTGGTGCATCTTCAACTTTGAAAATGTGAAACTGATCTTGAATTCCATGAAATCCCGCATATCTTCCTTCTAGTAGCATCCATCCATCTCCAGCACTCATCATCTTAATATATGAAGCACTTGCTTTGCCTTCAATCTCAACTCACACCACCTCACCCTCGCCTCACAAAAATCAGCACAGAACCTTTCATTTCATCTCAACACACTTCTCCCAAAATCCAAATCCAAGTCAACCCTTCAATCACAACCACAACCACACAACCACAACCACACAACCACACAACCATAACCACAACCAAACCCCAGCACAAACACCACCAGCTCTCCTATCATCAACTAAACCCCTACCCACCCTCTCTTCTCCAACCCCCTACAACTTCCACTCCTCACAACCCCTACAACCCCTACAACCCAACAACCTCACCCACCATGCCATACATGTACCGCATCTCCGATGGAAGGCCAATAATGGAATGGCAACACGGCCTATACCCACCACCACGCCCTCGAGCCTTTACCTGTTTCAATCAACTACCTCCTGAATTACGCAATATGATTTGGGACTATGTGTTTCTCCATACGAATGCGGAGCGGGGTGATAGTGCCGATGGGAATGAGGATGGGAATGGAATGGTGGTGGCGGTGACGGTAATAGTGGAAGTGGATCGAGTAAGGGTAGGATATTCTAGGTCTTTTTAGAGGAGTGGTGTTATCATAGGCCTTGCTTGGAGGAAAGTGTCCGCTTGGGTTGGAGTTGGAATGAGAAATTATTATGATGTATGTAGGAATCAACGGATTTAAGCTCCCGAAGTAGATCTTGGAAAATAATAGATACATCATATTAGTAGTCCTGATATTATCTCATAATCGCCATGTAAACCCGACAACCCGATCCAACAGTGAGTGAATCTAATGGATTCACGTATTCAACATGCCTTCGTGACATCATCCTGAACGGCCTTCCGGGCGCGCTCATAAAAACGCCATGCTATGCTATGTCATGCTATTACTTGCAACACATTTGGTATAGTATATGCATCAGCTCTTCCATTCCAGAATTCTAAGCCCCTGCCCCACCTTCAGGCGCCGCTCTAACTTTGTCCCCGCGTTTCCATAACTTTTGTAGTCCCTTTTTGATTGAGTTTGGCGTCTGTGGACTTTTCTCGGCCACCGGAATAGGTGCTTTAGTCTCGGGTGGATTCAAGCCTAGGATACTCAACATGCTCAACCTTCTCTGTTTTTTCTTGCCCGCGAGACTAGGTTCAGGGACAGATGAAGAAGGAGGCCATTCGCCATCCCGCTTCCATCCGTGTACACAGCTTTGTATGACATCGGATAGATTGATAGGACAACTGGGTGTCAGTGACTGTATAATAACTTTGTCGTATATGGTGCTATAAGCTTGGGGGTTAATGCTTGCTCTCATTGCATTGTCCGGTGGTAGAAGAGGTTTAGCAATCGGGACCTCCGTTTCCCATCCTTCTGAATCCGAGAAGTCGTCTACAGCTTGATGTGGGTTCCCATTTGTGTGGACGGGTGTATTTTCGATGCCACGAGGTTCTGGTGGAGGGACGCGTCGAGCACAAGTCCATGCATCACGTCTTTCTACGTAACAATGTACCCCAGTATTCCATTCCATTTCCGCGCCAAGCTTCTTTTTATGTCGGCGTCTTCGAGCAGCTCGTCTTTGTTTAACCATCCGGCCTACACTATCAGGGCTGTCAAATCGAAAAGGGCTTTCCTTATCCGGAGAATTGATGTTGATGGGACCCTTGGGGGAAATCGGATCCTCGCTCTCGCTCTCACTAGGATCGCTTTCCCAGATATCTCTTTCTCGCCACTCCTCCTTATATGTAGTGCTATCCATACTAGTATTATGGGCCTCGTCTAGAGAAGCGTTCTTGACCAATGCTTCCATTATATCAATAGGGTCACTTTCTTCTGCTGGCCAGACCCAATTCCAGTCCTCCTTCACGTTCTTCTCCAGGTATTGCCGAACAGCTTCTTTTTGCGTCGCCCTGTCCTTACTTGTCAGCTCAGCCTCGTAAATTGTCAAGGCATTTGGATGTGCCTTGACCCGAGCCATCTTCCGGCGCGTTGTCCTGCTTTTGACGACATTCATTTCTTTATTTAGGTTGGTGGCGGGGTTCGCAATAGTGGGGTTGTCACTCAAGGTTTGCGGATTTGTAAAGATAGAGGTTATTGATGGCTGACAATGTTGTTGAGTATTAGGAGATATTGTAGTTTCTGTAGTAGTAGTAGTATTTGTAGGAGGCTGGTTTTCCGTCGCAGGGTTTATGTTTTCAAGTGGTCGTACGATAGACATTGGTGGTGCGACTATTTAGGAAGCAAGCATGATTAGAATATACCTTCCAGGAAGTATTCACATGATGTAAAGGGTAAAGATTTAACGGTTCGTCCTACCTGAATTGGTATTTTCCGCATTTACTTTCCGTCCATCCTCACCTGCTGTTGCCGTATCAATAATCGATTTCGGCTCATTATCAACATCGGAACTTTTGTGGAAGGCAGTGTTTGATTGCGAGGGATTATCCGGCGCTTTGAGCTCTTGTTCTTTTGATGATGAAACTGATAAATTACTCAATAACTGGGCTGTCGATGATTCCAAATTCATCTTAGCTGCAGTGACTTCTATGCCTTGTTTAGTATCCGTAGTGACTTCTCGTTCAGAAGTATCATGGAGAGAGTCGTTTTTTGCTTCATCGGATGTATTAACTGGATGATTTACCATGCCGGCAGATGTATCTTGAGACATAGCGCATCATTTAATAATAAAGTTATAGGTATAACAAAAAGATTTTATATATTATTGATTATTGTGGTCAAAGATGCCGGATTTGGAGGGGATAAACAAGAATAATTTGATAGGATTGAAGAACTTGTTTTTGATGACTAATATGCACTAACACTACAAGTAATAAATCATCAAATTGATCCCTGTGCTGATGCTTGGCATATCCGGGGAAGTGAGGAAGAAGGCTTATCCTAGCGTTTCGTCGCATGTTGCAAGGTCCATGGCATTTTCATTGGAGAGATGTTTTAAATCACCTTGGATATTTTATTCTATTTCCTTTTCAATATAACCTTATATATATATATATATATATATAGATATATATGCAGACAGTGATATGCGACGACGACAACAAACCTTCCAACATTCTCGTCCCATCTGGATAGGACTTGACTTGTGATACTATTCATTTCGTGTTGTAATAATCTGCAAGAGCTATTAGGTATCTACAAGGTATCTGCAGAATCAATTATAATACTTGTCATTCCAAATCATTTTATGTTGGTAGCACGACGACTTTTATTTGTTTCAACATTTGGCTTTATCATTTGGGATAAGGTGGATTTCAAGGAGGTTCTCAGTCATGAAGCCTTCGTTACTCAGTAGTAGAATCTCTTTATCCAGGCTTGGAGCTATGAATTTGTATTACCCTCAGCCATGTCTTTGTCTTTGCATCTGCAAACATCCGGATACATCCGTGAGCATATGATGCGAAATATGTATATGGCACGTGACAACACGATGGTCCCTTGGACCTTGTTCTACGCTGTTGGCATATTTCGTCAACTACTAGCAAATCTCTACAACTTGAAAGATAGCGCGGGACGATACTGTATGTCCAATTCGCATAGAAAGTAAACTTAACCGGCAATAATTCGTTTTGATCCCTTATTACCTTTCAACTTCATATCCAGCGTCTCCGCCGGCCCGGATCATGCAAGCTTTTATTACTATTCTCATGTTAGTATTCTGTCGGATATCACACCATTTATCAAAAAGGCGCTTGCGTGGGTGCGTCTAACTTTTAAGAGCCTTGCCTTTCCCCAGTTGGAGGCTTTTGAGAGTGGCTTGGTTGCGCGTTTTCGGATGCGGCGTTTAATCCTATTGAATCTGTGCAGAATCTTAAGGCGTGATTGGAATGGTTTAGATCAACCGGAGTTCCAGTTTGGTTCAATTTTATAGATGGGAAGAAGTTGTAATAGTATCTTGCCAGCGCCAGCCTCTAACTCGTCGGCAATGATAAAACATTCACATTCACGTAACGATTATGTCACATGGCTCGCTCCTCACCACCCCAACATTATGACATTATCTGAAATACCCAGTACAGTCCCTCTATTTCTCCTTACATTATACTCTTCTTAAATTCATCCTTTTCGAGTCAATCAATCTGTAAAGGCTTTGAAAGACATAAAAGGCATGATTGTTCTCGACAGGAGATCCCGAATGTATTTCCATAGCCTGCATTCAAATTGGAAGAAAGAGCACTAATATACTCTGATCTAAATATTTATTTCAAAAACACCTGTCTCTGTGCATGTTTTAAAATTTCTATCAGCCCCTCGTACTCACTGGCGGCGCTAGAGCATGTACTTCAACAGGTTCCGCTTCACAAAGGTACGTACAATGACCTCAAATCAGCCACTATATTGCTGACGCACATGAATTAGAAATTCCTTTCACCTTCTCCTACAGTCCTATTGTAGTGTTAGATCTCCTATATAATGCTCTTTGTCTCCTAGAAACTACTAATACATCAGCACCAATACTTGCCATTTCAGCATCTCCTATCAATCTTATCGTCTTATCTCATCATCTATTTTATTTAAACACTCTATTCCATATCAGAATTCTTAATTTGCGCCAACTATAGCAAAGATGAGAAGATCAGCTGGCAGACTGGAGGAACGCAGAGCTGGGCACACAGCCACGAGCGAAAGAAGTACTTCGGGACGTAATAGGGAAAGAGACGATCGTTACAGGGAAACGAGTCGAAGAGATGATAGGGAAAAACCCACCTCCACCCCACCCTCCAGCGGTAGACGTACTGGCAGCAGCAGAACCGACGAAAAGCCCATCCCAAATGCCCAAGACCAGAAAAAATATCAGGAATGGGTCGCCAGGGAAGCACGTCACGATGCCGAAGGGGAGAAAGGTTTGATAGATAGCTGCGCGGATAAGATCATGCGCGAACAGGAGAGGAGAAAGTTAAATGGTAGACCTTTGTGGAATTGGACGGGACAGGAGAAAAAAGATTGGTGCAAGAAGGAATCAGCGGGTGATCCCAATCGTGAGCGAAAACTTCTGGAAAGGTATGCGTGATGGTGGTGTATTCGTTTCATATTTTTGCAAGGGATGCATTTTGTTTTTTTGTTTTTTGCTTTTGTATTTGTTTTTGGTGTACTTTTGGTTTTTTTGCGGAGCGAGGTGCTAATCAGACATTGATATAAGATTGAGAGTTGGTATTGATACCTCGCTCAGATGTATCTATAAGATGTCGATTTTAATTCCGTTATATTATATTGTATGGTGATATAATTCTAGCTGAAAAATCGTAATGCTGTCTAAAGCGCTTCTTATAACATATATCTATTAGACTATGAGGTTTAGAAACATAAAACAAGTATTCTGCCCATAAATGATCGAGATTGATATGAAATCGCCTCTCGAAAAAATCGGTTCGCTCTTCTTTCTATTACATGATGAAGCCATGGAGCTGCTAAGGGTGGAGATACTATGCTGTGTAGCCTAGGACCATACCTTGCGAATCTTTTTTTCCTATTTCATAGGAAGACGTGTGGAGATTAGACAGCTAATTCTTAAATTTCCCTCATTGAAACTTCCACACAGCTCTTCAGGTTCTCGCTAGTCAGTACATATTCTCTTGCAGCTCAGCATGAGATTGAAAAATTGCTTCTTTGTAAGCAGAACAAATAGAAATAAATCACAGGCAATAGGACACCTCGTTAGCATCATATCTACATCCCAGATCTGGATACGCATGATCCATACCACAACCCATGAGATGTGAACATCATTTTGTTGCACATCTCATTGGGGTCACCCACGGTCAGTCCATATTATCGAGCAAGGTGCTGCAGGCCAAGCACTGGATACCTTAGATGAATTCTTCTAGGAATCCGATGCTATTGGGCATCGAACCTAGAGTAAAGAGAGCTTTTTTTTTTCACCCGGCCTCAAATGCGACCTCCTGCATATGACAGCGGTCCTCACAGACTATTGAAAAACTCTGTCCTTGCAAGAAGACAGCGAAAGTAGACGGCATACAATTGTTGCATATCTAAGACGGCCTTGACCCAACCTTGCGCTGGCAAGATGATTTCCTCAGCCAATGTATTGAGGGGATACAGTTAGAAATTATGGTGCTTTGCAAGCAAAGAGAAACTAATATCCACAAATAGCGAAGGGTAAGCATAAATAAACTCAAGGTCGCAGAAAAGGTCTCTTAATCATCCTCATCTCATTCCTTCCCCTCCATCCCTGGCACGACCGCGATTTATCGCTCGATAAAAGCCAGCTCAGGCATTCCAATCACTACTCATAAAAAAAAGAGATGTTGCATGTCTTCGAAGGCCGCCGACCTCAATATTGCAAGGCTCGTTAAAATAAAGAAGGAAATCACACCAATGGTTCCACGAGATTCGGATATCACATCATGGAAAGGAGGCCGGCTCGGGGGTCGCATTAATTTGGGATCAATAGTAACCATTGGCTAGCGTGGAGAAACTTTCGCTTATGGTCGGAATTGAGGTCGTGATGATGTGGCAGCATCAAGAGCGCCTGCAAAAAGCAATGAAATTGGTTCTGAAAGGTTGACAGCAGGTTTTTAATGAAAAGCTGAGAAAGAGCGACGTCGATGAATTTTGATGTTGTTCTTGCAGCGTGTGTGGCTTGATTTTGATGGCTGATAAGTTGACATAGGTTTACCCGTAGAATGGTGGAGACTTGTCACTTCCAGAAGGCTGCGAAAGAGCGTTTGTCGCTGTGTATTAATGAAGAACGCATATTAAAAGAAAGATCCTTCAAGAAGAAATGCAACCAAGAAAAGAGATTTTAATCGTGGAGTCTCATCCAATGTTGCCGAAATTTAGGTTGTCCATGTCGGCGACCATTCAACCTTATTCCTTCGCTCCGGAGAAACTTCCGAAAACAGCAGGGTCCGGGGATCAGCCGGATCTTTTGATGCCCAAGACATCTTCTGTGAAGAAATTTGACATTGATTGCTAGCAAGTAAGAATGGGATTTGTTGCACATCTGAAAAGGTCGGCGACCTGGTGGTTCCTTGCAAAGGATTGATGTCGCCGATAAGGATAATATTAGTAAGATGTTTTATGGGGTTGAGTGAGACGAAACAACGCCAGTAGCTAAGTGGGGGCAAGCTACGGAGGAGATGAAAACGACTCGTGCTCAATTGGATGAGAAGACAACGTTTCGTTGCAAACCCAAAAGGTCGGCGACCTAGAAAGTCCTCCTCTCTCCAAATTTCTGTCTTAAAGTTAAAGGTCGCCGGTATCCACTTGTCAAAATGAAAGCTCATCTTTTGGCTCCACCCAAGCTTCACCCGTCCACCTCTCGAGTCATAATTCTTCTGGGCATGGAGAATTAATGACAGAAAGCTGAATTGACAGAAGAATTTTGTTGCATTTCTTGATCGGCGATATCATGTTTCCACAGGCTATGTCCGTTCAGCAATAGCCTTCGGATGAATGTCGAAGGAAGGACAGTATCCAATGGTACGAAAGCGAATGAGAGCGAGACCGAAGTGGAGCTATGCAAGACTTTAAAGCGAATGATACTCTCCCACTTCTCAACGAGAGAACTTTTGTTGCATCTCTGAATCGGCGACCTGAAAGGGAGGAGTTGAGTATCCCCCCACCTGGGTTAAGTCCCTTTACGAGGGTAGTATCCCTTCAGACAAGGTAGTGATCGAGCCAGAGGACCAGGAAGACGATATCACAGCAAAAGCCCGACGACTAAGGGGAATAATAATAACAAGAGAATACATTTGTTGCATACCTCAAAAGGCCGGCGACCTTACCATGTAGGGAAACTCATCCTAAAGATCCACTTGGATGCTTCATCTCAAAATGATCAGGTCTGGATTATGGTCACCGAGAAAAGGACGGTGAAATGCAGAAGGAAATCATCCTCCTTTATTACTGAAATATCACAAATTTGTTGCATATCTGAAAAAGGTCTCCGACCTTCTTTCTCTGTCCCATTTAAAAATTGATTGGGCATGGAAACTTCATGCTGCCCTTGCTAGTGGGGCTTTGCGGTTGTTGATGAGGTCTGCGTGGAGGCATCATGAAATGAAGAATAATTTTCCAAAGTACCACGCGGAGCACCCGCCCAATTTTCCCAGAAGCGAATAAATGATTGCGCATATCAAAAGGCCTGCGGCCTTCTCTACTTTTATTCTACACTGCTCTCTGCCAGCTGCTTCCTATTTGTCTTCGAGGGAAGTTTGACGTATAGAGTTTAGGCGGGCCAAGTAGGTCTCTTCCGAGGCTAGCATTCACAATGAAAATTAAATGACAAGGGTTTTGTTCTATTTTATGAGGATCTCTTGATTATGGCGTCTTTGTTTTCAGGGCTTTCAAATAGGTGCTGAAGAGCCAGATCGTATGTGCTATGTTGTGGGTTGAGCAAGGCGAGAACGAATGCATAGTTATTCACTTGAGAAAATTTCCAAGGCTTTTAGAGGAGGTAGGTATCGATGAATATCCCAGGGCTCTTTGGGTTAGAGTTAGTTTATACTCTAAATCAACTTCAGATATCCACAATACTAGTCCCAAAAAACCAGGTGCTGAGCACGTGGGACCTCGAAGAAGGATTTCTTCTATAATCTTATACCAAGTTCTTTTTCAATATTCGATGTCTTTTCTTCGTATTAAATAGCTCATGGTCTAGTGCTGCGCATTTCCTTGAAGCCTTTTAGCAGTCCTGAATACAATGAAATTGGTCTGATTTAAAAGTCAAAGAATAGAGATTTCAAAATGTTAAAAGTCTGAAAGATGAAGACTATGTTTTCTTGCAATGATTATTCTAAGCTTTTCACCTATAGTCCGACATTATTATGGAAACAAAAAGAGAAAGAAAAAGATTCTAAAATAAAGTCGATAGAGGGTTTTTATTATATATCTCAAATGGTCTGCGACCTTGATGGAGGCATGAATGTGGTGAATTACTGTTTTCACAATAGTTTATTTTCTTTTTTTTAAACAATAGTGAATTGTTACAAAATCAAAGATATTGTTTTTAAATTTTGATTGCGTTCATTTTAGATTTTGAATTAGTATAGAATTTAACTTATAATAACTTTTCAATATAAAAAGTATTGAATGATTAAATTAAAATTACTTTAATAATTTTATTTGGTTTTTTTTTAAAAAACTCTTTAAAGACTTTATTGTTATCGAAAATTGAAATTATATTATATTATAATTATTCTATATCGAATATAACTTTTATTTCATTTATAATTTTATTTATTTTTGAACTCATATTCAAATCCAATTTATATTTATTTTATTCACTTCGATTAAATCAAAACAATTCATTTATTTTTTGATGAAAATCATTTATAATTTATAATTTTGAAGAATAAAAAAAATGAAAACTCAAAAGTCTGAAAACTTGAAAGCTTTTCCAAAACACTATCAATTAAAAAAAGCTAAAAATAATTTCATGATTATTTAAAATCATATTTCTATAGGGGATCTTTATGTCTATTCAAATTCAGCAATATATATCGATTCCATATATGCTTCCTATAGATTTTTTCTAATATCATGCAATACTTCCCGTGTAGGCTGCGCAACGGGTACCCGCAGAGGGGATTATTGCTCTTATGGATAATCCGTAGGTAATCCGTTGGCGGAGCGGATAATTATTGGAAAGTCTGAATGGATAACCTTGTGGAACGGGTTATTTGTGGATAATCTACAAATTATTTGTAAACAATCGATAAAACGGGTAGGACGTTTAATGGGTTATCCACGAAACGGATTATCCATGGATATCTGCGGGCTTCGGATTATTTCTGCGCAGTCTATTCCCGTGTCATCCGACCGCGGCAAGCTTCTTAGGTTTATTAATGATTCCTCAACAGACATAAGCACTTACGCAGCGAATTTCGCAAATATCAAAAGGTCATTGGCGATCTCTTGTTGTTTATGTATCTATTACGTACTGCTAAGCTTTTTCAATATATTTCGCTACCTATTAATACAACTTCTGTTCAAGTAGCCTTCTTTTGTTGGCTGTGGCCGCTCTCCCTTTTCGCTGACCGAACTCTCGGCCTGCTTTCAGCAAATAGAAATATTTTCATCATTTTACTGCTGGGCCGGGATCCGAGTACTACTAAAAATCATATTTCTCGTACTTCAGATCGTCGGTTTATTAGAGACTGTTGCAGCTCGAGACATTTTGGTGAAGCGAGAGCCAATGGTTTCAAATTTTTGACAGGGCGTTGATGATTGTAGCACCCGCAAAATTCTATCGGCGTCTCACTGAGGCTATCTGCCAGTCGCCGTGACTGAGCTAATCAATGATGCCGTTCTTGGATAGAACCGCAGTGGACATTTGAGATTTGCAAAATTTGAAGAAGCTACCTATGAAATGTTGAGACATACCCGCGTAGTAGTAGAGACCGACACAAATATGGCTGACAAGTCTTAGGATGTGTTTATCCTGGTCGTGTCAGTAGGAATGGACTGAGAACGGACTAGTTAGGGTGTACACAATTCATCTTTCTATATTTCACTGAAGCACGTGGAAAGTTATCCCACCATTAATTCGACTGCAGAGCTCATCGATATCCTTACTCAAAAGGCTGAAAAAACATACAAGGTCATATCATGGTGCCTGCATCAATGTAATGTTCCACCTCGTTTCTTTCTCATCCCAGAATAACTCAAGTGATTATAAACAACGCAATGTTGCATGGGTTAAACGGTCACCGAACTCATCGGCGTTTCAGTCCTTCCGCTATAGTGCCTCCCCCATTTCAAACCAAATATTTCTTCTAGCCTTATAGCTGCCATATTACTGCGATATGCAACAACTTCCTCCTTTTGTGAGCTAGTAAATCTATATCGAGTGATTTTTACATATCTCAAAAGGTCACCGAGCGATTCTCATTCCTTTTTCATCGTAAAATAATTAGTTCATCGACAAATCGATACATTTGCATTTTAGACACCACGGACGCCGGTAAAATAAACTTTAGTGGCTGTGTGACCTTCTCCCACCAGTGACAGCTGTGCCAAATCCTACATCACCAGAAACTAAAAGCATCTAATTTTATACGTTACTGCCAGGGAGCAAAAAGTCTCCTAATAGCGCTGCATATATCATTGCGCTTGGAGACTACAAAATTTGTGACTCGTTTTTAGATGAGTGCAATGCAAGCGACGCTCCTCGTATTTCCAGATTTTTCGCTTAATTATGAGCCCCTAGTTTTTGACTTTGTGATTTTCATAGCCCTTTCGGAGACCGAAGGTGAAATTATATCCGAGACACCCGAGGCGACCTTTGCCATTTTAAATGTAAGATCTACATTTTTGGGTCCCGCATGTTTTATTATAGGCTTATACGCTGAACCTTGATTTCTATGGGTATTAGTTCGTAAGGCTTGAAAATTGGGATTGTTGAAGTCGCCGGCCTTCCAACATTGAGTCTACCAGAGTGCTTAGGTTTCTGTATTAAGCTTATAGGTCCCAATATAGAGTTGAAGAAGGATATGGTCACTTGGAGGAACTCTTTGGGAGTCGAATTAAAACTATCTCGTTCTCTTGCATCCGCGTGAGCGAGGACAGCGTCATCACTTCTCTTCTCTGAACTCGTTTTGCTCGCGCATACATACACTCTTTTCCTAATTTTCGGGGCGAATGACGCATGCAAGTCTGCATTCCCTAAAATTATAGGTCATTAGAACTAAGTAAATTTCATTTTAGTTTAGATGTCTGAACAGTTAGCCGAGCTTTGCAACCATCGTCCAGACCGCTCGACTATGTCACCACTGTTACTTTTCTATCACTTTGCGTTTATAGGCTTCATCTTTTACGTTGACAGGTTAGATACAGTAGCTGTATATTAACGGAATTTTGGTATGATGACTGACGAATTTTGAGAAGTCCCAGCCTTTTGAGATGTATAACATTTGAATGATGTCCGTTTATGAAAAAAATATCTAAAATAAACATTTTATTACATCAAATGATTATAATTAAGTGAAATTATAAATAAATATTTATAATTTTGATATTAATAAATTGATCTTTAAGATTTTTAAATATAATTATTTCAGTTCTTCAAAGAATATTATTAAAAAATTTATTAATCTTTGTTTATTTTACTAGTAATATTATATATTTCAAAATGATCTCAATTTATATATAAATTTTACATCAAATAAATTCTTGAGAAATAAATAATCTTATTTTTCTTAAATTTTAATTCAAAAAAAGAATAATATAAATTAAATTATCTAAAATAGAAACTGAATATATAAAAATTCAAAGTGTTTGTTATGAGTTTTAATATAAAATAAGAAAACAGTTATTATCTATACACAGGTACTACAATTATATAACTGCGTTGTTGAACACGATGACATTAGTGGAGCGTAGTCAAAAAGATAACTATTTTACAAAAAAATATATTCTTATTGCCTACTCAGATATCTCCAGTGGCACAGGGGTGTCGTGAAAACTTCTCTATGACGGCACTACTAGGATCTGACTATGCCAAATAGTAAGTTTATTTGCTTTCCATTTTATCAGCTGGAAATTTCTTTCTATTTCCTATTTTGATTGTAAGATCTCTCTTTATTTCAACCTTCATTCAATTGTAAATCTAATTATATCTTCTATCATTCTACACATTGTAGAAAGAAACTAAATTTAGATCTGGTCTTGCTATCTCAATGCCCCTTTACTATGCCGTACTGTTTACCTTTATTCCACACATACGGCGAAAGTAAACGTTCCGTTTTGTATTTTCAATTCTCTATTACTGATTGTTGTTATATAAATACACAACAATTCTCGTTGGTAGAACCATACTCACGGAGTCTGGACTTAGTTATCAGCTCTAAATCTATCTTCCTGTCAAACTCCATCCTTACTCGTCATTACCCAAAATTTAAATTCTAGTCGTCCACTGAATATACTCTATTTTTCGTCTGCATATAACTCACAATGTGCATTGTACGCTCCAAGACTGGGTCCGCCCACATTCATCTTCCTTATTCCGACTCACCCATTTCCCGATTTCCTTGTTCCAAATTTAAGCTTTTCTCTGAACGGAGTCAGTTTTGCCTCCGAAACATGAAATAGTACCCATAATGTGCTCTTCATGCTCACATCCTCAGTCTCTTCCTCTCATTATGGAATCAGCCTCGGCATTTATTTCTTTCTCACTCAGTAATCAACTCCTCCTTGGCCTCTTCGGCTCCAATCACTCAATCCGGCATTCAAATCCGGCATTCAGATTCGGCAATCAAATGCGGCAATCAAATGCGGCAATCAAGTTCGGCAATTCAATTCCCAAGCTCTTCAATTATTCAGTCACCAGCTCTGTGATTGGACTACTTACGAGCTGGCACCACTAACCTCCTCATTAAAGCAGCAAATGTCTAAAACTTCTTTGTTCTCTTATTCCCGAGCGTTCCTGATGACCAATTTAAGCGCATGTAAAAGCAGCAAGTTCTAACTAGTTCTTTGTGTGTGTTCCAAGTTTATGAAGCGAAACGTCAGGCGAGGTATACGGACGAGATGATTGGGACGTGATAAGCGCGTGAGGAATGGGAAGGCGAATGTTCTTTGTTGATGACGAGATTAGCTTAGATGAGATGAAATTACGTAGATGTGGCTTTCTCGCAGATTACTCTGAGAGATGAAGTCGGAGTTTCGGGCAATGCGTTTTTGTGCGGTCGGAGTTATGTGGGATGTGGAGATAGTGGGATGAAAGTGGGTTGAGGTGATTGGATCGAAGTGATAAGTTGTTTTTTATTTGAAAAGGTCGGTGATGGAATTGAAGATGAGAAAGCTTTCGGGGCCCGGCTCGGCGGGATGAAAAGTATGAAAGGATTAGATGATTAGATGATATAAGATGATTAGAGGGCGGACTGCATCAAGTGATCATACTCAAATGTTGAAGTTACAATTTAGCAAAAGTAGCGGAAGCCATAGTGTTCTGAAGCAGCAGTAGCAAGACTATTTCCATAAGATCAAAAGCAAAAGGAATCTTTTATAGAAAAAGTGTTCCATAGATTTAGCTCATTACGTCTTAGACCTTGAAGCGCACCCATACGGCTGTTTGTATAGCTAATTAGCGCGTACAATCCTCGTCTATGAAGGTATATTCTCGAGCACAGTACCTCTCGGCCTTTGTATTATTAACTTTTCCTCGCTTGATCTCGGTAGAATCTCAATCTAAGTGCTAGTATTTCCGTGAACTTATCTTCCCCTGCAAAAGTCAGCAGAAGATTTCACTCGACCAGGCTAAAAATCCCAGAACCCCAGCCCCAAGATTTGGGTAGTCTTTGGCTCAAACTAACTAAGTGCTGGGGAATACTCTGGCTCAACTGGCTGTCGAACCTCAAGAGTGCAATCCTCTTTTTTAATCAACTACTTCTCCTTGAAATATTTTCGGATGGACTCGTTAGATCCACCCATGTCGCAGATCAGTACTCGATGAGTTATTGGCGATTTTTCATCCATGAATACAACCAATGCATGAGGATCATCTTCATTAGCATCACCATCATACTCGATATCAAGGTCATCGAACTCATTTTCCCACGCATTCACAAGCCATTTCTGATTCTGAGCGTTAATTTTTAGAATATCTGTAACAAGCTCACGAAGTTTATTTCTTGGAATGATTCTCATAATATTCACTGCTGTATGACTAGAAACAATATATATGATTATCAAAATGAAGATTTTTAATTTGTATATAAATTATATATATAAAAAATCGAAATTCAATATTTGATTATTTAATAAAAACAAAAATTATAAATTATAAATTGAATAATATTTATACATAAAATCAATAATTAAAATTCTTTTAAGTTATATTAATTTTTTACAAAATTATTAATAGATGAAAATTATAATTTTCAATATAAAAAAATAATTCAAAAGGAAAGTAATCTGAAAGTGAAGTATTAAACTTAATAGTTATTTAATATTCTATAGTTAAAAAGATTTAAATGATATTTTAAATCTAATATTTTATTGTTGGTATCACTTCAGTGATACTAATTGCAATACAATCGTATTATGTGTCACGATTTACGATTAAGATAAGGATATATTGAAGGGCAGCAGTCAACGTGTCTATATAAGCTTAGGCTTTATCGAAAAGCAAGACGATTTGTATACAAATTTGTATGGTAATCGTTTTATATAATCATCTCATCTTTAGCAAGCTCGGATATATAATCTAATCCTAATTATATGATAAAAAACCTTGGGAGCTTTGAAAACTTCTAGAGCTCCAAAAGCTTTTTGGAGCTTTAAAGTTCTACAAAGCTTTTTTATATTCATTAGTATATAATCAAAATAGTTTCATAGTTTAAAAGCTTTATACTCAATTTAATTATCAATTAATTTATTTATATTTCAATTGATCTAATAATATATTCATCTTCGAATAGATAATTAATGATTATTAATCTTAATATACAATTACCAATTATACAAAAACCTAAAACAGTTACTGCCTCGATCAGATCGTTACACTTTGAGCATCGTTATAATTAAATTATATATAATACAATAACTTCTAACCAATAATTTATCGAATCGTTTTCATTCAATTCAATCGAAATCTCTATTCAGATTATCATTACTATAAAACATAAACAAACGATTTAGATATCCATCTTTGATTTATTTTATAAAAATTGTAGTAAATATCAAGCTTTTGTTATACAAGCTGATTTCTATTATACCTTTAACAAACAATTTTTTTTGATTCCTATATAAAAGATCTTATAATTGATCTTCTTTTTCTAAAGAATCATATTCAATTGGATTAAACCATTTTTCAATGATCTAATGATCAAGATTACTAATGATCAATTAAATAAGAATATAAAATCTGAAATTTACTATCTCTTCTTCAATTATGAATCATTTAAATAGAGATTTGATAGAGTATTCAGGAAAATAGATTCTGATTATATAATTGAAAAAGCATTACAACAATTTAGATAGATCGGATTAATTACAATTTATATTGTCAAGTTTCAATAATACATCAAATGTATTATATAAGATGATGATTATTTAAAATCATAATTCTATAAAGGATTGAAAAATATTATCAAGAACAAATTAACAAAAGCTTCGAAACCATCTAATCTTTCCGAATTAATCGAAACCTTTATTCTTATTGATAATCGATTTTATGAATAATGAATAGAAAAGAAAGGAATTATTCAAGAAAACAGAAAATTCCAAAAACCTCATCATCAAAACAGATATCATAATACCAACAACCTAATAAAATTGAATAATACCGAATAATGTTATATAAAACCAAACAATTTAAATATTAACGAAAAGAAAAGATACAAAAAGAATAATTTATATTATATTTACAAAAAAAATGGATATATATTTCAAGATTGTTCTCAAAAGAAAAAACTATTCATTACAAAAAATAAGAAACAAATGAAATTTAGAAACAAAAGATAAAGTTCTCGAAAAACAAGAATCTTAAAAGAAAATTCGAAGAAAATGAAATTATTAGAAAAAGAACTATCTTAATCCAATCCTAAATAATTAAAAGAATTGAATATCAACAATCAAAACCCTAAAACTAATATTAAGAACAATATCGATTATAAAAAAGAATCTTTAGAAGATCTTGAGTTAGAAAACAAAGAACTTAAAAAGAATTAATAATTAATTGAATTCTATTATCTATCTTGGGAAAATGAATTATAATATCTAATCAATTATCTAAATAAGAAACGAATATAATATTATTATAAAAAGAAGAAACCTGATTTTATCGAGAAATATAAAATTCATAATTATTCCATTTTGTTAGTATTCTATATAATAATATATAATAATATTTATTATATAGTATTTAAGGAAAATATTAGAACAAACGATACTAGAAGGTATATTACAGATATAGATTCTTCATTTTTCAATGAAATATAGGAATATAACAAATATAATCTAGAAATTGAAAAGATATAGGAAATTCTATTACAAATTGGGATTTGTTATATCTAATAAAAGACTAATAGAGATAACAAAGAAGTATCAAATCAGGATTATTATCGAGACTTTCAAATAGAATTAATAGAATTATTATTCATTATATCTTATCAATTATTAAATATAAACGAATATCAATAGGAATAACTGAATCTTCTTATCAAAAAATAAATTATCGAATTATTATTATTAGAATTCAATAATATTATAAGAATTAGATAATTGATTATAGAAATCAAATTAGAGAATCAATAGATCAATATTTTAATTGATTCTAGAATTATAAATATATTTATGAATCCCAACTTTATAAAAGAAAATAGAATTTTTATAGAAATAAAACAGAATTTTTATCAATTGATACTATTTGAAGAAAAGAAAACTGGAATTAACAATTGGATATACAAAGAAATCAATATTGTCAAAATGATCATATTAGACAAGTATACTAAACGGATCAAAATAGATTTAATATTATTAGATAGATATACAATTGTTCTTAATACCTTGTAGATTAAGAAATACAATCCAAATATTAATTGGATAAAAGATATCTTAATATTCGATTATTATAGTTACAATAGTGAATGATTATATAGTCTGAAAGAATAGATTTCTAAGGAGATTGGATATTATATTATAATAATAATAGATCCTTTATTGATCAATAAAATCAATGAAAAAGAAATTCTAATGTAATATAAAAGATTTATTAAATTCTTCAAAAACTTATAGGATTTGAAGGTTTTATTAGAATATAAGCTTTAAAATTATAAGATCAATTTCAAAAAAGGATTTGTATTCCTTACTGAAAAATTGAGGCTATACAATCTTAATATTATACAGATATAGAAAGAATATAGAATTAAAACTAAAAAGAAAGAATGGATTAGGAAATCCAAATCTTTTTATATATTCAATATATTATTGGTATTCAAAAAAGGTGATCCAGATAATCAATTTTGTAAAGATTACTATTAGGTTAATAATAGAATAATCAAAGATATATATCCAATACCGAAAACCCAAAAGTTTAAGGATAAATTGAATAAAATAATGATCTATATGAAATTAGATCAAAAAAACATTTTTAATTTAATACAAATAAAAAAGGATCATAAATGAAAGATAACCTTTATATTACTATCAGATTTATAAGAATATATAATCATATCATTCAGTTTAATTAATATGCCAATTATTTGTCAACAATAGAACAATAAGATATTTAAGGAATTCAATTCATTTATAATCTATTACCTAAATGATATCCTAATCTTCTCTTAAAGAGAGAAGAAATACAAAAAATATATATCAAAAATACTAAAAGCATTCAGAAAAATAGATTCAAGATTCAAACTATCGAAATATAAGTTTAGAATATAAAAAGTAATATTTCTAAAATATATTATTCAATTAGAATAAATAAATATAAATCTTAAGAAAATAAAAAAGATAAGGAATTAAAAACGATCCAAAAACATTAAGGATATACAATCTATATTAGAATTCGTCAATTTCTATTGAATATTTATAAAAGATTTCTTAAAAATAATAAAACCCCTTATCAAAATGACCAAAAAAGGAATAACTTTTATATAAAATAAAAAGGTAAAACAAATTTTCCAAAAATCAAAACAGATTTACAAAGGAATTTATTCTTTATAATTATTATAATAATCGAGAAAATATTATTGAAACAAATACTTTTGATACTTGTATAATAAAAGTCTATTTACAAAAAAACGATAACGGAAAACTATATTCTATTATTTATTATTCGAACAAAATGAATAAAACAAAACAAAATTATAATATTTATAAAAAGAAACTTATAATTATAATAAAAACATTAAAATATTAAAAGATTTATTTCCAAAGAATTAAATTCCTAATAATCATTTATACTAATTATATAAATCTTCAAACTTTTATTATTACTAAGATCTTGAATAATTATAAATTAATTAAATGAGTTAAGGAATTAACAAAGTTTAATCTAATAATCAAATATATTAAAGGAAAGGATAATACAAAAACAAATACTTTAAATAGATTATTAGATTACAAAGATAATAAAATCTACCAAAAGATAATGATTTTGAAATCCTTATTAAATGAAGATCTTATCCTTAATTTAATAGAAATTGTTATTATAGAAAATAAACCAATAAAGATCTAAAAAGATAAATTTATAAAAGTATAACAAAATAAAGAAAATATCAAATAATTGGAATCATTAATAATTATTGATAGATTATTTCAAATAAGAAATAAAATTTGATTATCAAATAATATTATCCCTGAATATATTATAAAACAATATATATTGTTAGTTTATAAACATCAAGGAATACAAAGAATATATTTAAAAATCAAAAGACAATATTGAAGTTCAGGATTCTACAATATAATCAATAAAGTAATCATTGAATATAATATTTATATTAAGAATAAGATTTTCTATTATATTTCTTATAAACAAATAAATATTACCGAAATACTATCTATATTATAAAAATCAATATCATAGAACTTTATAGATTTATTACCAAAATCCAAAAATCCAATAATAAAGATAATATATAATTATCTTCTTATTATAATAAATAAACTAACAAAATACTTGATATTCATATTATATCAAATAATATTAATTATAAAAATATTAATCTTTATATTTTTAAAAAAGATTATTGTAATATATAGATTATTAAAGGAAATACTCTTTAATAAAGATAAACTTTTTATATCGAAATTTTGGATTGTTTTAATAGTATTATTAAAAAAAAAATATCTATTATATTCTATTTATAAATTAATAAAGGAAACAAAAGAATAAATCAAATTATCAAAGTTTATCTTCAATATTATATAAATTATCAATAGAACAATTGAATAGAATTTTTATTTTTAATATAATTCATATATAATAGTTCAATATCAAAAACGATATAAATCATTCCGAATTATATCAATTATAAATATAAACTGATTGTATATTGCAAATTAGGAATTACAGAAATAGAGAATCAATTTACAATAATACAAATAAAAAGATTCAAAAAGATTTATAAGGAAATGATAATAGAATTGAAATTCGTTGTTAAAAAAAATATATATTATTATAATCAGAAATATAATCAAAAACTAATATTAAAAAAAAGGAATAAAGTTTATTTACTTCGAAAAAATATCGAAACAAAAAGACCTAATACAAAATTGAATTATAAAAAATTCGGATTATTCAAAATCAAAAAGATTAAAGAACTTTTGAATTATAAATTAGTATTATCGAAAAGTATAAATATATATTTAATATTCTATATATCCCTATTCGAATTAATACTCCCAGAAACATTTAAAACTCCTGAAACAGAAATTATATCTACAAATCAAAATACCAAATACAAAATGAAGAAGATACTAAATTATAAATATATTAAAAACAAAATCAAATACTTAATAAAATAAAAAGATTACTCCGATTCCGAAAACATATAAGAATTTGAGAAAAAAATTAAATACCTAAAAAGATTCCAGAAGTTTTATTAACAAAATCCGGATTTATTTAAAAGGAAAAGGAATTTATTGTTTTCTGTAAAAAAGAATCAAAAGAATCAAATTCGTTTGTAAGAATTTCATTAGGGTTGATAGAATCAATTAATAATTGATCAAATCGATTAAAGATTAATTGACCAAATTGATCAAATTGATCAAAAAACAATAAAAGAATTATAAGAATTTCTTTATCTTTTTCTTTTCGCTCTTTTTCTTTGAGAATATCAAATTCATTAAGGTATTTAAATCTGCAATATAACATTTCATTATATCGTTTTTTGAATTATATTTTCTGTTTAACAAAACGAATAATTTTAATAGAAGATTTAACAATTTCAATATCCAATTTATCAATCTATCAATCAAAACTTTCCCAATTATACTCCCAAAGAATTTCATAATCCCAATCATCTTCCAAACGAAACTTAATATCATATGAAACAGAATTTCGTATATATTCCGAACAACACAAACAATATTTATCAAAAAGATCCTTAACATAACAACAATTCTCTTACCGATAATAAAAACAAGAAATCATCTTAACATTAATAGAATCAATAATCGCAACTAAATATACATATTCCTTTTTCTTTTTTCGAATTAAACTATTAAAAGAATCAGAATTATTCATAACAAAGAAAGAAAAATAAATAAAACATAAAAGAAGAAAAAATATTAATTATCAAATGAAATCTGAAAGATTATAAACGATTGAAATAACATTTAACTAAGAAAAAGATAGTATTACAATTTATAATTAAAATAAAGATATATTAAAAAACAACAATCAATATATCCATATAAGTTTAGGCTTTATCAAAAAGCAAAACGATTTGTATACAAATTTATATAATAATCATTTTATATAATCACCCCATCTTTAGCAAGCTCGAATATATAGTCTGATCTTAATCATATAATAAAGAGCCCTAAAAGCTTTGAAAGCTTCTAAAACTCTAGAAGCTTTTTGAAGTTTTAGAATTCTACAAAACTCCTTTACATTCATTAGTATATAATCAAAATAGTTTCATAATTTAAAAGCTTCGTATTCAACTTAATTATCAATTAGTTTACCTATATTCCAATTGATCTAATAACATATTCATCTTCGAATAGATAACCAATGATTATTAGCCTTAACATACAACTACCAACCATACGAAAACCTGAGGCAGCCGCTGCCTCGACCAGATCGTTACATTATGTTCTTGTATTTGTTCATGGATGATGATTATCTATCTAAAGGAGAGAGACCTATTTATATTGAAAGGGGTACAGGCTAGAATGCACTAGTCGTACAGCTCCCTTTGTGTACGGCTCCCTTTCGAGGTTGATTACATGATGTACCGATATTTACTTTCAAATTATCTTCAATTTGAGTTACTTTTTTATATCAAAAATTATAATTTTTATTTATTAATAACTTTATAATTGATCAATAGAATTTGATGAAACTTGAATTATATATTTATTATATTATTATAAATCAATTTTGAAATTTCAGATTTTTTATTTTTTATTTTATTAAAATTTATACAAATTTGAAAAATAATTAAAAATGATTTATAAAAAATTATTAAATATTTATATTATAATTAATTAAATAAATTAATTTATTTTCAAAAATAATTTATAGAAACTTTTTTTCAAAATATTATAATCTTTAATTCTTATAAAATAAAAAAATATAAATAAAAGTCTTCTTACATAACATTTGATTTAAAGATTTTGAAAAAATTTATAATTTATTTTTCATAATTTTTATTAAAAAGTTATTTTAAATTTTAATGATTTTCAAATTTATATATTAATCTTATACATATTGAAAATCAAAATTTCAATTTTTAAAATCTCAATCAATAAAATCCTGAAAAATCTAAAATTTTCAAAATTTATTATTATGTAAATAATAAATCTATAATCTAAATTTCATCAAATTATATTTATAAATTAAAAAATTATAAAGATCAATTTTTGTTACAAAAAAATAACTCAAATTGAAACTAGTCTGAAAGTAGATTATTAAACTTAATATATACTTTGTTTGATATATACTCTTTTTTTTTAATTAAAATCTTTATTTAGGAAATTCTATTATTTTTATATTTATTTTTATATTAAAAATTTATTTCTGGACAGATATCTTTAATATGTTTTTAATGAGTATCACAATAAATTGAGGTCAACAGAATAATCAATTTTTCTGATTTGCTAATATTAACTAGTGGTATATTAGATTTAATAATAAACTGACTAACTTCAAAAGACTCAAGTATTAAAATCACAATCTCAGCACCCCTTTATAATATCTCGCAAAAGTTCCCAAAGCATCGTGATCAATATCCCTTAAGCCAAAGATCCTATGGCTCCCCATTTCCTACTAGTATCTTGTCCAACTCCCCAGGCTGAATAAAATTCACCATCGTCACTAATCTCAGAAGTACCATCGGCCTTTTTTCTCAATAACATCTTCGTCAACCAATTCCTGACGAACTTATTACCCACCACAAGCTCAGGGATTACCTTCTTCCAATCGATTTTGAGACCAGCATATTTGGTATTTCTCCATTTCCTGATGATTCTATCACTTTGAAGCTCGAAAACGATTTTGCGGAGCTTGTCATGTGATGAACTATCGACAGCTTGCAAGATTAAGACTTGTCTGGCTAAATCTTCTCTCTCGGCTACACCGATGCAATCCATATTGTTGATTTTGACACCAGTTAATTTCTCCTGCATTTCGGCGATGATTTTGTTGTTCTGTACCATGTAAGTGATAAATTGTTGGTCATTCTCTCTAGTTGATAGGAGACTAGGAGGTCTTGGTGACGAGGATCTTCTCGAAGGAGATGGAGGTTGTGAAGGGGATTCGGATGGTGGTGTAGATGATACGCTCCAAGAAGGAGTAGATCCAGAAACTACTGAATGTTAGTATTTATTCCTGGATGATAAAGAGGTCTTCATACTAGCTGCATGTTCATTATGATGAGCGTGAGAATCCATCTAGATCTATACTGGATCTGTATGATTAATATGGGGCTAGCTGATTATTCTGCGTTGAGGCGCTTTTTCCTTTACTCTGAATATTTGTAGTGCAGGTGATCGTGGATATTTTTTCAAATGGACAAGACGTATGTTTTGTTAGAATTCATATTGAAGTGAAAGGAAGGTGACTATTTAAAAATCTTTGAGTAAGATATAGCTGCGAGAACTTAACGCTAAAGAAACACAGCCACGTCGTTGCCGTATTGATATCGGAGAATGAAAGAGATTCTACCTTTGATGTTTTGTCTTGATATAATCAGCTTCAGTTACGGCTTACCGGAGTAATATTTTTATACTTTCGGGTAGACAGTATTGAACCTCAGCAGTTCGTCTCACCTCATGAGAGGTAAGACTGTAGTAGCATGAAACAGGGAATAAAATATTCGCTGGCTAGTATCTAGCATATCCGCTCTGTACATCACATCTCTCAATCCCGTCCAGACGCTTTGTTATGAATGACCACTTTATCCTAAAAGAGTTTCACACCACCAAAATAAATCCAAGGCCAACAACAAAAAGTCCATAGCCACACATCTATTCCTGCTGAGGGTGAAAGTTTAGCACATCAACGGTGCCATCCTCCCTCAAATAAAGACCCCTCTCACAATAGTCCCTAAACGCAGCTCCAGTCAAAGGATCATTGCCTTGTTTAATGTAGGAATCACGAACGTGGTCTGGAGAAAGCGCATTAATTATTTCCTCGAAGGTGTATCGTCTGATTGGTGGTGTTGTAGGATTTAGTCTGCTGTTTGTCGGTGTAGCGCGCTGATTCTTGGAGGGTGCTATGATCATCATACGTATAGATTAGAAAATGCTTCCCCTAGGAGAAGCTGGAATAACTACCAAGGTTCTACTTACATAAATCATTTCCAACTCTAGGGCGGGAGGGTAGGATGGCCTCCGAAATTTCTTTCACCTGCCGTCGCGTCATCTCTACGGTTGAGAGCTGGAGGTATGTCTGCTTATCGAATATTTTATTTTAATGGGATATATAAGGAGCTGATTACTCAAAATAATATAATGAATGGAGTTCGTTGTGCTTTTTGATTGAAAGTATTCAGACCAATTGCGGAAAACATCTTAGACAAGTACTGTGATCAAGAAAGGAAAGAGTATCCAAGACCTAATCATAATTTTGAGTGAAATTAGGAGGTGGCATTGGATATATTATACTAGGAAAGAAGTTTTTTTATATCCATTTCTCTACTGCTCTCATGGATCAATTCTACAGGAATGTCATTTAGGGTTATAAGAGTTTATATAGTAATATCGCTATTAGACCTCTTCCAACACCCATCCTAGGCTCAAGTAGTCCACGACTTAATGTAAATTCCTATATGATTTAAATATTTAAATCGATTTCAAATAACTTTGAGAATGTTTTGTTGAGTTACAGTCCAAAACCTTAAATACCTTGAAATGATTAAACCCCAGTCTTAGAAGTTTTAATATAAATCTAATTTAAATCTTTATAATTATTAAACAAATCCTATTATTAATTGCATGTTTTTATACAAAACTATGAAATACAAAAAATTGGAATAAATTTTCAGTAAAATTCATAAAAATAAAACTTGATTATTTTCATATTCATCTCCGCAACCTTCACGCTTCCTCTCAAGATTAATCACAATTTACCGCATCCTCCAGTGATCTCTTCTCCCATGCCGTCCCTCACATTCCCACTACACAAATGACATTATTCATTTACTTTCCATATTATAAAAGACTACTTATTTGATATAAAGCGAGTGGATTAGCTTTTCAGGTCTCGTATCCTACAGCCATCTTCCACTCATGTCTGTTGGCTATCGGCTGGGGCTGATGGGAATGATAACATAGCTTAATAAGTAGGATGAAGGGCATTAGGATTTCAACTCATCTGTCGTCGAGAAACAGCATCAACACTTCAACTTCAATACACTACATCCAAAATAATCAAGTAATTTATCGCGTATGCAAATAAGCAGATCGTTGAAGCCGCGTCATTGCTACCACTACATTTCATCACGGGGAACTCTTCCTATCCACTGCATATCAACGCCACGTAGAAGGGGTATAATATCCAATTAACAAACAAGCAAACGAAATAACAACGCGCATATAGCTCCAAGCACATGTCGAAACGACAGTCCCGACATCTCTCACGAACATCACAAGTCCCACTCCCGAATCCTCAACTCCCACACCAACCAAATCTTACGGCAATGGATAAATACAGCTAATGATACAAAGTACCATCAAATCTAAGCCTATTCTCGGCTTCAAGAATTCCTACAGTATATACGTACTATCAGCCTTCAAATGACAAATTCTATAATTACTTATAAATATGTAAGAATGTGCATTTAAATCAATTTCAGTCATCAGTATCAAAGCTGCCATTTATTACTGAGCTCCAAATGGTAGATGAAAGAGACAACGACAGAAACGTATCTATTGCATATCTCATTAATTTTGTCTTTACCGCCATTCTCCCCTCACTTCAAGTAAGATTTAGCAGTTCAACAGTTCAGCAGTTCAATAGTTCAACAGTTTAGTAGTTCAACAGTTTAGTAGTTCAACAGTTCACCTAATCTAACACTGGAAGAGGCTTTACCCACAGGAATATCAAAATTGAAGCAATAAATAATGACAAGTAAAGTAATCTACAATTGGAATCCCGAGTCAACTTTCACTTCCTCCACGCACATGTGTCCAATTACTCAAAATCCCAAAACATTAAGAGTCAACCCATGACGAACTATCGCTATACACAACACTTGTTATTAAACTCCATATGAACAATGACTATATCGCTAACTGATCTCGACTTTCCCTTCATCATATCACTGATAGATAACTTTTTATTAGCAAGTTTTGGTTCGGGGTAAACTATTACCATTGATGAACCCATCTCTTTTACTTATGCGTATAGAATAAAAGTGTCTAGGTATCTAGGTATCTATTACACATCTCCAAAAAAGACTCGAACATCTGCTCTATTCCTACAAGCGATATGCATAACTAAATGACCAAGTCTGAGAAAATATCGCCACCAGAATGTGCAGCACAAAAACGCCCGAACAAATAGAACGTAATCGAGTTAATCATTTAATTGCTTACATATCTAATGGCTTTCAAAAGTACAATTACGTATCCATCCATCCATCCATCCATCCATACTCGTACGTACGTAGAAACAAATAGATAGATTCAAAAATCAAGGAAAAAAAACATCTCAAAGGTTCTAGAAGGATATTTTAACCAAGGTTACTTCCCCGCGCGTTTAAATGTGTCATGGTCATGGTCCTTGTTGATGTCGATCATTTCATCACACATCCTATCACACCACATTTCATCATAATAGACGCTGAACCCTTACTCACCCCACTTTCTTTCCATCTTTCTTCCTTAGTTTTCCTTTTGGAGTCTTCCAACATTCCCATCGATATCATGATTCAAAGCTAAGTCTAGCAGCCCACCCACTTTATCCTCGCCCAGTAGGCAAGCAGGCAAGCAAGCAAGCAAGCATTAAAGCGAAAACAAGAAGCATTCCGAGAAAGAAGTACGTACATGTGCACGTAGGTATCTAGATTCTAAACATACGATTACCTGGAAGAAAGAAAGAAAGAACGAACGATAGATCTGGCGATCGAGTCAACTCAGGTCCAGATAGATGATGAGTCCCGAGTCGAGTGCCGATGATCGTGCAGATGGGATAGGGTGGGTAGGTTAGGGTAGGATGTGTTAGGGTAGGGTAGGGTAAGGAGGTGCATCATGTACGTTTGAGTTTGGACCCTTGATTTGTATATGGTTTTTGTTTGTTATCGGTATATTGTAGTGGCGGGATTTATGGTGAGATTAATGGGGAGATGTGGTTTTTGAAGGTACTTGGTTATTGGAGGTTTTATTGAGAATACATCATTTCATCAATCTCCCAGTGTCGGCCAGAACAGAACGCAGCAGGGCAAATCCCATTGGTAGTTCTCAGCCATGGATGGATGGATTTCTAGATTATGATGTAAATCAGCTATATGTCTTCACGGGAAGGATTCATGCATTTCATACACTACAGTACATGCACTTACATGCACTTTACGTACATCTACTTCATGCACTCCATCCAGCAAAACTTAAAAGGATGCAGGATGAGGCTTATAGTGGATCCGATCTTACCATTATCGTTTTATATCTACTTGGATTAAATTTCAAATAGTGTCATGACGGGATATGAATTGACCAATCGGTTGAGGGATATGTGAGGGGATTGGTAGCATGTGAGAATGGGTTAGTATTGAGTATGGTGAAAAGAATAATCGTCTTTGATGGGCTATTAGGTGAGATCATAGATGTGATTATGAGAAAAGAAAAGAAAAGAAAAGAAAGAGGAATTTTAACGGAGAAATGACTCGGAGAAATGAGTCGGGATATTGACTCGGAATATTGGGTCGGGGAATTGAGTCGGAATAATGATTTGGATACTATTGATGAGAGGATGATGATGAGGTGAGATTTGTACCTAAGTATGTATCCCAAGACAGGCACGAACATCTCTGGTCTAGACCTACTTGCAAAGCCGAGTAAGAACAAAGAGTTCCACATACAAACAAGACACATGGATATGAAAAATTCAAGTCCGGGTGAGGTGAGAATTACCCACCCAATAGATATTCTTAAATCACGACAGCCAGCCATCACGATATACAGACAGCTCAATCTAGACACATTCACAAATGCTCGAGCATCAATCAAGCAAGCAAAAATCGGCGCATCTATTACGAAGAGGCGAAACAGAAAATCAAATCAAACATCTCTTCCAAGTTCCTTCCCACAGACTTTTCCTTCCCGCCGCCAAGAAACACGCTTGTCATCGGGTCTCTATTTTCGCCTTCAAAATATCAAAGAATCTGACCATCAACACCCAAAATCGCACGACATGTACATACATACATACCTATTTTACCCAAATTCTATAGGGAGAGCTTTAAGATTACGTATTCTGTGTGTGCTCACTGCTCATGAATAGGAATCTCTTCTGCCTGACGATCCGAGAGATGGGAATGGGAATCGTGGTGTTTAGATGGTAGATACCTACCTATATAGTTATATCAATGCTAACTATTTATTTAAGCTAGATGAAGTGTAGTATTGTGGTAATGGCAACGGTAATGGTATATAGAGAACCTAGGTTATCGAACTGGGAATTGTCATATATTATATACCTATTTAGTACCTATCTAGTATTCTCTTCCCTTTCTCAAATATAAATACATCACATCCCATTAAATTACTATATGATACCCCAAACCATCAAAAAAACACACAGATCACACCTAGCTAATATTTCCCGCAGAAAATGCAGTAAGTATGCTTATATAACCATAACTAATGCGACTTCCTAGCCAGGATAATCCATCCAAGAATCCCAGCTCCTTCCTGGACTTCCGAGCTTCAAACTTTGGTGATAAATATCAATATCATGCTACAATTTAGTACTTACTTATGCCTTGAGAGTGGCAGACTTTATTTTATTTTATCACCATGGTGATGTGATATGATGTGTATGATTGATCAGGTGAATCATAATACTCTACTATACCACACCTAGGTACGTATACGCGGCCCCAACGTTAACACAGAGGCTGGCTATAGACACTCAAGTTGCTTGCTCATAAATAAGACAAGGTAAATAAAATACCGTGATACGCCTGAAGTATGCTGACAACGAACGAACGAGTCTAGAGTATATTCTAGACGCCGAAAGTTCCGCCCGGACAATCCATGAATCCATCCATCTACCCTCTCATTACTCCGCAACTCTAATCATAAATCCACAATCCGAAGTTTTCACACTCGAAAGATAGCTAGATGCATACATACGTACATACATACTCGGTATTAAATTCCGGCACCGAGCTATACATGGAGTCCGTACATAGATACACTCCTCATCGACACTGTCCTGTACCCGGAGACGACGGAAAACTGGTACATACAGTACAGATACGTACTTGGACTCTTAGAGCACTGTACCAGGTACCTACCTAGATAGATAGATAGGAACAAGCAATGACCCCCGACCTGTGACCCCCGACCTGTGACCCCCGACCTGTGACCTCTGTACGTACCTGTCTGTACGTACCTGTCTGTCCTGTGACCGAACCTTAATAGTATAGTTTGGGAGTAAGAAGTGTGGAGAATCCTTACTCGGTATGCCTAAAATGATAGATGGTTTGGGAATGTAAGGCTTGAGACTTCGGAAGGAAAAAAACGAAAAATATGTAAAAATGTCAAAATAATCGGAATTGAAATAAATGGGTTTGTGATAGGTTTGTGATGGGTTGAGAAGGTGGAGATCTGGTCTCGGTATGTTTCAGAGGTGCGGTTTTTGGGATGGGTTGGGATGGTTAGATGGGTTAGGATGAGGAGGAGAGGAGAGAGGGGAAAGTAAGGTCTAGATTTACTTTTTGTGGGGGTTGGTGATGTGGGTTTGGATGGATGATGGGAATATCCAGGATATGAACGGGTTTGAATATCCTTATTGACGTGACAACCATATCTATCATATTATGTTGCAAATACCTACCTACGTAGGCAGGTACTCGTATCTCGCATCTCGTATCTCGTATTATTCACAACTTCCCAAAGTCATAATCATGGTTTGTATGTATCATATATGAAGTACCTAGGTAAGGGTGGGTACAGTCCTGGATAGGTGGGTGGTCACCTTAGGTGATCGGATCGATCGATCAACCTTCTCTTTCCGTTTGCGCGCGGCTCATTCATATCCCATATCCCATATATTCCATATCCCATATCCATATATTCATCCACATATCTATCTATCTATCTAGTATCCACTCATTAATCCAAGGGGTCAATTAATCGGCCAACTATCACAATGTAAATATGGAGTAGGTATCTAATACTTGATACTTGATGCCTAGGACTCACTCACACAATTCCCGATCCAAACCCCCCTAGTAATTATTTTATTTCCGTACATGATTTTATATTGGCAATACCACCCCACCAGTGTACGTATCCCTGGATAAATACCAATTATCCAATATTAAATGTCTATGTATAATATATATAACATGCATAAGATGACGAAAGTGGTGCTGAGAACCTATCGAGTATATGTATGCATGTTTATGGGAATATGAAAGGAATAGGATGGAATAGAGGGAGGGATGTACATTGCAGTACTTGTGCAGAGTTGGATTCTGGATATTGGCCGTGATATACATAGTTAATTGATACTACCACACTCATACCACGTTAATACTATACTTATACTATACCTACTACCTACTAAATTCAATATTATAACCATAAACCATGAACAGATATAGAAATAGAAAGAAAGGGAAGGGAGGAGTATAACCTTTCTTTCTTGCTTTTTATTGTCATAATCATAATCATAATCATAATCATTATCATTATCATTATCATTATCATAATCGCTCTAAACTCTACCACCATTTACAAATAAATACCACCAACACCCAAAACAAAGCAAAAACACCACCCGAAAATAATCCCGCAACCATCTCACCGCATACACACATACCATACACTGTACACAGACACATACGGAGAACAATACCTCCGGAACCTTAATTCCCATCTTCCCTCCCTCCCATGTAACCCACACATACCCATCCATCCATACCCACATCCAAATTCCAATTTTTTTTTTTCAAAAGAGGAAAACTTCTAGAAGACGCTATGGACATTCTTTCATTTACTCCATCCATCGTGTTGGCATCTTTTCTAGCGTATTACTTTATCGGGGTTTGATTTACTTGGGATCCTTGTTTGTCCTTTTTTTCTTTTCTTTTTTCTTCTCTCGTCGCACTTTCGACTTTTTCGGTGTTGTGGTGATTTTTGGTAGGTACTAGGTAAGTAATCATGAGTGGCCACTGGCGAGGCTGTCCTCGGTCTCGGTGTCCGGTTACAATGTTTTGTTTGAGGAGGTGAGGTAGGGAAGAGGAGGAGAGGAGGGAATTCGAAGGAGGGTTTCGGGGTGGCCGCGTTGTGGTGGGGATGGATGGGTGACCTAGAGGTTGGATTGTGAGGATAAGGATGAGGATGAGGATGAGGATGGTCAGGTTAGCTGGCCCTAACGGTTATTAGGGATTTGGGTTTCGGGATTTGGGATTGGGATTGGGAATTGGATTGAGATTTAACTGATGGATTCATTAATCGATTCATTGAGTAATTAAGTAATTGAATGGACGGACAGATAGATAATATCTTTTAAACTTCAACGCTCTATTCTAAACAATAATGCATACCTACCTACCTAGACAGAGACCAGATACTAGACGGCTGAAAAAGTACCTATGTACTCTGTACTCTCTACACGCTAAACTAAGCTCCATAACGGCGTCAATACCGAATAGAAGGTTTAGAAAAGATATACTCAGCGCTTACTTTCACCTCAGCTCCATACTCTACGCAGTACTCCATGCCTGTACACCCGTTCGTCATCAGCAGGAAATTTAGTCGCACATATACACTCTCCTTATTTATATATTAAAATGGTTATGGGATATTTTAGGTTATGAAGAGGATTAGATCGATCAGGGTAGAAGGTCATGGATGAGGGATGAGGGATGGGGAATGTAACGGTGGGAGTTTGATCTGGTATTTGGAAGGTTTTGGTTGGTATGGTAAGGGCAGGATAGGATAGGATGAGGGGTTCAAGTACTCCGTAGGGTGTCTGATCTTGGAACCGGAAAGGGAGGATGCAGGAGCTGCGATGATATGTGTGTATATGGGTTTTGATACAATATGTAAGTAATACGAAAGAACAGCAAGGTATAAAACAAGCATAGGATCGTAATAGGCTAATATCTCAATATATATATGTTACATAGGTAGTAAGAGAAGCGACTGGATATGTGAATCCTGACTGGTCAAAGATGAATACTATCGATCCGTGGTTGCCGACCTTCTGAGTATGGTTAGGGCTTGTGTTACGGTTACAGTACCATCTATCTATGTATGGTTTGGAGTGGTTTGAAGAATGAAATGGAAGGAAAGATGCCGGTGTTACAACTTACGTGCATGCATGGGAAGAATTGGTTTGATGGGCTGGGCTGGGTTGGGTTGCGGGGGTTAGTTGGTTTGTTGATGATGATGATGATGGATGGATGTCTTGATATCTTGATTTTGGGGTCTGGATGGGGATTAATGGTGTTGGCTATTGTGTGTGAGATGATTTATATGTTTTATATGGCAAGCAATTAATGGTGAGGCTGGAAAGGCATCAAATCATGATGATGAGTGATCAGCCCAAGCCCAATGGTATGATTAAACTTTACAATCACCAATGAACCTCCAATTGGAAAGGAGAAAGATAGAATTCACTAAAGCAACTAGTAACTAACTGCACTCCGCAGAAAGCATAAATAACAATAAAGATCATCATCTCTCAATACTATATCAACATCGGCACTTCGATTTGGAATTTCCACACTCCGGCAGATGAAGAACCATTCGTAAGAAAGATGTGCATGTACTTGATAAATCTTAAATCATCAAAAATGAGGGGGTAATCCTTGAGTTATTGTGGCTCATCTTTGATCATCGGACTGTGATTAGATAGAATGATGTGATGATCTTCGAGACCATCGGTGATGATGTACGGCTTAACTCGATGAGGAGCGTGCGGGATTGGGTTGTGGGGTGTTACTTCTTATTTGTAGTGTGAGGAGTATGAGGAGTGTGAGGCTTTATCGGTACTTGAGGTTATTTGAGAGTGTTTATGTTTTGTAATTGGAAGATGAGAGAGAGGAGAGAGAATATTATCGTAGGTCGGTGCTAGGAGAAGGAAGTTTATGGATGGTGTACTGGATGGAGACTGGAGTACTCTACTCTACTTGCTAAGGGATACACGGAACTTGCCTTGTGTGATCATGTAGGAAGGAGGAGAATAGGTTTGGGATGGGAGGACAGATGATGTTATGGTGACACGAGGACTTGCGTGTTCTGCAGAAGAGATTGGAACTTGGAAGCACGGAAGAGATAAAAGGAACGGCACGATAAAAGTTTGTATGTATGTATATCGTGATCCATTTCCCCTTTCTTTCTCATTTCTTTGGCTAGTCAGTCCGTCGTAGTCGTCGTCGCACAATTCCAAGCATAGTTAGCATAGCCTTCTTGAATGAAACGGCACCAACAAACGACAAACCGTATGTATAAGCATATGGTTGTTCATCAAGGTTCAAGAATCAAGAATCAAGAATCAAGAATCAAGAATCGGATTGCGCTCTTAAAGAATTCCGACCGTTCAAAATCAAATAAACTCTCCGTCTCTCATCGGGATATCCTAGTAAGGAAGTCACATCACGTCACAGGTTCATACCAGCTACCTTATTCCCTGAGCATCTATGAGACTACGATCTTGGATTGAAAATCTTAAATCTTAATAATTAATTCTCCTGATGTTTAGTAATAATAAGCTCCATCTATTTTCTTCTCCTCCGAAAATCAGTCGCGCAAAACCGCAACGCCGCAAACAGCCAAGTGATGGATCATGGAACGATTCGTCCATTGGCAAGAGTAAAAGTCCATGTTTGCCAAGAGAATTACCAAGACCTGAGAGTAAGAGCCAAGAATTCTCACTAACTCCGTTCTTCCATCACCGCTACATAATCCTGGCTTATTAACCATGCTCATTGCTCATTGCTCATCATTTGAAAACAGCTTTGGGGTATGGAAAGAGTAAGGGAAAAGGAAAAAAGAGGAATGATGAGGACTTGCCGCTTTAATTATGATTCAGAAAGACAAGGTTGAGATCCTTACCAGTGCATTAATCTATATCCCTGACAAAGAAGCATCGGTGGATTTCCATACTAAACCTAATTGAAGCCAGGCACATGTTTCCTGAGTTTCTTGAGTGTCTTTTTCCGTTCTGAACGCATGCAAAAGCCGTGATTGGTTAAATAGTCCGTTCCATTACAAAGAAATATGACATTTCATTCGATGGGCGTAAACGTGCCCTCCCTCGATTCTTCTAGTGCTTTTCTAGCGTTGTGGGTCTTGGATTTTATTCCCCTTAGCTGATTTAGCCTTCTCTCTTGCTCTTTTAAAAGAATCATTAGTGGATTCAATACCGTCTCAGATTCGCAGGCAATAAATTAATAATCCAGCCAACTAACCTCACGCCATGGTTTAAGTAGAAGTTCCAGAAGTCTTTTTTTTTTTTATGCTGGATTTATTTTCAATTTATCCCTTCTAATCCCTACCAGTCAGTCTCTCGGGCCAACGAAATAGTAAAGGAGAGGAAAGATCTTCATAATATCATCATCATACCGGTATCATAAAGTATCAAATTGTATTGTCGCTGCTACCCATTGTCTAGGTAGATACTTAGCATCTAAGGGGGTGGAAGAGGCATATTATTGTCATCAGACAGATCATAATTATCAAGTGAGGAGTGAGGAGTGAGGAGTGAGGAGTGAGGAGTGAGGAGTGAAGACTTAACCCCTTCAACATAACAACAACAATTATCATCGACCCCGTTTTACCTGACGACTTAACAAATCGTTCGGACTTCAATCAGTGATTATCAACAAATACTACAAAATTGTATCACCACTTCCGTCACACTTATCCACTTTCCTCAAACCATCGCAACCGACTCACGATTACAGTACTAAATAAAATCAACCTTGAATCCACACCACATCACTGGCCACCTTGACCAAAAATCACTCCTTTTGTACTAAACAACGGAATAGTGCAAGACAAGAGCGAAAGAGCGAAACAAACTTCACAAGACATACATACCGTACCGTTCATAACTACTCTACACCTACATCTACACTCTCTTGCCCTTTCACTTAGAAAAATCCAAAGAAAGCGATTGATTGAGTGACTGATTTGTACGGGATTGAATTCAATATCCATCTATCAATCATCAACCCAATTCATCAATTCGTTCGTCCATTAATTATTCCTTGATCTTAGCATAACTCTTCAAAATTCATACATCTATCTCCTGGGCCCCAATACCAACCTCGTGTTCAATCTGCAAAAGAGACAAACTAGATCTTTTTGGGGTTTACCGATCCTATCCCAATACATACCCATACATGCCCACCCATCTACATATCGACACCGATCCATACAGATCCACCTTACTCCACTACCCACAACGCCAGACCCACAATTCACACCACTACTCCGTACACCTCCTCCCTACCCGTACACATCCATCCATCTACACACACTTTTCTTCTATCAAGGATCATGGTTATGATATCCTAAGAGAAAGAGAAAAGGAAAAAGAAGGAAAGTCCCTGGACCAGGACTAGGACCCATCATGCTAATCCTTAGCGGAACGATCCATAATTCTCACCTACTTTGACTTTTCGCGTTCTACGACTACGAATCCCTTTCCATCGGTAACCCTACCTACTATCGACTATCTGCTACCTACTTACTGCCTACATACTCCTACAGCCGACAGCCAGCCATTCAGCCATTTTTACTTTTTGTATAGGAGGAATTGTTCATCCTGTTTCTCACTACCGTCAAGGGAATTTACTTTATTTCCCATTCGCAGATCAACAAAAGTCCGAGGATTTTCCCCATAGTCTTAATTCGATATCATTCATTTTCATAGATAGTCTACACCAATATCCATCCACAAACACACATACACCTCGCATACGAAAAGGGAATCTCCAAACATCAATATCAACATCAACATTAACATCAACATCAACATCAAAACAGCAATCATCAATTTCATCATCGTCGTCCAACTTTCAACAATTACAATACAAGAACAACACGATCTCTTTTCCTTTAGATCCCTCTTTTTCAACCCAATAATAATACCACATCGACTTTTTATATCCCTCAATATCGAATCTCAAACAAGAAAGAACTTATTCAATTGATCTATATCATCTTGCGCATCCTCAAACTTGACAGTCCTGTCAAAGCCCTCATTTTAAGCTTCCATCTAATTCAACACCGCCTCCACTTATCAGAATACGACATCACCGAGGTGATTATTTGGCAAAGGAAAGTCTAGATTTGTTATATTGTTTTCGGAAATCGGATCAAGTTTTCAGCCAATTATTATTAAACTGCGACTGTACTTATTACTCGATTCTATTTGGCTGTTTATTTACTTCTAATATTCGAAGTTTTGCTTTGGCTTAGACTTCATCCATTCCCTCTAACGCACGACTCAACTTCAACATATATTTGGACGGACAAAAAAAAACAGAACAATCTATTCCTAGACTTTCAAAGCCTCAGCCTGATCTGAATTATAGAAAGGTCACATTTGTATTACCATACCATCACCGCATTACGAAGAACCAAAAGGAAAAATCACAGTTTCATTCAGCCTCCTCCCATTGCGACCTTGTTTCTGACTTGGAGACACAACATTTCCGAGCTTCGGAGTCCCGTTTACAGCAGAAGATCAATTGCCACCACCTTCTGCAGTTACCCATTTTGTGATCCAGCACACACTTGTTTGATTTGTTGGCGTGTTTGGGATAAGCACCTGGTCATAATTCGGCACTCTGCGGAAACCTGCATCTCACGAGATTAACGATTAGCTTTTATTCCACGCGGGGTTCATCGAATTGAGTTACTGTGCCTTGCAGCAAACAACCGTTTTTGACACGACGTACTTCATTTAATTTGTTTCTGACAAATGAGCGGCACACGATAGCAACTTACTTTTCTCTTCTTCACCGATCAATTCTACGAGATTGAATAAGTGGAATATTAAATTCGTCTACCATCATCAGCAGTGGGAGCATAAAGGGGTATACACATCACGAATAGTTATCGATGAGATATCTTCGAAGCGCGATGAGAAAATCGAAAATAAGAAAACCTCCACCATTATACGTCCAAACGTATTCTAGGGAATCCTCGCCGCGTTGTTCATCCGTCCTTTCCGACTGCGACGCCGACGACGAAGGCTTCATGTCGTCGGGGGAATTCCTGCCATCATGCTCGAAGCCTTTAAATCATTCAATGCCCGGTCCTTATTGTCCAAGGCGACCAACATTACAAGAGGTCTTATCGAATGCTGCACCACCACCATGGACTTTAAGCGCTTTCATGGCATACCTGTCACAAAATCATTGCCTGGAAACTTTAGAATTTACGATGGATGCTACGCGATACAAAAATCATTACCAGACGACATATGGTAGGGATCCATATTCACCATTATCTCCAACCGATCAAGATTGCGAATATGTACGAATGTTATGGCGAAAATTGTTGGATGCATACATTGCGCCAAATGGACCACGAGAAGTGAATCTACCTTCTGATGTCAGGGATCGATTATTGGATTTACCAAATGCATATGATGCACCGGACCCAAGGGAGTTGGATCAAGCTGTTAAGATCATATTTGAGTTGATGGATGAATCTGTACTAGTTCCATTCTTGAACTCGATAGTTCCTCCGTCACGTGCATCGGAATCTAGTCCTTGGGTCTCGAGTGAGTCATTTAGTGATACCACTATGACTGAATCCTTGGACGAACGAGCCTTGTTGTCGCCTGGTCTATCACGCGCCAGAAGAGAAAGCCCACCTCCCAGTGGGGATAAGACTTTTCATTCCCATAATCTTCCATCACAGCGTTCATCTCAACATTCACATCTTACTGCTGCATTAGGTCGCGCAACTTCTGCCCGCTTATCAACATTTATCTCTGGATCTTCAGGAACTTCATCTGTCGAATCCGAAAGTCTTACGGATGATACCGAATCACCGTCTTCCCTGGAGCCCATGACCCCGCCAACGACTCCTCCCACTTCGGATACTGGTTTTGTAAGCGACTCACCTGATCCCAGTCCACGTCATTCTCGTGAAGGAAGTGTTAGTTGGAAGAAGATGGGTGCCAAACTCGGTTTCAAGAAAAGTCGATCTTCCCATGGATCGACAAGCATTTCGCGCCCTGGCAGCGGAAGCGATGATCATAGTGGTAGTCAACCATGACGGGAAGAGGCCTCGTCATCACTTTCTGATGCTTTTTCTAGCATTCCTTACCCAATGAATGGGCCTATGGAAAATCCCATAGATGCCTTGATCTTGACAAATGAGATATCACAGTCTCACGTCGATAAAACGCTGAAAGCAACTGAAGGAGTATCACCACCCATGGTCGCGCATCCTGGTTCAACAGTAGATATTTCTGGACGTCGACCTTCACTCGTTACAGCTATGGCGTCAACACATGTTGACAACGACGAAAAGGGATTTTCATTTGGGTCTTCTAGGTCTCACAAAATTATTAAATCTTGGGGGATTACGGAAGAGGGTAGGAATATGAGTAGAGGTGTTGGAGGGGATGACGTGGCCGCGAAATTGGGGTCATATTTGAATGAGAAGGAAAATGATCATGCGAAAATGATGCAAGTTGCGGGCTTGCCATTTTATATCCCAGCAAAGGTGCCTGAAGAGCATGAGCGAAGAAAATCATCAGAAATGACAGTTACCGATACTGAAGTTGACGCGGATTTTGATTTCGAGGAGGTTAATGGTACTTGGATATCAGCACATTCATCAGCTCATGCATCGACGACAAGTCTAGCAACGACCGATTCATCTGCCAGTACAATTATGGATGATCGATCTCACGACGATACTTTCGCAGCCGATACAAGCATTGCATGTTCTTCCGGCAGTAGCATCTATTCTAGCTCAGCTGCTAGCATCAGTTCCTGTACAACTGGTACGAGTACTACTGACATTTATGGATGGGAAGAAGAACTTGAACGAAAGAGTAGTGAAGGTTCTCCCTCCTGGGATCATCGAAGTGAACTCGGAGCAGCCATGAGACGTCTTCCAAGCGGTGGTAGAACAATAGGTACTCGTGGTGGACATACAGGAGGACTTTCACAATTTTCTTACAAACGAGCGGATGGAAAGAAGAAAAGTTTGTTGTATCGCGTATTGAACATTTCACCACCCAAGAGGTTGAACGATGATATGCCTTCGGTCCCAATAATGCCTTCTTCCTATCCGATACAGAATACTGCGGTTGAAACGGCACCTTGATATTTCCATTCTTGAACAAATATTTTCACACACATTTGGCAATTCCAAAGCACGAGGCACGAAATTGGAGGAAGAGATGAAAATATGACATGGCATATGGCATATGGCATATGGCATATGGCATACATTTGGCGTTTTACTTGTATTAGCATGTATGGGTCTAAGAATTATTTCCATGTTCACATTTTTTGGTGGCAATCATTTCATTTTTGTTATTGTTTCATATCATATCAATGTCTGTCACGATAAGGGATGAAAGAATTTTTGGATGGAAAATTGCGCGCGCTTGCTCTTTTTATTTTATTTTTCTTTTCTTACTCACAACATGGCAAAACGGCATGGAATGGTATGGTTGGTTGGTTGGTTTGGTTGGGTCGGGGATTCAATCTTATGTTAACGATGGGATGGTATGGGATGGATTGGGAAGGCGTAGAATAGAATTTTTTCATCTCGAGAGTTTTTTGAGCTTCCTTCTTTCTTTCTTTTATGATGGGTATGATCTATGTATGGCATTGGATTGGATTGAATGGGTTGGTATGGGATGATACATGGTTGTGGCGTTTTCTTTTCTTCTTGAAGATCGCTTTCTTATGGGATTGGATTGGATTGGATTGTATGGATGGGATGGGATGGAAGGGATGGATGGATTGAAATGGGAAGAGGGTCGGTATTCTGCGCAGTTTTGTTGTGTGTATGTATGTTGTATAGGTTGCATTGTTTGAGGGTGGATTGATAGGGGAGGGAAAGAGTACAGTATGATTGATTATACGATAGTCGTTAGTCTGCTGATAGGTGTGTATAAGATAGAATGGATGGATGAAGAAGGAGAAATTTGTATATTTTCGATAGATATTTAAGTGGGGTATTATACTATATACAACTTGTATAGAATTGATATTGTTATGACTCTTTATTTGAGTATTCGAGGTTATGATTTGTGATGAGTTATTTTGTCGTTTTGAGATGTGTTAGGTTGGGCTGAGATGGGATGAAATAATATAAAATTGAATAAAATCAAGTATTTTATAAAATATTTAAAATTAAATATATCAACGAATTTAGCATTTAATAAAAAATTATTAATTGATAATTTTATTTAAAGATTTTAAATAAAAGTATTTTAAATAGTAATGAAAAAAAAAATTAAGATATATGATATATATATATATATTTTAATAATTTTTTATTTAATTTTTTATTAATAGATAAATTATTTATGATATTCTGTTGGTATCACTTCGGTGATACTGTACTATGCATAGTAGTATTTCTGTATTTATTTATGGATGGTTATTATCTATCTAGAGAAGAGAGATCTATTTATATTGAAAGGGGTACAGGCTAGAATGTACTAGTCGTACGGCTCTCTTTGTGTACGGCTCCCTTTCAAGGTTGATCATATGATGTACTGATATATTCATTTACAAAAGAAATTATATCGAAATATCTATTTTTGAGGTTTTAGGATTTTTTTATACTTTGTACAAATAAGAATAGAAGATTATATTGTAAAAGTGGTAGGTCGAGATACGTGCGTCCCGATAGCACGCTGTGAGGAGGGAATTGGAAGAGAAAGCTGAATTAGATTATATTGTAATATATTACTTATAGGTAAAACGGGGTTCATAATGGTTTTGGGATTGATACTATATAGATTCAAATATATATATATAGAAGATTGATTATTATAAAAAAAAGAAGCAAAAAGCTTTTCTTTTATATCTAATTATAAAAGGTTATATGATTGATTAGTTAAAACCTTTATGTATTTAACTTATAATTCCAACTTTCTCACAATATAAAGATAATTAAAATGTATAGTACATTCTAACAGCTGGATGAAAGATGGTTGATTGGACTATCACCTGGTCTCAAGATGATTCTACAAATCCCTTTATTTGAGCCTAGAACAATGAACATTAGGTTGTCTATAAGAATGGTATATTCACTTATTGGTTTCATTTATTGGCTAATTTCATCTATAGTATAATACAGTCATTGTAATCCATAAAAAAGATAACCAAGTTTCCTTTTGTTGCATATCTACAGAAGGAGTGTTGTCCATTCATCTATGCTCGAAGCTACCAGCCACCTTCAAATTTATCTGCCTCCAGGCTCCCTCATTCAACTACCACATTGCTATTCGCAGCATTTTGATTTATTCTAATATCTTACTTTCATCACATGAAACGAGTAAAATTCAAAAAGATAAAAGTGAATAGCATACGGTAGTCCCAGGTTACGACACTAGCACCTGTTTGGCCCGCTTAGTCTATTAGCTTCTAGATTTCAAGATTGTTATTATGGATTCTGAAGCGAGTTTGCTTTATATCTCAGGTATAAAATCTCCAACAGCTTCAGAAGATTCCTGATGTACAAATCCTCAAAGTGCTAATAGAAAACTCCAGACTCAGCACAACCCATATTCAATTCAACCAACAGCACTGTGGTAAAGTCACAGCCATGGATTCTTCTAATACACCGCAAATGCGCTCCGGTCTGTAATTTCTTTCAAATTTCCTATTGCAAATATCTATATCCACATGTACTAAATTCTGACCAACATTCAAGCAGCAGACAAAGTCAAACTCAACACACCCTCACAAATACCCCTCCCCGTAACACCGGTCTCCACACTAAAACTCAGAGAAGCAACTCGTGTTCCTCTTCCCGAATCACCTATTCCAATAGCCTCTATGCATAAGCTCAAGATCTCAGATCATGTTTCCCTTCCCGAGACACCTCTACGCTCTTCAGGTATGAAGTTTCCATTCCTCATTCTTCCCTATCTCTAACAAAGAGCTATTTATAAAGATTCTAATACGAATTCAGTTGTCAAGAATCTCGTATTAAACGATGCCAATATTCCCCTTCCAGAAACACCAACGCCAGAAATTTCCCCCCTCAAACTCGAAGATGCATCTAGAGTTCCACTCCCCGAGACACTCCAATCTTCTGCCGGTATGAAATCTTCCCTCACCATTTCCGACATTGACACACATAAATACAAATCATAGATCCCCAGCTAACAATTATCACAGTACCCGATAAACTCAAACAAGCCATTCAAACCCCCCTCCCCTCCACACCTCCCCAATCCAAATCCCAAACCCAATCCACCAAATTCACCGACCAAGTCATGTCGGCCTCCAAAAGCACCCTCAAACGCACACTCGACAAATTTTCCGAATCCAACATCGTCCAACTCCGAGAAATCGTCGAATACGGATTCTTATATCCGCTTGTACATAGTGGCAAAGTAAGCACACTACAGACGATTGGATTTGATGAAATTGATCATAGTTTGAAATGGATGGCCTTTAATGAGTATATTCATAAAAAAGCTTCGATGGATGAACTTCAGGGTTTTGTCATTGAGTTGGGTAATAGTGATGAGGTGCTTAGGAGGGAGATACATGAGTATTTGGGCGTGTGTGCTTTTATTGCTAAATATACTGAGGATTAGAGATGCGTGGTGGGAATGGATGTATGTTGAATTTATTGGGCTGGCCTATACGTGCATACACTTTGTTGGGAGAAAGGGTAGCTTCGAGCGTTGAGTCAGGAATGGTTCAGCGGGAGTATGGACGTTGATATACAGGGAGCTTGATATCGGTGGGGGTTTTATTCATGAATGCGAAATTTTGCATAGAGGCAATGGGATCGGTATTCATTAGAGGTAGATGATATCTTATAGGCAAAGAAAGCAACGAATAATTGATTGCTAAAGTTCATGTGTATCAAATTGCATATAGATAAGTGAAACATATGTGTTTATATTATAATTAAAGTGTTAATAATCGGGGTCTGAACTAAGTCTAATACTTCACTTTCAGACCACCTTTGTTTTAGACCACCTTTGTTTTAAATTATCTTTTCATATCTATTATAGAATATTATATAATATAAGAATCCTGAAATCAATTTAATTCATTTTTAAATATAATATATTATAAAGGGAATTAATTGATATCAAAAGAAAATATTAATAAATTTATTATAAATTTGTTATTTTATTAATAATTTGATAATTTAAAAAAAAAATATATAAAAAAAATTAAAATTCCAGACGATATATAAATAAAAAAGAATATAATATAAAATATTAAAAAATTATATTATTATCAATATTTATAAAGCATTCAAAAACCTACTAGCACGACATTTATCATTATAAATCAATATAGCAAATTATATAAAAACTTATAATTCTTATTAAAATCATCATAACGAATGTAAATCCCATCTCATCCCATCCCATCATCCTATTCTCCAACCAGTACTATATATATCCATATACTCATATAAACATATAGAGCCCAACCGTAGTCCCAATCTCCATCCTAAGCAAGCCATTCATAGCACACACTATAACCCTACAACATAGCCATACCCAGAGCCAAAACACCCATGAAAATTGCGCTAATACTCATACCATTAATACTAGCCGCAGACTTAGACTTTGCAGTCTCGTCGGAAGATGTAGTTGATTTTGCTGTTGCATCTATTTGGTTTCACTGATTAGTCTTTACTCTCATCTCAGCTCATCTCAGCTCATTCAACCTCATCCCATAAAAGATCCATCTCATAAATCTCCATCCTATTCATCCATATCCCACCAAGCAGAAAACAAGGACAGAACAAAAAGACTCACCACCAGTAATCTCAATCCCCATACTCATACACTCAGCCATCAACGTCGAATTCGCCTTCATCATCATAACCTGCATTTCCGCCACTCCAGCCGCAGCCTTAATATCCGCCTCCTTTGTTGCATTCCCCTCAGCAATCTTACTCAACTTCTTATCATCCATACCCAAATTTGCAAATTTCTGAAGCGCAACCATCATTTTACATTCGTCAGCCATGAAGACCGCGGGACAAGCTGCTTGCAAGGTAGCATTCGATTGTAGCATTTGAAGTTTGGCTGCTGCGTCTGAAGCCTTGAGTTCAATTTTTGCTACTTTGGTCATGTCGTTGTTGACGGTGGCTGTGACCAGTGTTTGGTTGGCGGCGAAATCGACGAATTTTTGGAGGAGGAATTGTTGCGTGCAGGAGGAATTGGTCATGATTGCTGCGTCGATGACGGCACAGTTCGTCATGAGGGTGGTGTTGGATTGAAGCTCCGTGAGTTTGACGGAGGCAGCAGAGGCTTTAGCTTGGAGAGCCGCGACTTTGGTTGTGTCATCTTTCAGGTGGTTAGTTAGGATTTCGGGGATATAAGGGCTTAAAGACTTGTTGCATTAGGATAGAGAAGGATAACATACTTCCGGTGATGGCCGCAACTTTAGCTGGGTCGTTGGCGAATTTAACAAATGAGTTCAAACCAAGCATTTCTTTACAAGTTTGTTCCTCAGTCAGGGTACCATTCTTACCCTTAGCTGCTACGGCAGTAGATAGAAGTAGGGTGACAAAAAGGGTTGAGTATTGCATGATTGCTAAAAGATAAATAGAACCGGTCTAAAATGAAATAAAATGTATAGTAAGCGGACCTGCCGAGAAGTTCAAAAGTATAAGGGAGTAAAGAATATATTAACGGTAGAGTAAGAAAAAAAAACATGTACGAGAGACTTTCGATACTTATATGAAGGCTTGATACTCATGATACTTAGTAGTACATTGTATGGATCAATTATTCTACCTATGTGAATCCAATTCACGTTTCGGATGCCAAGCAACCATGAATAGATGACTTGTTCTGGGACCAGATGAAGCCCTGGATTGGTTGTGATGATTTGTAAGTGCTCGAGCCCATTGATTGTAACAATTCATGCTTGGGAATAATAGAATCATTCCGTTTCGCTGACGAAACTTCGATTTTGTAACTGGGATGAAAACTTCAGAAAACTTCAGAATATTGAGCTTTTTAAACTTTCGGACCATCTCTCTTGTAGGCCTATATGCACTACAAAGTTTTTCCGATAGTTTGTTTGCGGAATAATGTAACTGGTCATTAATCCCCTTCCAGTATACCTTGCAGTATTATGGGGTTTTTGGACATAGGAAACGTTGATGAAATTACGCGAATCAATTAGCTCACGCTTTGATGTACCTCAAGTTGTGAGTTATTTGTTGTTTCAGATCATCGTTGAAGTATCAATGCGTATAATGATGAAAGAGACACTTGTCATTGGGTATCTACTAGTATATGAACATGCAAAAGAAACGTTGTCCATGGATCAATTGTCCAATGTTGAAGCGTCAAAAAATCAAAGTGGGAACATCAATCGGAAGTAAGCATTGTACTGGGAGATGTCAAAGTTTCCTTCTCCGTTCCTTTCTCCAATCCTCGAATTTGTGAGAGAATAATTTACTGAACCACTTTAGCGGTTCCTCAGCAAGAGCTTGAGGGAACTGATTCCACTCGATTTCATGTATCTTTCTATTCACCAATTTATCCCCGATTTGGACCATTTCGCCCTTATCCTTATATTGGACATCTGCCTCGATGATAACCCCATCCCGTGCCGTAAAGTCTGCTTTGAACTGTATCTCCACATCAGTAACGTTGACCGTGTTTCAGTTTTCCGTGGTTAACTCACTTTCGGTGGCAAATCCTTCGGGAGAGGATGTCTCTTATCTGGATCTTTATTGGATTGATCTGATGAGAATATGAATAGAGGAGTTTGTGAGAATATCCAATCTAAGGACTAATTATTTCCCAAACAGTTAGCTTCAGTCTTCGAAAGAATCACCAATTGCTTACGGTAAGCTCTTCAATACCCTTGGCAATTTCAGGGACTACTTTGAGATTGTCACCGACGATAATGGGTTCATGAAGATCATACATCTTGCCAAACTCCTCTACCACTGCATCCTCAAATGCCTTGTTTTTGACATTAGCATTTGAAACCGAAGAGCTAACACTTTCCACACCACGAGCCGTGATAAATCTCAATGCAGGAGACCTCAAATATTTGAAAATGTTTGCAATGTTCGGAGATGCTAATAAACAGGTCCCATGGTGTAGAGCTCTCTCTTTCGTTAACTTGTATGCCGAACCGGATACTTTGAATGATCTGAATCCTCCGTCGCCCGATCCGCGTGGCCTCAATACTATATCATGTCGAACATTAACCATAGCGCGATCAACACCAAGGTTATGCAAAGCTCTCACTACCATTTCGGCATGCTTATCGCGATGAAATTGCGAAGTAGGACATATGACACAGTAATTGACATTTCCTGAGTCGTGAAAGACAGTTCCTCCACCTGAACGACGTCGAACCAATGATATATCTCCAATTGTCGACTTTTTGAGTAGGCTGAGATTTACTTCTTTCCAAGGGTTTTGATTTCGTCCAATGACTACGCAGCGTTCGTTGGTATAGAGAAATAAGACGGTAGAATCTGCGGGAGTATTCTGCAGAAGATAATGTTCAATGGATAAGTTGATGAATGGGTCATTCGTTCGTGATATGTATATTTGAGATTTGTTGATTGGATTGGTAGCCTCTTGGACGAATTTCGATATGGATACACTGCTGGAAGTGGAAACATTTCTTCGAACAAAGAAATTTTGTGATATGGTACTATGTTGTATAAACTGGCGCACTGATCTTAAGCCCCTCGAAGGTGCCATTGTTTTTTGATACATTTGAAATATCCTCACATAAGATACTTCGGATGTTGAGTTGATCGTTTCTCTCTTCTCTCACACAAGATTCGGAGATAGTTAAAATATTTCTATATTTCTTGGTCTTTACTGGGGACTCTTCGGACAACTGCAAGGGCAAGGACGCTTCATTCTCACGTAATCATCCCACATCGTCCGACGAATCAATCGGGTCCGAGCTCGGAAAGAGTCATTTCATTCATTCAACTTTTTGGAGAAAAAGTTACATATACCGAGTAAAAAGCTGTTGATATCTTCTTTGCTTTGGATCTCCCATATTCATATTCATATTTCATATCTTTGAATACCTCCTTCTCTTCAACATGTCTACATTCGGTCAATATTTCAAAGTTACTACGTACGTACACACTCAATTCAGTTAATTGATTCATCATTACCCAAGTTCGATGACAAAGTTACCCCTCCATCTCAAGATCAACATTGCATACTAACTTCTCTTCCTCTTCACAGCTACGGAGAGTCGCATTGTCGCTCTGTAGGATGTATAGTCGATGGAGTTCCACCAGGAATGGAGCTCACAGAAGCAGACATTCAACCTCAAATGACTCGTCGTCGTCCAGGTCAATCTGCCCTTACTACTCCCCGCGATGAAAAAGATAAAGTCGAAATTCAATCTGGAACGGAATTTGGAATTACCCTTGGTACACCAATCGGCATGATTGTTCGTAATCAAGATCAGCGGCCACACGATTATGGAAACAAAACAATGGATCTCTACCCTCGCCCTTCTCACGCAGATTGGACATACCTCGAGAAGTACGGTGTCAAGGCAAGCAGTGGTGGTGGAAGAAGTAGCGCAAGAGAAACAATTGGTAGAGTGGCAGCAAGTGCAATTGCTGAAAAATACCTTAAACTCGCACATGGAATCGAAATTGTCGCATTTGTCTCTTCCGTTGGCAGTACGCATATGTTCCCACCCACCGCCGAACACCCAAGTCCTTCCACAAACCCCGCTTTTCTCTCACTCATTCAAGACATAACACGAGAGCGTGTTGATGAATTTGTTCCGGTCCGCTGCCCTGATACCAAAGCATCTGAGAAAATGGCCGAAGTCATCGCAGAATATAGAGATAAACAAGATAGCATTGGAGGAACTGTTACTTGCGTTATTCGTAATGTTCCATCCGGCCTTGGCGAACCTTGTTTCGATAAAATGGAAGCAATGCTCGCTCATGCAATGCTCAGTATTCCTGCCTCCAAGGGTTTCGAAATCGGATCCGGTTTTGGTGGTTGTGAAGTTCCGGGATCCAAACATAATGATGCATTCATCCTTGCTACTGAGGTTCCACCTCTGGAGACCGGAGCATCAAAGAATGGAATCCCACGTCCTAGATTAACAACCAAGACAAATAACTCTGCTGGTATTCAAGGAGGAATCACAAATGGTGCACCAATTTACTTCCGTGTAGCATTTAAACCCGCTGCCACCATTGGTCAACCACAAGAAACCGCTACTTACGACGGTACTGGTGCTGGTATCTTGGAAGCGAAGGGTCGTCATGATCCATGCGTTGTTCCCCGAGCAGTACCTATTGTAGAAGCCATGGCAGCTCTAACAGTTATTGATGCATTAATGGCACAACAAGCTCGTCAAACCTCTAGAAGTCTTTTACCTCCTCTCAAGAACATTGTACCTGCGAAGTATACAGTAGTTGGTGGTGATGCTGCGAAGGAGAAGATGGAGATACAAGATAAGGGAGTTGCTGGTGGTATTAATGAGGAAGTTTTGAATGGATTAAATTAACTTATGTTTGACATACGATTTGTAAATAATTTTGTAGAATACAAGCGGTATATAGACCTGTTTTTTTGTTTTGGGTGTTTAAATTATTTGATTAACCTAGGGATAAAAAGAAGTTAACAATATAGATCCCAACTTTAACACTGATTAGTTGTTCTAAGTAACCGTCTGTATGAATTTGACGTTCTTTAAACAATGATAATAAATCTAAAAACTAAATATAGAAACTATCAGGGCAGAGAATAGACTTTAGATAACATGATATCTACAAAGGAGGAAAGAGCGCTGACTATGTGTGGTATGAATGCCTGAGCTAGGAAGGGGTTATAAACACGTGATAGAAACAAATCCTGTTAATAAACTTTATTTCTTGATATTATATTAATTATATAATATATCAAAATGAGAAAATTCTCTTTATTGAAAATAGTTTATATTATTTTGTATTAAATATAAATTTTAAAATTTAAAAGATCAACGCCTCCTCGCTTAACACTAAGTCTCTCACCTCTTAAAAAATCCATTCAAAAAAATCTATAAAAGAATTCTTATAAAAAATCAACAAAATTTGACAAAATTTTGACATCTAATAGATAGATTTGCATGGACTAGCGGCGAATCGAACGCCGGACCTCTCCCAAACAAGTTAATGCTAAGGGAACATTATACCACTAAACCACAAGCCCGATTTTGATATCTGTATCTGAGGTTTGAGATATATGTAGTACCGATCACCCCTGCTTTGGACTGGGGGTTTTATGGGGCTCGCTTGTGTGTGCACGGACTTGAGGGTGCCTCGTTGATTTTGAGATTGATTATTGTTGGTGTCACGATTCACGGTTTAGATTATAGTAGTAGAATAGGACAAGTGTCTTAGCTAATCGGTTGTAATGGGATAATTACTCTAGGGTATATTGTATCTTATGGTAGAGGTTTTTAAAAAAAAGCTTTTGGAACAAATGTTTCAAGAAAGGAAAGATCTTAGGATTAATTATATAATAAGAAGTCTTAAAAGTTTGAAAAGCTTTTGGGCTTCACGAAGCTCTTTTTCATTCATTAGTATAGTCAGGATAGTTTCATAGTTCAGGAGCTTCGTATTCAATTTAGTTATCAATTAGTTTATTTATATTCTATTTGATTTAGTAACGGATTCATTTTCAAATGAATAATCAGTGATTAATAGCCTTAACCCACAACTACCAACTATACGAACCTCAGGCAGTCGCTGCCTCGACCAGATCGTTACAATATCCATCTACCTACGGATAAATGGATAATCTGCGAATTGATAGATATCCGCAAATAATCCGCAAATTATTCGCGGGTTACCCGTTTATATTCTTCAACTACCCGCCCCACAAATGGATGATCCACGGGTTACCCTCCGAGGGTAACAATCCGCCCCGCGGAGCCCCGTTGCCCAGCCTAACCCCGGCTTTCCGACTCTTCAAGAGCTCTTTGCTTTTCATGGGCTGACTGTAGGTCAGCTATATTGCTTAGTGTTTGTGGATGCGTTCTTCCTTGTAGGTGTCTTCTTGCCAGTACTACTCGCGAAAACCATTTTTCTGCGTCTCCATACAGTTCCGAGTTCTGTAATATCTGAGCTACGTTCTGCAATCTGATCACTTCGCTCAATTTTTCTGTCATCATTTCTGAATAACCCCTTATCTCTGGATCCTTCTCCACCTCGTAATCCTTCCTCACCTCCGAATACTTACCCAATCTTAAGTGTTCCTTTGTGTCTGTATACACCCCGACTTCTGAGTTTAAAACATTCTGTTGCGAGTTCGAGGGTAAAAATGTTCCACGAACTTCTCGTACTGAGTATCCGATCTTCTCCTGAGGATCCTCCAAATCCCAAACAAGTAAAAAATCACTCGATAAACTTGTGAAAAATCCTAGAGACCAGTTTTTAACCCACGTATGAAAAGTATAATTCTTTAAGTCCACTTTCAGATCCGCTGTAATCATAATGACATCAAAGTGATCATTACATGGCCTAATTATCATTGGCCTTGAGATATCTTCTAGAAAACAGACTATATCGCCAGCTTGTATGTCCTTCCGTGCCGTTGGGAGTTTCCACTCCTGAATATCATACTTTCCATAGCGGGTGGCGAAACGGAGGAAATCGATCTCCAAAATTTGCGTGTGCTTCCAGGGAGTACGCCTTGCCGAGCGGACCGTGCCAAGAACACGGCCTTTGCTTTTGATCACTGCCATTCTCCTAGTCTGGCAAATATCCACAGATATTTTTTCGCAGAGAATGAACTTTACAAGCTGTAAAAATAGCTGTGCCCATGAAATTGTGTAGTCAGGTAATAAACCTTTTGATACAGGATTATCAGAGCTCATAGCGAGTAAGGCATACACTCTATCAAGGTCATCAGACGCCTGATGGGCATAGTACATTTCTATCAGTCCGACTAGCGGGCGGATGTTGAGGGAGTAATTATTTGAGCTACTCGTTGCACATTTAGGTCGGAAGATCGATTCCCTCATGAGGTAGGTCACAGAACGGACCAGGCTCTGCAGACCTGGATCAGCTTTGTAGTAGATCTCCAATGAAGCTAAACCTAAGCAGAACGCATGTCCGTCAATTTCCACAGAACCACACCTTATTAGGATATTTCGAGCTGCAGCAACTTCCTGTAGTACCTGGATCAACTTTTAGTAACATTTTTGTGCATTATTGAGCGATATTTCCTTACCCAAATGCGCTGAAACCATGGACGTTGAAGTAGTGCGAGAACTGCCATCTGGTTTATTCCGTTGTCTGAAGTAGTTTCAAGTTCGCCGATTGCAAGTTTTGCCAATTCTAGCCCTAAAGAAGATGTAGGTTGCTGGTCTGAGGGCATTATAAACTGCTCTATAATCTCCTCGTCCGGAGGGTTCATAAACTGCTCATCAAAGGAATTTGTAATATTAGATTGCCGTGCAGCAACGACAATTTCTTCAAGAGCCTGATCACTATCGTCCGCCGCCTCCCCAAGCCAGATGATCACACGACATGCTTTACTGTAAATTTTCGCCATAAGCTGAACTTGATGACCTCGCTCTTTCGGGTCTTTTTGATTGATACAAATAGCATCTATCCATATGATGCGTTCCAAAACAGGATCCCGAAGGCGTAATAGCGCGGCGTGAAGATTTTCCCTGACAATCAAATCCTGTCCGTTTACGGAAATGAAACGAGGATTATCTATGCCTCCCCAGGCATAGGACAACGCTTCGTACATATGAGTGCCACCTCTAATTGAATCATGTAGAGGATACACAAAGAGCCTACACGTAATCTCCGCGTTCTCATCTTCATGTGGCATCAGTCGAAGCAAACGAGTGCTGTCGAACCCTAATAAAAGCGATGAATAGAGGGACTGAGACATGGCGTAGAAAGCTCGTACACAGAGGAATTGGACTTGTATGTCATGAAATGTTATGGTGGACGGTCCCGGTGTCGTTCCTACACAAACAAGGTGGAGAGATTTGGGCTCTGGTGCGAGGATGTGATGAGTGGAATCTGATAAGTCCCTTTTTCAGCTACGTGGGGAATCGGCATGGCTATCATAGCCAATGACTATGAAATTCGCCCAAAACAAGATGGCCACCAGGGCTAGGCTGAGACCTTCTCAATAAGGAATAGACTCCAGCATAATCTTACATCAGATTGAGGGCGAAACGTCTTCGCCGCTTTTGAGATTCGCGTACAGAGTAAAAGCGGCAATGCTCTCTTCCTGCTGATGCGTAATTAACCGTCTACTCTCTCAGCCACCATTTTATAAATTTCAGGATACAACATGAATATAACATAACATATCATTCATGTGCATATCTCTATCTAGTTTTCCATGGATAGTAATCATATCTCATAACTAACTGTACTCATAACGAAGTACAAACAATACCAACTCTAAATCTTCCAAAAGTGTGAGCGAACTTGCCCAAATTCGTACCTAAAGCTAGCTATACCAATTCTAATCCGTCCCCTTAGGTCCAATACTTCTTCTTATATGTATAAAACCAGCTTGAAAAAATGAATACATCAATACAACCTTCACTGTATGTTCGAGCATACCTTCATGCCTTACTAAAACCACTTCCTAGAATTGCATTCCTTTCCACTTACTTCCATCTCACCTCCACAAACCAAAGTCAACCTTCTTCCTCTCACCTCACCTCCATTAGCCATCCCTCAAACCCCTCCTCATCTCCAAACATGTCCACTCCTCTTCCCCTATCTCCTCTAACCTCCTCCACCTCCCGTCCAACCTCCTCCTCCAAGCCTCCTTTCCTCTCCAAATCCTCCAACCTCTTAACCTCCACCCCCACACTCCTAACCGTGTGTCTCGACCCCTGACTCCCCATGCTCCAACCAGACTTTGCACTCCTCATACTATCTCTCCCGACACTCGTATCTCTTCGCATGAGGAAACCTCCCATCTCCCTTTCCCAATCTTTCCCATTCCACGTTCTAAACCTCTCAATCTGTTTAATAACCCCCTCGCCAATTTCCTGAACTTGTACTCTTATACCTGCACCATTACCTGATGGGCTTTCTTCTTCTTCTTCAATTATTCCATGACTGGACAGTACAGAACATTCTTTAACATGTACGGGACTTGGTTCTTTTGGCATGACCAAACAATCCTGATAGAACTCTGGATCACGAAAACTAATCATCGAGTCCTCAAATCGCGTATGATCAATCGTATCGTCGTCACTTAGAACCTCTTTCATGACGATTTGATCAATTCTGCCCAGCTCATCCCCAGAACCAAAATCAGATGAGCCATCCATATCATCGTCAATAGCGTAAGGATCCTTCGCTTTTCCCTTTTTCTTGGGAACAGGTGGCATATCCTCGTCGTCATCATCATCGAGCGCATATGGATCTTTTGCCTTCTTCTCTTTCTTCTTAGGCATTCCATCCTCGCCTTCACCACCTTTACCCTCAGCATCACCACCGCCACCACCCAAATCCTCGTCTTCATCCAAAGCATAAGGATCCTTAACCTTCCTCGCCTTCGGGCCCTTTTTCTTAACCGGCATCTTTGGTTCAGCCGGTTCCTCAGGCCCCGTACTAAAAATATCCAACAAATCACTGACACCCGCTTTACTTTGTGTCAAATCCGCCGCCTCATAATGCGGTTTAATCTGCGCCTTCTTGATGGCCTCAACTCTTTTTTTCTCTTCCTCCAAATCATCCGCTTCATCGTCTACCACTTCACTTGGTGGAGGCGGTGCTCTCATTGGCAATAATTCCAGTTCTGGGAATGGCACTTTTCCGTCCATAGTCATTGAACCTCTTCTCCCCAAGCTTCCAGTGTGAAACGCATGTTTCTTTTGTTCCCCTTCAATCCTATAATCCATCCAAGCAATTTTGATCTTCTGACTCCAACGCTTGATCCATGGTTCTGCAGCTTCAATTGCATCCAATTCCTCGTCGGATAAGGCGTTACTAGAACTGGGGTCGCTACTATTGCCAGTATTCCTACCTGGCCTTCTTCTCCTCCTTGTACCATAAGAATTTTCTGCTGTTCCCGCAACCTCCTTTCCTACTTTCAGTGCAGCAAAGTCCTTCGCTTCAACTAGTGCTTCCACGCCTGCACTTTCATGACCCCTAGCATTCCTCTCATGACTTGGGAATCTACACCAAGCTTTAGGAAACTGTTCAATATGATGGATCTTTGGTTTGCCCCTAGAGCCAAACTTTCGACTTTCATATTTAGATTTTGATGCTACTCCAGCCAATTCTGCCTCCCAATCGCCAAAAATGTCATCTCCATCTTGATTATCCTTACGCGCTTTCGATCTATCATTCACAGCGCCTTTGACTGCTTTCATCCAGACAGCAGCGGAATCATCTTGACTAGTATCCATTCTCCTCCTGTTATCCTCTCTACTTGGGGATCGATTTTTAGCTCGAGGGCCTCTCCATTGCGGTGCTCCTCCTTGAGGATTATCGCCAGGTTTTTGACCCCTTGGCTTTGGTGCAGCAATTGGAACAATTGCAGGTGCTGCCTTGGGACCTTTCTTGCCTTTTGGGCCGGAATCTTGATCATGATGACCCACATTGATATGGGGAATATGGGGCATATGAGGGGTCGGTAGATCGATATGAGGAGTATGAAGGAGTGATGCGGCGGCATCAGGTATATGAGGCGTAGGTAAATCAATATGCATCGAAGTGGCAATGCGAGCCATAGGTCCCGGTAAATGAATTTCTGGGGAATTAACATGCATCGAAGTGGCAATGCGAGCCAGAGGGCCAGGTGTGCGAGCATTCGATTTGTTGACACTTGGCGACTCAGGGACTGGCAATGAAATGTGTGGTATGGCAGGTATAGAGATTTTCCGCTGTGCCTCAATGGCGGTCATCTCCGAACCCAGACCTAACCTAGCATCTAACGCTGATGGTTTTCGACTGCCGGAATCAGCTCTACTTCTTCGACGATCATCCGCCGGACCGTCGTATCCGCCAATACTCGCAAGACGCTTGATCCTGCGAAATGCGGCAAATCTGCCTTTTACAGGAGTATCAATGGAATCATCAATGGTAGGAGTCTGCCGTCTCTCTATTACGTCCTTCGTGGACGTAGAGGCGCGTGTAGAGCTCTTTCTCGCTGGAGTTGTAGGAGTTGAGGCAAATCGGTACCCAAATCCTAATCTATGTGGTGGAGGAGCTAGTAATAGACCGTCTTCCAAGTCATCACGACTTTTTTTCAATGAGCAAGCCCTGACAAGTTTTTGAAAGGGAGATTTAGGTTGGGGGGTAAGGGAGATATCAAATTCTTCACGGAATTTGCTTGAAATTGGAGTACTTGGAGGTCGACGTAAGTCTGATGAAGCAAAACGTGCTTGAATATAGCTCAATTCTAGTTCTCGTTCTCGGAAACTAGTAGTTTCGGAAGCAAAGAGGGAGCTCTCATCAATCTGTCGTGCGGAGTATCTGGTCAAAGGGGCATGAAGACTAGTAAGGGACACATTGATTGTGGTTGGGGTATCGGCGCCCATTGCTGCTGGCATTATTGGCGAACGAAGAGGTGTGATGACCTCATCAATTGCTACAAATATTAGTGAAATTTCTTGTAGAACATGATGCGAATTCCATACCTTGGGGCTCTACTATTGCAACAATACTTCTATTCGCCGATACCAAAGAAGATAATTCGAATCGAGAACATTCTGGTGAAGGTTGAATGCTATTTGCCACGGAAGGATAGAATGAAGATGTCCCATCATTTGGTATTTTCCCCCAGTTGGGAGGGGCGAGCTCACTCAAAGCAAATGATGGACAGGAAGGGATTGATATTGTCTCCGATGGATTTCGCATATATCTGGCACGGCTTTGTGTAGCGGTGCTAATGCCCGAAGCTTCATGGTGATGTTTTTCCCAGCTTGCAAGTTGTGGGGATGAGCAGGAGCTTTGCAGAAGACGTTTAGAGATATCCATATCCTGCAGATGAATATTCGTAAAACTGCCGCTACCGTCAACGCCTCCAAATCCAGTATCTGAGCGCGGAGGCCGCATAACTGATGGCTCTTGATGAACAGTACTACCTTCTGACATGGTAACAGCCTGAGAAGATGATCGCAGCCCATGAGTTTTGAGCCAACGTGGCAATGTTTGAGTACCAACATTAGCAATATCTGCGGTCGATTGAATTGGGGCCTCAAACTGTTGACTTAGCCGTCGAAGATGTGCTCCGCGGTTGCTTTTATGGGACGTATATGATAAACGCCAGTTCGAAGCCAGATTTGTATCAGGTATACCAAAACCTGACAACCTCTGAGCATCTGATAGTGGCGCCGAAGGTCCAGGACAAACTTCGCTGTCTGTTTTTCTAGGCCGATATTTCCCAGGCTGAAGAAAATCGATTTCACTAGGTGTAGGGCAAGGGCCAGGTGAGCTGTATCTTCGTGGTGGAGTAGTGTTCGGTTTGAGTAGATTAATATTTGGCTCATTAGTACCTACATGAGTCCGAGATTTTCCACGATCGGCTGGAGTTAAAAGCGATACCTTGCTGGTATTGTCGAGCTTGGAAACAGATAGTGACACGTTACTCGCGTTGTCAACATTGCCTGTAGATAGAGAGATCTTGCTGCCATTGCCAATTCCTTCCGACCCGAAGGAAGAACTTTGTCTATCATAGTCAATTAGAATCATAGCTCTTTGAAAGCCTGAAGAGACGGTACTTACTTCCTGAAAACCGGAAAGTTCCCACTATCCTCTGGCAAAATAGACTGTCTCTTCTTGCCCTTATCAACAGCCCGATTAGTAGGACAATCAACTGTACTCATAGATTGAGCGTCTTCATCATATCCATCTTCATAACTCAATTCCTCCTCAATTCTCTTCTGTCTTAACCTTCTTAGTTCTTTTCTTCTTCCCACCTCTTCCTCACTTGTCCCTATACTTCTTCTTTTATCATTCTTTGTAATTCCAGATTCGCGGGAAAATGTCTTCTTTAGACGACTTTTAACAGATTTGAGTGTGTTTGAACTGAGCATCGGCTTAACCTCCTGCTGCCTTTCGTCTTCGTCATCTTCGTCGCTATCCTCTTCGCCAACCGCCTTTATTTCTTCCTCTATATCCTTCTCAGGAAAACATTGTCCTTCAAAAATGGCCCTTATTTCCGGTTCATCTTCTGTTTTTGTAGCCGAGCTCCATGTAGGGACTTGTGTTTGTGCCTCCGCGGTCCTCAGATTTAATGTCTTACGTGGAGACTTCCTCAGAGTATTGGCTGGCGTAATTGACGGTGATCGAATAGGACGAGGTGATACGGCGTCGGGGGAAGGTGGTTGACGACTTGTGCAGCAAGCAGAGGAACCCATCTTCACCCAGGCCGCATGGGCGAGATGGGATGAAAACTAATTTAATGAACCCAAAATTTGGTGGTAATCCAGAAATTGTACTTTCTTCTGTTGTTGCTGGATGACTTATGACAGAATATGTGGGATCTGGTTGACTACTACTTAAAATATCCTTATCAGTTGAGAAAGGAGGAAGAGGAAGGGACGAAATGAAAAACACGACTGGCAAACCCTTTCCATTTTAGGAACTTTCATTGCGATTACGATTTCAGAGAAAGATGAAGAAAATCAAATCGCGCCCACCGATAGTCACAAAATTCGGCACTCAGTAAGTGTAATATAGGAGTGTGGGACAGTCACAATGCTTGAGTGGTAACGAACATCCAACAGGTTCAAATTTCATTGTCATTTCCATATGATAACTCTATGGAAATTTAATTCCGACTTCATTAAATGAACTCACTCGTGCTGTGAGGAAAATAAAAAGATTAAACAAGTGACAATAAATCCCATGACACTTAGATTGGTCTTGGCCATGAAAACGAACCATAATGTCAATGGTGAGGAAAGAAGATCCCACTGAATTTGTCCAATGAGTATGAAGATGTAGTATGCACACAAGGCGTCCATCAAAAATGCTCTACCACAAGCTTGGCGCTCTTGCCTTATGCCGACCTTCCCCAATATACCCTGCGCTCTGAGACAACAAAATCCTAGCCTTTGTTTCTTGCTCAATTTTGGTAACCCATCTTTTGTGCAGCTTACTAAGTTTTGCATTATAGACTTCCCAGAGCTCGGGCAAGAGTTGAACATCCTGAACACAATAATCCACGATCGCTGGGTCAAGGGGCCTATCATTGAAGACCTCGTATCTACCCCCCTTTTCCGGCGCGAAGATTTCTATTCCACGTTGTTTTATGGCGCCTCGAACTTTGAGTTCTTCCGGAGTTTGCATGAGATCCCTTTCCATGCATTTTGCAAGCCCGCAGAGAAAATCTCGGCCATAAGAACGAGTGGCGAGCTCCAAGAGTTGAAGGTCGATAACGCCTCCAAGCTTGATGCCAAAGTGGCTGTATAAGGCATCAGAGTCATTACGGACATCGAAGATAACCTTGGGTATGAGCTGGGATTCCAGGATAGACTTTAATGTGACGCCAGATTTGTTTGGGGTGGAAAATGTTTGCTCGCGAAGAGTATGAACATCCACGAGAAATGACTCCTTGGTTGGGAGGAAATAGACTTGAATGATAGATATTGAACCATTGCGGCCAATTTGGATACCCTCGAGATCAATGTAGATAGAGGGCGGGGCAGTAGGGAGATCACTGCGAGCCAGCAAGTCGATAAGCTTGATGATAGCCTTGGGAGTGTCGGTGAGACTGATTGCGGGGGCAGTATCAACATCCATTCCTCCAATCTCGGTGGCAAGAGACTCAATATTATGCATGATTGTGTGAAGTATGCTTGATGCTTCTGGAAGGGTCTTTGCAGTTGATCTATTCGTTGTTCTGTTAGCATTCATGGTCTATAAACGTGATGTAGGTTTAGCCTTAAAATTGACGCTTGATCCAGTGTTCACGCTAAGGGAAACTGATGGACTAACCAGAAGCGGAAAAGAACTGTGAAAAGGATTCGGAGGTAGATCTTAGAAATGCGGCTGGGAAGATTGAAAGGAATAGCAATGACACGCAACCAGAAGTATTCAACGGTGGAACAAGCGTACCTTTTAAGTAGATTTGGTTTGAATTCGATCCAAGTTGATTGACTTTTTCTCCAAGGAAAACTTCCCGTCTGCAAAATGTTTGTCCAACAGAGGCACGATGTAACGATGACAGGCTGCTTCTATGTGTGTCTACGCCGCTCAGGGCATTTTCGCTAGAACCTATCACTCTAGCCCCCGACTTTTCACATTCCAAATAGCACTTGCCTTCCAATTTGTCTTGTGCAACATCCCAGCAAATTCATGGGAGTTATATGAATGGAGAAGAGGTTGTAGATTCTCGTTGTCGACGTGATTTACCTGCAGCAAACAATCTGAATCCGGCGACCCCCTCCTCCCGTTCCGATGTCGTATCGAAATGAGACCAGTTGATGAATTATTTAAAGGGTTTCTTCCACACAAAAGGCAGGGTAGGAAATCTTTTGACACCCGTTTGCTTCTTGGCAATCTCTCAATTTATACCATCTGTGCCTCATACGAAGGAACATGACCTTTTGCAGATCTGATATATTTGTGACTAACATCGATGTAGAGACACCCACAGCAGGAAGTCAATATTCAAATCATTATTGCTATCACTCACTTCAAGATTAATTAAAGTGACAGAACTATCTTGGGTTTCACGAACTGGGCTAAAAACTGCCTGACCGCAGCTCCTGCGCCGCAACAAGGATACACAAGCATGCTCAGCAAAAAGAAATAGTGTAATAAACAATAAAGCAACATTTTATAAGAAGAGCCTAGCTCGAATAACGGATAATTTGAGAAAGCAATAAAAATTGTCGAAATAGAATCCTAATTTCATACCTCTCATGAAAATGGTCACTTTTTCCCTGTGCCATATTTTTTGAGATGTGACCTTCATCTTGGCGACGGGCTGTGAGTCTGGACAGCAGGCTATGGATTTTACCAAGAAATCCTTTTCGAGGTTTCGTTGAGTATTGGCTCAAAGAGCCCCATTTTGGATAGACCCGAAAGAATTGAAAGGTTGATTTGATAGTGTGATTTCCCCTCCAAAATACTTTTCGCATGACAGTAGGTGATGTTCGAGTCTGATGGAGATTGATCTAAGTACAACTCTCCATAAACCATAAAGTAAAGATTAACAATGGCCAAATAATCTTTCTACAAAGTTTGGAAACACTTCTATGCACTTGTAAACGGATTTAGAGAAGTTCACATCCATATAAAAAAAAAGATCTATTCTTAGAAACACGCTAAAACCGCATGCAAGCATGGCGGCCGCATAATCCGCATCTTCAAGTTACGAAACCATTCTAACCAGACCATTGAAAGCTCCAAACGCAATATTACACAACAATGCTACCACGATAGTTAAAATGGCAAAAGCCAAATCGCACAGCAATCGCAGAAATGGCGAAACTGCAAGTCATAATCCCGAAGAAGACATCGGACTTCTCGCAGAGGAAGCAGGAAGTGAAGATGAGGATATCATAGTTCATTCTGGACCAGGAGAACAAGGACAGAGTCAGGGACATACACCTCGAACGCCTAACCGTGTACGATTTGATTTACCTGCTTCACAAAATGGGGAGTTGGATACGCATAATAGAAATGGATCGCAAGGATATGATGAGGAATTACATGCGCATCCCTCATCTGGAACCGGATCTTTCACACCACTCCTCACAGGCATTGAAGCGCCCTCCGTAACCGTCGCACCTAGTCCCTGGACCGACGACGAAGATGTACATACATGGGCTGAACGTGAGCGATCGCGTCCGAAATCCAATCTGCGGAATGCATTTATGAATATGGCGAATAGTATAATTGGAGCGGGTATCATTGGGCAACCTTACGCATTTCGTCAAGCGGGTCTCTTGACTGGAGTTATTCTTTTAATTGCTCTTACAATAACGGTGGATTGGACTATTCGACTTATTGTCATCAATTCAAAATTAAGTGGACGGGATAGTTTTCAGGGGACGGTGGAGTTTTGTTTTGGGAAGACGGGCTTGATTGCTATTAGTGTTGCGCAATGGGCTTTTGCGTTTGGAGGAATGATAGCTTTTTGTATTATTGTAGGGGATACGATACCACATGTTTTGAGTGCGGTCTTTCCAGGATTGAGAGATGTACCGGTTCTGGGGTTATTGGCGAGTAGAAGGGCTGTTATTGTAGTTTTTGTGTTGGGTGTAAGTTATCCTTTGAGTCTGTATAGGGATATTGCCAAGGTACGTTTTCTGAGCACATGCTCTAGAGGTTATGCTTACTCGAAATAGCTGGCGAAAGCGAGCACTTTAGCGTTGATCAGTATGATGGTCATTTTGTTCACAGTAGTAACACAAGGGTTCATGGTACCCAAAGAAGACCGAGGGGGATTCACCACACCACTCCTCACCATAAACGACGGCATATTCCAAGCCATTGGCGTAATCTCCTTCGGTTAGTCCGCACCCCCTTGCCAATCTTCACCCAAGCCAACTAACCCCTTCTCTCCACACAGCCTTCGTCTGCCACCACAACTCCCTCCTAATCTACGGCTCCCTCCAAACCCCCACCATCGACCGTTTCTCCACGGTCACACACTACAGTACCTTCATTTCTATGGTCGCCTGTCTTCTCATGGCCCTTTCGGGTTTCCTAACATTCGGCTCCAAGACCCTCGGCAACGTCCTCAATAATTTCCCCTCCACAAACCCCCTCGTCAACCTCGCCCGTCTCTGCTTCGGCCTCAACATGCTCACCACCCTCCCCCTCGAAGCCTTCGTCTGCCGCGAAGTAATGCTCAACTACTGGTTCCCCGGAGAACCCTTCAACATGCATCTCCATCTCATATTCACCTCCTCACTAGTCGTCAGCGCCATGATGCTAAGTCTAGCCACGTGTGATCTCGGTGCCGTTTTCGAGTTAATCGGCGCAACGAGTGCCTGTGCCTTGGCATATATCTTACCACCATTATGTTATATTAAACTCACGACTAGAACGTGGAGAACGTGGATGGCAGGCGCCTGTGTAGCGTTTGGGGGAGCAGTTATGATTATTAGTCTTTTCCAGGCGTCGAAGAAGATGATTAGCAATGAAGGCGGGGTTACTCGATGTGATTGGTAGGATAGATATCTAGATGTGTCTTTAAGATACTAGATGATTATACTGTAGAATATGGAAGATCTTATAATATCATCCTTACAATCCTTTCCCAAACATTTCCTTTCTTTTAAGCTGCTCTCCTGCAACCTGATTTCAGCCCGGATGTTTCCTATAGCTAGCTAGATAGCTGTCTTTCTGAATGCTTTTAGATAGAGTTCTTTTTTGAGTTTTTAAGTGTTGATATTTTAATATCAAGTGGATTTGAATTATAAATCTTTTTAACGGATTGGATCTTCTAAGTCACTTAAAGCCTCCAAAAAACAATATAGCTCGAAATCACACAAAAGAGTTTTATCTACGGAGTGAAAGACCTCACCATAGGCATTTATACCTGTTTCTAAACCTCTCGATGAGTTTAGAAGTGAGGATACTACTAAAAACACAAACTGGTTCACTTCTGACATAAAACACATCACAATCCCGAACAAGCGCAAAGACACCAAGTAATTCATATATCATAACATTTAATATTAAATGTACTAACCATTGTCCATGTTGTACATACCATACAACCGAGTTAGGCGAAGCAATATCTCTCAAAACATTGCCCTTTGAAATATACGAAGATTCTTTTATGTGACCATAACTCCGGGGAATATCATCAAAGTAAGCAGGGGCAATTTACAGAGAAAGCAGAGGAGAGCAGAGAAGCGAGCAAAAAAAGGGTAAATTTAAGCCTTGGACTTCTTGGATTTCTTTGCTTCCTTCTTTCCCTTCTTTGGTTTCTCGACAGGAGCAACTTCGGTGGTAATGATGGTTTCCTCCGTAGTGATTGTGACAGCGGGAGTCTCCTCAACGACCTTGGACTTCTTGACCTTCTTCTCTTTCTTAGCCTTGACTGGCTCCTCAACTGCAGATGCAGCCTCGATAGCCATGACTACATCCCCATCTCCAGCAAGTTCATCCTCACCACTTTCGATCTCTGGAACTGGCTTCTTCGCAACACCCTTTGCTGACTTAATCTTTGGTGCCTCAAATTCATAACCGATTTTCTTAGATTTTTCGGCGGCAATCTCGCGCTTTTTCTCGGCCTTGCTTATTCTCTTCTCCCATTGCTCTTCTCCGGCACCTTGCTCCAATCTGCGACCTTCAATCTTGTTCCATGGAACCTTCTTGAAGCGTCGGTTGGCACCCTTGAACAAGTCCTCGGGGAGTTGCTCATCGGGTACCAATTTAACCTTCAAGATATGGTTGAACAACAAGTAGTTATCCATAGTCTTGGCTACAATCTCTGCGACACCCCTGCTCGCGAATTGAATCCATGCATAATGTTTGCTCGCTCCGGTTCTTCTATTTCTCGACAGACGAATTTTAAGAATATCTCCGAATTGAGAAAAGTATGCCTTCATCTCGGCTTCGTAGAAACCGTGAGGAATGCGACCAATGTAGACAACACCTGGAAGATCACTGGCAGCTGCTTCGGCAGCCTTCTTGATGGCTTTCTTTTGCTTCTTACTGAGTGCCTCGAGAGCGTTTGGAACTTCTTGACCGGGTTCGAGTCCACCTTCTTTGGAATTCTCCTCCTCTTCGTTATCCGACTCGAAACCCTTCAAAAGAGCTTCAGTTTGATCATCCTCTTCCTCTTCCTCTTCGGACTCCTCGACTGGTTCTTCAGCAACTTCCTTCACGACAACTTTCTTTTCGACAATCTTCTTCTCAACAACCTTTGCGGCTTTCTTGGGTTTGGTGACTTCGGTTGTTTTTGGAGACTTCTTAGCCTTTTTTACTTTTGCGACCTCATCCGCGGGGACTGCAGCTGCAGTTGAAGCTATGATAAAAGAATTAGAATAATTGATTTAGGACATTGAAAGATAATGTTTACCTTTGCGCTTGCGGGCTGTAATTTCAGCCATTATGTTGGAATTTGAAGTGTTGTTTTGCTGGGAAGATTGTGTCGAGGGTTTAGATAGATGTTTTGCAAATGGGATTTTTGAACTTGAGATTGAATTATGATTGTCTAATAAATTTTTTGGATTTTGCCGAAAACTACCTCCATGAGAATTCTCTTGTGGCCATAGCGTAATGCCTAACCGGGTTAAACGATTCTGAGGCGGTGAGCTAGTTTCCTAATATATCAGGTAGTTCGAATTGACATATCACTATTCCCATGCATTGAATTGTATTCCTAGTTCTGTGACATTGTGATGTACACAGACATCAGAAACACACCCGTATCGTTTTGAAACTCCTGATGATATACTCACATTATTCACTGAATTATATCTACCTGATCCTTACGGAGACTTGTACAAGCTATTGCAATATACTTGCTTGCTTTCTTTATTTCTTCTTCAAGAAAGAGATTCATCCATCATTCTTTCTACCTTCGTCCGGATTCTACAAGCCTTTTGATTTGATCCACAAACGCCCGCAAATGCACCTTTCCTACAAGCCAAATAAATTCAATTATTGTTGTCTGACCTGTCTCTCAACCTCATACGTGAAGTCAAAGTATCCCTTGTCGAATTGATGCACTCTAACATAACCATCCTCACCACCACTTGCATACCCTTTGCCATTTGGATCCACGGCAACGGTGTTCAGAGGACCGAAATGACCACGGACTCTACCAATCTCCTCTTCAAAGATCTTGTGGTAGAATCTAGCTTCGAATTTACCTTGACGTGCTGAGGTTGTTGTGACGTCCATGGCAGCTTGTCCACCTCCGAGAATGACGAAATCCTTTTTGGGTGTAATAGACGCACTGTTGAGTGGTGTGTCGGTTACGTAGGTCTTCATAACCTCGAGGTCTCGGGCATTGACAAGCTAAACGAATCAGTATAATGCAAGTATGAAAGGATGCATGTAATTTACCTTGGCGGTCTTGTCTTTTGAGGCAGTAATGAAGTAGGTTCTATCGGGCGACCATTGAAGATCTGTGACTTGCAAATCTGGTTCGTGAACTTGAGTGTTGAAGAGTAGCTCCCCGGTCTAAATGATCCATCAGCATCTAGAATAGGTAAGCCAGCCTAGAACCTTACCTTGGAATCATATTGAGAAACGCTTCCATCTTCGTGGCCTGCGATAATATATTTCGACATGTAACTCCATCCCGCAACAGTCGCCTTGCTCTCTGCACAAGTGATGGTCAAAGCCCGGTCGTCCGATTGTGGTCCATTGACATCCAGGTTGATATCCAACACTACGATCGTTCCCAAGAATCCCATACGTTGTTCGGTGACGGCCAATAACTGTGTAGCATCCTCGTTGAATTCGACCCTCTTAACGGCAGTGTTGAAATCCCAGGTCTTCAAACATTTTCCTGTCTTAACGTCCCATAATCTAACTGTGTTGTCTGCTGCACCACTTGCGATGATTGTAGTCGTTGGGTCCACATCGACTGTCCATATAGCTCCCTGATGACCATGGTAGGTGCCTAATCTCTCTCCGTTGTGTGCGTACCAAGCGCAAATGTGTTGATCCTTCGCAGTCGAGAAGATGATGTCGCCATCTTTATTATATCTATCCCATCATCAACATCCAGTTTATGGCATTCTTTCAAAGAGTGTTGTTTACCTAATTTGTGTCAGAGCACGCTCCTATATGGTTGTTAGCAGATTGAGATAATGTATCAAGGTCAATAGGATATTATTTATACTGACATGTCCTTGTAAGAGAATCGGCCTCATATTTGCGATTCAGATTCAGTATTGATAAATACTAGAATCACGATATGATGGGGGTTGGAAGGTTTGTTTTTTAGATAGGGTTGGATCAAAATAAGTTTCGTGCCCCTCAAAAAGTTCGATTATCCTCTACGATTTGACTCTTCAAATGTGTGCTATCAAAGACCAATCATAAGCGAGAGAAGTTCTCAAGGCTAGGATGGGGACAAGATGCGGACAGATGCGGGATTTTGGAACTGTTGTGTGATTTGATTGGGCACGAGTTGAATTTGATTGATTCACTTTCTATCTTTTCATTTATAATTATAATAAACAATAATAATAATAATTATAATAAATAATAATAATAGTAATAATAATAATAATAATAATAATAATAATAATAATAATAATAATAATAATAATAATAATAATAATAATAATAATAATAATAATAATAATAATAATAATAATAATAATAATAATAATAATAATAATAATAATAATTATTATTATTATTACTTTAAATAAAAATTTTAATTTTAAATTATCATAAACAAATTGATATTTTATTTACACCTTGATATTTATTCAATATTTAAATTTATTATAAACTTTTCAAAACTTAAATTTTTATTAAACTTTCTCGAAAAGCTAGAGGTCCTGAGGGCGCAGGCCCCTGGTTTTATAAATTGAATTATTTTTTAATTAAAAATAAAAATTATATAATAAAAAATATATTATTTTAAAAAGAAATAATAAAGTTTTAATTTTATATAATCATTTTTAAACTTTATTTATTTGTTATAAATTGATATAAAATTGAATATAAAAAAAGAGTCGAGAATTTGATATCACTTATTATATTTAGAAATTTACCGATTAGACTCTTTTAACGGAGATATTAAAAATCACCTGATTGTAGCCTCGACTATCTTGCGGGTGAGCTTTTGCGAAATCATCATCGCAGTATGTACAGAAATGTTGATCGGTAAAAGAGCCAAAGCAGCATTCGGTGCCTGGTTCAATTGTTACAATTTGTACATGTTACCTTCTTTGAATTGCTTTACTCTTGCCAATCCTTCCTCAATTCTAAGATCAAGAACTTCTCTTCCTACCCAGCATCGAGCCTTGTTGAGTTCCTTATATCCTTCGGCTTCATTTGCGCGAGTTGCCCAACAAATCCTTCAACTGCGGGGTCAATCATCTCATGCGACGTTTTCATCCCCCACGAGGGTCTCTCTTATATCTTCCTCCCTTCTGCGAAACAGTACTACCAGGCAATTCTCGAGTACTCCAGCAGCAATGACAGCTACAAAGATTGATGGCACTGCTATCGCGAAGAAAATTCGTGAAAAGATTCATGCCGAAATCGATGATGCCCAAAAGACAAATCCGAGGTTCAAGCCTTCATTGAAGATCATTCAAGGTAACTCTCAGCGAGAAAGTTATACGAAGTTTATGCTAATATGACTCCTCGCAGTGGGCGATCGTTCTGACTCAAGTATGTATTTGTGATTGAAACACGACAAAAATAACTCACTGATGATCATACAGCAACCTATGTTCGTATGAAATTGAAGGCGGCACAAGAGGTTAGCGATTCTTCATAATTTCTTTCGAGCTTAAACTTATTTCATGGACATCTAGGCAGCGATTGAATGCGAACTTATCCCATTCCCTGAAACCGCAACCGAAGCCGAGGTCCTTGACGAAATCGAGCGATTGAACAATGATCCGTCCGTTCATGGTATTCTTGTTCAATTGCCGGTCCCCAAGCATATGTCCGAATACAGTATAACTTCTGCTGTATCTGATGAGAAGGATGTAGATGGTTTTGGGGCATCGAACATTGGAGAACTTGCGAAGCGTGGAGGACGTCCTCTTTTCATACCATGCACGCCAAAAGGTGTCATGGTCCTACTCGAGGAGAGCGGTGTGGATCTGAAGGGCAAGAATGCGGTCGTTCTTGGACGCAGCAATATTGTTGGCAGCCCTACTAGTTACCTCCTCAAAAATGCCGATGCTACTGTGACAGTATGCCATTCAAGGACCCAAAACATTGAGCAATTCATCAAGAATGCGGATGTTGTTGTTGCAGCCATCGGCAAAGCCAACTTTGTCAAAGGAGAGTGGTTGAAGCCGGGTGCAGTAGTCATTGATGTTGGCACTAATTTTATTCCTGACGAAACCAAGAAATCTGGTCAGAGACTTGTTGGGGATGTCGATTTTGAATCTGCTTCGGAAGTTGCCTCCCAGATCACACCAGTACCTGGTGGAGTGGGGCCGATGACCATCGCAATGCTCCTACAAAATGTTGTCGAATCTGCCAAAGCTTACTTTGATCAGCAGAAAGCTAAAGCTATCAAGCCTCTATAGCTCAAGCCTCTACCTTTAAAGCTTCAAACCCCGGTACCATCGGATATCGCTATCTCAAATCGAAGGTTCCGATAGAGACGACCGAGGAGCGATGATGGAGTTGTGATGACTTCCTTGAATATAAGTTTATAGAGCTTATCGCATAGCTTACCTTGGAGCAGAGTGTCCAATAGTATGGACTGCAATCCAAGAATGAGAAGCTTCTAAATCAATTCAGACAATGAATTATATGAAATATCAAAATGTAATTAAAGTATTCTAACTATTGGGGATATTGAATTATATTCAAATGTTCAAAGAATTTCGATCATTGAAAGCTAAAATTTAGTGTTCCAGTTCAGACTATTGGATGCTCTGCCATGAATTTGCTACTCCGATGTCCAGCAAGCCGGGCACCGCACCGATAGGACGAGACTCCAGCAAAAAAACATGCACTTCTGGCGGCCCTTGGCGCAGAAGAATATTTCGGATGTACTCAAAAACTACAAGATGATCAGTTTTCACATGGAATCTCCATTGCCCCTTGAAAGAAGACCTAAGGCTCACAAACTTTGTTATGGGCACGCCGGAAGAAATGATTGGCATCATCGACTTCCAGCCTACGAATATGTTTTAGATTTGCTCGTGCAATAACCAGTATGAATGATCGACCTCTTTCTAAGGGATATCAATCAAAGCACTACATCCAGAATATGTGAAAGGCTTTACCGGCGACCAGTTTTCTTTAATCATGGGGTTTGGCTGAGGTGGAAGATGGCTGACTGGCATTGATCATATGATGGTAACCTTTCAGAAGTCAATCCGCATACTAATCTATGTACGAGACTAGTATAATAAAGTCCTCTTTAAAGTTCATGATAAATTTGAACAACGGGATCATATCAATGCTTCCATCTTGACTTTGGGTTGAGTGCCAGTAATATACCTAGCCACAATGTTATAAATACAGGCTTATTGTTGTTATGCTCCAATATAAACAGTATAAAAAAATATAAATGTCATTATATATATCTAAGTCCTCATTACTCCCACGATTTATCTTCCAGTACAACAATCAATGCCCTCAAGTCTCCAATCATTCATTCTTGAAATTCATTAACCTTAGCATGACACTTATCAAGATAATCAAGACAAAAAACGATATTCTAGTACTCGAGTCTCAATAGGTATATTATATTATATATAACCTTACTATCTTTGCCATATCCACCATCACAACCCTAACCCACCAAGAAAACAATATCCAACACTCAATTCACAAATCGATATAAGAAAATAGACCAATAAATCTCAAAACAGTAAATAGATCTCAATTATTTCAAAGTGTATATCTGAACAACAAGTCAGTCATCCATCGATCCACTCATCCATCTACCTATTTCCAAACCACAAAATCTTTTGAATAAAAGAGAAAAAGAAAATAATAACAAGCAACAATAGAATCTAAAATCTCAATTTGAAACCCCAAACTAATTTGCAATATTGTTGTGTAAGAAAGAAAATTGCTAAACTCCAGCGTCAACATATGGAAATCATGAGATCTAGATACCTCGTTTCTGTCTTCTTCGATATCGTTTCTACGCCGTTTTTCCCATGTTTCCATCCTTTTCCCTTCCTCTTCCCTCTTCCCTCTTCCTCTTCCTCTTCCCTCTTCCCTCTTCCTTTCTTCCATCCTTCCCTTCTCTTCCTTCCTTCCTCCTGTCCCTTCCCCACCATCCCTCCATTCCCTCCCCACAACTCCCCACCAACCTAAACAGTAGTAATAGGTTCCTTCAACCCCACCATCCCCTTACAACCCACCTCACTACAACAAACACTTTCACCACCAGTAATCAATTCACAACCCGATAAATGACCATCACCATTCCATTTACAGAGGGTTCCTCCGGTCCCAGGGTTGAAGTTACAGCAGTAGGCTGTACCGGGGTAGGGACAGAATGCCTAGAAAGGGGTGGAGGAGGGGTTAGAGTGTGTGCGTTTGTATGTATGCGGGGAGGCTTTTGGGGAGGGGAGGGATGGGATGGGATGGGATGGGAAGGAAGGAAGGGATGGAGAGGAGGAATGTAAAGAGATGAGAGGAGAGATGAGATAAAGAAAATAAAATACACACATTCGAAGCCGTATGACCTCCCTTACCCTTCTTCAATTCCTTTACAAAAAAACCCCCAAACGTCAGCCAAAAGAAATCAAAATCAAAATCAAAACCAGAATAAAAATCAAAACCTCTCCTCATCTCCCTCCCTTCCCCAAAAACCCTTCAAAACACCCCTCCAAAACAACCTCGAAAACCTCATCAAAAAAATCTCAAACTCACAACACCATCAGCAAAAGGCAGCACAAAATCCATCGACCCAGGAGTAAAAGTCGGCTTAACAAACATCCCCACAATCGGTCCACCCCCGGCAAACGGAACCAATCCATCCTCTGTCTGTGGTTCGATATCGGACTCTGGTTTTAGTTCAGCGTGCGAACCTAGATCTGGAGAAGTGGGAGCTTGACGGGGAAAAATTTGTCGGATTTTATGCGGTGTGAGGTTTGAGGTGCGGGTTTCGAGTGTGCTGGCGGGGAGAGCGATGGCGTGGATGAGAGGGAGGAGGGGAGGAGAGCGACGAGAGGGAGTGGGAGATGCATTGTTCTTTTTGTGTGGTGGGTTTTGTGAAGGGGTGGTGGTGTAAGAATCGTTTTTTGATTAAAACGAGTAGAAAATTCCAAACCAAGTAAGTCGACAGAGCAAGAGGAAGGAAAAAGGAAAGAAAAAAGGCATTCAAGGAAAGATACCTCCCTATAAACACACTGACACATCGACACACGAAAACTTCGATTTCTGCATTCCTCATGAAAAACTTTCTGTGGCATCATGAATATTGTTGAGGAATGAGACGTCGAGGGTGGGAATGTAGATCAGTGCAACAGAAGAATGTGAATTTTATTCATTCAAATATGTGATTTGTTAACTTATCCTATCTTACTTACAAAAAATCATTTGAAAAATGTCTAACTTTCTCGCTGCCAATGCTGCATACCTGTTTATTTTAATCCCTTTCCCTTTTCACAAGCCCATCACAATCTAATGATAAAAATTAAAATAATTTATTACATCCCAACCACCCTCATCAATCCATATCCAACTGAAATAACCACTAGCCATGTAAGGATACTTGCTGGTACGCCACGAGTGATGAAATGTTTCACTTGTAAGTATCTTAATCCTGTTTGTGAATCTTCCATCATAATTGCCGCTATCATTTATTAGCATTTGTTTTAACTGTGAATGAAAGAAAAGAATATACATACTCATGTTAGGGAATCCACTGGTAGGTAATCCCATAGCGGCACTACACATTAATGTAGCACCCATAACCAAAAGATTAGGATGTGGTTCTTCCATGCCTGCTCCTACACTATGAACTAATGGGAGAATGATGAGAGCTGCGACAGTATGACTAATGAAAGTTGCAACAACCAAGACAAGGCAAGAGAATACGACGAGTACGCTATAAAGACTGAAACCTTCAACGCTCGCAGTAATTTCACCAGCAATAGTATGTAACAATCCCGATGAGTTAACAGCTTTACCAAGGGAAAGTCCTCCGGCAGCGAGAATTATAATCGTCCATAAGAAATTGTTAAAGTCCTCCTTAGTTAGGATACCAGTTCCGAAGAATAAAATAATTGGAATGATTGCGACCACACCCATATCACCAAAGATCCATTGGAGTTGATGGCTTACACACCAAAGAACGATGGTACCTAAAGTGACAAGGGTAATAAACCATTGAACACCAGAGAATGCATCTTTGACGGGACGAATGGGAACAATTGTGGTTCCACGGCCAGGCTTGAAGGTAAGAAGTAAAAGAATCCAAATAAGGACGATGGAAATGATACCAACTGGCAAGACAATGAAGAACCAAGTGCCCCAATCTGGTTGTGGGGACATAATCTGAAGGGCGACAATGTTTTGGGGAGATGCAATTGGAGAAAGCATTCCACCAATATTAGACGAAAGTGCAATGCCAAGAATGACTGCTTTCGACATTTGAGATTCAGATGGAAGATTGCGAAGCATAGGCTAGTATTATTAGTGACAGACGTCAGTGATCAGAAGTATAAGCTTACCTGGATGATTGAGAAGCACAAAACAGGTGCTGCAACATTACTAATCCACATACTTGCAAAAGCTGCTACGAACATATTGGTGATAAGTACTGTTCTTGGCCTCGTTCCCGCTTTACTTAGGACGAAAGTGGCAATTCTCTTAGCAATGTCATATTTTGATAATGCTGCTGCTACTGTGAATCCACCAAGTAGTAACATGATGACTGGAGTCCACATTGCGGAAAAGATGTACTTCGCAGCGGCTGGAGCTTCCAATCGATGATGAGGTTTATCATCAGAGCGAACCACTTTAAGGAGTACACAGAGGAAGGGAATCATGAGAGATGTAACGAAGAGAGGTATGACCTAAACGGGAGTTAATAAAAGAAGATGTTTCTAGACTTTCACGGATTTTGTTACCTCAGTAGCCCATAACAAACTGACAAATATCAGCATTGCTAAACAATTTTGCTGCTCTGGCTTCTTCATGATTGGAATAAGCAGTAGTAGAATAAAGACGGTGATAATTCCAATCAATGTGAACATCGTCGAACTGAAGAGCCATCTTGGACATTTCACTCTTCCAACCGGCGTTGAAAGTTCCTTCATGTCAGGAATATCGGCATCATCCCCTTGTAACCGGAGTTTGGATGGATCATTATCCGCACCAAGTAAAGTTCTCCGGATACCCATATTCGCAGCCTGAGCTTTCCTCTCAATACCAATCATTTCCCTCCAGACTGTATTTCTTTCCCAAACAACATGTTCTCGTAGATGTGATCGCAATTCCTTTTTCGCCATATCGACGTCCCCTTGAGTTACCACATTGGAATACATGCGCTCAATTCGTGATATGTTCTCCTCGATGTGTTTAAGTGTTTCCGGGCGAAAAGGATATGCGGGACCTACCACATCCTGGAGGTATTTCGACTTCAGATTTCTGTCCAATATTTTGTCATATTTCTTGCAAACTTTTTTGAACCCTGTCTGATTAAGCTGTACGAAGGATTTCAGTTCACAAAGTGACACATATAAACCGACGGCGCGCTTTTTCAACGTGATTCCCGACGAATATAATGCATTGAAGGCCTGCTCCGCGAAATCCTCATAGTTATGGCTATTCCTTCGTCCGGGCTTGATCAACTCTGCTGAAGCACGCATATCCTCAATAACTCCAGGTCTTCCAGTATTCGCATCATAAGGAGAGCTTTTGCTTCGTTGATTTGTTGGCCTGGACGTTTTGCGCAGCGCCGTATGCTCATCGTCATCATCATCATCACTATCTTCCGCACCTTCATCTATTGACCGACTCATTGTGCTTGAACGCCGCCTTCCCTTTGGAACGAAAGGCTTGAAAATGCTACCTTGTCGCGGGCGATCGCTGCTGGACGTTCTTGGATGACCATTGCCATCTGATCCATTCATTCCATCTGTTTGATTGTTTTCCAAAACTTCCGCCTCAAATGCCTCTTCCTCCTTCAATAGTTCTGATACCTCGCCAAAAATCTCACGCTCCTTCAATTCGTAGAACGAAGATATTTTTTCCAATTCCGCATCCAGCGCTCTGCGAAAGATAGCATCTGGATCTTCGACCGCTCTTATGAGAGGAGAGTTTTCGGCATCTCCGGCGCCAGTAGAAGGACGATGAACATTTTTCTCAAGTTGGTATATCCTGCGTGTTTAAAAAAACTTCATCAGCATCATTTATTGCACCAATTCGCGACGAGACATACAACTTCTTCAAATTGCTATAAGCAATGTAATGACTACTCCAATCTGGAACAGCATTGAACTGAATACTATGGGAGAACTTCATTTCATCTGCCTCCTCAAGTCTTTTTCTTTTTTCCGCTCTTTTTCTATCACTCTCAGTTAAATGCGATTCGGGAGGCTGGCCGTCTCGTGCGCTAGGGTATTCAACAAGTTCGATTTCTTCGTTATCTTTAGGTCGATGTTGACGCTTATCACTGTATAAACTCCCTCCCCTGTCCAGACTACTCAAAGAGTTTATCTTATCGTTGTTGAGTCGATGAAGCTGATTCAGTCGTGATTTAGAGGAGGGATTAGAAGCCACCTGGGAGGAAGCTATCTTGAATGTTCTGGGTCTCCAACATCAAGTTACGTAGTGTTATTGTATTATTGCAAGTGACATAATATAATTGGTAACATGCTGCGGTCAGGGTACGGGCTGAGTGTGATGGATTAATATAGTGGAGAAAATAATGAATAATGGTGATTATGGTGATTATGGTGATTCCAAGGTGCACGACTTCTCTACTCTGTTAACTAAAAGGGGAAACAGGTGAGGCTCGTCATTTTTAACTTTTTTTGGGTTCCTGTGGCTTTCCAGAATAGGTAAGTCCAGGTGTAACTCGAGGATTTTCTTTAAAATTCTGATCCACTTATCATGATGAAATCAAGCATGCAGGTAATTGTCAATTTCTGATTGGTTGGACAATTTGATGGTAAGCCCCACTTCACCATTATCAATTTATGAACTCTTTCGGTCTTCTGCAGGTTGCGTGTGGCAGCCCAGACGAGAACCCGTTCGCCGGTTCTATAAAATCCCACGCTGTGTATGATCACAATGATGCCGCATGGGTGGTATAATGTTTGACGGGTAATGTAATAACAGTGATTTGACTGAGATTGGCTGATCATCATGATCAGTACACATTACTCCCATCAAACAAAACCAACCATTTCAGCTTGGAGCTTTCCTCAGTGATGAACTTATGGCCACCCACACCTATCAACAAGAAGGCACAGCAGCACAATATCAAATGCAGGAATTAATCATGTTGTGCAGCTGAAACACGGCAGCATTCTTTAGGCTTTTGGTTCGTCTGCTATCTGAACCGACGTACTTGTGGAACATGGGGTGTGAATACACCTAGTATGTCAAGATGCAGATCTTATAGAGGAGATAGAAGAGGTTGCACAACGAGAGTCAAGACAATAAGGCATTGGCATCAGCCCCCAGAGAGCCAAGTGGCCTGTTTCACCAAGCACAAGCTCTGTGTACCTATCTATGCCCAATAGCGCTTTTCAATGTTCCCATTCAGATTTAACAATCAAATGGGCTTTCACAGTTCGCCAATTAACGCTGCGGACGCCTGGGTGTCGAAATCTGCAACAAGGATGGAGCACGAACGATCCGCCAGTTGAACTAGAGAATGTATTGGAGAAAACTAAAGACTATGGCTTCCAACAAGGAGTGGATGCCTGATAGGCAGGCATAATTGGGCTTTGATCCTAAGAAAACCTGCGACTCATAGGAGTTCCAAAAATTCCTCATATCGATACAGTTGCTCGCCTTTCGGGCGCCCAAGATTCTCAGCCCATCAACAGGACAAAAACAAATCCCATTATCAATGCCACCGAGCTGCCTCCACCATACTTCAAGTCCATAGCCTCTGACTTCTTTGAAGGGAGAGGTGGAGAAGGTACGACAGTTGTGGCTGGTGGTAAAATTGACGTGGTTGCCGGACTGGCTTCACCTCCTGTATTATCACCACTGACATTATCGTATGGATATGAGTCGGTATACTGTTGCAGGTTAGAGAGTTAGCAAGTCATTACCGCGCAAAAATGTTGGTTGAGAATGGGAAGTTGAAGATGTGTTTGGAGAAGAGGAGCAGTGGATGGAGTGTGGGATGGATGGGTAGTTTTTGCTATGGAATAGAGCAAAACCTGTGAACGAATACGAACATTGTATGTGCCATCGGATTTGCCCCATCCATCAACGATCTTTTTCAAGACACCCTGACCTGAACCGCAATTTGCTTTCGTGTCGGGCAAAGGCCAAACGGGATCGAATCTCTCGGATGATAGAGGACCTGGATAGGATGAGTTGAAAAGTAGCTTAGTGGTATTGACCGCATAGTTGTCGTATCCCGCTTTGCTTGCAACAAGCCCAAGGACATTTGCACCACAATCCCAGCGACCAAGTGAAGGGAGTCCCCAGTTAAGCTCTATGGTTGAAAGCATACTATAGTGGTTGTAGAAAGTATTGTCGGTAGTGTTCTTAAAAGCAGGTGGAATGGCACCACCAAGAAGGATAGCAAACATCTTATTCTCCTCGTCGTCTTCATTGTTCTCATCCCAAGTGAGTACGACTAGGGTATCGTTCATGAAATAATCATTGGTGAGCAAAGGTTCAAGGAACATGCGAGACCAATTTCCGGCAACCGTGTCGTTGGTATCATGGCCATTATTTGTCATATTCGGTGTGATAAAAGACCATTGTGGCAGAGTCTTGTTCGCCAGATCTTCTTCAAACAACTTGAAGCTCTTGATCAAACTAAGTCTGGTAGCGTTGCTGGTGACTGAATCAAACATCACCAGTGGGTTATGCTTGCGTACATAATCCTGTTGGAATGGATCCGTGGCCGAGAAGTTCCAGCCTTCAAAGCCGGCATATGGTATATCTTCTTGGTATTCGCCCCAAGAGATACCTTTGGTGTCAAGTAAATCTACTACAGTGGATATGTTGGCAGGAATTTGAACAAATTCATCTGCATCCATGCCGAACGTGTCACCCCCGACAACTGCACAATAATTTGGCTGAGATGGATGTGTCACTCCCCAGTAGTTGGTGAGTGTTATGCCTTGAGCAGCAAGCCATCGGAAATTAGGGTCATTGGTAGCTTCCTTATAATCCTGTACCAAACATATCAGTCTATAGTAAAATATAGTTGCGCAAATCCAAGTTTGCGAGTAATCAGCATATTATCTTACCATATTCTCGAGCCATATCTGAACAAATCTACTAAACACCTCACCACCAACATCAGAAACGGGAGAAATTGCTCTTTGAGTTGCTTGTGCCGCAGTTATTGCAGTAAGCGCGGGCTCAATTGTTGACTGCGGAAGTGCTGATAAGACAGTTGGCGGTGTAGGTATGGTGGCCAAGGTCGAGCCAAAGAGGAGAGCCAGCAGTTTGAATGCTGAAAGATTCATTTTTTTGTTTTATTTGATTTGATGTGGATTTGTGCTTCAAAATTTAAGACCAAAAAGAGTGAATGATGGTTTTTGAACGAAGAAAAGAAATCAAGAAGCTGATGTTGGAAACAGCATAAGAGGAAGTTTGAACGTGATGGGTTTTCTGACAAGGGAAGGCACTTCCGCAACACTCGTGGTTTCTCAATTTGGGGCGCATGCTTCAAATTCCGGAGACTTGGGACTTACTTATCGATTTTGGTTTCAAAGATTGGAAGATACCATAGAAGACCTAGGATACTTGACATAAGATGGCGGCATCAAGTTCTAAGTCTTCATTGAATCTAGCATCTCTCATTGCTTCGGCAATGTTAGCTGCGGTGATCACCGGAAATCTTTCAGAGGTCGTATTGATGTGCAATTTATACCTAGGAGAATAACTGATATCTAGGTCGCGATTTCCTTTTTACAAGTTGCTTGTGTTTTGGAGGGCGGATTAAAGATTCGACGAAAACGCCGGCTTAACTACATGAACTCCCTTTTCGTAAGGGACGTACGAGGCACGTCATCTATTGATTGACCTGGATATATTTTTACTAGTAATTCACCTCGGGCTGAGTTATTCAAGGGCGCAATCTCTATGCGCATGTCAAGGATTCATGCGAGATAAAGCCTTTGCAAAATGAGGCTGTCTTCAACATACTAGGTAGTGAACGATGGTCTCTCAAGCGATCATTGATAAAGACGATGCAGAATCATTTTTTGCAATATATTCCGTAGAGGCTACCGAATCGACAACCACTACACTTACTTCAAGTGCGGCAAATCTCTCACTGCCAAAGCCCGAAAATAACCATCACTCCCACTTTCCAACACAAACCTCCATCCATCTTCTACTCGCTCTCACATCCACACCACTCTGAATGCTCAACCTTATCAAGAAGATACTTGACATGAATATAACCCTGATCTCTTGCCATCATCGCTTCCAGATTATTGTTGACAAGAGCGTCCTCCTGAATAGACCCATCAGCCTCTCCTCGACCCAAAATACGGTTGTATCTACTCCTATTAAAATCCCCGCGATACTCATTCTTTCCATTATCATCCCAGACGAAAAAAACTTCCGTAAGCTCGATACCTTTTGTAGGTTTATCGGGATGAAGATTCGAGATAGCAGTCTGAATGTTCTGCATCAAGACGCGGACCGTGAATGGTCGATCTTGGGCGTGAAGGGTTATACCTTCTATTTATTGGTTAGTTAGTAATTGACACAAGTTTAGGATGATTGGTTGAATTTCATAGTGCTGCTTACGCCACACACTTGGGTTATTGTCATATTTGGAACTATGATTAAGATGGACGAGGCCAGCAAAAGTAGGCTTTCCATCGACAAGTTCACGAGCAAGGCGGTTAAAAGTACGGAAGTTTGGCTGGAGAAATTTCAGAAGCCCATCAAAGGATACTAAATTTGTTTCGAGGCCGCCGAGCTTCTCCGTAAGCTTAGTAGTGGCATCACTGTTACGTTCGTTTGAGGCAGCTAGTTGCTCGAACCTCTCAACCAAAAGCTTTGCTTGATGAAGAAGGCTCTCATTTTGTTTCGACTGTTGCTGGTGCGGCTGATCATCCGGACCACGTCGAGGTCTTTCAAGGTTAGGATCAGGATTTAAGGAGTTGGCATTAGCAGCAAATGGAGGGATTTGTTTCCCGCTGTCAAGTCTATGCTGATTTAAGGCATCGCTTTTCCGTTCTGTGGGTCTAGGCGTAGTTGGTATCTGGATGCCCTCGGATGCCATTCCTTCAGCAATCAAATCAAAACCCTCCCGGATCTTTTGCGAACCCATGAGCAATCCCATTGGGCTACCAGTGTGTCCGGTAATGGATGGAATTGGTGATCCAGGAGCAGCATCTGACCCACCAAAGACGATCTGCTGGATGTTTTTTGTGGAAATAAAGGGAGGAATATCTTTGGGTTCACTCATAGTGAATAATTTCAAGATGGCCCTGCCTCGTTTGAGTATTGGCCTTGAGTATCGAAAAGTTAGAAAGTCCAAGAGTATCTATTTATCACTCACCTATTGACAGGAATGAAATAAAAAAGTACTGAGTACTACCTAGTAAGCTTCTGGCGCCGAATCAAAATATTAGTTTCTCGTCTGATTTTAAAAACTGCATCTTTGATACGAATGGAGCTTATCACCAAGATCTAATGCAAGACGTCTTAGTTTGTTATACTCTTTGTTCCATGGTTAGTTGATATTTTAGTGGAAGTAGCCCGGTGGCGGATGTGACTTCACGATGAATCCTATGCTTTTATTAATTTTGATTATTATAATATTGTTTAGTTATTAAGCGCAAGGTCGGTTATATGGACACATGTCTGCCGTGTGTCTACCTGCCATTTTCGACTCATACCCCAATATCTTAATGGTAGGTACTCTCGATATACTGGCAGTAACGATGTGTATAATAACATTAAGATCAAACTTTCTGATCCACGTGACTTGGCCCTTTCTGGCCATGGCTTTCCAATCCGGTAAAATAATCAACCCCTTTCCTCTTTCCCATTTAAGCGACCGCCCTTACTTCACCAATACTAATCACCACTAAAGCAGCTACTAATGTTGCGTCTATTCTCATCTATGTTCCAACTCTTTTTTTCTTCCATTTATTTTTCAGTCTTAATAACATTCAATCAAAAGAATAGCGTTACTCTCACTTTTACTATATATTGAGTACCCGATATTACTACTCTAATAAGAAGATATTTTAAGTAACTTGCACTTTTTTGCTACGACTCTTCCCATAGTTGTAAGTAAAGTACATTTTGACAACCTCAAACTTAATTTTGGTTTTGGAAACAATGTCTATACTCAAACGGAAAACTCCGTATTTGGAAAAGGGCGAGATCGATTGCGATGAGGAACCAGAATCCCCTTTAAAGAAACTGAAGACCCTCGAATCACTTGTTGATTCTGACGAGGAATCAGAACCTGTTTTTAAGCACCTGGGGTTCTTGGAATCACTTATTGATTCTGACGAGGAACCAGAATCTCCTTCAAAGAACTTGGAAAGATCCGAATCACCTGTGGATATAGAACCGTCTCCCGAATCCACGCCCGAATCTTCTCCCGAATCACTTCCACAGAAATCATTCAAGTCCACATTATCCTCTCGACAGGTTTCAATGATGGAATATGAATTTGACGGGGATCACTTTTTTGAGTCTTTCTCAAACAAACAAGTGAGATTCGCGTCACCACTTGAACACGTCAAAGAATTCTATAAAACTGAAACGCTCGAATTCCCATTAAGAGAAGGCCCTTTCAGTCAGAATTATGTACTTTGTCCAAAGATTCCGGAAAGGGTCCCTGCTCTGGTTACTCCTCAATTAACTAGAAGCCAGCCTATTCTGTATTTCAAAGCGAACCCGACTCCTCCAGCTCGACCAGGTACCCCAATTCCTCTACCTGCACCTCGACCAGCTAATGCTGTGCTTCACCCACCCCTGCAAGAAACTTCGATCCCTCCACCTACACCTCGACCAGCACCTCGAACAGTTGATGCTACGCTTCCTCCCACCCTGCAAGCTTTTGTTACGCTTGGCTTGCTATGTGATAGAAACGGCTCTAATAAAGATGAGGATAGCAAAGAGTCAACTGCTTCTTCTTCTACCCCTTCTTCTCGACCAGTTGTTGCTCAAAAGATCGAATCCCGCGTTCTATACAGTAAGAACTCCAAATCTATTATTAGTGTAAGCAAAGATCAAAATAATGGCGAAAATTCTGATGGCGGCAAGGATTCTGGTGATAAGGGGCATTCTGGTGATAGGAAGGATTCTGGTGATAGGGAGGGTTTTGGTGATAGAGAAGATTTTGATGATAGGGAGGGTTCTGGTGATAGAGAGGATTTTGATGATAAGGAGGATTCTGGTGATAGGAAGGATTCTGGTGATAAGGAGGATTCTGGTGATAGGAGGGATTCTGGTGATAAGGAGGATCCTGGTGATGGCGATGATTCCGGTGATAGCGGGGATTCTGGTGATAGCGAGGATTCTGGCGATAGTGAAGGATCTGACGAAGAAAAAGATACTTCCTCGCGTCTTCTTCTCCGTTTAAAAGGACCCCAAGGTGTTCTTTCACCTCCTCATGACTCAAGTGAAGCGGTACCTGCACCCACCATAAAAACCGGCTCCGATGACAAAAAAACCAATATGCATTCTCCTTTTGTCCCACGAACTAACTCATCCGACACTAATCGGCTAGTTCTTCCCAAACTATCTGTACCTAAATCGGTGCTCACCATGGGAAAGAAAAGGACTAAAGCCGAAAAAATTATTGGAGTTAGTTCTATCGAGTCTCCTCATTACAATTACACTATGGCAATGTACAGAGGATCTGAATTGGGACCCCAAATCGAAAATCATTCAAACTGTCGTTTTTGTGTTTCTCCTTGGGGAAAGTGGCCTCCACTTACATCCAGAAATAGCCTCTACCACTCGACACAGGAAAAAAGCGATCCAATGCCCTGGCAAAGGAAACGAAGGGTAAGCGTTTCTCGTATCACAGGACCTCTCATTCGCCCAATCCTTCACTTCCGAAAAGATTCCGACGAAGTAATCACAACGATCATTGAATTTACCGATGCACCAGGAGAAGATCGTCTTCTTGCATTTATTGATCGTGCAGAGGAAGATGCAATTAATGCAGGTATGCCCGAGAACCGAGAACCGATAAAACTTATCGTTACGTGGGATAATGGTGCGCAGTTACATACACTTCCGTTCGGAAAGGGAAACCGTGATAATTCTACAATTCATTTGATTAAAACTACTAAGGATTGGAGAGCGGCAATTCGCCTAATGCGAAAGGAGGAGTGGTCGAATCAGAACTGGACTATTTGGTGGAGTGAGAAGCATGAGGATCGTGATGAGGAGATGGATGAAATTCCACAGGATGCAGGGAATGGATGCAAAGTGGTGTGATGAGAATTTTTCCGCTTTTTTATAAGCAGAGGATATTGGAGGAGCACCCAACTTATACGGCCTGAAAGGATCTTACAACTTTCCATTGTTTGAGAAGACTTTTATCCCATTATTTCTCATTACTGTCTAGACCTATTTCATGTACCAAAAAAATCAATGTTATGCTCAGTGGAGTTTCAGTCAAAGAGGGTTTCCTGGTCTGGATAGAAAGCTTTTAGGGCCTCCCATAGCGGAATTGTTAGTACATAGTAACTTTAATGGGTTTTATTCCTCAGCAATTTAGTAGTTTTGAAAGGAGAATCAAGTTCCATTCTTCATCATTTTGTAATAATTTGTGGTTTCTTCTTTGCCATCTCAGAAAACTATCAATGACTTGTCACTTCCAAGCATTATTCTTGCATTTTATATACAGGATTACATGGAATACGGTTTGCTCTTTAATATAATAAGAGATTTTCCATTCTTAGAAAGATATCCAATATCTCTTCGGCGGTCACGCAAGTCATACGCATATATATTCGATTTAGTACTTCCTATATACACTGTCAATGTATCTATGAAAATGGACTTTCTCAAATAGTAAGATAATCACAGCTTTTGCAAGAGATGGGTAGATAGTATTGAAATCGGATTGAGATACTGACTTGGATAGGAAAGTTGGAACAAAAGTAAGAAGCCTGGGTATACAGTAGGGTGTCTCTCGCTGTGAATCGAGCGAAAATATGATGGTAAGATTACAATATTCGTTGATTTCCAATGCAATGGGGAAAAATGAGAAAGTTACCATTTTTCAATCAAGGAACTTGATGGCTTTGGCATTGTGGTCATTGTTCTAAATACGCACCATACCATACCATACCCAGTTGGTTCATTATATGAGCAGAAATGGCGGCTAGTACTTCCGAACTCATATGACTTTCAATTGGAATATTAAACCAAACTCCTACTTCTTCTATACATGCATTTCGTTTTACTTAATACTATACACATATCAGGGTCTAAAATAATAAAAATACCACTAGGAAAGAAAAGAAAGCACTCCAAAGCATATGCAAGGCTTGATATGATGAGCCGTGTTTGCTCAGGGATACCGCGCCCCTATCCCCTTTGACTGTGCCATCGGGATCATACATATAAAAGCTCTGTTTCCTTTCCCCTTTGCCTTTTCCCCTTAACCCAAAGGTTGCTACCCGCAATCCATGTTCTGAACGAAACAATAAAATTGATATTCGTTCAATTTCAAAGATCCAATCTCATCAATTGAAAGAATCTTTGAATGAATGGAATTCTTCACATTCCTTATACTTTAATCATACCCTAATTCTCATCCAATCTATAAGAAGTACCAACCTCCCCTCCAATCAAATAATCTTACAACTAATCTCCCGACAACCCCACCCATAAAATTCCTCTTACGTCTTTCTCATCCGGCTCTCAGCTCAGTGACCAACAAACAACAAACATGGAGGCCTCCCCAGAAACCCATATTCGAAAGAAAGCAGATACGGCAACAATTCCCGAAACACCCCAACCCATAACACAACGCAGCACCCAATCGCAACTCCCCGTATCGCGTGTCAAACCCACTCAAGACGAACCTATCCCTAATCTCCCCGATACCCACCATCTAGTCCTGACCGAATACCAAATCGCAATCTCGACTTTCGATACCCGATTCCTAAGTATGGGCGTCCTTCTAATCCAAGCCTCATCTTCATATTCGGATCTTGTAGATGCCATTAGAGGCCGCGCAAGCAATTGGGAGGATGTTCCATTGAGGTGTAGGGAGAAAAGTATTGCGGTGAGATGGGAGATTGGTCAGATGGTTTATGATGATTCGTATGATACTGTTTGTGGTCCTGATGTTGTTATGGATAGGCTTATATTCATGACGCGCGAGAGGGGCTGGAGGGATCGTTTGATTGTTGTGTATCATGTGGAGGAGAATGATAGCGGTGATGATAGTGAGCCGAAGGTTCGGAAGGCTTCTCCAATACTGTGAAGATCAGCGGATCGTGAGGGGAAGAGCTAGGTCAACGCGGGGGATAACTTCGCGTAGAGCATCTTGAGTTTTTTCAGATCAAATCGTCATGTTTCAGCATGATAATAGAGCGAAAGAACACTAGCTCCAATGAAAATAAATGTAAATAAATTAAATCAAATATCTATAAGACCCCGTGATTTTGTTGCCCACAACACTAATATACATGATCAGTCCCTACCTTACTCAAGAGACTTCCTCTATCAATTTCCCACCCATAGCATTCCCGCTAGACTTAATTCCACCCTGGAACAAAGCACCGGTAGGACCTTCCATCCACTCTTCTGGTACACCAATTCGATTTCCGTCCTTATTACTAACCCATCGAACGAAAAGCGGGTTCGGCTTCTGGGGTTCTCCTTCCGGAGTCGCGTCAACAACGGGGCCATTGAGATCTTTGCGGCGAGCGTTGGTCTTGGGTGCTTGCTTCTTAAGAAGTTTGTTGATTGTTTCCATCTAAATATGTATAAGCAAGGTGAACTAGCTGTGAAAAGGAGACCAAGTGGGTAACTGGATAACTCTTGGGATGCGGTTACCTTCTCTTCTTCATTACGCTTTTCGCTAAGGTTCTTCCTCCTTCGTGCCATTTCGGCACGTCTCATAGCATGCTCTTCAGCTGTGAGATGTTTCTTCACTTGGACCTCTTGAGTAGACATTAGCGCGTGGCCACTAGGAACCATAAAACAACCTACCATCGGGAAGAGCCATGAGATATCCACTAGCAGCATCATCGAATCTTGCTCTTTGTCTCCTGGTCAATTTATTGAGATCGGGAGTAGAACCCCTGCTCTCATTTGCGGGATTTTCATCATCACTATCGAGTAACTCATCTTCTTCCGCAGCCACTTCCATCTCCTCATCTTCTCCCTCTGCATCTTCCTCATTTGCACTTTGCATTACTTCCTCCTCCTCGATTTCTTCTGCTAAGTCACTGTCAAGTTCACTGAGTTCATCGTCATCATCACTGAGCCCCATTCCCTGTTGCTCAACAGTAGCAGTGGGTACTTTGGGTGGCTCCTTCACAGTGATTTTAGTTTTTCCAGCCGACGCTTTAGAAATTTGGATGGTAGGTGGAGTCGGTTGCACATCCATATCGACGTCTCCGTCAGCATCTAGATCGTCATCTTCACCCTCCGCATCGGGATCATCTTCACCCTCAGCATCTTCCATTTCTTCATCATCTTCTTCACTCTCTGATTCCAAAACATAACTCTTCCTAACCTTCCTGTTTCTCTTGCCTTCGAGGATCTCGCCACCGACAAATTGATCTCGGCTATTAACCATAACAGGCGGGCCAGTGATAGGGCTTGACCTTGTCGCTTCTCTCAATTTACTTGATGATGTCTTGACCGTCAAACGCATTGACTCTGGACTTTTTGATTCCGGAGGTGCTGGTCCACGTGATACTGTGGCTGTTGAGGCGGGCTCTGGATTGGTGCGACGCGATCGTGATGACCTAGGAGATATCTGTTCAGAAACAATAATTACGTCTCTTGCTTTGGCAGCTGCCGACCGCTGACTGCGACGTGTAGACATCTTGCCCACAGATAGCAATCAAATACGAGGTGAACAAATTGAAGGAGAGTGTAGGTTGGTTGATCGTGATGGATTCCTTGATCCACGATTGTTCCTTTTTGAGGCTATTGATAATACGGCAAAGGATGTGGAGTGATTTAAGCACAGTTGATGGTGAATCAGTTGGCAAGGGCCTGCCTGGTCACTGCCTTGATAAGATAGAATTGCGGAGAATGACCGGTGAGCAAGGCGATTTGCATACATAAACGCGCTGTTTTTACACAATTCGCCCAATCCTGTCTTTTCAAGACTGACCAACCACGTTGCTAATAAGATTCATCCTCTGATGCCTCGTCTCTCGTCCCTTGTTTGTACGACGAACGCAAGATATGATTATCGTAAAACAACACGAGGGCTAAATCGAAGAGTGGAAAGAGAGTGGACGATCAAAGGTAACGCTTAATTACGGAGATTTGCGCAAAGTAACATGTTACCAAGAACAAACGGAGGATTAATGCGACAGTGAGAATAGTGGAAATTTCAAAGACTTACTCGTTATTGTTGGTGGCTGCATCAGCCCTACCAGCTTTTACACGGTGATCCGTCCAATCGATTTCTCCATCTCCCTCAGAATCAGTACTGAGTTTACGTATACGCTTACTGGGTCGCTCGGCTTTTCCTGACATTTTGATACTCGTTGATACCCACTTCTTAAAGTATATCGATGTTTATCCCTAGGGCTAGCAGTGTGATAATGGGTGATGTCGAGTTGAGTTGTCGAACCAATTGGTGATTGTCGTTCAAAAGATGTTCAAAATCGATAGATCGTAATAGAATAGAATGGTAAAAGTCGTGAATGTTCAATATCAGAAGTTGTGAAGTGTGAAAGAGATATTTGCGACAATATCGAAGTTTAATTGTCGCGAATGCTGATACATCCAAAAACGACTAAGGTTGATTCACAGCCAATCAAAAAGTCCACTTTGAGATTATGTCAGCAGCCTTCAGTGCCGAGGCACATGTTAATACTGACACCGACAATTCTATCTATCCTGCCGGAGCTTCAGAGCTCTCACTTATTATTCAAGAAGCTCCTTCAACGAACCACACGGAGCAAGATGAGCGATTCTGACAAAGAGACTGAAAAGCCAGGCGTGCCTGCATGGCAACTTCAAGGCGATGAGGAACTGTCCGATGAACCACGAGAAGAAGTTGTTGAATCACCAAGTCGGACGGCAATACTCGAGCAGGCGAGGAAGTTCTTAGAGGAAGATGAAGTGAGGAATGCGTCTACGGACAAGAAGATTGCTTTTCTAGAAAGCAAAGGTCTTGAAGGAGATGATATAAAGGGGCTACTGGGTGTCTCGCGGGATGATGAAGCCACAAATACCTCTCTGGTTAGAACACCGGAAGCCAAACCACAACCTCGACTGCAGCCGCAGCCGCTGCCGCAGCCGCGATCTCTGCCTCCAACCACCCAAGCAAGCTATTCACCAGCACCTCGCGATCAACCCCCTATAATAACCTATCCCGAATTCTTAGTTCAACCATCTCCTTCTTCCAGCCCTTTAATTACCAAACACCGCCTTCTTACGACTCTCTATCTCTTTGGCTCTTTCAGCTTCCTTCTTTATGGCACAAATACCTTTTTGATACGACCTATGCTCAACACCCTCACTGAATCCCGACGATCCCTATCTTCTGCCACTCTCAACAACCTCCAAAAATTAATCCACAAACTCGAAAATTCCGTCTCCGAAATCCCTCCTACCTACCACTACCGTAAATCCTTCCAATCCGATTATCTAGACTCTGATTCTAGCTCCGTAACCAGTGATCCCACCGAGCTTTTCCACCGCGACATCGGGGTCCAAACATCTCTTCCCTCATCACCTATACAAACACCTAGTTCACCGTCCCTAATCTCCCACGCGAATACCGCAACCACACCAACCGCAATCCAGGCATCGCGTCTGACAACCCTGCAGGGCACATTGTCATCACTAATAGAAGACTCGACGTACGAATCATCCGCAAACGAAGAGCTAGAAACGAGAATGACGATGTTGAAGGAATATCTACAAGGATTGGTTTTCCCAACTTCATTTAACTATCGCTCTGGACCTTATTCGGATGGACGGGATAGAAATGGAAATGATAAGGAGGGAGAAGATGAGTTTGCAAAGGTTAAGAGGGAGATTAGAGGAGTTAAAGGAGTTTTGCTTAGTGCGAGAAGTTTTCCTGGGGGTGTTAGGGCGAAATAATGGGCGTGGGGAGAAGAATGCATGGTAATGGCAGGTTTAGCCAATAATAGATGAGCTATGAATGGATATATTTTTTTTTAGTATCATTCGTGTATGTGCATGCTTGCTTGCTTGATTGAAAGTGTGGTGATGAGAGACCATGTGATTTTGATTAAAGTATGAGAACCTATTATATTCTTTAGGTGAGAACCTCACCGTCAACTTTGCAAAACTAAAAACAACTTAGCACAACCATTCCAACATATCAGACCAGAACTCCGAAGGTGTGTATCTTCCGTCAAAATACTCAATCTCGTGTTTTTATTCATGCCTCAAGATAACCATGAACCTATGAATCTACATGCCCAGCCCCTCGATAATATTCACCATCCAAGATTCAAAATACACTGGATTTCGAAGACCCTTGATTTCGAAGACCCTTTAGCTTCTATGCAGAGATATTTGATACATAGGAGACTCGGAAGCCACCATGCTGAATTATGGTGTTGAGCTTATTGAACGATGTATATATGTGTATCTTTTGTGCAGCTTAGTTATTCTGAGGAAATAGAATAGATTTATATATGCGTGAGGAGGAACGATAGGGACTGGTTGGTTCATTGGGTGTATATTTGAAGGTTAGCATGTCATGTTAAAATGGTAGGATGAAGTCACAAGTAAGGTGTGCAGGAAGTAAGAATGATATTTTTCCCCAAAAAAAATTGGGTACGTAAGTCATGAGTAGGAAATGAAGAAAAGAGAAAAAGAGAAAATAAATCTTAGAATAGTGGTATTGAATTCCTCCACGTCGATCCATCAGAAGATAGAGTATCAATTTAAGAGTAAAAGTAGTGATTGGAGAACCATGAACTGAGGTGCAAGAAATCGAGAGTGACTACAAGGAAAGACAATAGAAGATAAATTTTAGAATAATGAAATCCAATTCCTCCATATCGATCAGCAAGAGAGAGTTAATTAAAGCAATGAAGAGAAAACCATGAATAGAGGCGCCAGTAGTCGAGACTGACTATAAGGAAATAAAAAAAAGGAGAAAATAAATCCAAGCACAATGGGTTCAATCCCTCTATCCCTCTACATTCCTTCATCAAAAGAGAAAATATCAAGTCCAAAGCAACGAAATAAAACCATAAACAGAAGTGCCAGAGATAAGACTAGCTACAAGATCCAAAAATAACAATAACATGATTGCGGTAACAATTTAAGCAGAATGGAAGCACTTTCCATGTTTGAAAAGTGTATCATAAGTCAATAAAGAACACTGATAATGATTATCTGGTCATTATGTGCTAGATGATGGGAAGTTAGGTTTGCCTAGGATACTAAGCATTAAAGCTATTCCCATTGTGTATCCAGATTGAAGAGGAAGAGTTTTTCATGTTCCTCGAGAAGGTTTCTTTGTTGCTGGTTTACCTGTCTTATATCCATCTAACACGGATGTCCATCATAAAGATGATGTTTTTCCCCAGAAAACGGGTGAAAAAGTGTATAGCATGCAGGCTCAGTACATTGATAACGATTTTTTTTCTGTCTAATGGTATGTAAGTCTCTTCTTCAGGATGCTCTTTTTGATGATGCTTAATGAGGTCTTTCTCTCTGAAACAACCCCGTCTTCCAACACGTGAACATCCAACAATTTTGCAAGGGAATGTACACTCATTGTGCTCTTCGCGCATGTGCTTTGTGAACTCTGATTGGCTGCGAAATGGTGCCTGGAAGTTTTCCAGTGGAAGGGGAAGCTTTTCGAATTCAAGACCGCAATATTGTGGGCATTCTGAATGCGTGCAAATAGGATAAAGACCTAAGATATTTGATGTCGAGTTCGTAGTCCCATCGTGTGTTTGGGAGGAGGCGTCGATTTCGTGGTGATGATATTGTCTCAAGTGTTGTAACAGATGATCTTTGCGACGAAATCCCTCGACACCACGATGGCGTTTACAGAAAGTACGTGGATACTGGGGAAGATCGGTCCCAAAATTCTTGAGATGTCGATTAAGGACGTCAAGTCTCGAGAATAATGACCCACAACTGCAGGCATATGGATTGTGTTTGCGCTCTCGGGCATGTCAATATAAGTCGGACTCCAAAAAAGAGTTCTCTTGGCATTCGAAGCAATGATAAGGATTCTGATGCTGAATAAGATTGTGTCCTGTTCCGTGATGTACCCTTTCGTGAGCTTTTCTCTCTGGAAAAGAGACGAAAGTTTCGTTGCAATTATCAAGTCTGCATTTGAAATCGCGCGCGCGACATATTTCGCTTGGGCTAGCATGAAGTTCGTTCCCGGTCTCGTTTGCTTGCATGTGATCTTGAATGTGGTTATTGTTTTTAACAGCGCACACCCTTTTTGTTAGCAAGTACTAAAAAAAAAACTCACCTGTCAGATTCCATCAAGCCTAGATCAGGCGAGGGATCAAAACAGACGTATTAATCCATCCAATCGTTTCTTCGAACATTAGCTCCGACATAACTTTTGAAGCGGCGAGAGAAATGAATGTATGATGGTTGAAGGATCTATAGCAAAATTTGTGTGCTAGGCCTCCTTTCCTCGATGCGGGAAGCTGCTATCCTTATGCACGACTTATGACTGATCTTTCAAGCAGCGATGATAACCTAATATTGTGGCTTGCTTGGCTCTCATAATATAGGGTGTTTCCATCGCCCGGTGAGCGTTTTTGGTGGTGACATCTGGGCTCCACGGGTTGCACCACAGGACCTCTAATCTTGGTGAGGAATTGAAGGGTGTTTTTGGAGTGTTACGGGAAGGATCTAGCGCGAAGAGCAGAAAAACTCCCGTCTGCTGATCACGAGAAATCGAATAGTGGCCTGATAACACATATCACGTGTCTATCTTTCTTCGACTTTGACGCAGAGAATGAATGTCGTAATATCGATCCCGGGTTAGTGCAGGGCTTAGAAATATACCAGCTATATTGAAAACAGCCATTAGAGATATCATGTTTTTGCGCCACGTACATTTCCGATCTTCTTCTTGTATGCAATACTCCAGGGAAAGTTTCGTAGAAGGAATGATCATCCATCTTTGCGAAGACAGTGGTTAGAAACTACATCCGCGATATCGCATCGATGTGCCAACTGAATAGGATGGCTATTCATCAATGTTACTATTGTATCTAAACAATAAGCCATCCTCTTGATTCATATTTCAAGATACGAGGTACAAAAGGAGTCCTGCAAACAAGTGGATGCCGGAGCCAATGGCACTATCAACAGGCAACACTACACCCGGCTTTTACTTCCGTTTAGTTGATTTTACCTGGTGTTAACAAGTATTATATGTTCTGACACATCCGCACCTTTCTCATAGCGCAGAAATGTATCATCATGATGGATTCGGGGTCTTGGGAGGGGATGGCCAAAGACACAAAATGTGCTCGTAAGAGATTGAATGCTATCAAAGATAAAATGAGATTTTATTGAGTAATTGCTCATCTCTTTTGATTATCGGTGCATGTCGGGTATCTACACTTTGTTGTATCTTGGGGTTAGACGATTTGGGCGGTCAATTTCAGGCTGGCACCAATAATACTCAACAGTTTGACTAAGCTCAAGATTATTTAGACACAACATCAAACGCTTCACAGATTTAAGTACCATATTCCTGGGATGAACACGGCTTATCGGTATTATCCTAACTGTTTCGGACTGATCAATGTCCCTTCCGATCCCACTTCCATGCCATAAAACTTGGAGTTCATCATGGACCTCAGGATGTTGTCAATGATATTGAACTACATCCTAGGGACGTTTGAGAAATTATGCCACTCTTCACAAGCCATACCCGTCTACAACACATACCACTCCATAAGAATCAACGCTACTATGCCCCATCTAATTCCTAACAACCCCACCGCCTGCCTTCTCCCGTCCGTGCCATCAAGGCTTCATCCCATCGACAATCACATCTTCCTGCCATTCTCCGAGCCAGTCACTTTTTCAAATGTCTGGGTCGTCGCCAGATACATAGCGCCACCTTTCTTATACTTCTTAAGATCTCTAAATACCCCACTTCCCCACAAAACCAATGCCATAATGCCAAAGTATAGAAAAAGGGTACCCAAGGTACACATAGTAAAGATATACCATGAGTACACTCCTAAAGGCTTGATCAAAGGTTGAAGAGCTCCCGTCCCTGCTTTGATACTGCTCCATATGGGATAGCCTAGAACCAATGCCAAGTTCAATACGCAAGCTACTTGAAAGTCTGAGGAGGTGTTTAATGTCGAGATGGCAGTTGATATATTCTTCAGTGTAGTACGTACTAAGGAAGATCAAAGCGATAGTGTTGTAGACGAGAGAGGCTTCAAATGGTAAGAGCCAGATAAGGTCGTGCTGTACTGTGTCTGGGGGAGGTCCTGCATAGAAGATCCATCGTACGGCCAGTACGAAGGTGGCGAATGAAGGGAGTGTCGGGTAGAAGAAAAACGATTCCGATACAAAATTCGAGAGGCCCTTGCTGCTGCCCCTCCCAGCCTAACTGTGCTGAAATCGATGATCTGAATGTCTGACGAACTTCTGTGTAATGAAAGTAGCCCGCGAGACACGTGCGAGGCGGTGATGCTGAAGAAATAACAGACGGAACGAAGGGGACAAAGGAGTAATAAATCATCGATACCTACCCTTCCCGAGAAGGTACCAGCAGTTAGTACTATGGGTACCAACATTTTGGCACTGGTCAGATGTTTTGATGATCAAGCTACCTCAGCACCATTATGCTGTACCCATAAGTCTATCAAACCCACCAACGAAAGGCAATTATAGAAAGACCATGTGGAATCTTGAAGATTAAGTGGATAATCAAGAGATACTCGCATTAGAAAAGACTATCTTTATTGGAGAATTAGGAATGGGGAGAACTGAAAAATGCCAAGTTAGATAGCTGGCATTGACCAGCTAGTCATAGATGATGTCACTTTAACGCTTTGAAGCGGACGCTGCCGCTTGAATGGTCTCGTATAAGAGTACTACACTTAATGATTGTGGCTTATAAATTATAATGCTTGAGATGCAAGAAAGGACAGATGTTCTCGGGGAGGAGGTTTCAAAATTATCTTCGGACAAGCTTAGCTCATCCTGGAATTAAGAACTAACTTTCGAATTGTTTGCTGTTTGAGTCCTCATACTCTGGTTGAACTTATGGAGTTTTATGCCTGGAACTGCCTCCGATATCATACCTAGATACTGCTTACAAGGACCTCCGAATTTCTAGCACCTGCCCAGCCTCTAAGTCCGGGCTGTCTTCCAGTTTCTTCACTCGTTGAAAACTCGAAATCTATTGCTGATGCTGAAATTCCAGAATATGCGGGAAGTCTTTAGTGTGTTCAAGCCTGGAAGTGAATTCAATATCTGAAGTCGACTTGGTGCCTGAAGATATTTAAACATCAGACGACTTCAATGTATAGAACCGATTCCAAGAAAAGTTTTTTTATAGTCTGTTACAATCTTGACCGCTAGAAACGGTAAAATGCAATAGGCTTCCTCCATCATTCATCTCATACAATAAAATCCACCACTGGCATGCTACCTCAGGCCTCTCCAGGCTCTTTGTGACTACTCAATTCTATACTTTCTTCATCGGTCGCTACAGGGTCATATAAGTCTCCCAGTTCGTCAGAGCTAATTGGCAGCCAAGTTGCAGCCAAAACACCAGCATAGAAAAGCAGCGTGAAAAAACCAAAGACTATTAACCCAGCCCATTCCCCTCCAGAGTTTTCTTCGCTTAATGGTCTCAAGTCTCTTGATAGTGCCTTGAAGATAGCCACTACAGCCCAGCACGATAATATGGTCATGATCGTGGCGCACTCAATTCGAGTAACCAAATCCCTCATTGCAACGTTGTAGGGCCGCTTATTTGGACGTTTCGAGCTTCGATTTCCAAGAATGATGAGCATGGTAAAGCTATAGAAGAAATCGAGTGGGACCGATTCGGGAGGCGGCCCATGGAAGATCACCCAAGCGGCGATTCCGGCAAGGACATTTGAAGTGCAAATTATTGGAATCCACCATGAGAAAGATCTCCCTTTGAAAATAGATACCATGTCGTCGTATTTCATCGTTGCGAATAGTGCGGGTAACGAGATATATTGTATTGTCACAAATGATATCAACTGATTCTTATCGTTGCAAATTAGTTTGATAAAGACCAAAAGTTGGATTGTTGGATGACTTAATGTAAGAATAATGATGAGAGGGGCTGACAAGAAACTATTTAGAACGGTAGGTATTCAAGTACATCTTCTAGCTTCATCTGAATAGCCCACTATCCAGTCACCAGAGATGATCAGTGCTTGAGTGAGTGGTTTGATTAAAGGAAAGAAGGGGAACTCAAGCCTAAGCAAGCTTAGTGAGTACGCCAAGCAGGAGTAAGTCTTGAGCTAGGTCCGCGCTAATTGTCATGTTAAATGTGCCGGTGACTTACTAATCACTTCCAGCAGATCAGCTAGCGAACTTTTTAGACTTTCAAATGGTCTGAATGTCAAATGCGGTGGATTTCAAGTCGGATCTACAGGCTAAGAGCGAGTTTGGAGCTAGAATCTATGAGGATAGAGTTGACGAAGGGAGGGGAGGAAAGGCGAAGGAGAAATATGCGAAAAGGGAAAGTGCAAATGGGGAAAGACTAAAGGAAGAGAAAAAGACGGGGAAAAAAACGGGAGGAAAGGTTGAATGAACGTAGAAGAAAAGTTGAAGAAGGAAAGAAGAAATATAAAAATTCAACGAGATATTCAAACATCAAGAAAAAACAGAATTTATACCTTGATTTCTACCTCTTTAGAATCTTTAGTCTTTCCAGGTCTTCTAGGCCCTGTTAAAACTTCGAAAGGTATTCTTCGTATAACAAAATACTGAATCGTCCTTCTTTTGAAATTTTAGTATTTCAAATTTTTTATATGGGCGCAAATACTAGTAGTTAAATAATAGTATTCAAATACTGACTACAAACACGAATTCTATAATAAAAAATATTTCACCTACTACCTTTGAAATGTCAGTTAATAATACCAGAAATCTTTCAGCTACCAAACAAGCCCTTAACCTAGCTCCCTTTGCCTTTATGAGGCTCAATAAATGACATGCGTATAACCGTGACCATTGATATTCTTCCAAACATGCCACCACCACCATCATCATGAACTACATGGTGATGAGATGTTCATAATGATCATTAGGTTCATCAATGAGGTGTCAATCCACAATGCAGTGTTGTGTTCCTATACTAAGAAGGCATATATGTCATGTCACATGTGTAGTTTCGACGTTGATGATACGACTGTATAACCTAGGAGAGAGGTGTTCGTGTATGCGGAAGTCGTTGCTACAAGACCAGGAACCTAGATAAGTCTGATATAGTACTGGAGTACTTGTAAGATCTTATGTGGCAGGCTGTGACACTAAAGATGACTGTGGATTCGGATTGATCAAATACTTGATGAGGATATCTCTCTATCACTTTGTAGACTAATTATCTTCTGCAAAGGGAGACTGCGAATAGGTCCACCGTTTCTGTAACTTGTACATACTTCAAGTCCGAAACCCAGTAAGTACAATGGACGGAGCCCAGCCTTACCCACGGTGAAATCCCTGGGACCGTCAATGCATACATCAAATCATCCTGCGCCTTCTTTGGATGAGTTCCCATCATCAAAAATGTGACGCCTTGAATATTACAACCCCCGCCACACTCGTTCCATCCGGGAGACTCGTATGCATCAGAAATCAAAATCTATTATCTTCGCATTTCCATCCACAACCTAATAAACAGATAGCCTAAGCACGCAGAAATCAAATCAGACAAATCAGAGAAATCAGAGAAACTGAAACTTCTCCCTATTCCATTCCTGCGTAGACCACATAGCCACACAACCACGCAACCTCTCCAAACATCCATCCACAAAACCATAAACCTCATAACCATCAAGTGCGATTTCTCCATACCAGCAAATCTTGACCCCTCGAACTGCCGTCGGTTATAAGGCGAAATCCCTAAGGGTGATAGATATCCTAAAGCAATTCTGATACATTTTCACGAAATGCAATTACAGGACCCTTCCATAATTAACTGTCCAATTGTAGTATTGCCAGATGCACCTACGGAAGGAAGACAATATGTTCTTCTTAATCCTAAAGCCCTCAGATAAGAACGTTTCATAATGATACAGCGCAATTGAGTAGCCCCCTTTGCATGGGTCCGCAAAGTTCCTCGACTTAAATTGTTCGGGCGATATTCGATAATCACTCCCTAGAAATCCAAGTCTTGGGGATTGTATCGAATCTATCGATACTATAAATAACTTAAAATTTTCAAGGGGTCAATCTTGTCTTAATATCCGAACAAATAAATATCTAAAATCTATCACGAAATGCTAAAATCAGGAACTTATCTACAAAATGTAGCTACCCCACCCACCACTGCCTACCTTCGTCAAATTATCTCGCGATGCGGCTTTGATTCCTTCCCTTGACTTTCTTAACTTTCGTCGTCCATTTCTTCCTTTGAGAAGCAGCTCCGTCAAGTTGATCTGGCATAAGAAGTCGTTTCAAGAACAAGGCTCTGATTAGCATAGAAAGAACTCCGAGCCAAACAACAACCAGTATGACAGAAATCACGGTCCCAATGATACGAATGACATTTGAGCCAAATGCTGTTCCTATTTGTATAGTTGCTGTAGCTAGTGCGGTATTTGGAAATATAAATGAATTCCTACATGTGTTAGTAATTTATTCTTCAAATTAATGGAGGAAAGCCCGTACCATGTCATATCAGCACTTATATGATGCTCAGGGTGATTAGGCTGCAAGACTTGCCAATGAGCACCCATTGAAATCAAGCAAAACCAAAGGCATAGACCCCAGATGAAAAGTCCCGCGAAATTTCCCATCAAGTACAGAATAAACGGACCATCAGTATTGCCCATATACCCGTCTGGTAAAATTGTTGTTCTGACAGAACTCGCCAGTCCAACAATTGCTGTTACTGTGAACCCACTTGGTCCTACTGACACGAACTAATAGTAGTAAGCGACTGAAAAAATGCCGTGCGGGGTATAATTTACCATTCCCGGCCGTGTAGTCTCTTGCGGGAGCTTTTTAGTCATCAATCGATACAGGAAAGCACTGTAAACCATTAGACTAAGGAGAAATCCAATTCCTTGGAAGCAAATCGCCCCAAAAGCAATCGCAGGAGAATTCATACGTGCAGCTGCAGATGCATCTGGCAAAGTAGAAATAAGATTTGACGCAATTGGACCGGTCAAGAGCAATGGATAGGCAGGAAAAGTCCAGAGGGGGGTCATGTTAGAAATGGGAAATTCTCTAGTAGAAATATAAGCTGATGTTGTGCATGGTAGGGTTTACACTTACTGTGTGGACCAAAGTAATAAATAAAGACCAGAGCTTGCCAATACGCTCAACGTGCAGTATACCCAAAAGCACACATGCATGGTAGTTTGGAACCATACTCCGGTCTTTGGAATGCCATATTGACACATCGTTACAAGTATTGTTCCTACACTATTAACATTTAGTAGCAATTGTTTCGTTGATGAGGATGTTACATACGATATCATCTGATAATACGTTAGATTATTGTACAACGGAAATGATTGGAATCGACTTACACAAGCAGGAATATACAAAGATTCAGATGGACTAAGGAAAGATTTAGAGAAACTTCCAGGTTTCCATTTGAAACGAAGAGACATTAATACACAAATCATTATAAAAAATGCAAGATTCAGGAGGAATACAACTTCTCCCAGGATCTGCAACCAGTTCGACCGATATGGTACTATAGGATGTCAGAACTGATCCCAAGAGCAATTATAACAAGATGATATACTGGAATGGAGGACATTTGCAATTCCTCCAGTTGCCATTGTCAAAGTAAACCAAGTCCATCTCAGACAACCAATGCGATCCCGAACAGTAACTTTGGCAGCTGCTTTCTCCCTGGTATCTGGCTGCTGGTCCACTTCGCCTACCCCATGATCATCCTTAACAACCAAAGCCTCTGATCCGGCAGAGCCTCCATTGTCTGAGTTGTTGGTATTTGTATTCCCATGTCCATTGGCATCCGCATACCCATTTTCTATATCAGATCTCTGCCATCGATGCCTATATATACTGTCATTCGTAGATGAATCGTCTTTAGAATATGATATCTGCGATTCACGGGAATCTGTGTGAGCTGCATCGTCCATCAATCGTGGTAGAGGTAACGTAGTTGACATCTCTTGAATATATCTTCTTCTGGGGCGGTTGAAAAGATTTTTGATACCGCGTACAGAACCAGGAGGAAAAAAGGACCTAGGGTAGTGAGAGTGAAAGTGAAATTCACGAGAGTCGTAATGAAGATTAGGATTTGGAGGACAATTGATCCGAAATTGCTCAAAGCCATGGTGAAGGCGGATGAGCGGGGGGTGTATGGATTTCTGGAAGACCGGCAAAACCTTGGACTTGAAGAGGATTTTTCCTTACGAAGTAGTGAACTAAATCAACTCTTCTAAGAACTAGCATTGGTCACTGGCGAGAAACTTGGTCGAATATTTCTTGGGCTTGAGGAGTAGATGTGGGATGTGGGTGGATTGAAGAGAAGAGCTTCAAGGTCCTTGTAATTATTTGTGGATAAATACCGTCACTGACGATTTTAGTCTGGGATACCGGCAAAATCTTTCCGACTTGCAAGCGCTAACCTTAGCGGGATAGACGGCTTTCACGTGCGAGTCATCATTGATACCTTTCATCTTGACATCTCGTTTCCTTCTAGTAAAAGGGCAACTCACTCATCATCCCTTACAATCATTATTATGTACCGGCGACAGTGATATTATACCAACACATTCATTCACTATTGTTTTTTATATCTCATTATCAAATTCTATGAGAGATCTATGGACGAAGGCAGGAGATTCTCCCTAATGGATGCAATTTGATACATCCTTTGTGCTATATAACTACTACTATTAATGAATACTAACATCTTCTATCGGTTCATTCTTCATCCATCATTCATTTCTATATTTGTCCATTTCTCTGTCTTCCTGTTCCTTCGGCACACTCAACTTGTGTTTTTACAATTCTTCATTCCTCTTCCAGTTCTATCTCCATTTTTGATTCCAACTTCACTTACTCCATTTTCCTAGGTATCATTTTATCAATATTTGTGTCATAGCCCTCGCATTCAGTAAATACCCTTCCTTGGACTCGAAATCCCTCAGGTATTCTCTCCGTACTTCGCCAGCTTTCCCACTTCCACCATGTCTTTGAGGACAATACGTTTTGGTCCAATCGCTTTCTCATCTACCTTGGACAAACTGTCTCTACATGCAGAATATGAAGTTGTCGTTAGATTACCGTGCGGAAAGCTCGAGTCCTTGTCAGTAGATGAGTGTCTGAAAGCATTGACTTCAGGTGAAATATGGGTTTCTAGTGGAAATTCATGCCGGATTGATCTCAGCATTACTGTCGATGGAAGAGAACTGGTTAAGTCAAATGATAATCATATCGTTGAGTCATTGGGAAAGTTCGTTGCAGGGTCAAAGGTTTGTGAGATCAGTACTCAGAGGAATAACTTACATGCTTACCATTTTAGATATGGGGACAGCTTGGATTATCCACGATACTTCATTTGCAAAATGCGTCCTTACAAAAGGAAAGTCTCTCAATTCGGCTCAATCATAATGAACCCTCAACTTTGTCAGTTGTTAACTCTCGACCTTGGTCATATACAACTACCGATGTTAAGGCACCAGAAGCACTACCATGCGTTCAGATGGAACGATTAAGATTGTGCCTAGCATTTCGATCGCCGCCTGTAGTAAAGCGAATTTCAAAGAGGGTAAAACCTTCTGCTCTGGATCCTGGGATTGACAAAAATTCTCCTGTACGGTTCAAAATTAATAATTCTGGTGCGCCAACCAAATCATTGGTCATCAAGCTCGGCCCTAGCGAGAGGATATCATTGCTTTTGAAGAGTTTTGATTCAATTAAGCAATCACAAATTACTCAATCAACCGTGCCGACCACCGCATCATCAATCATCAAACTCCCTGGACAGAAGATATCAGGAATTTTGGAAGAGTATTCTAAAATTTTGTGTTCAAGTTTGACATTGCATGCCATTCCTGCGTTGTCCCAATTGAGCACCTACATAAGCTCACTTCCATTCTCCTACAAACCATCGACTTCTAGACGCACAATCTCTTTGAACAAATACGGTAAGAGGATAGATTACCCCATCAAAAACTTACAAAAGCTAGCAGTAAGGGCTTTGGAAAACAAAGTGGATAATTCTGTGCCATCAAAAGAAACAGGGATGGATGAGATCATGCTTCTATCAGGCGATGATAAGGACTCATCATTAACTGTTGAGAAACCTACCCGGAAACGCCGTGCCTTGGCTTGCAGTCAAGAAAATAATGCATACGTCCTCGATCCGACAGTATCATTCAAACTTGTTGGGGCAGCGATACGTGCAATGATTGCTGGCACCGAAATGAGACGTAGGGCAACAAATGGGGTGAAGATAGACAATATTTCAAATATTCCAGCAACTTCTTTGGCAACTTTGAGCCCAGTCATGTTTTCCCCGGGATTCAAGAAGGTAGTATTGCACTCTACTGTAAACAAAGTTAATCACTAACAAACACAGTCAATGGCGCATAACTCTCGCTACGCTCCTAGGATCATTCAGATGTTGACCTCTTTAGCACACAATGCACAGACCCTAAGCCTTAAGCAAAAGCTTGTAGACATTGCAAACATTCCGTCCTCTGAGTTTGCCAGTGGTATAACTGATGGAGAGATTGACGGTGAGCTAGACTCCGAGAAAAGACTAGCCGCCGTGGTTCAAGCTCGACTATGGTCAATGATGCAACGAACATTATATGATCCGTCGGCTGCTCATCAGGCTACCAACAAACGCATGACTTCAGATAATGCTCCTCTAATGGAGGAGGACGATGGATATGATGACCTTCTGAACTCAATCGGGACTGACGTTGATATAGAAGACCTGAAGAAGGGTGATGATGACTTTCAGTGGATTATTGATGAACACCACAGTGAAAAATCCGCATTCGACTGTATACTCATTGATTCCGAGGAAATATCAGGGGATGCTTTTGATGATATCCTTGGCGACGGAGATGATTTGCTGTTGAGTGATGAGGAAAGGGAAAGATTGGAAACAGAATTCGAAACGGAAGAAATGTTCTTTGGTCGTCGTTGGCAGCTCGAGGATGAAGAACTACTCTATGATGATTTGTTATTTGTGGAAGACTCAGCTCACGACGACTTATTACTCGAGGAGGAGAATGGTATATTGGGAGAGCGGCTATTATTTAACCGCGATGAGATGTTGCTAATTTGATACCTAAAGTGGGTCGATCTATGGCGGTTGCACCAAAAAACAAGCATTTAAGAGGTTTAGAGCATGGTCCAATGTTTCGAGCTTTGTGCGCGTTGCGGTATCCGTACGGAGTACGAGGCCCAATCAATCCCTGGGGAAACATTTCGTATTATGAGAGAAAGGGTCGTACAAGATGTTCGAGACTTTGACCTGCCACGATGAATGATTGGTCCAAGGTGTTTGCATATAAAAATGGAAACGAAACATGGTGCGCGTGTGGCTTAGATGGTTGACAGCTCATTGGCTCCATAAATTAGAGTCACCATTTGAATCCATGCTCACCTGGACCCAAACCCTGCCACCAAGCTAAGAAGAACCTTACTGTACTGCACACTGTAAAGTCGATGATTCTAATTGCTACGTCATCATTTGCCAAGCTTCAACATTATTCCAAACAGAACATTTTCTTTAGAAATCTTGGAATTTGTCCCTTGTCACCGCCAACCATTTGCATACGATCATGATTAACATATCATATCTGGGAAAAGAAAGAACCGTATGATGATCCTCTTTCCATTATTATGTATATATACTCGGTCAAAACTCAACCAGCACCAAGAAAGAACATCTCATCATTTTTATTGAAACATAACAACAAACTTCACGACCCACCATAACCAGCCTCCTTCAAAAACTTAAATCTAATCTTTCTTTAAACAACAAGCTTGAACCATACATACCCCACATTTCCGTCTTTCCTCACACATTATTATTTATATTGGGGTTCTCCATCTACCATCACCAAATTATCCTAATATCCTAATACCTTTCATATTTTATCTTATCTTTACACCGATCTTCACATCACAACTGAAACCACAACTGAAACCACACCTGGAAGAGAATCCATACCCAAAATCAACATGGCTTTCGCATATACCCTCCCTCTCCGCATCGTCCAAGCGGTCTTCGCTATCATCGTCCTCGGTTTAATGGCCTATGGTAAGCCTCAATCCACATCCTTTTCCACCTTCCCTCCCTCTGAGCTTCACAAAATTCAAATTCAAAAATCCCCAAAAGAAACACCTCACTAACAAAATCCCAAAATGTAGCCGCAGACGACTGGTCCTACTGGTGGAGTCCAGACTCCGTAAACTTCCTCGTCTTCGCAGCCGTCTGGACCCTCCTCGCTCTCATCTACCTCATCATTTCCCTACACATCCGCCGCTCATAAATTCGGTATCCTGTTTGCCGAAGCCGTTACCATGATTTTTTGGTTTGCGGGTTTTATTGCCCTGGCGGTTATGCTTAATAATGTCGGTTGTGGACATAGTCACTGGAGTGTTTGTCAGGCGAGTATTGCGGGTGATGTCTTTGCTGCTTTCTTGTGGTATGTGTTTTTTCTGTTTTACCCATTTTTCTTTTTTTTGGACAAGAATTTGTTGGACTGATTTATCTGTTTTAGGTTGTTGTTCTTAGCTACTACTATTATGGCTGCATTGCACGTTTCCCGAAGCAGCAAGAATAACAGTCATCATGATCCTGCTATGGAAGTCGCAGTTTAGATTTCTGTATTGGTCTGAGATGAGCTGCTCTGCTCTGCTTATATGTATACATAAGGTTATATATATCGGGACTTGATAGATTCCTCGCCTCATCGATGTATTCGATAGTGGATCCTTATGGGTTCTTGCGTCACTTCATCGATGTAAGTCTTACTTCGGAAATAATGGTTATGAATGAAATTTGTGGGAAGAAGGCGTCTGGATGGAGTTTGGTACTTGAGGAATAATTATGATTATGAACTCGGGATGAATATGAATGGATGGATGGGGAGGCGGGGATGAATAAATAAAATATGGGGAAAGAAAGAATGGTAGGATGGATGGATGGATGGATGAACGTGGACAATTATACCCAAAATGAAATTTACTTTGTGTTATTTATTTTTCTTGTTACTAGGAGCGGGTTTTAATATAATTATATGAAATATATGATTTTTTTTCCAGTGTGTTTATTTATTTATTATAATATATACAAACATCCAGCATTAAACATATATCCCTACTATCCCCCAATCTCCACATTTCATCCTCATTTACTATTTCTCATTCCTCATCCTCTTTCAAAGAAGAGAAGACAAGAAACAAGTATTCAAATATCTATACACAGAAAGTATACTCAGTTAGGATAACCATACCTACTCTAAATAGCACGTGAGTTTCATGTTGTGCGACCATGGAGATGAAAAGTTGAATCAGATTGCCATATATATGAGGGGTAACAGAGAGAGAATTGGGAGTAAAGACCTACGATCGAATAATTTTGTGTTTGGAAATAGAATTCAAAGAAAAATATCTGGATGTAGCAATGGTTTTAAAGAACCGGCCCAACTTTAAGATACTATAAGATTCTAGAAAGCAGAGGGTCCATGAGGATAGAGTTTGCGGGCTGCTAGGACGACAAGGAAGAAAAGGAATAATAGTAAGGTTAAGGATGCTTTAAAAGCAATTAAAATGATGCCTGCAGCACAAGGACCGATTATAAGGTTGATCGACGGAACGTAGCAGGCAGCGATTGAGAAAGGGAGATTAGAAACTATTTTTATGTCTAATATTGAGGTTAACGAGATTAATAAGTGAGGATATTTCTATGGTACAAGAATAGGCTGTTATAGTTAGTATTGGTATTGAAAGTTTGAACCGAAAAGACTCAAACGATGGGCTAATTAGCACGCGAGTCTATCCCTGGGGTGTTCCTGGGGTCGTGGGTTCTTCTGCACGAGTTGAATCCCATTTCGATCCTTGCAACAACTGTTGCAAGATCGTTTTATATTGGGTCAATGAGATCAAGCGAATGATAAAATGGAATGAAATGAAGAAAATCAGGACAGAAGATATAAATTACAAGAACTATTTATACGCCATTCTCTCGAAGGAGAGAGATGCCCAAGCCGAAAACCTCGTATTTAGCAGAGCAGAGATTCAGAACAAAAGTCAAAGTTCTAGTAGATATTCAGAAGAGACCAGAGAAAGCGAGTGTTAATTGTGATGCAGATACTGGAGTCGAAGATTTTGTCATCCATATTCCTGGCGGTTTTGCAAATATTGATGCTAAGACTCTAGATTTCTGTCGACCGCTCTGTTGACTCATTTGCTGATAATAATGTGTATTGATGTTTTGATCTATACGCTTGAAAAGACGAGTCTCAAACCTCCGCACCATGTGAGTGGTTCCGAATCTCCAAATCCCGATCAGTCACGCTGGCTGGTTTCGATATTATCAAAGTGTCACTGGTCACCACGTCGAATCATGTCAGCCTGTGCCGCGGGTAGTGCAAAGCTATTTCGTACCAAGAGAGAAAGCAGCAATAGGTTAGTGGCTTCTACACTCAGGAAGTGAGGCTTCCTCGTTTTAACCTTTGCATGCCGTTAACATTCCGCCACTTAGCACATCTCAGTATAAATGGTTCTAATAGATGCACTGCAATTAGTGGTTGGAATATCACCTATGCGAAAGACGACATTATCTCGAACAGTTTTTGGACGTTACAAGTAAAGTAATATAAGGAGTTTGCAGGATAATAAACCGGTACCACACCTTGTCTGATCGCAGCGAGACATTAGACAATGGGTTTTCTGGCAGGTACCATGCACCCGTGCAGAAAAGCAATTGATAGCTTGGTATCTTTACAAAAATACATTCGAAAAACATCAAGTCCACATAGAATCACCGTGTGTATTGCCTTACGGAAAATCAAATACTCGGCTCCACGAGACGCGCTTATAGTCGTCAGTCGAAAGATATGCGATGATTGTAGAAAATTCATCGAAATTGCCAAGAAGCACCTTGGCACCCCTGATCACTTTCGTGTAGAGTCCCAGACTTGCCCTGAGGATATATTTGACACATAGCAAACTGCCAAATTACTGGAGAGTTGTGATGAATGGAGAAATGCTTGAGTTTATGATGGTCTTTGGAAGAGATACTATACGCGAAAGAAGTGTTGAACTCGTCGGAAAACTATACTTATGTTTATTTTTAGTATTGGATTACCGCGAAAGGTATTTCAAATAGTTGACTCTTAAAATTTGCAGCTCTTCTTTATTTTAACCGTCGACATGAATTCAAGAAAAGATTAGTCGAAAATACGGTTAAAAAACTACACAACAGTGATCATCTATCCATGAGACAATGCACACTTCTAACAGCTGACTTCTCCACATATCCAACTACTTCATTGTGCGAGTATTAGAATCAATGAAGAAAAGCTGAGTTCAATAGCCAGCTGGAGTTAGGATAAAAGAATCTGATTGCAACATCACAATTTTAGGGCTCCGAATACGGGGTTGAAGGATCAGAGTGAGAATGATCTATGCACCAGACTTTCAAGGAAATTAATCACTAAGACATGTTCTAGGTGAGCATAATGCTGAATAGAGCCTGTATAGAATCAAAAGCTTGCTTTGAAACGGATGGTTTGGTCGCAGCGTTTCAGCTAAGAAGACCGTGACCACTGCACACTTCGATACGAGGACGGCACAAGGTTTGATAACGTTAACAACGAAAATAAGACACAAGTAGTCAGGAAACGGGCTCAGTTTGCACCAGCTGAGAATCAGATAGAGTTAGTGGGAAAATCTGCCTAAAATGGGCTGATAAACGGGATCCCCAAATCTAGTGTTTTATTGTTGTGTTCTGTGAAGCTTACTATGTTCCTAAGCGAGAAATTGTAGGTGAAGAAATCCCTTCAGCATGTACTTTCTAACTTTTACGCTTCAGGAAGACAACAATTTATACCTCTACATAAGTACATAGATACATCCATCTACATTACACATGCCATGCTGCGTAACCATCCGCAATTTTAGGAGGCTGACTGAAGCTGACTCAGATGCCCGCGCAGTTATTGTGAAGGAGAGAGAAATCACGGAAACACGCTTATTTCTTCACACATAGAGCCGAATATTATATAAAGATTGAAAGATATAAAATGTCTCAAGAAAACAAAAATCCAGAACATACTTTCAATGATGCTATGGTCCAAAATGACAAGGCTATCTTGTATGAAGCATGACCCAAGCAAAGCCGGAGCTTCTGATGTCCCCCAAGATCCGGCTGAAGATAGCCAGAAGAAACAACATGAGGAATACAACCGAAGCGAAGCCGCAATTCAGAATGAAACACCCGAAATCATTACATCTAGCCCTGTCAGAAGTTTACAGAGCAGCCTTCATCCAGAACGCGATGATAAGGGAAGCCCGAAGAAGATCAATGATACGACTGACAAAGTTGACATACTAGCTCAGTCATTTGCAAAGCTCACAACATTCGAGAGAGAAAAAACATTTGAAGAAACCTTCGCCGAGTTAAAACTTTTGCCTGATCCCACATTGAAGTGCTTTTATTCCCTAGATATACCACATGAATTTGCAACACTAGAAGACATTCTGCGGAATTTGGGGAGTTCGATTATGAAAGCTCCGAATGGAGAAGAGGAATTTAATGATCGAAGCATGACTATCAAGCAACGGAATAACGCTCGCTTGTCACTGATGAAAGCATATCTCTTTGGATGCGCAAATTTACTTGCTTTCCCTGAAATCCTGGAAAAGCTTGCGGTACGGCATGATCCCGAGGGAAAGCATGATGAGACGTCTATCACTTCAGTTGGAACGACAACCGATGACCTCATAGATGACACGGAAATTTATACGCCGACACTATGTGAAAAGTGTTCTAATGAACTAGCCTCTTTCCAAAAAGTCGATATTGACGAACCCCCTGCCCAGCATGCACGCGGTCGATCAGCTTGGTTTGAAATCGTAGTGGATTCGCGACCGGGACGAAGTTTGTACTACGATATCGAGTTATTTGAACGGGTGCATACATTCTCGTTGAAAAAGTTTAATGAAAGTTCTTATGAGAAGACTGTGGGTGAGTTTTGTTCTTATTAATTCTGTGTCATTTCAGCGCTGTGGTGTTGACGTTTTTTTATCCAGGACGCTTATATACACCAAATCCGTCAGTGGTCGATAGGTTTTTACCGATCAATGCTATTAGTGGTTGGGATCGCCTGTTGTCAGTAACCGAATGTCCAAATGCATTTATACCGAACAAAATATGGACCGAGAAAGTGCGAGAATTGTGTAGCGTCATCGGCTATGAATTGCGAACGCATAGACACGACGGAAAGGAAAGTCCTGGTAGTTATTATGCATGCCATGTCGAGAAACAACTCATCGCCTACTGGCTCTATACGCATGCCTTAATAGGTCGTTCCTTCTCTGAAGAAATTAGCTACGATTGGAGAGACAACAAAATCATACTCCCAGAATTTTATAAGGATCTTTATATGGTTGTGAGTAATATTCCTTGCTATTGCTGTGTGTCTTTTATGAATCGTGTAGCGATATATTATGATATTTCCTTTATAGTTCATAGCTCAGGCAAGACATTTCTATATCCAGATTGAGAACACTATGAAAGGTGTGAGGACTAAGAATGAGATCTACGCACTTGGACAGAAGGTTTAAGGGTCTGAAATTTCTTTAGTTGGCATCTATATCTTGATTGCTTTTATTTCCTTAGCGGAAGCAGAGAGCACACCTGAGAATACATGCCCAAATTTATCTTGGCTGGATATTGGAAGGGCTGCTTAGGAAGTTGGGAGTGTTGACCCGAAATCCTATAAGATATTATCAGATCGCAATTACATTCAGAGTACTCTTCACAAATTGCACCCTCACATCAGTCATTCTAACACTCTAGATTTGAAATGACGGGTATAACTTGACAGACAGTATGACGTTCATGAAACTATTCAATGGGTAGTAAATTGAAACTCACGCGAAGATATAATGAAGTGATGTACTATCATTGGCACAATATCTGATGGCCCACAACGCCATTAATCAATTGAATTTAACGACTTTAACTATTTTCGAATATAATTCTTTACCATTCAAAAAAGGCCTCCGGTTTCGTCATAAATCCAAATAAAATATGATTAACAACATAAACTCACATTCCAGGTCAATCATCCGCACCTCCAAGCACAGCTTCCCCGGTGAATGTAATTACAGATGAAAAGAATAGGTATCTATAAAACATGGTTTGAGCGGCCTCATGATTCGATTATGCTACTTAACCAGTTAGAAAAAAGCCATAGATTATTAACCTATCAAAACAAAATAAGTTACGAAGTAGTTGATATTGAAGTACCCTGCGTGGCTGATCATGGGGGTCAAAGGTATATATCACCACTCTACTCGACGAATTAGATACTTATGCATGCTCCTATGATCTTCACAGTAACAAATCTATTTCTTATATCTCTGCCTTTCTTTCTGGTCTCAGCCTGCAAACCAAGTAGCTCTTGGAGTTGTTGTACGAACAATTACTTAAGATCATCTTCTCGTTTAAAAATTGCTTAATACACCTGTATACAAGTATTATTTGATATTAAACTGAATTAATATATTAAGTTTGAAGATCAAGATATATATAAAACTTTTAATTTATTTATTTTAATATATATATTATTATATTAAGAGTTTTAATTAAATTAATTATTAATTTTAAAAATGAAAAGTATTTTTATTATAATAAATTATATAATCTTATATAATATTTATAAAATAATAATTATAATATTGAATAAAAGATTCTTTTAAATCTTTATAAATTATTATAAATTATTATATATAAAAAATTAATAATAATATTTATATTAATTAAATTTAATCTTTATACATTTTCAATATATAAAGTATATCATTGAGCTGGTCATATATTCAATCTATCAAGTTCCTCTAATCAATAAAAGTATAAAAGTATGAAATAATAAATAATTTTCATTAATTACATCATCTTTTACTCGAGTATCCCCAGCTCATTAATCTTATTAGTCACTCAAACATCTCATCATATCATATCTAAACGAACAAGGCCCCTGTAAAATCAACAGATAAGCATATCCAGAACCCACTAAATCTAGATAGCAAAAAGCTAATATTATGTTTTCATCAATCAGCATATCCATCCATACCCACTTAATAATGACATCTTAAACTAAAAGAAAGGCGTCAAGAAATCTACAAGTTAAATAGTTGCTATTGCTATATATTTCACCAAGTCCAAGATATTTCCCATCTCATCCATATCTTCACTCCAATCTTTCATCCTACGCTTTCTTGCATGAATTACCCGAATTCAACATGCATCTTCCCATTCTCCTCACAGCACTGTATCTAAGTTCTCTCACCGCAGCTTCGAATTCACAAACTCCAGAAATCTCTTCGCACCATCATGTAAAATCCGCAAATGGCTCAAACTCCGAGCTCATCACCCCAAAAGTTTTCATCGTAGATATGGTACGCAAGCTCATCATTTTCTAAACCTCAATTCGTTGTCCATTGTCGTTGACATCAAAATATAGTTTTCAGATGAAGGAGAAGCATGGTATGGAATTCCGGAATTCGATATTCTGGCTCGAAATATCACCGTTCCTGGGATTTCTCCGCTTTTTCCACAGGTGCACTGTACAGCAGATGGAGAAATTTGCCAGGTCATAACTGGTGAGGGAGGTGAGAAGCTTGCTTTCCTTCTTTTTGAGTGAAGATGGTTTGCTTTGGTCTTGCTAACTGGTTTAGAAATTAATGCTGCTGTGACAATTAACTCGATAGCCTATTCACCACTATTCGATTTGAGCAAAACTTACTTTCTGATTGCGGGTATTGCGGGCGTTTCTCCAAAGGCGGCTACTATTGGTGTAAGTATCAGAGGCATGGTCTTGCAAACCTCGTACTGACACTTTTCAAGTCTGTAACCTTCGCTCGATATGCTGTATCTGTAGCCTTACAGTATGAAATGGATGCGCGAGAGATACCCTCTAACTGGACCACTGGCTATTGGCCACAAGGGGCGACTTCACCAACGGATAACGTAGTTGAAATCTACGGCACTGAAGTATTTGAAGTCAACGAAGCATTGCGACAAATTGCCATGTCGTTTGCCAAGACTGCCATCCTTAATGATACCGCCGATGCAGTGAGCTATCGAGCTCTTTACGCCGCCACTGAAGCTTTTGCTCTTGGCGGTCAAGCACCTTCAGTTGTGGCATGTGATACTGCAACCTCAGATGTCTACTTCAGCGGAGAACTACTCGCCGATGCATTCGAAAATACCACCTCAATTTGGACTAACGGTAGTGGAATTTACTGCACCACGCAACAAGAAGACAATGCCACACTTGAAGCTCTTCTTCGAGCCGCAACTAACAAACTTGTGGATTTCTCCCGCATCATCATCATGCGTACCGCATCTGATTTCGATCGTCCTCATGCTGGCCAGAGCATATTGGATAATCTTTTCTTGCAAAACCAGGGCTATGATCCCTCTATCAAGAATATCTATTTAGCTGGTATCAAGGTGGTTGAGGGTATTTTGAACGGTTGGAATAGTACATTTGCTGCTGGTGTTGAGGCCACTAATTATGTGGGAGATATATTAGGTACGCTGGGAGGGCAACCGGAGTTTAGACCCGCCCAAGTCAATCAAAAGAGAGGATTGAAGAAAGGAAGAGGAATGAAGCGCCATTAAGCGCTTTGTATGAATGGGCTATAAAAAGGAGGATTAGTAAAGTGTGGATGTGGTAAGAGTAGATATATTATACTTTAGTTACTAGATCCATCCTTCTTCAGTAATATTATGAGTACGCATACGCGAATTGCCACTTGGAATTTATACTCTAGATCGAGTAATCATCCATTTAAAATCTCAGAAAAGACGGAAGGGAAAAAATATGCAGGCTCGTGAGTGATCCCATGACCAAGCAAGTATTGCACCAGGCTCTCGCAGACGTCTCATTTCATCCAGTATACGTTTTCCTCATAATTCCTGGCAAACATGGAGCGTAATCCAATGCGGTACTTTTAATACATTATACTCACCATTACCGTACCACAAACCCCATATCCTCTCCCCTCCACAGTTCATGCAGCATGCACACAAAACAGCATACGTATAAGAGCCCCCTTGTTTGCAGAATAACTCCTAACACGACTCGACTTAAGTTCGACAAGCGTAGCACACAGTATGAGCCGAGGCATTTGTACGACTATACTTCTAATAGATCCCACGGGCATGCAGCGTGAAAATCGCATTTCGTCGTTAATCAGATTAATGCCCAAGATCTAATCGTGTATTTAGTGTATCTAGCATGTAATCTTTTGTGATTAATTCCAATACCCCACGATAGGATACTACAGTATCGGGGGAACAATGATAATAATAAACCGATGGATTTTGAGATCGATAAAATCATTCTTCACGCGTAACATTGACAGACGCAGAAAATTTATTAAACCCTCCATCCGCTCCATTGCATAATCTCCATTGACGTTACATGCATTCATGCAGTTCGAGCTTACACATCGCACTGCACTACTGATGCGAAACCATGCGCTGTGTGATACATACATAGTAACCACTCTTTCATCCAAACCATTCGAGCTTTCGAGCATTCGAGTCGTACCACTAATTCCACATTCTTATTTTACCATGCTGCTCTGCCGCGACAAAAGTCGAGGATGAGATACACAGTACACAGCAGCCTTCGCTTCTGAAGGAATGAATTTTTGGGGCCTACGTAATCAACAAGTAACTCCATCCCATCCCATCCTTCAATTAGAGTAAAAAGTCGAAAAATCAGCCAGACCATCACCTTCCGAATACATCAATGATGTACATACAACTATCTATCTGCCTAGATAACTGAGTTAGTTATGCATCTACGGAGGTAATCTCGTAACTTTGGATCCCTTGTACCGTAAGGTTACGTAGTAGGGAGTGTGATAGGGTGTGCATATCATATCATATCATATCTCTTAGTAAGCTAACCTTACTACCTAGCCAACGTTCAAAACCAACCAAGCTGTGGGATTTGGGACTAACCTAAGCGAGAAGGATTCAGTCAGGTACAAATTCGTACCGTACCTGCATTAGGGGACGGGGGCTTTCTTTCGGGGGGCGAAAGAAAAAGAAGTCGTAGAAGGTGAGAGAGATGCGTGGGTGCAGGGAATATATTCCGGGTTAGGGATCGAAAAATTGTGCCGAGGATACAAGATAAAAGAGGTTTTGACATGTGTAATGGAGATGGATTTGCATCTGGGTCCGCGGCAGGGCTCGATGCAAAAAGTTTTGATGATTAAAAATTATTTAATATGTGAAAAGCTATACATGTTCAAATACAGTATGATGTTCATTTAGATCTGGATATTTAACATGATTTCAGCCTTTGAAAACATTCAATGGTTGAAATACTTTTTATTGTGCGAATTAATCGTACCGTTGGAAATCCTGATTTAAACATCTTGTGATATTTGACCTCCCCGCGAAAAGTGCTTCAAGCATAACAGTGAAGCCATCTATGATCTATGATGATGATTTGTGTTTGTACAGAATATATGGTACATGTACATAAAGAAATGAAAGTAGTGTACAAATGCTATCATAACTCGATGGTCACAGGATTTGAATCTGTGCAACTCTTCGAAAACACCAAAATAGCATCTAGCCATGACTTTAGATCTTTTCTGGGGCCAAATTCTGCTACGAGTCGAGACGGCTCATCCATCACTGCTTGAGCGATGTCGATAGCATTCCTCACAATGTCTTGGTTAGTCGCGCAGCTAGTCTGTAAAAATGGTCTTTGCATTAATTCTAAAAATGCCTCAATTCTCTCGGGAGTCCCGAAACGGAATAGGAGTGTAACGACGGGGAAAGTAGCGAAGAGAGCTATGACGAGGCGTGTAGAACATTTGCGAGGCAAGGTGGACATGATTTGTGATAGGATTAGAAGCGCACAGAGACATGATAGCGTGGCGAGAGCTAGGGAGGGAATGACGAGTATGTATAAAATACATAGCCCAAAGGTAGACATGAGAGTCAAGCTGCAGGCGTGACCTTCCTTGCACTATTGGGGTTAGTAAGGACGATTATTGGTATGAGGAACGGTGGTTTATCAAAAACAATGCAAACTCACAAGGAATATTACAGCAACCCATAGCAAAGCTTTAAGAATACTGTAGATCGAGAGACTAAGAATCTCAGGAGGTTCTTGTTGTGAAGCTAGGAGGATAATAGTGAGGAAGCAAACTACCCAGCAGCATGTTCGATCAAGATTGAGAAAGATTTGACATGGGGACTGGACTTCAGCATCCCCAGTTTGAGAAAGGCTCAAACGCCAGTAGATAGCCGTCTGACAGATGACAAAAATGAAACCAAGACCAATAGTGATAGGGCTTGATGATGAGGGAAGAAATAGAACACTGGTTGAGATGGCGACAAGGATGTAGAAAATCATATGGTAGCTGTAGTTCTCAGGATACTTTGATGTCTCGTACTTGGAATTGCTAGGTAGAACATGATTATCGACATAATTATTTCTCGAGACAAAGTAGAGTGCTGGAGTAAGAAACGGCTGTGGGAAGTATTAGACTCTAAAGTAACAACTAGAAAATAATAATGGATGACAAACCAGTATCCAATTAACCTCTACAATTGATGCACAGACACTAGATGTAATAATAAAGAATGCAAGGCTTGTTGATTCTTCTTCAATATCATCTACTCGGACATGAGGTATTTTCTTGCGCGAAAGGAACGAATAGACTTTGATACCAGCCCAAAGCATGCACCAGCAGAGCCATTCGGAAGAGAGATTCAGGACTTGTGGAGTGTCGTTGAACGCAAACGAATCAAACATTCTAGAAAATTAAAAGAAGAACCAATTTAGGTTAAGGGTATAGGGATTGTGGAGAAATCGATAAACAAGGGATGAGGCAACGTAATCAAAACGGTTAACATCTATGTTAAAACGGCCAGTACGATAAGAACAAAGAGATTGAATCACCAGAGTACAACTCTAATTTCCAGGGAGGCATGGTGATTTTATGAGGAAGTGCCAAGAATAGTGTCAGCCCATCCTCAGACCCTCGTGGTGGGAGTCGAAGGATCTACGCGCAGCGGCGCTTGCGGGCTTGGAGAATATATGTTTCTATATTTGGAGGTAAGCTTGCTACCTAATCAGTGTTTTTATGTGAAGAACAATGGTGGGGGAGATGAAGAGGATAAGATATATGATCGAAGACTTCTAACTCTGAGGCTATATCAATCCTAAAGTGCTCTTTCGAACTTGAAGTTACTTCGCATGACGAACAAGCAGACAAACATCATGTTTCCAACGGTTGGAGTATTCCAGGGTTCAAGAATACGATGCAAAGCGAAGCACTATGCAATAATGAACCGGCAGCAAACAAAGTTTACATGGTATTTATGTGCGGGAGGTTGTTGGTATCATGTTGGTGGTTGTACTCTGTTGTTATATTCATCGAGAGAGATGCCTTGAACCTTCATTGGAAGAAGAGTGTTGGAGGCTGGGCAAATGAGACATCACGTGAAGATATTTTAAGAGTAAAGGATAGGTTCAGTCAGACCAGGCTATGTTCCGGGCTCCATAAATATCTTGCGACCGTACGTTAGATATTTTATTTTTAGACTGTCAAATGAAATTTTGAGCCGGTTAAAGTCACATGGCACTGTTGAACAAATACCTATGGAGTAGTACGGAGTAGTACGGAGTACCTTGACTTTTTCTATATTCTTGCTTTGCCAACATGTTTCTTTACCACAGTAACATCAACCTCATTCAAGCCCCCATTCTAGACCAGATTCTAGACCGGATGCTTCTAGCTGTCACGATGAGAGTCAACACCTGGTATCGTTGGTTCTTTTCCGATCCTCCGCCAGCTCGTTCGACTGATCTGTCACCTGCATTGGAAACCAAAGCTGCTGCAAAACCCGGTTCATCACAGTGGGAAGTCGGTCGTTTATTATGAACTGTAGGGATCATCAGTTCATCTCCATCTTCGATTTCTTCCTACAAGACTTCGACCCCACAACCTTCTTTACAAATCTTTTCATCCTTCTCCTTTTTTGGCCTCTGGTTAAAATCTTCCGGTATCCTTATCTCACACATGGTAAATGAGTAAATAGGAGACGAAGGAAGTAGCGGGATCCCACGATGTTTCAGGGTTTGTACCGGTACAAAGTGGAATTATTATCGAATCTTCTACCTACCGTACACGGACAATGAATATCTTGCTTTGGATGTATATTTTGGATGTTGCATTATGATCCATTCTGTACGGATTCGAAGTCGAATACCAACAAACCATCGTGTACCTGTAAGACTTACAATGTAAAGTTCATTGTTCGCAGTGCCAAAATTCAAATAGTGAAATATACTCGAGTACTTTGGTGTTACAATACAAGCTGAGGCATGCGGCGGGCCCCTGCAGTCATCATTTAGCTGCGCCTTACCTCAAAGTAAGATTCTTCTTTTAATTGGTACTTCTGCTTGACACGAAAGTCTTACACACAGCAATTATTGTAGATTTCAATGTTACCTTGTCAAGGGATTAAACCTGTGTTTGAGGGCTAGAAGTAATCTCAACATGATCAAGTCAAGGTATCCTAAGCCTGACATGGAGACTTGTGTATCTCCCAGCTTCACGGGATGGCTGAGTGCCAATCGTTAGAAGATGCAGAAAATTCTATCAGTCTCGATTATTACACATATAGGGCGGAATCAATCCTTCGGAATGCCATGTTGTGCGAAATTGCTTTCAGTCATCTTCATCTTGTGGATCCTTCCCTCTAATCTTCAGATCAGCTGCGGTCATCTACTTGTTACCACACATCATTCCTAGCATCTCACCCTCTAGAGTGTAGATGAATTTACATCTTTAAGCATTCAGACATGGCGAGTTCATCACAGCTTTTCGGGCGGCGACGATGTTTTAGCCCAGTATATTCTTGGAATGGACACTTGACTGGCTCAGTGTATACGATACTGGTTATCTTGCTATGCTGGGTGCAGCCATCATGGCAACAAAAGGATGCTCTGAACGATTTTTGCAGAAGATGGGGACATCAGACAACAGTTATTGATCGACAGTTGTTCATTGATGGCGGCATGGTTGATTGGAATCCATTATCCCAAAACCCCTCGAACTACTCTAGTATGTTGTCACGACAAAAAGAATAGAGGCTCATTGAATATTCTACTGACGGCACGACAGACTCATGGCTTTTGTATAACGATCTCAACACAAGTCCTGCAGCGGTAGGAATGCCTCAGTTACAGGCAAATCTTTCAAAAAATGCCTCGATACCTAATGTAAGTGGAGGTGTACTTTGGGGCGATGAGGTCAATAAACGGTTTTATCTATTTGGCGGCGATAATTTCGGCACTTGGCCAAGTTCACCTAATCTGTACTCATATGACATGCTATATAATCAGTGGGAAGATTTCGGACCACCTAACAACGGTGTTACAAGCGTTTCGTATGGGATGGGAGTGGGTATATCTGATCTTGGGCAGGGTTATATGCTTGGAGGATGGCAGAGCAATGCTTCGATTCCCGGGTGGAGTGGGCCTCCTATCGCAACGAACGGTTTAATCAAGTTTGATTATCAATCAGGAACATGGACAAACAATACAGGACCAGACCGAACTGGGAGGGCTGAGGGTGTTATGCTTTATCTGCCGGCGAGTCGCACTGGCATTCTTGTCTACTTTGGCGGTATCCAGACACCATACAATAACCAGACTGTAGTCCCATCGCCGATGAACCAAATTTATGTCTATGACATCCAAAGTTCTCAATGGTATACACAAACAGCGACTGGAGATATTCCTGGAGATAGGAGGAGATTTTGTGCAGGTGCTACCTGGGCACCTGACCAGTCATCTTACAACATGTAAGGATCATGCCGTCATATCACCCATAAAATTTTCTGACATTTTTAGTTATCTCTATGGTGGTGCAGGCTTCGGAGCCAATGCTTCAGGATTCGATGATGTCTATATACTCAGCCTTCCGTCATTTACATGGATTAAGTGGTGGGAAAATGCGCCAGGTGATGCGAGACCACATAACATGTTGAGTTGCAATGTTGTCGATGGAGCTCAGATGCTTATTGTGGGTGGATCGTTTCCACTTGACCAGTCTACGTGCGATAGTCCGAATTCTTGGGGTACGCATAACCTCAATCTCAATGAGCCAGTCGCAGGGCTTCCATGGAACACATACCAACCGAACCTTACATCATATGCCGTACCTTCAGCCATATTATCTGTTGTGGGCGGATCGTACGTATTCAAAGCCATTGAAATTGAAATTTAATGCTGACAATTAAATTAGTCCTACAGGTGGTGCGACCATGCAGTCGCCTTCTGCTGGTTTCCAAAACAATGATTTGAATGTATATTTCCGACAAAAAGCTTCCGCAGTAAATCGCACGCCTACTAGGGCTATTACAACCGCAACGGGATCATCAACATCTAAGCATTCTGGAAATAAGTTGGCTTCAGCGGCTCTCGTTGGGATTATTGTGGGAGTCGTAGGAATTGTTGGCATCTTAGCTGCATGCTTTTGCATCCTTCGCATTCGTAAGAACCGTGCTCACGTACCTGAGGTTTCTGTACCAATTGTGCCTACATATGCTGCCGGAAATACATCCAAGATGCATCCACAACGACCCGATCGCAGTTACGATCCCCAGAATCCTCATATTGCGCAGCAACGAAGTAAATCGACATACCAAGTACTGTCTTCCCATGCACCTTACGCAGTCGAGTTGGCGGGGACCACTTCCAGTGCAAGAAACTATTCAAACATCAATGCCGATGGTAATCCGATATATAGTCCACACGATGAGGGTGTGCCACCATATACTAGTAATTGGCACCACCCAAATCCACCTCCTCAGAACCAGAAACACTTCAGCCCAATATCATCACATCCTCAACAAAACCAATTATCACCCGTACCAACGGAATTAGACGCCGAAAGCACCATATTCTCTGCTTCTCCTACCCCAACATACTCGACATTAGGAAGAATGACGTCGAAAAAAATTACCCCAATACATGAGACGTATTATTCGACTTGAATCATTAATAACTTTCTACTTTTCTTGCTTCTAGCCCAATAGTTCATCACTCTTTTGCGTGGCGAGAGTGATGTGTCTGTCTGTGTATATATATAATTTTACAAGAGTTTTGGCGTTTCCAAAGGAGGACATGTTGAGGGAGGAATAATTACTATTTATTTATTACCTGCTTACTTACTTTTCTTATTATCACGAAACGATGACGTTTTCGTTTTTGTAATTTTTTCTGAATGCTGTAATCTTATATCGATTGGATTGATCAACGCAGTCGTAGTTGAAGGGATAGATTTATTAGTAAAAATATAAAAGCTATGATACTTTTTTGAAAATCTTTATGTTATATATTAAGACATACATACCCGCAAAGTTGACGTCACATAATTGAGGATAATTATAATTCGTCTCTGCGCGACTCGATTAAAATGTCTTTTTGATAAACTTTGATTAATTGGATTGAGATTTTGAGGTTTATTATTATATCCTTATTAAATTAAATATAAAATAGATTAATAGATCTAGGTCTTTGCGATTTTCGAGCTTGAGTGGAAATTAGAATTTTGTTGTTGTTTTTATTTATTAAGATAGTATTATAAAATTATATTATATTATATTATTTATAAAAAGATAGTAAAGATTTTAAGCGGTTGATTAATTGTAGTATTGTTTTAGTTTTTTAAAAGAACTTGAGGAGTAAAAGTGAGAGAGAAGAAGTAAGTAGTGATTGAAAGTTTATTTAATTAATTTTGTTTTTGAAAATATTTTATATTTTTTTTTAAATGAAAATTTTTTGGTTTCTCATTAAAGATTTCTCTAGGAGTTTTCCTATTGAGGATTTTCCACATTGAGATTCCCCTCAGGAATAAAAAGTGATGAAACACTGAAGCCTTCTCATTGGCGTAATGGGAGGTGGATGAAAGTACAAGACCCTTGATTAGATAATATTAGCTTCATCTAATGCGATCTGGTGGGTGTATTGTTACAATCACGGATCTTACAATAACCGATTGTGTGCTTACGAGATACGATTTGACCAATTTAGTATGGGATTGAGGTTCTATGGGGATCCGGCATACATAGACCTTATTAGCTTAGGATCCATTATAGTAACAATAATTAGTTTGTATGATCAAGTTGATTATATAAATTAATTCCTACTGATTCTTTCGATTCTATTCAGTGGGAGCGGTGGGATGTGTAGTACGAAGATCTATATAGCCAGGAAGGAGTCCTTATTGTAGAGCTTCGTGTTCAAGATCAATCATTTAATATTTATTACTATTAGTTACGAATTGCAATCATTATTACTTTAGCCCCTGCTTGATGCCTAGTTATAAACCACTTCGAGGATCCAGACCACTTCCACGTGATCTCTAATCAAAGACGAATTCTCGAGCTGTGTCTCCGTCCCCAAAATGTTCTAAATTCGCATTCTACTTAAATTTGACGTTTCAAATTCAAATTCTCTTCTATAATAAGTCATTATGGCTTCAACTGTAACAGATATCCTCTTTCCTTTTACCCATACTATTTTTCGCTTCTAGAGGTCCAACATATCTTGATGACAAATGGGATATATTGACTTTAGCGGCGAAATTCGCTGCAGGACGATCTTCCATAGTCTTAATCACTGATTTGCTGATGATAAGGGATAGACCACAGATCTCCACTGCGGCTCGCTTATGGGCTGTTCTTAGGTCTATCTAACATACATCACTCTCAGACTTTACTAAGCACTCGTCGTTAACTCCGACTCCACGAACGGTTGCATCGACGTCCACCTCTTCTTCTTTGCAGAATACTACACCTACAATTCCGAAGTTTGTCCGGTATACATGATCTTTGGAATAACGATCGATCGAATTTTCCAATAGCCTGGTGCGAATTTTTATATTTCTTACTTTTGGGATCACAACTGCCGGCTAATAATAAAACTCCGTTGCTGTAAGAACCTATTCGAATAACTCTGAAGAAAACCCTCGCTGTGTGATTCCCAATATCAAACACGGGTGTAATTGTTCTAGAAATGATTGGAACGGATCACTCTTTCCGTTATCCAATGTCGACTGCACTTTTCTTGGGTTAGTCATATTGAGGTGTTTCGCATCATGCATTAGTTTGTTCGATGCTTACATATCGGTTTTGGAGTATTCAAGATCAGAAAAGGAAATTTTTTGAAGTCGTTGGTTTTATGAATTTGTTTTGGATTATTAATGCTCACGCTAAATTTTTCCTGTGAGCAAAGACTCAACCGGCAGTTGCTACTTTTCTGCAGTACTTTTATGTGGTAGTACGAAGGCAACTGGAAGAGATTTTTAACTCTGAAAGGGGATAGGAAAGATATCGGTAATGATTACAACATTGATGAGTGTTTTGAAAAAGGTACAGTCCGAGGAAGCTACCCAGAACAGTATGATTTGAGAAGTCTTACCTATTAACCGTGGGAGTGGAGTTTCTGAAGTCGGAGGATTTTCAGACTAATCATTTAAGTTTGAATTCCTTATTATATTACAATTATTAAGTTAAATATCAGCGCTCGAAGAATATAAAGCTGATCACTTTAATTATACCTCGAGCGGTTAATACTCGTGATTGAATTATATATCTGTAATTAAAATATATAAACTCTTTAAAATTATTGATCTTTGACTGTTAGTTTTGGATTCTAAAGAATGATTAATCTGAGACTCTGATTTATTAACTATTTATAATATTTATATTATATTAAATATTTAAAAACTTTTTATTTTTAAAGTTCTTTTATTAAAAGGATTTATTATTCTTTGAGTATGTTGTTTATTAAGCGTTTTTTCAAGTAAAATAAATAGTAATTTTATAAATAATAAATTATTTCAAAATTGAATTTTGATTTTTATATTGTAGATTCTTCTCAACTATTCAAAAAAAAAATTTGAAAATTTTATTCTTTTATTATTAATAAAATTGCTTTTTTTTATATTATATTAGATTGTAAAATTACAAAGAGTTAAAGTTTCATTTATATATTTAGTTTTTTTATAAGATCTTACTTTGTGATTTAATGTGGGGTCGAGGATTCAGTGTTTTCCTCCTTTCCTTTTGAATAGTTTTAGAATTTCACTTCCTCACCCAACTGAAGACCTCTCAAATCATGCCGTACACCCGCATGGGTGGCATCTTTGTCTGCGATGCAGTCCCAATAACTTGGTTATGTTTAAGTCCTAGTTTTTTTCGATTTATCCCGCAATGCACTCAACGTCACCTGCCCCACCAAAGGATTACAAATACAACTTCTCCCAAACCGGTAATAACCGCCCGATTCAATAACATAAGAAGTCCTGAACTTCTTCGACCATATTTTCCCTATCGTACTCAGATTATACACTTTACTACATCTCCTGCACAATCAAAGTTTCAAAATGCCTTCATTTGAAACCCCCGTCCAAGAACCCCGCGCAGGAACCGCCCTATCTAAAAACCCTCCCACCATTTTTACTCCGCTCACCATCCGCGATGTCACGTTTCAGAATCGCATTTGGGTAGCTCCTATGTGTATGTACAGTGCAAATGATGGACACCTGACTGATTTCCATCTTGTCCACTACGGTGCCTTTGCTTTTCGCGGAGTTTCCTTAACTATTGTCGAAGCCACCGCTGTCCGTCCTGAAGGTCGAATCACTCCAGGTTGCACTGGACTATGGCAAGATTCTCAAATACCTGGATTTAAGCGTGTGGTGGATTACGCGCACAGTCAAGGACAGCTCATAGGAATTCAGTTGGCGCATGCCGGACGGAAAGCTAGTACGGTGCCACCATGGTTGGCACCTAGAGGGAAAAGTGCTGTTGCGGAAGAAAGCTCTGGGGGATGGCCGAAGAATGTTAAGGGTTTAAGTGCTATAAAGTGGGATGAAGGGTATGCGGAGCCCAATGAAATGACACTTGAGGATATTCAAGATGTGATTGATGGATTCCGGGACTCGGCTAAGAGAGCTTTGGAGGCAGGATTTGATGTCATTGAAATTCATTCTGCCCATGGATATCTATTGCACTCTTCTTTGAGTCCTGTTTCGAACAAGAGAACGGATCATTATGGGGGAAGCTGGGAGAACCGCACCAGACTTTTGACTGAGGTCATTAAAGCTGTGAGGAGTGTCATTCCGGCTGGCATGCCTTTGTTGCTCAGAATTAGTGCCACCGAATGGATGGAAGATAATGTTGAGACTTGGGATATTCCAGACACTATCAAATTGGCAAAGCTACTTCCGGCACTTGGAGTTGATCTACTCGATGTCAGTTCAGCAGGCAACTCTCCCGCCCAAAAGATAGGAGCGCATACCGATTATCAGGTTTCCATCGCAGGGCAAATTCGTGTAGCATTGTTCAAGGAAGGTATCAAAAGTCTGAAGATTGGTTGTGTAGGAATGATTACAGAAGCTCAAGCCGCAAAATCACATGTGCAGGAACAGGAAGACACAGTGGAGATTAAGGATGAACAGGGGCAGATCGCTAAGGCGGATGTGGTTTTGGTTGCTAGACAGTTTTTGAGAGAACCCGAATGGGTTATTAAAGTGGCTCTTGAATTGGATATTGACGTCAGTTTGCCACGCCAGTACTTGAGAGCAGGTTTCACGAAGAGAACCACTTTCTAATAAATAGATAAAGGTATAGATATGACAGGAGTTGAAATGATGATATAGCTTAGACTTAGAAATTTCTCGTTTGTCTATAAAAAAAATTTAAATTCTATGAATTTTTTCGAATCATTTTCCTCGCACCAAATTCTGCATTTCAAAATTCACACCGACATTATACTCAATAGGTATTCTCAACCTCTTAGCCCGACTTACTTCGTTGTGTGTGGGTGCGTCCAACGCACTGTAGTTCGATGTAAGATTTTCTAAGTTTTAAATTCCTGAACATGCTTTGATCAATGATATTTAAAGTCCTCGGTATGGACGTTGCAAAGCAAACTACTGGGCACTGTCTCCAATATAAATTTCTCCTTTAAAAGCTGACTTCCGATAGCTCCTAACTCTATCTTATCTCCTCGAAACTCTTAGAAAGAACAGTCTACTTTTTTTTCTAATACTCAATCGACATTTCAGACTCTACAACTCACTACAAAAAAGACTCACTTCTATTAAATAATACATCATATAATATTAGTATGAAGAAGAAATTATATTAAATATTAAAACCATTGATTGTGAATTTACATTATCATTTTTAGAAATTCTGTTTTAGAATTTATATCTAAATTCTACATTTTAAAATATTTCTTTTATATTATTTTAATATATAAATATTTAGTGTTATATAATAATATTATAGATGGTATAATTATAAAATATATAAACAATCTTAAAATAGATAATATATAAGAGTATATAAAGTAGTATGAAAATAAATAGATTTGTTTTTGATTTTATTAATCAAGGGCTTTATATATATATAAGATCTAATAAACTATTTAACCGACGATCGTCCTGATAAGAAAATAGATTAAATAATAAAGTTTTTTGTAAAGAGTAATAAGATCAATATAGTTATATAATATCGATCAGATATAAGGAAAGTATTGTGAGAAAGTTGGAATTATAGATCAAATACATAAAGGTTTTTAACTAATCAATCATATAACCTCTTATAATTAGATATAAAAAAAGAACTTTTGCCTCTTCTTTCAAAAATAATCAACCTTCTACAAATATATATTTGAATCTATATAATATCAACCCCAAAACCATTGTGAACCTTGTTTTCTCTATAAGTAACATATTACAATGTAATCTAATTCAGCTTCCTCTTTCAATTCCCTCCTTACAATGTGCTATCGGGACGCACGTATCTCGACCTACCACTTTTACAGTATAAACGAATGAGTATTAAGATATTAGAGATTATATAAAATTATATAAGAGCATATGAAATTATATATAAGTATATAATTTCCGTAACAAATAAATATAAATATGAAAGTTGATATATAGAATTAAATATAGAGAATAATGATTTTAAAGTATATATAATAGTTTTGAGTATCTAGAATGCCGACAGCTATAATATATATCGAATAATACCTTAAAGTCTTCCCGCTCATATTGACGCCCCGCATTTCCCACCCACGTAATTAGAAAACCCTCCATTCAACATTTTTCGCCCTCACAACCTCAACCTCCTCAAAATGTCCGCCCCACCCCAGCCGGAAACCATCGTCTACCTAGACTCAAACTACCACCCTCCCCACAACCTTCTTCCCAGCCCCACACCTATATCCCACACCCCTACACCCTCCCCAAATCCCCTCACGCATCACACCCGCCACCATCCTCCTCACCTCCCTCTGTCCCTCACGCGCCCTCTCCACCCTCCTCCCCGGCCAACTAAAACTCATAATCATCACCTCCGTCGGCACCAACCATGTTGATCTAACCTATTGCTCTGAAAACGGAATCCAAGTCTCCAATATGCCGGACACGAATACGGAGACGGTGGCTGAACATGCTGTTGCGCTTTATTTTGCGGTGAAGAGGGATATAGTTAGTATGCATGAGTGGACTATGAGGGGGGAGGAGTGGGAGAGGAAGGGAACGGGGATTTTGGATATGAATACGTTTTGTGGGGGTGGAGCGAGGGGGTGTAGGAATGAGGTTGTGGGGATCGTGGGAGGTGGGAAGATTGGTAGGGATTTTATTCTTTGCTTTTTGACATGAGATTCAGAGTCTAAATGTCTGGAACTTTTGTGTCTTTCGAGATGCTGACGCTCAACTCCTAGATTAGGGAGTTTCCTACCTATTGGAGTGGAGTGAATTAGAATAAGAAAAGCGATAAAACTAACACAAACCCAGGAACCGCAATATCAACCCTCTGCAAAGCCCTCGGAATGAAAGTCCTAATCTCAGAACGCAAATCCACACCCAAAGAGGAAACTCGTCCGGGCCGAACACCCTTTGCCGAGATTCTCAGCCAAAGCACAACGATAATTCTCTCCTGTCCCCTATCACCCACAACAAAAAACCTAATTTCGGCTTCTGAATTCTCAGTCATGCGACGTGACGCGATCCTCATCAACGTTGCACGTGGAGGAGTAGTGAATGAAGCCGCTCTTGCAGATGCGTTGGATCGGGGAGAGATATTGGGAGCTGCTACGGATGTTTTTGAGAGGGAGCCCGTGGAGAAGGGGAAGAGTGCGTTGATTAGGGGAGAGAGGGAAAAGAGGGTTAGGAATTTAATTGTTAGTCCGCATGTGGCGTGGTTTGGGAGGGAGAGTCAGGAGAAATGTGTTAAGACTGTTGGGGAGATTTTTGAGGGTTTTATGAGAGGGGAGAAGATTAATTGTGTGGCTTGAGGAGGAACTTTAATATGAAAGTTGCATGAATTTCATTAAGTAGGGTATAATGTCAATAACATATTAAGAATTATAATTTTCGCAGTTCCTTCAAATATCGAAATATTCATAATACAAAATCCTGCCCCCCAACTACATCACTTTTCGAAAAGGATTTTATTTTCTCAATAAAAATTATACGAAACAGATCATATCAGATACACTACAACAATTATTATCAAGGTTATAGAAACCAAGTAGTTAAAATATCATATCTAATTCCATCCAGCAATCAACACAGTTTAATTCAAACAATTCACCCATGATGCGACATACGATAGATATTCTAAACGATTTATCAAGCAATAATTGAAGAGATTGAGAATATTATGGGATTCGCTTGGGTTGTATTGATAATGACATCATGTAGGACAAAGTCTCCTTTATTGCTTCATTGCTTGTTCGCTTAGGATCACCACCATGACATTTATATAATATCATCTAATTTCGTAGCTATTTACAATCATCATCGAGATCATCGTGCAACTTATCCAGCTGTTGATTCTGTCAAGTATCCTTCGACAGCATGAGTTATTTACAAATAGTCCTCAACCTATATCAATGATATAGTATATGAATTAACCAATCCCCTCACGAAACTCTTATCCCCAGATTTCCGGTACTCAAAAATCCCTTATTTCCCATGGCACCCCTCCATCCTATACTTAGCACCCCGAATATCAGCCTACCGTCTACAATTTCACTTTCCTTTTCATTCTCTCCCTGTATGCCCTCTTTTTCACCCTCAGGATCCTTTTCCTCAACCAAAAAGCAAACTTGACGAATATCTCCCGGTGCTAATACAGGTCTTTCCAATTCTGCCTCCCCTCCCCCATTTTCCTTCTCCGAATCAGAAACTACAACCTCCCAATTTAAACTTGTAGCATTAAATCCTTCCGTGGTAGTTAAATGAACTAAGGTTAAGGTGATAGGGTTGTCTTCTGTAATATTTTCTAATTGAGCTTCTAGTGCGTAGCTTCTTTTGCGTTTTGTTTCTTTGGATGGAGAGGTTGGCGGGATGGATGTTGATGAGCGATTTGAAGATGTAGATTTCAGGGATGGCAATGTACCAGTTTTGGTACGGACAACGAGACACCCTTTACAGATAAATTGATATAGCTTGCGGAATGTGCGGGTGCGAGGGGGAGACGAAGGAGAAGATTCAGTATAGGTGACTGTGACGGCTAGAACGTGAGCTCCTTCTTCTTTGAGGTCGAAATGAAGAACCTTTTGAAGAGATGTCTGGGATATAGGTGTTTCTGGACTTTCTTCTCCAGATGTAGACGTTGGAGGGGATTGGGAAGGGCCAGAGAGAGGAAGCGAGATGGGGTTTGGCGTAGAGGGTATTTTCATTTCAGCGGTGAGAGTTATATTTGATATTATTTTAGTAGTATCTGAGGAGGCTGCAATGTCCGGGGAGGTGTGAGTTTGAGCGAGTTGGGGAAGAGGAGGGAGTTCGTTGTTAGCGCAAAGAGTACAACTAAACGTCTCCCCCACATATGCAGATCCAAAAGCTGGAGGAAGCGTAAGAAGAGGCGAGAGAATAAAGTTCGAAGGAGCGGGAGATGGGTATGCGAGGGAGGCTGAGGGTGCTGGAAGACTGAGATTCGGAGGTGGTGAAGGGGAGTGTGTGGGAAGTGGATGTTGGATTGAGAGGGATGGGCGCGAAAGTCTGTAGACGACCATTTAGTACCTGACGCTACCATTTCATTCGAAATAGAATTCAAATCATAAAGTAAAACAAACACAACATACCTCAAAACCTTCAAACTAACAGAATGGGGTTCCTTCACCCCATCCAGGGTCGATGTGACCCTTTGATGCGCCATCTCTGGGTAGGTGTCTTTGTCTTTGTTCGACTCTATCTGTAATATCTCATATATCAATCTCCACTCAGTCGTTCAACTTAAACTTATATTTCCTGCCTTGATAAATCTTCGTTCTTAATTCCTAAATTTGCAGCTCAAATCATGCAATGTCTAGAATCAACAAGGCTGAAGGTCACAACAGACAACCCATTAATTTCTGCCCACCCCCACCGCTTTCTTATCGCTAGCTCATTTGCTTATCATTCCCGCCGCGGCAAAAGTTCTCGCATATTTTTAGGTCCAGCACTCGTCATCACACTTTTTTCATAAGATTATATCACAATCGAAATCACAAAGCACAAACCTCAATCCTACCACATTTACCATATTTATTTCATAAAGCCCGTAAACTCCAATCCCATCACATACCCAACATCTAATCAAAATGAGCGATATCACTTCTTCTCCCGAGGAACCACCCCAACAAACTGCCGCAGGAATCGCTCTATCCCGATCCAGCAGCTTAACCCTAATCCTCGATACACCCAAAGGTCAGTCAGTATCCATATCCATATCCATCTCCAAGCCAAAACAAATAACCAATACGTACCACCCACCATCAAATTCCCCACCCACCTACCCATCCATCAACCCTTCCAACTCCCCATACCCAATTCCATCCCCAAAAAACCACAGCTCACTAACCCTCCCCCAACCTCCACCAGGCCGCGGAATATTCGCATCCAAAGCCATACCTGCACACACCATCCTCGAAGTATGTCCTGTCCTCGTTCTCGATCCCGCCGAGAACGAAACACACATTAGAAAAACAGAATTATATCATTATACCTAGTGAGTTTTCCCCCCTTACCCTCCGTCCTTCCCCTTTCCCTTCTCGCTTGTATCATCTCCACATGTAGTTAGTTCTATACTATATACCGTATACTGTATAAACTCTTCAATAAAAGATAGGAAAAGCCCGTCCCAGCATTCTGGTTAGTGAAAAGAGCCTGTCTTTACAATTCACCCTCGTAGAAACTAAGTACATGTTCTGGTTCAAATGATCTAGACTTTGGTTGTATCACTATCGACAATCTAATTCACTGGCTGGGACGAGTGGTAAAACCTTCAAGTGCTTAAAAAGTTTAGACTTATTCCATCTTCTATTGCTGAGTCTATACGGTATATGTGATTATGTAATTTTAGAGGCAGGTTTTGCTGATGAGGAGCGATTCTAGTAATTGGCCTTATACGCCCAAGACTCAAAGCTCATGTGAGGGCACAAATGGAGCCTCGAAGCCGCCGACGACGAGCCAGGCTGTTATTCTTGGGTTAGGTAGCATGTTTAATCATTCCACATTACATCAAAATGTTGGGTGGAAAAGGGACGTCAAAAATCTCCTCGTGACTTACACTGCACTGAGGGATATCAAAGAAGGAGAGGAATTGTGCATATCATATGGATCAAGGTTAACATTTAAGGACACCGAAGAAGACGCATTAAACGAAGTTGAGGACGAGAACGAGATATTTAGTAAAATTGAGTTGATTGATTGACCATTCCTTTCCCGTTTTTATGCACGATTATACCTATGTGATTGAAGTTTGTTTACAGGGTGTTGTACAATGCCCTGTGCCAAATGTACTCTAAACCTTGTCAGTACGAGACAAGTATCCATAATTTCCGCGATGAACACCCTTGGAGCAATTGCAAAATGACATGGCAACAGCGGACCTTGACAAAAGCGTTCACATTCCGGGTGGAGGTGGGACGGCGCTGTAACCGTTATTACTCCCTGGTGGTGGACCTGATGGTGGAGGAGGCGCCTAAAGTTCAAAGGTTAGTTAGTTTCTCTCAAATTTTTGATTTTGACTGCCCGTTTCTTTTTAGTAATAGGGCAGTCTTGCAAACCTAGCCTCTAAATCTGGATCAAGAAAATATGGGCAGAGAAATCTTTATACATACCGATCCACCAGGTGGTGGGGGTGGTGCTTCGCTTGGAGGTGGTGGAGGACCTGAACCAGGAGCACCCTGTTGCTGCTGTTGATATTGAGCCATGGCAGCCATATACTGCTGATAGTATTGAACGTATGCCTCATACCCACCATATTGAGCATAAGGATCAGCACCTGTAGCATAGTATTGAGCGGCATGTGCTGAGCCATAGTCTCCAGGAGTTGAAGGACTGCCTGCATTAGGAGTGTTGGGAGCTGGTGATTTGTTATAGTTATTGTATCCGCCACCATACGAGTTGGACCTGTCTGGAGCCCGGTCTCCATAGCCTCGCTCTCCCGAGTAACCGGTGCCTTGACCATAACCACGTTGTTGAGGTGGACGAGCCTTGAACTCTTCGTATTGCTCTCGAACATTTTTGAGAAGATCCTCACAAAGCTCCTTGGCCTTTTGTACCTCATTTGGATCAGGGCCACTAGAAGAGTGTTAGTGAAAAGCTCCAGAGATACGAACAACATAAACTTACGCAACGTGGAGATACATATCCTCATCACTCTCGCGACCGGTGCCATGCTCCATGAAACCAGAACCACGTCCCTTGATTTGAACACGGCATCTAGTTTCCTGTTGAATATGCTTTACGTAAGCTCCGCCATGACCAACAACTTGGGCACGAAGGTTAAAGCCTGGAATTGGTTCAAAATCAATGGCAATCTTCTCCTCAGGCCATTTGCGCTGTTTGTTTTGTTAGCAACCTGCATTCATTTCGTGTAGAAAGGGAAACCCACTCTTCCGAACTCATCTCTTTCAACTTGTTCAGGCTCGCGTCTACGGAATCGACGTTCATCGACCAAGTTAGGAAGTTCCTGCTTCATTAGTTCTTCGATCTTCTGAACTGCTTGCTCGAGGCCTCGCTTGGTTTGGCTCGTAACGTGGAGATAAAGTGGGGGATTCTAAACAAATTTTATTAGACCATTTCTCAAGTATTGTAGGCGAGGGAATAACTTACAGCAGCCGTAGCCATGCTTTTATCCGGATAATAATTTCCTCGTGTGGTGACATCTTTAAAAGTCAACATTAAAATCTCTAAAAATAATGAGTTGTAGGTATAGCATACCAGCGCCGGTTTCTTCCTTAATCTAGATGTCACGCAGCGGAGGTCAGCAGATGCCAAAAGGGTATATGTGTATGATGCTATTCGCGCTCAGGTAAGCTTGAAAGTCTCCACACACAATAATGATATTACTTTGAAAAGTGGGGAGAGAATATAGAGAGATGATTCATGGCTAGACCTATGAAGAAAGCCTGATGTATCAGTGGAGTATAACACAAGGAGTAATTACCGTCTTTTGAGTAGAACCTTTAGTCAGTGTATAGCGGTTTCGCAAATCGTTGACTTCGATATCTTTGATATAATCGCCATCTGCGATGTACATCTCACCATTTATATTGCTTGCACTGTTACCTGCTCCGGGTCCTGGGGTTCCTGGAGATGCTGACTTTCCCACTGGACTTTCAGTTGCGCGAATAGGTGGCACATCGGCATGTTGAATTCCTTTCTTAGCTTGAATTTGTGCATTGATTTTTGCGGCAGCGGCAGCTATAAAACATTGGATTAGCATCGATATATCATATATCGAAGGTAGTTATAAGATATATATTTACCTGCAGCAGCAGCTGGATCTGCACCATTTTTCTTTGCGGATTCAGGAGCTGGGCTAGTAGAAGTGCGTCGTCCAAGCGGAGATCTGCTTCGCCTTGGCTCTACCTTTCTCGCAGGCGGTGATCTTGAGCGTCTATCGAATCTGGAGGTCCTCTTCGGCTCAGGCTCCTTTTGATCGAAGCGCGACCGTTTTGCTGTGCGACGCTCAGTATCATCCATATTGATAATTAGTGTTGCTTATAGGTTGAAGTAGATATTCGTCGTATTTGATGAGATATGGCAACGTGCTTGGGATTGTTAATGTTGATAGACCTAATTTATTGTTACAATTAATTCAGGGTAACATTACTCAATGCTTTTAGTAAATTTGTGAGGCTGAACTTTATTTCGAGTTTTTGTGCTGGTTGTTCAATGACAAGGATTGTGTGCACTGACAGTGAACTCCAAGACGCTAAATATCTGGGGTCAACATACAAAGATCGGCAAATGCCGTATGGGAACAATTTATATTTTTGTGCGGTATCGGTGCTTCAATTTAGACCGTCGCTTCTTCTGAGTCAAAACCACCTTCTCATTTTTCTTGAGATAGGAAAAAGAAGCATTTATAATTTTAGAAGCATTGGATAGTCTTAATTATCCAACATGTCTTCACGCAAAGCAATTCTCTCACTCTCTGGGGTGAGAGCCGCAATTCCTAAACGCAGCACCTCTGTCGTCCCTCGACAAATTCAAAGATATCAATCCTCCTCTACTTCAGCTCTAGAATATAAGGCACTCCACCGCCGCATTTCACCCCTTCCTACATCCGATGCGCCTCCAGCGTGGTCTGCTCAAGCAGCTGTCTCCAACATTCTCTACGAAACCCCCGCCCCTTCTGTCACCCCCGCAAAGCGCCATGTCCTCAACTGTCTCGTACAAAACGAACCTGGTGTGCTCTCTCGCGTCTCTGGCATTCTCGCAGCTCGTGGCTTCAACATCGATTCCTTGGTCGTTTGCTCTACTGAGGTCGAAGATTTGTCCCGAATGACAATTGTTTTGTCCGGTCAAGACGGTGTTGTTGAGCAAGCTCGTCGTCAATTGGAAGATTTGGTTCCAGTCTGGGCTGTTCTCGATTATACCACATCACCCCTCGTACAAAGGGAATTACTTCTTGCGAAAATCAATCTTCTCGGTCCAGAATACTTTGAGGAATTATTGGCGCATCACAGAGAAATTACTGCTAGTGATCCTGAAGCTTTGGAAGGACCAGATGACTGGGCTACAAAGAGATTGGCAGAATTGAAGGATAGTGATGATTTCCATCCCATCAAATTGGCCCAAAGTCAGGCTTTAAGACACAAGCATGAGCATTTGAAGTCAATCACATATTTCACACATCAATTTGGAGGCAAGGTTTTAGATATCAGCACACACAGCTGTATTGTCGAGGTGTAAGTCACTTAACTATTTGTTTCGCCTACAGAAACATACTAACAAAATGGCATATAGCTCAGCCAAACCAACCAGAATCGATTCATTCATGAAGCTGATTGCTCCATTCGGAATCCTCGAGTCTGCACGAACAGGTCTTATGGCTCTTCCTCGATCTCCACTATACGGTCCCAACGAACAAGATAACTTAGTGAAGGACGCGGAGGAAATTGTTGATGCAAGCACTTTACCGCCAGGATAGATACGATGACATGTGGTTTAATGGATATGGAGTTGGCGTCACAAATTATCTAAAATAATGGAGGAAAAGATTTATTTCTGCATGCAATTCTGTGTATCATTTACATCAATTAAAACAAACAACAATGTTTCCAAACGCCAAACAAAAACCCGCCTAATGGCCGTAGTCGCTTGTGCCGTTCCCAATCTATAAAGTAATTCATACAATTTTGAGCATTTCGCTCATCAAAGTCTAACATGGGCACCGATTCCCGATCCCAAATACCAAATGGTCTCCGTCCATTGACCAAGCCGGATGCCAATTGTGCCTTTCGCATCTAATTTTAAAGTGCCGCCTAGTGCTCTCTCTACTGCATCATAACCTACGGAATCAAGGGACCAGTCGACAGGTAATTTAGGCGATTCGCTTACCCCAGGGGGCACTGCGAAAGGATAGTCATAAATGATCTTGCCAATTGGTTCGGTGTGGTTGTAAATTGCCTGAGCATCGATAGACTCAATATATATTGTGCTATGTTGTAGAGGTGACAGCAGTGTAAACTGTGCTGTGGATGAAAAGAGATGGAAAGTTGCATCGTCGATGAAATGTGGTTTTCCGCCTGTAGAATCTTTGTCCTTTCCTGCTCCAGGCGTTGATAATCGAGGTGTAGGCATCGTGACTGCGAATTTGCTTAGTGCTTTTCCGAGTTTTGGTTGGTATGGAATAGATTTTTCGTGGGTTTGGAAAGTAAGAGTGGTATTGAAACCGGAGACGTATTGAGAGATCAACTCTCGGCCAATTTTACGTCCGTTTTCACCACCAAATTTCACGGGATCCCAAGTAGCTTGGACGAGAACGTTCGTATTATTGCCTCGCGAAATATTTATATCGCGGACCGTAGCGTCACCAATTACTGAGCCGTTATTTAAAATATGGATGTTGATGTAAGGAATACGAGCCGTGTATTCAGTTGGATTAGTGAAATTGATGCTCGCTTGGAGGTTAATCGATGTCCGGCCCGTGTCGGTGATTTGTAAATCGCCAACCTTGAGGTTGAGTTTCCGGAAATCATCGCCCGTGGAGATCGCTGCAATCCCGTCAGCTTCAGTGCTGTCGCGCTGAAATGAATAGGCTCCTAACGCTTCAAAGGAACATTTCCTTCCGCAGGTAAATCTTTAATAATGAAATCACCTAGCACAGTAGATATTTCAACTTCAACCAAAGCCTCAATCTTAAGATTGATAGCCTTGCCCCCAAGATAATAATCGGCCACAAGATCGCCGAAAATGCCCTCGTCCGTGATTTCTAGTGGTGCATTCTTGATATGCGATTCGATCTTCAAAGAAGCATCACCTCGACCATTGACTCGTTCCGAATGAGCACTTTGCCATTTTCGTAGATTAAGCACACCTAACTTATCTCCTTTGTAAAACACATCGGCTGTCGCACGCACTTTCGAAACATCAAGGCTAAAATTCATCTCCTTGGGCAAAGCAGCCAAAACCATTATATCTCCCGATATTCTTGGATTTGACTCGGGTGATCCAGGCTCCGCAAAAGGTCCAGGTAGGCTGAAATCCGTATTCGTAAGGGAGAAGTTCTTGATTAGTTGATCAAATGTATGGCCGGGGAAAGGCACTGGTACAGTGACGCTGGAGATAATTTGAGTGATCCAATCAGGCGTCTCGGGAGATGGTGCGTTTGAACCTCGCACAAAAATGGTAGTGTCATTACCATGGATATAATCACTGAGAAGCAAATCCAGAGGTGACGAGTGTGAATTGGGGCAAACTTGCAAAAGACTTTCAGGTAATCCCCGCACGATGCCTGCGACATCAAGTGAAACATCTGAATGCGGTTCGATTATGATATTACCAGTAGTCGCATCGGCGAGCTGAATATATGGTTCGTCGGCCGCACAATTTGAAACGAGGATATCGAAGCCCAATGGAGGAATACTTAGCTTTATCGGATAGCTATTTACCAAGGATAAGGAAACTTCGGCAGCCATTCCACGGCGGCCATCCATGGAGAGGGGAACTTCCTTGAAGTTGAGACGGGTTATATTATATTTTGGGAGGGCTGGGATCTCGTTTCCTGTGGGTGGGTTAGCAACTCATTTTCAAAGTAATAGATTTTACATTTAGAGGAACTGAAAAAGTAGTGACTGCGCTCGCTGCCAATATTTTGATACACCTATCAAACTATAGATCATGTGTGTATTCCCCCAAACTAGCCACAGAATTCCTTCAACCAATACTTTTCTCCCCAAAGTACAGCGATGCAAAAGAACGATAGAGAGATTGACCTTCAAAAATCATCGACTCGGATATGCTCTGTGATCCAAGTGAGAGCAGCCCTGATTTCAATGCAACATTGGCCTTGCCCAATACCCGCAATTGTCCCAAACGACCCTCTAACCAGTCATTGGCTACTTGTCTCAATCCATCAACACTGCCTGGCGTAAGGTCGGTGAAGAAATCAATGGGTGTGACAACACCATTACGAATATTGACCACCACCTTGGGAACAATGGCGGTCCCAATGAGAAGATTATCATATTCTGGAAGATAGACCTCGACGCTTGATTCCTTGCTTTCAACCTCTTTCGCAATCCATGTACCAAATCGTCCAATGTTTCGAACAGCATGATTCCTGACTTTCGATGCATCCATCTTGAAGTTCGCTTGTACTCGAGCTCTCACCCCATTAGAGGTGAAGCTGTCAATCGATAGATTCGTAGGCTCGATAACAAGTGATTCCTTGGCATATTCTTGGACGATTGCAGGCGCGAAAAATGCAGATATAAGGATAGCAATAGCAGCCAAAAACAACATGGCGATAGCCACAATTGTCGGCCATCGCCATCCTTCGTTTGCAGATTTGCCAGATTCTCTATCATGAATCGAACGCAGAGACTCCGCAGCTGGTGATACGATTCGATCATCCTCCTCCTCAGGTTCTTCGCCATCGTATCGAGGAGTATCATCAGAGTGCGCTAATAAAGGCGATGATTCATGCTGCGATGATTCATGTGAGTCGCTCGATTTGCGCGAAGTGACTGAAAGTCGAGAATGCTTCGATGATGGTCGTTGCTCTGCACCGGGCAGGAGTGGAGACCCCGCATCGTCCGACATGACGGAGATAAGAGGAATTGATCAAGCTGTTGGCAATATGTATGTATCACTCTACGCACAGCGCGAGGATGGTTTGTTGATGTCAAATTAATCAATAATAAGCGGATATTTTGAAATAGTAAGTCTTAAAAATGAATGACCGAAGTAACTGAATGGGTTGAGCGTCGTAAGTTCTAATAAGGTTCCTAAGCACAAGCAAGCCGCCACCCGGGCAGCGCTAAAACGCCCTTTAATAATTGATTGGGTCAACGTACGTAGCCTATTTATTGTAGAGTAAGAATCTTATTTATATTTATGCATGCATTGTGATTTGTACCTGAGCACACCAGCATTTATGAATTTGTTGCCAACAGCCTTGCGAATGTCTCAGATTCTTTGTGTCCTAGGAATGGTGGGACAACGACACAAATACAGCATATCTTCATCCCATTGTCTTCCTTCAACCGGCGAGCAAGAAACCGACACGTTCGTGATACACTGCGTGGATAAAAGAATGCGCTTGATTGAACAAGCGTTTAGAATGAACAGTCACTCCGCCGTCCTTACGGAGTAGGTGAATGGAATACTGCATCAACAAGTGTATGATCACTGCAGCACATTCCAGGGCCAATATCAACTCTCATTTTTACGACCGCGAAAATGAAGCACCTGAGTATTTACGCCGGCGGCCAAATGCTTAAACCTACAATTAACATTATGGGTGTGCAAGTGCAGATTACATATACTCAATAGTAGACAAGCATGAGCATGTTGCCCGTTCTCGGTTTACATCATGGAGCACACTATTTGTATTATGATGAAGTGCAGCGCAATTACTCATTCTGGCAGTATCTATGAATGACTGTCTTGGCCCCAACATGAATCGCTAAATTATGGAGGATATTGGAGGCACCCCGGCGTGGTCATGATAACTTCCTTCCAAGATTCAATGAAGTCAGTCATAAAACAGTGTATCTTTGGTTGGTCTCTGTCACGGTTGTACCATGTATTTCTTCCAAATATAGGGTATTCTGACTCCGAACCCTGACATCCTTATTTTTCACATCCAGCCCTCTGTTCACAACCATTGAGTTATTCATGAGCTAGTTTCCGCACTAGTCATCGCCGCCATCTAGAGATCATTGACTTTCAATTTTGTGACTCTCAATAATACTCAATGACTCTTCGAAGTATACTTAAATAACAAGCTATATAACCCACCTCCTTTCTGTTTGAATTCCTTTTTTTCTCTATTCTCCTTCAACCGAAGCACTCCACAAATCCGCAAAATCAACGACGCAAAACAGAACAAATCAACATAGCATCAACGAAACCATCAAAGCTCACTTCGTCGTAACTGCAAAATATCGTTCGCCATCGCCTTTCTTCGCTCGCAGGCACCAGTATTCGCCTCATTCTTTCTCGCGCTCATACTTGGATCAGGAACCAAGTTAAATTATAAATTCTAGAGGTGATTTTCCGATACAACTCTCGTAACACGCACAAACATCACAAAAGTGGAAATGCAAAGGCTTAGAGCTATTGTCTTTGCACATAATTAATTCAACTATTTTAATAAAACATAGTTTCAAGCACTAATTCTGAGCGCAAACACATAGTCCTTGAAAATGAAGTCATTATACATCAGGACGAATATTCAAACGCTGCCTACTTTCAATGCCCTTTTTCGCAGAACCCACCTTGACCGTTAAATCATCAAGCTCAAAAAACTTTCAGAAAGCTACCGCGTTTCACCGCCCTCAGGATTATTACTGTCTACGGCTTTGATGCTGAGACAAACGAAGCTTACCTTGTTCACTGCTCCTTGGAAAGGCCATCTTGGTTACTCATTGCCCCATTGGAAAGTGAAGCTTGCCAATTACAACGCCTGCTTTGTTTATCTCACAGGCCGTATAATGAGCACGCTGGTCTTTTCCACTAGGGTGAGAAGTCTCTCTAGGAATTCACTAGGTTAGATTATTGCCAGCTAGGTAGTCAGCATTTGATAACTGGCAGTCAAGTGAAAATACCTGATGGAAAGAGCGATGACATACTGAAGAGCGATCTCTGTCGGTTCCGGGTCGAGACTATCAAAATTTTCCTCGGCCACTTTTGCAAATTCTGCCTTGGTTACCTCTGAAAGTTGTAATCTCTTCCATTTATCTGTCTTGCTTACATAGCTAATTCGAATTTCCCGGCCGGTCTTGTTCATTGCGCCATAGTTTGTTGTCGAAAGGACTCTAGCTCCACTCATTTCAATGATATCAGAGTTAGATAAATGAGAAAGAATTGAGTCAAATTGTATCAAGGGCAGAAATTGATGTTTGAGGAAATCCAAGAATGTTTTCGGAGGTGGATGTAAATGGCTGCAGAGAACGTTGCTTTCGAAAACAACAGCTTCATGTCACAGTATTCATACTTCATCACCAGCTTTCTTACCGCTCATCTTGAATAGTAAGACTTGAGCTTGATTGTTATGGCGTTGGAAATTGATTTTATCCATGTAAAATCTATGCTATGTCCCGTTGCCTAGAATGATATTTTCACATACGGCTTGCTCTCGTTGTGACAACGGCTGTCTCATACTAGCTGCTCTCTGAAGGACTAATTGACTGCAGTCATCCACGAAACTTTAGCGAGCGCCAGATCCCTTAAAGTTAAACCATAATTTATATAGATATTAATCAGATGTCACGGTTGTGGGTACTGCAAGATTTGATTGGAAATAAGCAACAAGATGAAGCGTCGAGCAAGAGCCTTGTGATTGGCATTATAGATAGGTCAGAGGCGCAGTGAAAGAATTAGGAAATAGGCACATCTCAAACTGCAACATATAAACTCCACTTGAGGGAAAGATGCAGATGAGAAAAGCTTTCCAGAAGTGAATGATCGATGATTGGCCGAGAATGCAGACAGTGCGAGTTCAATAATAGAGAATCTGAGAGGATCGAGGATATATTCTGTATTGCCACAGAAGTAAAGACTGCATCACTCACCGCTTAATAATATATGGAATTAGACAAATAGAATTGCAGAGATTTGCACCCAGTTATAAAATAATTGCGAATAACTACCCCACTTCCACACTCCCACACTCTAACAATAACCTTGAGATAGAGGTTCTATGACGGTCAAAACCACTCGAAAGACGTACGATCCAGCTGCCATTCTTAACGCCCGAGACCTTATCGAATTGCATGTAAAGTACAAGTACTCTGGCTGCTAGATACTCTTGTCGTGTTTGTATTGTGGTTGGAAGATAAATTCTGGAAGTTCACAGTGCAGTGGGAAAGTAGTGACTGCCGTCAAATTTTACAGTGCCGACTTGTTAGCTATAGCCTGCCTACATCTTCAACGCTAGCATAATGATGACTAAGGCTAGCTAGCTACCTGTCAATGTAATAAGTTATCGTGACAATATAACAAACATCCAATATCATGTTACCAAGGCTAAAAAAAGCGTCCTTTCTCCAAGGATTCATTTCAGATCTCTCTCCTTTGATTCAAAATAAACATAGAGTTCGTTCTTTCCTTTGGTCCCGTTCTCGCAAAACAATGTCGACTCAAGAAATATCCCAGCCGTTTGCGGTTGGTGACGTTCTCCGTGGTCATTCAGGGCGGCCATATCAAATAAAAAACATTATATCTGCGAAGTTGAATCCCATGGCGTGTGTTTATCGAGCCAGGTATATATTACTCAATCTTATCCATCTTAGAGCGAGGCGCAAAGGTAACAATCATCAACCGCCGAAGGGGAGAGTTACATTATCAAAAACAGTCTCAAGGGTGAATTTGAGTATCAACAACGACTTCAGAAACCTTTAATTTCCTGCCTCCATGTACGGACCATCGTAGACACCATTCCAGACTTCAGTTGCTTGTCTATCATTTCCTCAAGGACAATCTTCCTCAATTCTGCCAGAGGGATCTGCCCGTGGATACTAGGAAGCGTCTTCTGAAAAGCGCTTTGGCTGGGTTGGCTGAACTGCATGATAATCAAGTCCTTCATGGAGGTAAGAAGCTTTAATATGATGTCTGTCGTAATACTATATGTTCTGGCGCAAAGAAAGATCATTAACGCGACTTCGCAAACATCAAAAAAATCCTTATCGCAGCCTGGATGATTCATTTATTCTTCTTCCAGGTCAAGGCATAATGGGTGGCAGATGTGGAAACCAATTTTGGCGCAGCCCTGAATCCTGGGGCAAAGGAAGACGAGGCGTGCTGTCAGATATCTTTTCAATGGGTATAGTTGCCATCTACATCATGAATAAGCAAATGATATTCTACGATGGTTCAAAAGATGAAGATTTTGTCGACGGCGAGGCCTGTGACCAATTCTTAAGGAGACATATCTCATATTTCTGGGACGAAAATGACTTTACAGCACTTTGGAGTATATTGGAGGATAATCCGTTTCATGATCGCCTCATCGATATTTTCAATAACACCAAGAATCCAAGGCCACCTTTTCGAAATTGGATAAAGATAGATGCAGAACTTAGAGATTTAGTTGTGAAGATGGCGAGGTTAGATCCAACGAGTAGGATTGGTGCAAGAGAGGCTTCGGAACATCCGTTTTTTGATGGGATCGGTGGATAGCTACGAAGCGGGAGTGTCACTAAATCGTATCATGAGCACCAGGAGGAGGAACACTGATTCAACTTGTCGATCATCATCATTACTCGAGTCTGATGGCTGTTGGTTCCGCAAATCCTTATGATTTTAAGGATTGGTATAGAAAGATCAGGAAGCATAGAGCGAGATATCTTGTACTTTACATTCTTCACTCCACTAGGAATTTATCTCCTTTTCCGTTCGTACAGTATTTCTTTTCTCGGGAAAATGTCGATGGATGAAATCATGCCAAGTGAAGAGAATTTCAACAACATAGATAATGGCAGAAAGTGCGATGTCTAAGTACACAGAGAGTAAGAGTTGAAGAGATTCCAAATCAAAGAGTTCTAGGAAAACCGTTTGCATCCATCCAATCGACGAAGAACGACTTTCCATAACCACGAGCTATTCGGCGGTTACTGCAAGTCAACATCAATACCACAAGTAACGAAAATAATGCGACACATGACACATGCACAGTAAGCTTATTTAGAATTGAATCCCATAGTCTTTTGAGATCTTACGATCCACTCAAAGTAACCATCATTGAAGAAAATTATCATTTCACCAAGTACGACCTTACCCTCATTCCAACTTCCAATTTGCAATTCAATTTACACTGTGCTAGAAACCTCTCTCCAAGATCTCCCTTCATATACCTGAATCTCCGCGTAATCTTACTAAAATGCAAACACATCCATCCATATTCCCTAAGCCCCAATTTCCGTGCGTGACAAAATCGATTTCCTTAAGAAAAGTAAAAATGGAATGTACCCCCAAAATTGCCTACTTTCAGCTTGTCCCACAAGTCTGATTTGGACTTATCAGCGTCACGTCCTCTTATATATTTGTCTAATAATATAAATGCATAGATCTAATTATAAACATGTCATTAACTTCTATCCAGCGATCACTTTGAATTGAATTACCCACTAGCGAAAATGGTCTTTCTTCCTCGGATGTCTTTAAATATAGAAGTGATCTATACGTTGATGTAATAATTAACATATTAATCATTATTCCAAAAAGAATAAATTCAAAATTCGATAAAGCTATACCTTTGAAAGAGAAGAGAAGAGATTTTAAAGGTTCAAAAGTACAAGTAAACAGATAAATAATATAGATAGACAGATAGATACACATATTAACATTCACTCGAATTCAGCTTATTTATCAAAGTAGTGATATAATAAAATATGTACAAGAGACTGAGTTTCTATCTACAATAATACACCGCCATCAAAATCAAGCGACACTCAAATAATGTCAACATGAAGATAACGAAATCTCAATTATACACAACAACCAATGTGAGACCTAATATTACATGAACTCATCAGTAACCTAGGTCATCCATGACATTATACACTGATATACATGACCCAAATCTAACTTCAGATATGACACATCCGGCTATCCATTTTCGGGTATACCAATCCTGTATAAATCAGGCATGATAGCATTGAGCTGTCTCTCATCAGGTTGCCACCTCTCTCGAATATCCCTCCATACCTCAATTGCTCTCGCTTGTCCAGAACACGTTGCGAATGCCTTGAGGACATTTGTTACAATCCAGGTTGACATGTATAGATCTTCCACGCCTGTATCAAGAGCTTTGAGATATGCTTTCCATACACTTTCCAATCTAGCCGCGGTCCATTTCGTATATCGAGTACCGCCATGAAGGTGAAATCCCTTGAAAAGAGACAGGAAAAGTGCACCGTGCAGGGGAACATTGAAAAGACCCATTTCTTCTAGAAATTTAGCGGCTTTGTCTAGCTCGCCTTCAGTGATTGCAAAATGATTGACTAAAAGTCTATATGTTTGAAGATCTGGACAGACTATAGACCTTTCCTGAACTTTCGCTCGCCCTTCTGGATTATGTTTGAACTCCATTGCCATTCGTAACAATTCGCGCTTAACTTCTCGACGATTCTTGAAACTTCTGTGCCATTCTCGTGTGCCCATACGCTCGGCATGCATAGTTTTCATTCGCTCATAAATGTTCAACGCGGCGCTAGGCTCATACGATTTGATGAGAGCTGAAATCATCGCATTGAGGACGACAGTATCGACAATTTCCCCAGCATCAACCAATGCTTTATATGCTGCTCGTGCTCCATCCCCATCCCTTTTTAGACCACAAGTAAATATCATGCTAACATAATGAAATCGGTTGTATTCGAGACCCCTGGCTATCATTTCTTTATAGATCATTTCCCCAAGAGTAAATTTACCAGCTTTGCAAGCAACATCATAAAGAACGTTGAAAGTTGCATTATTACCCCTGACACCTGCGACATGCTCCATTTCCTTCCACATTTTCAAAGCACTTTCAACCTCTACTTCTGTGGCCCGGGCAACGTATCTGGAAGCAAAAGAAATGGCACTCGTCCATTCTGAAACAGTCAAAGGGATGGCGGTTGATTTCATATCGTCGACGACCGAGAAGTACCTGAGCATCGAGTGCTCGTCCTTCCTTTCCACTATACTCAAGTGGCGAAGTAACATGTGTCTTAAATTGGCTTCTAGATAAGGAACACGAGGCCCCGGCAGTTCACGGTAGATTTGATACACATTTTCTGCATCTTCGGTGTAGAAATGTTTCAATGCGGATTCAAGCTTTTTCAACTTCTCTTTTGTTTCGTCGTCGGCAGGCCATGCCTGATGTGGGGGTGGCCATTCGTCTTCCTCTTCGTCCGAAACCTGCAGATGAGGGCCGTTACCTGGTTGATAGAGGTTCGGAGATTCCACTACGGGTAGTTGATGTGTATACGACGTGCCATGGTACTGATCCACAAGCTCCATGAGCTCTTCTCGAGTCTGATTTGCCTCATTGGTTGTTCTCTTCTCTTCCGCCTCAGCTTGTGTGTTACCCGTGAAATTCCGTCGCCGTGGAATAGGTTTGGTCGACCTTAAGTCCTTCCCAGAAACATTAGGTCTGTGAGATGTGAAAAATGTGACTGGTCGTATAGGTTTTGGAGTGTGTTTATGGCAATGGCCGGCACTGGCCAGTGAAGAAATGAACCATGCTTCGAGTCCGACTGTACTAGAAACCATTTGTGTGGGTTTTCTTAAATATTTTTCTCGTGGGAGCTTATTCGAAGCTTTCAGAGTGCCAATTGGATACAGGAAGGAAAGAGCTCGTCGAGGGGCTGCTAGCTTCGAGATGAGGGTGCTGCTCGTCGAGGAGGAGATACAAGAGGAGGACATGAGCCGGCTGACATTTTGAGTTTTTGTCAACGTCTCTGGAAAGTCATTGGAGCCAGGCCAGCCCTCCAGTCCTTATCTGCCGTTGTGGTTGACTTAAAAGCTTGTGGAGGGGTCGAGAGTTGGCATGTAGAAAACTTTAGGACTTATCGCCAAAATTTTGGAAATTTTGGCGGAGTTTGCCGCCCGGCCTCAAAACCTATGAATATTTGCGATCCCCAAAGATTACCACCAACCCCGCATTATTGTTCGTAGTTTACTTTGAGACTTGTAAGTTTTTAGATTTAAGTGAAATCTATGCTAATCTTTTTGGAAGTTCTGCGAGTATGAGGGGGCTCAATTTGAAGCCATCGCGCGTTTACCAAACGGCAGCGGCACTACTCGAATCTGAAAGCATTTCACAAGCACCACCATGGTATAAGACAATCGGCTCAGTTCCTCCTTCTGAAATCCTCACACGGACGCAACCTGTTCAACACCGAGAGAGCAATGGCAGGCCCAGGACGAAAAAAGCTAGCAAGTTGTTCAAACCACAAACTATTGTATACGAAGAAGATCGAATAAGACAAGAATTCTTCCGCGACCACCCATGGGAGCTGGCAAGACCAAGAATTGTACTGGAGAACGATGGTCGTGATGGACAAAGATGTGATTGGAGTAGGATAGCACAGCCGGGACGACCTTTGACTGGAGAAAGGTAAAATGGATTCTGAGAATGTCGTGGCTTTTGGTTAACATTTCGACAGTGTGGTACAGAGGCAGCTTTGGCTGATACACAACGCGGAAAAGCCTTATAATGAGGCTTACGATATAGCGCGGAAGGAATTTTATGCTCTACGTCAAGAAGAAGAGATCGAACGAAGAATCGCGAAAGAAGAGGCAGAATACGTTGGAGCATACTTTCACAAAGGTGCTTTGGAGGTCGGAATGGAGTTGGAAGATAAGAGTTACGAGGACTGGAAGGCATGGGCTACCAAGGAAGTTGAGGCTGCGAACTTGCAAAAACAAGGAGCATACACCGGTATTGGAACCGAAAGTGAGGACGCTGCTGTTTTGGACGAGGCAGATGAGGGTGCTGAAGGGTCGGCAACAGTCGTCGCACAAGTATAGTCAAGCTCCCATGGGCATGTACAACAACGTTATAAGGGCAGAAACGGCGTTAATGAGTATAAAATCTACCATGGTGATGTCGGCCTGCAATATCTGGGTTGAATCGAGAGGTCATTAATGCGACAGGACGGGTCACTGCTACTGCTGTGTTGATCAATCGCATTGCTCACAGTTGGACTCCTGGAGCTTGGATAGATCTTGTGGTATGCAGATAATATTTTGGCATTATGCTAATGTACCAAAAAGCCCCTCCATTCCACCCTCTTTCGAGCATCGTCCCCATTTAGCTGTTTAGCCAATCCTTCCCACTGAACGAGAAATCGATCATAGATACCTAGCCATAATAAAATCTTTCCACTTAGACTTAAAGTCTTCACCCTCGCCCAACTTTCCACATAAATCGTTTGCATCTTCCATATTGGGGCGAGCCCGAGAAATTTGAGTAAAAAGCTAGCCAGAATCATAATGACAGCTGTAGCAGGACCGTTTGTAATAAGTATATCTGGATATTGCTGATGTATTGTGCTGGTCATCGAAATTGTGTACAGTGCTTTGAGACATCCTAGCATACACCAGAAGGATGAAATTGGCGCAGTGTAAAGTGGTTGATGTATCTCCCTCGCTCGTGGAACTACTATGAGATCCCAGATGCCCGTGGTAGAATCAAACTCGCCAGATTTGGTACATGGTAAAGAAGGTCGAAGTTTCGATTGTATACGCTCCTCACAATCTTGCGCCTTGGTAGAAGAAAAGTTATCCCCCGCAGATATGATGTATGTTCTATGTTTGTATCTTGCGGCATTTGTATCGCGAAGAAGAGATATCATCTCTGCGGTATGACCACCAGAACCAAGAACTACCACCATATGAGAAGGCTCATCTTTCTTTTTGGTCGGAGGGCGTCGAGAGTCTGGCGAGACCACATACAGAAGTCGAAGCTACATTGTTTCAAGTCAGTACATGATTGTAGAAGATTGGAAACGATCTTACAAAGGCAGTGGTGATAATAATCAAGGTAGCTGCTATAACCACGGATGAAAATGAAAGAATAGCCATTCTGGGACAAGGCAAATGGAAGTTGCTGGATCTTCCAAGGAGAGGACACGAAGGATAATGAATGTCCCTGTATGATTTTTATTTAGAGTAATTGCATGAATTGAATGTTAATTTGCCGGGGCATTTTTTCAGAAGATTGAAGCTTGAAGATTGTGTGAGATGGGTGGAGGAATTAGTTGTATAATATGGGTATAGTCGTGTGTATGGCATTCTCATCCTCCCATTATCCTCACCATATTATCATTATCAACACCAAATCATCATCATCATCATCATCATCATCATCATCACCATCATCATCACCATCATCATCGTTCTTTCCATAGAAATTAATCGGTACCGTTTAACCTTTACCGCTCTATCGGGACTGGTTGACTATGAGCCGAACCATCCCTATTGTGTAGAATGTCGTAATCATCTGGACTTGAACTTTAAAAAAAAACACGCTTCAACGCGGACGCGATAAATACCTCGAAATTATCATTCCTGAAATAATCATGCACATTCAATCTTCACAACTTTCTTCAACTTCACCATTTTCAAATCAATCAAAGACTCGTACAACTTTTCAAATCCATCAAAATTTCCAAATCCGTACAATTTCCTAGCCTATACAGCTTTTAAAGCCGTACAACTTTCAAGGCCGTACAAAACTTCGAATCCGTATCTAAGATTCACTTCCCTCTTGAACATTAATAATTCTCAAAATGTTCTTCAGCAAACGTCTCGTTTGCTTTTATTGTGGACGAAAGTCGAACCTGAGATTCGACAATACAATGTCTCAATTTGATTGTGATACTTGTGAAGCCACTAATTTTTTGGATCGTGATGGCAACATCGCTGATCCGCCAACTTCAATCACTCAGCCTACTTTAAACAATCAATATGCTGATTCTAACTCGGCATCCTCCTCCACGGGGTCATCCATTTTTTGTGATCGCTGTTTACGTAATCAACAGTATCATTGCGATGTCATGAAGCAGCTCAATGTTGAGCTTGACCCTAGACATCCGAATTATCAGATCTCTAAAGAGAAGATTCGCAATGTTAAGAGAGATCTTGACAAGCGTTATCCAATGGTTTGCGAGAAATGCGCACCAAAAGCTCAAGAACAACGCGATAAAGCGGACAAGTTCGCAAAATCTGACTGGCTTGGAAGATTAAACGCTCTCAGCGAGTCGATCAGAAGCCAAAAGACATGGAAGGATACCTTTAAAAATGTCATATATCAAACCCTCCTCTATCCAATCGTATCAAAAATCTGGTACCTCGTTGTCATCGGACAAATGCTTGCTCTTGTTCTGGGTCTCTTCAATGTCACATACATCTTGACCAACGCCTTAAACTTAATCCCCTACTTCTCAAACGACTTGAAACTTAACATCATCTCTTTCTTGTCATCTAAGAGATACCTTGGATGGAGCATCCTTTACAACTTTTTGTCATGTGGCATGAATCCATTCTTCTCCCGATGGTATCCAAGAGGAAACCCCAAGCGTATCGTTGGCTTCTTCAACTGGTATGGATACCAACTACTTTTGCAACTGGTCTTGCGAGTGATTTTATGCTCCATTTTCGGAAATGGCTTTTTTACACAACTTTCCTCCTTCACCACGATGATAGCAAATGGCTTCACCATCTTCTTCAATTTCCTCATTGCATATGGATCACGTTTTTACCTTGGCCCAAAGAAAATTTCACTTTGGAAATCAAAGCCAGGCCCAATATTTACACCACAAACATTCGAGACTTCAGAAAAATCTGGCAATGCAATGTCAGATGTTCTTGATGAAATCATGGCATCATCACCAAAAGATCATCATCAAACACCTTCCCCACCTACATACCCCACTCAACGAAGCAGCCCTTATAACCAAGAACAGTCACTTCAACACGTTGGTCAAAGTCACACATCTGGCTTTCACGAGAAACCTTCCGTAAACATCTACGGTCAAAACTATAATCGACATCATGAGATTGCAAGACAAACGGACCTTCTTTTAAAAACCAACACTTCTGGTTTGAATTCGGCTGAGTTCAACGATTATTTAGCAACTGGTGAGCTACCAGACTGGAAAGTTCAAGAAGGCGAGGAAATGGACTGGGACCCTACCGTTACTCGTGTGAAACACGACTTCAACGTTCATCATCGTGCTTTGGACACGACGTCAAACTATGAAACTCAAGTACAACCTTTCGGTCAATCTACATCCTTCCAATCGTCGAATTCATTCAATGGCCCTTCTCCATTTTATGGCAAACTTCCAGCGGCCCCAATCAGCCCAGCTCATCGACTTCGCAATCCCCCAAACAGGCCACGACTTGAAGTGCCATCAGCTCAGCGAAAAGAGAACTTTTTCAATAGCATGACACAAAAGCCAGCTTTTGGCAAAGCCAACAAAGATCACTATGAAATTCAGATTGCAGATCCAAAACTCCATGTCGCCAATCCTAAAGCATATCAACTGGATAATGGTTTTGAAGAAGCCTTTGGCAAATTTTCCATTGAAGAGAAGGAAGAAACACCAGCTAAAGAATTCGGAAAGCTGAGCATGGGAAAGGCCATTGGATTGAGTTTGTTATTTGGTGGATTAGCAGTAGGCGCAGGAGCTTTCTACAAGTCCAAATCCTCGTCGCAAGATGAGACCTCCTCGTCACTTGAAACAATGACGATTGAAAACACCTCCACTTTGTAGGTGGGGACCTTCCTCCATGGATCTTACCAATCCATGGGGCATGTAAGTTACCCTGAGATTGTTGTTGTTTCAAGTGACTTGGAATATTGAATCTTGTGGCGGGAACTTGGACTCGGGGAAAGGATTGGATTTGGACTTGGATTTGGATTTGGACTCGGATTTGGACTCGGATTTGGATTTGGACGGGTGCTTGGAGCATGGAAGGTTTATTGTTTGGAAGTTTTCACGGATTATGGATTATGAATTATGAATAATGTCTAGCATTTTTAGAAATGGAGTCACCTGGCATGGTGTTTTTTGTTTATCAACTGGAAGGAAAAACTTTGTAATTAGTATATGATAGATACCCTGTATAAATACTTAATTTAGAATTAGAAATGAAGAATGATTAATAACTGTAAGGCTTTAGATCATCTTTATACTGAATATCTATCAAGGAAGTGAACATTCTGCATAGTAAGTAGTCAGATGAATATACATCTTGTATCTATATAAGTATTAAATATACAAATACTTCTAATGTAGATATTTTTAATATCTAACTGAATCTTGAAATTTGAGGATTCTTTAATTCAATAATTCTGATCAGTTATTGAGTATAATATCTATAACATGTAAATAATAAATAATAAATAATAAATAATAAATAATAAATAATAAATAATAAATAATAAATAATAAATAATAAATAATAAATAATAAATAATAAATAATAAATAATAAATAATAAATAATAAATAATAAATAATAAATAATAAATAATAAATAATAAATAATAAATAATAAATAATAACTCTTCGGGGGGTTTTTTTTCAAATGCAGGATTCGCCTGGTTAGATATATATGATTGTAAGATTAATTGGGCGTATGGAAAGTTCCATGTCACCACAAACCTTTCTTATAATTTTATATCAGTTCTAGATAGAGATCTGTATTGGAAATAACAAGATGGTTTTCTGACTTAAGAGAAACTTGCATCTTGGTTTTTACCCCGCTGCCTCTTGACCCAAAGACTTGAGATATGAAAGATCGGAGTAGATTTTTGTATTTTCAGACCTAGATACCTCTTCTCTCTCTCTTTGTTGCTTGAGAGAGAGATTTTCGTTTCTAGGACTCTCTTCTTCCTAGTGTGATTTTTATTGTCAGTAAAGTCTTTTCATTCTTGGTGCGGGCTAGGGCTAGGATCCGGAGTAGGAAGTTCAACATGACAGTCATATAAGGGGACTTTTCCGCAATTAATAATACAGCAAATTTTGACACCGTGGTTCTCGTGTGAAAATTCTTGAGCAATAGGTGTGCTTTTACTGAGGAAGAAAACTAAATGAAAATTAAGATGATCATGTAAAGCAACTTGAGCTTGATGCCTCATGAACATTTTCAAAGTTAAAGATATCCAAACACTCATTCGAAACAATCGGAGTCTTTAATCTCTATTGATTAAGGAAGTCGAAATCTCATGTATGAAAAGTAGAAAATATATCGGATTCAGAATACACATATATCTACTTTCGTGAGTAGTGATCGGAATCTGAAGAACATAACTATATATCCTCCAAAATACTAACACAACAGCAAATACGTTAACCTTCTTTGTGGCTATTGTAGGTATGTTCCGAACATTTCTGTTCGATTTTTGCAGTACAAGGACAGAAAAAAAAAAAGAGGCGCCGTCGCCGTCCTCTATCTTTGCAGTGGGAATGAGGTAAATCTTGATTGCAATGGGCCGATCGTTGTGTGACTGCAAGATTTGTGATACTAAGAAACGTTGGACAACGTCGGCAGTGTCTAGTGCACAGTATAGTAGATTTCTTCCTTTTCAATCTTTTCAAAAATTATAAATAATTTATGATTTTCATCAAATAATAAATGGATTTTTTTTCGATTTTATCAAAATAAATAAAGTGAAATGAAAATTGAAAAGATAAATTTAAAATAATTATAATATATTTTTATAAATTAATAATAATAAAGTTTTTGAAAAGGAAAGAAAGGAAGGGAAAGAAAGAAAGAAGAAGAAAAGAGAAGAAAAAGAAAGAGAGAAAGAGAGAGGGAGAAAAAAAGAGGGAGAAAGAAGAAGAGATATTCAATTCCGGGATTGAAAAAGATATTTAAAAAATTATAATCTAATTATCAAGTATAAAGTTATTTATATTAAATCTTATTTTATAAATTAAACATATCATAATCTTAAAAATGAACTTTTTATTAATCCTCAATCAAGTATTGATTTAGAATTAGAAAAACTTATTAATCGGGGATCAGTAAATAACTAATTTGCTGCTACCCTAGGGGTAGGTTTATACGATAGCTTTTGTTTGTCTAAGAGGTTGTTGGTCTGGTGTAGTATTAAAGTGATATAGTAATGAGCACGACTAGAATGCCATAGAGTGTAGCTCTACATCCGCATCCCAAATTCATGGGAATAATCAACTTCTGCACTTTTCTGCAATCTGCGATTTCGGCTTCGAGGTTGGGAGTTGTCATCATTCAACTTAAGCCTGAGGCAAGAAAGGAGGAAGTGGGTCAAACTTTCAACAGCACTGGAAAGTATGAAATTCTCTGAACACTTGTTCAAATCTCAATGACACCAACTACTAGATATTTAAAATGGAATTTGATAGTTTGAATCAGAAGAAAGTGATAATGATTGGCGGCTTGGCGAGTATTGGATCTAAGGTTAAAGTTAGGTAGGAAGTAGTCCAAGCTCTATGGGGTACATACGGTGCTGATTTTCTGGAGAACTACTAAACGCTACTAAGATCAAGTCTATGAAGGGGGTTTGCCTGATCAGTGATGGGTGGTGAGAAATGTTTTTCCACGGTAGGTTACTGTACTTCCTCCATACGTTGATCTGTATGTGCGAAGGGTTTGGACATTGATTTTCCATACAGACAGTGGAGGTGTGTGCGTTTGCATGCAAATGAGAGGATATTCTCTGTGCTGGTAGGAGTATTCTGATTTGCTATAATACATAATTACTTGTTTTCTCCACATTCCGCTTTTAGAGCCCAGGGTCTAAATGATCATCGGGTATTTGTCGATTTACGATAGAGTTGTCCTTTTGTGGTTAGATTTGCTGTAGATCTATCTACGGAGGAATAGCGCTTTATTATTATTGTTGGGTGTATGGAAGGACTGGGAAGCGAGTAATACAATGAATGGCTGCTCGGTAGTAGGCACAGTACGTATGTACGAGTAATCAGGTAACCCTCAGAATAGCTAATTAGTGATCCATTTCGTAAATGTCCAAATACAACAGCTGGCACACGAGCCCCTCTGAGAAATGGCCCCGTTATCAAACCGAGGGCACACGGACTGACACCACTTTGGAAATACCAGGTAGATTATGGAGCGGTATTTCCTCGTTCCAGCATCTAGGGAGTGGTTACGAGTAGAAATCAGGATGTCGGCATTTAACATTTCACACAAATCTTAGCTGAAGCATAATTCTTGCATTTGCATGATTTACAAAGTATAGAAATTAGAACAAAATATTCAAACTTAAATGGGGCTGTCGGTCGTCTCCATTAACATGCAGTAACCCTGGTGAGAGACAGGCCTTCAAATGCGTTAGCACCCACAGCTGGTACATGGAGATGCAGGTGCGGATGTAACGGGGAAATCATTTTGAAGACTTTTATCTCCTGATTTGCATTTGCCGCTTAATTTTGTGCTGTAGAAACCGTAAAATCCATAAAATCCATAAAATCCATAAAATCCATAACTGGTGACAGCCACGTCAATTATCTACTTTCTTTCAGTGTAATTAATAAATTAATATGTATGAACCACATTTGTGTGCAATGTACATGAATATTTTTTCAAACCAAAATATGGGTCATGATTTTCCACGGGAGGCAGTACAGAATATACTGTACAGAGCAAATCAAATTTCTTTGCGAGTTATTTATTAACATTATCAACATGGATCCTTTCTGGGATTTCTGCGATTTCTAGAATTTCTGGCCTTTCTGGCCTTTCTCGGAGACAATGGAAAAAAGGAAAAAGGGAAAAAGGGAAAAAGGGAAAAAGGTCTACGCATGGTAGACTATGAATCAATCTTTAGTGAACTTCGAGCCAAACCTTCCCTGGACTTAGATCCATCAGCCATTCATACATACCTTGGAACACCAGTGGAACTAAAAATTCAAATCAGTACGAGTATAGAATCATCAATTCTTTTGCACCGAACAACTTTAATTATGAATCTACGAGATTTAGCTGCCTTAGCTCTCGCACTATATCCAGTACTCTGATTCCCCCAGGATTTGAGATTTGAGTTTCGTCATTTCCATATTCCATATCCCATATACTCTGACTCCCCTTCCCTACCTACTTCCTTTCCTCTTTACCTCACCTCACCTCACCTCACACGACACAATCAATTTACCACTCAGCGGTCTCAAATAGAACATCTACCTACCCGAAAACCTTCCAAAGATCCTTAACTGCTCAATCGACAACATGTTAATGGGAGCACTCAATCTCGGTCATTAAGACCTTTCCCGGAGGATAATTCTCTCTTGTCGAGAGGATTCCCTTTTGTTGAGTACCGACACACGTCAAGAAATCCTTAACCTACTTCAAAATCCGAAAAAAAAAGAACACCATTCCCAAGAGGCAGTTCGTACATACGCCAGACTAATCTATACATCCTTTACAACCTTTAATATATAACATGGCCGACGAGCTGGTCGCAAAGATCTCAAGACGATCGACAAGAACATTCGTTACAGAACAAGAAGCCATGGAGTCAGGAAACGCAGGTGTCGCTATGGTACCTTATGAGACCAGAAGTAACACCAATCAAGATGATAAGGAAAAGGAAAAGGACAAGAAGCACGGAGAGGGTAGAAGCTCATCCCACCAAACCCCCCTTGAAGCTTTATCAGGACCAGTTGTCGATGTTGGAAGAGATCTTGGAACATTATTTCCTTCTACCACAGAAGCTATTGCAACACAAGGTAATTAATCATAAACCACACATTTCACATCATCATATATCGAGGAATTGGCTAATATGAAGATTGAACAGTAACCAACTCACTTGATGCTGCGAAAGCTTTGGCCAAGGAGAAACAAGAAGGACGCCCTCTTAATTTTGGTGTCATTGCTCCAAATGCGATTTATCGTAGCAGCTTCCCCCAACAAGAGGATTTTGAGTATCTCAGGTCTCTTGGTTTGAAATCTATCGTGTGAGTAATTTATATCCAAGTTTCATGGTTAGTACTGACTTTTCCTAGGACCCTCGTCAAGAAAGAATACCCTCCCGGATTTCTTGCATTTATTGAGGCTCAAGGCATACGCCATTATGTCATCGAAATGCAAGGAACCAAAAAGGTCGATATTCCCGAGCATATTATGAATCAAATCATGAGAATCTCCCTTGACAAGGAAAATCATCCACTGTTAATCCACTGCAATCATGGCAAGGTAATTTCCATTTGATCCTTCTAAAATAATGATTCCAAGCTGATCAATTTATAGCACCGCACTGGTTGCGCTGCCGCCATTATTCGTCACGTCTCTGGCTGGGATGTCCAGTCTATCGTTGAGGAATACAAAAGATTTGCCGAGCCAAAGGCTCGTGATGTCGATATTAAATACATCAGCGAGTACCAGGTCTCGAGTCTCAGTGGTCTCTATCACCATAACTTGGATCAACCTCCCGTCACCAAGACCTCCAAGACGGCTCGTATCCTCGCCCTTACAGTTTTGCTCATTTGGATCTGTTTGACGATGTCGAGATTTTGGAACCACTAGCTGCATAAATGTCAGCCACATTTCTTTTGGTGTTTAGGTATATGGGGTGGGAGGGTAACTTCTGGCATAGGATAAATTATTAGAAAGACGTCGGTTATGCAGTGCGCGATAGGGCCGATGCGAATATGGAGTTTAAAGGGTTAAAAATGTGGCATTGGGTTACAAATATGCCAGCCTTCTTTACTCGGCATAGAGTATCCTTAGAATATAGGTTCTTGTAATATGTACAAAGTTCAGATTCCTACCCAACTATTCCACACAAGGCGCCCATGGCATAGCGTGCATAATAAAATATATTCTACAGTCAATGATGTCGTTTCTGGAAAATTGAAACCAGAGTGGCACACCCGCCAGTATAGTAGTTTTTATAACCCTTTAAATCCCCAAACGTGCACAATATGATACAATCCTCCCTAGATAGATATCCACCCGCTCAAAGAGTTTTATCCTCATCCTCCCTCTTACCAAAAGCATATGTAATCCCACCACCCACCAAATTCAAACCCGCCACACCCATCGCAGCACCTCGGACGATACCCCGCGCCCCAAACTTACTCCCAATTCTTGCATACATGTTTTTGCCCGATGCTTTTCTCCGGTTGGCTAAGATAAGATAGAGACCTGACCAAGCGGCTGTTAAACCAGCGGAATCAATGGCGTATCCTGAGAGATTCAGATAGGTGCTGAAGAGAAAGACGGGTGTGAAGGCTAGGGGGAGTGGTTGGAGGGGGCGGGCGTGCAGGGCCGTGGTGAAGGTTGCGAGGAGGACTGGGGGGAGCGGGGAGCCTAGCGTAAGTGGTGTGTTAGATTTGTTTTGCTTTTGCTTTTGAGGGATGGGGGAATTGGGCTGTATGTAGTATCTATGAGAGAGGAGGATGGAGTTTGGAGGTATGGAGGGGTCAATGGAGGGGACTGTAACTCACGGCCCCAGTCTTGTGCGTAGGAAATTGTAGTCTTTTTGACATTTTCAACTGCTTCGTCTTGATCGGACATTTTATTGGGGCGACGAAGGACTATGAGAATGGAATGTAAGGAAATAAAGCTTGAAATTAAAATATTCTTCGTGAATAACGTTCTTACATCGATTCATACAATCTACACAGATTCTATGACGACGGGGTGAGAAATAAATGTCACGTGCATAGCCCTTAAGGTTAACTATAAATCCAGTAGAATCCATGCATGGAACATTTTAGCGCACGATAGCGAAGAGAAACATCGGACAAGCACTCTAGCATCGTGGCCATAACAAATTGCGACACACCAACATACAATATCTATTAAATATTGAGACATTCGAGATTGATGAGAATTGGGATATTGATACGATAATACATCTTTCGATCTGCGACTCTCATATTTTAACAAACCGGCGCAATGCCGGCTACCACTTCTGGCGCTGATACAAAGGCCAATGGAACTGCAAAATCGCGAGAACATAACCAAGGGAACCAGGACCGCAAATATACAATTGAGCAAAAGGCTGCGGTGGTGAGGGTTAGACGATGTGCGCCCACGGCATTTTACGATATTTTGGGACTTGAGGAAGTAAAAGCAACGGTGACGGAAACGGAGATCAAGAAGGCTTATAGAAAATTGAGTCTGTTAACCCATCCGGATAAGAATGGACACGAACATGCCGATGAGGCTTTCAAGATGGTTAGTCGGGCATTTGGTGTTCTGAGTGACAAGGACAAGAAAACGAAGTACGATAAGTTTGGCGGGGATCCAGATAGTAGATTTGGTGGAGGAGCGCCGCAATCAAATCCTTTCTCGGGATTTTCGCAGAGGAGTGCTGGAGGAGGGGCTGCTGCAAGAGGTGGTGGCAGGTCTATGTGGGAAGAGGAGATCAGTCCTGAAGAGATGTTCCAGAGATTCTTTGGAGGAGGAGGTTTTGGTGAGTCTCCCGAGCCTGGAAAAGTTTTTGGAAGCTAATGAGTTGTTAGGTGGTGGTGGGATGTTTAACGATCAGCCTGGGTTTGTCTTCAATCTCGGTGGTGGACCTGGTATTAGAGTACATCAGTTCGGAGGTCCAAGGCCAAGGCGGAGACCAAGAGATCCAAACGCACCGCCAGAAGCTCCGGCTTCGTTGACTCAGACCCTTATAAGCTTATTACCACTCTTATTACTTTTCGGCATACCATTATTATCATCACTCTTTTCCGGAGAAGGATCTAGCGGTCCTTCCATGCGGTTCGATAATCCTATACCACCGCATACCGACCACAGGGTCAGTTCGAGAATGAACGTCGATTATTACGTGAATCCCGCCGAGATCAAGGGTTATAGTACACATAAACTAGCACAACTGGACCGGCAAGCCGAGGTTGAATTTGTGCAACGATTAAAGGTTATGTGTGAACAAGAAGTACAACAACGAAACCAATTACTCCAGGAAGCCCAAGGCTGGTTTAGTACCGATGCGGATAAAATTCAACGCGCTAGAGATATGCCAATGTCGAGCTGCAGGAAATTGGAAGGTATGGGTGTTAGAAATCAATACTGAGTGTATCTTCATATTTACACGCTTATGTGTTATATCTGCTTTGTAGCAAGGCGTTCGGGGTAGGAGCATTATGAGAAAGACTGAACGAATGACTTTTATAGGAGGGTCTTGTTAATGCTATAATAGACGACGAATATTCAATATAATACTGTGAGCGTATATTTATTCATTTGTCTTGGATGATTCATGATAACCATCTCGAGGCATTACCCCTTCTGTTCGAGATATTCGACTCTAGAAGTCATGCATGAGAGGTTTGGTTTGTTGCCAAGATCTCCTTCACTTATTGTGTTCTATGCCAGAGAAACCTATTATCTACTATCAACTTCAAGGTTACTAGACCATAATATTCCAGCACATCGAGTCGAAGGTATAATATTTAAAGGTATCTAAAGTTTGTATGACGTAAGCTAATATATTGCTATAAAATGAGTGTTACTCGTGATTCGTGAACAACCTGGAAAGGACTACATGTTGTACAGCAGCTTTGTGATATGTTGATGGTACGGCTTTACGGTACAAATAATCAAAGAACAGAAACTTCGAGAGGGAGGCAACCTTGTAATTGGATTATCAAGCCTAATCCTAGTGCTAACCGATAAAGCCACCCGCCGCACGAGGCTACTATCAATAGCATAAGAGCATCTGCGATACATCAAAATCATCATCATCTTTCAACACAATATTTTCAAGATAATTAATTGATAATTAGTTGATAAATATGGCAGATCAACAACCGCCACCGCCCCCTGGGCCAGATGCTCCCGATAAAGAGAAGATGGAACAGGTAAAGAAAGCTATTTTATATGTTGTTATATGCACCTGAGATCTCCATGGCTAATCTTTATAACTACATCATAGATTCGACGCCGCCGCATGGAGAAGTTATCTGGTTCCGCAACTTTGAGTTCTGAAAAGATTTCCGACTCGAGCGTAAATGCTGCAGCATCTATTTCTACCCCACCACAAACTACAACGAAGGATAATGCTTCTTCATCGGTTCAGCCGGTAGTTAAACCCGCGATCAATATCAAACCAGCGAATGCTACTCCTCCGCCAGCTACAAATCCCTTCGCAAAGTTGGGCGCGGGGGCAAGCTCTATTGGGAATACATCGTCTGTAAGAACTGATCCTCCACAACATGTTCTAGGCAAGCGATTCAGAACTAAATCAGAAATACAGACAGCTTCGCGCCCATCCACGCGCAAACCTAATATCACGGAAGAATCTCTAGAGGCATACGAGGATCGGATTCTCGCACACATCTTTCGAGTTACTCTAGATCCCAATCAGCGCACAGATGCGTCGAATCATAAACTTATCTTTTTGCCAGAATTGAGAAAGGAACTCGAGGAGGAAAATGCCGAGATTAGATTGTCGACCGGGAAGCTTGATAGTGCTATTATGGAAGCTTGCTCTTCAATCACACACAGTAAATCCGTATTCGATTACTTATTGCCATGTTGGAAACGAATCATAAAGGCTTCCAAGGGATTGCGGGGCTATGCGGGGCAGAAGGATGCGGTTCTCAAAGAAGCCAAACGCTTATGTATGAGCTATTGCATCTTTGCGGCCGAAATGCCTGACATTTTTCAGTTTGTTTCCCGGGTTGGACGTTTTCATATTTAACTAACATTTTATAGACGAGAGCCCAATCCAACTACAGATGTTCTTACTCCTTACTTTTTACTGGAGCCTGGTGAAGACAAGGGTGTTTGCCCTGACTTTCTCGAGGAAGTTGTATCTCGCTTCGGAGAGGATGATATGGCAAAGTCTATGATCATTAAGGCATTTGTAGGCATGAGTAGTCAGCTATCCAACATGACTATGAATGACGTTTATAAACCCTATATTCATGTAAGAAACGCCAAATTTTAGAATCAGCAACTAGAACTAATTTCGTTTGTAGGCCTTTAAATTACTGACCCAGTTCAATCCAATCACGACAGCTATTGCCGAATCTCCATTATTCCAAATGGCTGTGTCAGCAAATACCATTGAGAGATATACGCTACTTGGCCCCTTCTTCAGAATATCTCCTTTGCAACTGGAAGTTACTAAGGAGTACTTTGGTTCACCGAAGACAATGGATAAGCGACACATTGCCACATCTCAGGATGCGTTACGGTTGACATTGCAAACCCACCAGAAGGATTTACTAGATATCATTAATCATTTTGTTCGGGCGAGTCCTATTGCCAAGAACAAGACATTGGATTGGTTTGCCTACATTGTAAATCAAAATCACAAGCGCCGAGCACTCCAGGTAGATCCAAAAGAAGTCTCTTCTGATGGTTTCATGCACAACGTCACTGTGGTTTTGGATGGTCTCTGCGAACCATTTATGGATACCACGTTCTCTAAGATTTCGAAGATTGATATCGATTACTTACGGCGTGCGCCTAGGGTAGATATTAAGGATGAGACGAAGTTGAATGCCGATGAGAAGGCTTCTGAGAAATATTATGAGGCAAATGTTTCTGGCACTTCTAATTTCATCTCTGAGGTCTTCTTTTTGACGTTAGCTGCCCATCATTATGGTAGTGAAGCTCTCAATGCTACCCATAAGAGTTTGGAGAAGGACATTAAGTATATTCAAAAGCAATATGCTGCAATCGAGGCAGAACGTGCCAAAATTGCTCAGGTAAGTCAAGCAATTAGACTCGGAATCTTCAAAATTCATTGCTAATCAAACCCAGGATCCTCGAGCTGCTGCTATAATTGATCTGAGGCTTAAGAGAATTAATGAGGTCTTAGAAAATGCGATGTCAAAGAGAATGGCTATCGAGGGTGTTCTTTCTGACAAACCTATGCAAGCAAAGTCTTTGATCTTCATGAGATACGTGACTGTCTGGCTTTTGAGAATCGCCACGGAGTCGAATTATACTCCTAGTCAAACCATTAAGTATGATTACGCACCCATTCGAACTTATTTCTCGCACAGCTAACAAAAATAGATTGCCTTTGCCATCAACACCCCCTGAAGCCTTTGATTATCTTCCGGAATATGTTCTCGAGGACATCATTACCAACTTTAACTTTATCATACGGTTAGTTTTCTCATCCTAGGTACTACAGGAAATTTTCTAATCTGTTTGTAGATTCATCCCTGATGTTATGATTTCAGCTGTTGGCGATGAAATCATTGCACTCAGTATTACTTTCTTGACAAATTCTGAATATATCAAAAACCCATACCTGAAAGCAAAGCTTGTATCATTACTTTTCGCTGGTACATGGCCAGTGTATCATCGTACGAAAGGTGTTTTGGGTGATGTTTTGATGGGATCACAATTCGCTAATGACCATTTGCTCCACGCATTGCTTAAGTTCTATATTGGTAGGTTAGATTGTGATGCCAATTTCTAATGATGCTAATGATTCTTAGAATGTGAATCCACTGGAGCACACACTCAATTTTACGACAAATTTAATATTCGATACGAGATTTTCCAAGTCATCAAATGCGTATGGCCGAACGATGTTTATAGGCAACGCTTGATGCAAGAGAGCAAGTATGTATACGCCGATAAACCTGAAGGTGTTAACTATACTAACACCACTTAGAACCAATACAGAATTCTTCTTACGATTCGTCAACCTTTTGCTGAATGATGCTACTTTCGTTCTAGATGAGGCTCTTACAAAGTTTCCAAAGATTCATGATCTTCAAGTCGAACTCAGAAAAGAAGCAGAAGAACCTACCTTGAGTACCGAGGATCGAGAGAAGAAAGAAAATGCGTTACGCGAGGCTGAAGGTCAAGCACAATCCTACATGCAGTTGACGAACGAGACCCTCGCTATGATGAAATTATTCTCTTCTACTCTGAGCGGTTCATTTACCATGCGGGAAATCGTTGATCGTGTTGCAGCGATGCTGAATTATACACTTGATACTATTACTGGGAGTAAATCAACGAACTTGAAGGTCGAGAATTTGGAGAAATACCAGTTCAGACCACGAGCTTTCCTGAGCGATTTTGTGGAAATCTACATTAACCTTGGAGTATCTGAATTATTCGTGGAAGCCGTAGCTAGAGATGGTCGTTCTTATAAGCCCGAAAATTTCGACAGCGCTTCCCGAATCTTGACACGTTACGGACTCAAATCCCCGGAGGATCTGAATGCTTGGGAACTTCTTAAGGCTCGATTCAAGACAGCTAAGGAAATTGATGATCAAGCTAACCTTGACATGGGTGAAATTCCCGACGAATTCCAAGATCCGCTTTTGGCAGAACTTATGGAAGATCCAGTTATGCTACCTATTAGTAAACAGATTGTGGATAGAAGTACGATTAAGAGTTACTTGTTGAGTGATGAGAAAGATCCATTCAATCGTACGCCCTTGAAGATTGAGGATGTGATTCCAGTTCCGGAATTAGCTGAGAGAATTAGGGTCTGGAAAGAGGAAATTAAGGCGAGAAAGCGAGCAGAGAGAGCTGCTGCTGCTGCCGAGGCAGACGCGGCTTCAGCGGATGTTATGGATACGTCGGCGTAGTATCATTGCATGATTTCTATATGATGTGAAGGGTTGGGTGGGATAGGAAAATGGAAATGGAAGAATTTCTATACATACATAGGGTGCATTAAATTAGGACTGTGTTTTTCATTCATTGTCTTTTTTTGTTCATTCGGGAAGGAAGGCAAGCAGACAGGCAAGCAGGAAGATAGGCGTATTGAGTTTGGGAATGGGATTAAACGAGGGGAGGGGTTTTGATTTTTTGTGTAGAGAATGGAAGATCAATGAATGAATGATTGAATGATTGCATTGTATTGTTAAACGAGGATGAAGGTTTTTGATTAAATAAGTCTAGTATCCCATTTTCGGACCAACCTTAATTCGGACCATCCTTTTATATCAAAAATAACGATTTTCATTTGAGTCTAGTACTTTATTTTTCGGCCACCTCTTTTTTCGGGGTTTTTTTATATCAAAATAACAAAAATCAATCTTTATAACTTTCTTTATTTATAAATATAATTTTTTTAATTTTCAGATTATATACTAAAAGATCAATATATAAATTAAAAAAATTTGATCAAAATGCAAAGATTATTGATTATTTGCTAATATGTCTTTAAATTTTTAATCAAAAATATTATATTATTGATTTATTATTAAATTTTTAAAATTATGATTGGAAAATGAAAGATGTGCGATGAGTGATGGTCATAACTCTTATAATAGATAGATGCTCTTACTACGAGTAGAAAGTTGTCGAGAAGAAAATAGAAAATGCTGATATCACTTCAGGAATACAGTTCGCATGCATAACACTATTATAGTACTCTGTTATTCATTCTTGCTAGCTACATTGTGAGAAATGGAGACTTTTTATGTGAAGGAGTAGGGAGCTAGAATTCGCTAGTTCTACAGCTCCCTTTTTAAGGTTGACCACATGAAGTTCCAACAAGAAAAGTTTGATAGCCATGAAAAGATCAGGAGAACTACCGGAAATCCAGGAGCATAATAAAAATAATCTGAGTTGCATGGCGATGGGGCGCGGAAGAATAATACGTGTGACGCTGCCAACTTTCCCGCAAAGACAGATTAGCCCTCTTCATATTGGTACTCGTAACTTTCTGTGTCAAAGCGGAAAGTTTGTGGTTCTCCTGGTGGCGGCGTTCTCGATGGTGACGCATCTGGTGGTAGTCTTGGAGGACGATGAGAGACGCTATACCTGGCCATGGCGATCCTATCTACTTCTTCCAGTGTAGTATCTCCCATTTCTAAAAGTCGGTCCCAAACATCAAATTCTTGCTCGACAAAATGTATCTTCTCATACCTCAGGTCGAGATCTACGTATGCTTCCAAACCAGCCAGTTTGTTGTCATTTAGGCGTCTCTGTAGATCGTCGATTATAGGTCGTTGAGCTCTTCCCTACATTGGTCAACATCTATTCCGGAGATGGGAGTTTCTGGCGCTCCAATATCGGGTAATGGCCGTTGTCTTTTTTACCTCGGCATATTATATGCTTGTGGTCAAGAGATGGCTTTTGGTTCTGGATTCTTGTAGAAGCTGGAAGGGCTGGGCCTATGATATCGTTGAAAGGCTGCGAAAATGAGCAGGTCTTATTTGGCGAGCCAAAGTGGGAGTGATGTAGTTGTCAAGACTGGACTTGAAGATTCGAATGTTTCGATTTTGATTGTTTGAATGATATTTGTATCGAGATCTTAAATCTTGTAACAGCCAAGATCGAGGTAAATATCGAAGTTAGACTTGCAGGTTTTGAAATATTTCGACGTTGATATCTCAAAAAGAAGTGTTTCCGAAGGGGGGTGATGCGACCTATTTAAGGGTTTTCGGACACCCTTCCTCGGGCTTATGACTTCCATTATCTATCACATATTTTAGTGTCATGATGATATGAGTTGATGCTTAAAGACACGTCTTGCGGGAAATTTATGAGTGTGGATAGTTAGAGTTGTAAGTCTGTGAGTCTTTGAAGCTGATTTACTTTTTGTGGTGTCATTTTGCTAAGTGAGTACATATCAAGGTGTTTTGTAATAGTTCTGGCAGGAGTCACAAATTTTGTAAGACAGATCTTGTGATTCACTTCCGAAATATTATACTATAGAGCTAACTACCAGCCTACCAGTTACATTCATAATACTTTATCATCTACTAAATCCATCCGTTCTTTCTTGCTATCTATAATATTTCTTTGTATTTACCTATTACCCTTTCTCCCTCAAACAGCGACCTCCCTTCCGGAAACTAAACACTACAAAACCTCCCCCAGCGTCTAAAAAATCTTTCAACTTCCAACACTATCGCCCCCATCTTCGCATACTCCTCCCACAAATTCCTCTTCAATCTATCTCTCTTCCCATCCGTATCCGCTCCATATTCTTGAGTAGTATATTCTAATATCCTATCTCGGTATTGATTCAAAATGGCATAATGATGTTTCATCAACAATGCTACGCGGTTCATTTCGTTAATGTTTTGAACTTGTTTTGCGATGGACCAGGCGGTGCGGAGTTCTTTACTACTGTATATAGTGGAGTCGCAGGAGTGGTGGAAGATGGGAAAGGGTTGGATGGTGGTGGGCAGAGAGGTGGAAGGGGTATACGAGGTGGTTGGGCGGGAGAAGGGGATCATGTTTATGGTCAGGGGAGATTCGGTGCTGAGTCTGATGCTGTGATAAGTTTGGTCTTACTTCGAACTGCTGCGGGTTGTGGTAGATGAATGGTATAGATGGATGGAAGGAATGGAGGAGACATCTTTATAAAGAGACGGATCATGTTTTTGTGCTCGCAGCAACGTTGTGAATGTATTGTATTTGTGGTATTGCAGTTTGAAATGGTTAATGGGAGGAAGAAAGAAGGTAGAAGACTCGTCCATATAATGGTGAATTGACAGGATTATATAAATATGTACACATCAACACAAATCTATGATACTACCATGCTCTGAATGGATTTTTCGACGTTGTATAATAATAAACATACAGTATGTTCTAAAATATATCAACTGAAAAATCTCGAATGGCGAGCAATAAAGACATGAATTGATTTGAGCCTATCGGTACATCATGTGATTACCGCACAAGAAAGGGGCCGTACAACAAGCGGGCCCTAGCCCCTACCTCTTCAATATAAATAATTCTCCATATTCCATAGTTATTAATGACAACTAAAAATCAATATATACTATAATAGTACTATGCGAGTAGTATCACCCAAGTGATATCAACAGAGCCTTTGTCACTTTGAGCTCTACTCCTACCTGACAGATATACTGGTTGTTAAAAGGGACAATCGAAACAGGGAACTGAATCTACGAGCTCAGAGACATAATATTTTAACCTCAAAATCTGATCATGTAGACTCTCCTCCGACAAAGTACTATCACTCTCATAGCCCCTTTAGAAGCGACTTCTTCTTTTCCGATATCAACTTTTCCATCAATAATTTAAGCCTCGTATCCATCATATCTAATTGCAACTAATCGGATCATATACAAGTCCTTCTTCCCATCTATTGTATAATATTTATTCTCTAAACCATCCCGAAGAATTTTTCCCCATCTAGCTTCTGAAGTGAAGATATAAAGAGAGGCATTTCAATCCGTTCAGCTTTTCCAGTTCTTTCGCTATACTTACTATACAAACCCCTAAAAATAGCCGAATCATAAACCATTCTCCAATAACTTGTGGCTTCTTGGGCCATCAATCGGCGTTAAAATGTATTCTTCTTTAGATTCACGAAGCAAGATGATTGGAATATAATTGAAACAACAATTCCTCGCTACTAAATCTAGTCGCAACATTACTTTTAGCTTCCTAAGTAATTTAAGCGAGAAAGTTATCATTCTTTGACCATCTCCTTATTAAGCCTTGAAGACGGAGGCCTCGTTAAGTGACCTTATCGCCTCTAAGTTTTTTATTATTGTCTATAATCTCCCAGATCTTGACATACTTTTTGGTAGACCCCAAACAAAATTCTCTATACATCCACTAGGGGAATATGCCATCATGAAGTTCTTTGAAGATGAGCTCAAGAATTAATTTTATTCTATTATACAAAAGTTTTCATCTTCCATTCAGTATGTCAGGTGTGACAACCTATCTCTTTGGGATTTTCTTATATCTTTTAAGAAATGTATAATGCTCTTTTGTTTGAAAACCGACTTTCTTCCTTGAGGGAGCAGATAAGTGATGGCGTTAGAGTTTGCTGAGAATACCTCGGTGCCGGGTGCTGGTATTGGTATGGTCATATTTATAACTGAACTATATTATTTGATCCTGAATGATATTTAATACACCGACTTCTGAAGATTCGAGACCATTATAGAATATATATTGTTGAAGGATGTTCGGGGTACTATCTGATCCTTGGGAAACTACAAGTCTAGTGCCCTACTTTTGGACCACCCCTCCTTCTTCATCACTTTTTACACTAAAAACCATCATTTTGATTTATTAATAACTTTATAACGAAACAAAATAACTTAATAATATTTAAATTTTAGATTTATTTTATAATTATTAATAGATTTTAAAAGTTTCAGATTTTAGTAATTTTATTAATTAAAATATAAATTGATTAGGTTTTGAACTTTTATTTTATATTGTAAGAAAGTTGAAATTATAGACCAAATACATAGAGGTTTTTAATCAATCAATCACATAACCTTTTGTAATTAAATATAAAAAGAAAACTTTTGTTTTTTCTTTTAAAAATAATCAACCTTTTATATATATACATTTGAACTTATATAATATCAACCTCAAATCATTGTGAACTCTGTTTTCTTTATAAATGATATATTATAATATAATTTAATTCAGCTTTCTCTTTCAATTCCCTCCTTATAATATATTATAAGAACATATATATCTCGACCTATCACTTTTACAATATAAGATATATAAGGAATTTAAAAAACTTGAAATTCTTGAATAACATTTTAATAAAAATGAAATATAAATTGTTTTAAAATTTTGAATCATGATTAATATAATAAATTAATTTATTTACAAATTATTATATAAAATCTTTTAATTAAATTATTATAATTTTTAATTTCTCTAAAATTTAAAAATATTAATCAAAGCTTTTATATTATTTAAATTTCAGAATATTTATCTATTATATAATATCTTATTTAAGATTTTAAAAAATTAATAATTTATTCTTAATTATTTTTATTCAAAAGTTATTTAAGATTTTTAAGATTTAAAATTTCAACTTATGATATCTTGATTAATAAAAATATAAAAATATCAAATTTTTTTTAAATTCTTATTAATTGTAGCGGGGTATGAGGAGGTGAAGCTTCAATATATATTTTGATAATATTTGTATTGATTTATTTAAAAAATTAAAACTACAAGAATAAAAAATTATATAAATGTGAAATTCTTTTTAAGATACTAATATCAATATTAATAATTCATATAATTGATATTTTAATAAATTTATAATTAAAATTTAAAAAATTATATTGATAAAAAGATGATTACTTTTTATATAAAAATGATTTTAAAAAAAGTTTTAAATTTATAAATAAATATTTTATTTTATTTTCAATTTAATTCATTATATTAAAATAGAACTATTATTTATATAAATTAAAAATAGATTTTTGTTTTAAATAATTAATTTATTAAAATTTATTAATTTATTGATTTTTTATATCTTAAATTATATATAAAAAGATCTAATAGATTATAATTATTATATAAATATATCATTCAATCTCAAATGATTCGTTTAAGAATATTATCAATTCTATCTTTATATTCAAATCCAGCTAGCGTCTCGAAAATAATAACTTATATTTTATACTCTTCATCTTCTTTTTAAATATCTATTTTCCTCTCCTTCTTTATTCTTCCTATTCTATCTCTTCTGCCCTTCATCATTTACAACTATCTCTTCAATATCTCTCTATATATTCCCAACAACTTCATCCTCTGATTCTCCTCCTCTTATCCTTTTCTCCATCCTCTCTCTTTCCATCCATCCCAATCCAATCCAATCCAATCCATCCAATCCATCCATCCATCCATCCAATCCATCTCATCCTCCTTTTATTTCTCATTCTCTTCCCTCCCCTCCATTTCCTCCATTTCCTTCTTTTATTTCTTCATCCATCTTTATCTTTCATCTTTCTTTCATCCCCTTTTCCTTTTCCATTTATTTTCCATTTCCAACTCCTCATCCATCCATCCTTCCCTTCCTTCCTTCCTCCCATCACCATCCTTTCTCTCCTTCCACCATTCCTTTCATTTTCATCCTTCTCCCATATCCTCCACCTCATTCCTTTCTTCCACCATTCCTCCTTTCACTCCTTCCTTTTTCCCTTTTTCCTTCCCTTTAATCCTTCCACACCACACCAGCCTTTTGCACAATCAAATAATAATCCAGCAATCCCTAATATCTAATAAAAACAAAACTTACCTGACAAATTATTTAGCAAGTCAAAATAAATTAAGTTAATTCATTAATAAGCCTTTTCTATTACGCATTTATGGATTTCCAATTCTTAGCTTTGTGGCTAGTATTTCGTTGAATTCATATCTTAGATTCCTACTAACTAGGAATTCAACATTCTTGTCCTTGATACAGTAGAACCATCTGCAAAACCTCAACTAACAACCAACAACCATATATACATACTCCACTAACTTTACCCACACATTGAAATCACATCTACATTCCCATTATCACTATATCCGAGACAAGTCTTCTGTATTATGACATCTCTATATGTATAAATTTTATTCTATTGTGTCATCGTGACACCCATTTATAAATCCATCCGATCTCCAAATACCCAGTGCTCCCTACGCTATGCCATGCCATGCTATGCTTGCCCAATTTCTGGCGAGAAACGTAAATATAAGTACACCTAATTACTCTTTGCATATTCCTAGACAGACTTGGGTATCGTATTGAATCAAAAAAGGAAAATTGTTGCAATGACAATGAAAATGGTCATTGGAGAAAAGTAGCTTCTAAGTTGATTCCCACTCGAAGTATGAGTTGAAGTAGCAGATGCAGATGCAGATGTAGAAGATTGAACGGAAGCTGTTGATGATGCTTCTGGAAGTAGAGGAGTTAGCGTTGTTCCCGATTGGACGGTAGAGCCTGGGGAGTTTGTGCTAGGGATAGGTTCGGGAGTGATTATTGTGGATCCAGGTCCAGGGGAAAGGGTGGTAGGATTAACGGTTAAAGTGCCAGTAATATCCATGGAAGTTTGTGTAGTAGGGGTAGGAGTAAGATTAGAGGTAAGCCCACCAGAAGAAGAGGTTGATGTTGCTGTTGCTGACGTAGTAACACTTTTTTGCGCCAAACCTATAGAACTATTAGTATGTGAAGTATAAACTGGTACGAAAATAAACATACCGATACGGGATTGATCAAAGTCAAACAAGGCGTATATATTCTTGAAAAGAGTATCACCAATCAACCAAGAGTTTCTATCAACCACGGCTACGCCATAGATATTGCTAGTACAAACTCCATTCACTGATGGCCCTACCCAATCTTCCGACGAAACGTTGTAAGTGATCCCGGAAAAAGTAAATGACATAGAGGTGGTGGTAGAACAAGGTACTGTCCATGTACTGTTGTCTGTGGTAGTAGCATGGGGCACAAGCGCATGAAATGCTATTACATCCGATGGTTGCCCAAAGACATAAGATGTTCCACTATCGAGGTAGCCCAATCTTCCAGTAACACCAGCTTGAGTATCTCCAAATCCCACGTTATCAAGAGGAATTGCCCAATGATTTGGACCGTTCTTGGCGACACTGGTATAACTTAAACTACCACTATAACGTGAAGTATCCGGAGCACCAAAGTTGATTTCTCCAGTATTTGTACCATCCGAGGCACGATTTAGGTCCATTCCAAACACATTTGCCTTCAAAGCTTTCGAGCTACTAACTGTTTGTAAAAAGTTGGGAACCGAACCTGTCTGTTGAGATAATCCTAGAATGCCGGAGAATGGGAACGAGTTAAACTGGTCGCTAGTACGATTGGCGATTCCCAAAGTAAAAGGAAAACTCATATCAGCAAAGCTGATCGTGTCGGTAGCATATGTTCCAGTGACATCCCCTGATCCATACGCAATACTCAAATCCATATCGACCGCCTTGTAGGTTGTAGAATTAGCTGCACCGAAAGAAGCACGAGTTTTGCACGCAGTTGATGTACAATCAGGACCCATAACCCAACTTGATCCAGCCCCCGTATCGAGCAACATCAATATGGGATCATTATTGCTTCCGAGCTCCACTTCAGCAAAATAGGAAAAATCAGTTCCAGTCTGCAAAATTCCCGCGCTATTTGTCTGTTTAGGAACTGCTGCAGTTTCAATTGGTGATGATGTATCGTCATTCTTCACAAGAGTAGGTCCACGTGCTTTAAGTCTGGTAGCATCAAGCCTCGTTCCAGGATTGTATTTGTGAATAAGTCGATTTGTCAGCTCGTGAATTTGAACATCCCTGGGTATATCGGCCTTGCAATAATGAATTAGCTAAATCGGTTTAGATCGAGCCTTTGGACTTACAGATGGAAGTTTTTGGACAAGCTTAAGGACAGAACTGCTCTCCCGACCCTCAATTGCTCTCTTGGTTGTCTCTGGGCAGTTCTTGTATAATTCGCAGGTATAATCTGGAAAGTAGGCGTAGAATGCCGAGGAAAATTGAAAAAGTGCAAACAATGCAAACAGGGCCAACTTCAAGGACCACATGATAGCTGATACAAGAAAGTATCCGAAGGAAACGGGGTATCAAAGTTGAGTAAACGCCCAAGCACTATCCTAATTCCCAAGCAATGAATTTCGAATGAGGCGCAAGAACTTTTGGGAGATTGGGTATTTCACCGAGGTGAATTTTCAACGAAAAAAAAAGTTGATTTTGGGTGATAAATTCTATTACCTCAAGACACAGGCTGTTGATTATGTTGATGTGATAATATGCTTGAAAGCCAAAATTTGAACCGGACACTGTCTCTTTGATGCAGTCAAATAGTTTGAACGGTATCATCCATTGATAAATGGTTTGAGGTGAGGACCGACCTGAGTACGGGACTCTTTTGCTTGTTTGATATTAAATATTATGACTGTAGTGTGATAAGAAATATGAAAGACAATTAAATAATATCAAGTTTGGTCAAAGACAGTAAAGTCCTCAACTCTGCTTGTTACAATGAATATGTATGAAGGCTTGGAAGGAAAAAGGACCAAAGTTGTGAAAGTCAAATTGCGGGACGAGTATGGCAGATTGAAGATAAGAAAAATGTGACCTCCAAAGGACTTCAATATGATCCAATTTGCTAAAACAAAACGGAAATTCCAGAATCAATGAAGATATTCGGAATATCTTTCGATGAGGTAATGAAGAAAGAGGGTAGAGGGTAGAGGGTAGAGGGGAAGAGGAGAAGAGGAGAAGAGGAGAAGAAAGTTTAAAAAGAGGATGGAGATGGTTGAAAGTTGAAAGTTGCCAGGAAAGAGAAAGTTGTAAGGAAAGAAGAGGTTACAATTGCTTGGCTCATCTCTGGCTTGGCTTAGCTTGGCTTGCTTGCTTCCATGCATGCCTGCTTGCAATTGCTTGCTTGCTGGCTGGCTGGCTGGCTGGCTTGCTTTGCTACTTAGATTAATTACTGCTCTTGCTTTGCTTTGCTCTGCTTTGCTCTGCTCTGCTTTGCATACTCTAACATCCGAAAGGTTACAAAATGTGGAGGACATTCTCTAGCTTGGCATCTGTTCCTGGTAAAAAACACAGGCTAAATTCTAAATAGGTTAAGCCTATTCATTTACTTGACGATCATTGAATTTTGGTTGCTCCATTTAGTATCAAATTCATGGCCCTTTATAGATCTATTTAGATGTTTTCAGACCTTTTCAGACCCTCTTCATCAGGGGTTAGAGAATCTTCTTTAATATAAGTGGTTACCAGCCGTGTCTGTGAGACTTTCGATGAGGGCCTTGACCAAAGTTTACGGGCCTCGGCAGATTTTCAATCCGCTGAAATCATCCCATCTCATCATCACAAGGAGTTAGTTGACTCGTCGCCTCCTGATGGAGGGGAATAGAGTCTTCTCCGTCGTGCATGTTACAGCAGCGGAAAAAGAGCTGGTGAGTGAGTGAGTGAGTGAGTGAGTGAGTGAGTGAGTGAGTGAGTGAGTGAGTGGATGGATGACTGGATGGCTGGGTAACGGGGTGGCAATGAAAGATGCCGTCAGAAATCACAGCTCCGGGGAATCCGTTTGTTGAATAAATCCGAACTTCGAGAAGCCTTTAAATGTTGTAGCTTTATTAATTCAGCCAAAACTACCTAGGCAAGTTATGCAACTTCATGGCCCATTCTGGATACTGATACATAAAAAAATAATCCTGCTAAGCCAATCATATACTTTTGGAAAATGGGTTTTTTCAAATTACGACGCATCGCTGTCTGTGCTGAACGCCACATCATGTTCCCGAAGGAAAAGTCATTAGATGGGGAAGCCACTTTTCTTAGACCTTCCCATTAGGAATTCGAGACTGTTCGAAATTTTTTAATCTTACAACTCGTCCAAACTCTGAAACATAGATATTCATCTATATTACGAGTCACCAGTGCGCCACTTACCCAATTCAATCGTATTGATGACCGCACCCGCGATGCCGTGAGTGTGAGTGGGAGAAAAGTCTTTCTTTTCCTAGTCTTCCATTTTGATAGTTCTATCGATATTTCTTTTCCGTATATTGGTCGAGACCAGCCGAATAAGACATGTATTGCTAACTGCAGCAAAATTCCATCTTCATGTTACACCCGTGGCGCAAAGCAGTCCTTTCAGGTTTGATGGCGTTGTGAATCCCCCGGAAATGTTTCACGGCAGGGCCCCTATTTTGGAAAACATTAATAAACCTGTTAACGGCCTCCCTTCGCTGTTGAGAGATTTCCGAGGTCTTGCAGTATAGGTTTGTTGATGTTATGTTGTTTTCAATCAAGGAACAATGGTCATGACCAGATAATTTATCATGCTTCTATCGTTCTATCGAAATATTAATGCTTGGCCACCAGAAGTCTGACGTCTAACTCAAACATTGAGAATCTCCCGCCTTGGCTTAGTTGGGCAACGGCTTGAAAGAGGCTCATTGCATAACAGATGTCTTATGCTGGAATCTTGAAACGATGTGTCTTGATCAATGAGTAGACTGGATTTTCTGTTCATAATCCAGATACCATTCATGCGCAGATTGAACTATTCGCCGGCCTCTAGGATCACCCAAAGAGTTTTTCAAATCTTCCAATGTCGTCAAAAAGGCGGATCTCAACTTCTCGGTTATATCTCCAGATGCCACCAAAGTCCTGAGAAATACCCATAAGGATTCCTCTTTCCATCTCAATGAAATTGCCATCTCAAGAACTTCTTCACAAATCAAGGACTTTTGGACCACCCAACCTGGCATGTTCATAAATGTAGGAGAAGATAGACAGAATAACAGGAAAGACCACCCTGATGTATCCCCTGGATGCTTCAAACACCACTTCTTCACATTTTCTATGATGGCAAGGTAGGTAAAAGTTTGAATTCCACCTTCTACCGATATCATTAGCCACCTCATGTGTGACCATGCGTAATAGTTTCGAGGATGTCTTTCAGCTGCCACCATGACAATTGATTCAAGACCCTGAGGTACATCAAGGGATAGATGCATAGACTGACGAAACTCAAGAAGCCATCTCCTATGGCTCCAAAGCGTTGGCGATTTTGTATGACGATTGAGATGAGATGTTAAAAGACTATCGACGAAATATAGCTCCCTTTCTAGAGCCTTTTCGACCTCATTTGGAGATGGGTTTTGAATATTCTGTATAAGTCGTTTTCGAGCGTTACACGCCGTTAAATGTTCCGGATCAGTAAGAAGAATGATAGAAGTAGCATCCCTAATTTCCTGTGATTGCTCGGGACCCCGATCTTTGAACTTGGAAAACAATTGCCGCGCAACAACAAATGCTTGGATAAGTTTCGTTTTCGGTATTCCAACGCTGTTATCGAGGACAAGTGTGCTGATATCTTCTGGCAATTGGCCTTTTCCGAGAAGTTCAAAGTCTAACAGCTTGTGGTTGAAAGTATATGAACTGGTATGGGAAGTGAATATTTCCGCAATATCATTGTAAACTTTTTGCGAATCCCTAGCATTAATAGATGCTTTTGCATCTTGATCAAGGGCTCTTGACATGATGTTAGAATGTAGAGTGATGCAGGATCATTTCAAATGATACTCAGCCGGTTCAAGAGATTGATCAAGTAGAAGAAATTCCAATTATCACATCCAATTTGGATATTCATTAGATGTCGTTAATATTATTAGTCTCCATTCCAGAAACGTTCAACACAATTGTCATTGTACTCGTGATGACCTCAACATGGTCCGTGCATCTATAGCTCTCATCCACCATACAAATTACAATGAATCCAACAAGACAAGGCCACAACTAAACGGCCACGACACATTTTCAACAACCACATATTTGGGAAGGTTCTGAAAGGGAGGAGCAGGCAATTTTGACTGAAGAACTTTGCAAATATGCCGTCTCTCTTATTCACATGCTTTCTCGTACAGCTGCTCATCCACCTTGTCAATACCTTCGGCGCAGCTACGATAAATAACCTAGTAAGCTCTCTTATCCTATCCCTTTCCTTTCATGGGTTTCCTATAGTCTGTATACTCTTTTTAAATGATGTAGCTAACCCACCGCAGTTATGGAACCTCTACAATATGCTCCCAACCCCGACTTCGCAATCCGCAGGCGAACAAAAGAAATTGAAGCGGGAATATATGAAAGTTCGTCAAGAAATGAATGCTACCAGTAGTCAAGATGAATTCGCCAAATGGGCAAAGTTGCGCAGACAGCATGACAAGCTATATGATCAGCTGGAGAAGTCAAGTACGTCCCTTCCCAGACTACAGATTTCATTATTGAGTGACTCAAAATTAACATCTCATCCACAGAATCCTCCCTCGATTCCACCAAATCCACTTTCGATACCTCTGTTTCTACACTCCGCTGGTTGGGCACAAATGGTTTACGAATGTTGTTACAATTTTGGTTTTCTAAGCAAGCTATGTTTTGGTTACCTAAAGGATGGTTTCCTTATTACGCGGAGTGGTTGTTGAGTTTCCCAAGAGCACCATTGGGAAGTATCAGTATACAAGCATGGACACTTGCATGCGCGGCTGTAATCTTGTTGGTCAGTGACGCCTTGGTTGCGGTGGTTGCTTTGGTTTTGGGAGCACGAACTGGTGTTCAAGGCCAGAAAGCAAAAAAGATGGAGGAGCCTTTGAAAGCTGGTGGACAAGGCACGGAGAAGGCTGGGAGGAAAGAGTTGTGAGGTTCTTAATTCTGGATACACATACACTTGAACGAATATAATGGTTGTACGAACATTTCTATATTTCTACAAAACATGATGATACGGCATAAAGAATGTCTCTCAACAATTAAGACGCAAAGATCTTCATAGCTAACGCTGAGATCATGCAACACGAGTGAGATGACTCTTGGCAGAGTACTTGGGGCTTAATCTGGGCATACTTTTTGACTGTGAGAGACCATTGAGAAAAGGGTCGCCAAAGCTTCGAAAGTGCCACTTCATGTGTAGCAAATTAATACCATACCTATTTAATTCTTCCAAAAGACATTGCAATCAGGGTGATAAACGCATGTGAGAGAACAAGATCATATTCTCATGCGCGCATATGCTGCTCAAAGTCCAATCACCTCATATTTGAGTTTGGCAGTTTCGTGGTTGTTGTGGCGGCTATCTAGAAGATGAAAATTTTGGAAAATTTATTTGAGGAAATATTTTGAGACTCCACACTAACATGCACGCTAACATGAGCTAGGCCATTTACAGCCACCGCTTTGTCTATTGTTCATCATTTGTGATTCTGCCTTCTTCGACTATCTTATCGCGAACGTGTTCTGAAGAAGGCAAAGAAATTAAGAAAAAGATTCAAATCGTCAGTCACATCAAGTCAAATCGATGATTGTTCTGAAAACTTAACCTTTACACGTATTATAATGGTAGGGATCTCGTTTGGGACGTATGTATTCTCCTATTTACTTCCAATTACACTATCCAAGGCTCGCAGTATCACAGACTCACAGGCATAACTAACTTATCCACAGTATAAAGTCCCTTCTATTATTCGCTGGACCAATACTTTTACCCAAAGCAATTGGTTATTATCGATCTCAGCGGGCAGCACCTCAAGCTCATGGTCTCGCAATTCGACCCGTTCCTCCAAATGTTTCTCGCGCTCTCACAATCCTCTTCATAACGTCACTCGCCTTCCTCATAAAAACATTCCCTACATTTACTACGCCCTCCCTCTTCACACTCACTCAATCCCGCCTACTTATCCCCACCGATGTCCTCTTTACCCGTCTCCATGCATTACGGCCCAATGGTTTCACTCCCCAAGATGAATCCCTTCAAAGTTCATTTGCGAGTCGGGAGATGCGACTCTTGTATCTAAAATACGGTCCAGAAACCATTACAGAATGCTCTTTTTGCAACCCGGAAGATCCAGCATCTTACTTATACTATTCTTTATTGTCCATCACCATACCACATCTCTTCAATCTTTGCATCATCGCCCTCGCAACCAGTACTCTCTTTACTGGAAAAGAAACAAATATCTGGCGAGGAAAAGCTACCATTTTAGCCGGTGCGATTGCCGGTTTGGAAATCTTTATCGTCGCACGATGGAACCATTCAAATAATTCCACGGCTCCTAGACTTGAGGATATTGATCACTTTTATTGGAGTATGCAGCTTTATCGCAATATAGCATTAGCAGCTCTCGATGGTCTCATAGGTTGGTGTTTGTATTTATCTTCCACCAATCGAGCATTTCTCGCTCCACCTAGTACAGCGGAGAAAATAGAAAGCATGACGAGAATTATAGAACAAGCGAGAGGGAAATTGAACGGGGTAGCATTAATGCGTAATGCTACAGTAAGAGATAAAGAGTTGAGGAAAATAGTAGAAGAATATTGGGTGAGGGAAGCGACTGTTATGAGAGAGGTATTAGAGACTAGGGAGGTGGTAGATGGGGTTAGGAATGCGTTAGATGGTAGAGTTGATTTAGTTCAGGTACAGAGAGAAGCGGAGGGCTTTACAGAGGCTGTTCTTGGAGGTGCGGAAAATGTAATTGCGTGAATTTTATAGTACATTTTATAGCACATTTTATATGCTGTATATGTTGTAGATACCTTTAGGTACCACAAGAATCGTATATTTATTATTTATCAATACATTTTTATCGCCCCTTTTTAGTCACGGCAAATGAACGAAATGCCTCGAAATCTATCACCGAGACTAAGTAAGTTTATATCAAACAATATAAAATAATCAATCAATTTTAGATAATTAATTATATGATTGAATGATTAAAATCACATACCGAGAATAGATGAATTATCCTCCATATCCCAGCTCCATCTAAGTTCCTCTTTAGTAATATATCCAGCAGGTCTAGCACTCTCCATCGTTCCTCTCTAGATCTGATTACCCCCTCCCACCCCCCATAATTTCTTCTCTGTGCCCCTTCTCCAAACAACCCGACATCGCAATGCGAGAGTACTTTCCGAAAAGGGATGAGAAGAAATAAAAGAAGTTACGCGTAAAGCTTCGATAGAATTTGCTCTTGCTCTGGAGTATCTCATTCATATATTCCTCATTCTCATTCTCATTCCCGTTCACACCCACCCACCCAAATCAAAGATCTTACATCTCTTGACCAAATCAGCAAATCTCAATCTCATCTTATCTTCCTCTTCGCTAATGAAGGATGAGAAGGAGGATGAAGATGAACCTTGAAAATCTTTAGATTCAGCAGCAGGAGAAGGACTAGGAGAATCGGGGGGTGATGGACATGAGGGTGTTGGTTGAGACATTTGCTTTGAATCTAGCTTCCTCGTGTGTTTGGTTTGTATGTATTCAGCTTATTTGACTTTGGGATTTTCTAGAAAAGAATGAGATGTTTGGAGATTAGTTAAGAGAAGTGAATACTTATCCTATGAACCCATTTTATATGTCCCTGAGCAGAGTTGTGAAGATAGGAGATTGCTACTCCAGGAAGTATATATAATTCATGACAACGAGAAATGAGCATCTCATCAATATGCGCAAGCAAGAATGATCAAATAATGACACATGCAAACAAACAGATAATGTAGTCAAGAAACCTGAATGTTGAAATTCTCCTTGAACGACATCATTTTGGGCGGTAAGACAACCAAATCTCGTTCTGCTATTTGTCCCAAAATGAGAAAAAAGGAGTCAGAACCAACGCCATGAGGAAAAACCCTTTTAACACAACAATTCGCGAAAGAATCATGACGACCGTGACAACACCCTAGCATCGCTCCCGAAGAACGCCCATGCAATGTAGCTAATATACACCTAAATCTATTCCACAAAGTAAAAACCTATCCTAATATCCTATTTTGTTGCAAGAGTAGTTGAACTACTAACACTTCCACTTCTACTATCCTTATCTTTAACACTTCCTTCTTCCGCACTTCTTTCTAAGAATCCCGTCCAGAGTTCTGAGAGAGACTCTTTCCGGGCGCTCGAAGGTTCCGTGAAAAACTCCGTGGGTAATGATGGCGTGCTTGGTGTTCGATGAAATGGTGACATTGGTAGACGTAAACTATTACTTGAAGCACCTGGTCTGGCTAGACCTGCTTGCTCCTTTTGCTCATCTGTCCAGTTCAATAGTGAAGCAATAACTTGAAGGACTTGAAATTTCTTTGGATCTGAACGATCCAAGGAGAGGAAATGTAAAAAGTGATTTGTGACGACTTGTCTGCACATTATTAGTCATAAATCCATTTTAGTAGTGTTATTGTACCATACCTATCAACATTATCCTCGACTTTTGACTTCTTAATAAATCTCAAGGCTTTTGTGAGGTGATCATTGATCACAATAGCTTCATGACGAAGTTTACCAATCAATAAGTTCTTTTCCTTCACTTCCTTTTCAAAAGGCAGAAGTCGATCCAATTCTGTTTTAAGAGCTTCTTTCGAAGTTTCAGCCTCAACACATCTAGAATCTGAATCCTGGACGACTTTCTTGAGGGCTTGAATTTGCTCCTCGTAGCTTTCGACCATCTCTCGAAGTTCTCGTCTCCGGGTTTCTTGGATTTCTTGTAGAGCTCGTTGTAAACCATCAACTGTTTGAGATTGGCTATCTCGTTCGGCGACTGCCGTTTCGTATGCTTCTTTTTGAGCAGAAAATTGTTCCTCCATATCAGAAACTCTACTTTCCAGATTCTCCCTTATAGATCTCTCTTCCATAGCTAAAACCTCCCAATCCCCCATGGCCTCCTTTGCGGCATCTGCTTCCTCTTTGAGATGTTTAGCCTGTTGAATCAAATCCTCCCTTTCATGGACCCAATTCTGTTGTGATAAACTATTGCGGTTTCGTATGCTCGAAAGCTCTTTGGAAGATTCATTCATCTCATTCCGTAGTTTGGAAACCTCGTCCTGCAATCCTTGGGTAGTGCTTTGATATGATTCCACTTGTGATTCCAAATCTTCGATTTTCTCGTTAGCTTCCGCCAATTCTTCTTTATCCGCTTTTAAACGTTCCCCCAAGGTAGTTTTGATCGTATTGACGCGTGTAAGTAATGTGTGATATTGAGATTCCCAATTTTCTCTTGAAGATTCAGTCTCCTCCAATTCCGCTCGAACCGTGGAAATTTCCTCTGCATGTTGACTCTTTAATGTGGCAATCTCATCTTTGTACTTTTCTTCGACAGATGATAGATTCTCGGAGTATTGACCTTTAGCTGTTGAATCCTCTTCCGAATGCTTGCCCTGAATGTCCTCCAGAGATTTTCGCAATTGTTCAACTTCAGCGCGCAATGCCTGCCGCTCTGCCGTCATTGCCTCCAGTCGAATGCTTGCATCTGATGCATCTGAACCATTCTTTTCCGAGGAGCCTTCTGCCTCCCTGGTGCTAGATTGTGTTTGCGCAACCGCATGGCCATTACTTGCAGAGTCATTTTTGGGGCCATTCGTCTGCGAATCTGTGCTTTCTAGAAAATGAGAATCTTTTGGAGTATTCTGCCGATAATTGTCAGAATGCGCTTATGTTTGCTGTAAATTGAGTAATGAACAGGTGTCATTCGTACCACAGTTGACTGTTCAGATTCCTCTGCATTCCCTTCTTCTGCCACGTTTACTGTAGGGTCCTCTCCTTGGTCTTGACCCTGAGGGATCTCTCCGTTTGATTTCGATTTAGCATGCTTCTTCTTCTTGTTATTCTTCTTTTTTGCTATTATTTTATCAGTGGGAATTTTGATAACATGAGGTTCCCCACCATTAACAGCGAGATACAAGGGGAAACGAACCTGGAGAAGTAACATCAGAAGAATCTAAAGGAGCCGTGGCTGACATTATATGAATGACAGTAACAAATTGGATAATAAACAAGAGAACGCTCTCTGTTGGACAAATCGCAATTCAATTATTGTCGAGGCTTTAAACATTAGAAAGTTAGCGCTTTCCAATTATGGCACTATACATTAGTCGAAGTCTAAGAGCTACGTAAGGATAATGATTCGGTTTAGGCTCAAAGAAGTTACCGTAATCACATCAACGGAGGCATAAGACCGCAAACAACACATAAGATTAATTCACTTGCGTCTGAGTTTATGAGAGTCAAGACTCTACGGTACAACAACATTTGACCGAAAACATGTCAGGATAAAACCTAAAAGCTACAAATCATTCATTACCCGAGTCTATTAGTTTCTAGGCGCATAAAATGATTCAGATACTCACATATATTGTGCCGGTTACTCCAAATTCAAATCATGGTTGATACACTGGGGTGAATACTCAGACACAGGGACGAGGAACATATATTCTATTGTCACAAACTTGCTCTCCAGTTGCAAATCATCTTCTTTGATTCGGTGTCTGTGCTGCTGACACAAGACAATTATGATGTTGACGGGGGAGGTTATTTAGTAGATACCTTACCTCCGCCTTACCAGTCAAGCCTATGTTTGCCAGGTATACAAAGCGTGTGAAAGTATCTGGGGAAGTCCCCTTTTACTGTCAAGTCCCAAGGTTGTATCACTATCCTCACTATTATTCCACACTTTCGGTTCTCACCATTTAGCTCTACATCTCCTACAAGGGGCGCCATTGCGTTGGAGGGATCGGGCTCTCCCATTTATAGAAAACGAATGCCACAGGTATCGAAACGACTTCTCTAGACGAGCAAGAGACATTGAAGCTATTGCAGATCATGTGAGTGCCATTCAAAAGGCTCAATTTAATGCCAGTCGTCATTGCTTTGGGGATAGATTTGTCATTTCGTAAGTTGGGATGGCAATGCTGATAGTACCAAAAAGATCCAGGGATTGGCAAAGGATGAATTGGGAGTTGGTGATCTACCTTCACATCTTGCCTAATGCATGTTCTCTCAACCCAAGACGTTCATTGTCGTCATGTGATACAGCATCAAGCCTGGTGATCCAGCTCTCGATGATTGTATCCCACAAGCCTCAGGGCTAAGAAACGAAATTTCCAACGTTTACGTTTGATAGATTTGATCGGAAGAACTTGAACACACGAGATATCGGTTTCAATAACACCCATACATTGGAGCTTGCGGATGCAGAGACGATAGAAGAAATTTATTGATCTTAAAATCAAGTATGGTGGAAACAAGTTCAAATTGTGCAAGCATTTAAAAGCTCGCAAAATGCAAACTTACAGATAGTTCATGATGGATTCAGGAATACGCAATTGAGATATGCCGCTGAGCCGCAAAAGAAGATTTGCGAATAGGCTGTCGAGCCCAGTGCCTGTCTGGATAAAACCAGTCTGGCTTACAGCATTTCACGCGGAACATGACGCAGAATATCCTTTCAAAGGTCAATTCTTCGGAAACCTCGAACGCTGACCTGTATAATATGCAGACAGGTTTCAGATTAGGAAATTTATCCGTGTTAGCTCGTCGCCAGCCTCAATATGAAAAGCAAGATAGTCTTGTGCTACAAGGAAAACGCATAGCATTAGTCCAATAGCATGGACTCAAGAGCTTGCAACCTCTAGGATCAACTCGGTAAGATTGAAGAGATGTCCCGCTCATAGTTCCTTCCGTAACGAGATGAAGTGATGGGGAAGTTATCTATTTATAGCAGTGATTCAATTTGAGACAAGGGCTAGGTCGTTGAAGAAATTATGAGCATTGAATTGTGGTTTATAAGCAGGGATTGGAATTTGCGAGTCAGGGAGCACCAGGATGCACATCAACTATTTAACGTTGATGAAGTTTTAACGTTGATGAAGTTCTCATATCCTACAGTTTCTTTCCGGTCTAGTTTCAAACCATTCCATCCAATTGACCTTCAAAACGCCCCATCTCTTCCATCCTGAATCACTTTACAGCCTCAGGCACCCACGATCATCCCAATTACCTAATCACAACCAAAAAAGCACAGACCTCCTCCACTCCACCATAAAACCCTTCACCTCGTCTCAACTTCTTCTCTTCCCTCTTTACATATAACCACAGCATCCGTTGTCAGCCCTACGTAGATATGTCTCAGTTTTACTTAGATATGTTTAGGTAGGATTGTAGTAGGGATTTCTTTCCACAAACCCCAAGTACTGAAATGGATTGCTCAGAATAACCTCGGAAGGGGAGGGCGCTTCAAAATCCTGGTTATTGTCTATGCTCGATGGACTTTTCAGGTTCGCTTTGTGTCTATATTTTTTCAGAGGACGATGGGTCTTTGTGAGATGGGTGGGGATGCGGATGGGATGGGAATGCGTGAATGGTTTGGAGGAGGTGAAAAGGGGAGGCTGTCGTTGAGGTATCTAGTTGTAGGTAATATTGATAAATTCACATTTTGAGTATGCATTTGATCTTGTCCCTTATCCATGATTACATAGTGCTCACCTATGTATGTGCAGCGTAGTCAGTAGACTATATAACGAGCGAGCTTAAGTGATTCACTTTTGATATTCATTTCGAGATCCTGAGAACAAGAGCCAGCTAGGACTAAATATCCTAAGAATGGTAGTCTCTTGAGAAACAATCATCTATAGATGATAAAGATCTCCCAGTCAATACCTCAGGAAGAAGCTGAATTACAGTATCCCTCACCTCTTCACCTCTTCACCCATCTCAATCCCACATGTCTCTCATAATCGACCACCACATTACTCTTCCAGGCTCGTTCCCTCGCCTGCTCCTCCGTTTCTCCTTCCCTCGGTACAACCTCAACTTTCCAATCTTTAAACAATGCAGCCAACGCAGCAACAAGTTCCACCTGCGCAAATCTCCTACCTGGACATACTCTTCGACCACAAGCAAATGGCATGAAGTGATCCGATGTGTCTACTCCGACTGTTTTCTTATCAAGAACTTGCGTTCCTGACTTATTGGTAGGAGAGTGGGTAGATAATATGCTAATAAAACGACTAGAGTTCTAGGCTAGAGGATTAGGAACCCAGTACTCGGGATGCACGTGCAAGGCGGGAATTGAAAAATGGGCGGTAGTATGAGGTGGGAGGATATATGCTTGGCCATTGACTCCGAGGAATTGTTCTAGTGGGCCGGTGGTCTTGACGAGTTGGGATAGGAGGTGACAAATACGGAGGGTTTTGAACCATTTTTGTGAGGTTTTGGTTTTTGTCTCTTTGAAATGAGAGACTGAGAGAACGCGCAACAACAAGCTCTAAAACATTTCAATTAGAAATATGTTTCATATTTCCAGGACTCTAGACTCTCATCTGTGGGTAGGTAATCATTTATCTCCTCAGCAACCCAACCCTGCGTGTCAAGATTTGCAGCAGGATGATGAGCAAGCTGGTAAGTTTAATATCTGTCGTATCATTACCAGCAAAAGCATAGACGAAAAGATTGCTTAAGATCTCTTCTCTCGCAATTGTCATCTTTCTTCCCTCGTCCCAAGTTTTATCTGTAATCGTAGCGTCCGCCTCCAATTCTTCTTCTTCCTCGCAAGCTTGCGCCAAACGCGCTACGAGATGCTGATTTTCGACCTCTCCGCGTACAAGATGCGCCTTCTCTCTTTCCCTTAAATCGAAGATATAAGAGCGAAAGTCATGCATGGCCTTGGCTTGGCGGCATTTTTAAATGATTTAGGTGTCCACCATGCTTTTAGACCTTGTTCTCCGAAGACGAAAATTTGGATGATAGATGTCAGGATTGTGGAGAGAGATTCTCAGTATTGATATGACTTGTCGTTCCTATGAGTATCCGGCTTCTCAACTTCTTGGCCTTCAGATGGATACACTTCATTGAATATTGCAGCTGCACGAACGTCAAGAGTAAAGTTTTTGGTATCCAAATGTGTAAACCGGATTAGTTGTTTCGCTTGCTGTGCCCAGTGCTCCAGCATTCCTTTTGCTCGAGTTAATGACCTTCGCCAAACCAGTCCACCACTAACCCTCCCCCTCCCCCTGGGAAAAGTTATCGCCGCCATCTTCCTAAGAGCCTGTCGATGCCGATGGTGCAGGCTTTGGCACGGTTGGAGGCGAGGAATTGAGCTGACCAGATTGTCTATGCATGGTGAGTAGCAATATAGTGTAGATAAAGAAACGGTGGATATTGGATAAAATATTATATATATAGACTATTTATATATAGAAATAATAGAAGCATATTACTATCTTCTCTTCTCTCATCACTACTTCTAATCCCATCTCACCCTCTTACCCCATTCTAATTTTACCAGTCCATCGAGTACATTTCTAAGAGTATCACCTGTGTCAGACTTACGGGAAACCCTGAGCGGTGATCCTGGGGCTGTAGCACTATCACGAGAATTTGTGGCGGAAAAGAACCTTCCCTATGCCCTTCGTTTCCCCTGGGATATGATGGAAGGTGTGTTTTTGCTTCAGGGCTTTCACAATATGCATTGCTTGGTAAGATTCTCCCTCGTACCAGTACCCTTGCTGCTTCCTAACATAAAGTTCACACGGCTTGAGCCAAGATGAACAGGAAATTGACATTTTCCAAGCCCACAATCTTTCGCTTTATCCGAGATAGCCGCCTCGGACGACCTCAAAATATTACCATTATTCATACACAGCACTATCTTGACCAACTCAGACAGGATGTGATCTGCAATTGTGATGATACACAGCGATATACAGGTTTTCTGAACCCTCCAGGTATTGGAACAATGCAAGTAAGAATGTGGAAAGATTGGGGCGCACTTGAAAGTTGGGGCGCTAGAGAGAAAAGCGTGCTTCAAGCATCAGGATGAGACACCTCCAAAATGGTAGAGAGATTCAAATCTTGCCCAGATGAAACAAGGCTGTGGCCGGAAATGGGAGTAAAGAAGGGTATCAGTGTGGAAGAAGTAGGGATCTATATGCATGATGGACACTATAAATAAAAAGCAAATCAGAAACTGTTTGGGATTAGGATGTACTGTATATTGTTTAAGCAGCATATATTCCTGTCTACTGCATAGCCAAGCTTGAAAGCCAACATATGATAGAAGAGGGGATCAACATAATGCATACTCATACCCCTGCCCTAATATAACGTACAAACGGTTGGACAACAACACAAACTTTTCCTGCAATATCTATATGCATATTAGTGGCACAGCTTGCAGGATACATATTATCCAATCACAAAATGTGAGTCTCGTCTGTGCCACGGCCACCGACATTGTTGAATATGGAAGACTCCAAATTGATATGTATCGGCACGGTTTTCATACTCTTCAGCCACACGCATAAAGATCATCCAGCCCAAAGACATCCGCATCGTGTATGTACATAACCACCCAAAGTATGGCTGATTCCAGGGAAAGATGTTCTGTGGAGGCTGCACCCACCTGGCCCTAGAATATTGAGAAAAACGAACTTGTGCTCGGCCAAGAAGAGGACCTAGATCCGGACTCCTTCCTACCCAAGGAGGATTGTGTCGCCTGGTTGCAAGTCCTAGGTGCCTTTTGTCTCAATCTGAACACATGGTAAGCCAATATCTTACCCTGTATCATCTGCCTTCTTCTCATGCAATAACCACAGGGGATTGATGAATGCATATGGCGTTTATCAGAGCTTTCACGAACTCAATCTGTTGAGCTCCCGAATCCCCGTCAAATATTTCCTGGATCTGATCAACACAGGCCTTCCTATTGTTTCTTACCTCCGTTTCCGCAGGCCCGATCTTCGACGCGGGCTATTACAAGGTCCTGTTATGGGCTGGCTCTATTCTGACTGTCCTTGGAATGTTCATGACAAGTATTTGCAACGAATACTACCAATTCTTCCTTGCTCAAGGGATCATGATGGGTCTCGGCTTCGGCCTGCTCTATCTACCTGCACCCGCCATTGTTTCTCAGTTCTTTCATGTCCGCCGAGCAATTGCTGTAGGGATATCATCTACTGGAAGTGCTCTTGGTACGTACCTAGCCAGCATTAGATCAATATTTCATTAACTGACATAACCTAGGTGGTGTAATCTACCCCATAGTCTTCACCAAGCTCCAACCGCACATTGGATTCGGCTGGGCTACTCGTGTTATTGCCTTTATAATCCTCGCGACCTCACTCCCACCCCTTTTCTGTATGAAGTCTCTCAGTGTACCCAAACCCTGGCGCACTGTCCTCGGTCCTACCGTATTCAGGGACATTCCCTACATCCTCTTGAACGTCGGCCTCTTCTTTGGCTTCATGGGTCTTTAAATCATCTTTTACTACATCCAACTGTACGCCCTTGAGAAGAGTAGTTCTTCACCTGTTCAAGCAAACTACCTTCTCGTCACCATCAAGGGAAGTTCCCTTTTCAATCGTACTATCCTAGGTTTCTATGCTGATAAAATTGGTTCTATCAATGTTCAAACCATCGTTGCAATAACAAGTGCGATATTAACATTTTGTCTCATCGCTATCAGAAGTTCAGCAGGGCTGGTGATTTATACCCTTCTGTATGGATTCTCTGCCGGTGCATTCATGGCGCCTCCTACGGCCGGCGTCGCTGGATTATCAGACGACCATAGCAAGGTTAGTATACGTTTAGGAATGACCCTGGAGTTTGTTAGGTCCGGCGTTCTTGTTAGCACTTCCATAGCAGGAGCTATACTTAGTAGAGATAACGGAAGTTGGGTTGGCTTAACCGTGTGGTGCGGGGTGCTACCCACAGCAGATGCTGTGAGTATGATGGCGAGTCGAACAGCAAGAGTCGGGGTAAAATTGATTGAGGCAATATAATTGTTGTTAAGACTAGTAACCTTAGCGTAACTGTAGGATCTCGCTTAGTTATCAGCATCGCAAGGAATATGTGGCTAGGAAAAAATATATCTAGACACACTTAGAGGAAACTGTGCTTGCGGCTAACTGCAGGAATTACTGTTAGATCTAGTATTCGACGAATCTGGGATAGTCCACAGGTCGCTTTTCATTCTAGCGCGTTTCTATAGTAAGGGGCTTAGAATCTTCCGCGATATGTAGTAGCCCTGGTAAGCAAATAGATGGGCTATATGTCTAAGCCAGTTGCTGGTTCCATTAGGCATCCCAGATCTTCCTTCCTTTCATTATATTCGAGACCTAAATGTGCAAAAAACTATTGACTTTCACATTTTTCTTCTACATATAACTAGTTACTTTTATCCGAAACTTCATGAGTACCTCTCTTCACTTCTCTCACGGACAGTTTTCCTCTTCCCACTTCCACTATCTAGGAAACTCTCGCGCCCATCTCTCCATCTATTATCTAATTGTCGGTACGTGATGTGACTACCCTCGAAAGAAGCCGTACAACTAGCGAACCCTACTATCCAATAATATCAAATACAGCACGACACAACACGACATGACACAGCACAATATAGTATAGCAAAGCAAAAGACCATATATTTATTCATGTATTTATTCATTACGCTGCATTTACGCTCTATCTCTCTCTCGCTCTCTCTCTCTCTCTCTCTTTTTCGCTGACAAATGTAAATGTAAATGTAAATGTATCGCTGTACATTACTCCGTATTCTTTTATTCTATCACCCCATCCACATTGATATTGCTTGCCTTCTTCTTCTCATTACATCCTCTGACCTACTCATGCATATCTAACCAGCATCGCATCCACACATTAATTTCTAATCTCTCTTCGCCCTGCACCCGCATCGCATTGCATTTTTTGCATTCCATCATCGCCCTTCCCTGAACCTCCTTCAATCGAGCGAGTTAAAAGCAAACTGCAAATGGTAAATGGTAAATGACAAGATACAATCAACCAATCTTCTTTGTTGCTCACTTTCATATCCCAACACGTACATCCATCCAGCCATTCATTCCAATTCGCAATCCAACAACATCATCTCATCTCGTCTCTCTACCACCTCGTCCTCCTTCCCCTCTGTCTTCCCCATATTAAACCCCGACCAATTTCCCCTCAAACAACCTACCCTCCATCCCACCCAAAAAAATCAATTCGAAACAAAAATTGGCTTCCACTCAACACCTATTTACACCACACATGTATCCATCCATCCCTACCCACCCTATGATTTTTGCCACTATTTTCTCGTTTCATGGACTTGTGATGAAAAAGAAGGATCAAAAAACAACAAACGAATCTTTTAAACTCCTCGCTTGGATATCTTACACATCTCGCTCGCATCTTGCACTGAATTTAATGTCAAATTGCTTTCTTTCTCACTTTCTCTCGCTTTTGTATCCCTTCCTCCCAATCAAATTTGGGCGTGTATTTATCTGGTTTCTTTGTCGTAATTTCGAATCCATCGATCTCGTCTTATCTCATTCTCGTGTCGAACCACTCTTTTCCATCCATTCATTCTCAGATTATCCCGCTACCACCTAGCATGCTCGGAACTGCTTTGCGACCTACCCGTTTTCCTGGTGTATCTATGCGGGGAACTCCGGCAACGCTACGTGGTTCTTTCATTAATCCAATATCCAGTTGTGCTGGAATTCTGGAGATGATTGTCCTATATTCACCGGGGAACTTGGCATCCCTAGGTACCGGAACTAATGCGGACCGCCATAAGTGATCTGATGTATCCTCAAGGAAACTAGGTCGAAGTGATGATTTCGAAGAAAAGAATGCCGCACGTCCTCTTGACTTCTTAGCTTGAATGATTGAGTCGAATAACTGAATGTCTCGATCGTTCGACTGTTTAGTTTCCCTTTCATGAATAAATTCATTGAAAGCTATGATAAGGTTAGTATTGTGCACAAAATATAGCATGAAATTGATTTACCTTGTGTCTGTTGCAGCATCGTAACATATTCTTGTTGGTCACTTGGGAGACTCTTCAAGAAAGCGGCCATGTCAAATCCATATAATTGTCCTCTTGACTTTTGCTCTTTTGATGGTCGCCCAAGGTGCTTTCTATACGTGTAAAACAAATTTGCGAAACAACGAACGAAAGCTGCACGTACACGGTCTGAATGAAAGGCGGATGGACACACAAGTGAACACCAACCTAAACAGCGACCATGACAGACTGTGCTGCAGGCGTTACAGCTATACATGCCATCACCTTCGGCCCTTTCATCACAGATTGAACAAACAGATCCCATGTCATTGGCGTTATAGACAAAACAATGTCCTTCTACCCATATTGTCGTCTCTGTGTTTCGCACTGGCTGCATGAGCATGTTGGGCATGATTGTTGATGCAGCAATAGTGGATGCTGCATAGGCAGATGGTGCATAAGCAGATGGTGTATAACCATACATAGATTTGCTATCGCCGATGGACACAGCAGAAGTGGAAAGACTAGCGGAATGACCATTGACAAATGGTGCACTTGGTCTACGAAGTGTTGGCTGTCGTTCCAAACCAAATGAGGAACTACGTCTCGAGTTTGCATCGAAATGACCAGACCTCTTTTCTCTCAATGTAGCCGTGAGAGCAAAGCCGGAATCATTTCGAGAGATGGGAGTTGTAGGCATTGGTGGGCAATGACCAGAGACAGGTGACAAGGATGTTGGTGGACTGGTCTTGCTGGACCTGCTGGTCGATGGACGCTCAACCCTTGTATGGTCATTCTTCGATTGCAAGAATGCATTGAAAACCAAAGGCCTTTTTCTCTTTTGCAGATCCGGCTCCCCGAATGTGGTCGAATTCTGACTAACGTATTTACCCAAAGTGCCAGTAGGTGCATTTTGAGTAAATATCGATTCGTTCTCCGATGAGAATGCATCATAGGGGAAAGTTTCGACAGCATAAGGTGGCGGTGCTACCTCTACGCCACATCTATTGTGATGCGGAGCTGCCATTTGTAGGAGGGATACAAGCTTTCGACGTTGTTGTCGTGGTAATGACACAGGTGGGGCCGTGGACTCGACCGAATCTTGATCCAAATCCACGAAAACGTAATCATCCTCCGGAAGTACTATATTATCATATCTTCTTTCAATCCCAACAATATAAGGGCAAGGCGCTTCTAGGGCGGAGATCAATCTAGCCGGTAGAACTGGAATAAAAATGCTTGCCCATTTTAGTGGGTATAAGAGACTGACCAAAGCCTTGCTGGCAAGATGTAACATGGCTGTATGGGATGACAGTAAAATGATTCTCGACTCGGATAACATAAATTCTACCAGAGCGACGATATTTGGTATACTCAAAGCTCTAAATAGTGCATAAATATCGGTGTTTCGTGATTCAGGTAATTCGTTGGGTGCTTCCTTTCGTGCAAAAAGCCGTAATTCTCGCACGGCAATTTCAATTTGGGTTTTCGAGGATAACGGGCTTAGTGCTTCGGTACACAGGTTGACAACGTACCTCTCCAGGGGTTGCCATCTACCGATCTTTGGCGAGCTTGCAGGAACTCGGAGGATTCCACCATCTGTCATAGGTACCACAACAGCCTTCAGCCATTCCTTCCAGAAGCTTGTCATACTTCCATCTCTGCCAAGGATTCCATACGCTCTAGGTATCCAAAGCCCCGTCTCGCCATCGGTTAATCCCTCAATTTTGGCTGCTGCGCCATGTCTGACAGGCCGCAACATATCAGTCATCAAAGTAATTTTCTCCTCCACCGCACTGATCTGCTCTTCCAATTGTTCTCTGGCAGCTGAGCCAGAAACAACCGTGGGAAGCTCTGCTAGCAACTGCGAAAGATGGGCGCGCTCCGCAGCCAATCGTTCTCCTAAACTAGCTGCAAGTTCGCGCTCTTCGTTCGTCATATGGTCTTGTCTCCAAGCCTCGCATCTTCTCTCGACATTTGAAGCCGCTTCCTGATCCAGTGGCTTCCAAACAATCACCGTAATACCATATATTTTGGAATTGTCATCTGAGGTCATGGCAAATCCATGCCAGGTCGATCGTGGTCGTTCGTCAGAAGAAACAATATTGATATCGTTTGGGAATGCAAACATGGGGACGTAATCAGGAAATCTACCTCGCCTCGGTAATTCCTCCGTCGCATGTTTCGGTGGGTATCTATCGAGTAAAACTGGTTCAAAACGTCGTTTCAAAGGGTGCATATCAGGGTCCAGATTCAGGGGCTCCGGAGGAGGAATGACGGAATTGTAATTGCTCAAGCGCCTCGAAGTTCGGACCGACACTATTAAAATGGTCAGTATACGCATTGAAAATTTCGAGAGGGGTGCGGCTCAGGTTCCCTTGGAAGTATGCAACTATGCAATGCATGTAATATATGTGCCGTGTCGGAACGCGAAGTGTAAGACTTACTACTTCTACCTGCCATGGAAGGTTGCCTCTTTACACTGTTCAGATCTCTGAAGCTAATCCTTCTCCTGATACTTCCACCAACACTCCTTAATGTCGGACTTCTCCTGTGTATGTTATCTGCATCTTCTACTCTTAATCTCGAAGTCCTCGGATTTGTCATAGGAGGTGCAGCCTGCGTTGGAGCTCCGGCACTAAAACTCAGATCATCCAGGAAATTCTCCCGCTCGTTCGCAAACTTCAATAGAGCTTTATCGAAGTCGAAATTTGCAAATATTCCTCCTTCGGCTTTCGCGCCATTTCCAATTCCAATTCCATTCCCACTACCATTCCCATGTCCATTTCCGTTTCCGTTACCATTACCGTTACCGTTACCGTTACCATAAATATGACCGATTTCACCGGCCTTTATTGTCATGCTACTTCGATTGCTCGCAGTCATGCCTTCAAGCTCATCAAGAGTGGATATTGAGCTTCGCGAATCGTGCGAAGTTTGTTTGCTGAGACGATTCCATGAGTTATTGCGGGAATGGCGTGCTGAAGCTCGGTTGGTATTTGGAGGAGGTGAATTTTCACCTTCGGGACTTTCTTCTATCGTGGCACCGACTTGAGGGGAGGGGGGCGTTTGTATGCTGTTGTTTGATCTATCCCTTGTGTTTGAGGGGAAAACTTCGGGTCCATACTGTAAAGAATCAATCCCCGCGATCCAGAAGTAATCCGCGAGAGGAGCCGAAGTAGAATCGTTCTCCATGGCGAAAGGGAATTTGTTCGAGGTGAATGTGTAGGATTCGATAGAGTTGAAGGTTGTATTGGCAGAGTTGCCAGTGGTAGGTTACTGAAAGCCCTTTCAGTATGACATTGAAGAGTGGTGGACGCTATTACCGCGAACTTCAGGAGAAAGTGATTAGATGTGGAGCGAGGGAGGGATGATCAAATATTTCGTGGATAAAGTGAGAGAAGTTCCTCGTAATCTCAACCACCTGGCGAAAGTTTCTACGCTTTTTCCAACAAAGTAATGAACAGCGAGGGTCTTTTTTGGAAATTTGGTGGCCTATCGGAGAGGTATATGTTGTGAAGAACCAAGGTTGATGCTAGATGGGAAGATTTGTAGATCAGACCCTTTGGACTACGGTGGACAATGAAGCTATGAAGTACTTCCCCTTGATCCCCACTGTTGCTTAATCAAGTACTCCAACAGTTTACCTAAGGGCCCAGGTGCTGATTTGATTGATTGATTGATTGGAATTGATTCGCAAGTTCAACCTCGGGAAAAGGGTAAAAAGGAAGGGCGAAGCAGGCAATTCTGTTTCCAAGAAATCTAGATAGAATTAGAATGGGCGGGGTGGGTGATTGGGTGAATCTAATAGTAGGTAATGAATTGAATTGAATTGAATTGAATTGAATTGAATTGATCAAGAGAGGGAGTGAATGAAGTGACAAATTGGAGATGGAGATGAAAAGAGTCGAGAAGAAATAATCTATAAAAACCAATTGATCGAATATTTCTCAAGTAACTCCACGTAACTCGACAGAATTTATGGTTCTGACTAGAGAGGAGGGTAAAAAATGGTAAAGTTGTATGGGGAAGGGGAATGTTGAATGTTGTGTGGGTGTTCAAGGGAAGGGAAGGTACACCAAGGAAAGGAAGTAGTGCAGTATGGGATTAGTAAATTTGGGGAATGAATGAATGAATGAATGGATGGATGAATGAATGATGAATGGATGGATGGATGGATGGATGGATGGATTAATAAAATGCATAATTTGAAATTCCAATCGGAATCTGACCGAGTGTCTCTAGTTTCCCAGTGTCAGTCTTCTCATCTGTTTAAATCCCTTCTCTCTCCTCTTTCCTCTGTTCCCTCCGGTTCTCCAAAGACTATCTGGGATCTACCACCAAGTACGTACCTACATATCTACCAAGCAAAATATAAAAAGCGCGTGTCACCTTGAAAAGATCCTATTTCTTATCGTTCCCTAGGGAGCGAATGATCTTCCTCCGGGCAAGTAGAGAAAAAGCAAATGGATTTTCAATATTAAATGAAGTAATATAAAAGAAGAAACTTTATGATATTTCAATGAATAGACTGTTTACTCATCCATCATCAGGTATGGAGGGTGCAGTACATCTCGGGTATGTCGACCCCCTCGTATAGTATTATCATCAATCATCAATCATCAATCATCAATCATCAATCATCAATCATCAATATCAACCATCAATATCAACCATCAACCATCAATATCAACCATCAACCCATCAACCCATCAATCATCCATCATCCATCATCCATCTCCCCTTACAATACTTTTATCCCTCGTCCGCACTCACTTCTATCACTTTCACAATATCGATCCTCTCATCAAATCATCCTTCGACACCACACTCGCCTTTTCCCGATAAGTGAAAATCATTTGTCAGACAAACAAGGGAGTTGTCACAATTCACAATCCATAACTCGAGGATTTGAGGATGGAGAGAAGGGATCAAAAATAAAATAACCTTAGTGCCTATTCACCCCGTAAAGTGATCATCACCCCTGGTATAGCGTTGGCCGATCTTCCTTCCAGGTACACTAATACACTAACAATCATCAATGAATGGCCTTGCCGTTTGTCTGGTATCCCAGGCCAGGAACAGAACAAACACAAAAGCCACTGTGGTCTTACCGAGTGTTTATTCTTGGGATGCTTTGAGAAACACAACGGCTTTTTAACTTCAAAATCGATATCTACTCACTCGTACCGGATCCATATTTATATGGATGCATTCGGTCAGTGATAATGAACTTGTACTTGCTATATATATATATGCTCTCGATATATCCTCCACACAGTCCATTTATCTTCTTTATTTATATATATATACGAGTTAATAATATCTTCATCTGAATCAATAACTACTCCTGCCAATCCTACGTTCTCCTAGTACATATATATACTTACTTAGTACTTAATCCTTTACTAAGCACTATCTATCAACAAGTCTAACATCTCGCATCCATCCAGCCATCCAGCCATCCAGCCATCCATCCATCCATCCATCCATTCAATAAACCGATCCGCCACACCTTCCATAAGACTTTAGCACAAAAGGATTACATAAGAACCCCTTACCCAAAGGACAAGAACTAGAACTCGAACTCGAACTCGAACTCGAACATCGCAATCCCAAATCTCACATCCAAGTACCTATCGATGAAAAGCAACCCAATCATCCATCCCATGCATTCACTCATTCCAACCCTTTCAAATGCGCAACATACAATACAGTACAGTACAGTACAGTACATATGCGAAATGCAGACGCCAAATAAGTTTCCGGACGAAAAAGCTATGGCGTGGCATAACTAACTCCAAACCAAGTCTGATCCGAAGACGGATGCAAAAGGGTACCTGACTTTCATTGCCTAATCCATCAACCCATCAAACTAGTTTCAACGCCTAGAACTTTTCTCCTTAGCTGCCGATTTCCTAGACTGTTGTGGTGTGAAGGATACCCGAGACGATTATTATGACATTAGCTATTTCTTATTATAATATTTTGTTCCAAGATTCAAGAATGTAAAGATGTAAATAAACTTTTATATGATATTAGATATGACAGTAGTAATCATAACTTTAAAAATATCTATTAGATAATACAATATAATTATCAGTCTCAATCTATAAAAACTATATACTAATATCTATTTAAGATATCTCCTACCTACCTCCCAATCAACCAACCACCCAAACCCACCGATTACAGATCCCCATAACCGGCCGCCTGCATAACAAAAGGCATCTCTAGTACCACCTAAAAGTCCCAATCCTCTCCACAAAAACAGGGGAATACAGAAGATCTCACAACCTGGAGCAGGAGAGCGGCAGAAAGAAAGAAAGAAAGAAAGAAAGAAAGAAAGAAAGAAAGAAAGAAAGAAAGAAAGAAATCCAGGCTCTCTCGACTCTCGAATATCAATCTAAAATAAGATCTAACTCAGGGGTTTCTTTGGTAACTTTGTAACTTTGTAACTTTGTAACTTACATCAATAGTGGTTCCTATTCATTCTGATCCGATCATCTTGCATAAAAGGGTATTGTAAGAATAAATCGGTTTTGGGGGCGGGGGATCTGTTGTGGTTCTTTTTTCTTTTTGGTAGGGTTATTGTGGTGTGTGTGGGTGGATTCGTAGTGTGTGGAGGTGGAATTGAGGTTATACGGATTTGGATATATAATGGGGTAGGAGGTAAGGAAGGTTGGTTGATGGATGGATGATGGATGATGGATGATAGATGATAGATAATTGATAATTGATAATTGATAATTGATAGATGATATCTGATAATAATTAATATCTATCTATCACTGAGTAGGTAAACGGAGTATGCTCGATTCTATACCTTCGTGATCTGAATTATTCCATCTCATGAATCGCATCACTTTATCTTATTCTGTCTCGATATAGGAATTTCAAATGTGATGAAAAGACGTACTTCAATTTTCTATTTACTTTTTCTAGGTCGTATTAACTCTACGATAGGATTCTAAATCTTTAATTATTTATTTATTTTTTAAATTATTTTCAAAATTATAAATTATTCTAAGATGATATTTAATTTAAATATAATATATTTTTAATAAAAAATTTAATAATTTTTTTTAATTTTCTTCAATTATTTAATAAATATAATATTAAAAACTTTAAATTTATTATATAGTATATTAAAGTTAATTATTTAAAAAATTAATATAATTATTAAATAATTATTAATATTATATTTTAAATATTTATAAAATATTATTATTTATTTTTACTTTTCTTTATTTTTCTTCTCTTTGTTTTTATTCCTCTCTTTTAGTTTTTTTAATCTCAATCTCTATCTTCATCCCTATCCCCATCTCCATTCTTCCATCTCCATCCCTCCATCCCCAAAACTTTCATCCCACCTCTTAAATCCCAAATCCAACCTCCAACCTCAATCTAAAATCACAAGCTCAAAAAACCCAAATCGCTATAAATAAAAATAATGAGGCGAACATACATCGCACACATTACACAACGCATCGCATCGCATCGCACACATCGTAAATCTCCCTTGCCACAAAAAGCCACATCGGCGCCCTGCATACGGGACTTCTCTTTCTCACCGGAAGTATTCGGATAGAAGTGAAAAAGAAAAAAAAAAGAGACATATATAAATAGATATATATTAATACTCGGGCTTGTTTTTAAAAAGAGTTAAAAATTTTAATAAAATATATTTTAATAAAATTTTTTTTTATATAATATATATCTTGTATTATATATAAATACATCTTTATATATATTTAGTAATATAATAAATTATTAAATATACTACAAATATCATCTCTTTTATTATCTTTATTTACTACCTATCATTCATCCACCACCCCCTCAAGTCACATCCAAACCACATACATCAACCAAATACCATATTCTAAACCCTCCCAACTCTTCAAACCAAACCAAATCAGATCAGATCAAACCGAACCACAAGATAACATTCATATAGCAAAAAATCTCTTAAATTCTCATCCTAAAAGCAAGACTTACATACCGGCTTTCGTTTCCTTTCCTTTTCCTTTACTCTCCCCAATTTAGAAAGATATCACCAATTGCACTTCTAACATAGCACATAGCACTCCATTTCCATCTTAGCTTTTGGAGGAGACAAGAGACGAGAAAAGAATAGAAAAGTATCTAGGTATTCAAATATTCATCGCAACACAACATCCTTATGTGGTTTACTCACAAAAAATGTTGTAATTGTAATTGTTTAAAAAAAAAACTCCATTCACCATCCATGTATGCATTTTTAGAATCCATACTCCTGTAAGATAAATGAAAAGAAATTTGAAGATGGAAAAGAATTATCCACCATAATGCCATAATGCCACACCTAATTAATGTAAGAGGTATCTCGACTTTCAAAGCTGGAATAGAAGAATAGATTCTGAAAGTTTAGAAATTGCAAACCACTGATATAAGTGTCATGAATATGACAGTTTTACAAATACAAACTCTGCGCCGCAACGATATCTCTCCTAATTTTCTTAAGCGATTCGTCGAATTTATTTGACACCTCATCTGAGCCCATGACCTTTCCTGCTTGGGCCATTTGTCTGAGAAGTTCTTCAAGACGACGGAAAAGACGGATGAGGGATCCTTCGTAGACGTCTGTCATTTTACTGTAAAAATATGTTAGTACTTTCACACACGAGAAAGCCAAGGCGACGAGGGATGTAGGAGTGAGAAAACTTACCAGATCTCCGCAAAGCTCTTTCCTTGCGCCCACACATAAACAACTTCCATAAGTTGCCATTTGAAACTAGTCACATATTCTTCCTCATTCATCTTCAATTTACTCTCCGCAGTAACCTTGGCGATGATCCTAGCTTGAGCTTGAATTTCTCGATATTTGGCTGCCAATTCCTCTTTCAGTGGAGGGCATTGACTCTTTTCTTCGAAAATGAAAACCGAAAGGACAGCTGCGCACATCTCAGGAGTTAAATCGTTGAAATAACCATTGAATAGAAGTTCGGAGAGAAGAAGTTCGTGACCATCACCGGTAGATGAGATTTCACATGCGACACGGGCCTTGAGCTCGACTACTTCTTGTTCGTTTATGAAACCTAGACGACGAAGGACACGTTTGCGGGATTTAAGTTCATCGAGTTGCATGATACTCAAGGCGGAGGTGATAGCCTTGCGTTTTTCTTTAATTTGTTTGGTGATATCTAGTTTACCGGCATACTGGTTGTAGAGATTTGGGAGACGGGGAGAATTGTGAAGGGGGTTAGAGAGTAAACGGGATTCAAGAACTTCAATCTTGCGAAGGAGTCTTTTGAATGAATCATCTGTGATACCCATGTTTTCGATAGGATCGAGGACCGCGATACCATCAGGGAAACGGCGTTTCACTTCGTCGAGAGATTTACGAATTTGATTTCGTTCATTGACTGGATGAAGGTCCTTTGGAAGGAATATACGAACATGTCCAATAGCTTCAACACATGATAGGAGTACTGGAACAACCTCCATCTTGCCCTTATCACCATCACCTGGTGGTGTAATACCCAATGGCAAGTCATTTTGTGTTTGTGTGCCAACGGTACTGTCCGAAGAAACTAACAAAAGCACGTCGAGAATGTATGATTGTTGTGGAGGGTATTCTACCGAAGATCCCTTGGCAGGTCGTCGTGGTGTAAACTTGACAACTGCCCCCCAACCGAAATCATGATCTTGGTGTTTGATATGAACGACTCGTCCTGGTTGCATGAACTGCAAACAATAATTAGGGTGGTTGATGACATCGCGCATATCCTTGGTGTATGTAGTAAGCTGTTGTCGAAGATCGTAGTAATCCTTAATGGTTGCTTCATCTGGGATTTGAACATCATCTCTTGCAACTTGCAAATCTTGAAGTTCCTTTTCAAGGCCAGTGACACTTGAAGTGTTTTGGAACTGGTAAAAACAATGTTCTAGCATAAACTCTGGTGAAATTCCCTCCAGACGCATCAAGTTAAGAATCATGTTATAACCAAGGTAGAAAGCTGAATTGAGCTTGTCCTGCTCTCCTCGTACAATAGTCTTGGCACTCTCTGGCTCCATCTTGTCATTTATCATCATGATAACAATACCTCTATCATCAAGACCACGACGACCGGCACGACCGGACATTTGTACGAATTCGGATGGTGTCAAATATCGCATCTTCTCACCATCAAACTTCTCGACGCTAGTGAAGACGACAGTCTTGGCAGGCATATTCAAACCAATAGAAAAAGTCTCTGTAGCAAAAAGAACCTTGATCAAATTCTCCTGGAACAAAATTTCGATAGTTTCCTTAAGGATAGGAAGAAGTCCAGAATGATGCACACCAATACCACGTCTCAACAATGGCAAGATGTGCTGGATTTGTGGTAGTGTCCTATCTTCTTCTGATAGAGACTCAATTGCACTCTCAAAGACTTTCGAAACCATGTCCTTTTCCGATTGGTCGTTAAAAGCCATGGAGCTCATTTGCAATGCATATGCCTCGCATTCTCTCTTACTGAAACTGAAAACAATAACCGGATTGTAATGCTTCAACATGATCATTCGAACAATCTTGTAAATATCCGATCCCTCCTTATTGGCACCCTTGTTGGTCTTCTTGTCTTTACCACGCCCCTTTTGCTTTGCGTTGATATCTGCTGGGTCAGACCCTTTTTTCTCCTCAATTGTTGCCATGGCCTTGGAAAAGTTATCTTCTCTGAAATTTCCTTTCTCATCAACAATCAAATGTATACCATCTGCACCAGCTGGGAAGAAATAGTGCTGTAAGGGGGTAGGTCGAAAATCGGTGTAAACAATGTGACATGGTTGGTTATGGGTTTTTGTGATCCATTCAGCAAATTGCATAGCATTTGGAATGGTTGCAGACAAGAAGACGTATCTGACCTTGTCTGGCAACAAAATGATAGTCTCTTCCCAAACCACACCTCTGGCTTTGTCCCTCATGTAATGAATTTCATCAAAGACGACCCAAGCAACTTCTCTCATAATCTCAGATCCTCGGTATAACATAGATCGTAGAATTTCTGTTGTCATAACCAGACAGGTTGCTGTGGGGTTGATTGTGACATCTCCAGTCATTAAACCAACATCCCCAAAATCCGCAGTAAACTCTCGATATTTCTGATTACTCAAAGCTTTGATGGGACTTGTGTAGATGACTCTTTGGTTATTCTTGAGGCATTGCGCGATCGCATATTCTGCTGTAACAGTTTTTCCCGCACTGGTATGCGCCGATACCAGTACACTCTCATTTCTCTGAATTGATGCAATAGCAACCTTTTGGAAAGGATCCAATTCGAAAGGCCAAGTTCTAGCGGGTTCAGCGGGGGCTTTGTGTTGTGATATCGGAATGTAATCGTAGTCCGGGGGTAGAGAGACTTGATGCTGAATGTTGTGCTGTAGTACCAATGCCTTCTCTTCTGGGGCTCCCTGTAATCCTGCTGAAGCAGCCAATTCTCGCGATTGTGCTGTCTCGAAAGTATCCGTAACCACTGGTTCGGATTCTGTTTCCTTCCTGCGTCGCTTTGCATCCTTCGCTTCACTAATCTCGTCCACTTCTTCAATTTCCTCTTTCTCTGCATCTGCTTCTACTACCGGTTCCTCAGCATCAATCATCTCGGAATCGCCATCTTGCGCATCAGCAATTGGCTTCACATCACCATTCGCATTTCTTTTCTTGCTGCGATCTTTCTTGTCTTTCTTTGCCTTTTTGGGTCTGCTAGGAGCAGCCGTCTGGGGTTTATCCTCGAAGGCGTCAAACAAATCATCCATATTGAATTATATCCTACCGCATTAATCAGGACAAAAAGGCAATTGTGGTGTGTTGATAATTCTTAAATTTATCAAAAAGCCAAAGGTGTGAAATAAATAAAGATATTTTTTTATTATCGCTCCGGGCCGTTATCCTGGCACTATCTCTGATAAAGTTCCATTCTTTAGCTTTAGCCTTAGGCACTAAAATTTCTGGTTTGTTCCCTCCTCACTAGTGCCAAACCAAGCTTCATCAAAATCATCCGATTGACTGTTTCCTCCAAATACAAACCAGAACCCAATACTCAAGGTAATACCTTACTGTTTGAGTCGCCGCAGAAGTACTGCTAATGTACTGTTAATAGATGTTATCCCGAGCAGCTGTCCGCGCATCCTCCACAACCTCAATGGTCGCTCGCCGTGGCTTCCACTCCACTCGCGCTCAAATGGGTTCGCCATACCATTACCCCGAGGGACCACGAAGCAACATTCCATTCAACCCAAACACAAGATTTTTTGCTTTGAGATACTGGGGATTCATGGCTGTTGGATTCGGTGAGTGAGAAGAACAGCTTCGCCGGAGAGAGGGGTATTGGAGAGTCATACTAATGTTGGATATAGGTGCTCCATTCGGCATTGCAGTCTGGCAAACATGCAAGAACCAATAGAGTGTTTTGTTGGTGGATGTTTCATTGGGGGGAAAGCTTGAATCGATTGGTAATGAAAACTAGAAGGGTTGGGGAATGGGGTATACAATACAACATTCTCATGTATTTAAGTCCATTCTTCTATATCGATTGTGCTGGTTTCCTACGTACTCATCTTCATTATGGCCTCTACGCATGATGTACAACCATAGCCGCAAACCACGATTTCTTGAAAATGCATTCCTATCCCAGGCGAAGCGGCTCAAGGCAACCCCTCGTTCATCTGACCATAGTAGTATCTTACCGGACATGTCCCTCAAGACTGGACTTTTACTTTAGTATCAAAGGTATGCCTATCTGCTGCTTTTAAAGCAAAACATCCTCTAAATTCCTCTTGTACTCCCGATAATTCCGCCATTGCACTCTTCATATGATCAGGATCGCTTCCATTCTGAACCTCCACACTAGCAGTGAGAATCCATTTGTCTTCAGCATCAAATGGTTCCAACAATTCAAATGGTGGCAACCTACTGTTCACCTTAGGGCGGGAATTGCCATCAACTTCTTGAAACTCGGAAGGGATTTCAAAGTAACGACTCAGTGTGAAAACTATATTGTTGTGAACTGTCCGGTGACATTCTTGAATAACCTCTCGCGTGAATCTATTGGATGGATGTTTAATGACCGGGATGACTATTTAGTAGTGATTAAACGTACCGGTGATTGCTGTCTTGTAGAAGTTTACACAATGACTTTTCATTGTCAATCGCAATGAACATCCTGCTATTCACGATGGCGGCATTTGCTGGATCTGGGAGATCATTCCATCGCAAAGTACCTGGAACCTCATCACATGGCAGGAGGCCCCTATTTCTAGTTAATAACCATTAACGGAGGTATGGGGAGCTTTGAAGGACCATCACATTCTTAGGCATGTCAGCCATGGAAAGTACTTACGTTTTATCCTTTCCACTACCAAGCTCCTTTGCTGGCTGACCAAATTGACTTTTATCAACATCATATATAAGAGTAAGAACATAAGATTGACGAATCAGCTGATCATTAAGATTCTTCCACCAAAAGTGTTTATTCGGCGGTTGCTTTTTGAGAAAGGAAGGGTCAAGGCCTTTCAGATTGGACCGACTCCGAGGACCTTCGAATACTAATCGTCGTCGAATAAATGGCTGTGGTATCATACCACAATAGCCTTGTAATATCCGCAGAGCACGAGAGACATCTTCGCTATCCACTGATGCTGAGAGGAATAGCTCATGCATGATGATTTGGCAAGGATTGAGTTTGGGGAGGCCGAAGTACGGAGGGAAAGTCTTGTCTTGTCTTACACCAAGGAGTGCAAGGTAAGCTTTTGCTTATTGTGGTATACTTTTTGGGGGAGATCAAGACAAGGGAGATTTTCCGCGGTGAGATTTTATTCTGGTAAATGAGTTCAAGAGCGTGTTGGTGAAAATCAGATAGTGCTCATATCATGAGTAGGTACTTTTATGAGACCGTATTGTTGGTATTATGTGGAGATGGCCTCTTCCAATGTTCAGTTCCTTCCCCAAGTATAGGTAGAGTAATAGATGGCATTCAATTTTTGATATGAATGAATCGGACTCCGGCTTGTGAAACCTCTCTATTATAATTAAGTCGACACAATTTCCCCAGGCCGCCCCAGAGTTTAGAACCAGACAAGGCTATCGAGGCTGAAAGAGCCTGATGGATAAATTCACTTTTTGACCAATGAACCAATGAGCCAATAATGCTTTATCTTTATCTCGCTTAAGTATTATTGAATTGGCCCTGCATAGTCCGCAATCCGAACATTTTCACATGCACAAAGGAACAGAAAAGAAAAGGAAAGGAAATGAAACAAAAGGAAAGAGATGCAAAATCCTCGGTTAGTTCGTCATAATAATACATATCATATGTCAATCACGAATGAAGGGTTGTTGGAAAACTCAAAATCTCAACTCTCAAATGTCAAATGTCAAATGTCAGACCCATCTACCCGGACCAACCGTTGAATGTTGTTACTGCGCCCGAAATAACCCAAATGTTAGCGATGCACGCCCTTCCTGCAAAGCGAAGCATTCGGGGGATAGGAAAATGCTCAGATAACAGTCCCAGCACCCTTTAGCATTTACATCCTTGATACATACATCACGCCATCAATCCATCAGCCAATGGATAATCAAATAACGGATGTCCGATAAGAAAAAACCCAGTTGACTGATAATTTATCGTCTGATGAAATGGGCGATAATCCAAAAAATACATCGGAGGTGGCCTTCTTATTAATGACTAACCCCGCACAACTAACTACTCGAGTGCACCCACAGAGAGCCTCCTGAATTCTATTAAAGACTGTTGGATTTGCTGATTCCCCTTCCGTAAAGCCCTTTGGATTCATTCTTATTTATTCTATCTGTTAGGGAAAACATTACCTTACATCTCTCGCCAACAAGATTTCAAGTGCTTAAAACTTCATAGACAAAGACCAACCTCTGTTTTTCAAAGAGCTGTTCAAAACCCCCATTATCAAATCCATCCACTATCTAAATCCCCCATCCGGATTCCGGATCTTGTCCCACCCACAATCCATCTTAAAGCTTTGGAAATCCCGAGCTCTTTTCGTTTCGACAACTCAACTTACATCAATCTCTTCCAAACAAAAGCAGACGAGTTTTCAAGTTGTACATCTTCTCAAGTCCTTATACTTGATTCCTAATTACTTTTTTTAAATCTTCTCAACTATCAAGATGTTTGCAACCAAGGTTCTCCGTCAAGCCTCTGCTGCTGCTGCTCACTCTGAGCGTACTCCATTGATCAAGTTCATGGGCAGGAGATCAGTCCCTTGTATGTATCATCCGATCTTCAATCCATTCTTTAATCTCATTCTAACAATTTAATAGCTTCCATCGATCACTCTGCTCGACCACATCCAGCATCCCCAACCCACGAACTTCCAGCAGGCTTCGCTGAGGCTCAAAAGTCTGCCTCTTCCTTTTCTTCCTACAGACAAAAGGCCCAGCAGCATGGTCCACTCGGTCGCAGTGCCAGTAACGATGGCACAATCGGTTCTCTCTCCGGTAGAGCTTTGGGCCCCATCGCTCCAAGCAAGGGTGAATACTTCGATCGCAACGAATTACCTGCACGTTTCCGACGTATTCCAATTGACCTTGCCGAGATTGATGCTATCGAAACCGGTGGTGCTACAGTTGTCTGCTAAATTTAAACTTTGAGGAGAAGAAGAAAAAACTCTATTGTACAATTATGGCTCGCTACGGAAAAGTGATGGATTGAGGCAGGATATACCCATTAAAACGACAACTTTCATGAACTTCTGGCGATAGATGGATGAAGTCAATCAGTAGAGACTTTTTAGGTCAGGGAAGCAAGCTCCAAGTCACGGCTATGCAGATTAGGATGGACAAAAGGGATATAAATGTTCGGACGAGTGGCATGGAAAAGTTGCTTTTACAAGGAAGTCGGAGCAGGTATCATGTTTCCTGCCGGACTTTTCTGGTCTGGCTTTACTCTGGAGTATCGGTTTTTGGGAAAGTTCTTTTGAGCAATACTTCTCCGAATCATCAAATGAGTTGAGTGAAGCAAGAATATAATTAAATCAAAATTTACCACATCACGTGCACGCATCATAGTTCTAAATTAATTTGTCCGTCTACAACTTTTAGTGTCGCACTTGGAAACAAATAAATATTCGTGATATTGATATTATTCTGGCTCCATGAACATACGAATACCTAGTTATAACTTATTTCAAACTCAAATGACTACCAATCGCTAAGAATGGTTCCTTTCCATTACGTCGCCTCTCCCAGAAATACATCATCCAATTGTCAAAAATATTGATACATCCCAAGTAATAATTTCAGCTAGAGAAATAATTAACAATCTATACAAGATATATCCATCCTCCAATCATGTCAGAGCTAGAGGAAATCAAAGAAATAAATCAATCCGGCAAACTCATCGCTACATACATTCAACCACATACACATAGCACTTCTCCCGATCAGAAAGATTCTCGAATCGATATCCATGTATGTTCTATCCACCATTGTCTATTCTCTTCAGATCCTCAACTAATCATAATACGCAATAGATACCCAAAGGTCCATCAACATGGGTCTCAAGCTTGACAGGAGCATTCCTCCCAGTTGGGTATCCGGATAGTGTGACGGAGGACTATACTGCGTATGTACTATGTCCTATACATCTTACCTCTTATATCTATTATGTGAGAAGCGCGCTAGACTAATAGAGATTAATAGATATCAATTTTTTGTGAGGATTCTTTGAATGGAAATGCGAGGAGATGGGTCTAGGTGTAGGAATATGCTGATTTGATGAAGGATTCCGTGCAGGCTTTTGCTAGTACGATTGCGGGGTTGCTTGCTAGTAGGGCTGTTCTTCAGGGTGGGTGGTCTTTCTTATTTTGAAGTCTAGTTTGGTTTCCGAGGTGGTTCGTATGGAGTTTTGTCTGCGTTTCTGTGGAGTGTATGTTGCAACAGTCTACTGTTTGGATTTCTTTGGTATAAGCTTGTCACTGACTATTGTCTGAGTTGGTACACTATACTTCTGGCATCATCTTATCTGGATTTTCTAGGTGCAATATTGGCACAATCTATTATTTAAACTCCTTTCGTACAATCTAACCCAGCTTCAGGACTCGGCGTAGGCGATTCTACCGCATCAGCAACCGGAGCAGTTCTCCTTAACATCCTCCAAGAATCAGCAGGTCGTATAGCCACTATTCTTTTCGCTCACCGACTCGGCAGTGCCCTAGAGCCCGAATGCAAAAAATATCGTCTCATGGCTGATATCTTCAATGATGGCGCTATGATTTTAGATTGCATATCACCTGCTTTTCCAAAGGCTCCTCGTGTGTTTCTCTTGAGTGCTTCGAGTGTTTGTAAATCTTTATGTGGAGTTGCGGCGGGAAGCTCGAAGGCTAGTTTGAGTGCTCACTTTGCTAAACAGGGGAATTTGGCGGAGTTGAATGCTGTGAGTCTCCTTACTTTAGAAGGAGTAGATGAAATTAACAGAATTATAGAAAGATGCAAGTCAGGAAACTCTCATATCCCTCCTTGGTATGCTGGTAGGAACTTTTGTCGTTTCTAGAATATCGTCTCAAACAGCTACGTGGATCGCTTTAATTACATTACTTTCCATCCATCTCGGTACGAATTATCTTGCTGTACGTTCTGTTACAATGCGTACTCTCAATAGACAACGAGCAAACCTAGTCATCTCAAACTTCATCTCAGATTTAAATGCCGAGAAGAAGACAAGAATTGATCTTCCCACCCCAAAAGACATATCACACCAAGAACGAATCTTCGAAACAGATGGCGCCATTCGCGATATCCAAGGCATTATACTCGGCTACTGCAAAATCGGAGTGAGTCTACGAAAAGTCCTCTCCTCAATATCCAGCAATCCCACCATCTCCGGAAGCTACAAAGAAGAAGCTCCTCAAATCATCAGTTCCCTCTTCAAAATATACAAAAACCAAGGCTACATAATGTGGTACTCCCGTCGTCAAAACACCTTCCTCGTAATCCTAAAAGAAAATACTGCCCCCTCCGTTCAACTAGATGCTTGGTTTCATGCTGTGTGGGCTTTATCCGTTTCTTCTTCTCACTTTTCTCCTAAATTTGCTGTTGGTAAATCTTTGAATGGAAGAAGTAATCAGGAAATTTTAAAATGGATAGAGGATTCGCTTAGAGATTCTTCCTTGTGTAGACAAAATGCGAATCTCTACAAGGAGTTACGGGATAAGGGGTGGGATCTTGATACGGCGGCTTTGGAGGTTAGAGCTGGGTGTAGACTTGTTGTTGAGAGGGGAGGGGAGTAGAGTGAGGTTCGAGGTAAAAACTCTCAATCAGGGATTATATATTACAAGCCTTGTACGAATCTTTAGAAAGGTCGTTAATCATTCATTTATTATCAAATATGAGTTCAAATATTGAAGATAAACAAATGATGTAATTCATGCTATATGTCTAGGGCTCTAGAATATACAGCTAGATATTCTTGAATGCCTCATCGCGTGTTCTTATTTTGATATATTTGATATATATTGCATCTGACTGCATATTATACAGCTCAACTAGAGCAGAGAGTACCTCCTTTAACCTTTACGTGAATATCAATAATTCATCCCAACAGAGACACCGTAACACCTGACCCACAATCCAACATCTAGTTTTTCATCTATCCCATTCGTTAATCATACATACTATCCTCTCAGTTTCTTCCTTCCTCACCAATCCTACAAAAATATTCTCTGGATGTTTCAGAGTGAAGATTTGAGCTTTCAATGAATCAGACATGATTTGACTGATATCGGCATGTTTGGCGCATATTGCGCGAACGCATAGCAGAATCCATTCTTAAACTGCTTAGGAAAAATATCAACCCTCGCCTCAGTCCCAGACTGCGCCAGGGCTTTTGTGATATTCGCCCACCTTTTCTTCGTGAAAACCTGGGTATAGTTGTGGCTGGGGCGCATTATCTCAGGGTCTGACCGGCCTTCCCCAACTCCCTCTTCTTCCCCCCAACCTAGAGCTCTAGTTCAATAACTTCCAGGCCCTCATCTTCCATCCCTCCAATGTATTCAACTTAGGTCGAACGTCAAGGAAGAAATTCAATTTTCCGTTCCCATCCGGAGATGCTTTTCCAGCGTAAAAATCTATTATGTAATCGACTCTCTTTCCACAACGATCAACGACCCAATCATGACGGTCGAAGGGAGTGGTATATCCTAGGAACGTATTGATGCGAGCCTTTGGGGAGAGCGTTTGCGAAAGCCCAAGGAAAGAATGGAGACGAGGTCCACCGCATCTTGAGGTTTGTTAGTTCATATCCCATCACATAAATTTTGGAAGAAACATACTTCTCACTTCCCCACCCTGCCTCCCACTCCCTAATCTCCTTCCATGCTCGCTCATTCACAGCATTGTGAATTGGCACAATAGTCTTCATATCTGCGGCGTCGGATGGATGGCCCTTGCGCTTCATGGCTTCGAAGAACATTTTCTCGGAGGGATAAATCCAGTTACCAGATGCGGAGACGCCTGACTCAGACTCGGAGTTTGCAGGATGAGATGTAGAGGAGGAGGATGGGTTATCATTTGGAGTAGGGGAGGCGCGGGGAATGGTGGATATTTCGCGGTCGAGGCCAAGGCGGGGTTGAGAGGATGTGGATTTAGGAGCGGATGGGGGCTGAGAAGGGGTTGAGGATGAATTGTCCCATAAGAACAATCTAGAAAAGAAACTCGAGGGCGTATGTGTGGGAGGAGTCGTTTGATCAACAGTTGAAGAATCACAACTTGGGCCTGGTTTCGCTGGAGGGGTTACGCCTGGAAAAGGTGGTTTACTGGAATTGTTTTTGAGCCATGCGGAGCGTGTTGCATGGTCAACTGGACAGGCTTCTATGCCTTGAGCTGAATCGTTTTTGGACATTTTTATGATTGTGTTCTTGTAAATGAAGTGTGATTGTTAATACAAATATTCTGTATCGAATGAAGCTTCAAAATATTATTTTGCCTTATCTGATCTGTACCTGTTGACGGATTATACTTTTCCCGTCTAGCCGTTATTGACCGCCTTTGATATTTTGCAGTGGTTGGGTGGGATGAACTGGGGTTTGTTGTCAATAAGGATAAGGAGGACTTTTAATTTCCCTAAGAAGGAAACTATTGAAATATTGAAATATTGAAATAAATACTCTTTTTGTATTTTTCCTTTTCTTTTTTGATTCGAAAAAGAGTAGACTTTATTACTTTACATCCAATTCAAAATCTCCTCAAAATGGTAGACACAAAGATTTATCAAGCCAGTACAACGGCTCCAGTTAATATCGCAGTAGTCAAGTAAGTAAAGCTACCCCTCTACGCAATCTCATTGTTCTTAACTCTATTGTCCTTCTCAACGCCCTTAATTAACACATTCTCTCATCCACCAGATATTGGGGAAAACGTGATGCAAAGCTAAATCTCCCAACAAACTCTTCCATCTCAGTAACCCTATCCCAAAACGACCTCCGCACCCATACCACTGCCTCTTGCTCTTCCACCTTCACCGAAGATACCCTCCTCCTCAATGGCTCTCCCCAAGATATTTCCAATGCCCGAAGTCAAGCCTGTTTCCGCGAACTTCGCTCCTTACGTTCTGCTCTCGAAGAATCCGATTCTTCCCTCCCAAAACTCGCATCTTATCCCCTAAAAATCATCTCGGAAAACAACTTCCCCACTGCTGCAGGTCTCGCTTCATCTGCTGCTGGGTTTGCGGCGCTCGTTAGAGCTATTGCGAACTTGTATGAGTTGAAATCCAATCCTACTGAACTATCGAGAATTGCGAGACAGGGCAGTGGTTCTGCTTGTCGTTCTTTGTTTGGTGGTTATGTGGCTTGGGAGATGGGCCAGAAAGAAGATGGATCTGATTCTGTTGCTGTGGAAGTGGCGCCCGCTTCCCACTGGCCTACTATGCGCGCTCTGATTCTCGTAGTTTCTGCGGAGAAAAAGGGTGTTTCTAGTACCTCTGGTATGCAAATCACAGTAGCGACATCGAAACTTTTTAAACAGAGAGCAGAGAATGTAGTTCCCGAACATATGAAGGAAATGGAGAAAGCGATTAAAGAGAAAGATTTTGAGGGCTTTGCGAAGGTCACCATGATGGATAGTAATAGTTTCCACGCAACGTGTTTGGATACATTCCCACCAATTTTCTACTTGAATGATGTTAGTAGGGCAGCCATTAGAGCTGTTGAGGATATTAACAAAGCGGCTGGAAAGACGGTTGCGGCGTATACTTTTGATGCGGGTCCAAATGCTGTTATTTATTTTGAGGAGGAGAACATTGAGTTGGTGGCTGGTGCGTTGAAGAGTGTGTTGGAGGGTGTAGATGGATGGAATGGAAAGGAGGTAGAAAGCAAGAGCGCGGAGCACATTGATGAGAGGGCACAAAAGGTTCTGAAAGATGGTGTCAGCAGGGTTATTTTGACTGGTGTTGGCGGTGGTCCTGAGATGACTGAGAAACATTTGACTAGTTAATTTGGAAGTGAGTCCCTAATAGAATTGGGATGAGTTTGGAGGAGGAACGAACATTAAATTTGCAAGCGCATTTGTAAAAGATATCCTTTGCAGCTAGTAAAAACAATACAATTGAAGCACTAATATACATATACACCCTCCCTTATTCTATGAATTCAAAGGACTTTCTGTGGAAAAAATAAAATCTTAAGACGAAACTTGTCACGATCAGGTAGAAAAACTACATCAACACCCCCTTTTCAAGCGAAGCCACCAGAGACCACCAAAACACAGCACCATCATGATCAATGCATGATTAGATTGATCAAGTTAACTCATTACATCTCGGCGCTGAATTATATAGACTTACGAAGTACAACGTGTCAAAGAAAGCTGCGATGAATATGAATATAATTATACGAGTGGAAAACCATAAAATGAGCATGCTAAAAACCAACATGCTAACAATCAACATGCTAAAAATCTTTGATTGCATCCCGCAATCTTTGCTACTTCTGGTAGTAGGATTCAAACATTCAATTAAATACTGGCGCAATTGAATTTATGTCTTTGGTTGCTGTGTACGAATAATTGTCCTATAGAATGCTGGTTGTATCTTGCTGCGTTATAAATCCACGCCGTAAAAGACATTGACAATAAAAGGAATTAAAGGCGACTCTGACTGATACCCAGGTGCCTATTGCTCAATGCCATGTGATGTCCGTAGAGTACGACCCTGACACATACCCATTTCTCAGAGGAAAATCCTTATCCGGTACGATTCTAGATTACAGATTGCGAATTACGGATGATTCGTACAATTGCCTGCCCAAGAAACTGCCAGAGACACGACTGCAATAGCTTTCCAAATGCGTAGAATAAACAAGCTGAACATATAAATATTCTGCAATATTGCTCTATTATTCCTGTGCCGAGCAAGTTCTCCCTCCAGTTGTTTGTATTTACCCTGCTCAGCAGCTAAGCGACCTCATAAACAATTATAGTTATCCTCATCACCCTTCTTCTTCGTATCAGCGGCCTCTCCTTCGAGTCCTCTGCCAACATTTCATTCTATTTTATCGCAATTTGTACTCTCCCAAAACGGTAAAATGCTCGTTCATCCACTCAACTCTCCAGTCTACTTCGCGTAGTCCTTCTTGAGCTGAGAGGCTTCTTGGTTCGCAGCGGTAGCCTCTGCGTCGAGAGTTTGGAAAGCATCTTTACATTTTTGGCAATGTTGGCATTTTCGCTATCATTGAGTTGAGCCTAATAGAAACGAGGATCTCACGATTTATCCCGTTCCTGGATGGCCTCAGGTGGTTTTAGTCATAAATAGTCCATGTTTCCCTTTCTATCAAGCGAGTTTGACGTCCTGTTCAAGGGACTTAGACTTAGACCGCACCCGAAGCATCTTCTACAAATTACGACTCGTGATCTAACTTTATAACGGTGTGCGTCTCTTCTTCAGCCTTACTTATATTTCGGGTTTGGAAACCTTATAATAACGCCACCGTGCCCTGGAGAAGCATCCGTCCCGGACTTTTTCAGATTCTTTCGGTGTCTTGGCAAGCTTTTCTTTTGTTGCCGCAAAATTGGACTACAATTTATCCGTTTAGTTCTTGAATACTTACTCTCGGTCGTGGTGTAAGCCGCGTAAATGCTTCATTTCAGCCTCCTTCTCAGTCGATCTCAGGGGCTATTGCTGAAATTCGCTTGAACAGTGGTCTGGTAACTTTCATTTTGTATGTCTTCATTAGCTTGTTCTTTTCCTCGTAGAGCTGTAAGATCGTCCTATCTTTGTTGCGAGGACTAGTGTCCGCATTTTCAAGGTTTTTCCTCTCAGTTCCTGGTTTCTTGTTTTAGCTTCTATGTCAGTGGCAAAAGTATAGGCTAATGTGAGAGGTGGATCAGCGTGACTGTATCCAAGTGACAGTCTTCTGAACAACTTCACAATTCTCTTCCTTGCTTGGACTACAAACTCTATAGAGAATGGTAGCTTACTCGAGCAAACTTTCCATTTTATTTCTTAAAGCTCAATCACCAGTCCATACTTTCTAGCGACAGTATTGTGAACCACATTTGAGTTAATAAGAAGATGTGTCCGTTCTCACGACCTTATTTTCACCTTGATAGATGTCAAGCCAAGCCATCAAAAGCTTTGTGTCGTCGTTCATAAAGGATATGGAACCAGTGAAAGCCGGATCACTTGCATATTGCAATTTCTCAGCTACCATTTTTCACTGCACCATACAGATACTCGATGTCTCATCCAGTAGCTATGTGCTAGTCTGAAACTTTAGACTACAACATTCCGGCACTGTTCACGACGGGCACAAAAGACTTGTTCGGGAATACGACTCCGACCTTCAAACCTTAGCAACAAGAATGAACGGCGCCCACGAGCATCCGTAACAAAAGTTCAATGTCTTCGTCATCTATCGTCAATTCAACATGATTCTTATTTGTAATGCTGTGCAAATTGACTTCGACAGCAAGCGATGATGAAGATAGGTTGATAGATCAGTATAGTAATTTGGGATTGAGATGGCTTTGAATATCAATCATCATCTTGCAAGTATCTACTGCTCGAAGTGCGTGGATACGGAAGAAACCGGTCACGCCATATGGTCTAGCACCCATTATCTTCAATTGAAGTGGTCACAGAGTCCAACATTACCCGCGAGGCGATATCGCCGCCAAGATGGCTCGGCTATACTCGCCATCTCTGCAGTGAGGAGATGTGCGATTAAATAAAAGCGGCAGCACGCGGGCTGCATGTATCGCAGAAACATACGAAGCAAGTCCGTGCTGAAGAAGGTATAAAACTCTTTACTAAAAGATTAAAGGAATATGACGTATTAGCTGAAAGTTGTAAAGGAAAGTTGTGATAATCGTGGAAGTAAACGCTCAAGCAAAAGTAGGCGAGTTTTTCCTGTGGCATTCATCTACGCGGTTGCGAAATTCACGTCTTGATTACCGTGATTTTCCAACATTCACTGTGCCAATTTAGTCCTGAATGATCGATTTGAAAGCAATCCTATGCCGCAAAACTGGTATTTGAGTAAAGGAATCGTGAGAATGAGAAGAGAACTGAAGACGGGAAACTATTAAGGTCCAGAATTAAGTCATTGGTTGAGAATAATGGAATCAGATTCTAGATAAGTAGTATCCTTGATAGTTATGATAAGAAAAATGGATTTTGGAGTTAGGTCTTTCGAAGCCTTGGAAGTGTTGAGTTACTTTAATAATCTTCTGCCAGACAAGTAAGAGTTTTCTAGGGACGAAAGAGTGTAAAATTTCCGAATTAGTGTTGTAAAATTCCAGGTATAGAAGGGAAGCTGGGCGAATAGCATTACAGAAACGTGCGGATAAGGGTGCAAGATGGGATTTTCTTGGTAATTCACTCCTTTACCAAATTTAGGAATTGGTGAGGGAGGAGCTAAGCGAGTAGTTTTCATGGTCTAGAATTGGCTCGACAACCTGGAGATAGTGAGGGAAATTTTCAAGATGAGAATTGTTGGATATCACGAAATCATGGGTGCATTAGAGCTAGTGAGAGCAAAGCCGAGATCGATTGTGGTGGCAGGATAAGCAAAGTAGATACATATTAGTACTTAGTCATAGATTCGATATTGATTGTAAAATTTAGAGGATTTCCGTTCTGCCAGTTGCATTATCGATAGTGTATTTTGATCTCTTGCATGCTATCCTTGTCGAAAATACTAATTGTTTACGACGTGAAACCAAGGCCCTCCGCTTGTAAAAATGACAGTCGGGCTGGGCATTCATTGCCGGTGTCGAGCCATTTACTTCGGAAAACCTAGGGATAACGTTATAGATGGGTGAGTACAGTGTTTGGTCTTCAGTTCCGCTAGATAAAGATATGGGAGAGATACATCTGCAATCCATGTTCACCCCGAGAGCCCTTGCAATATCGATAGCATGAATAACACAAGAACAATAGCAACAGTACCAAAAATTGGCAATAATCGCAACAGCGAAGCAATCAAAAACAGACAACAGCAATAATAATAAGCACGGCAACAGCTATATGGATGTCAACTATCTAAGATTGAACATCTTACAAGTCGTGAATTTTTATGCTTTGGTGGTATCAATTATTCTGTTAAGTTTTGTCTAAGCCGAATTTCTATAACATATTGCAATCCGCAGATCTAGCATTGATACTACAATGCACTAGAAAAATACAGTTGCAAGATGTTTGGATGGGCTTGATTCATAATCTTTCATCTTACAACTCTTAATCTTTAACCAAGGATGCTTTTCAGTACCTTGATTTGCTCCTCAACGCTTGACTTGCTGGTTCCACCGGCCGCTTGGCGTGCTTCTACACTCTTCTCATAGTCAAAACATTCAGATACATCCTCCTTGAAGCGACTGTCAATGCTCTTTAGTTGTTCATATGTCAACTGGTCCATGGGAATTTTAGTCTTCTCAGAATATGCAACGACTTGTCCGGAAATATGATGCTATTGTGAATATCAGTATTTATTTCCCAAGTCCAGGAGCTATAGGCTACTTACAGTCTCTCTGAATGGTACACCTGCACGTACTAGATAGTCTGCCAGGTCGGTGGCCTAAATATTTCACCATGATTAGCGCAAACACACTGGAGGGAGGTATGGCAGGCTTGAAAACATTGCTAGACCTCAGATTTTTTTCAATTGACTTACAAGCATAAATGGATCAAGCGAAGCCTTCATCTTCTCTGGGTTGATAGTCAACGTGCTGAGAACACCAGTAGCGATCTGGATGCTGTCGCCAACTGTCTTAATGTGATCTAACATTGGCTCCACACTCTCCTGTAGATCCTTGTTATAGGTACTTGGAAGACCCTGGAGCGCAAGATCAGTAATTTTGAATTATTGCCCTAAGACAGTGAAAGCACCTTGACGGTCATCATCAAACCTGCCATCTGGCCAAAGGCTCTGCCGGCTTTGCCCCTCAACAACTCCAGGCTGTCGCTATTTTTCTTTTGAGGCATCAGAGATGACTGTGAATATTAGCTAAAGAATGCTTATGAACTTCGGGAGATAGGACATACTCCTGTCGAGTAGGCATCAGCCAAACGGACGAAGCTGAATTCACCGGTACCATAAATAATGAGATCCTCTGCCCATCTTGACAGATGTGACATGAGGGTGGCACCCCATTGCATTGTCTCGACAACGAAATCACGGTCACCAACAGCGGACATAGAATTCCACAGAAGACCTTCAAAGCCAAGTTCCTTAGCCATGGCCTCTCGATCGATATTGAAAGGGTTACCAGCCAAGGCACCACACCCTAACGGTGATCGGTTGACTCTCTTGATAACTTCTCGCAATCTTTGGAGATCCGTTGCAAAGGCCAGACCATATGACAACATCCAGTGGCTCCATCTGATGGGCTGAGCACGTTGCAGATGGGTATATCCTGGCATAATGTGCTCAATCTCGTTCTCGGATCTGGCAGCCACAACCCTCAGATAGTCGACCAAGAAGTTCTCAATCTTTTTGAGTTCATCCCTAAGCCACAATCGCATATCTGTTGCAACTTGCTCGTTTCGGCTTCTTCCAGTATGTAATTTCCCTCCAATCTCTTTGCCAATAATTTCGCCCAACCTTCTCTCATTTGCAGTATGAATGTCCTCGTCCACACCGGGAACTATCTTGAACGTTCCTGCGACCCATTCTTGCTCAACTTGCTTCAATCCAGACTCAATTGCGGCGAATTCGGCTTCAGTCAAGATACCATTCTTGTGGTTTGCGCGAGCCCAAGCAATGCTACCCAGAATGTCCTGAGTATGGAATGCACGATCGTAGTAAATTGATTCGTTGTAGGATACCATGAGGGGATCAAGGCCGCCTTTTGAAGTAATCAGTAAAAGTTGAGCTCGATCAAAGACAGAAATATGAGTCAAACAGACCAGTAAATCGACCACCCCACAACATATTCTCTCCAGGTTTGCTACCTGGAGCTCTAACTTGTTCTGAAGCCATAATTGAACGAATTTGAATGAATTGAGTACAAAAATCGAAAATAAATGTGATAAAAGACCTTATCGTTCGTAATGAGCTTTGTTTGCTTGAAATGGAATCAAGTTACAGAAGTGCTAGGAAACCATTGATAATAGTGTTGCGATAGATAAAAAAAGTTCATGAGGGGTTCCTGATGTCGGAGGTCGGTGCTTTATTGATCCTTACTAGCGCCCGCCTTGTAGTCTCCAATGGTTTCAATGATCAAATCCCCCGGTCATTTCCTTGATGATATTAATACGGTACACGACAATTCATCGTCCGCCGTTTTATATCAACTTTTCCAAGTTCTGGTTTGCAACAAACATCGAAAAGAGCTCAAATACTGAGACTCATTTATCTATCTATTTGAACATGGCCTCCTTTCCCAATATTTGGACTCACCGTAAGGTGGCCGACACGGCTTCCAAGCCTTGTGAGATTTGCTATAAACCTAGTGCAAGTGTCCTGATAACTCCGGAAAACAAGGTGAATAGCATCATCCTATCTGTTGAATTGATTGCTTAACAATTCCCTTCAGGATTTCTTCTATGTATGCCCATCACATTTAAAGGACAAAGGGTTTGCTACACCTATCGTAGATCAGGCTGCTATTGCTGCTAAGAAAAAGAAAGAGTTGGATGATGAAATTGAACGCGTGAAGCAGGAATTTGAAGAGAAGCAGAAGAAGAAGAAGAAGGAGAAAGATACCTCCAAAAAGGACGATAAGGAGAAGGATGGTAAAGATAGGAATGACGAGGGGAAAGCAGATGAGAAGAAGACTGATGAAAAGGTATGCATGATGCCTGATCATTCTCAATCTTATTATTCCTACTAAGCTCTTTTCTTGAATCTCCAGAAGAATTCGGATACTCCCGCATCATCAACACAAAGTTTAACACCGGACGAGGAACCTAGAGTATTTTCTCTCAAAAAGATGTTCTATCAACAGAGACTTGACAAAAAGAAGCAGGCTGAAATTGCAAGACGAAATCGTGAACGTTTTCAAAGCCCGAACCTATTTCCCCAGGTCCCCAAAGGTTTACCTTGACTTGAATATCCCGAGTAACCAATATTCTTACTTAGGTGGGAGAAGAATCCATTGGCCGGGTCGGTGTAGATCTATTTAGATTCCACGTGACTGTGATGAGCCTCAAACTCACAAGCGATGTCATGGATTGAGGACACTACTTACCAAGACAATTCATTCTTTCATTCACGAGCCAGCGGGAGAGTTTAGGGAGCACGTTATTGTGCCACATTTCCCACAATCACACCTTTTCCTCGCGCAACTTTTACGCATTCTAGATATGTCGGCCGACGGATGTAACACATAAGTTTTATGGAGTTGGTTGGACTGGCATAGTCAAATTCGGACACGTCATATAGTTTTACTGCTAAGGAGAGTTGCAGTATCATATGTTCACGAGGTATTTATGCTGACTGCATGATGATCAACCCGTTAAAAATTTGGTCAATATGGTCAATGCATGAGTTAGCGTTTAGCATTGATGGGTTGGTGTTCACCAGGGCGATCACACTCTCCTTGTACTTTTATCCTGGGAATAAAACGTCATCGATCTACTCCTCACGGCAGTCACCAGGCTGAACCGAACGGTATCATCCTTGCCAGGCAGCCGAGTGAAAGGGTGGTATTCATCCGGCAATTGCCTCGTACAAAACGCCGTAGAGGTACATGCTTACTTGTGTTGAATAAGGCAACCTGATTATTTCAAGCGAACAAGTTATCATCCTAAGCTCCTTTGCTCCCTGTAATATTTGACTATTCTGTTTGAAATTTTGATTTTAGTGCTTATTTTCAGCCTTCAAATTCCTAAGAGAAGCCACTGATTCCGACTTCGGTATACTCTTTTCGGTCCTCACCAGCTGCTCACTTGGTCGTCAGCTTCGCTCCTTTTTTTCCAAAAGAGCATCTAGCCCTACTTGAAATATTGCCTTGCTGGGCCGATCCGTCTCGTTAGTCACAAGGCTTTTAAGATGGCATTTGATTACAATTGAATCCTTACAATATCTCGTACTCAGCGATTACAACCTAGTATTGAGACGGGTTGAATGAAGCAATTACATCCTCTTACCCCGCAGATATATCCCTGAGCTTTCGTCAGCAAGCTATGTCTTTATTGGCTAGATGCAACGATGTCTTGCAGAGTAAGTCCACACACATTTCCTTTTTTGTTGATCATTGTACGTACATTCTATGTACGTATGCTCTCGGTGAAACGCTCATCTCCGGAAGTCAACTGAGAAGGGAGTGCCTTCCGTATATCTATCACTTTTTCACGGCTCACTTGCATGCATGTGAGCTCCAACTCTCATGCTCGCCTCCTTTCTTCCATCCTTCCTTGCTGAGGTACAAGATCTTACATTGGCACTATACTTTATGTGCACTACACTCTTCCTGCGGAGCCTTTCTCACCCAGGCTGACTCATTCACAAAATCGGTCCATCTTCTCTATCCTGTCCATTTTCTTTATCCTGTCCATCCTCTCTATCCTGTCCATCTTCTTTATCCTGTCCATCGCAAGTTCTTACCTCATCCGCACAAACTAGCAGACTCCTTCCTCTACTACATCATATCTGCCTTGTTCATGCGGAATGTAAGCATACACGGACCCGACTATTTGGTTGGACGGTAGAACATTACATATATGTGATGAGTGGAGCCAACAATCCTACGCCGTTACGTTGTATATTTTTTTCTTGTTATTTTTTACGACAAGTGGAGTGATTTGATGAGTAGACAGCATGAGTGGCGTACTGACCCAGTGAGTTCGTATGAGTGGATCCATTAGAGGATAGAGGAGGGCAGTTACATTGTATAATGTACTCCATTCTCATTTATAATATGGCTATCTAATGTTCCAATATGGCATGATATCATGTATTATGGCATGTGCTATGTATGGCTAGTCTGAAAGGTTGCACCGTAAATTTAATGTATCTACACAATATACCGATACACCTTGTCCAAACAAACTCATCGCACATATCTTGGCTCGTACATATCAGACAAAAATATCAAAGTAAACAAAACATATAGGAGAGTCTAGATAACCGATCGTGCAAGTATACGGATCGTTCTAATACGTAATCCAAATTTAAGGTATAAGACACACATACGCCGCAATCCTTCGGCCCAAAATCCAAACAAACGGTCTACCGCTCCACCCGCTTCAATCATGCGTCGCACAAGCAATGCCAGGCAATTCGATCCAATCCCATCATGCGTCGGCCGTGCCGCAAATACTACGCTGACGCTGTTTGACGGTTGACTTTCCGGTTCATCGTGGCCATCTAATTTGTCTACTCTTTCTTATTTCCGGATTTTATATGTTGAGAATCTATGTTTCTTCACCTGGTGTGTGCATGCATAGGTATTTTGTGTGGTGTGCTACATAATTTATCTCATCAAAGGTGTATCTTAGTCCTTACAAACACAATTGAATGAGCCTTAGCCGTGCATCCCGTAAGTCTTACTACTGTATTATAGCGCACCGTGATGAAAACCATACATGCATCCGTGCATCCTTCCCCAGCCCCAACAGCAACAAACAACCCTTCTCAGCTCATCCCGGAGACTCACAAACTTCCCTTCTCCCTCGCTATCGTACTTCCTCCTTCTTTCATCCCAGGAGGTAGTCTAATACCCCTCGCACCGATGCTTCCCCCTTCAACTCTTTTCCTAATCGTAACCTCATCACATCTTCCCTTTAACAAACTAAAAGCGGGACAGACCCATACCCCGCAACTACATCGCATCCCCTGCCACGCATATTTCCCTATCTGGGCTTTGCATTTTTGATTCGGACACTCCAGTCTTCCGGATAAGTTTCCTAGTTCGAGTTCCGGACGCATCCAGGATAGAGGGTGTAGGAAGTGATGAGTGCAAGAGCTGTGATGAGGAGTGGGAGGAAGGGAGGAGATGGGTGTTGTTTGGGGATTTATGAAGGAGGTAGGAGAGGATGCTGCTCTGAGGTTGGGGGTGTGAAGGATCAGGTAGGGGGTTGTGGCGAGAGTGCGACTTTTGGGGCTGTTAGCTTGATTTTTATATCGGGATGCTCTTTATTGATAGAGAGCATGTGTAGTGATGAAGGGAAAGAAGCCAAGAAAAGAGATAAAAGAGAGCTTACCGACACATCCTACACCTGATCTCCTTTTCCTTGCCGTCTGGCTTCGGTCCATCCTGCTCTACTTCATCTTCAAACCTTACCCAATCAGGTCGTCCTCCTGTAGCAACAGCTAACTCGACTTCTCTCTGATACAGCCATCGTTGATACTTAGGTTGTTCATCTATGTTTCGTGGACAGCCCATTTCATGATATAATTGAAGCTGGGCCATAAATCCATCATTCGGCTCGGCGAAAGGGCGCGTTTGTTGGATCTGGGCGAGCGCTATGGCGGGAGTGACAGAAGGATATTGGCGCAAAAGGTAGGCAATTAAAATAGTTACAGACCGGGAGCGTCCCATGGCACTGAAAATATTAATGTCTTGGAGTAGATAATTGGAAGATAGGAGTGATGAATCAATAGAAGATAGGCGTTGTCACTCGACATCTCTTTATTTAATCTCATAAAAGGAACTGTCATGTCGAGTAGAATGATACTCGTGAAATTCTCTTCGTATGTAGCTTCTATCAATCAACAAGACGAACAATCACCACTTACCAATGAACAAGTACGGCACCTTTCTTTTTCTCCCCCTCTTCTCCTTCACCCTCTCCATTACCCTTCAAGGCCTCTTCAATCCAAGCTCCCGTTGCCTCAAACTCAGCCAGCAAGTTCTCATCCTCGACATCATCAACCTCAATCTGAAGATGTTTGTACTTATTCCAGTTGATATTGAAGTTCTTGAAATCATATTTCAGAACACTCACAATATGTGTGATATTGTTCTTTTGGAGAGAGTTTTCCGTTAATGAGACAATGCTGCTTTATGTTAGACCATGTCTATTTCTCATTAAAAGATACAAGCATATAAGACCACCAGACGGAAATAATGCAACGGGCGTGAGCCCAAGGCAAAGAAAACAAATGGTGTCACGTGCGTGGGCAGTACAGCACATACCCTCCAACATACAACTCATCCTCCCCCGGTACTCTAGATGGCTCCGTATTCATCCTAAGATTTTCTCTCAAATCTCTTACTCTCCGTATCTGCTCCTGCAGCTCTTCGTTCTCCAAATCTGGTGGACCCGCAGCTGCTGATGATGACACCGCCACCTTGATCAAACACAACTCTCTAGAACTAGCCAAACAATCAATCTCAAATACTCGGTTATATCTAGAAATAACTTGTTAAAAAGGGGAAGCGTGTCCAATGAGAATCAGGTGATGAAATATTCTTGGTATGCAGCGTTAAGGGTTTCCTTTTCTTCAAGCTTGCATCTTCATCCACGAAATTGCAAATTGTTCTTTACTTCTTTCAACCCCGCCTTATCGGTTAAATATCGGCTGCCGAAAGTCCCGAGCCAGTTATCATTTGTGCCTGAGGCAAACGTAGAGATCAGCCCCTAAGGAACTCCTACTCCGTCTACCAAATATGCTTTGCTTTGCACGCAGAAGCATATCTATTATTCTCTCACGACATGCTGTGATCATTTGTGTCCTCGGCAGTCAATTATAGAGCGGCAGACGTTACATATTTGTTCGAGTATCATTTGCGCGCATGCAGCGGTAGTGTTACTAGTTCGTCCCTTTGTGTGAAGATAGCGGGTAGTCAGGAGACAAAAGATAGATTCGATATCAGGGTAGATTTAATAAATACTAGGGTGCACCATTCATGATGATTAATCTTTTTCTGACATGAATGTAATCGATCCATCAATAATAATTCAGACCTCCTACAGAACATTGCGTCGGGAATAAGGAGCACGACTAGGAGAATACCATCGGGCCGAGTCCGGGTTAGGAGATGGCATGATTTTCTGTTTGCTCATGGCCGTGGAGACCCAATGAGATGAGATGAGCAATGAATGAGGTGGAATGAGGTGCAGGACCACCAGACCCAGGTGGACAAGATGAAGATTGACTTTTCAAGGGGAACTGGGGAAGGATTTCGGGTATTATTAGGTTGTGTCTCTGGATATTGTATGCATGTACTACGGAGTAGGTCGATGTAATTAATTATAAGAATTATAAGATCTTACATTGTAAGGCTGTTGTGGAAAATCGTGATGAGACTCGTCACAGCGTCCAAGCTTGTACGTGTACTTGTAATCCATGTTGGGCGGTCGAATGGTGATATTCGGCCGAAATTGACAGATTCCGACACTTTCACTAGATGATTAATGATATAAGGAGACGATGTGCTATGTATAGGGTCATTAGATGATCAATGATAGGATGCGACGCCGCGCAATGTAGAGCCACGCCAGTAAGTAGCCAGCAAAGGTACTCTATGTTTCGAGGGTTAAGATTGTCTTAGGCTTCGTTATCCACCCGAAAACGCAGACATCTCAACATAAGACATCACATCCTCATGAGTAAGTGGAAGATTAAAAGATTAGAAGATATCCTGTTCCGTTCAAAGCTCCCGACTCAAGGATCATCCAATTCACCAAACACCAACTTAATATCAAACAAACCCTGTTCGTACACTTAACCTTACCGAAAGCCCTACCCGAGATATTATCATCCCCAACGTAAGACATAAGCTCTAAGGCTGACCAGCCCAACAACAACAACATTATATCGCATGTAGCTAAGAAAACTCACACCAGCGTGCGCATAACGCCATCAAAAATCGTATTAAACAGAAAACTCGTGTGTCTATATGGCATATGGCATATGGCATATGGCCATCCAGGCCACCCACGCAAACGCAAACCCCCAACCTTTTTTGATTCCGCTACCGATGAACGGAAGATTGGCGATGCTCGTCCCAAAAGCGGAAAAGTGTCGTGATACAGCACCTCGTGTTTCGCTTGGACATCCCGCGTGCATGCAACAGTGCAGAGATTCAGCCTTCTTTTTTCGCCCTACGGGGCACAGTTGTTGAGCTTGGTGCTGTGCTACGGCCGCTAGAGGCGGGCAGGCGTTCATAGGGGTGGCCAAGGAAAAAAAAGAAACGGAAATTTTGTTACATGAGGATGTGTTTGTGTAACAGTCCTAGGTACGAAATTGTCTATCCAGCTTTTCCCAACAACGCCCCCGATTAGACATCTCCTGCTTTGATCATTTTCCCCACCAACTAATTCATTTACACCAAATCAAATGCCCCGTGAGCAAGAGCCCAGACGTTCCTGCGCCTGTAAGCGGGTGTTGTTGGATGGATGCTCTTTACCAGATCCGGAACAAAAGGGCTGAAAATTAATATTAGAAGTTTCGGCAGATGGTGTGAACTGGAACCGATGTTGTAACCAGCCGCTGATGACATTGGCGTTGGGGCTAGATTACGTGCTAAGGTTGGCTATAATATGGTTCCATATGATGCACGATTGCCGGAAATGGGAAATGGGATATCGGATTCGTTTGGTACTCGGTCTTTGACGCTTGATTGATTGAACTTTGATGCAAGAAATAAAAAAGCCTAAATCTTTTTGAATCCGGACTATATCTATCTTTTCATTTTCAGCTAAACGCCAAGCCATCTGGATCTTTCCATTCAATCAATTCGAGTCCTAGGGAGTCTGTAGCCTTGTCCTGCTGGAAATGTCGGCTTGGGGCACAATCTAGTCCTCATGGATGCTTATTATATTGGTTCTTCTGAGATGAGATTTTACTTGTACCTCCTCTCGATACCCAGTTCATGTATCTGATTGGTACAGCGGTGGTTTTCGCCTCAATACCGGTGTGTGGAGATGCGTATACTAATCGATATCAATCAGATAACATTCAGCTGTAGTTGTGATCAAATACTGACTAAGTTGGATTTGACTGAAGCCTTGAAGGATGGAATGTCAGATGTTATTCGTCCCCGCAATATGTGAGCCCGTATCCTTCGAGCATTGAGATGAGATGGAGGCTGACACGCTGCGAACTTGTTGTGGCCCATCCACTCGCATTCACCCAAATTAAACTAACAGATCTAGATTCCCGCCCACCTATCTTATCACCATCTCCAGTCATCCACCCTCCATTTTTACTGCCACTCACGCGACGCTGATCTTGATACACACACACATCCCATCTTCATCGTGTCATTCATTGTGTCATCGTCCGCATTTCCGCCTCCGAACAAACAAACGGTTCAGGTTCAGGTTCAGGTTCAGGTCGCCGACTTCGAGGAAAGTCCTTGTATTCGATCATCAATAACCTCAATCTAGCTTATGTGAACAAGGTCCGAAAAACATGCACAGTGCGACTCAATAACCTAGTGCCCAGAACGTGGCGATGGATGGGATGTGATCGCGCACAGTATCACTAATCGTCAGGGTTGTTTCTTTTCGCCCACATTTATCGAGCCTCGGGGCTATTAAAAATAAGCCTTGTAAGGCTAGGAATTGCTCCGAAAAACCTACTGAATTAGGAAAAACCCCCGCTGAATATATGACACCGGCTTTTGAACTTTCTCCATGATGGTAATGAGATTAAGCTAGGGTTGCGCATTTAGCATTATATAATTCATAATGTAAAGCAGAATTTTAGCATTATATAATAATCTAGTTCGCATTATATAACGCTAATATGGTGGGGTAAATTTGAGGATATATTGAATCAATTGACCTCGTCGTCGTCGATTTCTAATTTTTGATGATTTTGTCTTTGATGATTAATAAGCATTCTGATTAATCATCATAGCAAGGGTGCAGTGATCACGTGCGTAATGTAAAGCATAATCTAGTAAAAAGCCTTACATTATGCTCTATTGTAATCTAGTTCTGCTTTACGTAAAGTGCCCAACCCTAGATTAAGCAAGTGAAGGGCACGAGAGTGGGGTCGACGGGATGTTTTGGGAGTTCGGGGTTGATGTTGATGTTGATGCTTCCAGACTGTTTAAGTGAATTCGATGATTGCTTTTGCAAGGCAGTGCATGCATATTACTATTCTTCAAGGAGCGACTGGGAGGACTGACAGGACTCAAATTAGCAGGAAAACTAGAGATGCCTACTCTAAAAGCACACATGGCAACTATCTCTCACAATCGCCTTCGCTCACCTCCTCCTTTCAAACTCCTTCATCGGCATCCTCTCCCCGTCAAAATCCAAACAGGATCACGATGTTGCCTTCCATCACCCCCCAAGGTAAACAGGATTACACTATAGGAAAGTGGATTATTAACGATTACTCCGTACTCGACCGTGACATAAGTTATCATTGGGGATTCAATCCCTTCCAAGACTACATCCACCTCGACGGATATGGTGGAAAATTGAAATCTAGATGTGGTGCTGTGCCGCCAACGAGCTTACTGCACCTAATCTTATTCTTGCCTTTGATTACCTATTGTATTGTGTTATTCCATCTCGTATTTATGAATTTATTATATCTGTTCGATTTTTCCATGAAAAATTACCAAAATACTTAATAGCCGATTACATGGAATTCTCAACCACCATCACGGCTTCCCATCAATCCCGATTCCCACCTCTTTCTACACTACTGAAAAATACCTAGGTACCTCGGCCCCTGTGCTCACTAGTCCAACCTAAATCCCTCAGCCCTGACTAATCCAGTCTAGATCATTATCAAAGCGTGCTTCTCTGTTGAACTTGCAGGGCCGCGCTGGATACAGTAAATTTAGAAGTACACAAATACCAGGTAAAAATGCTAGATAAAAGTGCCGGAAAATGATGAAAAATCAAAGTAACTCTGTGTAGCTAAGATATTCAGAAAATTATATCATAGGGCATATAATCAGCTGTACAGGGTAGTTACCAGTGCTTGGTACTCACTATCATCCTCCTATGGCACTGCTCGCACTGCTGTAATAGTATGGTAAACATATCATTACCGTTAGCACTGTCTCCTCAAGCTCCACAAACATACCGCTCACTCTAAAATCCAATCTACCGTCTCCATCTTTCTCATTCCTCTCAAAGAAACGCGGACGTCCTCATGAGATGTAAACCATCCATCGAGTCGCACCCACGCACCAGTAAAAACCTTTCAACAGCCATGGAGTCGGGACTGACACTACTGCAACCGAGGAGGGTTTCAATCCCACCCACAGCACTACTGTACGCTCGAGCAGTCCTGGACAGCAGTGGTTGGCATTATCCCAGAACCATGAATTTGTGCATGGTTCAGTGAAGGGGGCTTAGCAGAAGAAGAGTGGAGATAGGTGGGGCTGATATCAATGACGTTTGTGGACTTGCAATGGCTCTGTGGTGGTGAGTACAATGAGAGACATTAGACATTAGACATTCGAGTTTCTGTAGAAAGTTGAAATAGGCATGTTGCCCTGTGTTTAATACAATGTGGTCGATTGAGCAAGCCTCTGCCACTAATCCAATAATATATCAGTATAATGCCTTTACCTTGGCGTATAATTTACGTGAAAGTTGAAGGTATCTCGAGTTTCTGTGTATGCAGGATGTAGGGACTGACATGGTACTGAATCCTATGGTCCTAATGGAGAGAAGTACGTGCATGTCATGTAATACCAGCAAGAGACGACAGCAAGAAGACCAGCTCCAAGGTTGATGTGCTCGGATCAACTACATGTGTACACGGAGGGTAAGTCAAAAGAGTAGAATAGCCGGAATCACTTCGCCTTGAAAAGGCAGATGGAGATCGTGTTTTACATCCATCCCATGCCGCCGCCTTACCTTCCTTACATTTACCTTAGCCTACACTGTGAGCTTATTCATTGCCAATTCCTATGCATGTCTTCACTCGGACATACTTGAAATATGCAAGCAAGCAAGTTTTGCTTCCCGAGTCCGTATCTTTGCATTTTTCGTGTGTTGCCCTCCCACATATTTCCTAGTCTTTTGTAAATCTCCTTCCAATAAAAACATCGAGTCAAAAACACCGAGGGCTCTTAATATAGGTGCAATAAATGATTCGCAAGCGTGAGAAGGGAATGAAGATTCTGACGTTGTATTGCGTTACCGTAATGGAGGCGCACGAAATCGTTGGTGTCGAGTGGGGTATGAATAGAATGGATGAATGGATGGATGGACGCCCGTCGCTCGCTGCAGAAATCTCAATGTAACATAAGTAGGGTGCTGGGTCAACCAACATGGGATCACGGCGTGCTGCATATACTGGGATCTTGGGACTGGTTTGCCTCGATATTGCCTTGTTGTGGTTTTACCCGGTCTCTCATAAGATTAGCAGAGAGTCGAGGGACTTACCAATGTTTGAATATTTTGATGTACATGTACGGAGTAGAAGGGTGATGTGAGATACCTTTGGATTGGACAAACAGTTGCAGATGATGCAGCCAGACCGTTTCACATGCATTTGGCTCAAGAGGCGGGGTAATAAAGTTGCACTCGAGGATAGTTGTCTTCTATTTGATATGAATGAACAAGAGACCACGCATACCCTTAAAGTATTGTGGATACCGAAGAGAGGTAAAGCTCAAGACCGGCAGCCGAATATTGTGTTCTCAAAATGCCAGTGATTTAGGGAAATTTTAAGTTCATCATGGTGATGTAAACACAATGTACCTGCAGACCGTTATGTATAGAGTACCGCACGACCTGAGTCCCACCAGACAGCTCACAATGATCAACATACTTTAAGCAGAGAAATACTTCAATTGCTTTGAATTATGAGATAAAAGCAACAAGACGTAGCATCTGATTCACTGGGAAAATACGATGCTCTCTTTCATAATCTGGAAAAGATAAATGTAATCATAAGTCGGAGAGAAAGGTGGTAATGTTGTACGGCCTGTATCTCCGTTTCGAAGATTAACACGAGTCTTGTGAATGTGGAGTAGTGCTAGCATGTACTAGACTAACCAATCATGCCAATCATGACCTTTGCCCTATCCGCAAGACACGACATCGCAGTTGGTTTCAGTTTATTCAAGCAGGGCTTATGGTGTAAAATCCCCGAAGTGTGTATAGGCCGAGATGACATATCAATACGAACAACAACACCAACGACCACCAACATAGTGCGGAGTAAAAAATGATGCCGAGATATCAGATGCTCAGCGTAAAATATGATAAGTGCACTGCTTTTTAACTTAGCAGTGGCTGTGCTTAAGATCTCCGGATCTTCATCCTACATCGAAATAACTCAAGACAGGGTGCCAGCGTCAATCTGTGATGATTCAAAGGTTGATCTGGTCTTAAGGCGAATTAGTCCGGCAAGGAAGGTTTGAATTTGTATGGAACACCAGATGGAGGATAAGAAGAATGAATGAAATTTCTTCCAGACTTGGAGTTGGTTGTATTGGCTATGAGATTTTAGCAGTTTGCAGTAGTAAGTTGCAGGAAGTAAACTCTCCAAAAGGCTGCACAACTTTCCAGTATTAACCTTGTACTAGGAAGTCCCCAATGGATGCAAAGGTATATTCGTACTTGGTACAACAGTAGGAAAACATTGCTGTCCATTTAGATCTCTTTCAGGAAGTCTAGCATGAACAACAAAGTGACTTTCGCCGTAAGAAGTCAGAAATGAGTGGTTAACATTTGTTAAGTTGTCTCAGATGAACTCATTCAAGGATCCGACTTATTGATGCATCAAAATCCTTGAATTTGCATTAGCTACATACTACACTTTACCGCAAACCGTTAATATTCAATAACCGTTGTTCAATGGAGAATCGTGTATATTCGTTTCATTTCATCATCATAGTCCAGTATCCGATATTCCACGGAATAATCTAACAATCAACTCCTTTCCTCAATACTCGCTACCGATAAAATTTTTGAATAGAATCTAAATTAGAATGAATACTTCTCTCAATATATAAAACTGGTATATTTTTAAAAATAATAAAAATAAAAGGTGTGTGGTTGCACAATCCAAAATCATTGCTCTTTGGGGTTACCTGAGGAGAACTTGTAAGGCTGAAAAGGTAGTGTGGAGCAAGAGATTTGTATCTACTATCGGCCAATGAAGAAAATTGAGAAAAATGTCAGAGCTAAGCTCAGATCAGACGATGTAGTGTAGCTAAAAGGGGTAGTAGTCATGTTCACGGCTATGGTGATAAAATTCTCCATTTTCGACTAATTAAGTAAAAGGTCCAGATGCTTCTCAATTACTTTACCAAGTTCACTTGTACGAATACGTATAGTCCTATGAAGCTTAAAACTATACCAATTGGCCATAGCAAGTGTCAAAAATGTCAATCAGGGTTCAATAGACGACTATCAGACTCGAGCATTTAGACTTTTTGCACTTGTCATCATTGAATATATCATCAATTCGCCCGCCTTTTGCCCTACCACTCCCCTGTGACCCTTTTTAGCAATGCAACCATACATGGGCACAGTATCTATCTATCTATCTATCTGACAAGCTTGCAGGGTAATCAATCATTTACATCCTGGATTGTGAATTGCGCACATCACTGATTCACAGCGGGTAGCCTAAGGATGAGCCCATTCGACGTCAAGGAGACTCAACAAAGTCTTGAGACTCAATCATAAACCTAGTTCTTTAGACCAGCGGCATTACTGCATAGAATGTTGCATGAAACGGAGAACATAAATATTGTATATATTGTATATTTCAGACGAATAGCATCAAAATAGACAGATTGAAATTATAGAATCAATACCGCTACATGTCCCGCAGTGTATATCTTTAATATCTTACTTGGGGTGAGCTAATTCTGACTGACTGACAATTGCCTTTCTTCTTGCTTTCTCCCTTCCCTTCCTTCCAAAATCAACATCCTCTTCTTCTCTTTTGTTCAACTGCCGTCGCCTGCCTTTCATCGTGTTCTTGTACCCACTTTCACGCGGTGCTCCCTTGTACAAAGATCCGGAAATCAGACCTAATTCGCAAGTGTCGTTGCCAAATATAATATAAAAAAGTTCAGAACATCTAAAATAGAATCAAAAGTCATCATCATCATCATCATCATCATCAATTGCCCGTCACAGCTTCGCCAGATTGGATCAACTAAAATTATTTCCTATCTCGGGTTGGGTACTCCAGAAACTCCTGTTAGTGGATACTTTTACTTCTCTCTTAAGGAAAAAGAAGAAAAACCCTACCATACTACCGTGCGCCGGGAATTGAGACAAACAGCCTTTCCGTTGTCTTGGCTTTGACAATTTTTATTTTTTTTAAATCTTCTTGGTTGATCAGTTGTTCGAGAAGGTAAGAAAGGCGAAAACATCCGAATATCCACATCAACCGACGTATGATGACCCTAGCGAAGTAGGGTATACTTTCTCTAATCTCTAACGTAGGACTGACTACCGAATACCCAGTCAGTCAGTCAGTCAGTCATTCAGTCACTCAATCTCAGTCTCAGTCTGAGTCTGAGTCTGAGTCTGAGTCTGAGTCTCAGTCACAATCACTCAGTCCCTTAGTCATAAGAACGGACCTGCAACTCGAATACCTACTTACCTACTTACCTACTTACGTACTTACCTACCAACCTACCAATTGGCTCTTAATCTGTCTACTCGAGCACTACCTGCTCTAATGCAAAATGTAAAAGGAATAAAGGCTGAACCCTACCAGTTTTTTACGGTCCTCACCTCGCTAGTAACAAAGCTTGGGTATGGGTATGGATACGGATATGGATATCGTAAGATCTTACCATCTTCATCTACACTGTGCAGTATCCGGTATCCAGTATCTCATCTATCTGTCCATCTACAATCAAATCAATATCCCGTCGCCTATCCATCTCATCCTCTTTGGGTTCTCCCCTGTTTCCGAATTCCCCACCTCGCACTTATCCCTCTAATAATAAAAGTCCCACATTGTCCCTCAGTGAACCCGTAACCAAGGTCCAATACATCCTGTCCTTACATCCTGTTCAACCCATAAGGAGGATATCTGGGTACTTGGAATCCGCCTATCGACTCTAATTGTGGTTGGGCTTCCTCCGCTCCCACCCGTCAGTTTTTCCACTCTCCGAATGAATACCCAGTATCCCCCAGCCCTATTGTTTGTCATTTCTATGCTTAAGGCTTATGGGCGCATGAGCCGATTGAATAATTGCATTCAGTGTACGACGATAAGATTTAGATGTATGTATGTGTGTGTGTATTTATGTATGTATATATAGAGTATGTATATTGATGACATATTTACTATCACGAATTACCTTGCTATCTATCACTGCTTTGTCTACCCTACATAGCGTGAACGTCTCTACCTCTGTCTCGTACTGCATTCATATTGTATCCTTTCTTGTCGTCTATCGTCTGTCGTCCATCGTCCATCGTCCATCGTCCATCGTCCCATCGTCCCATCGTCCACCAGATACCAGATACCAGATATGAACTTACTTTTCTGACTATATTAGTTTGAAACTCAGTTTCTTGATTCATTTTAGCTTTTTGGTCGTTAGTACCTCTACTACCTACCTTACTACTCCGTCCACTACTACTACTTACTATTCAGCCCTTCCGCTAAAAATTGGCCTAAACATACCCATACCCATACCGATCGATACCCATACCCACCCATACCCATACACCTCCGTACTTATATTATTCCTTCCTTCATAACCACAGACGTTCGCCCCGTCATCTCATTTTATGAAGGGTTCGCAAAACAACGTCAACTTCGCGGACTCTTCGCCCTTACCTCCCAACTTGATTTTGCCCTATAGAAAAATAATCTCATCATTGGAGTGCGGATGTAATGGCCCAGAACTAGTCTTCTTTTTTTCTGTAACTAATATACTTTTCTTTCGATATACATGTTCCGATTTCCTTTCTTCTCCACTCTCGACTTTTCCCTCCCAAGCAAAACGGCACGTCCGACTTGGCCACCTCTAGACGAAGAGGAGGTCAGCTCATGTTGTTAGGAGGGTTATTTTTTACATCCACTTAATTTTCCATAGCCTGTGGCCAACCTACACAATGGATATTCCTATGCGAGGCCAAATGCCTGGCTTCAAGACACCCTTACCAGAAATCTGCGTACAAGACTCTCATCACCCCGATCGATACCCCGATAGATACTCAGATGAACATAGATACCATTCGACCACATCTTCAGCAGCTGCTCCTGGCCCAATGTCTATACCCAATGCTAGAGAGGCCCCTCCTCCTCCTTTACCACCACCGAGATACATTCCAGACATTGCAGATAATGGGAGAGGAGATCTTGGGTGGCAGTGGGCGAACCAGCACCGGGACGTCAATTGGGAAGGGCGGTTATCAGCTGTAGCCGCTGGATCAAGTTTGTACGGGAGCTATAGTCGCAAGAGCATTTCAGATGAGCGACCAGATATTGCACGCCGAGGGAGCTCAAACGCCACTATTACCGCACACACATCGAAAGACGCGAGCAACCATTTGAATACGTTGCCGAAAGATGAGGGATATTCAAGTCTTTCTGCTTCCAATGCAAGCATTGGCTCGACACAGTGAGTGCTATTATTTTTATCTTTGGCGGGAGCATCCGGTACCGGTCGTGTCGCGGACAGCATCGCCAATCTGCTTGCCAGCCCTTCCTTTACCAATGATAATGAGGCCGTTCTTTTGTATTTTTGGACTAATCTTTCCTCTCGCAGATCGAAAAAATCAATTGGCTTTCAAAGTTCGGTCCACGATGCATTTCAAACTAGTGCTCAAGCATACGACCAATCATTGTTACAGAAGTTAGGCGGTAGAGGAGATAATTTTACACCATCAAGACCTTTCGCAAAGTCTACGTTTAGCTCATCTGTAAACGATGCATCGCCAACGTCTCGAATAGCGCGGGAACATGGACATCCCGCTCTCAAGCCACTGTCTCTGCCAATCCATACACACAAACCAGCGCTGGCTGAGAGTCCGATAAATCGTTGGGCAGATTCGCCTTTGTCATCCGGCGTTTCACCTGGCAATCCATATGCCAGACTTGGTGGCTTGAATCCGTTTGATTATAGATCGCCAACCGATATCATAGACAACGAAAGATCATCACTACCTTACCCCAGGAGATCAGGAAGCATAGCAGATGATGCATCGAGTATTGCTAGCCAATCTAGGGATAGCTTCCACATGCCTTCTCCAGAGTACGAAGAAGGTTTTCATATGGAAGAAACGGGTTTGAGACGATTACAGATAGGAGAAGAATATCACGGCCGGAGCGAAGGATACTCTCCCAGTTCTGCTACAGCCGGGCAAAAACGACGCGCATCTTCCCCTCCCAGGGATGATGGCCTGCATCTGCGCACGGTGGGTAGTGCAAGTGATCTTGCTCGACGTCGTGAGTCTGGCTCGCGTTCAACACCGAGCCCACGCTTTCATTCGACTTCTACATCTATCTCATCTAGTGCTTCTCTACCCAGAAACTCATTCTCATCTACATTATCAGTGGCTGCGAGTAGCGCAACCAGCATGGGTTCATACGTTAGGCTGTCTCATGGAAGTCTCCCACCCGCGCCCATGGATATCAACCCCGATATGTCATATAACGGTTCGATGTCGCTGAACCCCAGCCCAAGGGGATCGATTTCAGCTAGAACTACCCACCACCGAGCTTTATCTGAGAGCCGGCCTCTAACCCATGCACGAAAAATGCCAGAGGTCTTAGGGCACGTGAAACACAACAGTGCTCCTACCAGACAAGGCGGTTTTATTTGTGCATGCTGCCCCAAAAAGCCCAAGAAATTTGACACCCAAGAAGAACTCAAGTCAGTGCTCTTAAACCTAATAATTTGTTTATGCTAACCACAGATCAGCGCGCATGAACAAGAAAAGCAATACGAATGCCTATACTGCCCAAATCGTTTCAAGAACAAGAACGAGGCCGAAAGGCATCAAAATTCTTTACATCTTCGCCGTCACTCCTGGTCGTGCGCTGCGCTGCTAGATTGGGCGCATGCTTTCCATCCTTCTCCTTCGCGCCCCAATGATGCGGACACTTGTGGGTACTGTGGTGAAGATTTTCTAAGGAGTGGTTTCACGAACCATGAAGGATCGCCAGTTCCTGCGGCGACAGGCGAGGATTGGGAAATTAGGGGTGCCCATCTGCAGGATATGCACAAGTTTGGAGAATGTAACCATGCAAAGAAGTTTTTCCGCGCAGATCATTTTCGTCAGCATTTGAAGCATAGTCATGCTGGGACAAGTGGAAAATGGACGAACATGCTTGAGAACGCTTGTATGATAGACGAGCCACCTCCAGAGCCACTTCGGGGACCCGAAAGAGTCAGTCCTGGTGGAGTAAGAGTAGGCCGAATCAACGAAGAAGACGAAATACTATAAAATTAAAGGGCCTTCAAAATTATGGCTAGTTTGAGTCACCCTGAGATGCCGCATAAACACAATTCCTGCGGGCTATTAACAACAAAGTTCATATATGGATTTCTGGTGACATAATATCCGATCTGCGGAAACAAATCATGAATTGAAAAGGAAATCTAGGGTTTCATCTGCATCAGGAGTTGACTTTGGAGCATTGCTTGGACTACACTGCATATTCTTTTCTTACACGACAGGAGTACTCCTATATCTGCATCAATCTGGCGTTTGTGATATTTAAACCTCTTTTTTACATTCAGGAGTTAAGTGTTAACTCTCTATAATCAGCAAACATTCAAGAAACAGACGTGTCAAACCTAATTCTGTTGTTTTACGGGCACGTGACTCGGGAACGGATGGGAATATGGGCGGGAAGAACAAGCGAGATTATGGTGTTGTCTTGGGCTTTATCACCAACGTCATCCACCGTAAAAATGCTTATACGTTGGGCTCTGCTATTTTTGGAAAGATGCATGGCTCAGAAGCGGGAGAAACGTAGGGAATGAGCAAAATAGATTATTCGTCCAAGAGTTTGGATGCGGTTGTATGTATAGCATACCACGAAAGCAAAGACGCGTCTAACGCCACCGACGTAAGGAATAAAAGTTTACAACCTTGGATGTTTGATTTCCCCATTTTTTAGGCTGTTAAATTTTGCATATGATATTAGGTTTACAGTGTTGGGATGAGAGACAACGGAACGGCACTTGCTCTTGAAATTTGTTCCAAGAATTTTTCTGCCGACTCCTGGCATCTCATCAATGATGGGCGAAGCACACACCCCGGGTAGACCTTGGAGAATACTAGCTACGAGGCAAAGCGATAATAAACTACCGAAAACTCCCCCATCGTCGAAGGTGGAAAAGGGCTTGAGTCAAGATGCACATGTGGTTATGATGGAAGCTGAAAATTGATATAAAGAGGAAAGGGCTGAGGAAAACGGACAAAGAGAGGTGATTTTAAGTGTGCTATCATGTTCTCTTTCGAACATCTTCAAGGGAAGGAAAACAGGACGGGTAATAGTATGTATGGGTAGTGAAAGCTTTGGTCATTTGCACGGGGCAAAAGTTATCTCACGTTGTTATGTGACTAAGGAGTTCCTCACTTTCCATTCTAGCTGAAAATAAGACTTTTTGGACAAGATGTCAAAGCTAGAAAAGTATTGGGATGTCACTCTAGTTTCACCTGATGACATACACGACGTGATAATGGAAGCTATATCAATTAATCGTTTTGGTTGGATGATCGCTGGGGGTTTTTTTCATCCTCGCCACTAGTAAAATGGCAGACTAGCCAAAGGCAGCTATCCAAAAGAGATCGTAGTTGAAGGCTGGTGTTGACACATGTTTCTGGACCAGATCGAGATAGCTCTGGACACATTGATGTATCATTGATTCATTGACTCATTGACAGATCCAGATCGAGGTCGCTAGCATTAGCGGTAGCGTCTTTTACAAGTGTGATCTACTAAAGACACTGTGACTGACATTAGTTCGGTGGATCGGAGATCCATGATTTGCAGTTGACGACATGACGCTCATGGGATAACACTAGCTAGGATTTGTCGTAGAATATAATGCCCTTATTTCATCAATGTTGGCAATACCTGTGCTAGAAAAGCGCTGGGCTTTGCTTATCGATGATTAAGTACAAATGCTCGGCGAATCCGTGTTCGAGCCGGTTGGCTAATGAGGCTAAGGCTTTAGAATATTTGAACGGTGCCTTAGAGAATGTTTTAATGCGGTTGCTAACATCCTTCCTGAGTCGCAGTTCGGTAAAAACAGTCTAGCGTGGTCGGTATATTTGTCTTTCGAAAGTTTAAATCATGATTAGCTTGGGCCTAATCCAGACGTTGTATGATCTAGATAATTCTATTACCGATTCTCCCTCCTAAACTAGCCATAGTTCAATTCACTAGCATGGTGATCCAGCCAACAGCTGTAAATCTGGCTGTACTTGTCTACTAGCGTGGTGATCGCTCCGGCAGCTCTCAGCTCTCACGTCTATAAATACATGGCTTCCCCTCGATGTCTTTCCATTTTTTCTTTTCTTCCTCAGTGCAATTGTGAGTTCAACCCACCATCCCCTGACCTCCCATTTCTGCTTCCAAGCACTTTGCTCCCTTCCTTGAGCCAAAGCTATCAGCCCTGAGTCGCTTTCTACTACCCTGATCTTCTCCTTCGGGGAATGAAATGACGTGTCGGGAACGCGATTTAGGACTGCTAGCTTTGGCTCAATGAAGGGAACAAGATGCCTTGGACAGCAGCAATGGGAGATCGAGGGGAGATGGGTTGAACTCACAATTGCCTCTAGGCCAAGGCCACCATTCCTCCACATTGTCGCCCCTGTCTTTGGACTCTGCCCTTCGGGGCGGGGAACGAAGAAGGCCGGAGCGGCAAGTGGATGGCTGGTGGCCTTGGCCTCTCTGGCCCAAGCCATCATTTCTCTCTTCGCCTGGTGTCTTTGGACTCCTCCCTTCGGGGGAACGAAGGAGACACCAGGCGGGGGAGGATGATGGCTTGGGCCAGAGTTGCGTTAGGTCAATTCCATCGTTCCCTGAGCAGATTAATCCTATTTACTAATCTCCCTTCTCTTTGGGAGCTCCGGTATGAGGCTGCGTTCGATCAATCTAAGGGAATTGGTGAAATTAGCCCGTGACCTTGGCCAAGTCCGTTGTTCTCTAACGTTCTCGACCATCTCCGTTCCGATAATTCCTTCTGGGGTTCAAGGGTGTGAGAGTCAAGAGGGTGGTTAAAAAATAGTGGGCTTCGCCTTAGTTGTGTAAGGTCGATTTTCTGTAACCATGTCTCAATCGCCTGGAAATGGCAGATGTTTGTTACACCTTCATTTGTCATTCGATAAAAAGCTACGATTTTCAAGGATTTCAATAAAGCTACATGAGCCACAATCCTAAAACTCTTATCCGACCTCCTACATTACGATCACAGTCCTTAAGTTTTTCTCTTTTCTGTCCAATCTCCCATTCTCGCCTCACTCCTCTTTCCTTTCATTTTCAACCTCCTAGTCGCTCCCTAAATATAGCCATGGCACTTGAATCTAAAAATACGTCATCTGCATCTTTAATGACATAGATGTTAGGAAGAACGAATATCAGTTTTGTTCGCGACATGTACCGGATAAGGCCCCGAGTTCAAATATTTCGCTTGTTTGAGAGAGGAGTTAGTTCCTTTGACTGTTGAGATTGGAAAAGGCTGGAAGTGGTTATTCTCAAGATATGGCGAATGAGCGAGAAATCAAAGCGAGCAAATCAGCAGGAATAACTAACCAATAGGCAATCCACAACCTCCAAGCAAGCATTCATGACAGCTAAATCTCTCCTTCTGTAGGAATACCTCGCAGCTTACGCAATTTGCCACCGCTGATATCGCAGTATTTCAAAACCACCCCAATGGCTCCAAGCTAGATTTAGCACCAGCATGTTCGGGAGTGTTTCGGGATGCGTATTCTTGTTTTTGAAAATCAATAAGACTTTCCCATTCAGGGATGACGCCCATGCGAATAAAGAGTATGTCGCCGCGCTGAGGAGTTATGTTTTGTTCACTGATAATGGCAAGGATAGTTTTGAATGGAATATTATGGAGAAAATTTGGTGTAATTGATAGGTGTGAATATTTGGATGCATCAGTGGGCGTAGTCGGTAAGATCTCACGGCCTAGAAGTGATTATGAGTATTTTTTGAGGTGCAGAATGCAGCGGAGGAAGTGAAAAGTAAGAATAGAGCGAGAATTCCTTTCAATTCCAAATTCTGCGGCTGTTTTCATAATTTCATCTTTTGTAGTAAGAATTCTGGAAACTTCTAATTATATATTTTATCAAGAAATATCTGTAACCTTATTTCCAACCCTCAATTATAAATAATTCATCAAAATTCCAATTTTCAATATTTTCTATTCAAATTCAAAATTGATGTTTAAATTCAAGATGAAAATGATAATCATAAATTTCATGAAAATTGAAGTACTTTTTATAAAGTTAGAGTCTTTCAGATTAAAGGGGATAAGAAATCATAGTTTTGGATCGAATAAAATTTGAATGTATTTTGAAGTATTGTAAGAGGTATTATTAAATCGAATTTATTTAGAATTATTTGTAAAGGGAAAGTATATTGATTCTTTATAATGATAATTAAAAAAATTCAATGAATTATAAAGAAATTGATAAAAGATTAAAAGGGAAGAAAGATGATTTTTGAGCAAATGAAATATATATTAGAGGTTAGAACTTTGATATATATTATTCGATATGAATTATATCAATATAGTTATAAATGTTGTATAGTTTATTCTAGGTTATTTATTTTTAAAAAACAAGCAAAAAAGAGATTAGATTTTGTATATATATATTATTGATAAAGGATAATCGATGTAGTTTTTGAAAAGTTTAAGGAAAATGATTGAAGGAAGATTATATAATCGAATGAATATATTTTCGAAATTAGAAAACGTAGTAAGATATAGATGATTTGTAGGATTGAAAAAAATAAATATAAGAGTTGTATCAAATTAATATATAGATCAAAAAGGATCTTTATAATGATATAAAAGGTTTTTAATTAGAATTATAAATCTCTATTAATTTTTTTAAAGAAGAATTCTAACAATAAAGAGGTAAATTCAATAATATATTTGTCACGATTCACGGATTAGATTATAGTAGTGTTATTGATGTCAGTGATTTACATGCCAACTATAGGGAGAGTATGATTTAACCATTGTTTTTAAGGGGCTTAATCATCTACGAATAGGACTCTGGGATTCCTAGGATAGGTATTCTAGACAATTATATTAGAATAGGACAAGTGTTCTAGCTAATCGATTGTAATAGAACAATCACCCTAAAAGATATCATATCCTAAGGCCGTAGTTCCTAAAGGAAAGCTCTTAGGACAAATGTTCTAAGAAAGAAGAGGCCTCAAGATCAATCATATAATAAAAAGCCCTAGAAGTTTGGAAAGCTCCTAGAGCTCCAAAAGCTTTTTGGAGTTTTTGAATTCTATAAAGCTCCTTTTCTTTTATTAATATATAATCAGAATAGTTTCATAATTTAGAAGTTTTATATTTAACTCAATTATCAATTAGTTTATCTATATTCCAATTGATTTAATAACGAGTTCACTTTCAAATAGATAACCAATGATTAATAGCCTTAACCTACAACTACCAACTACCAACTATACGAAACCTCAGGCAGCCGCTGCCTCGACCAGATCGTTACAATATTGAGATTAGATTTTTATTTTTATTATATTCTCTTTATTTGATAAATTAAGGTTTGAATATATATTTATAAAAAATAATATAAAGGTTTATTTGAAATATATTAAATTAATTCGATTAAAATATAATATTAAAGATTTTCAATAATCTCTTTTTTCTTTGGATTTTAATCTCATTAAAATAATATAATATTGAATAAAGAAGAAGTTAAAAAAAACTATTATTTGTATTTATTTCTATTAAGGAATTGAAAAAAGAGTTCAAAAAATTATAGGAGATATTTGAACCTTTAGATTTCAAATTATATATTGAGAAATTGATTTATAAATTAAAGAATATAATTGAGATAAAAGGATTAGTTATTATTTATTAATATATTATTAAATTTTCAATAAAAAATATTATGATGTTGATTTAATATTAAATTTTCAAAAATGTAGATAAAATTTGAAGGGGATGCGGTGAGTAACGATCAGAACTCTTACCTCTATATGAGACTCGATCTTGCGATAGAGACGTCGGAAGGATTTTGTGAACCGAGAGTAGTGTCGGGAGTCATCTCACTGACTTCTATGTTCTTGTTTCCCAAGTTTAATGATGTTTGTGTGTGTACTGGCTCAGAACATGTGAAACCTTAATCTCTGCCAACAGAATCTGAGATGAAAACACCGTGGGTTGCGCCTGCCTTTTTGAGATAGACACTTGCCCATTATCTAGTCAAAACCCTCCGAGCCATAGGTTTCTAATTGGGAACACTGTGAAAATTTGATAGAGTATTTAAGATTATCAAAATAGTTGCGATAGCATAAGAGGATTCATATGATAGTCATCATCAAAACGTGGCCCGTGACCAATTCACCCAGTCCATCGAGTGGAACAATGTTTATATCCACATTTTCGTCGTCCAAATTGTGAGTACTCCAGCCTTGTCATATCCCATCGGAAATCTACCCTGTTACCTGTTTTGATCCCTGAAGCTGCCGACGATGAGACTATATCTGGGGTGAGAAGGGAAAGACGACGTCAGATGCTGTCAGGTGATTTGAGCTGTTCGGCTCAGATGGAAAATAACACTCATCTATCCCCTCGACACTAGATCCGGCTCTCCTGTTCATACCGGGTCTGGGTTGGTATTTTGCAGAAAGGTGTATCGTGGATGGAGGCGAGCTAAGGCGGGGTAGCGACATCTTTTTCGGCCTTGATGAAGTATGTCACCAAGGACCATCTTCTTTCTCTCAGTCCAATTTTGTGAGGGAGAGTACTTAGAAAACCACATTTAATCTGAATAAAATATGTAAGGAATCAAACCACCAAGGGAACCAGCTGCTCAAGATATATGTATTATTCGACGACCATTAGATGTATGTATTATTCTCTGCTTCGTCACACCTTTGGTACGTGGGTACAGTGGTGTTCGTCGGTCATCATCTCATAACACGTTTAGGTTCCTATGCATAACATAGAATCTGAAAAATTTGGAAAAGATAAGTCGGACGGCAGATACTAACTTCTGTGAGGTATAGTGTAAAGGTGACGATGCTTTTGGATATCCATACGAAAGTTTCTTATACGGCATGGTTTTTAGATCATGTGAGAGCGTTTGTCAACATCGTGAGAAGTCTCGGATATGTGCTGCGTAATTCCAAGCGAGAGTCAATGAGCAAGTGCAGGCGGATACAGCTTTCCAACTTATCAAGGTGAGGTTCATTTATGCTAAGATTTACTGTCGTCTATCACTCTGGCTGGATCACGACACAAAATACGGCTGGTGGGTAGTGACCGGTCCACTCAATCCCGTCACAAATCTTCGACACATATCTTACTTTCATGCCCAGATTAGATGCATGCAAAATGATTGGACTATTTAAATCCACCGCCTACATGCTCCCAACACAATGATATACGTACAACCCAGGCTCCATTCGACCACGCATTCTTGCTCAACCACCAAATCATTAGTCCTTTTGCTACTGACACACATGTCCCATGGCCTTCTTCACTTGATATTGCGCGGCAATTTATTCTTGGGTTCCATATCCAATGGCTTTGGGGGAACTGGTAATTGGTTAGCTGCCGACTAGGCCTTGCGCTTAAGGTGCTTGAAGGAAGAACAAACTCACTCCCGAACTTCATTCGGTTTTCTGACCATTATATGTAAAATCAAATTGCACTTGTTGCTTTATCGTCGAACTCGTATCTGTGTTTGGGTGCCTACTTCTTGTTCGTTTCTCAATTTTCAGGCGTGGCTGAGGAGAGATTTCAAGTGCTGCGAGGCCTTGTCAGAATTTTCCTTTGGCATTTTGTACTTCGTGGCACTTGGCATCCTTCAGCTAAAACTATTTCTTCGCCGCGGTTTGTCCCATCACCAAGTACGCGGAATTCTATCATAAGAATCGTTGGTCTTCTTGGGGTAAGAGCTATTCAATACTGTCGATGCTCTTCTTCCAGCGTCAGCCCGTCTACGGTTCTTTGGCAAAATTCCTTAGTTTCATGACCCTGACATTACTGATATTTTCTGAATATTTATGACGGCTTCGAGTCATCACTTGGTGATACAAAATCAGTTATGGACTAGCAGTCCGTAGACTGCGGGTGCTGTTTTTTTGTATTGTTCTAAATTATCTAGCAAGGAAATTTCATCCGTGAATAGATGGTAAAGATCAAGAATATGGATTCTTGAAACACTTTATGCTGCATCTGGCGTTTATCATAAAATTAGTGCCGAGTGATTAAAAAGTGGTCAACTCAAGCCAAACATTATCATTTCTAGTGAATGAATCTTGGATTCAGATATGGCTGACTGAGGTATCAGAGTTGAAGACACTTCAATACAAGGATATGCACGCATTTTCACAAAGTAATGACATTCAAAAACTGGGTGTGTTGAGTTCGTCCGTTTCATTAGCACATATGCCAATTTAACCGGGTGTCCATTGTCGCGGGCTCGTATTGGAAGATATAAAGCAAAGGTTGTTGCTTACAGCAAGTCTTATTGGTGTGAATATGGCTATTAGTAATTATTATACATCTGTAACTGTGTATTCCCACGTCCTCTTTTTCTTAAACAATGATCCGAAGAAAACCCCATCGGAGAACCATCCAAAACCAAACACTCACGCCTAAAACCTCAAAGTTCTGAGGATATACACGACCAGAAACCTGTACTTTGACCTTTCTATCCTGCTACCAACGATGTACATTGAATCCTATAAAGCATTGCCTCGTACACCATTCTGATCGCATCCCATTCACACATGGTTTCGGGATAGATAACATTCAAGGGTGATCGAAAAAGGGTGATCGAAAGAAGGTGATAGTGATAGCGGGAGCAAAAGGATGTCGCGATTAATACAACTTCCGTGTAGTAATCAGTGAACTGGTTTCATGTCGTTCGTGGTGTTTATGCATACCATTGCACTATAAAAGGTATTTGAGATAGACGACCACAACTTGATGTACTGTGAACGGCCCATAATGGGGGGAGTCTTTCACAATATTATGTGTCATAATGTATGTAATTCAATCCGTTACGGCCTTGGCTGTTGTTTTGATCATGGTAGAATTGACACATTTTTGATAAATAGGCCATTTTCACCGCACGTAGATGACTATAAATCATAGTTGTTGAATCAAACACATTGCTCTCGACCATAGGGTGATTCTTCTCATGCTTACAGCCATTTGAGGCGTGATGTAACAATTTTGTGAGCCTGTGAGTATCCCCCCATGATATTATTTTTCTCGCCATTGATACCGGTCTTTAGAGACAAATACATTCGTTTTATCCTCCCCACTATAACATCAGGGCTCAGCTCTTGCATAGACACAAGTATACACACTAGCATTTACTTATATTCTTTCCATGACCATTAGTGGCGTAGACCTCGTACAAGCTCGTGGGGAATCTTCAGCTTGAAATGACATACTCAGCAAAAGGTAATCAAGGATGGACTTTGCTGTGCTTCCAAAATAACAGAGGTGGACGGCCCAGCTAAGACATTTAATAAAATGTACTGTACTGGCTCATAAAATGTCATGATCAGCTCCTCGAAGATGATATATATCTTCACCAGTACCTTCAGCCTGTTCACAATCATAGTTAGACGAGTAGAGAAGTGATCATTCTAGTCATTCGGCATTGGCTATTACGGCCATGGTTTAGCTTGAATATTCTTGGGTATCATGATATGAGCGAGTAGGTATTATAAATCAGCTAGTTTTCGTGACTCCAAAAAACAGTTTCCTTCGACCCCTCACCGTGAATTACATGGTTTATGAATCGATTCCTGAATTTGTGAAGAATAACTTACTGGTACACTAGACTTGTAAAATTCCTTGTTTTCTTTTCAGTGCTCATTTTCCATATAGCAACATCATTCCACAACGGCCAAAAATACCTCGAGCTTGCACAATACCAAACCGAATCTTTCCACCAAAGCTCTTTGCAGGAGTTGCTGTAGCTTCCGCCACAAGAGGGTCTTCTCGCAGCCTCTCACAGAATAACACCCGATCATCATTACGAATCCGTATTGTACTATACTCAGCATCTGTGAGTCGAAGGTGATTCTTCAGTGTACTAAGTCAGTCAACTAACTTCGCAGGGAAAATGACATGGTCTCCGAAAACACGTTCGAGAAATGAGACATGATCCCCAAAGCAAGCTCAGGAAGAGGATTGCTTGTAAAGATCTTCCCACTGAATCCATCAGCATTCTCCGGGAATTTTACGGACTGTCAATTGTCAGTACATATGTTGATGAAGTTGAACGCGAATCTACAACGAGAGATTTGACTCGAAAGGACATGGAAGATATTCATACGCATGTTCTGTATATGGAAGAAAGCTCCGATGTGTGCTTATATGACATCATTTGCAGTCACGAGGCAAAAACTCATGAAGTTGTCTCGTACTTCCTCGAGGGGCGGCCCATTGCGCCGGCTCTTTCAGTTCGAAAGTTAAAAGATACTTCCCAAGCAAACATCATCTGGCAATTTATCTGCTTGCACAACCTCATGGAAAAAGAACAAAACGACCTGGTTAAACGTGGTGAGGATATTACTCCCCAAGCAAATATAGACAAGGGGATTTGGAACACAGACATAGAGATGGGCGTTGGCACTGAGGGTAGCGAACAATGTGGTCTATGAATTGTGGAATTGTAACATGGTAACTTCATGGTATGAGGGGCTCAAATAAAATGACACTCAGCTAATAAAAATATAGATACAGCAGCCTTGAAATTTGTGGGTGAATAGTTATGTGGGAGAAGGGTAAATAAACAATGATAGATGAAACAACATATGGCTTTGGCAGTATTTAATACACAAATGAAAACCGCCCGTGAGCTTTTACAGTAAGGAAGTGCTGCGTCTCAGTAAGTCATTGGAATTGCTAAATTACCGTGAGTGAAGCTAAACTTTGGATTGATATCGGATTTATATGATATTGGATCTATATGATATCGAATTTATATAATATCAGATCTATATAATATCAAATCTATATAATATCAACTTTATATAATATTAATTTTATATAATATCAAATTTATATAATATTAGTTTCATATGATATCAATTTTATATGATATCAATTTTCAACTTTATATGATGTTAATTTTATATGATATCAATTCTATATAATATCAACTTTATATGATATCAATTCTATATGATATCGGATCTATATAATATCAGCTTTATACGATATCCAAAGGTCTCAGTAATATGATTAATTTTTTAAATTAAAACACTTCACAGCTTATCTAGTACTTTCACTATTTTGCTTCACCCTTGATAATTGACTAGTACATGTTTACTACTTTTACTACGTTTACTACTGGGATTGCATGAGTGGTGTATCAATCAATGTATTGTGCTGGTCTTTTCTCGTCGAATCAATATCAAAAAACTCATCTTCATTATATTTCCGATTTTAGAAGTTGGATGATATGACTGCGGAATTAAATACGATCGTGCCTGCCATATTTGTGCTTGCGAATCCAATCTTGAACTGGAAATCAAGCAAACCTTCATTGCCCACACCTTTCGCAATACTTTCTTTCCAGCCCTTCAACTAAACACCACGAAAACCCGTTCGTGCGAGCAGATTCGAAACTACACTGCTACATCGTGGTCCTCGTTCAATTATAATTCTCCAGTCAGCACAAATACCAGCAGTTAAAGCATTCAAAGTCAAACACAATTCTTGGGCATTTCCTTCAGGTACCCTCATCATAGTACCTCTCGACCGCAAAATGCCAAGCATCGGAGAAGCAGTCGAAAAAGAACGCAGGGTCACATATCTGCTATGGAAAGCTATCAACTCGCAACTAGAACTCGAGCAAGCCACGAATAGATTAATGCAGGATATGTATGAGGATTTAGAGAATATGAGAGCTTCCGACTGCTCAAGCGAGGATTGGACTACAATGTGTGACATGGCGCAGGAGCTGGTGGACACTCTCAAAATGTTGAAAGATCAGCCACCCGATTCTACAGTGGAGGAGAGGAGTACCGAGCTAAAGGTTAAGGAAGCAATCAGAGAAGACACGGAAGAGGAAATTGAGGAGGACATTGAGGAGTACGTCGAAGTATTAATGAAAGAGATGCATCCGAATCTGTATCAAATTAGGGCCGCTGCTGGCTTAGAAAAAGATGACATGCATGATGCATTTGGATTGGCAAAACAAATGACCAAACCCCACAAGTTTACCCGGGGTGAAAAGGAGAAAAAGGCGACAATTGAGAAAGAGAAGAGTAGTGATGCAAAGAAAGAAGTGGAAGAATAAGCAGCCAGCTTCAAGGAACGCGTCGAAGCACTGAATAAACCACAAACTTTCTCGAGCATTCCGTACAATGAATTTGAAGGAGATGGGTGTGAGTGGTGAGGCTTGGTGTTGATGAAAGGTTATTGCTAACATGTACACCAACTCCCGAGTTCACCAATGACTACTAGAACTAAAGTGCGGACGAATTCGGAGTTGTGGTACCAGATACAGGCGTGCTTGCTATCACGCGACGATGATTCCGTATAGTGTTTCCGAGGTTCAATTTCTAGAAAGCATGGAGGTAGCTATAATATTGAGAGGGGACGGCTTGTGAGGATGTCATCGAATCGTGCATGGCTGGAGCTATACTATCAAACATCTATACTACCGCCGCTTCTTGGAGGATATCAAACTTCTTTCAGCTTGTCTCAAGTGATATTACATGAACGGTATGACGGTACTGGGAGAAGTGTTGGGGGGTTGTCGTGGAAACCACAATTGATATATTAAAAGAGGCATTATTGCTTCCCTTTGGGGAATTTGTGAGCGGTGGTTATATTATATGCCATTGCAGATTGTTATTGCTACGATAATCGGCGGTTCTCGAAGTACGATCATCTGTACAGATATGCTTTGCTCTACTAGATGTCTTTACGACTACACAGAGAGTGTGCTAGCTAAATATATTCCAATGTACAATCAGGTCAAAACGCATTTCAAAAGACTATTTCCATCGTCAATATCTTCTTTTGGTGACGTGAGTATTATACATCACCCAAATTGTGGAGTTACTTTTGTCAATTCACTGGAAATATCCCACTTGGGTGAGTCAACTGAGTATTCCCTATTCCCAGGTCATTTCTACCTCGAGACCCCTTTCCTTTCCTTCTACGTGCGAACAACCACAGAATACAGTTTTTATTTGAATTGAGTTTGCTATTGTACTCGGAGCCAAAGGTCAATAGATCCTTTATCAAGTTCTTTTATCATGGAGACGACTCACAAACAAGTTGCCACAAACTGCCCTTTCGTAGATTTCAGATATCTTATGGAAAGCGGCCATGAATTTGACATGCAACAACACCAAGCGCACTGTAGAGACTACAAACTGCACGGAGAGAATGATTACAATGCACACCTACTTAGTGTCCTCACCGAGACACGTAGCGTGGTTACAATCGAAGAATCGGAAGACGGCAGGGTGCCATCGGAGGCATCGGCAGATAAAGAAGAAGCACAAGAGCTAATCAAGAAAGTCGGGAGGAAATTAAGAGGAGAAGACGGCAGGAATTACAGGACAATCATGATATAGAACCTTTTGATCCGCTCGTGGATGACCTTCTTGAGAGTCAGGTTGTGCATTATGAGGTGTTGTGGCGGTGCGGATTAGTTCCTATCATGTTTAATTCAAAGACTAGCCAGCAAAGAATTGATAGGCGGGAGAATAGTGAAGGTTGGGGTTTCTTCATGCTCATCGCTTGATTGTTAGTGTTTCGCTAGCATTGCCTTCAAATTTAGAATCAGGCCATGCGCCAAAACATGAAGATTTCCGCTCAAATCTACCCCTTCCACAGCTTTTAGCTCCAAACAAGAACTGCAACCCATTTCGTGGCCAAAGTAATATTAGTACCATTGGGTAGGTCGTCGCTGGCACGAACGGGCCATTCACACAAATGTTAAAAGGAGATCTCGCTAATGGCCGAATAGAAAGAGTGGGTGTTATTCGAAGAAAGGACACATCCCGAAGAAATGGGCTGTTATCAGTAACTATTGCATGTAAATATTGATGAGTTTGAGTTGCTGATAGTTTTTAGGTAAGAGGGGTATGGTGGAGTTGATGCGCAAGGGAATTGAAGATTGTCCCAAAACTTAGTTTGAGAAAGTCGCCGAGTCCTTGAAGTGACTTCTTCCCAAGGTCGGAGATACACATGATGAATATATGAAATTGGATGTATGGCGAAAATTTGAGAGTGGGGTCTGAGAACTGCGGATAGAAGGAGGATTAATCCGGGTACATAATCGCCTGGTAAGATCTTACCATCAAGATTATTTGGTGCACAGATGATCAAAATAAGAAACAGGCTTCATCTCCGGTGATCTATTGATGGGCTTCTCAACAAGACAAACATTTAAGTTGTTAGTTTTTTTTAACTTGATGAAGGCCATCGTAATTCATCGCCTTGAGGTTCAGCTAAACCGGAACAATAAGTCTTGATCCTGGACTCAGACTTGTTTCTCATAGATCGTATTTCAAAAAGAACTGGCACATACCGTTCTATTGTTTCTGTTTCTGAAACAAGTTTCTAGGTCCAAGCAATAATATAGTTCCCTCGCGCTTGCATTAACAACGAAGACAAATCATGAGGTTTCTGATAAGCATACAAAAGATATAAGCCCAGGGGCTGTGTTCTCGCATATTATCAAAATTCTCATGTTAAGGGAATAACCAAGAAGTCCGGATCATTGCCGAAAGGCAAATGAAAATAACTTGTATTGATCTTGTAAATAGGGCGCTGATGCATATTCATACAAACCTAATATTATACGAACGTTGCTGGAAATATACTTTCGCCCCCCATTTTCTTGTGGTGGCCAAATCGATAAGCAAGAGGCACTCTGAAAACTTCAAATGGTGTTACAGAGTAATGACAGGTCGAATTGCAATATGGATGATCCTTATCTTGTTCTGCATCTTTCACCTCGAAAGCTGCCCCGTCATCTGCGGCGCGGCTATGCAACCGCAAGTTTCTCGGTCAGTCAGGGTGGCAAAAGATCGAATGTCCAGATTTGTTGAAGATTTTAGCAGATAAAGATGTAAAAATACCCGTAAAAGAAACCACCAAGAGAATTGATGATATGATATGCCGATAACTCCGAGATGTGTAAGGAGGGCAACTACATTCGATCAGAACTGAGGCGTAGTTCCTGTGAAACACGTTTGACAAGATTAAGAAGACAACACTGATATTTGATAGAGTATCGATAACGACAGACCCCAGTATTCGGGTTGCTCAATTATGCATAGCTGAGTAGGATGCTGATATCCTATTGCCCTTGACATGACCACGGGTGTGTGGTCCTGGAGTTTATGGTGTTGTCAGATTCTGGCACACGGAGTCTGGAAATTTCCAAATAGGGCGATTATTTATTTCCGAAAATTCTAGAGGAATGGACCTTTCAGTACGGCCTGTCCGAGAGCTGCGAGAGGTGATGCAAGGGCAGACTGGATTCGCTGAGTGATGCAATAACTGGTATCACCATTTTGACATATTTGAGAACCTTCCAAACTTCGAGGTTTCTTTTTCAAAAAAAGGCCAAGGCAACCATCCTGCTACTAATCCAGAGATAAGACGACCACAAGTTTAAGCCCATCAAATCAGATAGGATATGACTTGGCATGCCCTGAATTTATCTCAACACCGACAAGTCGATAACTCTGGATCAGAGTTGCGACACATAGCAATTCACCTTCATATAATGCACGCGCTTACCTGGATGTGCATGAATTTAACTCCAAAATTACCCAAAATGGAACCTACCAAATAACCTTCCGATATCTACTTGAGCATCCCCGCTACAACTTAAAAGCGTCAGCTGGTAATTTATCCTAAGTAAGGCTCGCTTCATCATGAATGACTCTGGATTAGCGTTATAGTTTCGGCTCTCTAACAATGATTATGCCCGGTTTTCGCTCCGTGAGTGTCAGTTTAAGGGCCCTCCTCTCCAATATCCACACTCCAAAGTTAAACAATCCGACAGAGAAAACTCAGCACATCTTCGCAAACAAACACAGGAAATCTCTACCAAGCACCGTCATCATTCAACATCTAAGCATTTTCTCCGAAACCACACCTTGTATAAAATCCCAAAAGAGTATGTCGCTTCAACATCAAGATGTCTTGCAAGCCCTGTGAAGAAATGCAATATCAAACAGCCGATTCTGCACCAAAGGAGGTCTCTACAGAAGGCAAACCCCCAACGATAATTTAAAACAGAACGGATACAGGAAATGGCATGGAAAAAGTTTTCATCAAAGAAGAACGCGAGAAGTTGCTGCCCGGAAGCTCATGGCAAACGCGGCAAAAGTGCAAAAGAGTATAAACGCCTTACTAATCGGTAATGGAACAAAACAACGTTCCTGAATCAGGGCATCAGCAACTAAGCCAACGCTCCCACACGACAACAGATTCTCGTCAGGTTAAACGAGGAAACAATGGAACATTGTTTCCTCGCATCATGATGTTCAGACCTTCTATAAGTTAATAGAAAAACGTAACACACACTCCATTGTCATACTGTCCATTCGTTCATTATATACTTTGGTGGGAGCGAAGGACCCTGTTATTGAATCAAAAGCCTTGGACTTTGGTATGTTTATGTCACTTAGATTTGAAGATGCCCAATAAACACATTGTCTTATGTTTCATTGGTGTGGTAGCTAAGTGCTCCAGCGTGCACGGAGGCTTTCGCTGCTGAATCACCAGTATGGATTTTGGTGTTCTTCTATCACAATGAAGAAAAAAAACCTTTTATGAAATTCTTGTTCCATCTTTGAAATTGATCCTCACATGCGCCCTGCTCCAATAAAGCCCATCAATGGCATATGGCTTATTCCAAAGTTTATTCCAAATATCTACATCGCCTCGTATGTAATCTGAACTCTTCATTCACTCTCTAACCCCAAGTCTTAAGTGCCTTCATACTTCCCTCTTGATCGAATGCCTTGTGCATATCGAAGCTGTTCCACAACAAATGGGGCTCGTGACCCCATCCTCTCCTCATGCATTCGAATTCAGCCTTCCTGAAGTAGTCCTCCAAAATTGGCTTGTAGTCTGGATGTGAGCATTTCTCAATGATGACCTTAGCTCGCTCCTTTGGACTCAATCCTCGAACATCAGCTAGACCCTGTTCGGTAACAACTACATCCAAATCGTGCTCTGTTTGGTCAACGTGTGTGCACATAGGAACAATGCAAGAAACACCGTGAGGATCGGTCTTGGATGGTCTGGTAGACGGAGTGTGCATGATACTGTACTTGGAAGAACGGAGGAAATCAGCTGAGCCGCCAAGACCGTTCAACATGCGAGAACCCATGACATTGGTGCTGTTTGCGTGTGCATAAATATCGACCTCAACCGGTGTGTTCATGCCAATAACTCCCAATCTTCTGATGATCTCGGGGGAGTTAGAAACCTGCTGTGAGCGGAGCAACAGTTTGTCGAAGTATTGCTCCCATCCATCGTAAAAGCGCTTGAAACCTTCTGGAGAGAAACGAATGGAGGTTGCAGTTGCGAAGTCTAAGCGTCCAGAATCGAAAAGATCAAGGAAGGTATCTTGAAGCACTTCTGTCCAAACCTTGAGATTCTTGAATTTAGACTCGGCTAGACCACCGATAACAGCATTGGCGATGTTTCCAATACCGGACTGAATTGGTAGAAGGTTCTTGGGAAGGCGGCCGTGCTTGACTTCGTGCTCGAGGAACTCAATCAAGTGAGCAGCGATGGCACGAGAGGTAGCATCCTCGGGTGCATTTGGTACGGTTTGGTCTTGATAATCGGACTCGACAATGGCAACAATCTTCTCGGTATCAACAGGAATGGCGGTCGTTCCAATGCGGTCCTCTGGTGCCATAATCAAGTATGGTTTTCGGTTTGGTGGAAGTTCGGTCATGGTGATATCGTGAAGGCCCTCGAAAGAGGGCATAGAAGTGTTGACTTCAACGATGATCTTGTCCGCCATTTGAATCAATTCTGGTGACGCTCCAACTGAGGCTCCGGGAATAATGCCACCATCTTCAGTAATAGCGGTAGCCTCAACAATAACCACATCCAGCTTTTTGTTTGGGCGGTCTTTTGTGTAGAATCCATAGACCAAATCTACAGGAAACATGGACAGATGTTTGTCGAAGAAATTGATGTCGCCATTGTTGATACCTTTTGCAATAGCTTTTCCGACTTGATGAGGACTTCGTCGTTCGATCATATTTAATTCTGCCCATCGATTTTCCGTCTCCGCTCCAGAACTAGCACCTACGAACAGGGAGTACTTAAGCTTGCCCTGCAGACTGTTCTTCTCTACATGATCGGCGAGCATCGTTGGAATCTTCCTACATGGTTTCCATCAGTATTGGTTTCTTACGGAATGAAACCGACGCTATTGTTTGACCCCTCTCTTGCTCGGCACCGCAACAGAACTGCAATTGATACTCACTTAGGATATCCCACACCCGTGAATCCGGACCACCCAATATAAGCTCCATTAGGGAATAAAGGGATCAAATCTTGAGGGTGAGCGAGCTTGTTGAGCAAAGATGGCCTCCTAACTCGAGATTTCAATGCAGCGGAAGCTGTCAAAATTGCCGAAGAAGCCATCTTGATAAGATTAAGCTATAGAACTAGCAACAGTGTAGGATGAATAAGACCAACCCCCCAAAAAAGGAAAAAAGAGAGTGAGACGAGGTGAGATGAGATGAGATTCAGCAAAAAAGAAAAAGATGATATGAGGCCGGAGGATAACCGAGTATTTATAGAATATTTATAGAATCATCATATGATCTATATGTTTACTCTGGGGTGTCAAAACATGGTCAAAAGATGGGTTGAGTTCGTCGAAGTGAGGATGATGGGTGCCCCGCAATGGATCGGTTACAAGGAGAAAATTCACTCCGCCATCGCAACAAATTCGGTTATTCGGGTTAACATATCTACAGGACATGTCTACATGTATATATGTATCTACATCTACATATATATCTACATCTGCACATATATCCACCTAGTATCGCCACACCTACTGAACTGTTACTTTAGTATTGTGCACTGCACAGTTACTAACCTACTGCTCCCGTCCCTACTTGCAACTGCCATTCAATGCTTCGTAGTCATTCAAAAATTCAAGAAACACCTTTTTATGCACCTCTTAATAACAGATATCCATTTCCACAGATCTACTCTAGCTGCCTGTACTTCGTTACGACATGGTCGAATCACTTTGCCAGAAAACCTTCTTGGCAGCTTACTCGCTTTTCCGTAGAACAAATCCCTTTTCCGTTAAAGCTTGTCAATAAGTCTGTTTCAAAACCTACGGATAAGCTATTAGCTATGCATTCCATGCATAGACTTTCTACCTCATCACATATTCGGATGAAGCGTTTATTTTGAGGATCGTAATATATTTATTTGCTTGGTGTTACACGATACAAGTCTTCCAACGACGCCTCTGCTCCATATCCTCCTGTCTTGGAGGAGGCATATTCATGGCTTCTCTCGCTACCCTCAAGGCAGTCTGGTTTATTTTCAACTCTGCACTATAATCCCCAAAGGCCCCAACTATCTCTCTAAGTCCGCTTTTCAAGACAGCGAGTAGCAAATCCACCTCGGGGCTCTCTTGTCTTCCTTCTACATCGGTCCAATGTGTGCCTAATCCGGTCCTAAACTTCTGCACTTCCACAATCGTCTTGGTATATGTCTCAACGATATCCTTGATGTCCTTCTGTACCTTTCCATATTTGTCTTCAACAAGACTGCATACAGCAAACCTAGTTATTGAGTTGATAGCATCAATGATGATACCTAGATCGCCATAGGGGGTTCCTAACACTACGCTTGCAATCTCTTTTCGATATTCCTGCCTGAACGGTTTCCCAAATGGTAGACTGAGAATTATAATTGCCTGCTCACGTAGGATTTTCTGGATTCCCTCAGGCTGTTGAAATTGTGTAGATACTGCGGACTTAATTGCTGCCTTTTTCTTGTCTTCTTTCAACTGGCGGCTACGAGATATCTTATCTGGTGGTGATAGTTCCCCCTGACTCTTTGCAAATGAGCCAACGGCTTCCAGATAACGCGTACTTCTTGACTCTGCTGGTTGGGGTTTTCTCACAAGACCACCCTTCGGTTCTTCCTTCAGGGATTCGGTCAAGAGACGGGGAAGCGATGATACTGGGTCCTGCGTCTCCTGCTCCTCATACACACTGATTACTGATGGTGGTTTTTTTGGATCATATTCTTCGATACGCTGATTGATCTCATTAATTGTCTCGAGGCATGTTGCAAGGATTTGAGACCAAGCTGAACCGCCCACACGGTCAATGTCATCAAAAATGGCTTTCCGTCTTCCCTGGTACTGCTGTGCAATTTCTACAAGTTCCCAAAATGCGAAAGCCTGAACGGTGTTAATACAATCTCATAGGAGGAGCTTAGGGGAGGGTGCTTACTCTTGTTTGCAACTTCTTACCCTTTAGTCCAGTCAACAAACTCCCATTCGGGTCTCGAGATTCATAGGTAATTGGTCTGTCATTCTTCAAAGGCGCTTGCGCCACATAAACCGAGAATGCAAGATTTCCAAATTCCCACAGTAAGGTAAGCATGAGTCCCGAAATAATTGTCCTAAGCACCATTGTCCAGTGGAAAGGCAACTCATTCGGGGGAGTAGCGGCTTTTGGTAGGTTCCAGAAAATCTTTGCAAATGAACGGGTAAACCCCCATACACTCTCTCTGATATTGAACGTGTAAATCGGTAGGATGAAAGGAATAGGGAGGCTAATATTCATAGAATAGATAAATGGAGATACCACAGCCATGATGGTAACGCGCTTGAGACAGCTTATAGCTAGAGGCATTGCCTTCGCTTTCAATTGTACCATTGGCAGTACAGTTGTATGTGAAGGTTGCTCGGATGAAACTTCTGGTCCTGTCTTCGTAAATGGAATATCAATGCGATCATAGTCGTACATAAGGTGGAAACCAGCTTGTACGATAGCATTAAATAAAAGACACATAGTTAAATAAATAGGTTTCTCGTTCAATATTGGTCGACTGGTTTTTGCTGCAAGCTTGATGCGATTGAGACCTGCGCTCTCAGGAACTGACCATATGTATATCTCGCTGAAAAACCATGCGGAAAATAGATACCAAAGTGCTGTCTGAACGGTCTGAAATTTGGGCGCATATTGTATAAATGTGTGGAAGGTCGAGATTGAGGTCCGCATTCCGACATGTAATTGAGCTACTCGAAGGATGAATATCATAAATGCGCATATGAAGAAAAGACCGCTTCTGATGCCAGCTCTACCCAAAGGAAACCATGACCAAAGGACTGCAGGGTTTGATTAGCACATTCAATTTGTGAAGCCAAAGGTACATACATGAATTCCATTCCCCGACCCATACCGCTTCGATGTAGCATACTGCTGCCAATACAGCCGTTGCCAATGCAAATCTTCTATGCAAGGCTGGAGTCAAAAAGTCCTTGTAAGGACGAATCCGTACTGCAGGCGGCATGATGGGAAAATTGTGAGAAGTTGCAGCTTAAAAGACTAAACATCAATAAGAAGAATAAAGATCTGTGGAGGTCACTTGTTCATGATGTTGTTGCTGTCGTCGTTGTCGTCGTCGTTGTCGTTGTCGGATGAGTAAATAAAGATAGCAATATTGAACTCTTTTGTTGACATTCAATCTCCAGATAAAATAAATTTATTAGAGTTTGGCAGAGCACCAGACGCGAAAGCTTCCGCTCAGCTAGAGCTGCCACCCACTGGTGACCCTTGAGAGAGAGCAAATGGCCCTAGCGAGATAAGGTTATGGAACATCATTCAACTGATCATTGATCACATCTTCCAGATTATCACAATTACTCCGCATAGTCAGTCAAAACAGGCTGCGAGCGTATTTCGTCTGTAGCCAAAACTTGAAATTTAGTCGCATTCGAAAAACATTCTTTTCGTCAATTCATAAATCATGTCCTTCGATCAGTTATCATCGCTGGAGTCGCAACCGACAACCATGCGCAGAGAGGATGATCCTCAATATGCGGACGACCCGGAATTCCAACGGTTATCGCAAGACCTTATGACGAAGCTTTTCTCATTGACAGGAAATATCTCGAGACTTTCAAATGAGATAAATTTACTGGGAACAAAGAGAGATACGGAGAGGGTTCGGGAAAGAGTGCACGATCTTTTGGAAGAGTCAAAGGACACCTTCAAGGAGGTTGGCGATGGCGTCAAGAAGATACAATCATGGGAGGATGTTAGTGTAAGTAATGAGCTGTATTAAATGATTTAGATGGAGTATTGATAGTTGGTGATAGCCATCACAAAAATATACGCAAGCAAAGCTTGCGCGGGAGTTTCAGAATAACCTGACCGAATTCCAAAATGTGCAGCGCCGGGCACTGGAGAAGCAGCGATCTTCTGCCACAGCAGCACGAACGGCCATGGAAGAAGCGCAATCACCAGGGGCTGAGGGCGGAAATCGATTCGGGCAGCAACAATCTCAAGAACAGCTTAGGTTGGCTTCGCAGGACGAAGTGGATTTTCAAGATTCGTTGATTGTAGAACGTGAGGCCGAGATACGGAATATCGAACAAGGTGTCACTGAATTGAACGAATTATTCCGAGACGTTGCACATATCGTCAACGAACAAGGCGAGACCCTCGATACAATTGCCAACAATGTGGAGAACGTGCATTCGGATACAAGAGGGGCAGATCTGGAATTGAGGAGTGCCGCAAGATATCAAAAGAATGCTCGGTCGAAGGCTTGTTGCCTACTATTGATATTGGCCGTCATCCTCACCATCATCATATTGGCCGCCACGCTTGGCTAGACTATTTTCTTTGGGTGGGTTCCATATGTTATATCCATGGCGGAGTTTTGGCGTTCTTCCCACGGCATCTTGCTTCTACGTCTCTACACTTCTCTTGTCCCTTATAACTGAGCCCGGAATGTTTTAGAACCATTTTCATCATGGAAGTGAGAGGGGGGAAGGCCATTTTGTCCAGGTCCTTTATCGGCCTTGAAATAAATATACGACATCTAAACTCCTCTCTGCATAGCTCCTATGTGATTGATTGACAAATTTATCGGCTCGTCTAAAGTTTATCACAACCGCATCATGGCAGTTAGTAGTATCAGCAAGAAATGATTGACAAGAGCAAACCACAAAATACATTAATTTCAGCCAATAAAGTCTGTGATTGGATGTGTACAATTCACAATGGTTGTTTTTGTTCTTTTATTGATAAACGGATTCTCCTGTACGTCGCATAACAACCCATCATTGCCTGACATCATCACAAGGCTTCGTTAGTAACAGTTCGTCTGTCACCCGAGAGCGTTCTTCATACATTGAAAGATTCGCGTTGCCTCGTAAAGTAAGAATATCAACATCGTGTTATCATACTACAATTCCACTATGGGTATTGAATTGGATCAAGCTAGTCTACAAAAGGCTTTTCAATCTCGTCCAGATATACAGAATGCCATAGCAGCAGCATCGCAGGGTAAGTGTATATCTCTCAGCCTTGCAAGAAAAGAAAATATCTAGTATCTAGACAAACAACATTGCGCCCACAACCCCGGAAGAAGTAATCCCCAATCTCCTGGCTAACCCTTAAGTAAAGCTGGCCCAGAATACATCGAGCTCTTTAATCAGATTTCCTTATACGTCTGCGAGACGATATCCCAGCAAATCTCGGAACCAGTCTCGAAGAAGCGCCGCATAGATGGGAGCCTCGCAAGTCGAAGTATCCCGAATGGCACAAATAGCGCAAACACCGCCGGAAGTGCACCTGCCACTGGAGAGGATCCAATTTTGCTTGAGATCAAAGAAATCTCTGTGGTGATACCACAGCGCAAGAAATATAGCCTTTGCTTCACATCGACACATCTCTACGCACGATTACCGACCTCTGAGGAGCCTGCACCTGGCATGAGCTATGCCTGGAAGGATATTGGTAATTCCCATGCTCTTGGATCACCAGACGCTTGCTAATTAGGTGTGCCTGTAGAATATGTATTTTGTCTTCCAGTCCCAGAGAAAACGCAAAAGCAATACAATTACATACTCTTTCCCAGAAACTCTAATATATCGTCGTCCAAACTTTCAGCCTCTGCATCACCCGTACCTGAACCTTTAGTCTTTACGATTACAGAGGGCGCCGCAAAAGCGGGGACTATTGGTGGAACGGAAAGTTCAGCAGCTTCAGCAGTCTCCGATGACTACAAAACTCTTCTCACCTGGGCTCTTTCCTTCTGCTTAAAGGCCGCCGGTAATATACTCAAGATCACAGAATCTGACCCTAAGCTATTTGCAAGTGCAGTCAAGCAAAGCCACCGACCAAGCGAGAAAGCGGTGCATGTTAGAGCATTCAGAGGATCTAAAGATGGATATCTGTTTTTTCTACCTACTGGAATCCTATGGGGATACAAAAAACCGTTATTGTTTTTACCACACAATCGCATCACTGCGCTCTCTTTCACAAGCGTCTTACAACGTACCTTCAATCTTTCACTCGACATCGACATGTCAGTCCCAGGCGGCGAAGACACTACCGAGGAAATGGAATTTCAGATGATAGACCAAGAAGATTTCGCCGGCATAAATGAATTTGTACAAAGACATGGATTGCAAGATAAGAGTATGGCCGAGCAGCGTAAGGCCAAGCGATTGAATGTGAATGTGATGAAGGATGAAGATGGGAACGTAGTCGGGAACGCGGAAGCAGGAGAGTTGGAAAGGGCGGCGCAGGAAGCTGAACAAGCAGCAATGGATGAAGAAGACGAAGACGAAGAGGACTATGATCCAGGAAGTGAGGGCGAGAGTGAAGGGAGTGGCACGAGTGATAGTGAGGAGGATGATGACGAGAATGGAGAGGGAAGCGGTGCCGAGGAGGATGATGAGGATGATGAGGATGTAAATGGAAAGAATGGAAAGAATGGAAAGAATGGGGAGGAGAAAGAGTTGTAGGAATAAAACGTTTGAGCTTTGCTATACGCGTGGACGTATATGCTGCATTTCTGGTAGATTTGCTGTACCAAATCTTGGTTTGGGCATGTAGTATCCGTGGGTGCTGGTAAGCACTTGTATGAATTACATAAAAAGTTGGATTCCACAAAGCTATTTTGTTCCCATTCCATCGTGGAGATACCATCATTCATCCTAATTCGCCCACACCATCCGGGGCACCAAAAGTCAACATAGAACTCACGGGTATTGATATCTCATCTGACTAAATAATTGCGTTATATCTCAGTATTACATGGGTAAATTTTTGTTAACGTCAAGCGCTTCGCATACTTTGTGATACATATTTGTGTCTTGCCATCCCGACAAGCTCAATATCAATCCCTCATCACTCTCGCCTTGGAGTGTATAAGAAGTACGTGGTCGTCCCGAGTTTTTGCGAATGGTTCTCGGGCATTAACCGATAATAGATTTGACTGCCATATGACGAGGTCGTCAGTTGTTGATGGTCCCATTTTGAAATAGGAGCGAAATATCTCTTCGCTGCTTGGAAGGCAACTCCATTTGGGAGATGTTTCATGTGTGGGAAATATATGATTGGGAGACTGCTATTGTCCAATTAGTTTTTTATGTTCTGGAGATTGATGTGGAGGGTACATTGCAGTATATGCCCTTAGTACTTTTCACGCCAACTACTAAAATCCATACCTTCTCATAGTGACCATGTTACTTAATGTATAGACTCTACTTGAATTTTGCAATATTGGGTCTCCTTGGTAGGTTCAACCATTGATGCGAAGCTCGTGCTGGGATCCCGATATTAAGTACTGATGGTATGGGAAAGCATGTTCGTATTTCGGACGACATCCTTATCGTGCAACTGTATGTTTCTCACTAGCAAGATCGTGTTTTTTTCAATGTCTAAATCATATGCAGAGAATTCCGTGCACACACTACTCTGCTGACAATAGAGTTTGGGACATCTGCAGACGGACTGAACGATGATCCGGACATTTCTCCTCAACCTTGAAATTTAAAAGTACCAGGAATAAATAGATAGTGGCGCTCGCCTTCTTTACCTAATTCGGTGCATTCGCCTTCATGCCATTCACCAATTCGCAACTACACCTCTTCTTGTCTGCCCTTCCATGCACGTACCGTATTCACGGGCTATCAAGTGTCGATGTTGACTCATCGTCTTGTCGCCCTCATGATTTTCACATCCAATTAGTGGTGTCAATGATTATGTAGTACATCTCCAAATAAAGGCCTATTTGTCCATGACACATCAATTCACACCATCCCCCACCATCCCCCACTCGTTCCCAAAAGCATCAATATGATAAATCATCTCCCTACGCCATCATGCAGCTAAACCTCTGGAAAGTTGAGGTCTCGAACGGGGACCATCCTAAGGCCAAAAGAAAGGAAGGAAGAATGGAAGAAATCCCTTTAAAGAAGAGAAAATGTGGAAAGATTTTCAGCCATTCTAGTTTCAAGATTTTCCACCACTTGGAGTGAAAAAACATTAAAAAAAAAATAATCATCCTGGCGAGCGGCATAGTCGGGACCTCACCGGTCGATTGCGTCTGAAAATGAAACGAAATCTGAACAGGAAGCCATACTGAACAAAGAATTTTGTGCGTATTAACCAGCAGTACTCGAATCTGTTGTTGGATTCGGATGTGAACCGAGAGACCTTGCTATCGGGATCTAGTACCGAGACATTATGTATGGATCTTTTTCCCTAAAAGCTCCGATACACATTGAGAACGACGTCGTTGAGACTCGAGAGGCAGTTTTAGGAACGGGAAGCAATTGTTGGGATAGTGGATGTCTCTTTCGGTGTTAATACTGCTTTTGTCTTTCCTTCAGCCATGTTTCGAAAAAGGATAAGTCGGGAATGATGTTTGAAAAGAATAATACCGTAACAATAAAACTGAAGAGGCTTCCACATGGTTGGCGGATCTGCTTGCCGCTCCTTACATGTTCATAACCTCGTATATTGGTAGCACAAGCATGAGCAAATAACACTAGGATTCCGTACAACTTCAAGTCTAGACCTCTGTACCTGCATGAACTTACAGTTTTCGTGGCTCCAATTCTTGTCTCTTGCATATCAAAGGTTTGCACCTGAATTAGGAAGTATTCCAATTCGAAATTATACGATACAATAAGAGATCTCTCCGGGTAAAATAAAGGAGCTGAAGAGAGGAGGTAGAGTGAAGAAAAAGCCAAAAGCCTCCGTGTCGTATTGTTAGTACCTTTGGACTTGGCTCGGAACATTTGGACGGGATCGTTTGTAGAGTTGAATTGAGGCAAGCCAAGAAGTGACATGAACTTATATCTCCGAATATTCATGCTTATGCTCATGCTCATGCTCATGCTCATGCTCATGCTCATGCTCATGCTGTAGATTGTGGATTCGGGCATGTGAGTGAGATGAGGAAGAACATTTTGATCTCTTGAAAATCTTGTGCTTTGCCGATAGAGTACACTGCAGACGCATATTAGAAATTGAGTGATGAAAAAAAATAGCAACTCACGGGCAAAAGTGTAACGTGAATGTCTTGTACAGTACAGTACAATACAAGTACAAGAATTCAAGTCATGCGACTTCCAAGAATTTATCTACCTAGTCCTATAATCCAATACTATCTATCGGACGAAAGACCTCGAGAACAACCATGCAAGAAGTCACTTGCCAATTCAATTTGATATTCAAATTTATTCTCTATCAAAAACTATCACAGCATTTACAATACTACACTACAACGTCCATCACACACATGCCGTGCGTCTCCCTCAAATACTGGAAATAGGCACGGGAAATCAATTACCCTCACTCTCACTGGATTCTCAAAACGGAAAGCTTAGCAAGCTGCAGTATCACTCAGTCCACCAATTCAAGTCCCCTAAAACACCATCATGGTCAAACTCAACATAAACTCACGGTGTACATCACAGCAGCAAGATTAACGTCCCCGAATGCACAAGTGTATATGCATGTTTCTTCCTAGCTGCAAGCCAACGGGTCAAGTACATGAGGTCTGTACACACATGGTATGCAGATTTCGAATACTTTGCAGTACACGAGTATACCAAATCTCGAGAGGCCCAACGTTTCAGAACACACTCACTATCTTAATGATGGTAGGAGTATGTGAGATGCACTTAGAAAGATGGCTAGCTTGAATCATCACGACATTTCATTTCCTTCGTGCAACTCTTACAAGTCGTGAAGCCTACAGCAATGACAAACGCTTCCTCATATATGGACGATAGGGGAGTGGGTACATAAAAACGTTTAGGAAAGTGTGCTCGGGCCTTTCAATCAGCCCAAACAAAGTCCAAGGCCAGATCTACAAGTTGCGATAAGTCATGTGGCAACTCACAGCACCAGCTGTACTGTACTTTACGCATTGGCTCATTCACGCACTCTCACCTGATCAGGGCTCAAGCTGGCTTGCTCTGTGGGGGACTCTGCAGCTAAGTTTAGGTGGTGAGATTAGAAAGGCTTAGGAGAGTATGGAGAGACAGGCGTGCCGATTACAGCGCCAGCGTCATAGATTCCTGGCAAGTACATACACTCAACATGCATACGCCGCACACATCCAGACACCATGCAGCGTCGATCACCCCAACAGGACAGAGGAAAGGATAATCTCTAGTTGTCTACTCGGTAGAGCATACTAGCTATAATTGTATTGGTACATTTCGGCTTTCATGCCCAGACTGCAGGTACACTTTTTAGCGATGGCCACGCACCCCTTGCATGTCCAGCTCCCTCCATATTTCACTGCCTTAAAAATAATGCATCGATATTGATTTCGTGAAAACCTAAAAGAGCTGCGAGCATTTCGTTGAGTGCTTGAAAATGTAGGCGGGAAAATATGTTGAATGGGAGCATGTGCCTGTGAAAGTTCGGTCAAAATCTAGTTGCCTTTCAGAAACAGAGTATCCGCGCCAATAGACACATCGATTAAGTTACTGCGTACAATATAAAAATCAGGAAATATCCTGGATACAATCGCCTTGTATTGATTGGATCCGAGTATTGTCGATGCAATCTTATGTTGTACACTGAGTGCTTGCCTTTCGAACTTGATGAAAAGTACAGAAGCATCGTCGGTGCACACATGCCAAATTCATCAGTATCAAAAATCAAATTGCAAATAGAATATAAATTCTCGTGTTAGGTATCTGAATGGATCGTGCTGTGAGACGAAGGTTACTAAGCGGTATATATCGCATCTATTACAGTCATATCACACTTAAAAGTAGTCAATGAATGGTTCTGATAAAATGCTTTTCTCCATTTTTTAATGGTAGGGTATCTAGAACTAATATTCAATAAATCCTCCCTCGCTGTGCTGGTTTCCACCTCGTTCATTCAAGCTGTTGACTGACTAACCATAAAGGATCCATATGTACGCTCCCTTTTCCTTTGCGCTTTGCCACATTGGAATTTTCGTTGGAGATGATTTTGAAGGATTGTCGCGATTGCGTTGCGTGTGCGCGATACAGAATATTTCTCTCATTGAGTTTCACCGCTTTTCCATTCCCATCGCTCCTTCCCCTCTGTTCTATAAGATCGCCCTTATGTTCACACTCCACATCCACCACCTTTCTATCTCAACTCATTCCTATCCTTTGGTATATTATCCTCCACCCTCCGCTGCTACCGGTATATTACAAGAAAAATGCGCACAGGTGTCTATTGTCCCATTATGCGTCCATCTAAGGGGGTTTTACCCCTTTCCTTGCCTGATCCCATCCGGTCCCATAAACCAAGCTCCTGTCCATCCTCCTTTCCAAACCGAGCTAAACCCAAGCCATTCAGACCAGGCCCGGACCATATCCCAGCCCCATGATATTTTTGCGCTCCAGCTCCATTGCGGCACACGAAAATGTAATCAAAAAACTAAGTACACGTGAAAGGAAACAATGCATAGTATGATTATGAATATTTTCAAATAAAATAGTAAACAATACACAAGAATGATAACAATGCTTAAAGGACAGTGCAGATCTCGAATCTCAAGTTGCTAGTCTTCAAGGATAGTTGCCTGTTAAGGAGCGTTGGGGTATAGTAAAAATTCGTTTCGTTCGTAAAGTCGTTAAAAAGATGCGGTGGGACGGTGCGACCATCAACCGACCAGAAGTAAAAACAAGAAGGAAAAAAGGCGGCTCGTGAGGGCCAGGACCTTCTTAAGACGCTCGATTTCGATTACATTCAAGGCTTCCCTAATGCCACAGGGAATTTATCTGTGATGAATCGGAGAAGCTTGGTTGTTTTGCTGGGATTTCGTCGAAGTTGCGCGGTAGCTTGAACCATTGGTCCAACGATATCTTCGTCCCCAAGCTGAGGGAATTTGCCTTCGCTGCGAGGGTCGTTTAGCGATGGGATTTTCGTCATGACGTTGCTTGAGGAAGCATTGCCAAGCGTGTTGTGTTTCAATGTGGCAAAGGCATCTGTGGAGCTCTGGGCTGTAGTAGCAATTGTGAGTTCACTGTTTTTCATCCATTTGAGATCTGTTTGAGCCCATTTTTCCTCAGTCAACTTATAAGTTTTTGAAGTGACTCCATAGTGTTCACCTGTGCGAACAATATGCTTAGTATAGTTACAACGCGCGAGATCCCAATCAGCTCGTAGTTGCCGGCAAGCTTCGAGGTCAAAATTCTCAGGGACATAAGGCTCGGGGTGAATGACGAAGTTAGCATGGCCAAGTTTGTTTGCCCACTCATCGTTCTCCTCAGCGATCAGAATGGCAGGAATCTCTGAAGAGGGAACTATATAATTTGATCTAATTGTTGATCTATGAAAGGATGAAATAGATGGCTTAGTACTAAGTGGCGGTGAGGGCATTCCATGTAATTGTTGGGTAATCATGAAATCAATGGGCGTGTTGGCGCCAGACATCGAATCACTCGTGTCAGCGACAGATGGTGACTGTAATGGTGATTGCATTTTGAACTGCTCCTTGGCTAAGACATCAGTCATGAGAGGTGGAAGCAATGGCGTGCCGGCCAATCCTTCTTCGAATTCCGACATACCGCTTTTTGCCTTTTCGATATCGAGGAAGGATGTTGTAGAGCTATTATCGCGGCTACCAAAGACGCTTCTGGTTGGAGTAGGTGGTAAATGGAGATCAGAAGTATCGTCCAGAGGTCTGCGAGCGGAGTTAGACCTCGATGAGGATCTACTAGAAGGGGCCCTTGAAGTTGCATAATCTCGTTGGGTATCGGATGATATGGATGCTGCTGAAGAACCCGTGGCTTTTCGGGCACTCCATTTGCGGGCAAAGGAAGGAAACTTGCTATTGAATCGAGATGTGAGTCCATTCAGTGGCGATTCGTTTCCTCTCCTCTTCTTGTATCTCTGGCCTAATGGAAACTCTCCATCACTAAAGAATCCATCCGAAAGATCATAGTAAGAGTCTTGATTGGTAGATAAATGGACTGAGCTTTGGGCCATAGACGTATCTCTATGCAAGCAATACAGATCGTCGCCTATATATCACGAGAACAAGGATTAGCCTATCGCCTTTGCCCCAGTGGATGTGCGTTTTCGCGATTATCATTACCCCGCGTAGTCATCCAAGAGATAAACAGTAAATAAATGTATGAAGGTTTTAGGTCATTAAAGAATGAAGGTCTGGACGTAATTTAGGACTTACACAGGCAGTTGTAGAGTTCATCGCAATCTGGGATATCGTCGTCGTCCTCAAACATGAAGTCATTCTCCCGTTCGCAACGAGGTTCTTCTTGAACATCAGGCAGTGATCGCTTGCCGGATTTGTTGGTTGCGAATGTCGGCGAGGACGGACTTTCATAGAGGTACTGTGATTCGATTGAAGAAGCTGAGCTTGGATGCCTCATATGGCCTCGTGTAGAGAAAGTTGGTGTAACTGGCGATGGTAGCTCAGATGCCGATGAGTTTTGTGTATGAATTGAGCACGAAAGATCCATATCTAATTCTGGCAAGCTCTCTATAGCTTTTCTCTCGGCAACATGGCCAGGAAGGCGAAACTCAGCTAATCCTGTTGGCATTTTGGGAGACAGCGAGTAAGTGAAAGTTGGGATTTTGGAGGCAGGTCGATGTAGCGACTTGTATCGTGTCGATATTGTACTTCAGTCAAAACGGGTGCGAGTCTATAGTGCAATTGACAACATAATACGAAGGTAATGCTTCTCTTTTCTTTTCTGATAAATTGATGTAGCGATACTGAAGTGAGGAAACTGCACAAGTAACTTGTTCACAACTTGCAATCATACGTGGACGTTTCGAAAGTTATGCGTTTTCCAACGGACCACGTAGTTATGTGTATAGCTAGGTTGAACGCGCGATGGGAGAAATGTATGGGTAATGAAGACTTGGATGCGTGGTTGGGAGTTCTGGGTGCGCTGCGAACTTTTTCTTTGCAGAACCAATCAGACATTGCTCTACCCAGCGTTTCCTCATCCAATACTCTCACGTGAAGGATGACTAGAAAAACTTTGCAGAATTTCGGGGACTATGTAAGACTTACAGTAATTGGACAGTCCGATAGTTCAATGTTGGGATATTGCATTCAACTGATAGTAGTGTTTGACAAGAGGGCGGAGTGATGTATGTGACGGTATGTGACGGGATACGACGGTGAAGGGGGTTATCAGGGTGCTTGCTCTTGAGGTCTAAGTGGTCAAACTTGGGTCCTGCTGGTCGATAAACTTGACGAGTGGATTTTGGGTGATTTAAGACGGAGAAAAGAACAAGTCAGAAGGTTGAAAAGATGGAGATTAAGAAGTCCTGAGTTCGAGAGGTCGAGAGGTCGAGAGGTCGAGAGGTCGGAAATCCAAGAGGGTTGGTTGGTGGGTGTGTGGATGAGACCCGTGGGAGTGGATGGGAATGGGGTGGGAATGAATAGATGGATGGATAGTTAGTTCTAGGTACTCCGTATCCGTAGTCTTTCGATTTTTGTGTTTGTGTCTGTGTTATGATGTGACCCAGTATTTTTTGGTTTATTTTTTATTTTTTTTTTGACTCACTAACAAAATTTCCCCCGGGGCAATGGAATTGAAAAAGAATGTGGAGCACAGATGATAGAAGTTAGAACCTACAACTACAACAACCACAACTACAACTACAACTACAACTACAAGCTAGGTACACGACTTAATCGTACTGCTATGTACTCCTCACCTACTAGATAGTCCCTCCCCCTCTAACCTATGCTGCTATGCATGTCTGTTTCTCTCCTCTTATTTACTCTGTCTGTACTTTACAGGGAAGGGCATCCGGATCACAACACTAGTAATTACCTCGGAAAGCCCACTTTTTGGTTCTTTTCTCTTGGGGTCTTGGGGACCAGAAGCTGCACCGGCCGTCTAAGTCTTCGTAGCCATAGAGCTCGCGCGGCGGGAAGGGAAAAGGCCATGGAAATATCCAGGGAATTTTAATTGGTAGAATGTTCCAAATACCGGCCTCCCTGCCTGTCTACCTACCTACGAATTTTATGATGATTTGGCAGGTTACACCCAAAAGAGGTGTCTTTCACATTAACGTCGTCACATATGTCATAGATATATCGCATTCGCCTGGTCTTCGATAGCTATATGTATATTCTTCCTTTACTCGCTGCTCCTTTTCGTTCGCTCAGAGCCTGCGCAAGACATTTGGGTACAGTCACAGTACGTACATACACTCACTACCTGAGAGCTTTAAGCACCTCCAGAAACTTAGCGAATCTTGCAGCTACACGAAATCTTCCAAACTTCCAAATGACTTTTCTGACTTTGCTCTATGTGGATTTAATGGAAACACCGATATGCCGTCGGAAGTTGGAACACTCACCCCCACGTTAAAAGGGAAGGGTCCAGATTCTTTCTCGCATAATGGGCAGGTCGAGTTGTTATCCAAACCTCTTGCCGTAAGGTATGTATGCTTGTTCCAAAATCCCTTTGCTCATGAGGAAATTAGAATGTTCTATTCTTTTAATATGGGAGCATTCGATTCGTCTTTCCATAATCCTAGTTAGTTCAATCAAATAAGAACAAAGCAAGGTATGTCGGACAATACATACAGACTTGGAAATGGAGGAGAATGGTACCGTACTCAAGGTCATAAAGGAGCATAGATCCCAATGTCCCGGGGAACAAGGGCAGAGAGAAACCAGTCGGTCTTACTGCTCATCACAACTATGGCGGTGGGTCGCATTCCCCCCGTTTCTGTCAGTGGTTGATTCTGTGAATCTATGGAAAGAATCCTTTTGGAGGTTAGCGTACAGTAAGCGAACTACGGAGCAAAGCTTGATTACTATTATTACATTATTCTTTCTCTCCTTTGCCGACTTCTCGAGTTTACAAGGGGAAAGAAGTGGTTGTGAGTCGTGAATCGTGAATCATGATGGCTCATTTGATCAATGAGCGGAAAGTCACGAATATGAACAGAGTAGATAGTCTCCGAGAGCTAGCAACACTGGGAATATACCGAGTATTTTAAGTTCCAAGTTTTAAGACCTCAGTCTCAAATGTAACCTTTTGCTATCCTCAACATTGACAAGCGCTACGCCGGAAAAGGTTTATCACATCCCACCAGTATTCTGCTTCTACAATAGGAAAGAAATTTTAAGCTTCTTTTCTTCAAATGCAATGACGAAACTAAGCAGCAATATATGCACCTCTTTGAAAATGGTTGAGTCCATAACTAAAGTGATGGGTTTTTCATATATTCTGTACGTATTTACCGTAACACTCCTTGTTAAGGCTAAGCTTCGCCCTGTCAAAGTCCACAGCATTTTTTGAGACACCTATGGTGCAGGAACCCGACCGTCGATCCAATGATCGAGGGCATGCCGTTCTTTCTCGATGTTTCAAGCAATGTGTGGTACCCCCTTTCCATAGTCCGCCTTGCGATTCATCACATCTGATATCTTGTTCAGCTGTGCGAGGCAATACATTACCGCCCGCTTTGCCTTATCGTCGAGAAAGAGACGCCAGGGGCATGACTTTAAAAGGTGTGATTTTATGATTTCTTGGTTTCTTGTGATCTGTATGGCAGAGGTTGGTTCCGGGATTGCAAAAAAAAATCTATTTAATTTGTTTGGCAAACAAGTTAAATATTTCTGTTCGCTATTTTTCTTCATGTTTGCTAAATAAGCCCTGTTAAATAAATCAATAATCAATAATTTCAGTATTCCGCACGGAAAAGGGAGCGTACAGATTCCGCGGACTTCTCATAGGTGGATAACCCAATGCCCCATCGGACCACTGGTTAGTTGTATTCTTGGTAGTGTTTGGAACATACACCGTAGAAGTTGTAAAGAACAAAAAAGTGGGAAACCCAAAAAAGCTCTCACTCATTCATCCACCTGGGTAGGAAGTTAAACAAAACACTCTCTATAAGATAAATTGGTGATCCTTCGACTATGTCGCATATGTTCTCGCATTTCACAACTAGTACGGCATACCCAACAACCACACATCCAATTTACACTCAATGGTAGTGTCTGGTGCATTGAAGCCACTCTAACTCGGAAAAGCCTCTTAATTTTACATCTACAATCTAATAGTGATTCCAAGTTCATCTTGAAAAGCATAGGCCCTTGTACTGGCCTGATTTTCTGGTCGGTCTCTGAGGCCGCTCAGTGAAGGGTTGGATCGGCGTGGTCGAGATACCGACCCAACCTCCTGATTTAGCCGGTCCTCGCATGGAGTGCACCGTCGCATCCCAAACCAACACTTTTAAAGGCTCCTTTTGCTAACCAGCCAAGAGTAAAAGCAAGGGAAGAAATGTCAATTCGTGAGCTTCTCACCAAAATAGAACACTTTATGTTAAAACATAGCTAAACTTTCGCATCACATTGACGAGCAATTTTCAATGTTGTAAATTAGAAATCCCCCTTTTGTTGAGGTGAAAGACGGACAGATACAGGCATACAGTTATTGTAACATTGCTGCAGCCCATCATTGTCGCCAATCGGGCGAAGCAAATTCGCAAGTCAACGAGGGACAGTATTAGGATAAATGTATGCCTTCCTCGGATAATATGAACGCCATGTGAAATATGCCACGTTCGTGCACTCTGGTCTTATCAAGATCATTGAATAATCTTTCAAACCCAATGTTGAGACCATATTTCTCGTTGGGCTTCGCTTCCCTCAAACTTATGACCTCAGCATTAGACGTACAGGGGGGAAAATGTATGCCGTGAGACGTACCTTGAATGGTACTTCTATAATATCCTGGAATCCTTCGGTCAATTCTGGTTTTTGAAATCTCGACGTGAAGCTTGTAAAGGCTAATTTAGGGAGTAATTTTCTCTTTTCTGGGTTCATCTGTGTCGGATTAGAATGTCATATCCAGGAAGGATGTCATGAACCTTTCTCGTCAATGGCGAAGAAAATCCATTAGAGTGAAGAGGACATACGGTTTGATTTAGGGCTCGCACAGCATCGTTGTGCTCGCATACTTGTACGCCTGCTAAAAAATGGACACAGCGGATCGGTACGGAATACTTGGCAGCTAATGCTACCCATTTGCTTCGAATATCTCGATCCGCATTTGTATTGTCTAGAAGGTGTCAGTTCCGCTGCCATCATATGAATGCAGTGCAAGCACAACTACTCACCCACAACCACAGACGTACCCTCATTTAAATACTGTTCAGCAGCTTTGAAGCATTTGTCTCGCTCGTTAGATGTTAGTTTATACTCTGTAACCACTGGCAAACGCAGCACATACTGTTTTGAGGATATCTTGGTTCACTCTAGCATAACCAAGAGGTTCCAATTGCTTCCAATAAAATGTAGATTTTCCAGCTCCGGGACTACCACAGAAAATGGCTACCTCTGTCGGGTTAACTTTTTCGTACTTTGGAGACACTAGGACAATGTCAAAAATAAATCAATAGCAGGCAAAGCTTCATGATCCCAACCTGTAGTGTTTCTAGAGCAGTGATCTTCTGGCTCAAATGTGCGAGTAAATGGTCTTGATGTTTCTTTGAGAAAATATTCTTCGGGGGTATAGAATTTGATCCCGACGTTCTCGGCAAAATTCCTACAAAGTATTAACGATCAATACAACGTCGAGACCCAGATAGCTTTACCGATCCGAGCAAGCAAAGTCCTTTGATTTTCCAGTACTGGCGTGGCGCCCGGCAGCATCTCCAACAAAGATGGACTCTCGAAGATTAAGGTCACCTGGAAGGTGAATGTCGTAATCTTCAAGTAATTCATTCCACATGCCCGTTCGTGGCTTTCGATATATGTCATTCTCTGTTGCTGCATAAATACCCACTGGAATATTGAGACGATTCAAAACCGCAGAAACTTTCGCCTTGAAGTCCGCAAGTCGAACTTTGGGGGATTTGGGGTCCGTTTTGAGGGAAATACCACCCTGGTTGCTGATCACAACGACACGAAAACTGCAAAATATTCAGTAACTCAGAAGTATATACGAGGTAATGTGTTACCGACCCATCCTCCAAGTATAGTTTTCTCAGAATACCAGGAACCGATGGATGCCACCACTTCCAGTCCTGAGCGTTACTAGAATGCTTCTTGCCAGAGGATGTTTGTATGAGAGTTGAGTCCTGTTGTGAGATATTATTAGGGCTTTGCTTCAAAGGGTGCGAAGCCAGTACTCACAAAATCAAAAGCAGCAACTTTGTTTCTTTTCAGATTGGGTGATGATACCTCTGTAACTGAGCTGGTTGGTGGTTCAAATTTGCCAACCAAGAGCGTGCTTGGTGTATCATCATTTGGAGCGCGTCCTTGCCAGGAAATCTTTTCAGGTGGCTTTTGCGATGTAGGCGTAAAGAATGTTGCAACAGCAGTCTCTAAAAGTAGTTTCAATTATAATTCGTCAAACGTTCTTGTGAAGCTTACGCGTTGTCGTAGACTGTACTTTGCGACGCAATGGTGGGGGTGATATTGACCGGTCTGTACTTGATTTTCTCTTCTGTAGTACTCTAGCAGGGCTTGCCATAATTTTCCAAATATATCTCAAGGCGGACACTTGAAGATATCCTACTGATGATATGGTAGCCAGCTTGATAATGAGTATTTTTCTGATGTTCGTGATGGTTTTGTTTTTACGTAGGTAGGTAGGTAGGTGTAAATAAATATTCAATATCTTCATGATCAATCGGGCGTGTGTCAAGTTGGTTGCGCGAGGCAATCACGAAAGTCACGTGCTTGTGACGTCCAGCTACAAGTCGTGACTTCCATTCCAGACAAAGGCATAGCTCAAATAAAGGCCAGAAACTTTCATATTCAGCCCTTCTCTACTATACACATTCGTCAGCTTGATGCCATATGACATTCCAAATATGAATGTATACCTTTAGAAACAGAAACTGCATTCATTGGCCAGTAATCACCATGCTCATCCCGAACATCAGCAACCAATATTGAATGACTTCACAGGCAGCATATCCACGACAGTGGTGTTGGAAGTAACACATCTTATTCATCATAACGCATAAATACTAGGCTAGGAAGGGGGAAGGGGCGTTCCACGCTACTGTCATCATATCTGCTACTTGTTATTCTACCATCTGCATCACTCTTCTCTGCCGACCTTTCCTCGCCGGTGTTTCTATTTTGAGCAATCCAGATCAGTCGGACTAAGCCAAGTCTTCGTGAGAACTTATTATGTATCATCTTGTGTACGCAGAAGCAGGTCCGATATCCATTAGTTTGGTGTCCTTTTCATTCGGGCCAACCGTATGATCCGTAGTTCCCCTCTCCAGCAGAATAGTTATTTGACACACAGCCTTCATTCTGTCTCCATTGCAATGCACAACCTTCCTCCTCTCCATCAAATAAATATCTTGTTGGTCGGTCACGAAAATGGCACTTGCCGCATTGCTTTATGTTGAATATGACCCAACAACCAGTTGTCCATTCAGGGCCCATGAATGCCCCGAAAAAAAGACAAGTATCAAGCTCGACGAGTCGCTCTATTTCAGGGCATATTGCAGTAGTAGCATCCTGGCCTCATAGTAGTTTGTGACAGTTAGACTCGGGGAGGCATATATTTTTGACTCTAACTAGTCTAGTACAGACCATTCTGGCTCGAAATCTCTTCCGCATTTTTTAATCCTAGTGATGGGATATTTTAAAGCACTTGCTCAGTCTTAGGGAGAAGACCATTTTCAGTACCTGTCAAAAGATGACATATTTTCGACACCGTCGGCCTGTTTTAGTTGGGGGTGTCTTCTATTATCTTAAAAGGAGAAAGGAGACTAGCCAGTAAGTACAGATACCGTCTTTCACGTAGGGTTTATTATTACTTGCGTGAATATATATATGTATCAAATAGAAAACTGTATGACTCGCATCAAATATGCTGCGTCTTTTCGCAGACAGGCTGGACAATAAAAAAAGCAGATGTATCCATCAGCGAAGCTATTTTCTAATGTTATGGCATACGACTACGACGTTCATTCTTCGAATAATTCTGATACCCACTCGAAATGTATTAATGTGCACTCAGTATCGACACACAATAAGATTTCCTCGGTCTTCAATTCCATTTTCACGGAACCCAACAGGTAGATATTCGCACTTTTTTCCCGAACCACGAAAAACTTGAGGCCAAAACTCAAAACTTAAAGCTTCGCAACTAAAATCAAACTTAAAAATGCAATACCACACCAACCTAATCGTTCACCACCAAAGGCAATTTGGCAAATTCTTCATAAAGACTCTTAGACTGTATTGCCATTTGCACCGTGCTGAGTCGAGTGCATTTCCCTAAGCTTCCACGTACCAATAGATTTCCCACCTCAATTTTTAGATAAATTCGTCGGTCATACGGTTACAGGTGACTTGTAGCATTCTAATCTCGAAACTCATACAAAATATTTCTCGGCGTTGACGCCTATGCGGTTAAGACGGTTGTAGTAACGGGTTCTGGGCATCCGTACTGGCGGTTCCAGATGGACTACAAATGCGAGATGGTGATCTTACGGTTGCCTGGTTGAACAAGCGCTTATACCCTTTGATGAATCACACATCTATCTACTCAAACAAATCTTCACACGTGCTGCAGCTCTCAGTTACCAACATCACTTATACACACAAACTCACAACGAGCCGAGGCCCCGACTCTCACACTTTTTGGTATTTAAGTTTTGGATAGTATGGAAAATACGATTTTCACTTCTTATTGATCACTACATCCTGTCATCACAGCGATGATACCAACAATGAAAGCAAATAACATTGGTATCAAAGATTCATCAAAATCATAAAAGCTATAACTTCAAACGCATCAAGTTGCAATATACATACTTTAGACTCACGCCTTATCATAACGGCCTGCTCTTCATTTACCTCGTTCTCTATCCCGAGTATTGCCTCGGGGACCATGACTACCCCTCGTAGCTGGAGCACCTCGAGTAGAGGCGGCATCCTTGGCCGCCACTCTAGTGCTAGCACCAGCAGCGGGTGTCAGCGATGTCACTGTCGTTTCCCCCAGCCCACCCTCTGTAGCGGCAAACTCCGTCACAACATTCTTCGCCGGCCTTTTTTGCGTAATCTTGCTCACTAAACTACCAAAATCCATCGTATGAATGGATTCCTCCAGCTCACCAAGGCTAGCTGCTTGGATAAAAAGCACTTTACCGCCAGTGAAGCCGTCTTGAAGCAGTCTGGTGAGCTGTGTGTCTCGGAATGGAATGCGTGCTGCGTTGTTGCCCATGGCAATTAGCACGCTTTTCAAGGCTGAAAGCTCGGAGTTGATAGCTTGTGTTTCTGTCTGTCGACCAGTGACATTTTTCAAAGACTCGGAACCTGCAAGATCAATGAATGTAATGCCGGAGCGTGTCGTTGTGATGGCACCAGATGGTTCTGTCTTTGATGCTTTTATCTGGAAGGACAAGAACATGTGAGAACGTGATGAAGTGTCATTTTTCTCAGTTTGACCTGATGTACGATTCTTATTCACATCCTTAATCATTGCTTGAATGGATTCAAGATTGTCAAGAACAGTCGTTTGTACTGGCAATACTTGTTCACGGACGGGCCACATACCACCGCACTCGCTTGAGACCTTTTGTGGTTCTCGTACTGGCTTGAAGAGGTCGTATACCTTATGTTCATATACTTCAATACAGCGGCCCTTGACACTATAGTCTGTCCCGTAGGATTTGCCGAGTTGAGTGAAAATTTTTTCTAAAGCCATATCGAGCATTGCACTCATAGTGTATGTTTTTCCAGAGCCAGTTTGTCCATATGCAAGGACGGTAATATCATAACCTTGAAGGGCAGCTTCTAAGATTTCACTTAGGTCGTGGAAAACGGAGGCATTGTTAGCTTCAGGTGCAAAGACACGGTCGAATTGGAAGTCGCGAGTGTTGCCAAATCTGTCGATGACTTCTACTTTATCACCACCACGAATTGAGATGGGCTGCTTAATGAGAGTGCCTTGCGGAGGTCGGATACGTAGCCAGGACCGGAAGTTTCCTTTGCTTTCAATAAGTTCGAGTCTGAGTTTCTTGACAAGTGTCTCCATTTCTTCAAGTTGAATAGTAAAAGATTCCTTCACGGATTTCAGCTCAGTCTCCATGAATACCTTTTCGATGACTAGATCATCGTTATCATTTATGAGTTTTGCTATCTCATCTCCGTGCTGCTTCGCTATCTGTTTTGCTTTAGAATTTTCTTGTTTGACTTGCACTTTCGCTTCGTGCAGCTCTTTTTCAAGTGCTAAGCTTTTCGACTTCAGATTTTTTATCTCTTCTTTGTCAGCTGCACTATCCTTGAGCCTGATACTTTGGATCCTGGCCGCATCAAGGGATCGACTCATGGGAGGCGCCACTACTCTTGCGGCTTCGCATTCCCGTAATTTTCGATTGGTATTTCTCAGTTGTTTTTGAAGCTGTTCAACCGTCTCATCCTTACTTATCAGTTCCACAGCTTTTCTATTACTGTACGCCTGCAAGGCATCGAACTTTGCTTGATTTACTTTAAGTTCGCCCTGCAGTTGGGCTAGTAGCAGATTTTGGGTCACCGATATGGCTTTAGAATTGCTGACTTTGACGCTTGTCTCGTCGACCATTTTTGTCAGGGCTTTATTATCCGCGGCATGTTTATCGCTTGCTTCACCTAAATTTCTGATGATTTCGTCTTGATTGCATACTTTGAAGGACAGCGCTTCAATTGCTGCCGTAACATCTTGTGAGACTTGTACTGGCTTAGGACGCGCCCGCGCCTGTCTTATTAGCTTCTGGTGCACTGGAATAATTGGAGACCAACCTCGTGTGACTGCCCACAGTCTGATTCTCTTCCTGATATTCTCCAAATCATTAATGTTGTTTTGCTGCTCTGTTTGAGCTACCGTCAACGACAGGCTCATCGCTTCTCCACTTCTCTTGCTCGCATCATCTACTCCATCTGGCTCGACCTCGGGATCGTGCTCCATAGCTTCTGACCTAGTTTTTGATATCATTTCTATGCCTTGCGAGATCGGTCCTGCTTCTGTCATGTCTTGCTCTTGCTCGTTAGGATTGGTGACCTTGCCACTTTTGGTACTTTGGCCCGTTTCGCGGCGGCGAATTTCAGCAAATTGTTGACGAAGATTCTCCCTTTCTGACATATTGCAAGTCAATGGTTAACTGACGTGTGTCTATAATTGGATTACTCTAGGAAGTGGAGAACTTGGGACTGAATGTCCAAATACTTATATATGCGTCTGGCTTCTTTGTTAACCGTTCATAAAAAAGGAGACACTCATATTGCCAAATGTGGCAACAATTCATCCAAAGCAAAGACAAAGCCAGACCTAGATTCAATGGAGTTGTTGTTCGACAGAGGCATTGTTCCATTGTGAAATAGTTTGACTGTTCAGAAACCTCATTAGTGTTTTGCTTTGTCTGTTGTGACTATGCTCGAGAAAGAAAGTAAATCTTGAAAGAACCAACAGAAAATGATACAGGAATATAATGAGTATAATTTTTTAAAATAAACTTCTAGGCTAAAAGCAAGAATAAATTAAATAGAGAAAAAATGAGTTTTAAAATCGTTAATTTTAATAATGTGTTTTTGTTTTCATTGAGACATTAGAATATATAAATCTCTTAAGACCTTCAAAAGATTTATAAATATACAAATACTTGAATTGTATTAAAGAATTAAATAATTGTCGGCTTGCCAACACTATAATCTTGCTGTACACAAGGTTCACCCGATAAATGATAGAAAATGAGAAACTCGTTTAAGTGAGTCGCGATCCTGATAATCTGATTGGTCTAAAATACTCCGGTAAATAATCGAACAAAAAGCTTGATATAAGTTTTATAACCTTAGGCAAATCTGGTTTAGAGCTTTTTTCAATTCAATTCAATTGAAATCATTCAACTCAATTCACAATTCAATTGAAATCATTTAACTCTACTAGAATCATTCAACTCGACTCTATTAAAATCATTCAATTCAACTTATTCAACTTATAATAATAATAATAATAATAATAATAATATTAATATTATCTATAATTATTATTTTTAAATAAAAAAATTTAATTTTCAATTATCAAAAACAAATTAATATTCTGCCTGCACTTTAATATATATTCAATATTTAAATTTATTATAAACTTTTTAAAACTTAAATTTTCATTAGACTTTCTCGAAAAGCCAGGGGTCCGAGAGGCGCAGTCCCCTGGTATCTAATTATAAATTATTCAAGGATTTAAATTATTTCTATATAATCTAAATTATATTTCTTATAATATTTTGAGTATTATTATTGTTTCAAATATTAATATAATGAAATAATATTATATTTTTCTAAACCCTTCAATTTAGTAATTCAATTTCAATTATTTTAGAAGATATAAATCAAAATAAAAATATTATTATAAAAAGAACAAAGAATTCTAAAAAAAATTATTATTATTAAAACTTTTAAAATTATTTTATTTAATAAATTTATAGATAATTATCACAGATAGTATAATTATAAAGTATATAAAACAATCTTGATAGAAGTGATATATAAGAGTATATAGAGTTTTATTGAAGTAAATAAACTTGTTTTTGATCTTATTGATTAAGAGTTATATATATATATATAAGGTTGATTCTATTATTTAATGAATGATTATTTTGATAAGGATATAAACTAAATAAATAGAACTTTGTAAAGAATAGTAAGATCGATATAATTATATGATATCGATAAGATATATAGTAAAATGTAAATATATAATTATTATGATGTTATAGATTATATAAAGTTATATAAGATTATATGAATTTTGTAATATACTTTTCAGATCAAGATTCGATCTGAATCTTATAATATTATATATATTAATTGAGGGAGTAGAATGATTTCATTAAATTCTTATTCATTAATAATAAATGTATTCTTACTTTATGATTGATATAAGGTGTTTGAGTGTAAGGTTTTCAATAACGAAATCAGGAATTGAATAAATGATTTTTGGTTTATTGGGATTATATAATAATTTCGTCTGTAATTGATTTAAGAAATCGTTTAATTAAATAGATCGATGTATAAGTGATTGATTGATATTCTTTGAAAGATTTAATTGAAAGTATTGTTATATTTGATTTAGATATGAATTTTTGTTTGTATCAAACTTAGTATAATTTTGTAATCAAGTAAAAGATATATAAAAAGGTTTGAGATTATGATTTTTATAAAAAGAAAAGTTTTTTGGTTGGGAAAATATATTATTGTATATTATTATTATTATATAAATATATAATTGAGTAATATAATTATTGAATAATATAATTGTTGTTAGATTATAATATAATAATTGTAATTCATTTAGAGTATTGACGATTTGTAAAGAAATATATAATAATCCTTTTCTTTCTTTTTTCTTTTATTTATTATAATCATTCAATTCGTTTTTGGTTTTGAATAATGACAAAATCTGATATTAGGAAAAGAGAAAAGAAAAGAAGAGATAAGAAGAGAAAGAAGAAGGAGGAGAAGAGAAAAAAAAAAGGAAAAGGGAAGTGAAAAGAAGAAGGAAACAAAGAGAAAAAAAAATGAAAAGAAAAGATTGAAAAAGAAGAAGAAAAAGAAGAAAATTGTTGAAGAGTATAGTAAATATACAAAGGAAAGATTATAAAGATCAATTGAAATGAGTTAAAAATGATATTCAATTGGGTAAATTCATTATAAGATGATCAAAGGTTAATCTTCAAATAATAAATTGAAGAGAAACTTGTATTTCTTAATTTAAAGTTAATAAATAATGAATTAAGTGTTTAGGGAAATGATTTGTTAGATAACTTTGATAACTTTGATTTTGAGGATATTTAATTGAATCTTTTTATTCGATCTATAATTCCTTTTGTTATCAGTATTCGTTTGTTATTCAAAAATTGTTTTATAATTGATCCGATTATCTTTATTTGTAATGATTTTATCGATAGATTTTTTTTATTTTAGAAAACTTTTTTATTCAAATGAAGAAGAAATTTTTCTAATGAGAATTTGATTATTCGGAGTTGTAGAGGTCTTGATAATTTGAAGGTGAATTGTAATTCTAATCTTGTTTGAGTATTGTTTTTTTGATATTTAATCTTTGAATAATTTTTATCGATTTTGAGTAAGGATATAATGATAAAGAATAAATGGGTTATTTGAAAAAAAAAAAAAGAGGAAAAAAAGGATATTGAGTTTGAATTAGAAATTGAAGTTTCGGTGTTGTTCGATTCTAATTTCTTTTTGAAAGAAAAGAAAGTTGTTATAAAATAAAATATTAATATAAAAAAAGAGGTTGTTAATATTTCTAAATAGAAGAATCTCTAGATCAAAGATAAATATAATAAAATTAAAGTTCATTTTTATATTGATTATATGAAATCTTTGATAATAGGAAAATATTCATTTTATAATTTCTATTATTTAGATAAATCATATTCGAATAATAAGTATTGTTGAAATTGTAATATTTATTCTTATTAGAAGTTTTCAAGTTTTCTTTATTCTTTTATATTCTTTTTATAATTTTTATAAATAAAATTTGAAGATTAGATTATATTCTTTTATTATTTATAAAGATATTAGTTTTATTGATTATATCAAATTTTTTAGAATTATCAAATTGTTATAAAGATTATATTTTATATTGAAGTTATTTATATTATATATTCAAATCGTTTTTTTATATTAAAGAATGATTTTACATCTTTCAAATTGTTTTTGAATAAAAAAAAGAAGATCAATTCCCTTATGATTTCTTTGTTCAAAAAGAGAAAAGTTTTCAAATCTGATTGTAGAAAAATACAAGAAACGATTATTGTATTTGATTTGAATAATGATAAAGGATTGGATTTGTTGTTAAAGATTTTGTTTGATAAGGATAAGATAAAATATAAGATATTTGAGTTGAAAAAAAAGATTTAGTTTACTTTTGTGATTTTTGAATTCTTTTATAAATAATTTATAATTCAATAATGATCTATTCGATTTTAATAATTTTGTTGTTTATATTTTTTAAATTTAAAAGTAAATAGAAGTATTCGAATTTTTGTTGTATAAGGTTTTTAGTAAGATCATTGATAATCATTTTGAATATAGGAGAATAGATTATATAAAAACTTTTTTTTCAATATTCTTATTGTATTTATATATTTTGAATATCTATATAATATAATTTTGTGTTGATTTATTCGTTTTCATCAATTATCAATTTTATAATTTATTGATTATTATAAAATATAGTTATAGATTTCTTTATTGCAAAATTAAACTTTTTCAAGAATTGTAAGATTGTTATAATTTCTTTTGATATATATTCGATATCAAGTAATTCAACTTTTGTAATTGATATAATTATAATATTCTGTTTAGTTGTTTTCTATATAACTAAATTATCGAAAAGGGATATAATATACTTTTAAAATGATTTACAAATATCAAGATCATTTATGAATGATATATCTAAAAATACAAGAAATTAAGAAATTTGATCATTGTTATATTCAATCGTTAAAAACTTAATATTCCAAAGATATTGAAAACAATAATCGATAGTTTTTATATATTCGTTTATAAGGTTTATCAAATAATGATTCAATTGAGAAATAATAAAAACTATATTTATTTTGATAATGATTACTATATAAAGTATTGATTTTATCTTTTCCTGAAAAATCTTGATTGTATAAAAAAGAACTTGATCTATATTTTTTCTAAATTTTATAATAAGAAATAAAGTATTTATTATTCCATTTGTTATTTTAAACTCTTTAATAATCTTTTTAATATAAGTATTATAAATTAATTATAGTTTCTTTTGAAACAATTATAAAGGATATAGATTTCTAGAAACTATTTAGTATTATCGAGATTTTATAATTCATAAATAGATTTGATTTTTTCGATTATATTTGTAACAATTTTTTCGAACTTTTTATAATAAATAATTTGTATATTATCTATAAAGAATAAAATTATAATAATATATTTTAGATTTATATAAAAATATGGTTCCTTTTTGTATTATTGTAATTTTATCTTTTTGAATATTTTTGTAAATCTTTGAATTATATAATTAAAGAATTATGAAAGTTATATAATACTCGATCAAGAATAATATGTTTGTTAGGGGTTTTATATTTATTAAGGAAAATATAGATTATAAATTTATTTGAAAAATTGTATAAAGTATTAACAAAAATATTGATAATATTATATTTTTTAGTTTCGAGATTGTATTTGGTTATAAATATTATAATAATACAAAATAATC